TCGAAGAAATCCGTATCGACAATGACCAGGTTTGAATTGTCGACAGGATTTGCAAGTTCCAACGTATTTGATGACGTCGGAGCGTACGGTAGGCCAGTAATAATCCGTAAGAATTCTCGCGAGAGTCTTCTTAACACCGAGATGTCCTCCGGTGGCGTGTTCGTCATGGAATTTCCGCAAAATCTTCGCGCGAATGTCTTCAGGAACGTATAGACGTCCTTTGTGTCGTAATAATCCATTTTCAAACGTATAATGGAGTTCTTTTGAAGTTTTCTCGTGTCGAGGTTTTCGAGAAATTTCATTGAGTTAATCCGAATATGGATCTTTGCGTAGCGCTTTTTGCCATTCTTCTTCTCAGCAAGTAGGTGAGTTTTGTGGATTGTCTGTCGTAGCGTTGGAGGAAGGTTCATTGACAAGCATGTTGCTGATCTGCGTATGCATGTCAACGCGTCGTTGACAATCTACACACCGAGGTGCATAGATTGGATTGCGGGAGAGCATGTGGGTGATATGATTCCATCGTCCAGGTAAATACTGGATGGCGAAATCATACTCTTGTAGCTTCTCCATCCAATTGGCTTGTCTTGTGCTCAAATGGGGTTGCGTTTGGATGAATTCGAGTCCCTTGTGATCGCTAAACCATCGGAAGTAACGACCGATGAGATATGGTCGATTAGCGACCAACATCTTAACAAGAGCTAAAAGTTCCTGTTCGTGCGTAGGATATCGAGTTTCTGCGTCCTTCATCTTTCTGGAAAAGAAGACCACAGGCCGGAGCCAAGGTAACTTCTTCCATTGTCCGACAGGAGTAGGCAGATTCGTAGGGATCGTTTCATCGCCAGAAGGTTGTCCAATCCAGCCAGCGATAGCGTAGCCTGATGAGTTGGTATAGACGTAAATCGGCTTGGTTTTGTCGATGGTTGCTAGCGTAGGCGCATTGATTAACGCTTCTTTCAACTTTTGAAATGCCTCTTGTTGCTCAGGACCCCATCGAAATTTGACTTTCGAAGATTGAATACTTGATAGGGGCAGAGCAATGTCCAAATAACCTTGTACAAAGTCAAGGAAGTAGTTCGTGAACCCAAGAAAACTTTGAACTCCTTTTATTGACTTTGGAGTAGCCCAATCCTTGATAGCTTGGATTTTCGAGGGCGCGATGCGAACACCATGTCTTCCGACAATATGTCCACACCATTCGAGTTCTTCTTTAGCCCATACGCACTTTGAAGGCTTCATGAAAAGGGCGTGTTCTTCAAGTTTCTTCAGAATATGAACGATGTGTTCCCGATGTTTGGCTAAGGTCTTCGAGAAAATGAAAATGTCGTCCAGGTAGGTAGCAAGGAATTCGTCGTAATCTTTATGAAAGATCTCATTCATAAGACGTTGAAATGCAGCAGGTGCGTTGGTAAGCCCGAACGGCATGACCAAATACTCGAAACGTCCGAAGCGAGTTCGTATTGCCGTTTTTTCTCTATCTTGTTTTCGTATAAGAAGACGATGGTATGCTTCTCGAATATCGATAAGCGTAAACCATTTACAACCTTAAGTCCCATCCCTCATCTCACGAATGTTGGGTAAACGAGTGCGATCTTTCTTGATGACGGCGTTGAGACCTCGGTAGTCCCAACAGATGCGTAATCCGCCATCTTTCTTTTTCGCAAAGACGGCACTAGCTCCCCAGGGACTTGAGGAGTGTTGTATCCATCCTTTTTCGAGCATCGAGGTGATTTGTTTCTTAAGTTCAGCGAGTTCTTCTTTGTTCATGTGCCGAAGAGGTTGCCAAACGGGTTCAGCGCCTTCAGTGAGTTCGATCTTGAAATTATCTTCTCCGCGATCAGGGGGTAGACCTTCCGGTTCCTTGAAAAGCGTATTGACGTATTAATTTAGGATATTCTTGAGATGTCCTGGATTTCCTTTAAACTCTTGAGGAGCGTCTGGTATTTTGTTAAGAGCGAGGCAACAGACCGTGTCTTTTTCAAGCTTGTTCCGTTGCCAAGCCTTATTGAATCGCTTGGAAGTCATTTCTATGACTTGAGGATTGCGAAAAGCATAAGCTGGAGCGAATCGAGATACATAATGAGGTGCGGCTTGTAGAGGACGCGTGTCCAGAGGTTTAATGATCCGAACAGGTCGAATGGGTCTTTTGGCATAGACCGGATCTCGTTGTACATCGAAGTAAGGGTTGTTGTGTTTCGGGATGTATTCAACCTCTTCCCAGTTTCTCGAAGATCTTTCGCACTTGATGGTGACAGACTGCGGTGCGTTTGGTATAGGGCCGTAATTGGTCCAGCGAAGGATAGGTAAGGTTCTCATCGAGAATTGTTCAGCGTAATTAAAGAAACGCCAGAAAGGCATGTCCCATTTGTTACAAAGGGGACAAGGAGTCGTTGGACGTTGTCGAGCAACATAAGTAGTTTGCCATTGTCCACGTCGACGAAAGGGCTGTTGACATTGGTACGGCACTTGACCTGTAGTAAGACGACTCATTCCAGGGGGATAGTATGACGTACGGAGGACATTGAGCCCAAAGGTCATATCATCTAAGTTTTGCTCGATTTCCGTAATTTGAGGATTTTTGTAAGGGGCGAATTGTCCGCCACGACCACCGCCACGACTACCTTGACCGCGACTGGCTCCACGGCTGCCACAAACACTTGTTGCCAAGGCAATCGGAAGAGGTGTATTGGCTTGGTTGCCGTCAGTGAATCCGTGAGCCACATGAGCACGACAAGCTGCAGTGATAGCTTGATCGAGAGTGATAGGAGTGTTGATATTGGTAATGGCCGAGACTTCGAAGTTCGTAACAGCTTCAGCGAGATAATGTCCAATTACTGTATTCTTGAGAAGGCCGGCTTTGAAGTATCGAATTTGTTCGATAACGGGAATGGTGCCTTGAGGGTTATCGAGACGATGAGCGGCTTCGAGCTCATTATTGGTGTCTTGAAACTCCTTGATATATTTCTTAAGAGAGTCACCGAGCTTGAGGTTGGATAACTTGAGCTCAATAGTATTACGCAAGTTGCGAGGATAAAAGTGAGCGACAAGAGCCCTTTCACAAGCTGCCCAATTTGCGGGAGGTCCAGCGGCGTAAGTCGTATTGAACCACTCGAGAGCAGTACCCTTGAGGTAGGTAGTGAGCGTAGAGGCGTACTCTGCCATAGTAAAGGCTATGGCGTTGGCAGCTCCAGTGCCGTCTGTTCCAGCTGGTACAGCCGGGACAGTGAGAGAGTCAAGAAAGTTGTGGTGAGACGTAACGAGCTCTTCGATCTTTTTGGCAGCTTTGGCGCCATCGTATTCGACAAGCTTGTTCTTGCGAGCGTCCATAAGAAGTTTGAAACGTTCGGCTTGTTGGGTGTCTTGCGTAACAGCACGCTGCTGACTAGCAAAAGCAGCTGCGACAGCCGCAACAAGAGCTTGAGTCTGTGCGTCCATTCTTGCTTGTGAACAAGTGTAAGGGCGACTTCCGATAGAGGGGTGACATTGACGAGGAATGTCTTGGTGATGCTAGCGGTAGGTGGTGCTACCATGTAACGTCAGAGGAAACGTAGACGATATTGGGCCCTTCCGAGAGGGCTGAGAGCAGTTTATTGTAGTGAAGAAAAAAGTAAGAAGCTTTTGCAGCGGCTGCTCGACTGACAGCTTTATATATGAGCTGCCAGTGGGGCTTGCGTGGCTTCAGTGAGGCTTGGCGCCTTATGTAATGTATCACCGAGAGCTCGGGTGGCCAGCCCGGGTCTCGGATCAGGTAGAAGGAAAGAGATATAATATGAAATACAAGTGAAGATGAGATATCCCCGACACAGGGGGGCGGCAGCCCCTTGAGTGGGGGTTTTTCTGTAATATATACGTAATATTTATAACAATCCTCCTTGTCAAATGAGCGGCGTGCAGAGGGGGGTCCAGGGGGGAAAGCCCGGGTGGGGGTGCGGGGGGAACCCCCGCTGTGTTTGAGTGTAGTTTGGTGGGTTTTTCTTTGAGTGTAGTTTGGTGGGTTCTGGATCGGGTGGGCTACGCGCGGAAAACCCACTAAACTGCACCCTTACCCAATCTTGCAGCGGCCAATTAAGATGGGGCGTTGGGTACCCAATTCGCGGGTTTTCCAAATGCACTACATCATCGGCAGACGACAGTCACGTCAAGGTGTCCTCCTCTGAAGACGAGCGCACCTACGACAAATCTCTACGCGATACGGCCACGAACGCGGCTTCATTGACAAATAAGCAACCTCCGAACGGAGTCCATTGTGCTCTGGACGAGGAACGTAGTCCTCTAGAGTCTATGGACGAGGAGGAGGTTGCTTAGTATCCCACCTCACTACCCACTGCACTAAGCACCTCCCATCGACATTCGCCGCATTCGCCGCTCAATTCGCATCGGCTTATTTATCAACATCTTGCCTTCCACGGCTCGATCAACAACTATTTAAAGGTTTTACCGGTTTCCCTGGACGTTACGTCCTAAATGCGCTGCAGAGCAGGTTTCCCTCTGCAGCGTTCCTGAATAACCAGTTCATCTTCTTCGACCCATCCCTCCCTCCTACCGTAGTTTGACATAGCACTCAATAGCTCAAAAAAGATAAGGGAAAAGAGAATCTACGGCTACGGAGTTTGTTATTTAAACACTCGAGAAGAAAAATAAAGAAGCTTACTAAGCAACCTCCTCCTTGCGAGGATAGCTCTGCACGAGGAACGTGGTCCACTAGAGTCTATGGACGAGGAGGAGGTTGCTTAGTAAGCTTCTTTATTTTTCTTCTCGAGTGGGTAAATACCGTGTTGCCAAGCACTGTCAAGTTACGCTAACTATGCCGTCCTGATCTATAATAACTCTGATGTCTTCATAATTGCATACCTCTCCAGTCAGTCATCCCCAGATTGCGCAAAGTTCAACCCGCTCTTGTTCGTGTGCCCATGACGAAGACATACAACGCAAATAACTTGACCACCAGGGGCAGGAATTGTAATCGCTCAAGTCTTTCTTGATTCTTGGCAACGACGCAACGCCTAAGTCTTCCTGATAGCGGCCTTCGACTCCTTTCTACTGGCCTGGATATCAGCGAGTCAAGTCAAGAATCGAGAAATAGTGCACCAGGGTTCAGGACGCTAGATGTTTTAAATAGGTCGGGTATCCGAACGATCTGAAGGTCGAGAGGTAACGGCGATGATGGGACCGAAAATATGTACTAGAGATCGCCCGAGAATTGACAGCGCATTGAAACGTCCTCTGAACCGGCACACATCTCTCTAAAAAAGCACGGACATGCCGGCCGTACACTTATATATACGGGCTCCGCCTCACTTCAAATTCGCATATTGTCATACCCAACTGATAAAATTCTTAAAGTGCATTACAAAATTGTGTGGCTTGCCTACTATCTATACGCCAGGGGCCAGCTCACTACGCCAAAACAAAAATATGGCATCCAGATAAAGGGGGAAGGACGTGGGAGGATGAGGTAGATAGCGTCCAGGGGCCACGGTTTGCTGAGTACTATGGAGGAGTCTCGAATGTTTTTGCGGTGTGCACGAACCACAGGGATGATTGTCGCTAGCGACGAAGCTGATGGCTAGTGGATATAGGAGGTTCCTATACGACGACGGTGCGACGCTTGGCTCCGTATCGTCGGCGGTGGCAGCAACAGCGCACGAAGACCCAGGTGATCAGGAAAAGAACACCGACGATGATGAAGACGTGTATCAGTGGTGCGCTCGCAATGGTGACAACCTGATGGTGAACAACGAGATGTGAGTTGGAGGCCGAGGAACGTCAGGAGGACTTGCGAAGAGCGCCAATGCACGTCAATAACTTACGTGGAAGAAGCCCAAGATCCAGATCACAATGAGGACGATGGCGATGAGGACAAGGATGTCCCAGAGAATGATTTCCAGACCGGCGCACATTTTCGTTGTTTGACTTGGGGGGGTGTTTGAGAGGAGGATGTGTGGGAACTTGGCGATTGCTCTTGGCTGTTGAGCTTGGTTTGGCGAGAGGCGGATGGCTAGTTGTTGCAGGCAAAGGAAAAGCTGGGACCCACCGGCCTTTTATGCTCTTCGGCCGTCGCTGCGAACGATGGTGGCGAGGCCCTCTTCGCAAGCTGCAGAGCCAAATGCGCTCATCACGCTCATCCTCGCCAAGGGCACCAAAAGATTTTTCTTCTGGACAACAACGTCATCACTTCATTCAACTTCGAGCTGATTCTTGGACTGGGCCGTTCTGGGCCTGTCATCAGGGGCTTTCTCCTCGTCCAAACGTACTGTCGCATTTTGTGGATCTGTCTGTACAGGCATTAATTATGGACACCTCCGACGTCATTCCAAAATTCGGGAACCTACAAAATGGTCACGGAGGTGTCCCTCCGTCTTCCGTGACCTCGTCAAATTTTCGGTGGCTTTGAGGCACGTCACGGAGTTGTCTGAACTTCAGCTCCGAACTGAGAATCTTCGAAAATTGAGCCACTGGAGCAAGTTGAATGGTCCCCAATCCCTATTGGATGCATGACATCATAGTGGCGACGCCAAAAGGGTCCAACTTGGTTTGGATCTTCGAGTCTCGAGTGACTCTTGACCGTCACACATAGTGTTGCAATCTTTTCAGCGCCGATGAACGAACGTCGCACACGCTGGGCACTCCCAACTCGGAGGTCCCCGACGCCGGGCTGTGTTGAAAATTGGAACGCCAAGGCTGCGACCAGAAACGAGAGGTTTACACAGTAATACATATAATATACACCACAACGTCACTCTTCCCAGCTCACACCCGTTGGGGATTTATGTTTTTTTTCATTTGACGGTTCCAAACGTCATGGACTCGGTCTACGTACATCAACACTCGTTTACGCTACATATTGCCACCCCCCCAGTCCCAAAGGAGGAAAACGTATGTTATCGTATCAGATTACACACAATCCTTCCTTATCATGCATGCCATCACTGACGATGACTCGCATGTCAAACTGTGCGCCAACTTGAGAGTGCTTGAGCCGGGCGCGTTCGGTAGTGTGTTGATGCATAACTCTACCAACCGTCTGGGAAGCATAGCCGTTCCTCGAGAGGTCCAGTATCCCCCGCGTTGGAAGACTTGTACATGAAGACTTACTGAGAAAGTCGAATTGGTAGAGGAGTGCATGCGATCGAGTGCCCTCAGGACATGTGCCCTTCCTTTCGCTTAGGAAGGCGGAATCCTATGGTGGCGCGTCGAGTCCGTGGACGTCGACTTCTATTATATATTGTTCGATTGTGCAGTACGTTCTGCCTTGTTGAGAACCTGGCCTACTGAGGAGTCGACCGCTGAGTCGAAAGTCGCATCTTGATTTCCGGGAACGGCCGAGACGACACGTTCACTCCGCTCATTCCGCCGTAAGGCGTCGCGACTTGCACTGCATCATCCCCTGGTACGCCATTTGTTTGCGATTTGCCGTTCGCTGGTGTGCCTCCCCGGCTGACGCTTTTTATGCTTCTTTGCGCAGCAATGCTGTACTGCACATTTGCGGAATCCTCTCTCTTGACGCCGCTCGGCACGTTACTTGGGTCGTCATTCTCGAATGCCGACTCCCTATCCGAGTGCCCATCTCCTGCCTCTCGTGTTCCTTCCGTCGGTTCCTCCTTCATCGGGTAATGGAGCTTCCTCTGCCCTTCCTTCCCCATAAGCTCCTCCCGCACTGGAGTGCCTGGCATGATGCCGCTGGCAGATCCCAACGCGTCGGAATTCAGGAATGGCGAGCCGGGTCTTTCTTCTCGCAGCTCCTCCTTGATTCGCATCACCTCCGGCGCATTCGGAGGGAAGTATGCTCCGGTTTGCATAGGCACCGATTCGGTAAGCGACGCTCTCCGCTTTTTCGTCGGGTTTTCCTCGGATGTTTGATTGAAGCGATTCTGGAGATTGACAAGATTTAGGTTCAAACTGAAGTATACGGATGACAGTACGATCATGTCCACGCACCCTAGACTTCGGCCTTTTCTTCATCGGTTTGGGCTGATCGCCTTCGAACACTTCGGAAGGCAACGCCACGCTGAAGGAAAAGTAAGGAACAGGAAGGGATGGGCGGAAGACTTTGAAAATGGTTCATACCTTTTCATGTACTGCACTACTATCCCCATTGTCGTGCAATCAAACTTATCCCAGGCTTTTACCATGGACACGAACTCTCTCGTCGGCCAAGATATATCCAGCTTTCGTGGAGTATTGGAGCTCGGATCCTTTGCCTTGATGCTCAGACCAATGTAGAACGTTGACGTATATAAGAATGAAGCGCCTGGGACATCCGTCTCAGAGTCATCCCGGGACGGAGGAAACTGCCCATGAGCAGCCCGACTTCTCTCCTCTTCACTGATACATCTGCATACTTTGTCGAAGCCCTTGATGTAAGGATGCGCAAGCTCCAGATGATCAACAAGTTCCAGCTGTTTCACCAATTGCCGCAAGCGAGATTCGACCATGCCAGACCACCGCAGCTGCGACTCCGCCTGGTCTGATGATGCAATGATTTGCAGATAGTACTTGTAACGTGCGAAAAAATCGCTCTTCGTGAATAGCTCAATCCAGGAACCCGACCCGACCATAATGCGATCTGCGATGTCGGCGGCACGCTCAAACTCCTGAGTGGTCACAACGTGTGTAGATTCGGTAACATTGTGCGTAGCGCACATGGACGGATACGCGGGTGTGATGATCGGCATTCTGTGGGCTTTGTCCTGGGGATAAATCTTCGGATTCCATACTCGCACAGCCAATGGCCCCTCTTCAATATGTTTCAGCAATACTGGTTGAGGCCATGCCCTACAACGCGTCGTTAATGCCTTCTGCTTTCCATGATGGCGTGAAGCAAAAAACTCACCACTTGTGCATGATTCGGAAAAACTTGGACACGATGGCTCCGGCTGCCGCATTCGGATATAGTTGGCAAACGCGGGCCACAAGGATAGCCCAAGCAACTCCGCCAAAGAACCCCATGACGTTCGAATAAATAGCTCGACGTTTCGCCCACAATTTGATGCATCGCAGCGCTATTCGGAAGGCCTCGATATTAGGTACCAGTCGCAAAATCTCATCCGTTACGCGAGATCCGTTTAAACTGCGGACGTCCCGCTCATCCAGGTTCTGCAGCAGGTTATCATCCGCAAGATCCAGGTCGTCCGGTATCGAGTCCAACTCAAGCCGAGCGAAAAGAAGATCGATCTGGATTGGATAGTCAATACATTGTCTCCACGTCAACAGATCACACGTAGTTGTTACTTACGGGAATTTTGGAGAACTCAAACTTAATGACTGGGACATAGGCGTCGGAGACCGCGGTGATGTCGGTGATTTCCGGTCTGGCCTTTAGCAAGTCGTACATTATATCGAAAAAGTCGTCTCGTTTGACGTGCTTCGGCGCAACGCAGAGAGTATCAATATCACTCCCTATGTACATATGTATGGTGAGCTCTCCCGATCGTCGACGCTTCAAAGGTTCTAACCAAAATGCCGACCTGCCCCATGCACGCCTAAGCGATACGATCCAAATGTGAAGATCTTGCCACCCGCCTCCTCAGCAACCGCTTCAGAGTGCCCCTGTCGCAAGCTGACCCGCTTTACGAATTCTTTGAAGATTAGATTCAACTTCCCCAGAACCAACTCCCTGATACAAGAAAATTCGTGTCAACCGGCCTTGACCACCTCGGAATAGACGTGCCAAAAACAGTAGCGACTCCCCTCGGTGGCGGTGAAGGCATACCTTTTTCGGGCCTCCTCATCGCTCTCAAAAAGTCCGAGGTCTTTCAAGGTTTGCACTAAGCCATCAGTCACCTCGATCTCTTTGAATGTTGGCTCGGCACTCGATATGGGTGGTGTCACTCCGAAAAACTTCTGGTTCGACATTGAGCAGATCCTGACCTTGTCGGGGGGATTCGTCGAAGGAATGGAGTGTACGCCTTTTGATATAGTATCGGTAACGAGAAGTGATCGATGCCAAGCTACCGAAGTGGAAACTTGTTCGTAGCGAAAGGCTAGCTCTCGCCCCTAGAATACGGGAGACTACACTCCTGGTGCGTAGCAAAGCCAAAGAGCGCTGTTTCCCTGCTGTGCTTTTGGCACGCTGAAAGACTCAGAACCTCGCACGAAATCGAAAAAGGATCACGTTCGGAGGGAGCCCGGTAATCCCAAGACTGTGGATGAAGCAGTAAACCAAGCGAAACGGAGGGCGGTATACAGTACGGTATTGCCTCAGCGCTGTGGACAAACCCGTGGGTTCCAACGACTGCTTCGAATTGCTTCGAAATGCGACGAGTGCAAAGCGGAGCAGCAAAGCAGCAGAGAGCCCAGTTGCAAAGCGAGATCGCTGGTGTTGGTTGATCTGGATTCTGTCCAAGGAACTCTACGCGGCACGTGATCACAAACAGTGTAAATGGCAGGGTTAGGGTTAGCGTTACACCCCTCACCGTCTTGTCCCCCGTACGGCCGCAACTTCAAGAGTCCATGAGGTTATACATGAGGTTATACATGAGACTGCCACAGTATTTATTTGCAAAAATGGAGGAAAACCACTCAAGCCCACAGGGGCCAGGGCTCATTACGACGTCAAAAACTAATTACGACGTCGGCCGCTACATTACGCCGAGCTCCACGGTATATAATATACATAAGGTTTCCCTCAAAAACCTCTGTATGGAGGATTTAGAGGTTTGCGGGTGCTTGCCGCCGGCCCGCGAACTTGTGCAGCTTGTGCATGCCGACCGATCCAATGGTGAGCCAGAGGATTCCGAAAAACAAGAAAACAGCGGCGGCGCCACCACACGCCTTCAGGATGGTATCGCAATCGGTAGCGCAATCGAACTTGAGGGTCTCATCCGTGCGGTGATGGAAGCCGTAACCGGCATCGCAAGCAGTGGTGGTGCCGTTGTTCGTGCTATCCAGGCAGCTCTTCCGAACGACAATTCCGGCCACTAATGTGACGATCGCCTGGACGACAGACACTCCCCCCATTCCCAAGAGTACGGGTGACCGGGTATACCGGTTGTACCAGAAGCAAAGTAGGAGAACGGCAAAGGGGCCAATGAACTAAGAGAGGATCAACTTGTAAGTCCACTGAACGCATTTCCGAAAAGAAGCACCACGCAAACCCGAACACTCTGCATGTTCGGGAATCTGACTTACGATTGTGGTGATGATGGCGACAATAAGGGCGAGACGATTGTGATGGGGTTCTGTAACCGTTGCGACGCCGTTGTGAGGTTGAGCATGGTGATGCGGCGCAACTTTGTCGTGCTCGCTGACGATGGGATGGGTCTGTCGGCTGTCCATGATGATATGTGTCTCGGCTGGGGATCGGAGTCGTTGTTGGTATGTTCCGGTAAGAGGCGTTAGTTCGGCGGGCGAAAGAAGGCAACAGGGAGTTTTATATCCAAACCCGGACGTTGAACTTGGACGGCCGGCCGCCAGACGCCCGCCCCATCTTGGACGTCATCTTCTTTTTCAGTTTTCTGCCCCATGTGCGTTGTGTTGCCGTTGGAGCCCCACGGTCGCCAATGGTTAGGAAGTAATGCCCATGACGTTGCGGTATCACGATGGCTTGCGGCTCAGGTGAGTACCGGATGCAGAGCCTCGTAAAAGTTTTCGATCACAGCTGCCAGCGGTCAAAATTTTGCGTCCCAGAGCAACCAGCAAATCGCGCACCTTTCTGTCTATAACTGTCGCACTTGCGTCGTCATCTGTGGAACCTTGTCGCGCACTTTTCCTTTGCCACCCCACCAAAGCCCCAAGGGGCGCGGGAGATCGGGGTCACGCGACCCTGCCCCAGAAGGTGCGTCAAGCTTTTTCGGCTACATTCGGTGCAGATAGATCCACAACCGTCGTTTCTTTGCCAATTTTCAGTAGTGATGACGATATTTGATGAGATTTGGTCCGTGTCCGTTGAAGCTTGATCTTGACGATGCAAGTTTACGGTCCCGACCTCCGACGTAAGGCCCCGGGGGTCTGGGGGGTATGGTAGAAACGTCGCAGCGGTGGAGAGTCTGTGCGTGCCCCTTGTCTCGAGACTAGGGGCGAACCAGAAGAGTGTGACTAGCTGGCCTGTCCGTTCCAGCTGTGGCCATGCTTTCGATGTCTTCGGGCCGGCAGGTTCTGAGCCTCGAGACAAGTTTTTCATGTAAAGGTTCGCCAGCCCAAGTGCGCGGGGTAAGAGTGAGCTATTCTTTCCGACCCACCATTCAGAGTCGCTACTTAAATCAAGGGAACAGGGGAACAATGCTATGCGCAAGTGAGCAAATTGAGTCGCTCCTTTCCCCATCAAAATGGGAATAGACTCTGGAAGCCGTTGGTTCCTGGAACTCCAATATCATCCTCAGCTCGGGTTTTATTTTTGAATTTTACAAGTAACGGCGATTCATACAAGATAGTTTTTCTATCCCCGGGACTATAACGTAAACGGGTCGCTGATTCTTTTCCAGCTGGCAGCACCAAAGGGTATAAATGCTCAACATCTGTGGAGTCCCAAGAGAACTCTTGTTCAGTGAAGACCCAGCGAAGGACGACCGGCAGTGGGCGCCGATCCGTCCGCGCGGTATAACCCCGTTCCGGTCATAGAGCCACCACGCTTCTCGAACTCTTCCAAAGAAATGGGTGGGTTGTATCGGATTTCTTGCACGCGAGGGGCCGTCGTGTGGTGCTCGTAGATGGGCTGTGAGGTGTGGTAGACGTGCTGTACGGCAATCGGGTGAATTGGAAGAGTATGAGAATCTCGATGTTGTATGTGTGACTAGAAATTCAGTTACCGTCTCGTCAATGGTACGCCAGATAACGGGCTGCACCTCCTCAATAACATGCACGTTGATCTTCTCCTTTACAACTGGGTTGTTCTGGAAAGTGCCTTGATCGATCCGTTCTACGGACTTGCCACCAGTAGTAGCAAGCTCCCTTTGTGCGCGGTACCGGTTCGCATCAGCGGGGTTGAGGGGCTCCGAGAGCTCGCGAGAGACAAGAGCCGCCTGCGCGTGGTGGTGAACGGGCTCGGCAACGACGTGGTCCTTGATGGGCTGGATGACCTGCTGGACAATTGTCTCGTCCCGCTCGCGGTCGATGTGCGGGGTGATGTGAGTCTCTTGACGCTGGCGCAGTTGCTCGATGAGGTACGGCGCATTCTGGACACGGCAGACCTCGGTGTTGCTCTTGGCGGGGACGAGACTGTTTCCGGGAGTCGAGGGTCCCCCCGCAGCGTAACGTCCGCTGTTGCCGGCCGATTGACCTTGGCCGCCGCCCCGCACGTCCCAGGCACGACTGTTGTTCAAATCCGTGAAGTTGCTAGTGGCAGCAGCTGGTCCACGACCGCCGTTACTTTGGTGTTGCGGGCCGCTGTTTGTGAAACCACCATAGTTGGTGGGCTGGTTGGCGGCAGAAATGAGACCCATTTTTGCTGAATCGATAACCTTGGCGGTGTCGTTGATTTTCGAGAGTGTTGCAGCGGCAGGTAGTCTGTGCGATGCCCGGGACTATCACTAGCTCAGATACTGAGGATGATGAGGACAGATTTTCTTTAATGTCAGGCGGGCGAGGTTGGTTTGCTCTTTAAGTACATGCCTACGGGAAGGTATAGAAGTCCGACAAAATTGGCCCGGCGGTGCTGGCCCGTACATGATGATGGCTGTGTCCACGGCCCTAGAAGAGTAGTTGAAAATCAATGCGGTTCTGAAGGTCTGCGATCGAACGAAAATATCCGAGCGGAGTTTGGACCAATTGCTGACTCAATATTGTCGAAACACTGTCAATTTCTGCATATGAAAACATGGTACGGGCTGATTCTGTGACATACTACGCAAACGAGCATTTCGGCGCAAGCGCTTCGGAGATGTCACTCAACTAGAAGAACACCTCGCAAAGAAATTCTCTGACTACTGGTTAAACGAAAGAAAATCGTCGACTCTGGCGCAGAGCGGACTAGGTCAGAAAGGGAGTTGACGGAAGGGGAAGTGCCCCATGAACCACCTGTATCCATCAAAAGAAGTATCCGCGTGCCAGAGGAAGACGTCCGAGCTAGCACTCTTTGCTTGAAGTGTTGAAGTAGCGGCGGATGCATCGGCTATAAACGAAGGCGGACCGCAAATGAAAACTCCGACCTGTCTCTTCGCTGACGAAGTGCTTCGGAGTAAATCCGAATTGACGGTATCTGCAGAGCAGCAGCCCACGTCAATTCATATCCTTTCGCCACCGCAACTTGGTTTTACTGGCAAAGCTGATGCGGCCGGGAGATATGGAGTGTGGACGCGGCTCCGTCTGCCGTCACCTCGCCTGTGCCTTCCCGTATGCTGTTTTTCTCCATGTCATCGACACGGATCTCCTCCTCAAGATAATCGACCTTGATTGCCGTGGCCTTTTCTGCCGTGTTGTGTATGTGAAGCTGGGGTCCTGTATCAAGTATATCTAGTAATGATGGCCAAGAAAGGCCAGTGCATGGCTATGAGGCCAGACTTTTCAGCTGAAGAAACACCAACCCTCCAAGAGCGAAACCGGCTTCTGTAGATCCCTGCGAGTGGACCACGCCAAGATGACCCGCTGGGCCTTGGAACCAGATGAAAAAGCCGCTCTGGCCACCGAAAGGCCCGGAGGCAAACCGGTCCCCGCGACTAGAACGACGACCATATCCATGCGAGCAGGCTTGAAGACGGGTACCCCGAACCGTCCATCGGCAATTGATACGCATCAAAGAGCCCTCCTCTGTGTTACTCACTGATCCGCCGGTTACAGCCGCGGCGAAACGGGACGTCCATTCCTTGGTGGCTGAAGATGTCGCAGTGGCATCGACGAACAATGTTGCGCATCGCTGCCGTCGGGACGCATCATCGTGGCGTCGCTCTACGCGACCGGAGGAACGAGAGTATCGCTCTGTCAGTAACCGTGTTTGCACACCGATTGAGAAAGCGCTCAAAATCAGCCAAACCTGAAAGGATGCTACTCGTATTTGGAGATGCTAGGAAGGTCTAGAAAGAAGAATTGCCCGGGTTCAGACTCTTAGGTAGAAGTCCAAGGGGGCGTGCAGGATGGCAAAGAAGAGCAGGAGGAAGAGCATGAAGGGGGTGAAGTAGAAGATATTGAAATGTCTCCGACGGAAGTAGGTAATGAACGGGGGTGCGAAAAGCAGTGTTTGAAACAAGTTACGATCGGAGACAAATCAGTAGAGGGCCGCACGTTGAAGATAACTGCGGATTACTTTCCCATTCCCCACATCGTCTTCATTTCCCAATCCATAGTGTAGGCACCGGAAGAAGGGGATGAGACCACCATGTCTGGACGCAGAGAGGGCGGCCGACTAGACCCCATGCGGAATATCTCAGTTGAGATGAGACATCAATTCACTTGCGTGGCATCTATAGACGCTGTGTGGAGATAAACCGCGGTATGCAATAAGGTAGCGATGAAAAGGAAATATCCGATCCATCTGTGAAGCCTCAATGCACGGTCAAACGAAACGCCGAGGAGCGTTTGAAGGAAGGAGGTTCGAGAGACAGGCAAAAGGCACATTCCCAGTCCCACGTCTAGCACACGACCGCTGATCTGCGTGGCAATGTAGATAGGGATGCGAATAGGAGTGTCCAGCAGCCAGCTATAGAAGCCCCATGGGTTATTTATGGCATCACGGTAGGCTTTGGTCCAGAGACGAGATAATACGAGACGCCAAGCAAGATTTCAGTGAAAGGGAAACAGAGTACAGGATTCTTTCTGAAGCCTACCTAAGATTAATCGCGAAGAGAGCCGCAGTGGATGTAAATAGGACGAGCTCTCCGGTTGTGAAATTAGGAGCAAACTTTCCGACGGGAAACGGTTTCCTCACAATGCGGTGTACCACTGGCCATCTTCGTGCCTGCACATCCAGAGCGAGAGTGTCAGAGACCGGAGCTCGCTTGAAGGTGAGGATTCTGACGGGACTGCCCGCGAACAAACACGCAGCAACAAGGAACAGCCACACGTAAAACAAACTGAACGTGAGCGTGCAGGTATGCTTCACACCCGAGGCGACGCTCTCGACACAGTAGTCGTTCTTGCAAGGGAGTCCGACGACGTATAACCCGAAAATCAACCGAACGGGATGGCGGCGAAAGTCAGCGCAGATGCCAGGAAATGGGCATTCGGTAGGATGTAGAAGCTGTCATTGCGGATAGCGGAGCTGTCAGTGGGTTGGGCAAAAATGAGCGCCAAGTAATCAATTCAATGTGGGCCACGTGAGCAGGGACATCCTCCCATACGTCAAAGTACGGTACGGTAAGATTCCCTTCTTCGACCATCGTACATACATACGTCAAGTGGTGCGCTTACAACAATAGGAACAAGGAAGATGGAGGGGCAAATACCACCGAAGAGCATCAAAGCGGCCCCGCTGACCCGGGAAGCGTTTGCACCATACGGTGACGTGATTTGCAGTTTGCCAACGCCCGCGGACACTGCCAATCAAGGCACCGCCAAACGTTTCAATCATATCGGTAGGGTCTTTCGGTACTAGGGGAATGGGCATTGGGCTGTTCAAAGTCGGAGGGGCAGTGTCGGTGTCCATCAAACAGCAGCCCAGAATCACTCGAATTGACAGCACGTCCGTAAAACAGCACAAATCACAAATCTCAGGAACAAAGCCAACCCCGCCCAGCCCAACCTCTGCGTCTTCCGTTGCGCGCCAACGCCCGTCCTACCCTTCCCGATGAAGCTACTGGAGCGTCACAAGTTCTCATCGCAGTTCTTTGTGCCCATGACGCCAAATCAAGACGGAGCTCGCGGATACCTGGTGATTGTGTGCCTGAACGACCCTGTGAGGGATAAACCAGATTACAGGACGTTGAAGGCGTTTGTGGCATCGACGACCGAGGGTATCAACTACAGTGCTGGATGCTGGCATCATCCGATGATTGCGTTGGAGAGAGTGACCGATTTTTGCGTGCTGGTGTACGAAAGGAGGGAACTTCGAGAGGCTCCTGATGAGGACTGTGAGGAGGAGTTTTTGGCTGAGGAGTGCATTATTGAGGTTGACGGATTTAGAGGTGCATCCGAGCTGTAGTGAGGACACCACTCCTGGCTGCGTCCGAGTCTCTCCGATTGCAGAGCAGTTGACGAACGTCTCGAGCTCCACATGTCCGTGAGTAGATAGTTCGAGATATACAGATTACTCTGTTCGATTAGATGATAATATCCTCGAGGCCATACGTATAATGAGGTGCTATACGTCGTCAGGGCGGAATGGAAACCAGATTTATCTAATCAATGACGCCAACGGTCGAAAATGATACAGGGGGATTCGACTTGCCCTCTCGCGGCCATCAAGAACAGTGAGATAGGGCCGTCGCAGAGGATGAGTGGGAATTTTCCAAAAACGCGGATCGAGAACAACGGGTGGGAATATGTACGATACCCCTCGACTACGTGAATACCCTACGAGGTGCAAGCTTGTGAACGCCTCTGAACAGATTGGACAGCTGCTCTCCCTCCAGAAAGTGTACAGGGAAGCGAACCGCATGTCCTCTCACATTCTCCCGCAAGACATCCAATGCCGGGCGAACAGCCTTGGGATCCGGGTTCTCTTCGATCAAACACAAGCCAGATCCATTCGCAGACACGTCGTAATCGTCATCGTGGGTCTGCGGGTCGTTCGGTTTTGCGACAGCATTCCCTCGCAGCTCGTGAGCTTCTTGCTGTGTCACTTCTTTGATCTTGAAGTCCGCCACGACGCTGTTGATATCAACCCCATCGAGTTCCGTTCCGTCCGAGGTTGTGTCCGGGCTCGGTGCAAACTTCTCGTACTGACTCCAGGTGCGCACGGTATCGTCGGGGACGCAGTGGAAGACATGGCGCATAGCGAGAGTGTTTGTGTCAATGCGTGCGTGCCACATATCCCAGCACACCGACGAGATGGGGTCCAAAATGCGCTTCTCAACGACTTCGATGGATGATGTACCGCTTGGACCTCCTAGCACTTGTTCGGATGAGGAACCGCTGCTGCTCTTGCTTGTGCGATCAGCGCGGGGATCATGCACGTCGCGGAGGCCGGGCGGGAAGGGGATGCCGAGGTGCTCGTGGAAGAGCCGCAGACGCAAGGAGCTAGCGAAATGACACACTTGCGCAGGCTTGCCATCCATGGTGCCTTCGAAAGGTTGTGTGTCGGTGACGAGGATGGCTAGTTCCGAGTCCCGCGATCCCATCTGCGATCGGTCGTTGATATTTGCACTTCCAATCAAGACATGACGATCATCGACAATCATCAGCTGGGAGACTTTCATGTTAGATGGGTGAAATGGTAGAAAAGAAACCATTCATAATAAGGTTCAAGGCTTACCTTGGCATGGATGTAAATCTGCTCAGTGACAATGCGGTTCCCAAGGATATCCCATTTGCGCAATCCAGTGAAAATGATGTACTTCCTCGCCTCCTCCTGCGTGACACCGCCCTTGGCCAGCTCCGAAAAGACGCCTCGAATGCACTCTGTCTGTGCAGACAGCACAAATGGGAGGGCAGGATCCGTATCGCCTTTCAGCACATCACCATAAAAAGCGGGAAAGAGCGGGATAACGATGTAGACCCGGAAAGTTTCTCCGGCTTTGTGAGCCCGGAGGATACGTTCGACTATGGCCGCAGCGATAGGGTTTCGAATTCTCACGCCAGAGATCGTAAACATCTGGCCGTGCTTCTTCTGGCGCCAGGGGATGCAGCTGCTTTCGTTCTGAGGTTGTTGTTTGGGGCCTGAATGCTGTGGTGATCCTCGATCCTGACGGGAGTCCGTCGATGTAGCTTCGATGTGTTCGGTAGGCGGCGAAAATTTCGAGATGAAGAATTGGTTCTCGATATACACGTAATGTTTCGCCTTATGGATGAGATCAATGTACGCCCTGTTGATCGATTTTTCGCGAGGAGAGCCGGCCGACCATTGAGACGCCGATCGCAAGACTTGCAGCCGACCCGTAAAGGATTTGGCCTTCGCTTCCTCCTCAGTCGGAGAGTTTGTCAGACCCTGACTGGGATACAGCCACGGCACCTTGACATTCTGCTTCTTCTTTTCCCATTTGGCGAAGTTCCATCGCTGGATGAAATGCCACACAAGATCGTCCACGGGGCCCTCCACATTTTCCTCCCCTGGAGGTTTGCGGAAGGTGCATGCAATGTCATGCCATGGCATCCGCGGAGTGTAATCCCGCGAAATGACGTCCTCAGTGATCTTCTCGCCCAGCTTGAAGAAATCTTTGACACGCGGGTTGCTATAGTCTTGCCCAGGGAACAAGTTCAAGATCGGTTTTGACGATGATCCCTTTACGGAGTGTCGGTGGATCGCATCAGCGCTGCGACCCTGGAACTCAACAAGCTCGCCGCGTGGTGGCATGCCTTCGTCATGGTACGCTCCGTTCGCATCTGTATTGAATCGTACTTGTTTCGACGGCTCCGAGCCGGACGAAGAACGCTGCACACCATTCGGCACGCCTGCATGACCGTCTTGTTCTTCTTCTTCGGGCTCTTCGAAAATGGGTCGCACGATGTTTGATACCGCATCGTCCAACTTATTGCCCACGGTATGGGTAATCGATGGACAGTCCACCATGTTATGTTCCCCGCTCATTCTGAACCCTTCATCCAAGACGTGTCTTCCTGGCGAGGACGGGGACGGTGGTTCGACTTCTCCCTTCGAGTTGTACAAGACATCGTCACGCAACGGATGCTCCGCCGTGTCATAGCGTCCTACACAGAGATCGACTCCTCCAATGAAGGCAATCTTCCTGTCGATGACAGCCGCTTTCTCGTGATGAGCCCACATGACGGAATCGAGAACAGGGCCGATGAATCCTCTGCCTTGGTCGGGGTGTCGAAGTAACACAATGTTTGACTTGTTCTTGAGGTGCAGTTCACCGTCGGGATCCTCAACCGACTCGTCAAGGTAAAAGTATGGGTCTCTGTGGCCCGTTAGCTCTTCTTTCGCGTGGAGAGAGGCGTTTGGCAGATTCATCTCCTTGTATAGCAAGATAAAAATGCGCACTCCTTGGTTTGCCTTTTGGAAGAGAAGGCGATCCAACCTCGATCCGAGATGTTCGGGGTGAACACCATCCGGCGCACGCAGTAGGAAGATCTCCGGCGTCAAGAACCAATCGGCGATCAAGATCTCCTTTTCGGCGTTGAAGATGGCATCGTAGACTTGTTCAAAGTGAGAGCTGCCGTCCACCAACCAGCGCACATGCTGCTCTGACTGGCCGTATCGCACGGGTGCAAAGGCGTCATAGCGACCGACGTCAGCCTGTACGTCTCTGTACCAGGTGGTCATCTGGCGACGGAATTCAAGTTGAGATGCCCATTCACGTGCAACACGGGCACGTCCGCGCCCTCCAACTCTGTAGTGAAAGTCAATCAGGAGATCACGGAATCCGTTGAGGATGGCCAAGTGATGTTTCTCGCGAACCCAGATTTCGTTTGTGCGTTTGTTGAAGGGTCGTAACAGCAATGCGTTGCGGACAGCATGGTGCTGACGGCCTCCTGGTCGAGTGTTGACACGGTCTTCCTTTGACCCCGCCGGGTCCTCATCGTACGGCCGAAGATCCACCTCTTTTCGTTGCGTATCCTTGTGAAGCACTTGGAAATAGCCATCGATGAGCATCAGTTCCTGAGGGGTAATATCCATGGGACTGTAGAAATACAGCAGGTAGTTGGACCGCAAAGCGAGCCAACGTCGTTGCGATCGCCGGGGTACTAGGAAGTCCGGGAAGCAAAAGACGTCATTCTTGCGACCGCCTCTGCGCTTCCGTGCCCAGCCCTCCTTGCCCTTGACGCCATTCTCCCATGTTCCGATAAGACTTGTTCGAGACAGTTCGATGAAGCCACAGACAACCATACCCCTCCGACGTTCTTCAACGGCATGCTCATCCTCTCCCAAAATGTTCCACGGTTCCTTCACTTCCTTCAAGATGCGACGAAGGAAGTTCACCAGCTCCTCTCCGTTCTTTTCTGACTTGTCAGCTCCTTTCGGGAGCGGGGTCGGGCCGGTAGGACGGTGGAAGCGGTTATCGGTATCGGCTTCTTCAGCTTTCTCATCAAACGCCTCGCGCTCCTGAGAAGTGCTCCTTTGCGGGTTGGCCTGCACCTTAAGCTGTTCTAGATGGGTAGGGCTCTTTTTGCACCTGTTCCTAAGATGCTTCTGAATTGATCGAAACCGAAAGTCAGTGTGTCGATTAGGCTCGCAGAGGAGGGCCGAGAAACGATGGAAGTCCTTGGGCCTGGCGCTCAACATCCAATGAGTTCCAGACGGTTTGTGAGTAATTTCAAACTCGTGCGCATCTTTTCGGTGGCCAGGGATGGGCGGACCCCGGAAAGATTTCATTTTGACGTTCTGCCAATCGTACCACCTCTGCTTCAGAAACGGAACGGTCTTGAGTAGCTTCACCTCCAGATCCGCAAACATGGGCTCAGGATATCCGGTGTCACTGCCACTGACAAACATGCCCTCTGGACTCTCTCCGGACACGTCTTCGAGCGAATCCTCGGATGTTCTTCCGAGATCGTCGGTGCTCTGCATGGCCGTGCGAGCCCGTTCCCGCCAAGCCCGAAGCTTTTCGACGGTGGCCTTCCGTGACATGAACCTGAAAGGAGAATCTTCCTGGGTCGGAGTAGACTGGATTGGGGGTGTCCCCTGAGCATGGTGTTCCCCTGGACGTTGTGGAGTTGTCTGTGCAAAGGGAGCATGAGAGTTATCGGTGGCGCGCGACGGGGAGTCGGGCTCACCAGCGCCAGCGGCCGTCCGATTTTGAGCGCCCTGCTTGCTAGTGTCGAGAAAGCTCACCGGCCGGCGAGGCTGGACAGGAGGCCCTTTGCGAGCGAAAGGGTTCGGGGTCGGGCTCTGGTGAAATGTCGAGGACCGGGTTGTGAAGCGAAGAGGGTTATGGTGGTGATGTCCCGTCGTCGAGTGATCTGGAGCAGTGTCAGTGACCGACCGTCCTCTGGCTGGACTGATTGGCGGTTGCCGTGGCGGAGGGTTCTGCGGGCCATCGTGGTGCGAGTGGCGACGACGGTCCATGTTGAGGTGTCAGTCGGTGGGCTAGACCACTGCAGCTTATGGGCGAGAATGCAGGGAAACTTAGGCGCTGGTCTGTCTATGGCACGAAAGAGAATCCTCCGAATTCGGGCAGCTTGGCAGACAGTCTGCAAACCGCTTGGGGACTTTTCCCCACGGCGGCCAAGGAATTGATTGCCAGCGCGTTCTCACAGTAATTGCGGAGGACGCTCTCAGGCGGCAAGGGCAGGGCATGCATGATGACGCGCCGCCCTTTTCACGGCTCCATGCGCTTTTCGACACAGACAAAAACCAACTGGAATTTGAACCAAGCCCCAAGATCCAGCTGTCCCGGTTTCTCGCCTCGCCCTTATTATACCAGGACACGTGCTCTCGGATGGAACATGAATGACGACGTGACTCAGGTTTGTGTCTCATGGAGAACATTCCACATTTGCGAATAAGAGAACGTGTCGAAAGCTGCTGTCACTCTCTGCTTGATGAGGTCTGGGCTTCCAGCGTTCAAGAGGAAAGGTGTACGGCATATCGAACGGCCTCAGCATGCAAGATGCGGTTAATTACCATGGGTATTTACAAGTCGAGATGCGACAGAAGAGTGAGCAAACAGAAAAAGTGAACTATAATACATCCATCATCGTTCCGTAGCCCCGCAATCGCGGGCAAATGCACCCCACCCCTTCCATCAATGTCGTTGATCCCAAAAAGAAACAGGAGAGCAAAGACACCATGCGTGCAGACATTGCATTTGTCCTCTGATACTAGTACAAGGAGCATCTGCCTTCCGCGCGTCGTGGGTTCATCGGTGAGCCGAGAGGGCAGTTGTAGGCCCGTGCAAACTCCTCGGAGTTCTGTAAGGGACCTACTACCCTGGCTTGCCCTGGCGCATGTACGTCATTCGCCAACTATAGGTAGCAGAATTTTTCAATTTCTTGACCACTCAAGTGGCAATAGAGCCATCGACGACTTACCGCAGACTTCAAAGCCGCATCATCCTGATTAGTGCACCACGTCTGCCCAAAGCCCAGGAAAAACAGCTGATCCTTCGTCAGGCCGCCAAACCCAGGCTCTTCCTTCTTGCTCAGCTCGTCCTCCGACACTCCTAATGCTTTCGACTCGGCAGTGCGCCACGCCTTGTACGCAACCGCTAGCCCGCCATTATCAGCAATGTTCTCGCCCACCGTCTGGGCGCCGTCAACAGGTCGCGATGAGCCGTCCGATAACGTGACGGTGTAATTTCCGTACTGCTCCCTGAAGCAGGTTGCGCCGTCGGTCAAGGCCGCGAGGGATTTTTTGGTCCACCAGTCTTGGTGTTCGCCATCTTTATTGTACAGCCAGCCAACCGCCCCGTAGCCGTGCGTGATCTCGTGCCCAATGACCATTCCCAGGCTTCCGTAGTTCAGCGACTGCGGGTTTCTAGCCGAATAGAGCGGTCGCTGCAAGAAGGCCGGGTTGATCTGGATCTGCACAGAGTCCAGCAGCGCGAACGCGTTGAATTCCCACGCGTAGCCTTGAAACAATTGCGAACGATCAACAGCTTTGCCCACTTGCTTGATCGAGGGGGCAAAGTAGGCGAAGGTCTGCGCTTGGACGGCGTTCTCAAAGTATCGACCTCTCTCGATCCGCAATGGCGCGTAGTACTGCTCTACAAGGTTGGCGTCCATCAACCAATCGGGGTATCCCACAACCGAGACGGTGTTTTGAAGTTTTTCGCGTGCGTGCTGTTTCGTCTTGTCGTCCATCCAGCTCAACTCGCCCAGCTTCGTTCCAAAGCTGTTCAGAAGCCTGTCCACCATTACCTTTGCGGCGGCCTTTTGCGTGTCTGCAGGTGTAGGGAAAGCGGTTAAGTACACGGATCCGCAAGTCGGAAACACAGCACCGTCGAACTAACCATTGAGCGCATATTTCGCAAACATATGCGCAGACAAGTAGTTCAACTGAACCCCAGTCTCTCGAACGCACTCCGTTTGATGACCAGCCCGCAACAAGTGGCGCTCATCGACGTAATCCGCGTACGAGATCATCCCTCTGATCTCTTTGGCCCAAATGTTGAAGTACTCGGGCGCCAACTTGTTGAAATGTGCGGCCCCCAACTTCCAGAGCAGGTAGTATTGGAAATCTCTTGGGTTGTAGTCCAGGAGGGAGTTGATGGTGTCGATCCAGATGTCTGTTTCGCCATAGAAGTAGATCTGATTGACCCCAGTCATGTTCATTGCATTGATGTAGATCGACCAGTCCTGGTTGGTCCGACGGCTGAGATCCTCTACCGATAGGAATTGGGCCTTCTTGAGGCCGTCCCCCTCGACCTGACCAGCATCCAGCGCTTCGATGAACTTTTTCGCCTCTGTTTCGATGGCTACGATCCACTCTACGATATCATTCAAATTCGCGTCGGGCGGGAGTTGCAAGACACTATTGTCGATGAAAGCGGCCAGGACTTTCTTTACCGTGTGCGGGGCAACCTGATGTGCAGGGGCGGGATTGAACTGGAGGGCCAAGTCTTTTGCCGCGTGTCCTGTGACTTTCGCATAGCTGGTGACAAACAGCGCATACACGCCTGTCTGATGCAGACGACTGAACAGTTGAGGCAGGGATCTGCTGTTCACGGCATAATCCAGGAGATCCTGGGCGTATGGAATGATGGGCGCAAATCCGCGCTCTTTGATGGTGTTGGAGTCGACACATGACGAGTAGTATGTTCTGGCTTTCTCAAACAATGCACTATCCGGTGCTGGCTTTGTGATGCCTTTTTTCTTCCCGGAGAGTGCTCGCTCCATCAGAAGCTGTAAAGAGACGGGTTATGAGAAAGTCGCCCACAGAAGCTTGCGAAGCAATACCCAAAGCTTACCGCACTACTCTTGCCCATCATAGAGAACACCGTAGCGTTCGGTATGCTCTGATACCGCTGCTGAAAGCCCCCGCACGCATGGCGGTAAAAGTCTTGACAAGGATCGACGCTGCTATCACGCCATGTATCTATCCTTTCGTAGCCTAGGACGTGTGGGAAGCCGTCGGGAGTGATGCGTTGCTGGTTTTCCTCATCACGCCGCCCAACGTCGGGTTCGCTCCCTCTCGCCGTCGGGACGCCGATCGCCGTCAGTGCGACAGCAGTAGTAGCTAGGAACAAGTTTAATGCGGAGACCATACTTGGTTTTCTTCGTGAGGATAGCTCGGCCTTTAAACTTGGTTTCTATGAGACAGACAGGCTAGATCCTTTACAAAATCTACACACCAAGTTTGGCTGGGAACAACGAGAGCTATATGCACAGGCTACTACTATATACAAATGAATATGGGTATCCAGCACTTGCGAACGCAGAGCATGGTGCCTTGGGTGAGAGCCAACTGCCGAGGAGGCTGCGTGGAGTGTGTTGGAAAAACCAGCCGCCAATCGGGGTTTGGGTTCCTCTCCCGGAGGCTTCACCTCCCGCCGTGCAAGCAAGCAAGCCTCGAGCGCCTTCCCGTTTTTGACTCTGACTCTGCCGTTTCGCCGTTTGCCTCCGATCCCATCCATGCATGCGATGTCCCAAATAAGCGTGTGCAAGTAACGGCTTAGCCAATGTGGACCGCAGATTAGCCAAAGCAGACCGCAAGTGTGGCGGTGGTGCCTTCCAAACAATTCACAGCGGTCACGTGCGCAGTTTAAATGGAAGGCAAACGCGTACGAAAGTCAAACGTCAGCTGAATCCAAGCGGGCCCTCTCTCAATCCCGCTCCCTTGCCTAAATACAGCAAATCACACGGCCCCACCGAAAACGACATATAAAGAGCAGGCTGCAAGACCTCGGAACACTCAAGCAAGCAAGCTCCAGGGTTCTTCTCAGCGACAAACGAAAACATGAAGATAGACGGCAAAGTCGCAATCGTCACCGGGGCGTCGTCAGGTTTCGGCAGGGCGCTAGGTAGGTTATACCATAGATCACCTGGGGATGATGTCCGCGTGATGGCGGCAAACTGCGTTTACATATACGTGACCTCCCGCTGACCGTCCTTCTTCTTTACAGCATGGAGATTAGCGGGGAAAGGGTTTGTGTCACATTGAACGGTATCGGGAAAAACGATGTCCTCAGGAATTGACACTCGAAAACACTAGAGCGAAAGTCGTTTTGGGCGACATATCAGACGCCGCTGGTACAGCGCTAGAGAAGGAGATCAACGCCAAGTATGTGATCGCCAATCTCAAATTGGCGATTTGCGCATGTAAGGATTCATTGTTAACGATCATCCCGCACCGATAGATATCCCGGACAAGCCATCTTCCGCGTCTGCGACGTAACAAGCAAAGCCGACCAGCAGAGACTCTTCGAAGCCGCTAAAACCAAATGGGGCTCCATCGACATTGTCGTCAACAACGCCGGAATAGGGGAAAGCAAGCAATTCGACAAGGACGAAGAGGACATATGGGTCAAAGTCCTCCGCATCGATTTGGAGGCCGTCATCATCGGTACCCGTCTCGCGCTCACCGAGATGATTGCGGCGGGCAAAGGCGGCGTCATTGTCAACACGGCGTCTCTGGCGGGACTGTACCCGCAATGGAACCAGCCGGTGTATGCCGCCGCGAAGGGCGGGGTGGTGCATTTCACGCGGTCGGTTGGGGAGTTTGCGAAACGCCATGGGATTCATATCAATGCTATCTGCCCGGGTTTCTCGCCTACTGGCATTCTGGTATCTGCCGAGAAGGTGTGCGCAAGTGATGCGAGATTGAACCACTCAGCGCGAGATCAGTCTCCTAACGTACCCCATCATCAACTCCATAGACACTCGGCCCACTATTCATGAAAGCAACTCAAGACCGCGTCCCGGTGGAGCAGGTCATCGACGCATTCATAATGTCCATTGAGGATGACACCCTCTACGGTCAGAGCATTCGGATCACAAAGCAACTGGGCATTGACCTGTACAAGTGGAGATCTGCCAAATCCAGTCTGTAGGGGGAACAAGTTTAGCTTGTCTTTCCATAACGATGATTAGATCCAGCGGCGCTCAAACAGCTCCGTCTGCGACCAACAATAGCCGGATCATTGTAGGTACATAGGGCCTTTGGGTATGGAAATAGGGATGCTCTTGGATATGCATTAGGTCTATGTGTGAGAGAGTCTATGTACTGTAAGGAGTAATGTAGATAAATGCTACTTGACTACGAAACGCATGTGTGCTATCTGTGTGTGCGCCAGAAGTAGCTACCGCCGTGCTCTTTTTTGATCGCTCGATGATGAAGATTGTGGTGTGTTCTTGCGCTAGATATTGGAGTTGAGAGTTAGCCTTAGTCAAAAGATGATGCGCTGTCACCACTTTTGAGCATACCTTGCGACCAGCCTTCCCGGTATCCGACCCCTGCTCATCACTCCGCTCCCTCTTCCGCTCAGTCTTCCGCTCTCCATCATTCGCCCCGTCCCCTTGCGGAGCCTCCACCCGCGGCAACATATTCCCCGGCCTCCCTCTAACCTCGTCTCTTAACCGCGACAGCCGCTCCGTCCAGGACTTAATCATCCGCCGCCCCGCTGCGTCCTCGATCAAATCGCGCCAGGCTCGGTTTCGTTTCAGTGTTTCCAGGTTGCCCAGGATTATCAGAGAGTATTTGGCTCGACTTAGTGCAACGTTCATACGGCGGATGTCGCTGGTGAAACCGACGCTACCGTTTGCTCGTACGCAGGAGAGGATGATGATTTCTTTTTCCTGGCCTTGGAATCTAAAATGATGGTGTCAATATCTGCACAAAAAGCGACTGGATTCCCTGCCGTTCCTCAAGTTCTTCAGCTTACCCGTCCACGGTATTGACATCGATATTCTGCATCATCTCGCGGGTCCAGCCCTTCCTAATAAAGGTGTTCTTGATCTCCCTGACTTGTTTCTTATAAAACGTGATAATGCCTATCTTCCCCGCAAAATTGTAGTCCGGGAACCTCGAACACAGCACCTCCACCAAATCCACAGCCAACCGCGCTTCGTCCAGGTTGAAGTACGAATGACCTCTTCCAGTCTGCTCGCGTCCGTTGTACATGTCGATGAGCTGGTAGGGTGCAAACATCGAGTCCTTGTGCCACGGCGCGGTGCACAATTCCGACATATTGGGCGCGTCTCGCAGCCGTCCCTTGTAGAATCCTTTACTGACGTAGGAAGATATACTGGGATGCATGCGGTACGAAATACTCAAGAGATGCGTACCGTCGGGGTCATTGTTCATGAGCCGCTGGAACAGGGATTGCTCGTACGAGTATGACTGACCGACTTGCGAAAGCACTGTCGGCGGCAGTTGCTGGGGATCTCCGACGAGAATGCACTGCTTTGCGCCGTACCGCAATGGGATCAGGGTGCTAAGTTCCACAGACTGCGCCGCTTCGTCCACAATCACAATGGGAAAGGTGAGCTCATGCAAATCCCCAAGGACATCGGATCCGGCTCCGCTCAGCGTTGACAAGATCACGTCGGCCTCCATCAGGACTTTGAGTTTCTGCTGGCGACGGTACTTGTCTCGCGCTTGAGATGCAGCAGTCTTTTCCTGTCGTTCACGCTGCAACTGTTCATGCAACGCAGCGAGCTTCTTCGTAATGGTCGAGATCTTTGCATCGACTTTACTCGCCTCCTCTGCTTCGATTTCGTTATCGTCCTCGCGAGCACGAAGGCGTTCACGTTCGTCCTTCAATGAGGTGATGGCTGAACGAATGTCCGCCATTCTGTCATCTTCCTGAAAGTTGCCAGTTGTCGCCAGGATGCCCTCCAAGATCGCCTCGAGGGTAACGTCGCGAACAGAGGTATGAATGGATTCAGTTGTTCCAATGCGAACGACCCTCGGCACAAACGTGCCGCCTCTCGGATGCGGGATCCCTTCCTTCAATCGGCGCACAATCTCGTCAATTGCCGCGTTACTCGGAGCGCAACATAGCAGTCGATGCTTGCTGTTAGGCGTCACAGCCTGGCCAGGCACCTTGACAACGTTCTCTCGTGTCAGCAAAGCGCTAATCAAGCCAACAATAGTTTTCGTCTTTCCCGTTCCCGGTGGGCCTTGGATAAGGGTGAACCCCGTTGACTGAGCGACAGCCCCCGAGATCGCCGCAGCCTGAGGCTCGTTCAGGTTATACCGTGTCATCATGAGGCGTACGTCGTCCGGTCTTGGATGGAACTTCCGAATCTTGCCAGGCCGCAAGACATCCTTGAGTAAGCACAGCGATGGTAAAGCGCACAGGGTCCCGTACTCCCGGATGGATGTTGTCATGGAGAAAGTTGAAAGGAGGGAAAACTTGGCGCCGGCTCGTAACCGAGGGGCAAGAGCCGCATTCACGCTCATATAGACCCTGGCTATCACAATGCCCTCATCGGCTTTGAATGACACGTTTGTGATTTTCGCCAGGAAAGATTTCCCGCTAGTACTCTCATGTCCCTGGCGCGGAACCTCCACGTCCGTCACGTTCAGGACGTCGTGTTCGGAATACCCTCGTAACCGCATTTGCTTCCCTGGGGCAGTGAAGGTGAGATCGTGGAAAACATCCACCGTCTGCACATTTGTCAACTTGAACGTGAGAGCGTCTCCTCGGTCAACCTCGTACTTGCTCTTCTGCATTTGCTCCCAGCATTCAAGCACTAATAATGGCTCGAAAACAGAGACATACTCTTGCTCGCCGCCTTGAAACGTGTTCGGAATGTTCTTGAGGTCGAAAGGGAAGTCTGGCGGCTTTTCGCCTTCCATGTCATAGTTCCATTGTAGAACAATCTTGTTTAGCGTCGAGAGTTGCCGAAGGGCCTGTGGACGATTATCTCCTGGCGTGCGAATAGGAATCCCGCGGGAGACCGGTTTTGCTGCGACGCCTTGTCGATTGATCATCTGTGTAGTTGACTTCGGCCGAGACGCGGATGTGCCGAAACTGTCTGGATCGCGAGCAATGATCGTGACCTCGGGCATATTCCGCTGATAGGGCAGATTAAGAGGGCGGTTCGGCGGAGGTACAACAACACCCGAGGGAGGAGTTCCCTCTTTCTTCGACTTGCGGGCAGACGGCGCCTTATCCTCTTTCATTTCTTCCCGTAGCTGCTGCAGTTTCGAAAGCTTCTTGGGCTCCGCAGGCTGTAATGGTTTCCTACCGAAAGCATATCCTTGTCCTCTTGATGCCGTGGGTGTTGGTTTTGCCGCAATGTCTCCGGCAAGCTTCTCCCAAGCGGATCGTACGTCTTCATCGCGCGAGACAAACGTGTCTAGCGAGCTCTGGCCATTCCGTCGTTTGTCTACATTCCGCTCCGGGGGCTTCGGCGTGAAGCGCGCGGCATTCGGGACAGTCTTGAACGAGCTATCAACTGCTTGCGATGGGGCGCCGGAACTAGGTACTGGTATGTCTTCCACCGTAATCACTGACGTCGACTTTTCGACCGTGATCTGCCCCGCGCGAGGACTTTCGAAGTTGAGCGCCTGTTGACGTGGCGCCTTGGACGCGCTACGTACGATGACATCAACATCATCCGGTCCATCGGATGTCAAATCCACCACTGACGGCACCGGGGTTTTCGATTTGGCAGCCTCGGAAGCGCGAGCAATTCGCAAAGCTTCAGACTCGGTGAGGGGTAATCGGGACTTTAACGACTCTATTTGACTTGATGAGAGGGCTCCTTGATCTTCGTCTGTGAGCTTCCTGAAGACCTGTGCCACATCGGGCGGAATCGGCTGGTGCAGGTTCCGTTGAAGACTCAGGAGCTCTATGATGAGCGTAAACGCGACTTCCTGCGTTATCTCGTCTGCGCCGTACAAGCAGGTCACGAAACTTTTGGCGCTGACTGCAAAAAAGTTTGACCGTATTTTGGGGAAATCAGTAGCTCGCGGCGGTGGTAAAATTCCCAGTGCAAGCTCCGCGGCAGCCAGAGCCCCTTTACGGACTTTCTGAATTGTCAAGGCTCCCACACCATTTCTCGCCCAGGAGTTGGTGTTGTGAGCTGTACAGTGAATAACAGTGAAGACTGTTTGCCAGAGCTCCCAGTCCACGGACCCCAAGTCTACCATCTCGCACAAGATGCGGGACAAATAGCTCATCGCTTCCTCCACAAATGCACTGTTGCTAGCATTCTCTCCACCCATGGCTGCTGTTAGAATAAGTAGATCCAGTAGCTGTTTCACCGTCTGTGCGTCGAGCGGTCCTCCTATTGTGAGAAGGGAGTTCATGGCATTGCATGCGGTCTTCGACGATACCACGGAACTCTTGCGCAGGAAATGTTTCCGGAGAATGTCGCTTACAGTCGTAAATAGTGCGGCACGGGCGGAATTTTGCCATTGCTTCGACTCCTCCAAGACATAGGAAAGAACAAAGTCGCTATTTGAACCCGTCGCGTCGCCAAAAGCACATGATTCGATCCAGAAGCTGAGCCACCGGAAACTAAACTCAGCCGGCCAAGACCCTCCTTTGCGGCTGCGTTGTCTGAACGATTCGTTTTCGAAGATCCCCCGGATGACCAGATTTCTCTGCTCGAGCGGTAGGGAGTTCAAAATGGTTGCAGGGCGCGCTTCAACCAGATCAGCGAACATGGTCAGCACAGGCCAGAAATCCTCCTTCGCCACCGGCAGCCGTGTTCGGACAAGTATGCCGATATCCACCCCAGCCCTCGTCTCAATAGTCCGGAGAACCTCATATTCTGATGCTGAATGCCAATCTATGGCGCTAAGAATAGCGGAGAACCCCATCCACAAAGCAGCTTGATCATCCGTGTAATTGAAGGTCGCTGTGTGATGCTCATCCGTGTGGGGGTTCAAACGGATAAGATAATCGGTCAAAGTCGAAAGAGTAACTTCATCCGCTTCGGTTAGGTAAAGTCGGGCTTTCGCAGTCTGCAAAGAGCGCTGAGCCCATCCCCGGAGGTCAGCATTGGCATGTCCGACAACCACTAAAGCACCCGCGTCCACTGTGGAGGTATTTATTTGCAGCGGCGAGGTGTGTTTTCCTGAAATCAAGGTCAGAAGGACTTTCACCCAAAGCGCGTCCAAAGTGCGATTCTGCAGAGATTCTGGCATTGTACAAGTGGTTAGCCGAGCAATAATACGTCGAAGTACACAGAATGTCATTCACACCGCTCACCTGGAAATCTAAAAATCTCTTCGAGGACACAGAAGATCTTCTTCCGCAACTTTCTGAACTCGGGCGCCGTAATGGTGTCCGATTTCAAGTCATACTGCGTTTGGAAGGACGAGAGCGTAGCATGTTGTCGCTCAAGGTCCCAATTATGTATCCTATCGAACAGCTGCCGCAGCGTTTCTGGGGTAAACTGGGAACCCCATCGCGAGCGAAACTGCAGCTTTGCTTGGTAGTAGTAATGTAAACAATCGAAGCAAGTGGATAACTGTCGCCCTAGCTTGTTCAGAATGCTCTTCACGGGTTCTTCGATGAAATTCTTCGGGGAGAAGTAGCCCAGAAGTTCCACATGGATATCCGGGGTTTCAGGATGATGTAAAATACACTCGCTTTCCGGGGTCTTGGCAAAGAAGTTTATGGCTTCTCGAAGGAATGCGTCCCGGGCATCACGATCTACATTTGAAACGATGATATGAGCATGAGCATGGAAATTGGGCATGAGTTCTTTGCGCGACGGCGCCGGCGCAGGAGAGAAGGCCTTGGGACATACCGTTGGAATTATTGAGGTGACGGCGATGGGCTTCCAGTACCAGTTCAGCACTCATCGCCAAAGGAACTTTAAGACCGTGTTATTGCTCCAGTCGCCGCAAAGGCGCCAGGCGTCGTGAAAGTACTGTACCCCGTTTACACGAGGTTCAATAGTCCAATAGGTAGTGTCCAGCAAAAGCTCAACTGAACTGGGTGCTTCGTTACCGCCGACCTATAGAACCCCGAGCGAAATGACGGATATGAGCTGTACAAGTCGGAGCTTGGAAGTAGCACTTCTCGCGGTGGCAGCTGAGAAGAAGAGCGGGTAATTTGGGACGGACGAGCATTGTCGTCCACTGGGAGGTGGGAAAATAGTGAGGGTGGAGCCAACCTTCAACTTGTCCGGAAGACGACGCGCTCGAATTCAACCGCGACTGACAGGGCACTCAGGGAGCTTAGAGAGCTCGAAGTGACAGCACTGCTTGCGCTTTCCTCTCTTTCCTTGCCCGACTGACGTCGATTCCCGACCTTGTGCCTCAAAGCTCAGCATCTAGGCGCCATAGATGGCTTGAACCGTGCAATGAAGGTATTCACGGGCTGTACAAGGAGTGTTGAAAGGCTTTTCACACCTCGACGGGCACCAGCACTGCTCTATGCACGAATGCGGCCCTGCCCTTTTTCGCTCACGAAAAGAAACCTACCCTCCTCCCTGGTTTATCTTCTGCTTGTTCCTTTTATTTTGTGCATTAATGACATCCGATTTCACTCCACTCCTCGGTCATTGGGGGTCTAGGTTCACGGGAGAAACTTCAAGAAGTAGTGCTAACACATTGGTCTCCACTGTTGCGACTATCGATGCGCTTAGCTTGTCAAAACAATTGACCTGTCTCAGGCTTGCATCCTCCACCGCATAAGTGACTCGCAAAACATCCCGCACGTCTTTAGGACCTCCTGAGAGATATTTTTCGATGATACCCTTCGCAGCTGTTTCCAACCGATCCTGCGCCAGATCCTCGTCGTCATCACACCTGGCAGAGTATCGGCAGCGCCTTATCAGATCCTGGCGATCCATCTTTGAGAGCAGTTTGGATGCACGCACGCACCTGACGGACGCTCGGTAAACGACTGCTCGCTTCACTATCTCATCATAGCATTCGATCAATTCTATCGCCTTAAACTTCCTCGCTCCCTCATCCGTACGCGCCCACGCCTTGAACTTCTTTTTCGATTCGTTGTCCGCATCTAAGGCAAGCAGTTTGGCAGGCTTGTTTGCACGAAAATCAGGAAGTGGGTGCGATGTCGATTGCGATGTTGCTTGCTCTGGGGCCACTTTCTTCGCTGCCTCGGAAGCTCCAACACCACCTTTGCCTCGATTTTTGCTCCCTTTGGCCCCCATGATTGAGCGGGTTGAGCGGGTGTGTCGAGGGTCGAAGGTCAAGACTGTCAAAGACTGTCAAGACGAAAGTTGAGCTCAAATTCGAAAGTGTGGCAAAAATTGCGCTTCCCCTACGTAATTAGGGAAACGGCGCACGACTTGGCTCTTCCGTCGTTCGCCAGAATCACACCAAGGGAACGCTTATATATCTTCCCATTACTATTATGGCACCTCACAAAGGGTGTGGTGGTATGGTGACCCAGCAGCAACGACGCAAACGAGAAGCTCCTCATGCCATTGTTCACAGCATGGCTATCGAAATTCAGCATACCCACACCAGTGACACCACCGTGCCAGGCCAGAGCTATGAGCAACTTACGATAGAGGAGTTTTCTGCGGTGGCCACTGTCAGCTCACAGATGATTGCTCAAGCCAATTCCCACTTTGCTGCATTACATACATCTGCGAACGGTTGACGAGAACCTATCCCCTTCTCACATCAGGAGAATGTGGGTCCTGATAGCCTCTCTACTTCACGAGTCGAACATTGCGCAAACCGCTTCCAGCAACATTCGCAACGGGGATATTGGAGGCAACGCTGCTTACCTCACAAACAAACATACAGTATCTAACAGTGGAATTACACCCTTCTGGTACTGGAATTGCATTCTGATAACACTGGCGCTTGGCACAGTTGAATCTTGCTTTCCCTGCAGACGTGCAGGTCGCGAGTTCAATTCCCACTCCCAGACAACTTCTTTGTTCAGATTATGACGCCTGTCGCGCTAGGCGCGGCGTGGTAACTACTGTCGCGCTCGGCGCTTCGTGGGTGTTAACTGAACAGCACAACTACAATAAGTACCGCAACAGAAAGCTACCTTAACCAATCCTCAAGTCCTTACCCGCTCTCAGCTCGAGCCACGACCACTTTTGCTCTGCCTCACGCTCCTTTTCGTTTTATTCCTCCCATTTCACACAGCCCAATCTCGGCGCTCTGGGGAAACCACCAACCTCGCAGTTTTCGTTTCCTGGCGCTTCTTTGCGGTCATCAACCTCCCAAGAAGCTTACTCCTCACTCACAACGGCGTGGGCACAAAACAAGAAGGTAATTCAATCTCATTTCCCGCAGCGTCGAGGAAAATATTGTCACCAACTCTCCCCAGAACCAGTTCAGTTCAGTTCACAATGGTTCAGTTCAGTTCACAATGGTCAAGCCTTGCCCTAAAACCCGAGCCGTCCAGCGGCGACGGTTGGGTTCTAGACGCAGCACCCGCAGCGGCACTCGGAGGCGCAACAACGCAGCTTCCTCGAACGGTAACGGCGGTGCTGGTGCGAACGGGGATGGCAGCGGTGGCACTGGCGATGGCAGCGGTGCGAACGGCGATGGCAGTGACAATGGTGGGAATGGCAACGGCGAGAGTGACAACGGCAAGAGTGGCAACGGCAGTGACAATGGTGGAAACGGCAACGTCAGCGACAATGGTGGGAATGGCAACGGCGAGAGTGACAACGGCGAGAGTGGCAACGGCAGTGACAATGGTGGGAACGGCAACGGCGGTGATGGCAACGCCGAGAGTGGCAACGGCAGTGACAACGGTGCGAACGGCAACGGCAGCGACAATGGTGGGAATGGCAACGGCGAGAGTGGCAACGGCGGCGGGGGCGACAATGGTGCGAACGGCGGCTCCAACGGCGGCTCGAACTTCAGCATCGGCGGGTGCATCAACATGTCCATCTCCAACACCCTCAACGAAGACAACATCCGTAACCGCCTTCGCCCGCGTAGAGTCCGAGTTCAGTATACGAAGGAGGTAGAAATCAACCTGGACCTTGATCTTGAAGAAGCCGACTTTGAGTACGGTTATGAAGACGGCAATGACGACGACAGCGACTACGAAGGCTGTGGAGGGAAAAGGCAGAGGGGAACCGTGAAGGAAAAAGAAAAGACTTCAAAGCGCAGAAGGATCCCTTCTGGCCCCGCTCTCCCAGAGATGGAAGCCAGTGTTCTCTTTTCCCGTAAAATGCGCGAATACCTCTGCAACGAGGTAGTGCGTGCCGTTGAGAACAGTGTTTGGATCTTTGACGACGTAGCGTTGAGTGAGCTGGCTGCGAAACCGAAGAATACTGACTGCACCAACTCCAGCATTGAGGGTTTGGACGATATCGAAAGTGGGAGGGAGCCGTCAATTGGAGTGGACAAGGATGGGGATGCGTTGTTCATGTTCCTCCCTGGAATCATTGGGCCGGTGTGGCAGGCGGGGTTCGTGAAGGCAGCCGGAAAGGTGGTGACGAATAGGAAGGAGGAGGATTTTGAGAAGCTGTCAAAGGATGTTCGACACCGCCACCAGCCAACGGATGCCAACGATGTCACCAGCAAAAAAGCCACCATGCACATCGGAGTGTGGCAGACTATGTATGGGGACGTTATGACTGCACGCGCATGCACCGAATCGGGCCCTGCCCAGTGCGACACCTATCACTTCATCCGTGATCCCAGTGTTGAACGCATCAACTGGCTCCTCGGCGAGGCTCTTCGCCTTACCGACCCCATCGCCCATTACCGTCTCACTCAATCGATGACCCACCTCAGGCCGGATTTGAAGCACTTCTGGGCTGGTACTAGGGCCCCCCGAGTCAATGCCATGAATGTTTTGGTAGCGAACCACCAAATTGCACCTCATCACGATAAACGCGACATTCCTTACGGCTGGGCACCGATGTGCTGCTTTGGGACTTTTACGAAAGGTGGAAGATTTTGCCTTCCCGATCTCGGTATCATGCTGCCTTACCGCCCCGGAGATATTTTGCTCATTTGCAGTCAGGCTCTGGAACACTTTGTGGAGACGTGGGCTTCAGACCCTGCCGACCCACGGTATGCATTCTTGCAGTTTACTCATCAAAAGGTGTTTGAGCTTGGGTTGGAAGGTTTCAAGAACTTTCACAACAACCGGGAGTTGGACGGAGAGCTCGCTGCGGAGATGGTCAGCAGTCGCTGGCCTCACCTGCCCCCCATGTGCAAAGGGAATGGTCATCATATGAAGATGGACGAAGAGGAGCTGGAGTTGCAGAAGGAGGAGGGCAAGAAGTGGTTGGCGGATAAGGAAAGGAAGGGCCGGAAGAAGATGAAGCTGGAGGTGAATACCGAGATGAAGACGGAGGAGATGATGAAGTTGGAGTACCACTAGGATCGCGTTGCATCACACTGTATGTAGAAAGTAGCAGTGTTTATATATATAGTAGCGTGTACTAGGAGCGGTGTATATTTTACAATCACACTTTACATTTCACGATCACGGTGGAAGTAGGAAGCGTATGATCTTGGTGAGAAGGGTTTGTCCCAAATTGTCCTTCCCCCACGCGTCAGATGGACATAGCAAATAAGTGGCAGTCATCGGTCACCGTCCAGGTCCTGCCCAGGTCCGGGTTGACGTTAGGGTACCTCTATCCAAGATCGGTTTGTCGGTGGCCGTAGGAGGTTGTTGAGCCATCGATTCTTGAACCCAGCCTACTCCGATGGAATGGTTGTTGTCCCTGGGTGATATGTTGGGTAAGCCAGCAACCGCTGGAGTAGATATACCACACCAACTTGGCCCAGGATATACGACCTTCCGCCGGCAATGCCATGACGCTCCTCTCTCTCCAGTGGAGCTCCTCTCCAGTGGAACGCTCAAATTCCACCTCAAACGTCCCCTGAACCGCCACCAAGCCGACTCTACCGTCCCAACCAGTGGCACTGGCTCTCCCGTTGCCCACCTAACCTCGCCACTGCCTTGGCCGTCCTTCGACAACAATTCGAATGACCGACAACAGTAGAAGAATCCTCAACGGGCGACGCCGGTCTCAACATGCGATGCCGGTCTCAACATGCGACGCTGATGCCAACACATCCTTCAGTAGCGCGCGATGGACCCACTCAGGATGACTCCAGCGCGCCGGCGCCTCCAAACCTACGACGAATTTCTATGCGAGACAGTAACAAACGCAGCTTCACCGACAAATAAGCAACCTCCCATGGTAGTCCATTGTACTCCGTTCCCACCGTTGGAGGAGCAGGCAGTCGAAGAGCAGTGCCACCCAGATACCTGCCGTGTCCAGAGTTGCCGTGCGTGAGGAGTGTTAAGGAATGCTCGCGCCCTGGCTTGCGCCGGGTTATCGCGCGCCGCTCCAGAAAGGACTCCACACTACGGGACACGTGTGTTTGAATAACTCCTCCGTAACAGATGCATACTTCTGTATGCATGCATACGCACCCGTTTATGCATGCATATGGTCCATCACGTATTGCAGATCCATAATGCATATATACTGATGCCCATTCCCCATTCCCCATTCCGTGCACATGCATTCCCCGTTCCCCAACACAATCACGAAACAAGGAAAATGCTGGTCATAAGTTCGCGTACGTTGATGACTCAATGACTTGATTATTGACGTGCCTTCTGCAGCATTTATCGATCCGCAATTAGGCATCCGCAATACGGCTCGTCTTCTGAAACATCGATATCACAATCACGTCCTTGCCCGCCATTTTCCTCTGGCACTGCCGCACCTTCCTACCGTTCTTCCGCTGTCACCGGGTCTTTCCCTCATCCGGCACATCAGCAGCAGCTACCCAGGAACCAACCCTTCCCACAAACCATATTGTGCTGCTGTCATGGATACCATGGAACCAATTTCAATGATTCCAATTCCTGATGGTATGTGCCGAAAGACATTACTAGTATTAGAAACTGTCGAATTCCGGGTACAGTAAGCCAATTATTGACGTGCCTTCTGCAGGATTCTTCAACGCAATTAGGCGAGCAGTCCGCTCAGCACTTGCTTCGGTTTTCTGCGTCTCCAGTGCATTGAAGCAACGCAGCACCGCTGAATCGCCTGAATGCACACCTGAATCGCCTGAATGCACCGCTGAATCGCCTGAATGTACCGCTGAATCGCCGGAATCGCCTTAACCGCCCGTCATGCTTGGCAACAAGCAATTCAAACGCAAAGCTGTTCCGCAACGTACCCGACTCTACGGTCAATCTACTCCTACTTCCACGGCCGGCCAGAAGCTTACCCATGCCGACTTGAAATGGCTCCTGCAGGAACAACAGGACAACTTTAGAGCCATGTTCAACAACTTTCTATCACCGCTTGGTGATACCATCGGTCCGCTCGTGAGGGATATCATTCAGGATGAACTACGTTCGCAATTGGGCAGGACTCCGGTGAACCTCACCAACATGACAGCCAGCACTTCAGCCACTTCAGCGGCACGACCAAATGCAACCAAACCCGCCAGGAGAGTACCGAAGGGGCTCAATCAGTTAGTCAAAGAGTTCCTCAATGGCTTTATACCTGGGTATTCAAGTCTCACACCCGCCGACGTGACCAAGTATGGCGCTGGAAACACGGGGCCAGGCAGCTGCTGACCGACCTCACCAATCCTCATCGAACAAGGCCACAGTTCGCGGCAGTAGAGGACGCCATCTCGAGCTTCATGGACTATGAGCCCAGATACGCCAGCATAGTCTCGCCAAAGTGACTGACGAACTCCTCTTGGTTGTCCGCAACCGACTCACCAATATGAAAGCTGGGCGAATCAAGGTGAAGTCTTAGTCAAGGGGACGATGTTGATGACGAGTAGGCCTCATCTACACACAGGTATGTAGTAAGACAGACGACTCCGTTCTCAGCTTTTATTCACTGGTGTGATTCATCTAGGCAATTGGTGCGGGAATCGTATATACCCCATCGTGAAAACTTCTATCCCCAGTACTACCACAAGGTTGGAGGTCCATGGAATCTACGTCAAGTGGCTCGGAGGCGTCGATGTCAAACAAGTCAACGTCTACAAGCTAAGGCATTCCACGTTATTGACCGGATGCGTTTTTAGATGTATATGAACATGTACATAGCAATTGTGGGTCTTTACAATGTTTTGTTTGCTCATGCATACGTATGCATATGGGAACGTTTATGCATATATTGAGGCTGTTACTCACGCATGTACTGTATATATATACCACGCACTTCGGCTAGGGTGCAGTTTAGTGGGGTTTGCCCCCGTTGTTATGAATGGGCGGAGCCGATGGAAATAGAGGCGACTTGTGGTGCAGGTTGTTGACAGGTAATGGTATTCAGACCGAAACAAGAACTAGAACAAGACTAGGAAGAACTGGTGTTGATCTGCTGGGGATCAGGAAGTGGGGAGCTCAGGGGAGGCGGCTATTTATGTTTTTCTGGGAAGGCTGGGGAAGCGTGGGGAAGCAGAAGGGTACGGAATGAGAGGGAAGCCAAGAGAAGCGCCAAGGGTGGGGAAGCATAGAAACAGAAGACTGGGGATGGGGTGGCTACGCTGAGGCTGTGGGCGGGTACGTGGGGAAGTATGGAGAAGGGTTTGTAAGCGCCGAGTGTTGGGAGGTGTGGCTACGTGCGGCTGCGTGGAGAAATTAAGGCAGTGGCAGGTGTGGGGTAGCGCGGCTGCGTGCGGCTGCGAGGTTTGGCAGATGTCAGGTTTTGACAGGGAATTGACATTGACTGACTGTTGGGATGCTGTCATGAGGTAAGCGCATGGTATGGACGCGTCGTCCATAACATCACCCCCTCCTTTAGCCACGGCGTCCGGATGTTGTTTTGATGTTGGCAGGCTTTGGTCGGGGTTTGTCGGGGTACTTTTGGTGGAACTGGGCAACAAGCTCTTGACATCGGGCAAGGTGATCCACTGGCTCCCATGTGTTCTCCGAGCTTGGCCAACCCTGCCACTTGATGAGGTACTGAAGGTGCGTGCGTCGAATACGGGAGTCAAGAATGTCTTCCACAATCCATTCCTCCTGTCCTTCGACTTCTTCTGGTGGGGTGGGTTCTGGCTCAGTTCGCTCCGGAATGGTGAAACGTGGTTCAAGAAGGGAGACATGGAAGACGTTGTGAATTTTGTAGGATGGGGGAAGCTTGAGGCGATATGTGACCGAGTTGATCTTCTCTGTGATTGTGAAGGGGCCAATCTTACGGTGATCAAGTTTCTGGGAAGGTCGGAGAGTCTTGAGATTCCGCTGTAAGAGCCAGACACTGTCCCCGGGTTTCATGTCTGGGCCAGGTGCCCTCTTAGCATCGGCAAAGCGCTTCATGCGTCCTTGGGCCTCCTTGAGCTCAGTGGCAAGCTGTTCATGGATTTCCTTGAGATGGTTGGCACGAGCTTCGGCTGCAGGATTAAGGGATTCGGTTGTGGTGGCGGAAGCCAGACTGAATCGAGGATGGAACCCATAGTTGGCGTAGAAGGGGGTTGTCTGGGTGGCGGAGTGGATGGTGTTATTGTAAGAGAACTCAGCAGAAGACAAGAGTTCCTTCCAGTTATCTTGTTGATAGTTGCAAAAGCAGCGAAGGTATTGCTCAAGAATCTGATTGGTCCGCTCGGTTTGTCCATCGCTCTGGGGATGGAACGCCGATGAGAGGTTGACCTTGGTTCCCAGGAGAGCGAAGAGATGTTTCCAGAAGTGGGAGTTGAACTGTGGGCCACGGTCAGATACAATATCGTCGGGGAGTCCATGGAGCCGGATGACATGGTGCCAGATCAGATCTGCAGTTGACTCAGCGGTGGCAGTTTTCCTGCACGGTACAAAGTGCGCCATCTTGGTGAACCGGCAGATGACAACGAGCACAGAATCAACCCCATCACTGGCGGGTAGATCCGTGATGAAGTCCATGGAAATTGACCCCCAGGGGCGGTCAGGGACCTGCAGGGGTTGGAGGAGACCGTAGGGCTTGTGTCTGCTGGTCTTGGCTTGAGCACATACGTCGCAGGACCTGATGTAGGACTTGACAAAACGCCACTGGCTAGGCCACCAGTAGTTGCGTGAGATGAGCTCCAGGGTCTTTGACATGCCGTAGTGTCCTGCCAAACGCGTGTCATGCATGTCCCGGCAGATCTCAGCACGGAGCTTGTTGGTGGGGACGTAGACAAGGTTGTCGTACAGCAGAACCCCATTTTCCTCGGAGAATCGCTTTATCCGTTCTTGGTCTTCTTGAGATTGCTGGGCAGTGGGGGCCCTAAGCTGTCGCCGGATGGTTTGCGCAAACACATCGGATGCCAGGGCAGCTTTGATTTGGTCAAGGAGCAAGGAGTCCAGTGGGGTCAGATAAGTGGCGGCCAGGCGGAGATGGTCAGGGGTGAGGATCGTGGTTTCCTGGGAGCGGAATGCTTCTTCCCCCTTCCCTTAGCTCGTATTCAGAGCGACGAGAGAGGGCGTCAGCTTGGTGTTGCTGGGTACCAGGGCGGTATGTGATGACAAAGTCGAAATCAGCAAAGAAGATTGACCAGCGGGATTGGCGGCGGTTGAGGGTACGGGAAGTCATGAAGTACTGGAGGTTCTTGTGGTCACAGTAAACGATGACCTTGTGGCGGGCACCAATGAGGTGGTGTCGCCATTGAGCAAATGAGTCTTGGATAGCCAGGAGTTCCTTGTCGTAGATCTCATAGTTGATTTCCTCAGGAGTAAATTTGCGGGAGTGAAAGGCTACGGGGTGGAGTTGATCTGTGTCATCGGGTTGAAGGAGGACGGCGCCAAGGGCAAAGTCGGAGGCATCGGATTCGACAATGAAAGGCTTGTCAGGGTCGGGGTGAGTCAGGATAGGTGCGGAGGTGAAGGCTTTCTTGAGGGTTTCAAAAGCTAGGTGTGCAGCGTGGGTCCATTTGAATGGCAAGTCTTTGCGAGTGAGCGTGGTCAGGGGTGCAACGATCGCAGAGTACCCTTTGATGAATCGCCGGTAGAAGTTGGCAAAACCAAGGAAGCGCTGGATGCCTTTGACATTCGTCGGGGGTTCCCATTCGGTAATGGCAGCCGTCTTCTTTGGGTCCATGGAAATGCCTTGCTGGGAGATGATAAACCCCAGGAACTCAACAGAGTCACGGTTGAATTCGCATTTTTCCGGTTTCGCATACAGCCCGTGCTGGCGGAGTCGTGAGAGCACCTCTCGGACGTGGTTGGGGTGGTCTTCTGGGTTTTTTGAGAAGATCAGAATGTCGTCAAGGTAGACCACAACAAAAACGTCGAGAATGTCACGGAAGATTTCGTTCATGAGGTGTTGGAATACTCCAGGGGCATTGGTGAGCCCAAACGGCATGACATTATACTCGAATAGGCCGTAGCGACATCGGAACGCTGTCTTCCATTCATCCCCTGGCCGGATCCGAAGAAGGTTGTAGGCTCCCCGGAGGTCAATCTTGGTGAGCCGGCGTGCCCCTCGAAGACGATCCATGATGCTGTTAATCAAGGGCAAGGGATAGCGATTCTTGATGGTGATATTGTTGAGTCCACGATAGTCGACGCACAGACGGAGGGAACCGTCCTTTTTCTTGACAAAGAGGACTGGGGCACCGGCGGGAGACTTGGAGTGCTTGATGAACCCCTTAGCTAGGTTCTCTTCAAGGTAGTCACAGAGTGCCTGCATTTCAGGCTCGCTGAGACTATAGATCGGGCCGAACGGTGGCTGTTTGCCCTCTTCTAAGTCGATGGGACAGTCGTAGGGTCGGTGCTCTGGGAGGGTATCCGCGTTCTTCTTGGCGAAGACGTCCGCAAAATCTTGGTATTCTTCAGGAATGATGGCCTTCGGATCTTTTGGAGGAGTGGTCGCCAGGGCTTGGGAATCTGACCTGGTCGGATTGGCGTAGGCAATGAATGCCTGGTCCTGCCTTGCCGCCACACGGAAAGCTGGGGCGCTGATAAACGATACGTGGATCGGTGTGGGTGCTGGGTCCAGTGTGTTGGGTGTCTGGGCTAGGGAGACTGAAATCTCGTCTTGATGGATACGGATCAGAGGTTCAGGGGTTTTTGAGGGCTTCGGGCTAGGTTCTGTTGGCAGGGCATCCCAGGAGGCGTATTGTCCAAAACCGCAATGGCAGCGGACGCAAAGAGTGCGAGTCTTCCAGTGTAGCTCCACATCATGGAGCTCAAACCAGGGAAGCCCCAGGATGATTGGCGCATGCGGGGAACATGTCACATGGAATACCACCTCCTCAAAATGGTCGTTGACCCACATGCCCAAAGGTTGGGTGTGATGGGTAATGGAGCCCGCATGGCTGGGACGTCCGTCAACCAGTTCAAGCGCAATGGGGTCCTCCTTCTTGACAAGTGGGATGCGGTGCTTGCGGGCATAACTTTCGTTGATGAAGCACGACATCGCACCGGTGTCGAGTAGTGCTGAAAGCTGAACTGGAGCTCGCTGGGCCGATATCTGCAGGGTAACAGGGTACTCGAATGGTGAGGATGGGCCCAAAGTCCGCATGGGTGAGGGTATCTCAGATAGGAGATTGACATTGTTGGTGGTCAGGAGAAGGGTGTTGCTGGAGATGCCAGGATCGAAGCAAGGTTTTGTGGCTTCTCCCTTGGCAGTACTTGCGTGGTGAGAAGGCCCAGGACAGGTGTTGCCCAGCTGCTCGGCCTTTACTGCAGCTGGACTTGGGCAAAATCCTGGATGGGTGCAGGTTCCTTAACCGCGACATTCGCCGAGCGTATCTTGTTCGGGCAGAGTTTGGCTATGTGGCCGGGTTTACCACAGTAGAGGCAAAGTTTGTTTGTGATGCGGTGTTGGCGCTCTAGCGGTGTGAGGGGTCCTCGCGGACGAGCAGCGTCAATGATCATAGGGTTGTCTGGGCGGTTGTCGGGGCTCATGAGGGTGGGGCTAGTGGTAACTGGCACATATGGCTGTCGGTTCCTGCTTCGCTCTAGACGGCGCTCAAACAATCGGTTGTCACATTGGATGGCCTGTTCCATCACGGTGTCGATTGAGGCGGTAGGGGGCATCGTGAGCATTAAGTCCTTGACGTCTTCTTTGAGGCCGCGACGGAAGGTGGCAATCAATGCCTGGTCATTCCACGACACATCGCATTGCAGCTGTCGGAATTCAGCTACATACTCTGTTGCTGCACGGGTTTGTCGAAGGTTCTGGAGCTTGTTTTCGGATGTGCGGATCCTGTCGCTGTCTCCAAAGACTGCTTGCATTTGCTGGATGAAATCATCCAGGTTCGTAAGGGAATGATGGTCTTGTTTGACAAGGGGCGCCAGCCAGGCCTGGGCGGTGCCAGTGAGGTAGGTGCCAATAGTTCGTATCTTGGTCTGATCGTTGGGGTAGCGCCTGGGTTGGAGGGCGAACATGAGCCGGATCTGGTTGAGGAACCCACGGAACTTGCTTTGGGTGCCATCAAATTTGTCTGGGAGACTGATTTTGGGTTCGGGGGCGTGGGTGGCAGGGGCAGTGGTCTGGGTTTGCGCTAGTTCGGCTTGTAGGGTGGTATTCTGTGCTCGAAGTTCGTCAATCGCATTGCACATGGCTTGCCAGGCTTCGGCCGTGAGGGGAAGGGCGTCGGACATGGTGATTTGGCGTGGAGGTACAGCGGCTGGGGGTTGTTGAGCAGATCAAACTGTTATGAATGGGCGGAGCCGATGGAAATAGAGGCGACTTGTGGTGCAGGTTGTTGACAGGTAATGGTATTCAGACCGAAACAAGAACTAGAACAAGACTAGGAAGAACTGGTGTTGATCTGCTGGGGATCAGGAAGTGGGGAGCTCAGGGGAGGCGGCTATTTATGTTTTTCTGGGAAGGCTGGGGAAGCGTGGGGAAGCAGAAGGGTACGGAATGAGAGGGAAGCCAAGAGAAGCGCCAAGGGTGGGGAAGCATAGAAACAGAAGACTGGGGATGGGGTGGCTACGCTGAGGCTGTGGGCGGGTACGTGGGGAAGTATGGAGAAGGGTTTGTAAGCGCCGAGTGTTGGGAGGTGTGGCTACGTGCGGCTGCGTGGAGAAATTAAGGCAGTGGCAGGTGTGGGGTAGCGCGGCTGCGTGCGGCTGCGAGGTTTGGCAGATGTCAGGTTTTGACAGGGAATTGACATTGACTGACTGTTGGGATGCTGTCATGAGGTAAGCGCATGGTATGGATGCGTCGTCCATAACACCCGTAACCCACCCGATCCAGAACCCACCAAACTGCACTGCTTCTACTGCGCGTCCACAGCCCACCAAACTACAAAGTACACTGCTTGCGCACGTGTTTGACCCACCATCTCGCAATTACAAACCCAAAATCACCCTAGCCGGTGCAACTTTAAACCCAAAATCACCCCCAGCATGGAGCAGTTCTCCAGCCCCACCCTACGCGCTGCAGAGGAGTACCCTTGGTCCCAAGATCGCGAGGAATTTCAATTGGAAATGGCCGAAGAAGACTATGACTAGGCATTCACTGAAGCAATTGAGCGGGAGACTGTGGATATTTCGGCAGAACAGGAGATAGAGGGCCGCTTAGGACTAGGAAGTGGTTGTGTGTAGTTTGGTGGGGTTTTCTTTGAGTGTAGTTTGGCGGGTTTTTTTTGAGTGTAGTTTGGTGGGTTCTGGGATCCGGTGGGCTACGCGCGGAAAATCCACTAAACTGCACCCTTACCCCGCACTTCTTCTTCGAGGCCTGGTTTATCAAGAAAAAGCATGTGGCGAAGAACGACCAGTTTGAACTGTTGATGCCAAACAACATTATAATCAACTGGGAGGATGAAGAGTACGATAGCAAGCTGGAGGCAGTGTCAGATTTATAAAGCTATACTGCTGCTTATGTGATACTGCCATGATACTGCCGATTTCTTCTACTGCACAATACTGCACAATACTGCCGTGATAATGGAGATACTTCTGCAATACCCTCTTCCCTCGTGTTCCACTAACTTGCACCCAACTCTTCCTACTGAGTGCCAGAAGGACCGGCGGCAGCAGAAGGACCGGCGGCAGTGGAAGGACCAGCAGCAGCACCAGTGGCAGTGGCTGTAGGCAGGGCGCCGCGAATCGCGAAAACATAAAACCCACGTGTGGCCAACCTGCGAAGCAAGTGATTCTGTGGAATCACAACCATGATCAGCATCAGGTATGGTTGGAAGAACCTCTCAATCATAGAAAGGTGCCCTCAAAATAGCACCAGGTGCGGGTGTTGTTCCACGCTCAATGTCCAGTGCGCGGCCGATGTTGTTCATGGTTGCTTGAGTATATATTGGACCTTGGAGGACATTGTTGACCGCATGCAATCCCCAAAGCAGTTTCCGCTGTCGTTCATGATATACTCCGTCGGTCGGCCTGTGAAGGGCCAGTCGTTGCCGTGGCCTTCTGCTTCTTGTCCTTTCCGCTTGTCTTCTCCTCCTCCGCGGTCCGCTTTCCTTTCCCCTTCTCCCTCGCCCTCTCCTTTTCCGCATCGGCGGCTGGGAATCTGTTGGGATAACCGATTGGTTAGACGCTGGGTAAACGTATGCTTTTTACTATGCCAAATACCCACTGGGTTCCTGGGGGCAGGGGAAGCGGTCCTGTCTTATCCGCGGTCTTCACAAAGGCATCTGCTTTGCCGCACTTCTTTTTGTGCCGCGCCGCATACGGGCTACACCCTTTGCCCTCATCCTTCAACTTGCTCAGCGCCATATTCCGTGCCGAGGAGTAGGTCCTTCCACACCGTGTACAACGCCACTTGTGAACACGTAACTCCGCAGCGTCCTTAGCATAGATGTTGTGGGAGATTGGGATCTCAATATCGACCCTCGCCTCCACCCACTCCACCGCAGAGTGGAATTGGTGTTTATGCCTCTTCTTTTTGTCATCCATGGGCGGTCTCTTCATGTGCAGTTGGATCCAGAGGCGTAGGAGCCAGTGCAGCAAGACCCCCACAATCTCCACCCGCGGCTTCTTCTTCATGATTGGCTTGCTGAGATGGATATAGTGCCCACTCCCGTTCCTGTGCTCTCCACAACTTCCCGGCTGGTACGTCATGTTCTTCCACCAAGTGACGTCAACCTTGGTGGTGAGCTGGTTGTACTCAAAGAGGAACTTGTTAAACCGTGTGTACTCCCTTTGGAGATCCGCATCGGTGTGGTAGGCAGGGAAAAGATGGTATATATTTGGGTAAAGAAGAAAAGAAGCCGGCGCAGTCGCGCGCGGATATGTACAAGTAGAAAAATACAACAACAAGTCATGTGACTAGGGAATATAAACTAACTAGGGAGTTAGGGTTACCCGCGAGAGGTAGGGTTACCATAAGAAGTCAGGGTTGAGGTGTCGACTCCACACCGTACCACATCGGTCTGGATTGGCCGCAGGGTGTCTAGCTCGGCGTCGCCCGGTTTCTCGAAGCACAGCTTTTCAATCCGCCTCTGTTCTGCGTGCTCTTCTCTGAGAGCTTTAGCCGCTTCCAGTGCCTTTCCAATCATTTCTTCCTCCTCCTTGTCTTCCGCCTTATCCTCCCATTCCCAGCCAGCCTCTTTGTCTTCCACATCGAATTCCAGTTCCGGTTCTGACTGAAAGTCCAGGTCATAATCGTCAAAGTCGCTCATAATGCTGGGAATATGCCTGTTATGAGACGGGAAGGTCAGGTCAGATGCTGGTCAACGGCAGCTGCAAACGCGGTGCTGTCAGTCGCCTCGCCCACCTGTTGTTAAGAATTGAATTCAGAAAAGAGAAGGAGCCGTCGCGGTGTTGTGCTTGTAAGATAGCGGGTTTGCTTTATGCCGTATCGGTGAGGAGGAGGCGCTGATACATCAGTTGGGTGTGCACAGGCACTGGGGAGGATGTACAGTAAGGGAAGGATGTTTAAGTATTTACGTACGTACCGCAGGGGAGGACGTTGAGAGTTGCAACGACACGCGTGAAATCGATGACCGCTCCCAAAACCACAGCCCTACAAGCGTGGGGGACGTATAATTGACATTGTTCGATGGTCCATTGGCAAAGTTGTCAATATCATGAACCAGGAACGTGGACTGTAGAGTAGAAGGGACAATTCCCCAGTGGTCAAATATGTGGGAGGATCCATCGATAAGGCAATAAGGATGTTCATACACCTCAGGGGTACACCTGATACATTTGCGGCGGCTGGAAAAAAGCAAAAAGGAACCTCATGGAAAGCCAGTTATCGATCAACTTGGTCACCGACCTGCTCATGTTGGTGGACTAGCTAAGAAGTCAGGCCGGTGACTTCAGTTCTGTGCGGGAATGACGTTGAAATTTCAAGGCTATGAAGCCAAGCATAAAAGGAAGCGGCCGTTGGCATCCCCCTGCTTGTTTCTTCGGGGGAGAGCTCCCCATCGCATATACAACACAACCAACGGAGACCGCCAGGTATATACCCGCCCTATGCTTCATGAGCGTCGAGAGAGAGAACTGCAAGTCTAACCCATTCCTCTGTTAATACAGTATCAACCCACAGACCTCGCCTCACGGCGAGAATGTGCACCAAATACGTGGCGTAAGGACTTAAGTTGTGGGGTATGTATGTCATCTGAGTGCAGAATGCCGAGTGGAAGGGGGAACTTGAAACAATGGCTAATGGACGCTACTCTGGACTGGGAATAGAATGTTCGCGCTCGGTCTCAATTGTCAATGTCAAGGTCAATTGGTCAAGATGGAGTGTGAGCCAGAAGATATCGCTTATTGAGATAATTCTGTGCGTTGGCTGTGGAAAACCCCCCCGTGCACAGCATCCTGCACGTATACCCATAGGATAGCATAGTTAACCCCATACAGTGCCGAAGGGCATGGGTTTAGTCAGTCTTGTACTGTACACCGATGATGACGTTATAATCCAACTCCCTCCGACGCGTTCGACAGTCGACCCTCGACACACTCAACCCGCTCAACCCGCTCACCGGCCCGTCACGTGACAGCAATCATCGCATTTGGCCGCCCATAAAAGGCCGTTTTCTTCAACTGGGCCTTGCCCGTTTTGCTCGTCTTTTGCCCGTCGGTTCCTGCTCTCATCGGCCCAGACTCGTGTATAATGCACTGGACATCAAGGTAAGCTCCACGCTTCCTCAAGCGGTGTTACCGACCCCGTAAGGGTGTCGTCGACCTGGAGGAGAGACGATTAGTGGGCACCCTCAAAGCCCCCAAATCAATCTGTCAATCCACTGAACGGGCGAACCCAAAATGGGAGCGCCGTTTATGTGTTGATAATTTCGGTGTATGATCTCCATACAAAGCCGGATATCTCCTACAACCGTCAGGAATTCCTGCTGACCTGTATTCCTCTTGCACTTGTCTTAGTATCAAGCATCTTTCCTTGGACCGACCTTCTCGTCGATCCAGCAACTATTGATATAGGATCATCTCGGTCGGGGTTATGCATGCCTCTCTTTGCTCTATTCCTTCCATGGTTAGGTTCACTCTGCAGCAGACGCATTCAAACCCCGATCAGATGATCCTTATCGCTCGATAAGAAACATGCTTCCGATTTACATATGATACCCCTGATTTTGGTTGACCTGCGCTACTCAAATCATTGCTCCGTGTTGCGCAGGCTTTCTTCACTCTTAGGGAAGAGGAATTGTTTTACAAATGCTCTGGGCAAATTGGGGGAGACGCCAAAATGGCTTTGGTCCCTCGATAATCGATGAGCAGTCATTTTCGGATGAGCTATGATGAATATGATTGGTTGGATCAGTTCGCTGGCACTCCCACTTGGACTCGTCAGAATGCAAGCATGTCATGTTCACCGCGGGAAACGGTCCGGGAGGAGACTGGTTTCTCCTGCGTGCAGGTCAAAGACTGCTCCAGCAGGTCCATCTACGTACTATAATATATGCTTGTCTTCATCGACCGGCATATGCAAGTGGTTATCGCCCCGAACATGGGCACGCGAACGGCCACTGCACTGACTGCAGTCCCACATTGAAACTTCACAAAGCAGCTCATGGAAGTCCAGCCATAATAAGGAGTGTTGTTGTGACGGGTGGTCACGATAAGCATGTTCATCAAGCTGTTGACCCTAGGGGCCAAGGTGCGCCGGCCCCCCTCGGATGCGTGCGTGATTTGGCTTAGCCGCAAATCCCATTCATTGTTAACGTAAACCTACCGAACAACAGACGGATGTGATTCTCGACGCCAGGCTACACATGTCAACCAGAACAGCGATCCTCGGTTTCCATTTCTAGGGACCGTTAGCAACGCCGTTGTGCTGCTGTTATCTTCGCGGGCTCCCAATCCAGCCATGTCCTGGAGGAAGAGACAAAAACGCGTGACCTAAGCGTCGGAAAGTCGTTGGACCTTGACAGGAACTGCCTGTCTGGATTCTGCGATCCATATCAATTTCAACGTAGAAGCGAGAAGCAGATCTACAGAAACCACGCGAACATGAATCCATTTGGCTCAGACGATCCTCCATCCAACCCATTTGCGGTGAGCATTTTATATTGTGATGAAGGAAGGCCCATCACGACAGATTTGTCACTCCAAAACGCATGATGGAAGCGCCTAATAGCAATCCCTACGCACAGAGCAACAACGAGCTCTCGTCCAGCTCCAAATGGGGAAGCTCCAAACCGTCCGTCCCGTCTCCAGCCTCCCATAGCCGCACATCCTCCGCTGCACCCAAGCAATCCGCATACGGTAAATCGGCCTACGACAAACCCGCATACTCATCATCCTCGGCGTATGAAAAGTCGTCTGCGCCAGCCCCAGCGTACGAAAAGCCCGCGACCTCATCGCCGTCGGCTTATGGCGGGAGAACCGCCATGGGGGCTAGTAGTAGCGGTGGTGGAGGGGAGTACGCGAAGGAACTTGAGTTGCAGAGGCGAGAAGCGGAATTGAAGGTGCGGGAGGCGCGACTGGCCGAGCGGGAGAAGATCACGGGAACTTTCACTCCGCCGAATTGGTGGGTATACCTGTGCGATGATATCTCTGGAACAACTTTCCTAGTCCTGACCCCTCGCATCGCAGGCCGGTGTGCAAACCGATGGTGTACCATGATATCGACAAAGATATCCCAGCCGGAGGCAGATGGCTTGTGAAACGAGTATACGCTGGTTGGTGGCTCGCGGTGATAGTCTACCTCGCCAACTGCATCGCCGCGTTCTCGCTCCTCGTGACAAAAGTCTCCACGGGCGGCAACATGTTTGGCATTTCATTGCTGATTCTACTTGTCGGCACTCCCGTGGCGTTTGTGTTTTGGTATCGCCCGCTTTACAACGGCGTTCGGAATGGCAGTAGTGCCAGCTTCTTCGTATTCTGGTTCAACTATGGATTCCATTTGGGAGTCGCTGCGCTCCTGGCCGTGGGGATTCCGGGCTGGGGAGGAGTGTGAGTGGATCTGCGGGTTCCGAAAGCCTGGAAGGATTCTAATGCCTTCTCTCTCATTTAGTGGAGTGATCATCACCCTCCAGCAATTCGGCAAAAATGTGGGCGTCGCCGTCTTATGCGTAATCGCAACCGTCCTGATGATATTTGAAGTCTTCTACGGACTTTGGCAGATCAAATCTGCGAACACATATTTCAAATCTTCTGGGATGACAACCGACAGTGCCAAAAATGAAGCGGCTATGACCGTCCTGAACAGCAGGGCCGGGAGAGAGGCAGTGAAAACCGCCGCTGCTAGCGAGCTGAGGCGGGCGATTTGAGAGCAAAGAACAAGTGGCTTCCTGCCACAGCAAGCTTGGGGGCATTCGCATCTCATATCACTGCCTTGCACTCTCCGTAGTTTAGTAGCACTTCATTTCATTCTGTACTTAAGAGTGTCTCCCAGACAAGAATACAAGAATACAACCATCCATCGGTTTTGCTTTGTACAAACATTTCGAAACCTTTCGTCCTATACATACTGTACATGTGCTTTCCCTCACAGCTAGCGCCCAACTGTCATCTTTGGGAGATCACGGCAGACAGAAGGGTCCCTTTTCCTGGCACATCGACGCGAACGGGACGGTCTGACGAGTCGCCCGACGCGTCCTCCTCGATGCAATCTGATGCAGAACCTCACTCAAAGGTCGAGCGTCCTCTTCCTCCACCGCCAGCGCATCGTCAACCGCGTTATCTCTCTCAATCGGCGAGTCAGTAACATCCATGTCCACCGGGTCCGAACACAACACAGCTGACTCGCGCCTGCGTTGCTCTCCAATACCATGCAGAATCCAGCTCAACGGGCGCTCATCCTCCGGTACATCCGTTCCATTCCTCACAGCAACGTCTGTATCGTACACGTACGCCCGCGAGCGGAATAACTCCCAGTCGAAATGCACGACCCCGGATCGGCGCGTGGGCGAGACGGCCGGCGAGATGAGAGGCGACATCGCTACGCCGGCGTGAAAGGTTGCAGGGAGAATGGGAGACTGGGACACGGCGAAGGAGCCGGGTCGGACTCGGTTGAGCAACTCATCTTGTAGGAATGCGGTTTGGCTGCTGTTAAGATCGTGGCTCATGTCGGGCGAGAGGCCCAGGGGGTCGCCATAGGGACTTGCAATTGCGGACCGGCGGTATGTAGATGAAGAGAAGAAGGCGTGATCTCCGACTTCCTCCATGATGGTATCGACATGTCTGTGGTCATGGGATTCGGGATCCTGGATGGTCTTCGTTTGACGCTGATGGCGGAACTCCTCGCGAAGGCGGAAGGCAATCAGGAGCCCGAGAACAAAGTGAATGACAAGCTGAGAAGGTCGAGTCAGCCACAGTACATCGAAGGTCTTCCAATGACAGCAAGCCCTGTCTTGTCACGACCACCTACCAGAGCGCTATAAACCCCAGCCCTCCAGGTACATCGGCCTGGGGCACAAGTATTCTCCAGCTCACCATACTGCGCCAGTCGCATGCCCACCACCCAAAACCGGCCAAACTCGGTTGTCCAGTCGATCGTTGGCTGAGATTCGGTGGTGCTCTCAGTTTGCAAATTCCGAAACAAGGTCGTGGATTCATCGGCGTCGGATGCCAGCAGGGCTACTCGGATGATCAGCGAGAGACCGATGAGGTCCGTAAGCCAGCGCAAGACGTAGACGACCAGGTATATTGATTTGCCATTGGAGCGATCCTGATTTGTGGTTTTAGATGTCAGTTGGTGATTGTTGGGTACATCTCCAGCATGCATCGGGTCACCTACCCTGTTGATTGCCACTTTCCCATACGCCGCAAAGAAAACATATACAAATGGGAGAATGACGCCAGCGACAGACAGCCGGCCGGGGTCGGTCGAGACTTTGGCGAGGGTTAAAAGCAGCAGTAAAGTGCCGAAAACCTGGATGCCAGCAAAAATGTCAGTTCGGCTTGGGATGTGGAGATGTTTTGATGGAGAAACTCACCAAATCCAAACCCAGCGTCCCGACGGTCCACCATCGCAACCCAAACGGCTTGATCTTGCCCAGCTCAGAAGACTCGAAATTGTTATCCGTATTTACATTCTCGCTCGAATGATATTCAGGCGGCGGCTGACTGCCAGGCTCGTACGGCGGCGGGAGACCTATATCATTGCCATCCGTCGATTGCCTGAAAAGTCCGAACGGCAATGCAGGCAGCGCGCGGTTGAGGATCGACATGCTCAAGCGTGGCGGATTCACCGTGCGCTGGGCGGCCATCGATGGACGACGGCCCGAGTCTTCCATCAGGTTCCGTCCGTTCCGGAGTGTTTCCTGGGATATTCGTTCGTCGCCAATGTCGATTGAGACGAGTGTTGCCAGGTCGTCGTTGGCATTCTCCATTGGCGGGCTTGGACTTGCTGACTTTGTGCTGTTCTCCATCTTGAAGTTTTGCTGGACCTCTCAATCACGTATTATATCTGATGGGTAGTTGCGGAGAAAGAGGCGCACTACCGAAACCACCCCCAAAATCATGGAGAGACGTGCATGGAGGGTTATATACATTATTTCGGCCACCATGCCCCATATGGAGTGTAGGCCCAGTACGGGCCATCTGCTCGTTAAGGTGTTTTTTCGGAGCTGCGTCAATGATGCAGGGTTGCCTCAAAACAACATAGGAAGCGAGGAGAGGATTGGTTTGCGAAAAACAGGCCCTGAATGAGCAGATATCCAAGAGCGTGTCTGATGACATAAACACCCTCCACGCGTTTTCCTCACCATCCACTTTTTATCAACTTTATCAACTTCCCTGAATACGTAGGGATGCAGTGGAGCAATATGTTCTGAAAACATGATTGCCATCTCCACACTCGTATCTATTCTCACATGCAATTGGGTATAATGTAAACATATGTCTCCTCGTTTTGGGAGGTTAAATACGGGAGGAAGAGTACGAGATCTATACGTCCGATCCCTGACTTTTTCTATTCCGGCTCCTTCCATCGTCTATCTTTCATACTCCATACGCGAGCAACGCTGCCTCCGCTTCTTGGGCTTGTAACTGGCGCGGCGAGGGGGTCGGTTGAGCGTCCATCCTGTGCCGCGTATGGCAAGAATCCCGACATTCTTGGTATTTGTGGTAGATGTGGTGATGAAGACGAAAATGTCGTCGGGAGCGGCAATGGGCGGCGATATTGAGTCCGCTCCTCGAGCTTCTGGCCTCGTTTCTGGGGTGAGGCTGGTTTAGCTTCAGCCGAAGGAGCTTGTGGGGAAATGTAAGAGGCTAGAAGCGGTCGGCTATGGCTTTTCTTGTCCGATGGATGCGTCGTCACGCGCATCCGAGCGAAGTCTCCATTCTCAGAATTTGCGTCTGCGACTAGAGGCTCGGGAGTATCCCCCGTCGACTTCTCTTGAAGGCTGGCTGGCCTGCTCGATTGCCCCGCACGTCGCCGCAAGCCGTCCTCCGCGTTCACAGACTCCTCTCCACCTCTGGGCTGGGAGATTTCGATTTCCCCACCAGCTATAAATCCCTTCATTGTCTCCACCCACCGAATGTAGGTGGATGACAACTGAGCTTTTAAGAAGATGGTTCGACGGTTTTGCGGGTCACCGCTAGCCAAATCGGAGTGGTCTATAGCGAACGTACAAGGCTCTCCAACGTCGGCCTCATCACGGAGGCCAACGATAGACGAAAAGGGGATGAACTTCGCAGTATGTTCCTTATCGCCGTTCCCGGAAGCTACAATCAACAAGGGCTTCTTCCGTACACAGCTGTCGGCGAGATAACCCAGCATTGTGAGAACGTTGGGACTGGCCACGTCGGATGTGGCCTTCGGATAGACCATTCTGACCAATTCGTGAAATTGCTCCGCATCACTTGGAGTTGCCAAAATGACATAACAAGAGCGTGTCCCCAGCCCAAACGGGCGACATCTGAGCTGTGAGAAATGGGCTGCCAGGTGAACGGCGGATGGCGAAGATGTCTTCTCGCCGCTCTTGGCGAGTCGACCGAGCATGGACAAAAGAGGCAGACCTGTCGACGATCAGCGTGAACTCGATAGAGCGAAAGAACCTTGAAAGAGAGACTACGTTCGTGGCGGTACGATAGCGGGTGGGGGAAAGTGCACAGTGCATGTGCACTTGGTGAGCAGCCACCAGTTGGCTTGTTCAACGTTGGCCCATTGGCGGCGGATTTAGGCGGGGATTGCATGCAAAGTGATTGCAATTGATTCGACGCGTGGCGCCCGCCACCTGGGCTTGCAAATGCGAGAAGACGTATGATGACATGCCATCCATTGCTAAGCCGATACTCATACCAATGAGACAACCGTACTCTGCAATGAAGGTTTCCTGAGGGGCGGGGCTCATCTTCGTCTAAAACGGTCTCCAAACTCCTCGGTACGGGTCTCCCGATCCCGTCATGACAATGCCCATTAGCAATCCCGCTAGGCATCCAACCAACACCTGGAGGACGAGAGATGTCAGAGTCCGCAGTTGCTGGATCAAACCGCGGTTGTGAGTGACAATGCCAGATCTGAGAGAGGAAGGTAGCGCCGCGCGCCTTAGTGATCGCTGGGATGTGCGTATGGAAGTTCTCATTGACTACGAGTTGGGTCCCAATCTTAGGTGCCTTATGGTAGGCGCTCACAATAAAAGATAAGACAGGACTGTTCGACATTGTAATGTGACTGATTACGGCGTCCTTCATGCTTCCATAGTCCTGCCCAATATCATATCTTGCGAATTCGCCACCCTTTCGCCCTTTAGCGTATCCACCTGCATGTGTGATCCATTGGAGCATTTAACACGTTACTGGCATGTGAAGGATTGAAGCTATTAAGATGTCAAGAGCGCATATGAATCTGGTAAGCCCGAGACAGGAAGCGAGGCGCAAGACGGCTGGATGTCGGTAAACCCCAGATTATTGTTTAAACAGCATATCATATCAATTCCGCTGATGATAAAAACATAGCATTACATTCAGCATAAAAGGATCGGGGAAATGAAAGCCATATGCAAGCCTTCAGGTCGCTATCTTCCTATTATACCGCCCCCGAACACTGACGTGATTTCGACAGGTCGGAGCTATGCGAGTCGCCCTTGCCAGGGGGAGGAAGTCAAGAGCACATGATACGTAACGCATTCAAGCCCGTGATTAAACTCTTGAAAATGACATCGCTAATCATTTCCTGATCAAACCGCCCTCGATCCGTGGTCGCTCGACTTTAAATTCAAACAACGAGCCTCAATTCGTGCGGGAACGCGTTTCCCGCACCGTGATTAGCTTACGGCCATTTTCTAAACAACGAGGCTCTCGTCGGCGCTAAGCATCGAGGGCAAGCTTCCAGAGCTTCCTTTGAAGACTCAGCCAGGGGACAGACGGCGAAACGGCCAGGAGGGAATTTGATTTCCCACACGGTGTCAACGTGCAACGCTTTCATCGCCATCACAGTCGCATAGGCTCCCATCGTACGCTGCCCCGTTCAAAAGTCCCTACTTCGGAAAGCCAGTGCCGCAGGCCGTCACCGCCACCGGTGCCGTCATCCACATAACCCGCCAGCTTACCGTCTCCTCTGTGGTGGTTAGATCCCAGAGCGTAAACGAACCTGCTGCTTCCTTGTACGCTTGGACTTCGGAAAGAGGTCACGCCGGATCCTATCGAACTTATAGGTCGGTTCCTACACTTCTCTGTTGCACTTTGTCGTAAGCACAGCTAGTCGTCACAAACGCTCACATTTTACACTCGCAATCATCAATCGACACTTCGCCAAAAAGTGGCTTCAAACTGGCTGTAGCTGAGCGTCTCCCTTGACCCACAACCGTCAGTCCCTCTCCACAGTATTCTAAACTCGGGCGGACATGCAGGCACAGCAAAGCTCGTCATCGGGCCAACCGCACGCGTTGACGGATTTACGAGTGGGAAACAAATTCAAAATCGGCCGCAAAATAGGGAGTGGCTCATTCGGAGACATTTACTTGGGTTGGTGTCTTTCTGAAAAGTCCAGCACGGTGGCCACTTGCCCTATGTTCTAGAGGCAAGATTTTAGGATTATGTCCGAATTTTGCTAAACATATTCCTATCCCAGGAACCAATATCATCAATGGAGAGGAGGTAGCGATAAAGATCGAGGCTGTGAAGGCGAAGCACCCGCAACTCGAGTATGAGGCGAAAGTTTACAAGAGCCTAGCTGGCGGAGGTATGCTTCGGTGGGAGTTTATCGGGTGTCCACATCGTCTCAACCTTGTGAATTCTTTTTGTTATGAACAGTGGGCATCCCATTTGTACGCTACTTCGGCATAGAGGAAGATCACAACTGTATGGTCATTGATCTGCTGGGCCCAAGTCTCGAGGATCTTTTCAACTTCTGCGGTCGGAAATTCACACTGAAGACAGTCTTGCTACTTGCGGACCAACTGGTAAGGACCGCGTCGAGCTTCGTTTTGAAGCTCTGGTGCATCTGTGCTAACGAACGCCACAGATTTCTCGAGTTGAATACATTCATTCCAAAAACTTCATCCACCGAGATATCAAGCCTGACAACTTTTTGATGGGCTTGGGCAAGCGCGGGAACCAAGTCAATGTCATCGACTTCGGTCTCGCCAAAAAGTACAGAGATCCAAAAACACATTTGCACATCCCGTACAAGGAGAACAAGAATCTGACGGGGACCGCCCGATACGCCAGCATAAATACTCATTTGGGAGTTGGTAGGTTCATTTGTAACTATCGGTGTCCAAATTCCGAATATGGGAAGGTGAATTTGCTCCTTTGCAGAACAATCGCGGCGCGATGATTTAGAATCGCTGGGTTATGTCTTGATGTACTTCTGTCGCGGTGCTTTGCCCTGGCAAGGACTCAAGGCCGCAACGAAGAAGCAGAAGTACGACCGAATCATGGAAAAGAAGATGACGACCCCGACAGAGGTGCTTTGCAGGTATGGTCCAGGAACTCCTACTATTACGTTCCTGTTTGTGAACGTGTGGCTGACGCAGTTTTGTTTTCAGAGGATTCCCAAATGAGTTCTCGATGTACTTAAACTATACCCGGTCGTTACGCTTCGATGACAAGCCGGACTACAGCTATTTGAGGAAGCTCTTCCGTGACCTGTTTGTTCGAGAAGGCTATCAATACGATTACGTTTTCGATTGGACGGTGGTGAAGTACCAGGTATGTCATGCGCTTTAAATTTTGCACAGCACAGAATCTGACACCTCTCCACAGCAGGAGGGTAAGGAGGCCCCGTCTGCCTCTCGAGAGGCCAGACCTGAGGACGCAGACGAGAGGTAAATGGGACACAGGTTGGTACTTTCGTACTTTGACAAAATCATCGTATTAATGTGTATTGACAGAGCGCGTGCGACCAATGCAGCGGCAGCTAACGCCGCCCGTCGAAGTGCCGCACCGGTTGCTAGTAGCTCTCAACGCCCCAATGTGAATCCTCAGGCAGCTTATCCGCAGAATACCCGCCCCCCAGCCGGAGGATATCAGCAATACTACCAAGGCGGCGAAGCTCCACCAACAAGTGCGTATCCTGTCGGCGGCGGCGGATACGCTTACGCGGATCCCAACATAAGCAGAGATAGTTCGCGAGTCGCTACACCAGGAATGAGCATGCAGGGGGGGCCGGTGGGAAATGTCAGTGCTTCGCAACCACGAAAGCCCAGTGGCGGGACTCCGGCGAGGAACTACTGATCGCCCTTGGGAAGGATGGGAGTGAGGACGATAGTGCTTGCTTAGATTTGTTTTTTGTGGCCCGGCAAGTTTTTCATCGTCTCATGCCATCTGTTGGAGACGTACCTCTCGAACATCCAGTGGGAGCCAAATGTGAAGCTTTGTAGTGCCCAGATTCCCGGCATGGGTGGACGCTGCAACTTCGTTTTGGATCGCCATTTTTTCTTGTACAGTTAAGAGTTAATTCATGCGTAGCCTTTCTATCGCTTCGATCCACGTTGTTGTCTCTTAGCTCTATTTCTTTCGAGCTTCCATATCCGCGCAGCCCTCCGTACGCAACCTGGCAGGGCGCAGGTCTGAAGAAAGCTGAGGCAGGCTGGGCGAGTTAAGGATCAAATCGTTTCTTTACACTCAAAAGTGATATCATCATTACGAAAAAAAACAGATATGGTAACACGCGGGAACTCCTCTATATATACACATATACATACACACCAAATACGCCGAATCACACCAGAACGAAACTGTCTCGCTCCCCAGTCTCCTCCTCTTCATCCGCTTCCTCGATCTCCGCTCGTGGGTAAGGACTTCCCGGGAACGACGTCGACTCGCTGCCATCTGTCGAGCGAAGCGCGTCAACCTCCTCCTCCTCCTCTTCCTCAATCACGCTAGGGATTTTGATGGGGTGCTGGCAGAATCCCACGGTCTTTGCCCTCCTTCGTCGCATATAGGACGTGTCGGGGGCCGATGAAGGGCACATCCCCCGCGAAGCATCGAGGTACGCGCGGAAAGTGTGCGCCGCCGACGACGATGAGGGCGAAAGGATCTCGTATTGCGTTGTCTGATCCATGATGGTTGGAGCGACTTGGACGGCGATGGTGGACTCTGCGGCCCGAGCGACGACCTGTGTGCAGGCATCCCGGGTGGTTACGGAAGGGAACTCCACAACAGCCGAGGTTTGCGCTGCTGTCGAGGTCATCATGGTCCTCGGCTTGGGGGCGTTGAAGAGGGGATGGAAGAAATTCATAGGTGGCTGTATGTGATGAGGTATGACCTGCACTGCCTGCTCGTGTGTGATGACCGAAGCTTGCACGCTCATCGCGCTTCTCGAACCCACGGATAGCGCCTCGGATTGGCAGCCTACGTTCTTCTGCTCGTTGACTACCCAGCTGTTGAGGGTCTGCTTCCATCCCATTGCCGAGGCGAGGAGACCTTCTTCCATTTCTCTATCCTCCATCTCACCCATCAACGTGCCCGGCAAGCTAGACAGCGGCTGGTAGTACGCTCCAGCCGTGAGATGCGCAGTGTCCTCGTTGTCAAAGTCCGAGTCGCCGTCGTCGGAGGAGTCGTCCGATGCGTTGTCAGAAACATCGTCTGAGTTGTACGATTCAAACAATTGCACGCTCCGGTATGAGCGTGATACGGTGAGGCCTTTCAGTTTGAGGATAGGCGCCCGTTCTCCGTTATGGTTGACGCATCGGATGGCTTCCTGCAGCTCGATTTGCTGGTCGATGCGGCATTCATCTCCTTCCTCATCGATCCACGAAAGGGTCAAGTCTTTATCGGCCTTTAGGCTGTACAGCGAACGCACGGTGGCAAGCAAGTCAGTGTAGTCGGCTGTGAGGAGGGTGAATCGGCGGGTGATTCCATCAACCTAAATGAAATTTTCGATGTGAGCAGTTGGTCGATTCAGCAGGGAGAGAGAATCGAACGACTTACGGTGATTTTGGCCGAAACGTCGCTAAATACCAAGTCCATGAAGGGAGTGGTCTGCGTTTCGCCGACCCTCAGGTCGGACTCCCACGGGATATTGTAAGTAAGCGCACCGAGCATGTTGAGAGAGTATAAGTTAAAGTTTACAGAGTTCCCAAGGTTCAGTTTTGGAGAGCAGAAGCTGGCGCTGGTGTGAACAAGCTGTATATATCTCTTCGCCAAGTCCAAAGATGCTCTTCCTTGCCTTTCCTGAGACAAAAATCGGAGTTGACACGTCCCACGTTACGTCAGCAGATACCCTTCTCGCCGTCTTCAAACCTGCGGACGGCCGACCGCTGTTGCCAAAAAGAGTTCCAACATCGGATAAGCTTTCCAGCGGCAACATACCGCAACAATCACGTGGCTCCTGAAGTGAGAACGCCGTTTCAAAGCTTTGCCGTCAGCGCTAACGACGGGCTAACGAGCCGCCTTGGCCTTTACAAAGCGTCGACTTTCGGAAGTGAACCACCGGCTGTGGTTTCAAACCGATAACGAGTTCTGCTGGACTTCTTTCTTAACTCCCCGGTCAAATTCTGAGCCATATTTGACGCCAATGGTCAAGTCCTGATGATCATGGAGCAAAACATGGAATGAACGGGCAACTGGCTCTCTAAAATACTGAACAATCCGCACGGCATCTTGTGAGGCGTGACTTGCCACAAACACTCCAATTTCTTTCCCAAGATACGTCACATGCAAGCTCACAAATGAAAGTACAGTACATCTCGTGGCTTGCTGGTTTACTTCTCATCACCGGTTCTCCACCGCGGGCAAGCCACAGACAGACGCACGTGAGAACGCATCCTTGTATCACCTACAGAGGGATGTGAAAGCTCCATCACAGCATGCATGTCTCTCGAGAGCACTTTGAGATTTCACTTGTCGAGGGTTATCTTCACCGCGGCACCGAGGAATTGACAGTACGGAGCTCGGCCGGATTTCGGACAAAACGCCCGTGGACGCGAAACCGGATAGGCGGACCTCCATGCTCAACCCTTTCGGAGCTCGCGTCCGAAGTCCGTCGTCGACTTGTGAGACTGCGGGATTGAGCCCACCTATCCAAACCGTTGCCCGTGATCGTTCGGTTACTTGAAAGCATTTCCCAGCAGGCAAAACAGGACAGCTCTCCAAAACTGGACAATTCGATACTGGATAAACATCCTTGGTACGGGACATGTGTGTCTCTCCGCCGTTACCATCCAGTCAGCAAGACCATTGATGAAAATGACGGCGGAAAAAAATGCTATAAAAGCCTTGTGGGCAATTGATTCCCTGCAAGTTGTCAATGCATGGCAGCCATCTACTCGATCTAACAAACCCAACCTCTTTTATCATGATCGAGTTGACGACCATCTTTGCCGGCGCTTGTTTGCTCTTCTGCATTTTCTATCGAGGAAGCAAAATCTCGTACCCGACCGCATCGGCAGGAATCCCGTGGCTAGGCACACTCGTCCGCTGGAACGAGGATGCACCGGCCTTCTTGCAATCCGCGCGCGAGAAATACGGAGATGTCTTCCGCGTTAATCTCATCTTCTTTCGGGTGACCTTCATCGTCGGAACCGAAGCAAACAAGTTCTTCTTTCGCGCGAAGGATGATACCCTCAACTTTTTCACGGCGATGGCTCGCTTTTCGGAGTCCTTTCTTGGGCCAGGTATCGTTGCCGACGGTCGCCGCGGGTCTTGGCCTGATAAGGGCTCACGTATGACTTTGTTCCGACAGGGATCTTTTCCAACATGGAGTGGGTTGCTGAAGCCTGGAAGTACATTACCAAGGTAAAAATAGGGTGATTCGAGAAGATGTCGGCACGACCAACCCAGCATTTGGCTAATGAACCTATTACTCATAGGGGTTTAACACACCGTCGCAACTCAAGTTCTACAAGCAAACCATCATGCAAGACGCCGAAGCCGCCTTCAAGCAATGGGAACAGAAGGGACGAGTCGATCTGTTCGTCGTCGTCAGCTCTCTCGTCTCGCAAACGGTGCTTCGATGCATGTTTGGCGACGAGCTCATCGACAAGCACGGTGAAGAGATCGCATCCCTCATATACGAGATCGAGACTCTGTCGGCGGCGCCGCTGCTGTTCGTCCTCCCTCGGTTTCCGTCTCCACCACAGATCCGAATCACTCGTGCCAGAAACCGCTTGTTAAGTCTCTTCGACGGGAACATTGCAGACAGGATCGACAATCCTGAAAAGTGGCGCGATTCGCATGACTACATTCAGACCGTCCTGAACGACAACGGAGCCATATGGCAACGCTATTTGGGCTTGCACACCTTAAGCGTTGCATTAGCCGCCTTCACAAATACCGCAGGTAAGGAGGGGCTCGGTGACGATTCATATCGCAAGCTTTTCTCATCTCTTTGCCTTCCCGTCCTATTAGGCACGATGGGGTGGACGATCGCCAGCATTGCGGCAGACCAATCAATCCTCAAGAAGGTCGTCCAAGAGGTGGATTCGAACCCAATGGATGGCGACGTGATCAACAGTCTCAACTCATTGCCCTTCCTCGACTGCTGCATGAAGGAGACCGTTCGGAAGTATAGCTTGCTCATGGCTCTGCGAACCGCGGAGCAAGATATCACCTTCAACGGCCATGTCATTCCAAAAGGAGAAATTGTCTCGATCTCCCCGCTTCTCGTCCATCGCGACCCCGCAATCTTTCCCGACCCCAATGCATACAAGCCGGAACGATTCGCCGAGAAGGTGACGTTGGAGAAAGTCAACCGCGAGATGGAGTTCGTGCAGTTCGGACATCTCAAGCACAGGTGCCTCGGCGAGCGCTTTGCCAACCTTGTGTTGAAGAGCGTTTGGCATATGCTCTTCAGCGAGTATGATGTCGAATTGGAAGCGCCGCTGCCCGAAGCGGATTTTACGAAAGCGGCCGGGACACCGTTCCCGAAGGCCCCCATAATGGTGAGGATATCTCACCGCCTTGCCCAAGACCGCACTCTCAGCGTTCGAGCGAGCGGTAAGTCTCGTGTCAATGGAACAGTAGTAGTGGCCGCTGAGACGTTCGTTCGCGAGGAGTAGACCCTTAGTGCCAGACTGGTTTCCCTTTGTCTGATGTCCGCTTGTCGTAAAAGTCTCATTATACATGTTGGGTCCATATACTGTATGCTTTGGTTTCTTTGGTTTCGAAACATGATGCCCCCGGCGGAGGCTGGGCAAGTGGTAGACGCTGTCAAATCCTGTTGTTTGTCAGGGCTGTGAGACGGCGCGTGAAGGGCAGAGTCAATTCCAAGTCGTTTCCCCCAATTCTCTCCTCCCCCGTCAAGACCCTCGATGTCCGACCACTCGACCATCTCCGCAGTCGGCGGCAATGGAGGGAGCACAGCACTGCCATGCCGTCCGTCCTTGTGGAAAGTTGAAGTTGTGATCCAAAGTGACAAACGTAAACGAGAGATCGCCGAACAGTTTGCAAAAGCGGGCCGTAAGTGTGGCTTCAGGCTCAGCTCATCTTCGAAGACCGAGCTAACACATATGGCATAGTTTTGGACGGCTACCGATCCGACTCTTCGTCTTCCGCCCGCACAGGAGAAGGTATGCTTGCGGCCTCACCAACGAGGTCAGTTTGTTCTGCGCGTTCCATCGATACTTTGCTTTCCATACCTCCGACGTATGGGCAGCCATATTCCGTATCGCCAAAGGAGCTGTCTATACCTAAGAGGTATGAAACCATTGCGCTCGAGTATTTAAAAGGTAGTTCTGAGCATATGTTGATTCATCCTCAGGAAGCCTGTCCGAAAGCCAATTGGTCCGATTGGCGTCATATCCGTACCGGTCTACTTATCGTCTGAGGACGATGGGAGCCAAAGCAGCACATCGACGGATCGAAGCACCCATCAAACGACACGGCGTCGGAAGCGCAAATCGCAGCCCGTCCGGAAGCAACAAACCACTTTGGCCGCCTCCTGGGCGAAGGCGGAGAGTAAGCCGAAGCGCGTCAATGAACGAGTTACGCGTTCATCTGCAGCAGGCGGTCGCGGGAGCACTCGCGAGGGGCATGTCATGCGCAAGGATCCTCCCGAAAGAAGGCGGATAACGCGACAGAGTGTGCGGAACAGCTCGCAACATGAGAACAGCGAGCCGGAGGTGGTCGTACTGAGTTCCGACGGCGGAGACGCCACTTACGTGGCGAGGACAGAAAAGAGACGCCGGAAGGCGCCATCATCCGGTAGAGACGATGGCGTTTCTGTACGTGTAGGATATGAAGAAAGCGAAACGGCCGTTTCTACCGCTGAGGATGAGGAGCAAGCCTCCGCAAGGCCGCCTGTGAGAGTGAGAGCTAGCACGAGGCCGTCCCGTCGAGCATTGTCGAAGGATGCTGAAAGCAGGTCTGGGCTCAGCCGGGGATCTACTCCAAAACGGAAAGAACCAGCAACTTCCAGTAAGAATGCGCACTTCGCTCCGATAGTGGTGGAAAACTGGCGACCAGCGTTCGTCCATGATATGGACAATGAGAACGACGAGAATGAGGGCGACAAAGACGACGAACTCATTTTCCGTCCGAGCCAAGGCTCTGCCCGTAAACGGAAACGAGCCGTCGTGGTGGAATCAGACGATCACGATTCAGACGAGCCCCTCCCAACGCCTAGAAGGCGCCTCAAACTGCGACATGTAGAGGTCGATGAGGCCCCGTCTCCACCGAACTTCAACGGACATAGCTCTCCAATCAGTGTGCTAGATTCCGAGGTTGAGAAAGCGACGGGTGAGGAGGAAGGAGAAGAGTATGATGACGATGATCTGTATCTGAGCGAGGACGCGTTGAAACCACGACCGAGCGAAGAGGCGAAGTCCTTCAAGGATGCGTTAGCAAAGATGAAAGGTGTGCTGGCGCTTGTTCCAAAATGTCCTTCAGTTGACAGAATACTCATAAACATTTCGCTACAATTCAGAAAACCGTGCGCAAGGCGACATGGTACCAAAACCGGAAGTTCTCGATGAGAGTCAAAGCGCAAGCGAGTCCGACCATTTGACCGGAGGAACATCATCAGCGGAAGAAGATAGCGACCAGAATATGAACGATTTTGTAGTAGAGGGTGATGCTGAAGACGACGAGCCAGTGGAACTACCAGGTGCGGACTCCCCTCACCCTCACCACGACTGCGAGTATAAGACCGCTGGTAGTCTAACAACATCCGTATACCTCCAGAGGAATTCCATCTTGGCGGTTCGCTGAAGCAGTCCTTCGAAGCCTTTGTGCGGAAACTGGTTGATCTTTTCTTGACAAACGAATCACACTCCGAGCCTGCGATTGAATCAACCCGTGAAGGCGTTATTGAGAAGCGGCTCAATGACCTAAGGTTTTCGTTGATGCAGAGTGATGCGTGGAAACCGGAATATAAGGTAAAACGGGACTCTCTCTTGTAAAGTGCCGGCACGCATTGAACATCACATCTCCGAACAGGATATCCTGGACAAATATCCAATTTTCTCATGGAGACATGACCCCAAATACGATGGCATCTGCGACGCATGCCACAAGTCTAATCAAACCGCCAACCGACGCGTTACTTTGACAGGTCCCATATACGATCGACTCACGCTATCTGTACGTGGTGTGGGAAGTGCACACCAGGATACCGACACCACACTTACACGCATTCTCCGAAAATGCAGGATGAAGACGATGAAGAGGAGTACCCATTGTACGAGCAATTCGCGTTCAATGTTGGTCCGACATGCCAGCGCCGGTCGGAAACGTACTCTAGACTGCACCACTACAAATGGAATGTATACAAGAAGGTGCAAGCGCTCATACTGAAGCTACGGGGACGGGGGATTACTGGTGACGCGACGGAGTACACCGAGGAATTGAAGCGGAATGGGAATATTCAAATGGTTTGTGTGCCTTGTCTTCGAAAATTTTGGGAGAAGTACGAATGGCAATCACGCGCTAATCGCGTCGTTACATTTCAGCTCTTCGACAGCTGGCAATACACAATGGACCGAGCCAGCAGTGAATACGCTCGCGGATGAGCCACTCTAACCAATCGGCAAATAAAACAATCATATTTGTTCACACAAAACGACCGCAGTCCTGTACAATTTGCATGATATGCACGGTTCGCACCATTTCTCACATTTCGAAAATCAAGTCCGCCAAGTCCGCGTTTAAATATATACCGAGAAAGGAGGCGCCGGAGACAGCTACGTAACTCCATACTCAGCTAATGGGTAGCACCAGCGTCGCCGTCCACGCGCGTCCACACGACCGTGGACCTACTTCCCTTACCTAACAGTCGGGCACGAAGGCGAATGGAGAACACGAAGCTCACTGCGACAAGCATGCCGCATATCGCAAACAACGTGGACGAGTTCATCTCATGCACTTTGAGCAGCGCGACCACCACGATGAGGTTCAGCGGAATGCGGAACACGTTCATGACGGTCGACCGCGTCTCTTCTGGGACCAGCTTTGATCGCAGGGTGCCGAGTGTGGGAAAGTAGAGCCCGCAGGAGAATTCGAAGAGGTTGAAGGTTACGAAGACTGTGGGTTCGTCGGAGACAAATACTGGAACAACGAGAGCGAATGCGGCGAGGCCGAATGTGATTCGTGCAATGTCCTCGTGTTTCATGCCGCGCCGGAGAAGAACTTTGAAGGCTACGGAACCGAGCATGATGGAGACCATAAACGCGGCGAAGATGAGACCGTAGGGTACGGGAGGACCTGTGAAATAGAGTTTTTGGCCATGCGTGAGTAACACAATGTCGACCAGCCTCGTTGTGAGCGCTTTGAATACATATATACCTTTGAACTCCTGACCGGCTGGCAGGGTCCGCAAAGCGGCATCCTTTAATACCGGGCTCCACAAAAACACGAACGTGTACATAGCAGACTCGAAAAGACATTGCATAATGCCGACCGCAAGGATATCTTGATCTGAGAGACGTTGAATGTATGGACATGAGTGACAAAGCTCTTGGGGAAGTCACAGTCTCTTCTCCGGCTTTACCTTTCAAAATGAGCTTCATCACATCAAGTATGGAGGTGCTCGTGCCCTCGTTTTTATCATTACTTCCGTAGTTCTCTCGCCATGTCGGTTGGATAACGAAAGCGGCGGCGACGAGGAATGCCATTGATCCCATGAACGGGGACACCTCGCCCCACATTGACGTCAGCGCGTGGGCCAAGAGTCCCGAAAGAATCGCAACCAGACCATTCAAGAAGATGGCCCATGCAAACGTGTCGGACAGTAAGCTCTCCCGGAAACCTGAAGGAATTGGAAGCCACGTTTCAACGCGTCGCGTCGGGTGAAGGAGCCCTGCTTGAAAAACGCCATTCCTCACCTCGAGAATGATGCTCGCTCACCATCCAGGCCTCAAATACGGAGAAGAGGAGGGATGTAGAGATACCTCCCAACAAACGTCCGAACAGGAGGACGGCGTAGTTGGAACTCAATTTGGTTATGCACGAGGCGGCGTAAACCGCGCAGAACAGCAGACAAGCTCGTTTGCGTCCTCTATAATCGAGAAGAAAAGCATTTAGAAACCCTCGGTGAAACCATGCCGTTTACGCAGTTGACGTACGCTTTGTCGGCCAGGGAACCAAGAATGGTGCCAAAGATAGCCGATGACAAGAACCCAACTACAAACAAGACTGCGATCTGGTCTAGCTCATAGCCATACGACTGATAGAGGGGGTAGGTTGCGGGCCCCTGAAGCCAGTCAGCGGCTATAAGAGAAGGAACAAATAGATATGATCAATGCCAAATCGCACACGCACGCGTTCATGGGAATTACTTACTCATGACAAGGCCATACACAAGCAAATAGTTCTTCTGGAAGAGTTTGAATGCCGAGCCTTCCTTCAAGGAGGAAGGGCTTGGCAGTTCACCCTCGCCTGCCTCCAAGCCCGAGTCGAGATCATCCTTACTGCTCTTAAAGCTAGCCTTGTCCTCGGCAGCATTTGTGTCTGCCGGCTGGTCGCGCGAAAAGTAGCTGGCGGCGGCGCACGCGAGAACGAGGAACGCGAAGCCTGTGCGGTAGACGGGATGGTGTTCTGCGTCGACGGTCATTGCAGAGATCAGACGGATATTCAGAGTCCAAGCACAACGCTGTTCTGATGCAGGCGCTGAAGGGAAGGCAACAGATGGAAAGCAATGACTGCGCCGAGCAGTTGCAGTTTGAGAGCAAGGGTTCACCGGTTACTGTGCAGGCCGCTGAGCTGGCAATAATGTGTTTCACCAAACTTTACGACTTACAAGAGTGTCACGAGCATCCACAATTTCAATTTCAGACGTGAGGAACGCGTTTTCCAGGTTCCTCGAGCAGGGTCCAACGCCATAAAGTATGCTGCCAATGCCGGCCATCCCTCCATAGTCAGATTATATCAGATATGAGTGGGGTAAGCAGCAGGGCTCTCCGCGGCTTGGAGAAAAGGGGCATCTTATCGCAGCAAGTAAGCAGGAGGTGTGGCGAGAAGTCCTTCCTGCCTGCTCTCTTCCGGGGTCCCTCCGTCTTTAAAAGGGATCCCTCCTTGCGCGACGCAACTGGAAAATAAGTGCAACCATTGATCATATATCTGCTCATATCTGACATGTTTTCTGTTCCTTCTATTCTCCACACACGGAATTTTTAGGTAACGCCCACTCGAGATCTAGCGGCAACATCATCTTCGTCCCATCAACGTCCGTCCCATCGACAACCATCATCTTCATCCCATCAAAATACTTCGCAAGCACGCGACATTCTGGAGGTGACAGATGGCTCCCCGCCCCTCGCCAAACTAAGGGCAACAGTCCACCCGATCCCTTCGCCAAGGTCTTGGGATTGGGAATGCCCACGCGTCATCCAAATCCGCAGTTCCGACATTTTCTAAGGTCTTTTGGTTTGGAGTACCGACGGTGGATCACCTACCATTGATTTCTGTCGAGACGTGGATGATGCAGGACGACGCTACTCGTGCGAGAGACCTCGGCGGTAGAGTTCGGCACGCGCTACAAGGTCTGAATCCGCGGGGTGGAAACTGGGGAAGCCCTCGCGCGGCCGAACTCGGCCGAATATTCGCCAGCAGACCGGGGAGTTCTCTCCTACAAGTACTGTACAGAGCACGGTACCCTCTTACGCACCCTCGCTCAGCGGGGTGCTCAAGTTGGTCACGGAGTCGCCGAAGCGATCGTTGCTCGCAACCGGAGTAACACGACGCGTGAGACGCATGTTCGCGCAAGCGATAAGAGATGGAAATGCAGCCTCCGGACCGGTTGGGATGGCTTACGGCCAGAAGCCTCCTCTATCGAGATGCAGTGAGCTTCATCCGTGCGGCGCTGCGCATGGAACCTACAACCCAGTCCTTTTCATCGCACTTCCTACAAATAAGGGGGTCGAGACACCACCGTCCTGAATACCTTCGACATCTCTCCGCGAAAGCAGGGAAACCTCCGCCTTTCACTGGTAATTCTTGCAATGAAATTCCCCACGGTTCATGATAAACCATTAGTGACTTCAACAAAGAAGCAAAAGAGATGTGTGTCCATAGTTACTAAGAACCGACGCACGAACTCGCCGTCTCCGAAAGAGGAGACAGCAAGACGCCGATTCTACTCTCACAGACGGTGATTAAGTTCAGATTAGAAGCTCTCAAGACGAGCGCTTGCAAGGTAGAACGATCCTGCTTTTCCACGATTGTAACAGAGATGCGGCCACTGGAGAAAATTCAAGTGTTCCCGAAAGAACGCTTGCTGCATGCCCTCCTGACTTAATTGTGGGTTGATGTAATGGTATCTGAAAAATTGGGAACATCCGACTCAAGCAGGCCTGTGCCCGCGATAATGCAGCGACGTTTGGCGAGTCGATGGCAGAGGCTCCGCTATTTTGCGTCGGACATTCCAGGGGATCTTGAATGTGGAGAACGTCCTCGTATGCACCAGACGGAGGTCGCTAACCTAGAGATGTGCTCGAGAAAGATGGTGGAACTCAAACCGACGCTTCGAAGCTCAGAGTCGATGTGGTAAAACGACAACAAACGCTTGTCATGTGACCGCTTGCGCCACACCCGTGCCCCCCGACCGAGTTTTATTAAAATGCGGTCAAATGGTCATCACGTAAGCATGAAGGCGACGTGGGGCGTGGCTAGGCAGACATCACTCGTTCAAGGCAGACATCACTCAGGTTCCCAAGTTAGGATTAGGGTTATGGTTAGGGTTAGGGTTAGTAACACCCCAGCCCTAACCGGCCGAGCGGAGCATGTTGTTATGGTAGGTTAGTTACCCAAAAAGTCATCAACTTTATGTCGCTTATTATGATAAGAATATGATACGATATGACATGATATCATATGATAACAAGCATTCTGGCATCTTCACTGGCTCTCCCACAACGAAGGGAAGATCACGGGTGGGCATGAAAACGACGGGCCAAATGTCTGCCTAGAACGAGTGATGTCTGCCTAGCCATTCCCGGCGACGTTGGTACGCGTTGGAAGGGCGTACCCAGCAACGCAGCTGATACTCTTACATTCCACGTACAGTACTCTTACATCCGTATAGAGTAGACTTATCAATGGAGACCCTAGACCCTTGACTTGTTTGTACTTGTTAGCAACTCCTATGTTTCTCTATCCTCTTTCTGCATCTTTAGTTTGAAGCTTTGTTCAATTACCCAAAAAAAACAAAAGTTTTATTGAAAAATACACTTGCCCAATCTGCCACAACTGGACGCCCTGAACTTCGTTCCAATGGAGCAGAATCTCACCTCTTCCTGGCATGCAGACGGGCGCAGAAAGACGGGTTGATGAGAAGCTTTTTTGCATCGGAGGTAACGAGTGTGGGCGATCGACCGTTTCCAAAGCCCGATTTCCAAACCGATCGCTCGACGCGTGTGACGTGCCTGACGTCTTGCGTGAGCTCACAGCCTCGTTTGGCGATCTGGCGCTTTCTGCCTCATAAAATGCACAGGTCTGCCGTCAAGGTCCCTCAGTCATAATGACGTTCGGCTGAGCTCTCCGCAACATACTGTACAACATCCACCTGCTTCGAAGGCCGTCGCCTCATTCCCAGCACCAACACAAACCTTTCGGGCCGTCGCTTCTTGTGTCTTAGCTCACTCGTCCCCTTTAACGAGCAATTGCAGTTCCAACCATTCCGACCACCCCGTCATGGCGCCCTCCAACAATGACCCCGTCCCCCTAACCGAAGCCGAGCTAGCCACCCACTCCACCGCCTACAAGTCCCTCCGCGAACGCAAAGGCCACTTCAACGGCGGTGAGCACGACCGCGATGTCGACGGGTACGGCGGCAAGAAGCACATCACCATGAAAGCGCTTGCAGATACGCTGGGAAGGAAAGGCACGCCTGCGATTAAAATTCTGGAAGTTATGGGGGCGCCCGATGAGATTGTGCCGAAGGTTGGGGCGTCGAATGTAGGGCCGTTGGATGCGGCGGGACCGGGGGCGATCTCGAATGCAATGCCCGGCCCTGTGGTCGGTGGTGGGGAAGTGAACGCACTAGGCCCTGGGTCGGGGAATCCGTACTTCATCATTTATCACTGGAGAGGGCGTCATGTACGTTTTGTTTGAGTTTGTGTTCCGTCTTTCCCTGTGCATCTAGCAGTCTTCTAACATCTGCCCGTTTCTTCTTCTTTCTTCTAGGACTACCTTTGGTTCCTTGTGGACGGGACAGAGCACGAGAACATTGAGGGTTACGGCTGGTATGCCGCTGGCGACTAAATGAAAGACCAAGACATCCTTCCCCCATTCACTGTCGGCAAATGACAATCCATTGACGAAAGACCATCTTTTTCTGTTACGCGAACTTCATGTATATATGTATGTAAAGAAATATCACACCACGATGCATCATGCAATGCCTTCTGAACCCGGACGGAAAGGCTCTTCTTACGGAGAGTGATTTGGAGAAAAGCAGCTGCACTGGGTAAAGAAATCAGTGAACTCGAGCTCATTCCTCAAGACGGACCCAAATTATATCATGCCTACGCGTCCGCTGCCCAGCGGGCCAGCGCTGTCAGGCTCCGAGTTGTTCCTGAGTGGACATGACTTCGCTCGAGAACGATTGACCAACGGAGTCCGGCGTTGGCGACGGCGAGCAGGGTGGCCAATTCACCGCAACGGTACACCTTTTGCTATGGCCGAGCCAACGTCTCCTCATTACGTCGCAGTGGCCCTAACCCCAGCGGATGTTACAGCCCTACTATGCCCCCGTTTCCGCATCAATGTAGGCCAAATACCAACACCAGATCCCGTCTGCGTTGCCTGCGAGCCTATCCCAGTGGGGTGGAACAACAAGTACTTCCGAGTCTCTGTCGTGAGCGTCCCTGGTGCCAACTGCGGCGGCGATCAAACCATCGCTTCTTTCACAACGACGTACATCTTGCGGGTCAGCAATGCCAAGTCCTGACCTGCCGCAAAGATCATCAACGAGGTTGCCGCCTTACGCTACGTCGCTACAGCGATCAAAAACCGCCCCGTACCAACGGTCGTGGCATATCAGGTCGTCGATCCACTAAAACTTGAAACTGGCGAATTCCATTGGATGCTAGTGACAGAGATGCCCATGGACAACCTGCAAGACGCGTGGCCAACCCTCACGCAACAGCAAAAAGAGGCCGTGGTCGACCAGCTGGCACGCATCGTCTGCGAGATGCGCAAATGTACGTTTGACCGCATTGGGGGCTGGACCCTCACCAGTGGCGGCGACGGGGAGGGAACAGAAGCGCTACCTGCCATCGGCCCATACTGGACCGGTCCACTCGCATCTGTCCCACGCAATGATAGCGGTGACTTTCCAAACCTTAACCAGCGGTGGAACCGTGGTCCACATGCCACCGCCACCGATTACTACATGGCCGCCTTCGACGCGGCGTCAGCTTGCCTCCTCCCCGTCCATCCGGCCCTGCACGACCGGATCATCACAGCCCGCGCTTCTCTTGTCCGGCTTCTCGGCAGCCTATACCAGAGCCCCCCACGGTGATGTACCATGGCGACGTGGCCTTCAGGAACGTCCTCGTGTCTCTTCCTGCCGATAATGCTAGCGTCCCCGGGAAAATTGCCATTACGGCGCTGCTGGACTGGGAGTGGAGCGGAGCGTTCCCGGCGCCGCGCGAATGGGCGTGTGGAATGCTGCTTCTCGAAGGCCATGAGGAGGACAATACTTGGAGCGTGCGGCGATTTCGAGAGCGGGTTCAGGACGCGCCGCTGGCAGAGGACGTTCGGACAAAGTATGAGGCGATCGAGCATGCTTTGGACGCGATGGAGCTGTGGCATGATGATCGAAAGGACGGGTTTGTGCGGAAAGTGCAGCAGAAGATGGATGCGATTGTGTCGTTGGCGGCGGGTGCATCTGAATATATGGGGAATGGTGGAGACGGCAAGTCTTCTGCAACATATTTAGAGTCATTCACATTATAAGCTTGGTTCGCCGTCCAAGACCCTAGGTGATTCCCAAGGAATGTCAATTACCCGAAACTTGCCATATTGAACCAGTGGTAAGGTACCTGACTCGAAGAACAGTGCGGCATGGGTGGCGCTCAGAGACCAACTCCCGCTGATACGCGTCCGCCCGTTCAACCCAAAAGCACGAAATATATGGTATGTTCCCAGCACAGAGGAGGTCGCAAAGCTTTAAGAGACAAAAAGGGGAATACAGGCAGCATGATGAGGTCATTTTCGTATACATATATACCCTGTAGCCTTCCGCCCCCTTCCCTCCTTTCCTCCATGTGTGAGTGATGCGAGGACATGGTTTTGTGCATGTATAAGAGGTTGTTTCATTTGGGAGGGGCCCATTCGTCTCACACATCCCACACCCCACACCCCACATCCACCACGTCCCCGTTCCTCGCCTCATCCCCACCCCCTCTAAAGCCCCCAACGCAAACGCAAAGCAGAATCTCCCGCCTTCCCTCACACCCCTCTTCCCTCTTCACACAGTACAAAACTCAATCGTCCAAGTCTTCCTCATCCACAACCTCACCTCCACCGAAACCGGCTTCCCACCCAACAAATGCCCCGAGTCAAAAATATCCAGCTGCGACGGACGCGGCGGGAGCGGGTGTTCTGGCGGGCCGGCGCGTTGCGGTGAGCGCGGCGGGAGGGAGGAGCGGGATGAGGATGAGGAGGTGGATGTTCGGGATTTCGCGGCGGGGGAGGGGGTGGAGCCGGCGGCGGGAGGTGGGGCGGGGTTTGTGTCGTCGCCGTGGGTGAGGGGTTTGGTGGTGTCGATTGTTAGTGGGACCGCAGTGTTTGCGGGGACGGCTACGGGTGGTTGGATGACCTCTGAGCCGGATCCGACCTCGGAAGCGGGGGGTATGGTGATGGAGGGTGGTTCGACGGGGCTGGTTCCCGACCCAGATGACGATGAGGCACCCGCAATGGGATCATCGGACATGCTATCAACGAACTCAGTGCCGAGGATCGTGTGCAGGTTATTATCGCTCGATTTGGTTTTCCGCAACCAGTGCCCGGCTTTCTCCACAAAGCTCGGTCGCCGGCCGTTAGCCACTGAGCTGCGGCTGGACGGGTCGTCGGATATACTTCGGCGGCCTCCGAACACGCTGCTGCGGCGGCCTGATTTAGGCATGGCGCTCATGGATTGCCGACGGTGCGCTGCGTCGGTTTCGGCAGACTTGGCGGCACTGTTGCTGTCGATCCGGATGGTCATGGTTTCCCACCAGCACTTTCGCACGGGTCGCTTGAGAAGTAGGTGCTGGTTCAGATGGTGGTTGTGTACCGCTGCGGGGGTATCGGCTTGTGACACCTGCGTGATCAAGGATGGAGCAGCTGCTCCTGCCGAGCCTGCAATCGTTGCTGCAGCACCGGAGGCGGCGTCTCCACTCTGTTGTTCGCCGTCTACCGTTGAGCCATTGGTAGTCGTCGAGTTCTTGGCGCTTTCAGAAGCCAAATTGACATCGGCTTGAATGTCAGCTTGAATTTCCTCCATCTCACGCATCTTGAGCATGGAGACGCTGGACAATTTGCATTTGCCCAGCTCAAGTTCTCGGAAATCCCAGTTGGTACCGTCATGCTTGAGGTCGTCAGAGAATAGCTGCAGGGCGGCGACCAGCTGCCGTTTCATGATCTGCTCCTCCATTTCGCACACGACACGTTCGCGTTTGGGGAGTTTGGTTGCTGACCGTGGCGACGAGGAGCTATCACTCGAATCGCTCGGTGCGGCTTCTTCGGCAACAGGCACTGCGGCGGCCAACATTTCACGTTCGCCCTTCTCAAACAGATCCACACCGTGTTCCGCGTACTGCTTGACGACGTTCCGCTGTTTGATCAGCTGCTCGCCACAGGCTCGCTTCACTTGCGTTCCATCGAAGTGCGAGAGATGGTCCTCGACGTTCACGATATGGTTCTTGACATCGGCCATCTCGACTCCTTGACTTGACCCGACCATCGGCGCGGACTCCGAGTGGTACAGTCCCTTGGAACTTGCCCGACTGAAACTGTGCCTCACTCTCCGTTTGAGATTTTCCCACATCCCGTGCAACTTTTCGTCTTCGGGATTGCTCAGAACCGCCCATTTTGGGATCGGGAAGAACTCGAGTTCTTCCCTGAGCATGATGACCGAGTGAATAGGCCGTACGGACAGATCGGGATGGTTTTCGATTCTGGGGGTCTTTTCGGGGCCGAGATACGTTTGCCTTGATTCTACGCCGGTAAACAGCGTGACGATGGAGAGTTTCAGATCGGATAATCTTCGCTTGAAATTGAAGGGTGCTACTATAGATGCCCGTCGCTTCTCCGTTTTGGGTGCGCCTGCCTGATCTCCGATTTCCTTCTTTGAGGCGGAGATTTCAACGGGCAATGGGGAAATTCGGTCCGAGTCGTGGCTTTCGTCATTCGTAGGAGGTGCAATGGTCACTTGAGGAACCTCAACTCCATTAGGGTCTGCTGAGTCGGGTGCGGGAATGCAATCGCTACCAGCAGCTGCTTCTGCCTCTCCTTTCTCTGCGGCCCGGTTGGCTTCTTGAATCTGACGCTCCTTTTCTTCTTGCGCAGAGACCATGGCATCGTGGTTTCTATTGAGCACTTCTCGGAAATAATCGAGTAGGAATTGGAAGAGGCGGGGATCGAAATCGAGAACGCACATCTTATGACCTTCGATGTGACTAAGATCCATGCGCATGCTGTCTTCGGCTGGGCGAAAGACGGCTGGTGCTGATGAATCGGTGCCCTCCTCTGCACTTCCCTCGACCCCATCTTCGGAATCTGTGTCGGATAACGACTCCATGTCATCCTCGGCGTCAGGGTTCGGTTGGGCACCCGATTCGGAGTTGTAGTACTTGTGCCATTGGAGCGCAGCGGCTTTACTCAGAGATTGACCACCACCAGCGAAGGATGCACGTTTGTTTTGTTTTTGTTCGGATGCTGTTGCGCCGTTCGAAATATTATCCCCATTCGTCGGTGTTGTCCCTGCAGCGCCAGTAGTATCTCCGCCCGTTGCACTAACTGGCTGGCGTGACTGTTCACTATCACTGACGCGCCTCGCCTCCAAAGCCTGCGTCACTGCGCTTTGAGCCGCTGCCCTGGCCGACAAGCGAAGTCCACCTACGGTCGTCGATGCATCCCGACCGGTGACGACGGAGAATAGCGGGACGAGGCCGGTCGGAAACATTGTCATCAGGACCGAGTCCGGGAACAATCCCAGGACTGCTGACGATACTCGGAAGTGGACATCGCGTAGGCTGAGAAAGACCACGTCCGTTGGCGCTGCCGACTGATAGGAAAGCCCCCAGCCGCCTCCCCGGCTATTCCGCATCTGATTCTATTCCGCGGCGTCTGTATGGGCTTCTTGAAGGAATCCTTTCGTTCGGTCGTGGGAAAATGTGCGAAGGCAATCAAATACGATGCTCCTGCAAGAAAGGGCGCAGTGTCGATGGGGTTGGCAGACGATGGAGATGGAGTAGACGGTGAGGGCGAGCACAGGAGAGTAGCAAACGACAGACAGCTTTGAGTATATGATACGCTAGCGAGGGCGAGAAGGAAGTGTGGGGTAGGGCTTTGGGGGGAATAACTCCCTGGTGCAAGTGTGAGGTTATTATGGTGTTGGGGTTTGGACAGGACAGGCCTTCGCGTGGAGCCCCCTCTCATCAGAGTCGGTCTCGATGTCAAGGATGAGATCCGCTCGGATGGGAGCGGCCTAATGAACTCCGGATGGGGGCGCGGCGCTCATTGACGCGAGAGTCACACTCCTAAATTGAGTCCTAATACTGTAACTTAAGCTCATGGTCGACTGATGTCATGAACTCTCCTCTTGGCCGTGTTCTCAAGTTACCTCCGAGGCATATCAGACTTATTAAAGCCTGCGCAACGCTCACGTGATGAAACCCACGTGATGGAACGCTCTGATTCAATTACTCCCATACTTCCTGATTCAATTGAGAATACAACGTTTACAAAGTAGGGTTAGGGTTAGGGTTAGAGTTAGGGTTAGGGGTGGGGGTTAGGGTCTCGATTCAATTTAGAATACAGCGTTTACAGCATCACAAATCTGCCACATAGTAAGAATCTCGCGGCGGCAAGCTATCGTTTCAGAATAGCTTCATTAATCGCTTCATACAAATCAATGTGGCTCATCCGTGGGTGGCTCAGCGGCGCCGTGTTAGATATGGTGGCCGCGATGGCCGCGATAGCGCGGGATATGTCGCGCTATTGCCCAGCTGCTCTTTCCCCCCTACCCCCTCTTTGCGCTCACCACCTCCACCAACGGATCCCTCTCCCTCTGCTCTCCTCGACGGACGGCGAGCTCTCAACCATCACCGCCGACCGCTTTGACCGACGGCTCCCTGCCGCCAGCGCTCCCTGCCACGGCTTCTGCGGTTTTCGACTCTGCCGCGCGGGTCGCTGCACTTGTGGCCGCCGGTGGTTTCCGTCCACCGGCCACCCAGCTGGCCATGTCGCCCAGAGGGGCCGCCCAGCCTTCCGTGCCCTGTCAGCAGGGGTGGGGGGGGGGGGGGGGTTAGCATTTGCCATCCATCAGCAACCGGCGCGCGCGGTCTTACCCCTTGATCCTTGCCCACGGCCGTGATGTTCGAGGCTTTCCCGTGCAGAATGGTCCACATGATCGTCCAGCGCGCAACGTTGACCTGACTGGTGGAGTACGTGGCCGGGAGCACAGGCGCCCCCTTCGCATCGCGCTCCCCCACCGTGCCGTGAATAATCCAGCTGGCCATGCAGCACAACAGAACCCCGCAGGAGTCCATGTCCTGCTGGCGGGGGTGCGACACATAGATGGGGGGGGGGACGTGGGCCCACCTGCCGGCATAAACCCACAGTGGATCATGTACCGCACCCTGCCCATGATGCGCCAGCGAATGTCCTCGGTCCATGCGGCCGCGTTCATTTTCCCCGATCGCTTGCCGAACATGGAGTCGTAAAAGTAATGCCGGCCATCCGCCTGTTATGGACGACGCGTCCATACCATGCGCTTACCTCATGACAGCATCCCAACAGTCAGTCAATGTCAATTCCCTGTCAAAACCTGACATCTGCCAAACCTCGCAGCAGCACGCAGCCGCGCTACCCCACACCTGCCACTGCCTTCATTTCTCCACGCAGCCGCACGTAGCCACACCTCCCAACACTCGGCGCTTACAAACCCTTCTCCATACTTCCCCACGTACCCGCCGACAGCCTCAGCGTAGCCACCCCATCCCCAGTCTTCTGTTTCTATGCTTCCCCACCCTTGGCGCTTCTCTTGGCTTCCCTCTCATTCCGTACCCTTCTGCTTCCCCACGCTTCCCCAGCCTTCCCAGAAAAACATAAATAGCCGCCTCCCCTGAGCTCCCCACTTCCTGATCCCCCAGCAGATCAACACCAGTTCTTCCTAGTCTTGTTCTAGTTCTTGTTTCGGTCTGAATACCATTACCTGTCAACAACCTGCACCACAAGTCGCCTCTATTTCCATCGGCTCCGCCCATTCATAACACCGCCCAGTCATACCAGTACGAGGCGAAATGGTTGCGGTTTCTGTGGAGGATGAAGTGGGCAACGTCGGGTTCTGCTGGCGACTGTGGAGGGGGCTTGTTAGCGCGGGATGTGCGGCAGTGCCGCGAGAATGTACGGCACTTACCGGGTGAATGTATGCGGGAGCCAAGCACCCCTCCCCAATCAGCAGCGCCTCGCCCGCCGTCCACATGCGTCGTAGGGGTTGCCCTGTCTCCCTCTGGGTCACGGCCGCCGACTTCGCCAGGGTGTCGACGTACGTGTATATCGTGGTCAGCGACAGCCGATTGCTTGCGCTCTTTGGCCCGCCGGCCATGTTCCCCACTAGGCTGGCCATGTCGGGCGCGCCCATCCACCCGCTCCCCGCCTCCTTCAGGTTTGGGTAGAGGCCAAGCACGGTCGGCGGCAGAGTGAAGGGGCCGACGTCGCCATACTGGGCCAGGCGTGCGCACTCGTCCATCACAGCCTGTGGCGGCATCCAGAAGCCGGGCATCTCGCCGTGGCCGGTGGCGCGCGCATAGGGCACCACTGAGGCAGGCTTCGGCAGGCCCAACCCCCTCTCCACCTCCGCCCATGACTTTGGACACCCTTTGCATTGAATCCGATGCTCGTCAGCGGCGCCACCTGCCAGTGCTCGCGCGCCTCGGTGTTGCCAAGCAAGTACTCCTCCCCTTTGGCCAGTTTCGGTGCGGCCAGCTTGGGTTTGGGTGCCCGTCGTTTTGCCTCTCGTCTCCCCTGCGCAGATACCCCGCGTTAGCGCAGCACCGCGGCAACGTCCACTCACCCAACTCATACCTGCTTTGCCGCTTCCTGCATGCGCGCGTAAATGTCATCTGCGACGCCCCTGTAGCCTTCCCATATGCGGTCCGCCGCCTTCCCCAAAGTTGCCACGTTTTGCCTGATCGCATTCTTGCCCCCTTTCCCGCCATTAGCCTCTGAGCGCGCAAGCTTTTGAATAGGTGCATGGTTTCGTCGAGCAGCTTTGAGGCCTCGGGGCCGCCTGTGGCTTTGTACCTCCCCTTGAACCCTCCGTGATAGTCCGCCGTTTGGCGGGCCTGGGTCAGGCGAAGAGATAGCGTGGCCATATCCTCCGCCCAATTCCTATCCCTGTCCGACCCCTCCTCGTCCGACCCCTCCTCCTCCGACCCCTCCTCCTCCGCGGCTGCAGTGGGCCTGGCCCCCTTCTCGGGGGGCGCTTGCTCCGGCTCCCCCTCCTCTGCGCGCTTGCGCTTCCCAGCCTCAGCCTCCCCCGGCGCCTTCTCCGCTGCCTTCTCCGCCGTCTTCTCTGCCACCTCCTCCCCCACCCCCTCCGCCGCCTCCATGGCCACCTTCCCCGATGCCCCCTCGCCGACCCCGCTGACTGGGGAGCCAGAAAGCGCCTCGATCTGAGCAGCCGTGGGCCCTGCCCCCTCCCAGCCGTTCTTGGTCACGCCGGGCACCGATGCCAGCGGGTCCCCGGGCCTTTCTTCCGCGAAAAGGTCGTCGATGCTCACGTCCTCGCGCCGACGGAGCTGAATGCAGTCCCAGTACAGCGAGAAGCTTGCCACTTCCTCCTTGCTTGCGGTCTTGCCAAAGGTGTGGCCATACAGCGAGTACGGCGGCCAGCCCACGACAAGGAGGGGGTTTGTCAGCGCGCGGATCAGGGCCAAGGCGTGCGCCTGATGTCCCTGCCGGATGCACTGTTGTACTTGTCCCGAAGTGCGTCGCGGAGGCCCTCTCTGTTTTTCCAGATGGGCACGATGGGCGCCAGGGGTTTGCCTGCGCGGGGTGGGCGGAGCCAGAGACGACTTGGCTACGAGCGCTAGCGCGGCGGGTGACGTTAACGCGGGTCACGCACCTTCTTTTTCATCCCCGTCTTTTTTAGCCCTGTGTTTTCTCTTCCCCCCATTTTTCTCCCCCTCAACAAACAGGGAGCCCACGTAGGTGTCCACAGCACGCCGGGCTGCGCGGGCGGTGTCGACGGGCTGCCCCATCAGGTCCCCCGCCACGATCCGCGCTGTGTCGTCGCAGTCCGTGACCAGGTAGCTGCGGCCTGCGCTCCGAGAGGATGCAACGATGAGTCGGAGGGGCTCGCCGGCCAGTCTGCAGATCTCGACCAAGCTCTGGGCGGCTGTGATGAGCGCCCCCTCGGCGACGACGACGTCCGCGATGGTCGCCGATATGCTCCCCACGTCGTCGCGGAGCGCCCTCCTGTTGTCGGGGTCCAGCTGGTCGACCAACGCCCGCGCGAGGCTACGTTGTGCGCTGTGGCCAAGCAAGTTGGCGGTCCCGGGCCTAGCCTCCGCACCGGCAGCCTCCCTCATCCGCCCCATGTCGACGTCGGCCGTTTTCCGAGCTTCCGCCATGTCCGCCATGCTCAATGACCTGAACCGATCAGCGGGGTCGCCCGCCCGTAGAAGCTGCAGCATTCGGTTGACCATTCTTGTCTTCTCTTGCTGAAGGATGCGTTTGGCGGACTTTCCACTGCGCTTCTTGGGCGCGGCGCTCGCCCCCTCCTCCCCAGCCTCCTCCTCAGCGCGCCCCTCCTCCTCAGCGCACCCCTCCTCCTCCGCGTCGCCCTCCTCCCCCCCTTCCTGCTCATGCTCGCTCCCCTCGTCGCCGACGGCAAGTAGCACGCTGGTGGCCATGTCCGCCAGCGCCTCCTCGCTCTCGACGTCAGAGTCGGAGCCATCAGCGGCCTTGTCGGCGGCCTCCGCCACCTTCGACCGGCGGGCCGGCATCTAGAAAAAGCAGTGGATATGCATGTGTCGTTAGCGCCCGCGCGCGGCAGTGCCATATATATGCCCGCTCCACACACCGCCCGCGGTAGCGCCTCCCCGCCCGCGCTATCGCATCCTTATGGCGAGTCTGTGGTGAGGCTATATATATATGCCAGCTGCACACCCCCATACCTCGCCGGCCGCTTCCATGTTTGACCGGCTAGGGCCGGGCGCCTTTGCCGCCGCTTGGCTGCGAGTCTCCATCTTTGTGTGGGTGTGTGGGTGCGCGTGTGTGTGTGAGTGTGTGTGGGTGTGTGTGTGGGGGTGGGTGTTTCTCCGCCTTCCAGAGCCGGCCGCACTTAGCTGCTTAGCCAATCCGCTGGAGGTGGCGCAGTCGCGGCGCAGCCGTGGCTTGCCGGTCACATGTCCACACTGCTGCTGTGATGATCGCCGCATCTCCAGGACCACACTGCCACACGAAACGTCAAGCGCTTGCAGCGGACGACAGCCCCCCGGCCAGCGCCTCCTTCCAGCTCAAGCCCGGCAACTCACACAGAGCACGCTCCGACAATGCTCAGCGCTGACGAGGTGAGTGGCCGCTGTGTAGCCGTGGGCGTCTCTGCCGGGTGTTGACCGCCTGATCCCGCAGCCCATGCTGAGCACGACCGCCGCTTGCGGGAGGTCGACCGGCATGGGGTGCGCTGTCTGGGCGTGTTTGCTATCCGCTGATCCCGCCGCCCATGCTGAGCACGACCGCCGCTTGCGGGAGGTCGACCGGCATGGGGTGCGCTGTCTGGGCGTGTTTGCTATCCGCTGATCCCGCAGCCCATGCTGAGCACGACCGCCGCTTGCGGGAGGTCGACCGGCATGGGGTGCGCTGTCTGGGCATGTTTGCTATCCGCTGATCCCGCAGCCCATGCTGAGCACGACCGCCGCTTGCGGGAGGTCGACCGGCATGGGGTGCGCTGTCTGGGCGTGCTTGCTATCCGCTGATCCCGCAGCCCATGCTGAGCACGACCGCCGCTTGCGGGAGGTCGACCGGCATGGGGTGCGCTGTCTGGGCATTCTGCTGTGCCACGTCGATGGTCGCGATTGCGCGGGCTGAGCTGCTAACACCTTCCCCCTCCCCTTCCCCTCTACCGCGCCGCAGGCCACGCCACCCGTCCCACCCACCGCGGTCGAGGCTCTTCTGATGGGCATGGGCGAGAGCCGCGCCACAGCTATCTTCGGCGACACGGTGGCCTTTTTGTATCCGCTGCTGGTAGACGCCGGCCTTGCCGCCCGGGACGCCAGCCTAGAAGACAAGGCAAAGGCGATTGGCCTTTTTTCAAAGAAGATCAAGCAAGACAGCCCCACCCTTTGGGGTTGGTGGATCAATAGGCCAACGCGGTCCCGTCACCAGAAGAAGCGCGCCAAGCACCACATTGGGCTCCAGTCCGGCATCATTGCCGCAATCAGCGATGGCAGTCTTACCACGGCCGACTTCTCGGTGGACCCCCAGCCCTCCGCTAGCCGCCCGGCTGTTCACATCGTGGTGCCAACGCCCGCCTCGTGCGATGGCTGGGAGGGCGAGATGGCCTATGCGGGGTTTGGGAAGCGGCCGGCGAAGGCAAGGGGCCTGGATGGGCTTGAGCAAATTGAACCCCGGGGGGGGGCCGACATCTACATCCGCGACGAGCACGGCGCCCTTGTGGCCACAATCTCGTACAATAGCGCGGGTCGTCGCGAGCATGACCTGCGGCTGGGGCTCATCGTCGAGTCCTGTGGATCCCGGCCGGCTCTGGTTCGATGGAAGGCTTCAAGGGGCACAATGCACGCCGCGGGGCTTCGTCGTGGCGTCAAGCACTCGGGATATGCCAGGGGGACGTCGCACTATTCAATGAAAGGAGGGGCTGACATGTCGGCAAAGAAGTTTCTCGTCGCCACGGAAAAGGCCTTCACCAAGCGACTGCTGCAGGAGCTCACCAAACGCAACCCCACCGCGGCGGCCTACCTGATGATGTCCATGCCAGAGGTGTACGGCCCACACTCCGATGAGTTCGCCCCGCTGTTCACCACGACCAACTACCAAGTGGTCGTTCACTCCGACCCGTCGGACGACGGCGTAGCCGGCAAGCTGAACCCGCACACAGGCCGCGCCGTATGGAAGCTGACCCCCAAGGAGGAGCTTCCGGAGGAGCTTCAGGCCCGCAAGCTATGCACGCAATGGGTGGCAGGCTATGCCGCCGCTCCGCCAACCGTCGTCGGGGAGTGGATATTTGCGCTGCCAGAGCAAGGCTTCTACTTGGTGCTGCAGCCCAACTGCATGTGGACGTGGATGTCTGACAGGCTCCACGGAACGCCGGTGCTTGACGCGTCCGGCGGCAGTCGCCACACGGCTGTTGTGACGCTGCCCCTGGCGACGGCCGCGGCCATCCGGAAATACGGCCTCCCTGATCAAGACGAATAGCCGCGCCACCCCCAGCAGCAGCGGCCCCCCCTCGTGCGTAGATGTGGACCTTGACTGCGTAGATTTTGTAGACCTTGCCTGCCTTGCCTGCGTAGATTTTGCAGACCTTGCCTGTGTAGAAAGGTCCCATCAATAGGCGAGTTTGGCGCGCAAGAGTCCGATGTGGCGAGGGGCTTGCTCCAGTAGCGCGGGCGAACGTGATGGACCGGACCTCGCTGCGAAGCTTCGGCGGCTGGAGGCCCGAGCTGCCCGTCCAGACCTTGCCCAGCGTGTCTCCGTCCTGCGGGCGCCACAATGACACGCACACACGTTAGCGCTGGACTCGTGACGTTAGCGCGGGCGTGGGCGCTAACGCCTGTGAGGCCGCGTTAGCGCGGGCGTGGGCGCTAACGCCTGTGAGGCCACGTTAGCGCGGGCGTGGGTGCTAACGCCTGTGGGGCCACGTTAGCACGGGCGTGGGTGCTAACGCCTGTGGGGCCACGTTAGCGCTGGCGTGGGTGCTAACGCCTGTGGGGCCACGTTAGCGCGGGCGTGGGTGCTAACGCCTGTGGGGTCACGTTAGCGTGGGCGTGGGTGCTAACGCCTGTGGGGCCACGTTAGCGCGGGCGTGGGTGCTAACGCCTGTGAGGCCACGTTAGCGCGGGCGTGGGTGCTAACGCCTGTGGGGCCACGTTAGCGCAGGCGTGGGTGCTAACGCCTGTGGGGCCACGTTAGCGCGGGCGTGGGTGCTAACGCCTGTGGGGCCACGTTAGCGCGGGCGTGGGTGCTAACGCCTGTGAGGCCACGTTAGCCCGGGCGTGGGTGCTAACGTCTGTGAGGCCACGTTAGCGCGGGCGTGGGTGCTAGCGCCGGCGTGGGTGCCACTCACCGTGCCCCGGGGCTCCGCGTCTGCAGGCCTCTACATGGACGTGAGCAGACAAGTTCCAGACCGCCAAGACCGAGCTCCTTCTTACAATTGCGCACAATTGCGCACACTTCCACCCTCGCACATTCAAGGCAAACCCCCAGCCAATCTCTGAAAGCCTTCAGCACTTCGCAGGTAAGCGGGAGTCCAGGATCCTCCTCGAGAGCAGGCCCCTTGCTCGGCCCCCTTGATCTGACCACTTGCCTGCACAGCACAGCACAGCGCGGCACAGCCATCATGTCATCACACCAGGCGCTCCAGGGGCACCTGTGGGGTGGCTTCTTTACGGGAGCAACCACACCACGGCGGAAGAGGAGGAAGGTTACTCCGGCTACCCCGCGGCTGCCCATAAATCTGCCAGCCGCTGTGCAGACACCTTTGCAACCACCCCCGCGATTCGAGTTCCCACCTTCTGTCCATCGCCACTTGCCCCAAGCAATTGCAGACATGGTTAGCGAGAGCTCCGGCGATGAAGACGGGCAGCAGCAGCAGCAACAGCAGCGAGGGCTTTCGCCCGTGGACAGGGGTCTGCAGCGCCCACCGAACCTCCCCGCGCCCATCCCTTTCCGTTTTCCCAGCACACCGGGTGGATCCCTGGTGTATGAACCCCCGCCACCACCACCAGCTCAACGACCCCGCCCGCAAACACATGCCAGCACCAAGGTTTCGCTTCACCGAATCATCCAAAATCACAATCAAGTCCAAAGGGAGCGCCTGACAACGTTCATCGCCGATGTTCACGTCCTTGCGCGCCACACCACCTTCTTTATCAAGTACTACCTTGGTGAGTTTTTGAGGTACACTATACTGTATATTTCCCATAAAACAATGTCCTGACTGCTACATCTGCCCACCCCACCACAGCTGACCATCCTCTACACGATTTCCCGGACATCACCGACAAGCACATCAGTGTGATGTTTGAGCTGCTCAACAATCCAGGCTACAATGGCAATCCGCTCATCGCGCAAGAGTTGCGTCCATGGGTTCAAGACTACTGTAATGTTCACGGATTTGCCCCCATCCGCATGCGAAATTGCCAACAGACCGCAGCGTACACGGCTACGAGCATCCTCACAAACCTCAAAGTTAACGTACAAGAGCATTTCATGCAAATGTTTCTGCGCTACGTCAATGAGAGGCTTGGTTTGAAGCAAGTCGAACGGCATCTCCGGAGAGCGCAGCGGCGACACTATTATCGTCGTGTCTGTCAATTTACAAAGTACGCGACGTTTGAAGAGTACCCAACCGAAGAGGAGCTTGCACGCCTCACACGACTTGAGCAGACCGTCCTCGACGAGTTATGGGCTCTTTTTCCTCCCCAGGATGAGCCGCTTGCGTACAGCCTTGCGGTGGACGCAATGCCATATTTAGGTGAGTTAGTATATATCCGTCCCCCCCCTCCCCGCGGGTTCCGCTTTTGTCTAATCATGGTCCGCACCTGCCTCGCCTCATCACAGGTGCCTATTGTGAGCTCTCACGCCTCTATGAGCGCCGTGGAATGCGGCTGTTTTCCGCTATCCCGCTGCGCAAATCTTGAATCCAGTCATCTGTTCGGATCGACACAAAGATCCTAGGCACTCATATCCTGGGCTTGAGCCAAAGTCGCATGGGGAAACTTACCGATGAACGCAAGCGGGAGCTGTGGGGGCAGTTTCTCAATGTGAATGTAAGTTAAGTCTGTATCCCTCTGCGCTTATTTCAATCACCTCGCTGAATGACGATTGGAGGACAAGGTCTTCAAGGATCGAAAGAAGCTTGGTCTCAAATTTGATGGGTCAATCAGCACAAACGGGTATTCCGCTACCACCCACTTCAAGAAGCCAGGGCTCAAGTACGGCCATCGCGCTCGGAAGCGCAGCAAAGCCCAAATGCAGGAAGAAGTCAAGCAGCTGTATTTTGAGCACCACATCGCCGAACTAAGGGAGGCTCCAAACATCGTCTGCATTGATCCGGGCAAGCGTGACCTCTTGTTCTGTCGAGACATCAAGAAGGAGCGGCCATTTCGGTGCGTTTCAGTTGATTACTACTGCCCTGCTGTCCCCGCTACCCCCCCCCCCCCCCCCCGTCTCCGCCCGCCAGCCCCCCGTCTCCACCCGCCAGCCCCCCGTCTCCACCAGCCAGCCCCCCGTCTCCACCCGCCAGCCCCCCGTCTCCGCCCGCCAGCCCCCCGTCTCCGCCATCCCCGTTGCGGCGACATTCCGTTGCAGCGTCCTCACAATGCACCACCCCATATCAGATACACATCCAATCAACGGGCGGTCGAGACAAAGTCTCGGTACTTTCAAAGAGACATGAGAGAGCGAAAGATCAATGCCGGCATCGCTGAGATGGAATCACATATTCCATCGCACAAGAGCATGAACATCGAGGCGTTCTCAGCGTTCATCGTGGATTACGAACATGCGGGTATGATGTTCCACTTCAACTTTGATTTTCAACTTTGGTAATACATGGGCTGACATCTATATCCCAGATCCCGCCCTGGATGAGTTTTACCAGGATAAGGTTCACATAGCTCGCAGATTCAAGGCGTTCTCACTGCGGCAAAAGTCTGAGAGCAAGCTCATCAAGGACATGCGCCGCCTGTATGGAAAGCATTTTTCGGTCATCTTGGGTGATTGGAGCGACGCTGGAAAAACCATGCGCTTTCAGGAGTCATCAAAGACCAAAGGGTGAGTGACCATCATTGTTTTTTATGTATTATAATACGCTCACTCATGGGGGGAAATCAGATTCCGCACACTCTTTGCAAGAAACAGCATTCCATGCTACTTGCTAGATGAGTATCGAACGTCCTCCCTGTGCCCAGACTGCCACGGGCGTGTGAAGAAAAACATCCGACGCCGGCTGTCACCTCGGCCGTGGCAAGCTAGAAAGGGAAGAATGGAATACGTCCATGGATTGGTGGGTTGCCCCAACCCCGAATGTATCAACCAAGACTGGACGCCGTTTGAGATTCCTGGAAGACAACCACTACGACTACGGATGAAAGTGCACAATCGGGACGTCCTAAGCACCAAGAATTTCCTCTCGATTGTGCGTTCGGTGGTGTTTGGCAATGGCCGCAGACCAGACGCATTCTCCCGTAACCGTAGGTAGTCTAGATTTCACCCCATCCCATTTTCCGTGGGGGTTATCTGCCATCCACATCATTGTACCTCTGCCTGAGGCGTCGCCGATGATGGCAACTTGTATTCCCAAACAACATTCCAGATCCAGCAAGCAGGACACTCCCCAGTTCGGGTATATTGGCAACCGCCGCCGTCAATGGGAAGGAAGTGGGTCAGAACGACGACGGCAGGACGGGTATCAGTCTCCTCACGACTTTCAGTGTCATCTTGTGAGCCATCTTGCGCTTTGTACCGTAACAGGGGAGAATATGAGAATATTCCCACCTGGTGTACTCGACACTAGCTCGACAGTCTTTGATGGAGTCACACAGCGGTGGACCATCTCTTGACAGTGCGTCAAAATCCGTCTTGCTGGTTCTTACAGGTTGGCGAGATAACTCAACAGCGATGGAGAACCGACGCTCGAGCCTTAGAGAACTGCGTCCGCCGCCGCGCCTCACGATACAAAAACCGAATGTCACTATAGAAATCCTGCACGGGTGTCCGTTGTGCTGGTATTCACAACGAATGACGAAGGCCCAAAGTGAATGAATCACAAATGACAGGACCGGAAGGAAAGGTCAAAATGAAATTCGTCGAAACAGGCCTTGGATTCTCTCTCGCTCAATAAGAGAAACAAAGTCTGGAATGCATCTGGCTGTATCTAGTGTCAGCAGAGATCATTCCTGTCGGGTGCGAACCGAAATCTCTTCAGAGCCTTTCTTTGATGAGCGCAGATCCTTCGACAACTTGGTAGACAACTTTGTATGTAGAATGGTTGCACCTTAGTGGTTCCGAAGTTTACTCCTGTATATTACATGGGCATTTTGTCCAAGGTGCCCCTTGCGGATAGCGGTGAGGCGGCGCTTCAACCTCTGAGTGAGCATTTGTGTGGAATTTTGTGCGCATCGGTGTACTGCCGAAAGCAGCCCGAAACATGCCCTGCACCCAGGCATCCCTCCCCACGAAACATATACAGAGTAGGTCCCTGTGCCAGAGCGGAGTTTGAACCTTGATTGAAGGAAGCTCACATGATGAGGTCTCTCACGTTGACCGCAAGCTGGCTGACCACGCAAAACAATTCGAAGCGCTGACCAAAACAATCCAGTGCGATCACCGCATGTGCCAAACCGACGTTCGTCCTGTCGGAAATGCGCCCACGCCTGTCGAGATACGGCGCCGTAAGCAAAAGGCCAAGCAAACAGGGCTTGCCTGTTGCTTCTGTGTTCCTGCCGCGTTCGATGATCGAATCCATCACGAGGCCCCACCGTTCACCTTCCTTCAACCACTGCGTAGTCAACTTTGCGAGTGGAGGTCCTGTTATCTCTCTGTGCATATCCTCTCTACGACATCCGGCACTTTGAAATCGAGTGTATCCTATCGTGAGGCCACCGCGCAATGGCGCATTAGGTATGTGTGTCAGTCGGGCATGTACTCGGAACTTTCGTCGGTGTCTTGGACTGTGGGAAATTTACTTGGGAAAACCGGGCTCATAGATTTGTTGAAACCCTCAGTGGTATTCTCCTCGGACCCAACACCTCATATCATAGAAGCCACGAAACGGCGCAGTTTTGTAATATCTTCCGCAGCTATGGTTCTAACACTCGCGAGTACTCGCAGCTCGCCCAGTCCTGTGGACTCGAGAGCGGCAAAGTATGAAAAGGCAGAGACATCAGTAAAATACAGGACTTGGACCGCAACTTCGTCGCCGGCGAGAAGTTCACTTATGCGGCCGACTGCCTCCTCGGCGGCTAAAGTCACCGTTAAGGTGCCCACGACTCCGAAATCTGTCAGTTTCGCCACATCGCCTCGGACGCCTAGCCCCGCAGGCGCAGCCCAGATGTCCAGGGAAAGGAAGACGCTAGTCAAGAAGCCGTCCTTCGTACTGCCGGCGAAAGTCCACCTCCCCCAGCCACCCATTCCGCTGATGAGCCAATTCGCCGTGCCAAAGAAACCATTGGGCCCTCGATTATCGATCGCCGCCGCCGCTGCCGCACCACTTGCGCAATATTCCCCGCCTAAGACCGCGGGATCGTCCTATGATATTACCACCAGCCCCAAAATCACCACTGGCGGCCCTAAACATTCCGCCGCGAGACTACCTCGATCACCACCAAAGCAACCGGTCGTCAAAGTATCTCGCTATCCAGTCCCATCCCCACCCTCTTCGCCGCCTAGCGCAGTCAAAAGGGTATCAGCTTCAGCCCCCTCATCCCCTAACACAGGCATGCGAAGGCCTTCCATATCAGAGATGCGAGTCATCCCTGAACCACCCGCCAAATGCGTCCGCTCCCTTTCATCCACCTCATCCCACGAACTCAGCAAAACATCCCGCTCCTCGTCGATCAGCACGGCAGTAACGTCGCCAGCAGCCGCCCGGAATGACATGTCGCCAACACCCAGGCCGATCACCGACTACGCACGTTACCTGCACCAGACCATCGAACGCGGCGAATCCATCTTGGAAAACAACGAGATTGAATTGCTAGCGCTCGAGCGGAACCAGTACCGCGACTCGTTCCGCCGCGCCGATTGCGAGAGGAACGTGTTGCTCGAGTACATCATGGCCGAGCAGAACCCGAATCAGAAGGAGAGGCGGAACAACAGCAAGAACGCCGTCTCCGAAAAGGCGTTGGCCGATCTGCGTAAAGAACTCGCGGAGTCAAACAGCACCATCTCGATGCTCTCGCAAAAAGTCACCGAGCTGGGCGTGCAGGCGCGAAAGGACGCTACCACCATCGCCTCGCTTCGCAATGACTTGACCACCATCCGTTACGCTGAATGGGACTCTGGCGTTGAGCTGGAACAACATGCCACCGTCCAGTTGAAGCGGCGCGGATCGAGGTCTCCGTCAATGGCGAGGAAAGCGTCTGCGTCGGACGATGGGCCGGTACAGGTCACCGTCAGTCGGGGAAACAGCCCTTTGCTGTCGCGTAAGCTGACTCCCGAACCTGCGACGGAGAAGCCTCAGCCGAAACCTCAGGCTGAAATCATCGTGAAGGAAGAGAAGAATGACGATTGGGTCAGCTGCTGGGATTCCTCGGCTGCGTTTGCCCATCCTTTCATGTAGTCCTTGGAAACTGTTACATACACAGGGTGAGAAGACGGTCACAGTGTCGAATTATCACCAAACCCCGGTCTCACAACATCTGTTCTCTCAGGTTACCATAGCCGTGCCACCCCACCTGCCCCTCTTCATTCTCCGGACGTAATCACCAGCATCAGTCTTGGCCCTCTCAGCGCCCGTCATCGGCTACAAAATCAATCCTGGATCATAGGGGATCCACCTTTTTACTTCTGGAAGTGCAGTTTCCTTGTTTTGCTTTTTTGTTGAACAGGAGGCCTTACTCGAAAGGGCCTCATATCAATACCCTCCCCTTACCCCTCAACGTATACTCCTTTACTTTTACTGTACTGATAGTGATACCAGGACCTCATAACGCACTGTTGTACTGACTACATCAATACATAGCACTTTCTTTTTCTGTACTCTTGTGATAGCGTACATCATGGGGTTGGAGAATCATCAACTTCCCAGCAGCTGCAACTTTGTTCATAATACATTCAAGTCCTCAGAGGGAACGAACACTTGCTACACTGCGTGTTCCTTCAGATCGCTCAGGGATCCGGTGGGCATTAACGGGCAGTGAACCTCATCAAATTACTGGCTGGCCCTAGTTAGCTTCGCAACCTTCTCGGCTCTTTCCCGTGTCCACGGCCAGGCTCAAATCTCTAATACGCCGCGTCCGTTGTAGCCCGACAGTTCTTGCCCCATTCATCTTCCTCCCACTGAGTAATGAGAACATATATGATCACCCGACGTGGGTTTCGTTGGCACCATCTCGCGAGAGCCAATTGGCTTGTATCGAGGCCCACATCAAGGAAGTGAATTGTTTTGGAAGATCCTGAAGTAGGGTATGAGCAGCGTACCCCCATAGGGTCAGCTGAATGTACATGACGGGTGGCTGCTGCCACCACCAGTCTCGGTGCCGCTCAAGGGGTGTTAATCCCCTGCTACCACCCGCAAACAAGGGAAGTTGGGGCATTCGACCCAAACACGAGTCAAGGTTGATAATTGCGTGTCCACGTATTGATAGCATAGACTGTCAGTAAGGCTCAAGAGCCCTTCTCCTAAAGCGAGCAGCCTATACCGGGACAAGAAGTCGTCCCTTGTTCCATCCAAAGGTATCGTGGTCGCCGGTGTGGGGGTTGTCTGGAGGACATGTGAAAAGCACACTGTCCAGGCGGGAGATGGCGAGAATGGTGTGGTAATTGACCCACGGCCTGAGGATTCAACCTGCTTGGTAACCACCTTGACGTCCTTCAGCCCTGAAAAGCGGTCGGAATGATCGGTGAGAGTTCGGACGAGTAGGTCCAGCTGGTCGTTCGAGATGTGCACGCGGGTGTAGAGGTTTTGGAGGAAGTGGTTGGTCATTTCTGACAGACGGCAACCATGTTCCCTGAGCCATACTGTCTGCTTGGTTGAAAGTGAGTGAAAAAAGCTCAAAGGGAAGATTCGGGGTGTTGAAGCCGGTCATAATGCTGTGGTCCCTCGGTTGACGTTCCAGGCGCTGACTTCCGAGCAGATGTCAAGGTCCAGTGGGTGGTATAATGTGATCATCGGGGCAGAGCAATGCCAGTCGCTCCCAAGTACTCGTCGTTCGATCCATCGACCTCCGAAATCAGGTCGACCGTAGCGCCTGTGAGAATATAAGAATCAAGTGAAAGTCATTAGCACTACCGCTGGTAGTTGTACTGTAGTTGTCCTTCTTGTCTTTGCAACTGGCGGACGACGAGACTGTTGAAAGACAAAGAACGCGTCTTAATTCCCATCACGTGCTTTTGACTTAAACTCATGGCCCGCGTGTCGACGGTATAGGGAATCTCGGCAAGGCATCCAGTGTTTGAAAGGCCTCTGGAAAGTCGACGAAGCAGACGACGTCGGGAACATATAGGCACGATGAAAGTTAGTATCACACCCGCAACACCACAAGGAGCAGGAGCGAACGGATGGATGGACGACGGTCGAGGGGCGGCGTGCGTGCGCTGGCAATGGATGGATGCATGAGGGAGTGGCTGATGGATGGAAGTCGAATTGGTGCATGGAATGTGAATGTGGACAATGGCACGGAAAACCTACGACCGGCGCAACAACGAGGACTACCGAATGACGGCAGAGCAAGGGACGTGACGACGTCGGCTATGGAGTGGGAGGCTGTAGCTTACCATGCAGATTGCATTTATGCTCAATTTGTGCAAACCGGCTGGGACGTCGAATTGCATTGCCATAACGACGAGTGGGAGGACAGAGCCAGCTAGGTGGACGGAAGAAGGAGGGAGGGCTATGCCGAAACCGTGAACGCCGAGGGGATACTATTGACCGTCGAGCGGAGACTGATCGTTTCAAATTCTCTTTGTTACCAATTTACAGTTGAACATTGCTTACCCCGCCCTGGGCACCCAGAAGACCATCGAGGTCGACGATGAGCGCAAGTAGTGAGTATTCCTGTCGAATTACGCTCAAAGAGGATATTGGGAATCTGGAGCTGGGTGGTGGGAAAGTGTCGAGAAGGCATGTCGATCTGACGATTCGCCTTGTCCTTCGCTCAGCCGTATCTTCTACGAGAAGCGCATGTCGCAGGAGGTTAAGGGAGATGCCCTCGGTGACGAATTCAAGGGTTACATCTTCAAGATTACCGGTGGAAACGACAAGCAGGGTTTCCCCATGAAGCAGGGTGTTCTTGAGGCCCGCCGTGTCCGTCTCCTTTTGTCTGCCGGCCACTCTTGCTACCGCCCCCGCCGTACCGGTGAGCGCAAGAGGAAGTCCGTCCGTGGATGCATTGTTGGCTCCGACATCGCCGCCCTTGCTTTGGTTGTCGTCAAGCAAGGTGACGCCGACATCCCTGGCTTGACCGACACTCAGGTGCCCAAGCGCCTTGGACCCAAGAGGGCCAGCAACATCCGCAAGATGTTCAACCTCACCAAGGATGACGATGTCCGCAAGTACGTCATTCGCCGTGAGATCCCCGGCAAGGGCGACAAGAAGGGCTACACCAAGGCCCCCAAGATCCAAAGGCTGGTCACCCCCCGTACCATCCAGCGCAAGCGTCACCTGAAGGCCTTGAAGGTTCGCCAATCCGCGAAGGTTGCCGAGGTGAGTCAATGAAGGCCATAGAATGCCGTTGGATCTCTTGTTCAACTTGCGATAAACGACAGATGAGACTAAACAACGGTTTTTTAGGATGCCGCCGAATACGCGAAGATTCTCGCTCAACGTATCAAGGAGCGCAACACCAAGCGTCAAGAGCTCCACCAGAAGCGTCGTCTCTCCTCCACCCGCAAATCCACCACCCAGGCATAGATTCGCGTCGTGACGCTTATACCGGTCATGATCATCGCATCTGTATTGGGGTTGTAAAAAATTCAATTTCTCTCTTCCATCCCTTTTGTCATCTTATTTTATCTTGGAAGGACACTCGACAGCATGCGGATTGGGGGATTCAGCAAACGCATCTTGTCGAAACGTTTCCAGCATTCAATATATCTATCTGACCCTTGAGGGCTTTCTGGATTTGCTCACTGACGAGGACTGGGACTGATGGTTGGTAAAGGCGTGGAACAACAGGGGAAGCAGAAGGTGTGGAAGCTGCTCTATGTTGGAAAGGAATCCAAAGGCCAGACGTTGGATTGAGAGGGAGGAAGGGTATGTCCTGTGCAGGCTACAGTTTGATGACGCCCGCCATTAGAAACGACATTAAAACTCAGCAAGTCTTGCAAGGGGCAATATGCCAGATGGCAAGTCCCCGCCCGGTGCTGGGTTTTGCACTTGGCCGAAGTTGGAAGTCCGGCGAAGTCCTCCCGTTACTCAGCGCTCACATACAGTATGTACGTACGTTTGCGCAGTCGCGTCGCCAACCATCGCGACCGTCGCCAGGCAGCTGCTCAACTACCATCCCCCATCTTTGAACCCCCTGCGTCTCCATGCGTTCTGTGAATATGGACACAGACCCCCAACAATTGTAGAACATAATGTGCGCAAGAGGCTGCTCTTCACAACTGTCTTATTACTTTCTTTATTATTACAACAAAACAAACAAAAACACTAATCTAAGGAAACCTGAGCATCATCATTGTCGAATCCCGCAAACTCCTCATTGCTCTCCTCTGCTGTAACTCCAGAACGGCTTCATTCCTGCACGGTGATGTTACGGTGGTTAATGATGGCCTTCCATGTGTCACAGAACACATAAGTATCCCTCTCTTTTGCGGCGGCAGCAATAAGCCGTGCAGTGGCTTGAGAACAAGAATGACCTTCCTCAAGTCAGTTGGTGGTTCCTCAGTCCAAACTCTTCACCACCGAATCAGCGCACCTGGTAGAGTAGAGGGTGGACAAAGCTTTCTCAAAGCGTACACGGAACTCTTACCTCTCCTAGTAGCACGTCTTCTGGGGCATGCACTTTTTTCCTGTCCTGCTTGGTAAAAGTCCGCAGTAAGTAGCTATTCAGCTGAACAGACAAGCTAGTGTTGCTCCCCATACCTGTTTTAGTTATCCCACAAACTTCCAGGTCTGTTGGTTGCGTCTGGCTTGGCCATTCACAAAAGGAACGCTGAAAGGCTGGAAAAAGGGAAGGCGAAGGAACCAGAAACAGAGACGCGCGGGCGTATGTGAGCGCTGAGTCCCGTTATGTCCGAACGTCCGAATGTACGGCGCTTACGTGTTAAGGACGAGGCACGCGTCAATCTCGCGTGCTCTGTTTCTCCACACGATCGAGGTGTCATCACGCCATTTGTTTGTTTACAGGTTTATGAGGTACATATGTATGGTACGCATGTTGAAATATGGCATTCAAAGTCCCGATATTATTGCAAAGATGTCTCGAAACACATTTAAGAAACAACGATTATACAAGTAGCACCAATGTCAAGAGTATTAAGAAATGTACATTCAGCGGCAGGCAGGTATATTGCTCGCTTAGGGATGTAAAAGGAAGGGGGTTCTTCGGCCGTGACGTTGGGTTTGAAGCAGATGTGATCCACCAAATCATTCACAGTCCAGACACTCAATCTATCCTTCCAAAAATGAAATGGGCGGTCACTTCGCGTAACAAATGTGCGAAAGTGGCAATCGTTTCCGGTGTCCATCAGCCTACGGCTGCTGGTTGGTGGTATTCGAAGGCGACGTCTGAGTATTCGGTGCAGTGACCGTAGAGGTGCCTGCCTCACCGCCTCGGTGTATAACCTTCGCCTGACTCGCCAGTGTATGAGCATGTGCCAGTCGCTCAAAGACATCCGCACCGGTCGGTCCACGCAGATTTGCGTTTGCATTGTTGGGATTCGACACAGAGGTGTTAAATGCCCATGCTGTCGACGGTGTCGGAGCGGACGATGGCGGTTGTGATGGGGCGGTGTGGGTGGTGTTGTAAGCGCTGTTGAATGCAGTGCGAAGGGCCTGGAAAGGCGCGCTGGAGGTGGGATTCATTGATGTGGTGGGATACGCCGGTGAAAGAGCTTGCAGCTCGTCCTGCTGTGGAGGTCTAGCAGCGTTCGCTTCGAAGCCTCGCCTGGGCTCCGGTGCCGGGTTTGTCTTTCGAGTGGGACTGATCATCGGAGGTGTTTGAACGCGTTTGGGCGGACTCGTACTCGGTACCCGCTGACGGTCACCTGCAGAAGCCCACCGTGGACTCCTCTCGCGGGGTTCTGAGATGGTTTCCGGTGCTCTCATGTGGTGAGCTCGTCGCTGGACTCCCGGAGGTAGGATCTCACGTGGCGACGCGCTTGTGCTGCTGGAGCCAGATCCCGATCTTTGAGGGCTTTTCCCACCCGATGCCTTTGGCTTCAAGGTTCGATCGGGCGACGCAGGCTGGTCTCGCCCGCGCGAATCTCCGTCTCGCGATGAAACTTCCTCAGGGACGTTTCCCTCGTCGACAGGAGGTGAGCTCGCGGCCGCGTTTATGGAAGTCACCGTCGGTGACCCTGACCTTGTGCTCCCCTTACTGTCAACATTCTTGGCGAGCCGTTTAGCGAGCTCGCCGCCTCCAATGAGAGCAAGGCGGTCCATGAAGCTCATGCTCTTGGTCACTGGTGCCGCTTGCGCCTCCTGGATGATGTTTGTAATTGCAGCTTTCTGTTCGGTGAGATGAAGTGTGTCAGGAGCCTTGATGTCACTGTCTGCGCGCTCACGAGCTGGTGCAACCTGAGGCATATCGTTTGAGACTTGCGCTCTATGAACCGTCACGGGAGGATTTGTCAAATTGATAGGGACGGGCTTCATCGACTCTGCCACGACATCAATGCCCGCTTTCGGTTGAGCGGGCTCGCCTTTGTCGTCGTCATGCCAGGCTTGCTTCGTTTTCGATTCGGGCCGTGTTGGAGATGGCACAGCGCCGTCCCGAACAACCGCATTCTCCTTCTCGGCTTCTCTTTCTTCGAGCTTGGTATCGTTGCTTTGCTCAATAGCATCAGCTATCGCCTTTTTGAACTTACGCTCAGCTTCTTTCGATGCGAGTTTGAGCTCCGCCGTGATCCTCTCCTTGTCACTCAACCGCTGCTTCAGATCAGATTCCCTCGTTTCGCTTTCTTCGACCGCGAACCTCAACTTGACAATCTCATCAAGGTACAGCTCAACGACAGCTTCCAACTCGAACGGGTCAAACGTGCGCACAAGGTTGAGCGCATTCTCCCAGCCTAGGTCAGAGTTCCCAGGGCCAGCTGGGGACGCCATATCGTCTTGCTGTTGTGATCCTCCTTCCGCGCCAAGACGAGCAAGTCTCAGAGATTCTTCAGCTTCCACGATTTTGGCATTTACCGTCGCAATCTCTTGGTCGAGTTCACCGAGGCGACCATCCATGTACTGCCAAGCCTCAGGTTCGTAGCGACCCGTGCGGGCTTCTTCGGCTTTGACCACTTTTTCCCGCTCGTCAAGCAACTCTTTTTGTTCACCAGTCAGCTTAGCCATGGGAACTTGGAGGGCAGCCAGAAGAGCTTTTGCGCGTCGGACGGCCAGGCAAGACTCGAGTTCCTTGTCCAGCAATTCTTTCCGGAGGGCGGCGCGTACACTTAGCGACCCTTCCAGATCCAACTCGGAAAGCGTTTTTCCTTCTGGCGAGTTTCGCCCGGATGTTCGGCTGAGGCCAGTCGATGGTCTTTGTCGAAGAACACTCGCAGATGACCCTGGTCGCGTTACGGGCGCGGAGGTGACTTTCCAAGTGCCGTGATTTCCTTTGACGCGCTTTGGAGATGCGCTGCCGTTGGATGTCCCCGGTTTGGAGATGCGTTGCGGCGTTGTGGTCCGTCTCAGGATTTTCATGACCGACTTTTTCTGACGGGTGTCATCGGTGCGGCGCTGCGACATGATCCTTTGCAGCTGGGAAATGAAAATTTCGATTAACACCAGATCACAGCGTTCCGACTACAGACCAAAGCCCTCACTTGTATCTGGTTCTTATGCTCCATCGTCTTCAGCATATCCGCAGCCCGCTTCTGTTTCCTTATCAAATTCGCGATCTCTCTCTTGCTCTGCATTTCCAAAGACCTCGCCAGTTCTCTTTCCCGTCTCAGCTGCTTCACCATCCGCGCCTTCTCCGATTTCAAGCTGAGGACAGTGTCTTTCAGATTGCGCATAAGCCCCTCCTCCTTTCCGCGACGTTCATCACGCGATTTCGATGTTTCCGCCAGCCGTCGCTTGTAGCTATCGATCTGTCTTTCCAGTTCGCGCCGTTTGTCCTCATATCGTTGCTTGATGGCCAACGTGCCCTTCTTTTCGTCGCGCTTTCCTCCATCCTGCATTTTTTGCAATGCCAGATCCCGCTCGGACTTCGCTTGATGTAGTTCAGCTGTAAAATCGCGAAGTTTCTGATCGTACGAGGCTTTGAGTGATTCGTATTCTTGTTCTCGCATTTGCATGCGCGACATGATCTTCTCGTGGTCCTGGATGTCTGCTTGGATTTTTGCGATACATTGTAGAGCGTCCTCTTTGACCTTGTCCACCGCGCTTGCGGACCCGTCGTCTTCGCCTTCGTCAGTGACGGAGAAAAGCATTGACGGTTCTCGAACGAGGGACACCTTGGAACGAACCCCGTTTTAAGAACACATATCAAGGAATATGAGATTGATTGCGCAGTCACTTACTGCTCGTGGAACTCCGTAAACCTTTACGTTTGCAGAGTCTCCTTGGTCGTCTTGTGTTTCCTCGATGCCCGTTAACTATATCAAGTCTCTTTGAGTAAACAACACCGACGTAAATCAACAAACTCGATCACTCGATTACTCACATCTGTCGGAAGTGGATTCGCATTCAAAGCCTCCATTAGACGCTTCTCGCCCGCTGCTTCCACCACGTCATGTGCATCCACTTCGTTTGCGACCTCAAGCACACCCTTGAACACAGGCTTCAACGGAATGTCAAACTCAACAGCGATCTCATCCGCCTCTGGCCCAATTTCTTCTGCGCTCCAGAGGCCACCTTCCGCATTCCGACTAGGTGCAGCAAATGCGTTCTTGCCGCTTCGCGTCTTCCCGCTGAGCTTTGCAAGGACATCGTTGTACCAGTTGATGTTGTCCTCTGCTTCCGAAAGACGGAAGCGGTAGTCGGAGATGGTGCGCACGTAACTTTGAATGATGGGATGCGCGGCAACCAGGCTTCGATACGCTGCCTGAGTGGTGTGTCTGCTTCCTGGGATTGGCGATGATCCGCTGCTTGTGGATTCCACTTTGTCGGCGTTTTCTTTAGGAGGATCGCATACCTCCTGCGCCGTGTTGGCCGGTGCTCTATCCTCAAGAACCCGTCGAAGTTTCGCCACCCCTGTATCGTCATCGTGATCTCCTTTACGCTTCTTGCTCGGAGCCAGGCTCTGGGTATAAGCCACGACGACTTCATCTCTTCGGACGATGGCATCCGCCAACTCTTTCCCCAGCTCTCGACACCGGTCCTGCAGTCGAAAACATCGGAATTTCAACCGATCGTTCTCGAATCGCATAGCGTCCCTTTCACGTCGCATGCCTTCGAGCTCTTCTTCTGTTTCACGGTTTTTTTGAATCCGCATCTGCGCCTCCCGATCGCGAATGCCGCCTGGCATGGAAATTTGTTGATTCTGCTGGTACCCAGCTGCTGCGAGGTCGCCAAAAGTGTCTGATCTTGCCATTTCGTTCCAAGTGGCTCCACCAGCCCGCAATTGCGCCACTGTTGCTCGCAAGATTCGAATTTCTCTTTCCATAGCAACAAAGTTCGCTCCATTCGCGCCCCACTCTTGGTTGATGACCACTTTGTTCTTGATGTTTCGAGCCCGGTTCGCATAATTTAGGGTATTGAGGGTCTCGGCATAATTGCTGCTACTCGGACTGACGCAGGCAAGCATAAGGGTCTGGCTGTTCCCACCAAGGCTGTCTTGCAGCATCCTGGTGAGTTTCGAGTCCCGGTATGGGACATGCTGATTGGCGGACCTTCGTGTGTCGTCGCCTAATGCTGAGATAACGTTTCCAAGGGCGAGTAGACCTTGATTGATGGAGATTCCCTCCTTTTTTCGATCGCCTTCCGCGTTCGTGCGTTTCAATCGCTCGGACCCAGCCAAGTCGACAAAGTGAAATTTCGAAACAAGGCTCTGTATTTCAGAGCTGACGTTCTCCATGGAGGTCGCGACCACACCTCCAGATAGTTCTCCGGTTTCGGGTATTGCATCTGCAGCGGAATCTGTTTCTGGAATTTGATCTACTTTTCGCTGCTGCCTCAGGATGACGCTGAAAATGGCATGACTTCTCGAGGACGAAGCATTCATGTCGGTCGATCCGGTACTTCGGCACAGAGAGCCTTTCGCGAGCGCTTCCAGTAAGCCTTCAGGTGAGTTCACTGGGACCTCGCGGACCCCATACCACACAATCCTGCCGCTGGAATCTTCACGAATGGATAATCCCGAATTGCCATCCTTGCTCCGCGGATTGAGGAGATCAACGAGCTCTTCGTTGTATAGTTCGAGAAATGATACCAGCACCTCGTACTGAAATCCATCCCCCAACCTCGCCTGTTCTGCGGCTAATTTGTCGAAGAGGAAATAAATCGCTCTTGGAACTATGCCTTGGTCGAAGTTCTCACCGGCTGTCTCCATCCCGGTTCCCATGGAGTATGTTTTTCCAGATCCCGTCTTTTTGCATGATAGACATAAGAAGAAATAGATCAGCTGGGTTCAGCCACGTTGGGTGCGAGATCTTGTCCTCACCTGACCATACGCGAGGACCGTGGCATTGAATCCTTCCAAAAATCGCTCGACCAGCGGCTGAACACATTCCCCATACACCTGCTCCTGCCTGCTCTCGGTATCAAACACATGGTCGAATGTGAAGGATTTCGCCTGTGCTGAGCTCGAGGAAGCGGTTGTGAGGCCCAAGGACTCTGCGACGCTGACGCTGTTGCCGGGCGCGATGGACACCTGAGGGACACCTGGCCCGTAGAAGGAGACGCATTGCTGTGCGCTTGCCAGTACTTCCTTTGCGCTCAGCGGGCGGACTCTGAGAGCGACTTTCACGGACGTGGAGGCCATATTTCCATTGTGTCGAAGACGGCGGGTTGTTTGCTGTGAATCCTGTGATCGCAAAGAGTTGACGAAGCTTGTCCGATCTTCGAGCCGTCTTCAAGCCCAGATCCATGTGAGTCGTGACGCGTTCCTCTGTCCGGGCCGTTTGGCAAGTCCTCCCAAATTCGCAACGCGGAAAGACTGCCAACATCGCCGCTTCCCCGTTCCTGTACAATGCGAACGCTGGCCTCTGGCGCGCGGGTCGCAGTGCTGAGAGGCACGTTTCTTCGAGAAACTGAGTATTGCATCACGGGACTAGGACTGGCAACCCTTGAGCATGGACCGGCTCTCCAACGAGGGCTTCCGAGACAGGAGAAGGAAGAAGTGCATGCCACGGTCGAGCGTGTTTTAGACCAGCTTGGTTCACCACAAACGGCGAATGCAGCGTGGAGAAAAGGAATTCTTACAAATAAATGACCGATGTTGGCCGGAAGGCTGCTACACCACAAAGTCAAGGAGCGGAACCGCAACGGAACTGGGTTGACAGGATGATAGGCGGGTTAAGTTGGATCATGAAGCTGGCCAAAGAAAAGCGAAGCAGATAGATCAGAATGCGACTTCCCATTCTCGGAAAAGATCTGGGCGCCGCAACCCTCAGATGTTCAGGGCGAGGAGCGCAAGTAGCGAGGACGCACATGCAGTGGAACAGCATTTTCAAGACTCAGACCGAGACACGACGGTGAAGAAACACCCTACTTCTTGTGCGCAAATTCTTGGAACGATATACGCCATTGGCCTTGTTTACGCATCTTGCCAACCTCGTTTCCTTGAGTCTCAATAAACTCTGGGCTAGTGTCTCACCAGGAAATAAAGTGGGCAAGGTGCTCAAACGCAAAGGATGTCGCAAAGAGAGGTCAATGATCTCCACACCTCAATTTCCCGTTTGCTCTTGCTGGAAACATGGCATGTGTATATTTGTGCCGCCAGATTGCCGTATGCCACTTTCAATGTTGCATGCGAAATGCTCTTGTGCTTGCGTTTCAAGACCTATGGGCGTGATTAAAAGGACGGGGCACACTTTCCCCCCTCCTGCTCAAGAATCTAGACTGGTGCAATGCCCACAAGTCTCCGATTGCAACCTTGCAATGTGAAGCGGCGACGCGTTCGAAATGAGGTAATCAACCAAAATTCAGCGAGAAAGAGTCATTGGTTGAGAGCACGGTCATATTGCAAGGGTTCGTAAACCCTCTACTACATCGTCCCCAACCCCAGAGTCAAGTGCAAGCCACCGGTCCCCCAATGCAACGTCCCTACCACCCAACATCTCACACTCTACAGCTTCCAGGCAGCTAGAGTACTCTAAAACTCTGTCTCTGAGCGCTTCTAGGCGCTTACGCTCTCGCATCACTTTCTGGCGAACTTCTTTGGGTCCCGTTCGTGGAAGAGGTTGCTGTTTTCGCGTTAGGAGTTTGTCCAGGACGTAGTGAACCCACTTCATGGGGTGGGAGTAGAAGTTAGAGATCTTGGTAGTTGCAGCATACGGGAGATAGATCTGATCTTACAAAAATGTTCGTCTTGGGGAAGAATTGTCCCCACTCATCATTGACCTCGTCTTTCATCCATCGATATACGTCGAATTGGAGATCGCCGCCTCGCTTTCCCTTCCCAGGACCCTCAAATAACGATGGGTCGTCCATTGCCGTATATATACAATCTTCGCCTGCGTGAGAAAATAAGCGCAAGTTCACAGCCAACGAGGATGATCGCACTGCTACCAACCTTCTACTCTGCCCCAGGTGTAGTCGATAATACAGACTTGAATCCCGTGACATGGGACCTTGAATTCGTGGTCTCGTATGGCTGCACTGTGCTCCATGTCTTCATCAGCAGTGATATCTCTGACAAGGACATTCCCCCAGTGCAAATCCCTGTGCTCAAATCGCAGCAGATGCTCCGCAGTCGCCAGAGCCGCCACCAGCTGTTGAACGATGCTTTTGCATTGCGATATCGTGAACGGTGGCGAATGCTCAAGGTCTTTACCACCGTCAGGGAGGACGATCAGAGCGTATATTTGCTCTGCGGGCAAGTCGGAGGGGTGAATATTTTCGGAATCTTCAGTCCACGAGTCCCAGATGTCTGTCAGCCACTTCGGCCATGAGCCCTGAATTACTCCGATCCTAAGGCGCATTTCCATCAGCATTTGCGAATCGCACGCAGGCATATTTGAGCACAGATACATACCCCAGACAATTTACGAACCCATCGATAACCCCAACGCGTTGGGTCACTCGTATCTCTGTTACTACGTCTTCAACGGGCATCATGTCTTGCTCCTGCGCCGTCATTCCAGCCCCTTCTCGAAATGGTATGATTTTGACTGCAGCAGGCATTGCATGCGAGCGGTACGTCAGAGAAAAGACAGATGAATATGTCGCTTCTCCAATCTTCCGATGGACATGGCTTCTTTCGAGGAAATCGTCGAATGATATTGACGATGTTTGCCCAGCGAGTTCCAATAGCGCTTGCAAGCCCCCCGGTTTCACCGCTTTCGCTTCACTCGTCGCCTCTGCCGACTCTATCAATGACTTGGTAGTAAGTGGCATAACCCAGTCCGTTTGGATATTTTCCGGCCGTGGAAGCAACAGTTCCTCCGGTGGCTGCATGGGTAGTTCCTGGCCTTCCTCACCCTCCGCTATTTTTGACTCCTCCGGCATCACTTGTTCGCCCATGGCGTCTTCCGCCTCTGAACTTGCGGCCGGTCCAAGCAAGTCCCGCACTTCATTCCATCCCTCGATTTCCGACTGCATCGACGCATTTGGCGTTATCTGGTCATCGGCGCCATCCTCCGCCTCCGATACCGTAGATAGTCCTTTCTGAGTCAAGTCCACCACTTCCTTCAATCCCACATCCTCCGATCCTCCCGACTCATCCGGTATGATTTGCGCATAGATGCCATCTTTCGCCGCCAACTCTGCAGGGAATTCTCTTTCAACCAAGCCCATCGCTGAAGTGCTGTTCGATGACTTGTCGTCGAGAGGTGCATTGGTCAGCAGTGATAAATTTGTGCTGGAGTCTGCAGGTTCGCCGACATTGGGCTCTGACTCGGTGCCCAGTATCTCTATCCCGTCCTTCGCATGTGTATCGGGAACGTGGCATGCAGCGAACGTGGCACAAGGCTTGTCGCTCCCACCGATGTTAGCGTCCGCATGAGATGAGTACAATGCCGTGGCCACGTTTCCCAAATTTGCCCGAGATGGCGTTAAATCCGCGCTCGAGTTCATCTCATTCCGGACTGATTCGTCTTTGGAAACTGCGGGATTATTTTCCTCCTCCATCTCGGCCTCATCTGCTTCTATCGATATGTGGTTTCCCACAAGGGAGAGCACGTTCTTCCGTCTGGGACGTCGGGCCAGACGTTTTCCATCAGACTTCGGTAAGGGTTCAGCCATTGGAGGTGGAGGTTTGTCTTCTTCGCCACCCTTCAAGTTGATGGCGTTAGGCGGCACTGCTGGCGGACTTGGTGGAGCAGTTGCTGTCCCCAATCGATCACATTTCTCTCTGACGTCGGCTTCTGCTGCCAATGATATTTCTGGAGTTTCGCGGCGACATTGTTCCGTGTTCTGCGCTTGATCAAAGCCTTCCTCTACATCTCCCCCTGGATCGTCAATATTGAGCCCGCCTAGGCCATCAAAACGCTCAAGCTCCATACTCAAGCTCTCCAAGCATCGGGTCTCCTCGCCGGTTGTAAGCGAATATTTGGAAACCTCTAACAAAGACGGGTCCGGCTGCATCCCCACCATGCGCGCAATGGGGCTTATATCAAGCCCACCCTCAACCAGGAGGAAAGATCTCGGATTTTTGTCAGCAAAGGAAGTTTCGGTCGCGGTAGGTGTCCGGGAAGTCGTTGCGGTGGCCGTGCGGCGGGGTGAACGCGCGAACGATGCATCTGCCGTGCATCCAATGTTTACGGAAAGATGGCCGGGTGAGGGGGGTTTCATGAGAGGGGTCGAGGCTTTCTTCTGCGGGGATGCTTTCCTCGTAGCGGCCCGTGGCCTTATGAAAGACTCATCGCTACTGCTACTGGATTCCGACGAAGAAGACGAACTTGAACTGCTCGTGACTACCTTTCGCGCCGTACGCACAGGATGCTTTGCCCGTTTGCCAACCTCCGTCCCCGAAATAGCCGACCGCCTCGTTTTGGGACGGCCCGCAGGTTCTTCCCTGTCATCCACGGGACGTGACTTTTCCTTCTCAGCGACTTCTTCAAATACCGCGTCAACGTCTTCGGCTGCGCGTTGCACGACTCGATGTGTCCGCTTCCCGTATGTTCGAATGGTCTTCCGAGCAGGGTTGAAACCAGGGTTGAAAGAGGACATTGGAGTAACGTCCAACTGAGCGACTATAGAGTCGCCTTGAGGAGGCTAGCGCATTCCAGTCTTTGCTGCGACGGCAGTCTTGCAAATGTGAACCCATGTCTGGGAGTATTTGAGAACGCGTTCGTGGGGTGTCCGACATCGCTATTCGGCGGGTCCGTCCAGTCCCCCCGCCCTTTTCGCATTTCTATCGGTTGTGCCTTGCATTCATACCCCTTTCACTACCTCTCTTAGGTTTAGATTGGTGGAGGATGCCAGATATGAAGTCCTGCAATACTCCTCTCTGGTCCAATACTGGAATACTGGAGCGCATTCCCGAAGAACTCAACTACCAGTATGGTTATGCCCATGTATTCGTCGACAAAGGAAGATTTGGAGGATTCACTATAAGTGGTCAAAAGGAGTTGTGCCGGATGCTACATGTAACAGTACTGTACAGTATGTACTTTACAGTACAACCCTAAATTTTGCCGTTGTGTTTGTCACGTCGCTGCTGTTATCGTATTCATATCTTTCCCGTGCAGAGGTCGTCATGACGAGACGTCCAAACAGTATCAGGGGGCGCAAATTCTAAACACGTCTTGCCATTGTGATAAACATGTGACCATTCATGCTGTTTCGACGCAAAACGGATGCGAAAACAACATCTTCTCACCCCAGATGCTGAAATAATGTTTTCCACGTCGTCAAAACGCAACATTCGCACATCTATTCAGCATGCGCCGGTACGTGCATTTCACACACGAAATGACATTGTATTCACATACGCAGGTGCGCTGGTCTTGCTCACACCGAAATGCCAATATCTATATGTATACACATGTATATACACGCGAAGAAACAGAGGCGAGCACCGCAAGCAGCCATGTTGCACAACTACCATAATCGATAACGCCAGTGCTCATCCCGCTTCACCCAACAACCCGCGGATGCATCATTCCCCCTCAATACCCTCGAATCCCGATTTGCTGCCCTCATTCCCAGGAGAGATGTTGCGGCTGGTTCCCTCGTCGTCGTCCGAGTCCCCAGTTGTAACATCCTGATTCTCCGTGTATTGTTGACGTTTGTTCCGGAGGCATTCATCCATTATGGTCTGGCGCGCAGTGTCGTCCAGAGCGACGTATTTCTGGATGCCGCGAGTCATCGAAATCCAGAATTCTTTGGGTGCACGGCTCTTCTCGTTCATCCCAGCGGTTAGAGCCCTCTACACAAACCATCAGAGTGCAACGATTGACGAGTGAGGACATGACAGATATGTACGCAGACAACCAACTCATTGTTGCGAAGCCTTACCATCATTGCAGCCCTCTGCACATGGTCTTCTGTGAGGACCTTAGCCCGAAAAAGGTTGGTCGCAAAGTCCTCCAGCTTGCCCTGGTTGACGGTGTTTGTCTTTGCGTCCCAGATAACCTTCTTTAGATCCGCTTTCACACGAGAGATGTTCACACTAGCTTCTTTTTTGACCAACGCACGGCGGGCGGGGATCTTGCCAGCATCTTTAGAGACGCCCCATTGACGATCAAAGATTTTGTTCGTCAAAGCCTCTGCCTCATTAACAAAGCCGGAAATACAAGGATTGCGCACCATGCGCTTTGCCTCTTTGCGGATGTTAATCTACGTTGATAAGAAGGTGAAGTAAGAGGTTTGTCCGGTCATGACTGTCTTCGGCAATGAATGCACCCTGCATTCTTGAGGTATTTCCCAAACATCATTGACGAGGCGCTGGGCTTGCTTTGTGTGCTTTGTGTTGCTTTCGCCTAGGATGTACAGCTGCAATAACTGCTCGCCCAAACCTTTACTGGCAAAGCGTAGAGCCTTGTCCGAGAGGTCTGGGTCAAGGTTGGCACCACATACGACATTTGTCGCTTGTTGTACCGACAATGGAAATCCGAGCTTACTAAGTTAGCTGCGGGGGTGCGGCTGGCTGACTGCGGCGTGGAAGAGGAAGTGGCAGGGTGGTTGGCGAACAGGTTGGCGCCTGGAGACGAGCGCATGGGATGTAGGAGACGTGATCCAGATGTAGGAGGGTGGTTGGTTGTTCCAAGCCGGAGACGTTTATTGGAACCACTTGAGCTAGGCGACGCTACGGCCTGGCCAGACCGCTGTGACCCTCTCGAAGGAGTTTGATTGCCATCCCCGTTATCACCGGGGGCATTCGTAGTGTCTCCGAAATTGAACCCGAGTCCCTCCATGGTGATTGAATGTAGTGCGTTGGAAAATGGAAGGAATCAGCAGAATGGCAACGCAGGTGAAGGTGAAATTTGCGAGCGTGAGAAGCTCAGCACGGACAAAACGTTCCGACATTTTTGCATTCCTCATTGTCGTGTCCGATTGAGCAAAGCAGTGATGCCTTCAAAAGAAAACGGCGGTGCTGTCGATGATTTTACAATTAGCCCCGTCAATAATGTGTCCAATGGGCGCAGAGTTACTCACGTAAGGCGCGTCCTTCCGGTGTTGCCTCCCCACTTGCGCTTGCACTCGCCTCCCCACTTGCCCCAGCGCTTGCACTCCCCCTATTCCGTCCTCCTTTCTGCCTCTTGCCCGTCGACTACCCTTTCGATATCACTGAACCGCATTCACTTCCACTGTCTTGGGTCCTTTCCTGAGCATCGAGGAATTCCCTCAACTGCCGACGTCGAATCACTTCGCCGCACTTGCTTTCCAGGTCAACCTCCTCCTCCTGGTCCCAAGCATGTTCCTTCCAAATCAGAGGGGTTTTGAAGCAATATCGATTGAGCAGGTACTCGTCCGTTATACAGTGCCACACATGTGGCATGAGACTTTGAATTTTGGTCCTTCGACGTCGAACTGGCATCTCCTTGATGGTGCATGCATCGGTACATGCGTGCTGAACATTAACAACCGTGATACCCCCATGCAATCTGATGAGACTTGTGCGTGCTGTCCCTCGGATTACCGGACATTGGAGGATGACTGTGTTGCAGAGTACCTCATATTGTTGGACAATAGCAAAGCACCGGTTATCGACAGTCGTTGCACAGCGAAAGAATATCAAGAAGCGCACGACACCGCCATCTGGTAGCATTGCAAAGTCGCCTAATGAACATCAAGAGGAAGCCGTGACCAGTTGTTGATACCGGTGTATTGTTGGGTCCTCGTAGTGCAGGGGACTCAATGCGTCAGGGATCTCGAACACCGGAGATGAAAGCTCAGAGAATCGCAAACTCTGCTCCTGTATTCGAATTCGCAGGGCGACTCCACTGGTTGGAAGATTCTCATCTCGATAGCCCATAAGCCGACAAACTTCGCGATTCTCCGCAAACAGCCATCGGAGGTCAGATCCAGCGGAAGTCCACTCTCTCCCTTTTCCAGCCCTCCAGCCAATATCCACCAGAGAAGACATGCCGGAGTGTTTGATACCGTGCAAACCTTTGTCCAATGTCCTTTGATGGCGATTGCCGATTGCTGTGCACGGAATGGCCCCGCATGATAGGATTGTATGCTTCAAATTTTTCGCTGGCGTACAAACGTGCGGGACCAAACCGTCGTATGCTTTCGGGGAAGTGTAAGATGATGTGGAACTTGTGCTTGTTGAAGAAATCGTCGTCGACGTCGCACATCCTAGCAATAGTGACATGTATGCCCTGAGTGAGTGCGCGAAGGTATGTCTCCATATCCTCGATGCTTTCCGTGTAAATCATCGCCGTCAGCTCACTCATTGCCATCCATGCGTTGGTCCATTCGGGTGAGAGAAGATTTCGGCAAAGGAACGGCGCAACTTGGGCAATCGCGCGGAAATCCTTCCCAATCAGGCTGTGTGAGTACTGGATTAACTGCTTGCTTTTGAATGTGGTATCAAGCCCCCTTGTAGCCATCGAGTCAAGCCGCGCTGCGAAAACTATCTTCTCTGGCCGCCTCGCCATGTGTTTGATGGTTGCCCGCCATAGCCACTTGACTGTTCCTAGGAGGATTGTATGGAGAGCTTCCACCGGACTATCCTCGTGCCCGTCGAAACCCACAAGATCAAACAACGGATTCAGACCATACTGAGCGATATGGAGGGCTGCGTGCCTGTCGATGTCACTCAGCGGCAATTTTTGTGAGCGCATGGAGGTCAGCTTGGTAAGCAGGTTGGTGGCGTATGTGGACTTGACACCGTTCTCTCTCTGGTTGCGTTGTAGGGCGGTTACCCCCTGCGTCTTTGCGATGACGACCTGCTTGTCGAGTGTATCCTTTGTCTCCCTCCAACTCCTCGCCATACTAAGCTGGAGCAGTTGATGGAGGTCTCGGCATGTTTTGACATTTCCGCTGACCTTGCAGAATCAACAGAAGTGCGTACCATTCTTGATATCAATCATGGACGTGAGCTCGTTATGCATGGGGTTGTCACCTTCAACACAAAACGTGTAGCCAATAACGACAACTTCCTCCATAAGACGTGCATCGTAAGCCAGAACGCCTCGCTCAAGGCCGTTGCGGATATCATTGACAACGAGTTTTCCAATGTCCAACGGTGATGCGCAGTTGCTTGTGGCGATAAAATGTGTATTGTAGTCCATCTGGCAATATTTGAAAGGTAAGCCCGCTAGTTGGAAGCACCAGTTGTAATGGCAATTCCATTTTTTTGACCGATTGCCCGAGACGTCATCACAGTACAAGATGAGCGGGGTGATTATTACTCGCCTGTTCCCAATCACAATCTTCAGGTGATGTGGAGACAAGATGGAGGAGCGTTCATCATCTTCGTAGATCCTGCTTTTGTTCCGCCGTGAACTCTTGAATCCCACAAGCTCATGACCACCCAATTTCCGCTCTTCAAATTCAGGTGTGAGTTGCGAGGTCAGAGTCGCCACAGGTCTGAGTACTTCGATGTCAGTGATCCAATAACCGCTGACGTCAAGCCGCATCTTCTGTCCCTCCAACCACAGCTGCCCTTTGCGGGTGAAAAATCGCTTGATGTGAAGGAGGGTTCCATCTGCAGTTGCAAAGTCGCCAATGAAGTAGCTATTGCCGCCGTGCCGGACCATGGGCAAGCGCAGACAGGGGTCGGTTTTCCACCTCTGGCTGTGACACAGCTCTGATATGCCCGATTCCACATCTTCACTGAACGTGCGCAGGTGCCGCATCACTACTGGATTGGCAACATCTTGCATGACGGCACTGGTCACGCTGTTGATATGCACGCTGTCGCCTTCCTGTGTTGTCCCAACACGGCTCTGGCATCCGACCTTCAGCATTACGGCGTCGAGTTCTTTTTCCACCTGTCGGGATGGGAATGGGGTTAAGCCAATTCATCACGAGAATTCCAGCTGAACGATCGGGTCAGTGGTCGTGGTTACCTTTGCAATGCTCGGAAGTACAACGCCGAACTCCCGCGCCCACCACCATATTAGCTGCAGAAGCCCTTCCGAGATTGGATGTCTCGGGATGTTCATTAAAAGGGCGCATAATGCTACCTGTAGGGGGTTAGACATTGTGAGCAACGGGCAATGCTACGACGGAGGGGGAGCAGAGTCGATGGTAAGGAGCTGGTCACCCACCTTCTTGCTGCTAAAGGGATAATAATCTTCATTGCTGCCAAAATCGAGGTACGTTTCTGCGGCGCCATCCTCCCCTTGTTGGTTGATATCGATATCTGAACCATAATCCGACGGGCATTCGTCATTGCCTGATGTGTCACTGTCGCTGATGGGTTCAACATAATCTCCATAACGTTCATTTTTGATTGCCTCATCCTCATGACGGCGCATCTGTTCTCCCTCACTGACAATTTCATGATGATTGGCCAGCTCGGTTGCGTAGAACGGGTCAACATCCATGGCATTGCTGCTGCAGTCGTCTGTGAACATATCCTCAATTTTGGATGGGGGTCTGTGGGTGGCAACCTGCATTTGTGCGATAGCAAGTTCATGTTGAGTCGATGCAAGGTGGCGGCAGGTGTGGAACGGTCAATCGCTAACGCAGACGTTACAGGCCGTGCACAGCACTTTCTTGTGTCCAAACGGCTTCAGCAATATCCGGAACAAGTACCCAACTGGAGCAGAATGGTTATCCCTGTGTGTATCTACCCTTGTGTTCGCAGCGGTGTAGAAAAAAACAAGGTCTTGTTGGATCTTGTTGGATTTTGTTGGATTTTGTTGGAATGGCGCATTTTCCCACGCCCACGCTTTGCCCATGGACTTTGTGACGAAGGGCACATTTTCCCACGCCCACGCTTTGCCCACGGACTTTGTGACGAAGGCCGCTCACAGCGGGACGTGCATTGGACATGAGGTTTTTCATCCTGGAGATATAAACCGTATGTGGAAAACATAACAGTGTGTTCATCCAAACGGCATGACAATGCATGTTCATACAGCGTTTGCATGGGCGGAATGTGGTTTCGATATGCAGAGGTTTGTGGAAAGGATATGTCAGTTTCGGAGATCTGGACGATGTCATTACGTTATGCATTTGACGCGTTTCGACAGGCTAAAATGACATCGCGATGTTCATCCAGACAACGTGCGCCCAACATCGTGGTCATATGAAAATTTAAATCACCCGTTTTTTGCACTGTTTTGGGTTATGGTTGTACTTTAATATCGTTTTTTGACGTGACGGCGATCGCCCTTGCGAAGTTGACACCGACGTCCAGAAGTCGGTTTACCGCCGGTTCATGGTGTGCATCCCTCCGAAGCTGAGGCACACAATTGTTACACATGGATCTCTCATCAACTTGGAGATCAAATTAAATTCAGGTTACCGAACGACTTGGACGGAACCCTGGAATTTGACAAATCTGGCGGCGCGTGACCTATTCCGAGCGATGCCAAGGCAGGCTTTATCAGAAAAGCCCTAGGGAGGACCGCGCCAGGGGTGACTGTTTGGACATTGTGAAATTGAAGCACCGCCGTTCCGGGGCCCAACTCCGGCTGATAAACTTGTGGGCGGTGTGTGCCATCCACACGCTGGCGTGGTGTTACCAGCCCGTCTCCTATCGGGATGTCTTCTCGCGAGGCTTGCCCGCCGGCCGATTACCCGGCTCTAATGAATTGTGCGGATATAAAAGCGATATGGATCTCCTCGCCGTCCCAAAGATATCCCCCTTTCCTTTCTTACATTCGCTTACGCTCGCCTACACCACAAACATCCGGGAACCTTTGAAACAACGCAAGCTGCCCCTTTTCAACCACTCTTTTCGTACTCAAATCTGAGTTTCCGCGATTAGCAGCCTGCTTCACGGACACCTGCCACATCGGTTACTGGACGGCATAGAGCCAAGGACATCGAATACTTTCCTTCGAAGAAGATAAATACCTGCCGTGCTCCTCCTCGCATATATATATAGATCAGCAAATCGCAATCCCTCGTGGTTCGCACCGACCCTTCGTGCACTACGACTTCATCGTTAAAGCAAGTACCTTACAACATGCACACCCCCAACCCCACCCCGTCGATTGAGATCCCCCAACGCCAGAGGTCCATGTCTCTCTCGTCGATTACATCCGTGGGCTCCGCATCCGGCTCCCCACTCTCCGGCGCATCCCTCTTCGGATCCCTTAAGCGCTCATTCTTATCGACCGAGCCGGTCGCAGCCGCGAGCGCTGCACCAGCACCCGGACAGAAGAAGCTCCACAAACCACCAGTGGACAAGCTACCAACCGAGTACGGAGTCTGGGCCTCCATGCACTAGAGAAACTGAAGCGCAAGTAGATTAGTTCCGTCGGACGAAATGCTGTGAAAGAGAAATGTCGATCGACTTCGCTCCTGGGAGTTCACATTATTGGACGGAACTTTTGTACCATACCATATCCCTCCCGCTTTTTTCCCTTTCTTCTTCTCTGTACATATATACCTTCATCTTCTCCGCCATACAATTGAATAAATGAAGTTAGTGTTTTGGGTAAAAATCTGCTTTCTGTCCTAGGTATTCGAAAAAACGTCTTGCCTTTTGTGGGAAAGCGCGTTTTGCTCTCGTGGCAGCCATCAATGCCCATTGCAAATGTCAAGGTCGGCTTTCCGCTGAACGGGCCTCCACCCACGGTGCAGTGTCTTACATGTGCCCGACTTACCTTCGAAGCGAAGGTGCTCACCGCAAATACAGGGGGACTTAAAGATCTGGAATGAAACCTCCAGCCATATGAAAAGCTCCCGCGCATAGTTAGATTGTTTGAGTCTTGCTTGCCAGCCTTGACAATAGCCTTCACACGATTCACTGTCGTTATTGCTAGCAGGGTGGCCAACGGAAGTTGGGATTGCCTGCATCCGTTTCAGTCTGGGCATCATGAAGTTCCTCGGGGTTGCAGCGACGAGTGAATATGGTAGGATGTCTGTCCTGCACGTGTAGGAAGACCGGATGCGAGCAACTGAGAAACCTGTCCCACTCACTTTCCGGAAGTGACATGACGAGTTCTGCTATGGATATCCTTGGTCTGACTCTCCCGTATATCTCCACACAAAAAACCAGACGTCACGGACTTATATTGGGGGAGAAGAACAAAACGAAAAAGTGTGGGGTATTCCCGAACGTCACCGTGACATTCCGCATAGTGCGTAAGGTTTCTGGGGCACCGGCAGGTTGATATAAAAGGAAAGCACAGCGCCGGACTTCCTTCTTCTTCCCCTCACCGGCTTGCTTGTGAATATTAACATCGCTACAACGTCGGAAACCCAAAATCCACAGCTCACACTCACTAACCACATCCAAAATGTCCACCAAGATCAACATCCTCGTCACCACGGCTGAGTCCCGTACAGGTAAGTTGCGTTCGAGAACGGTGTTGGTACTGCCTGGGAAAAAGTTTCAGCCATGTCCACCTACTGAGTGCTTGGGTTTCTTGCCTGGTATACCACAGCGGACGCCATTCTCGCCGAATTCAACCGCAAGTACCACAACCTTACCGACATGCACATGTGCGCGCAAATCTCGCCCAACGTCGAGACCAAAGAGCGCGAGTACGACAATGTCAAACTCATCACCTGCGACCCCGCCGAAGCCTCCTGCGAAGAACTATGCCAGGCCATGCAGAACATGGACACGGTCATCCTCATCCCGCCTGCCTCGGAGAACAAGGTTGAGGTCGCTAAGAAGCTCATGGACTGCGCCATGAAGTGTAATGTCAAGAACTGCGTCGTGCTCTCGGACTGTTGCGCTGAGCTGGCTCCGGATGCCAAGCAGTACCGCAAGTTTGTGGAGATTGAGAAGTATATCAAGGAAAAGTGCGGCAAGGGTAACTGCCACGTCGCTTTCGCCAGGTGAGTTGTTCTGGCATATCATGTTCTTTCGTCATTGCGACGTCTTCTAACACACATATTTTCATCGAACCGTCAAGATCCGGCCACTACATGCAGAATCTGTTCTTGTACGCCAAGCAAATGAAAGAGAACGGATTCCTTGGTTTGCCCATGGGAAAGGGCAAATTCGGTATGCTAGTCTTCTACGCATTCGGCTGCATGAGTTTCATGCATTTCCTTATCTAATATGTCCTCATTTCCAGCGCCGGTCGACAACCGTGATGTGGCTATTGCGGTCCTCGCTCTTGCTACTAGTGGCAGCGAGATGTCTGACAAGTTCCGCGACAAGGTAAGCGTCATCGTCGTACCGTTCTGCGAAGCCTGACAAGGCTAACCTCACGTATACCCCAGACCTTCCACCTCACCGGCACCGAGGTTGTTAGTGGCGAAGACATAGTGAATGCGGCTAAAGAAGCCGGCCTCGACCACAAACTGACCTTCAAGGATATTCCCGAAGAAGAGGCTAAAGAATACCTCAGGTACTTGTCTGCCCACCTTCTCAAGACGACGTCCGTATCTCGCTCAGATCAATCTCACCGCACATCCTTCCTCTCCCACCTCCGCAGCCAAATCCCCCAAATGGACCCCTCGGAGGTTGAACTTATCCTCGAAGACTTCCGCCTCGTCCGCGAGGGCAAGCTGCAAAAGGCAACTTCTGACCTCAAAGACCTGATCGTCGAGAAGCCGACCACTCTCTTCGACTTCTTCAAGGAGTACAAGGGTGATTTCATGAACCCCCAGTAAAAACTTGAAAGGTCGAAAGCGTCTCGCATCTGGCGATAAGATTTGCCATTCTTTATTTTTGGTTTTCTTGGGGTCATGCGCCTTTTACGGTTTTCTGGATGTGATATCCGGCATTTGGTCTTCTTTGCTGTGCCCTCTGTTCATCGGCGCAGCTGAGTATATCCGCTCTCCTCTTTTTGAAATTTTGGCAACCATTCTCCGAAAATATCAAATGTAACTTCGCACTGGTTGGCTTCAGATCCTTTTGTCTTTTCGTTGCTGGTCGGGGGTGCGGATCCTGACGGAATTCATGGCCTTTTACGCGCTGTCGAATTCCGCGCAACCCGTCACTCCGGGGAACTGTGGAGGATGAACTTTCCTTTACAACGAAACAACCATCGTGGCACAGATGTGGGAGGAAAGACGTTCTAGAAGCAAACATGCCTCATTTTAGCTGGTCTGCTCGGCTGCTGGCTTTTCTTACGATGCACATAAGATATGTAAACTAACGCATAAACCGGCTCAGTCCATCGACAGGCCTCCCAACTGAAAACCCGAAACAGATGATTTCCAAAAAGAAAAGATGACTCGATTGTCCCAAAAAGGATAAGTCTACACTATGCTACGCGAGGAGATGTGCTATATACAATGTTTACGCCGTGGGTGACGAGTCTAGTGTCTGTCTGTAAGAATCAATCCCCACAGGTCTGTTTATGCAAAACTCTCCGAGTGGGGGAACAACGCCGATGTCTCAACGCGCCGAGGTCATGATGACATCCCGGATGCCAAACTGTTGCGCCAAATCCGTGCGAGAAGCGTCTTCACCAAGGTCTAAATTGCGGGCCGAACGCCTCTCGTTCTGAGACGGAAGCACTCAACGGGCCTAACCGATAATCTGCTGGTGACGCCTCGTCGACAATGGTCGTCAACGACGTATTCGTGGTGCGGATGGTCATTGTCGGTGCGGTCCACGCCGGTGACGGGCTGCTTAAGAAAGCCTGTAGCGATGAATTTGGCGGCGAGCCGAGCGGAGAGTACTGTTCTCCAAGCGAGCGGACGGCAGGCGGCAGAGCAGCTCGGCCCAGCGGCGGCGATCCGCTGGAGGCGGATGTGGAGAGTACAGAGGACGACACGCCTGAGCTGTACGTGAATGTGGAGAGCGGAATATCGCGGGAACCACCACCGGTGACAACGGAGGACTTTGATGACGCTCGCGCCCGTGTGGGTGCGACGAGAAGGTCGACCGAGGAATTTGAGAGGGCTCCCGGGGGCGCTTGTGCGATTTCGGCGCTACGCTTTTGATCCTTCCAGTCCGTCACCATGTCTATCCAGTCTGGCAGTAATCTCCAACCCAGACTGAACGTGATGATGAAGCCCGGTGACGAAAGAATCAGTTCAGCGAGGAGACGACGCCAAAAGGCGGGAAAACGGAATCCCGTCTGCCGTGCGATGGAACGCCTGCATTCGGCACTGGCACGACCGAGAGTGAGCTGTGGTGACGAGATGAGCCGGTCGTAAACGCAGGTCAGAAGGTCGTCAAGGATCTTGTTTCCATCGTTGCGTCGCACCATATCGTTGATGTTTTCCAAATCCTTTTGGTACAGCAGAGCGTATGCCAGCACAAGGCCAATGACAATGGTGGCAAAAACGACAAGTCGGATTTGCACAAACTGCACTCCCGCGAAGGATGGCTTATCACCTTCGGGAGTAGAAGTTTCCGAAGCGTCAGATATCCCCCTTCGTCGTCCGCTGGTGACGGGCTTTGGAATCTTGTCGGGAATTGAGCGCTCCCGGCGATGTCTAGTCTCTCCGATTTGTGGTTCCACTTGGGAATATTCTTCGTTGGAAACCGGGGGATTGATTAACTCTCTATTACTGTCCATAGAGGGGCGAGGACTTCGTCGGAGGGCGCTGATCGCTTTCGGTAGGACATTTCTCCAGAGCCAGAAGGTTGTGGCTGTGTGCACACACCAAATGGAACAACCGATGACAAGGTATGGTGTCTGCACGATGTACTTTTCGTATTCCAAGTTCACCGAGCAAAGACCCCGGCTGAGATATTGAACGGCTTGCATCTTTATTGCCAGGCCCACCAGGATTGTCGGTAAACCCCAGCTTATCAGATGCAGGATCCAATGTCGACGCTTCATGGCTGCTGATGCCCAGACGACCTCCTGATTCGATTCAGAATGTTTTTGTCAGCTTCACAATGTTTTTGATAGACTCTGCAAGAGACGACAGGATACCAACCAGATGAAGGTTCAAGATCAAAGCAAAGCACCAGCAGGTCGCAGCGACGGATAACCATACGATGCCTAGCCCCTGCACAGTACATCTCGCATTGGAGTAGTCTGCCGAAGATACGCCGTCGGCCGAGCAGAACACGTTTTTCCCTTCATTCCCAAATATGTACGATGCAGACAAGCTCTGCCACACGGTCACCAAGCCGCTGATGTACACAACGAAGATTCGTGGATGTTTCCGTTTTCCGGGCAATACGCAGTAGGACACGAAGACCACCAGAGCGCATAGCGTGGAAACCAGTCGAAGTACAGATATACCCACCGTAAGAGTGGACATGTTCTGGTGTGGGTATAGGTGGTCAGTGACAGGGCACGGAAGGCAGCATTTGCTGGTGGCGGAGCAGGCGGAGAGGTATGAATTGGTGTAGCCCGGGGGTATGGACAGTAATGGTGCAGGACAGGAAAGAGCAGTAGAGTTGTCAAACCCGGGTGGTAATGGCGGCGGTGGAACAGGTCCTGATGGAGACGAGGCATGTTAGACCGGACTCGATGTCGGACAACTCGTTTTGGCGCGACTCATCCTTACCCTGTGCAGTTGCAGAACCAGCTGTCAACAACCCGCCTACTACCAAGCCCCACCACGCACGCATAGGTGAGTACACAGCTGGCCCAGAATGTCAGTTTCGTTTGCGGTATGTATTCCTTCTGGGCGGGTGGTTTATGTCCCAGGAATGCACTCAGGAGTTGAGACGACTGGCGGCTTTTGTTATGCAAACGTCGTCGGCCGGAGAAAGACTGGCGAAACACAAAAAGCTCACAGCGTAAAATGGGGTCTCGCTTTGGAGGAGGCAGCGGTAATGCCTCTCTCTATCTATGTATATCTATGCGTGGGACTGTGCCCTTGCTCTATTAGCTCGAAGAGTGCCTTCTGTCGGGGACCCTAGCATGCAGCCTTTTTTCCCAGCCCCGTTTTGCCTGTTGGGTGTTGGGTCGCCTGGGAATGAGCACCAATGGAATGGGCGGCCAGCCATATGTGGATAGTCAAGATGGTGTCACCAACCAGGAACTACCGCGCACGCGTCCACCTCAAACAGCCGCGGCTCCTTACCTGTCCACTGGGCGTCGCAGCGCAGCCCCATTGGCCAAATCATATGGGGACATTGGGGAGTTGGAACCAACCGCTCTTTCGGCATTTATTTCGAATTTCACCAAGAACGCGAAGTTGTGGACAGAGAATCTATTTCGTGTAACCCATGCGCCAAACTCTATTGCTGCACGCCGATGCCATGTGGGTGCCCACTGCGGGAATTGCGGGAATTGGCGAACACAAGCCTCGATGAAACAGGCTTTGGCGTACAGTCAGGGAATAAAAGCTATAGACCTCCTCTAATTCAAATCAATGTCGGTCCCTCACGTGAATTTGGCGTTGCGGCAGTCGCTGATTTATTTCAGGGGGGGTCCAGCTTTTAGTTCCGCTGACTGTACAGTACTGCCTTTAGTCTGAACAACACTCAGCGTACACCTTTCGAGAAGGACACGCGGCATGAAGTCTCTCATCAGCTTCTGGGAGGGTCATACGAATTGCGAATTGCGCGCCGCATCAGCAGTTGCGATACTTCTCTGTCCACAGCAGACGGCTCTCTCTGGGGGAACCTGACGAGAAAGGCTCATATGCAGCGACGACATATGTAGCAAGAGGGACAAACTTTGCTTTCTGAGCGAAGAATTCTTATTGTTTGGTATGCACATTGATTTCGTAAAGGTCATCCACAGAGTCTATATATCTTTCTACAGATGGGAGGCTACTCTAAATCTACATCTTCCACGCCCCGTGTGAGGTTGGTGGAATGTGGGGGAATATTATTACAGTGCGAATTTTGGTCGCAATGGAAAGATACGGGTACGTAGGCATCTTGCGATTACCAGTTGCACTTGAGGCTGTTGCACTCGGGACCCTTGGCGTTGGCCTTGTCCATGATGGACTTGCAGCGAGCGGACATACCCTCCTTGCTCACGCACGCGTTGAAGTCAGCCCACAGCTGCTGCTGCTGGGCCCAGCACTTGGGCTGCACATCCTGGCACCTGGGGGTGCCTCCGGGAGCCGGAGCCGGAGCAGCCGTTGGCTTGGGGACGGGAACGGGAGTGGGCTTGGTTGGAGGCACAGGGACCGCGGTGGGCTGGGTTGGGGGTTTGGCAGTGGGCTTGGGAGGGGGCACGGGGACAGCGGTGGGCTTGGTGGGAGGGGCGGGTGCAGAGCCGGACGCCTTGGCGATAGCGGGGCCAAAGGTGGGGTAGGAGTTGAATGGAGCGTAGACGTTGAAAAGGACTCCTGGGCTTTGGTAGGTGATAGCGCCCGGGAAGTCCACCTTGGGGGAGAAGTTGGCGTTTCCAGAGCCAGTGACGGTCAGCTCGGCGCAGTAGACGTACAGCTGGAGGCCGCGAGCGGGGTTCTGGGTAAAGAGGGTATCGGCCTCGTGGAGGGCGCCGATTTCGGCACGAAGGAGGTACTTGCCGCTGGGGAGGTTGGAGGGGAGAGTAACATCGAGAAGACCCTTGGTTTCGATGAGCCTCGATGTGCACCATTTGCCGTTGGGGTAGCCTTCCTCCTGGATCTTGAACCAGTCGGCGCCAGTAGGAACGCCGCCGTTCGCTGGCTGGGCTGCAAGGTAGATGTTGCAGGCACCCCAGTGGGAAGCAGCGATGATGTCGTCACCGGGGCGGTCGTGGCCGAAAATGAGACCAAGCTTGGAGCCGGCAGTGATCGGGCATCGCTGGGCGGCAGGCTGGGTGGGAGCGAAACCGCAGATCATGTTCTCGGATGTGAGATCCTTGATGGGGTAGTTCCTCTGACCGGTTGTCCACTGCGATGTGTGCCGCACGCAATCGCCATTTGCTCCTCCAGGCAACACAATGTGGTCGAGGTAGGTGTGGGCGAAGACTGACTGGGCGGCAGCCAGGAGCGATGCGGCGATAATTGCGACCTTCATGGTGATGATATTTCGTTGACGAGAAGGGAAGGGAAGGATTGTGTGGTGTAGAGAACAAGAGAGGGAACTGGCATCCCTTCCCAGCTTTTATAGGGTTCCAGGATGGCGCCGGAGAAAACGTTTCCGGTCAAGACGTCGATGCACGTAGGAAGAAGTCCCGACGCGTTCAGCGAAAACAATCATTTTGGGGTCCGTAGGCATGAATCTGAGGTTTGCGCTATTTGTGCTGTTGGTTTCTGACGGCCAGTTTGCTGGCTACTTTGCACGGTCGAAGGTATCCCGCCCGGAACCTTCGTACGAGGAACAAGCCCTCGTGGCTGCGGTGACGGCCCTACGGGTGCGTGCGAAAATCGAGTCTTGGCCGAGGATACATTGACGGTCAAACTTTTCGTTGCGATGGAAGCGGGGGACCAACCGGTGGCAACAACAGGCGCAGGCATCTCCATTGGTGCGCTGTTCGTGAGTTTTCAAAAGTTTTGATGGACTGTCGTTTCAGAAATGAAATCTGCAAAACAATCTGTAAAAAAAAGGAGAATAAAAAGCATTCAAACGCGTCGAAAACGCGGTGCCAAACGCCGGGTACATCGTCCATACCGCCGGTTTGAATAAATTTCGCTATCTGTCTGTCAATACGCGGGAGCACCGAGCGAAGGAAGGACGAATAGAAGTGGACATGTGCGGTAAACCTTGATCGCTTGCTAGATACAGTACGTCCTCCGCTCCCTCGTGGTAGGTGCGACCGGACGTTTCGCCAACGTATCCCTGAGGCGATGAGGGCAGATGGCCATTTGATTGTAAATCTGGAGGAGGAAGCGGCCGTACGGAGCCGGTGACAGTGTTCACTGTTCCGAAGTGCTGCACCATTGGTAGTACTACGGCCATCAAAAGTTCATCACACCAGTGGGCCACCAGCTATGATTGGAAGTCCATGTGAACGCAGAGAGACCAAGACACATTGCAATGAGCAGCGCCGGCTGAACATACCCCCCAGTAGAAGTACGAGGAACGGGATTCACGATTCACGGGCTTCCGGACTCAGTATTGCTGATACTATGCGTATTACCTGACGGATTATTTCTTTCGGTTCAGTTCACTGGCGCGGGACCAACATGGAGTTTTTCTTCTTTTCTTCGGGTATCATCCAGATTCCACGCAAACGAGGCACCTAGCAAACGCGTCAAAAGTATCAAGCCTGTCTGTATCAAGCCAAACCAACGGCAGCACGAACGTTCTGCCACACACGTTGGATGACCTTAAGGTTATTTAACCGAACTGGGCGGTCCATCTTGTTGGCTACCCTGCGGGATGAGCGGGCGAGACGAGGATCGCCACGATTTAAATATGGTTCGTCTTGCTTTTCCAAAGCATTGAATTGGGCGACAGCAATGGGATTGCGGTCTTCATATAGAGAGGATTAGGCAGTGCATTCACTCTTTCCCCTCGAAAACAGCGGCATCAAACATCGGGGATCGAGAAGTCCGGAGTACAGAGTGGAGAATAGGACGTCGCCGGGCGGTCGAAAGCCCGAGACATATCTAGAACTCCGTGTTCCTCCATACCCACAAGAGGGTGTGCACGGTGTGAGAGTCGGTCGACATTATGCACCTCATATACTATGCACGGGTATTTTGGCATCGGCATTATGCGCGTGGTATCGAGATCCATGGGTCTAATTTTGGAAAATGAGGGCCGAGTTTTGGCCTCAAATAACGCGCGGTGTGGATGGGACGCCACTGCTGATTGATTTGAACGGGGATCCGGCGCGCATTCGGAGCTTGTGGGAAAAGCCACTCTTGAACAAAAGCCATATACCAATACCGATCTTGCGTACGTTCAGATTCAGCACGCAACGGCAGCACGGACCTGAACAACCGAACGAAGTCCTACTGTAAAGGCAGTCTAAACTCCCAGTTTCATTATCAGCTGACGACTTGCTACACCAGTTTTCGAGCATTTTCCCACGCATTCACGCTGCACATTACCCAACGACCAACTAAAAATGGAGGAACAGCACACGGGGTTATCGGAATACGCTAGAGTGTTGCGGTCCCTATCAGTCAGCTCCAATGCATCGTACCAGCATCTTTCTCAAATAAGTGCCGAAACCTCCGAGCCAGGTGTTGGAAGCCCAACACGGCAAGACAATGACTCCGGCTTCCAGTCCCTCTCTCCGAGTCAGAAGAGTCCAGGGAGGTTCGAGAATGGAATCTTACTGCGGCGGCCGTCTGACGCGCAATCGGTTGGCGATGATAGTGGTGAGTTGAGGGCTGTCGTAGAGGGCTGTCGTAGAGGGCTATCGTAGAGGGCACATATTGAATTATTATTGACGCAATGTGCTGTTGGCAGGTTTAGGATCGCCGCTCGAGCGCCGTCCATCGTTCGCAGTATCACGACGGCCGTCTGCAGTCTCGTCAATTTTGCCGACCTGGGAGCGGTCATCGCGCCCAGCATCTATTGCCTCTCGCCGACCATCTACGCTTTCCCTTACCATGGACGATATGCTCAAAGAGCTGGAAACGTTGAGTTCCAATGTTGCACCGGACTTGGCAATGAACGGCAACATAGCCCCCGCAAAAGTCGTGTCCCCAGACATGGATCCATCCGCGCAGCATCTTCCCGCCCTATCAATAAATCGCCAACCTTCGGCATCCGATACCCTACCTTCCCAGTCTCCTCCATCTCTCGTATCAGCGCCGATGTCATCCGGTGCACCGCTCTCCTCGTCGTCCTCGCTGAATAAAATCCCGACAGGCCGCACTTCCTACGTATCTCTGCAAACACCAAGCATGTTCTCCGTCTCATGGAAGCGAAGATATTTAGTCCTGGAACGATCGTCACTCTACCTGTTCCGCAGCGAGACGGCCACGCAAAAGGAGCTCAAAGACATGATGAAACTTACGAGCAAGTCATCCGTGCGAGTTTCAGAGCACGGGCTGTGGGTGTTGGAGATCTTCGGGAGTGCATCTATGCTATCGGACGCGATGGCTTCACCACAGTCTCCGGGGACCGCGAAGACGATCAAATGCTGGGTTGTCAAATGCGAAGACAAGGACGATATGCTGGGGTGGCTCGGCGCTATTCGCGCGATTATCGCAGAATGCCCTACGAAGGTTCTCTGAGAACTCCATTATGATGTACATACATACTTTTGGCACACGGTAGCAAGCATCCCGGCAGGCTTCTAACTCTTCGCCTTCACTTCAACAACCCTATTAATGGAAGTTTCGACATGAAGGGATTGGGCAGCCGTTTCACCATGGATTTCTGGAGATGCAAATTCTGGAAGGACAACCCTTGCTTCTGGGGAAGCACTTCGGATTTCTGCGCTCAGCTTTACTTTAGCAATCGCATGAAGGGCGACGTCACACTATTTAGGAACCTCTCGCACTCCAGACATATATTTCCCCCTTGTCGCTCTGCTTCTCTTTGGTTGTGAACAGACCACCATACAGTAGCTAGATTATATGAAGCTACTATGATGCTACAGGTTGCGTTCAAGCGCATGGTAGAACTGTAGCTTTTTTCCCACTAGAGTTCCTATGTGAGGAAAGGCTGTTTTTCTGGAGACACGCTGTACAGCTGTCAGGATTCTGTCACTTCTGCCAAACCTCAATCACACATCACCGGACTCTCAAAGGGAACCTGCTCAACCCGGCTCAAACCTCGTCGATTCTTCTCCTACCTACTGAAGCACTGAACGCACTTGTCCGAAAGTAAACTGAAAGGCTGAGAGTTAGAGAGTGAGGAAGAGCGAGACGAGACAAAAGGACGGTGAAACGGGAATATGACCTCCTCATACGAGTCCGACGAGCATCCTTGGGATCGGAAGAGTACTCGGGACTCGCTAAATTCACTCAAAGCCCAATTTTCCCAAGCCCCAGACCTGGGATCTTCCATAATGGCCGCTGCCGTTAACAAGAGCTCAATTGTCTCAAATCCTTGGGACGCTCAGACTGAAGGTGAAGAAGCGCTTGACGGTATGTGAATCGGTGCTCAGTCCGTCGGGTTGCTCCCTCAGCATGCGTCTTATTCGCTGCTTTACAGAAGGATTAGGACCGAGGAGCCACATTGGGTCGTCTGGGAACGATGATCTACCTCCAAGCCGCGCCGCCTTGCCACCCAGCCTCTTCAACCAGCGTTCTCTCTTGGACAACACCCGGCCGCTGATATCCACCAGCGACAGCTCCATTTCCATCACGCAGCAGTTGAGCGCATCGTCGCTGGATTATGTCTCACCCTCGGATATACAGAGGTCCGCAGAGCCCGAGCCGGATCCGTGGTCTGCGACGATACCCAAATTGGACGAGGCTTTGAATGGACATCATTATGGCGTAGAACGGTCGCCCATTCGGACAACGGAGGAGCCAGTCGATGGGCCTGCCCATGCGGAGTATCACGGAGGACCACATGGAGAGAGACAGCAGGGTACCGGTGAACGGGTTTCCCCACGGCGGCTGAGGGTGTCTTCGCTGGAGCGGGAAACCAGTGGGGAAACACTGTCGCCTAGGAACATCACTCGACCAGATGTCGAGCGCATCAAGGTGCGTCCAGTGGCGAAGTGTCTTGAAGGAGCACTGCTGCCTGACGTCTAATCCACCATACTGCAGATTTCGATCGCACCGGAGAAAGGAGGCTTTTTACTGAAGCATGTCAATTACATCTTACATGCACAAGTACTGAGAGGCCGTTTCTGCCCGTCTTACTCTTCACAACGTTGACTCACGCCCTGCTATATAGAATCGGCGAACAAGTGTACTTCGAAGATACTCCGATTTCCTATGGCTACTGGATATCCTTGTACGGAGATACCCCTTTCGAGCAAGTAAGTGAATGCCCCATATCTGCTGTTTCGTGCGCAAAGCCTAACAGACTCGAAGTCCCAAGTGTAGGTTCCGCGAGAATCAACGCCGCTTGAATATTGTATATTGATTGACAATGTCGCTTTTCGTATCACAATAGCTGCCACCAAAGAAGGTTGGAGGTAATAACGCGGCATCACGGTATATGACCAGCGGGAGGGTTACGTTGCCCACATCTGAACGCATCTTACGTTTATCCAGCAGATCAGACTTTCCTAGAACGCAGGCGCCGCGCGTTATCTCGCTTCATAAATCTGGTTGCCAACCACCCGGTTTTTTCGGAGGATGAAGCAGTCACTGCCTTCCTGAGAGTCGAAATGGTGCGTCCGCTGAGTGACGGGTCTTGCGCAAACGCGTAAACTGCAAAGGAGGGGCATTGTTGGTAACGGTCTGGATTGCAGGATATTCACTCATATCGGAAGAAAGCGCCAGTGACAACAGAGGAGGAGACTTCGACCGGCGAAATTACGTCGGAAGAAAGGTCAAAGATACCCGCCGATCTGGCAGAGAGGATGATACAGTTCAAGGCGAATCTCGACTTCTTCATCTGCCAATATAGAGACTTGGGCACTTTGACGGAGCGCATTGCTCGGCGCGAAGACGGTATTGTTTGGGCCCTTTCACGAAATTCACGAGTTCACTCCGTTGCTCACAATGGCATCTCGCGCAATGCTTTCAGATTCGGCGGTCGATATGATCCGCTGCAGCTTGATTCTCCAGTAAGTCGAGCGTTGGAGATCATAGCGCGTACTCTTGGCTAACTCTGACAATGTTGGTCCTCCAAGTAAACTCAATGAGAAATCAGATTGTACAGAAAAGTCCTGTTCCAATTGCAGGCGGTTGGGATTCGGATACGATCATATCTCAAACGAGTTCCAGCGTGCTGGCCGCGTTATGGAAGACGAGGTGGGCTCGTCAGCTATCACAACACTGCGCCGTCAGGAGGAGATTGACTAACGTCTCCTCAGAGTCAATCGGTGTTAGATGGGCTTCTGGAGAATATCAAGACACATAGAGACCTGCTCATCGCATGCCAGGTTAGTACTCCTAGCACCTTCTAGGGACGGACCATACGTGAAAAGGGCCTCCGCTGAACATGCTTCGATCCCACTCAGGAATTGTTCTACCGCCAAGAACGAGCTTTAGCAATGCTAAATCCAGACGCATTGAAGAAGCGATTGGGGATGAACGAGGAAAAGCTGCGGAATACGGAAGGGAAGCCGAAAGAGGTTGAGAAGTTGCAAGCGACGATTGAAGCGGTATGCTGCACGAATGCATCCACTCCGCAGAATGGACCTGGGAAAGTGACGAATGAACATGGTGAACACAGGATCGCAAGGAGCTTGAACAGCAGGGAAAGCGCATGGATACGATTCGATACTGCACATGGCGGGAGATGTTGTATTACCATCAGCAGAAAGCGAATCTATCCCTCATGTTCCAGGAGTTCGTCAGCGAAAAGATTAGGCTGGCGTCTCACTATACCGAGGTATGTATGGGTCACTTTGGCTGGAACCAAGATATCTTGCCGTGAAAGTCAACCTTCCTCTTCTCTTAGATCTGGAAGACGTTGGCCGCGTCTGTTTTCGAGTTGCCTACAGCAGAATACAATCAATGATTTCCAAGTCTTCTTTCCATGAAACCCTCATGTTCCGTCCGCAGCTTTGAGCGCGGATATCTTCAATTCCCTGGTATTCGGTAATTTTTGGATCATTGTATCCTAGCTAGCCAAGTGTAGGTATAACTCCTCTTCCCTCCGTTTCGATGTTCCATGCTCCCGTGCTGAGCTTTGCGGTACATACTTCTTCAAACCTCATCCCTGTCGCTCTATCTGTACATGTATGTACTCGACTTGGGAGCACCAATAATGCACAATGTTTGTGGCTTACTATAGCGCTGCGTTTTCGAGAACGAGCCCCATCGAGACTCTGCTTTGATCGATGACGGCAATACTGCACACACACACCACCTCGCATATATATACACTATATACCCGCTCGATTTGGGCTAACCCTACCCCTACTCCTAAAAACATGTGCGACTGGTGTCGTTCTAGCGTTGTCGCTCAAGCATTTCCCAAACTTAAGCCCTCACACACGAGAGCCCTTTTCGGCTGACAGATCTTCACCAACTCCCTCAAAACACCCTCGCCATCCTTGCTAGGCGATCCTTTCCCTGTGATGACGTGTACCCTCTTCAAGACGGGCAACGTGAGGAAGACAAAATCCGTCATGACCCAGCGCGCTTCTCTCCACATGCAAGCCCTGCAAGTCGACGTGGACCGCTCCGCGTCCATCGCTGCGCCCATCTTGCCGGCGGCGTTTGTACTGTATGCTCGTCAGATGCTCGTAGATGTCTGCGGCCGCATTGTCGCGCGCCTTCTCCAGCGCATCCGAGACGACATGGGCACGGGCGAACGTGGCCTTCCAATCCGGATGGTCGGATTGTAGGAGGAGGGGAGCTGTTGCTGGAGCTGGCGGTGTTCCTCATTGAGCTTGCGGACGGGTTCGCGCGCCGCGTCGTATAGATGCGCTGCTTGTGGTCGTGCGACATACTTTTGGCGGCGGTGGTGCTCACCACGCCCACCATACTGAAGAGGATGGCGGTGACTTGTGCCAGGACAGATTCGTGCGCTGTCAAGAGGCTTGTGAGAAGACGACGACGGTCATCGCCGTCGGACTCGCTTAGGTGATGCGGAAGGTCCTTCAAAGCTGGTACGAGGTTGCGCTGGATCCTCACATTGGCCAAGGTAGTGACAAGCGAGTCGGGCAGGGCGGCGCGGCAGAGGACGTACGCAAATGGAAACTTCGACCGCTGTGTACTGTACATGTAGTGGTGTCCGATGCAAAGCTTGTCTTACACGCCTTGTGGAAGCAAGCGAGACACGGGCCACAACTGGCGTGCTTGCATGGCTAAATCGAGTAAATCGTTGCCAAGGTGAGCGTGGTGAACTCCACGCAGTAAGACAGATGGTGCAACCGTCATCCGCGAACACGGCGTCCTTTGCGACCCCCAGGGAGACGAGCTTTTCCGCCGGAGTGACCATCAAATCGTTGTTCGTGGCCGGTTGCTTCTTCTTTCTCTTGCCGTTCTTCCTGCGCTGCGGCGCCGCTTGCATGGGGAGGGCGTACGACAGGCGAGCCTTCACAAGCTTTGCTTGAGCTTTCATGTTCCGCAAATCATCTACAACATCCGGGAGAATCTCCTCAATGGGGAAGATGCCAGTGGCAAGCAGGTGTTCCAGGTCCTCCAGGGCAAAGTCAATGTCGGTTTCGGGCATACGCTTCTCACCGAGTGCGTGGCAGCACTTGATGCGCAAGCGGAGTATCGTTAACGTACAAAGGTATGCTGCGCAGCAGGTCGTCGGCAGCTCTCGTGAGACAGCGTTTGGCAGGAAGGTATTCGTGACGGTCCATGAGATCGCGTGCTTGCCGCTTAAGCTCGTTGTACTCCAGTGGGTGGGAAGTCGGGGATGCCTCGAACGGCGCACAACATGCTAACCCGCTTCACGGCCATAGCGTTGACAAACCCGGTCGAGTCATCCGCTGTAAGTGTGGACGATGAGATGGACAAGCCTCCAATGGTGGCCATGACGGATGCGCTGGAGGCTTGTGACCATGTTGCCGTTGAGGGCACATTGCAATATAAACATCGTTTCTGATTCAGGTCACGCTGCAAACGACGTCCTTACGTGAGTCGTTTCCATTTATGTATGTAGAGGCACGGTTATTGTAGCTTTCTATGGCCTACTAGTATGAATCCTGATGAAAGATCTTTGAAGCTCGGGGGCATGGCAGCACTCTCGTTGTGAATGGGTTGGAGACGTTACAAGCCATATACTCCGTCTCACTCACAGTTGAGGGACCGAGATCGCGTAGCTATAAGGTAGCTTTTGGCATCTCGGTCCGACAAAATGTGAGATGATACGGCGTATAAGACGAAAGAGAGCGTCCGAGACCAACGAATGGAGGCCTGAATAGCGGGAGTGCGGACGCGACAGTAGAATGGCCCATATGCCTATACTCCGTCTCACTCACAGTTGAGGAACCGAGATGCGTGGCCACAGGGTACCGTTGATGGAAACTCGGTTCGTCAAAATGTGAGATGATACGGCGTATATGGTCGAGGACCGACGAATTGAGGTTAAGGACGCGATCGCGAACGGTTGGATGGCCCTTACGAGCCTATACTCCGTCTCACTCACAGGTGAGGAACCGAGATCGCGTAGCTGGAAGGTAGCCACTGATGGAATCTCGGTCCGTCAAAATGTGAGATGATACGGCGTATATGCCTTGTACGGAACGGCGATGAAAGCGAGCGACGACAATGAAGACCGTGCAAGGTCGAATGGTGGCAAGTGAGGTAGCAAGTGGTAGTAGCCAGGCGACAACGGTCTTGGCGGAGTTCAGCTCCGGAGTAGGCGAGTGGCACAAGAAAGCGAAGCGAAGGGCGACTGAAGGAAAATCAGGAAGTGCGGACCCAAGATGCTGTATTTATAGGCCGCGAGAGTGAATGCGATCCGGCCTGAAGGGACCTCGGCGAAGCTGTGGTGTATGGGGCCCGGCCTGACCTAATTTCGCGAACAGTAAAGAAGGTAAGGCCCATGCCGTGCTTGGTCGATGTTTACGATATTAAGATGGAAGCGTAATCAAAAACAGGCGCAAGACTCTCACTTGAGAGAAGGTAAAGGAAGGGACACGCGACGGGGGCGGCACGCATCAACAGCAGCAGCAGTGAACCCGTTCAATTAAAGCAAAGAAACGAATAAACCGTCGCAGCATATTACGCACGAACCCGCAGTCTTTGTCCTGTTGCTGGTGCTTTTTCCTACCCAGTGGCCCATATCGTTCTGGGCAATCAAGCGCAATCAACAAATGGCGCGCAACAAATGGCGGGAAAGACCCTTGACGCGTTGGGTAAGCAAGGACGCGTCCAAAAACCCCTTCGCAAACAGCTAATGACCGTAGAAAGAACGAAGGTTGTGGATCGACCGCACAGGTGTTGCAGCTTTTATCAATGGGTCTCTCCGGGTAAGCAAAAGAGCAGTCCTCTCACCAAAGTGCCGTGCGTGAGCTTCGACGTATGAGATTCCGAAGAAACCAGCGTACGTTCGACAATTCGATCTGCGAGGGTGTCTTTATCGTAGACCTTCAGATGCGAACGAGGCATGAATGCGAACTACGGGGTACTTGTTGACTTTCTCAAGCAATACCGATTGACAGATGAACAACAGCTCAAGCAAAGAGCTGCATCCGAAAAGATTCGGCTATAGAAACACCTAAAGCGTTACGAGAAGGTGCTACGGTTGCCGTGAGGCCAACCTATCTACCCTGCAAGTGTCTGAGTCAATCGACAGCAAGAAGAATGAGGATCGGGAACGCTATACCGCGCATGGCTGCTCGCAAATGCAATCCTTCGGGGCAGACGTAGGGACGACAATGTAGGGAGGCATCAGTCAACCCTATTCAACGGCGAGAACCTGAATGAAATGGAATAGGGGGCGACTAGAAAGAGGTGAACGTTGACCGCTGCTTCCCGGGGACGGTCGGACACTCTTTGAAAGCACGAGCAACGCGGTCGGCAAGGTTCAAGCGCTGTGACGGGAGTCGAGGATTGGAGGACATCGCTCAATTTCAGTCCGGGTGGGATCCATGCCCCTCGGTTATCGTTCAGGTTGTTGGAATGTAAATAAGTCTGATGGGTTTGATGTTGCAAGTCCCTCTGCTCGTTGGTCAGCGAATGACGCCGCCACCCTAAAAAGGTTCGTCTTGAGATAGCTGAGTGATTGTGAAACTAACGAGACCATCGTAGAATAAGGGACAATGCATCACAGGGCTGGGACCGCTAAGCAGCGTTGCGACAGGTATGACTTCTGGAAACCATTTCAACACGCCGGACACAATGTAAGATATACCGCAACGGGGTGAAGGTGAAGCCGCTCGGGTACCGACAAATACTCAGGCGGCTGCCTCGGTGTGTAGGTCCTAACCGTTTGATATGAATAGGATCAATGACGCTAAAAGGTCCTTCAAGCGAGCGTCCAGATCCAGAGCTAGATCTTTAGACGTCCGAGATGTGAAAACGCGAAAGTGGCAGTGTACAGTATATGTAGCAGACTGTATGTACAGCCAGGGAACATAAAGCTGTTCCCCCCGAAGGAATAAATCAGCGACTGCCGCAACGCCAAATTCACGTGAGTGACCGACATTGATTTCAATTAGAGGGGGGGCACAGCTTTATGTTCCCTGGCTGTATATGTAGCGCCCACAGAGCGTGGCGAGGCCTCGAGTCAACGTCACCCCATCCCGAATGCCATTCCTCTCGAAGTTACCTTAGTCTCATAGACTGCGTATACACTCACACTATATCCAACCTAATATTGAAGGTCGGCACATTAAGCTGCCCATCGCCCGTCGAGGTGCACCTGATCACAATTCCGGCCCTCTTTCGTACCACTCTCGCTCACTTCGCCAGCACAGCACCATCATGGCCGGAATGAAAACCATAATAGGGCTCGCCTCGCTCCTGGCAGCCGGCATCCTCCTCACCATCCTATCCTGCGCCCTCGACTCCAACTGGCTGCCGATACTCGTGCCCTTCATTTACCTCATCGCGCCTTTACCCAACATGCTGTGTCAGAGGATAGGGAGTGGGGGCGGGCGGGGCGATATCTGGAGTGACGCTTCGGAACACCGGTATGGAGATGCGGATTGGATGGGATAGCGCTGGTTGTGGGCGGCTGGGACGTGGGGTTATCTGGCTGATACTGATGATCTGGGGTGCTATGTCTACAGAGGCGTTCTGGAAACGGGATACTTCATCACGAGCTTCATCAACGTATCGGGCGCTGGTGAGTGCATGGCAAGCTATTTTGATTGTGCGAGACACCACTCCGCAGTCTAGTGAGGTTCAGAATTCATCGAGACATGTCTTTCATTCATATTTTGCAGGGCTGCCTTACGTCCTCGCCCATGCGAATGTCATCACCCAACAAGCGATGGTGCTGTCCATCGCCGGCGGGCTGCTGGTGTACGGGACGATCCTTGGTTACATTCACTTTTTCATTACGGAAGAGCCATACATGTAGAGTCCTTCCACGCCATGCTCCAGTTGCGCAATGTGGCACATCGTTGATGTCCAGTTTTATGTACATACGAGAAAATAGGGCATATTTGCCCGTCTGATGTGAAGATTGCTTGTTGACGATGTGAGGCAGACATGAGAGAAGGCTGCTTTGATGCAATACGACAAGTGAGATAGGTGCAATACGACAAGTGAGATTTCTCATAAATAAGTGAAGCGAGCCATCGCTCGCTCCATAGGGATGACTATGATAATAGGTATCTTTCTACATTCTAACACAAAGACATATATATGGGGGAGATGGTAAATGAGGATGAAATATATGCAATAGGCCAGATCTCAACACAGAAGCAGAACTATGTAAATTACGCCGGAAATCTTAAGCTAGAGCAGCTCTTGCGATGGCTGGACGCGCGGTGGAGTGAGAGCAGATGGCGTCGATGAACTTTTGAACGTTGACCAAGGTCTTTTCGATTTTGAGCACTCGGTTCTTCTTGGTGCGGAGGTCTTCCGAGATGCAACCGTATTGCAGACAAGCGGCTACCAAGATCAACAAGCGATATCCAGCCAGCGATACGGAGCGAACGTGATCGTAGTTGATGGTGTCTGGCGCCATCATGATGATCTCTTCGACGAATTTGATGTTTCGATGAGGAATGAAGTCCACATTCACTTGGAGATCCAGGAACCATCGCTTGAAATCATATTGTGACATATGCTTCTTGATGACTTTCCATGGCATGGGTTGCGGCCCTGCGCTCTGTGTAGAGCTCGATTTCCTGGATCCTGAGCTGCTGTCATTCGAAATGCCCTTTAGACGGAGCAGACATTCGCAGATCGTTCGGACCTCTTCGGGAGGGCTGGCGAACCAGATAGCTTCGCTCAGATCGCTAGGTGGGATCCTTCGCAAGAAGTCCTTGTAGTGTGCCAACCCATGTCGCTGTCCAACCTCGCTCTCGATGAGGGTTCGTTTGGCATCGATGGCGGCGATGGCAAGAGGCTCAATCTTTGCTTCGAAGCGAGCGACCAAGATAACATTGGCGAGATTTGCCCAGCGACGAGAAACTGTGCGCACAACGGAGAGAGCCGAGTCGGAAAGGTTGTCGAGCACGAGTAGGATGAGCTCGTTGGGTAGAGGAAAGCGGTCTTTCGTTGTTCGTGCGGGGGCAGGCGACTTTGAGGTTCCTACCGCTCGTGAGCTCAGCTTTTCGTGCAGCGCCGCGTTCGGGTACACCGACAGAGGTTTGAAAGACTTTGACGAAGACGAAGGCTGGAGCTTCTTTGTGCTGACGGTTGGCGAGATTCTGCGAGTGGTACTGCTAGACCCGGAGACTGCCCGGTGTCCCCTCGCGAAATCCGACTTGGTAGCTGTGCTAGACGGAGACGCACTTATGGATGACGCGACCATGTTGGAGTCTATGAGAGAGTAGAAGCCGAAGAGTTGTAATAGGAGTTCCGGAAAGTATTGCTGCTTTTCCTGCGGTTTCTGTCGAACAACCACCAAGCTTATACGATTCCAAGATCCTTCCTTCACTGGGTGAATGCAGAAAGAAAGAAAATCAGCTCGCAGGATGGGAAGCGGTCATTATCGGCCGTTCAAGGTTCTTACCAAATGGCGTCGACCCTTTGACGTCACGGTCTCACTCCTGACATCCGATATGCTCTGTTTCGGGGATGACTTCCGACGATGCCTGGGTCGGATGTCGAGGACGTTTTCGTGCTGGTTTATCCGTCTTTTGAAACGGATGTGTTTGTTGACGCCACCTCCGCTGTGCTTTCCCAAAAAAGGGCACAAGGAACTTCGTGAGGAGATCGAAAGCGCAGTCACGATGACTAATGACTTGACTCAGGACGGCCGATCGTCAAAATGGCCGTTTGACCGCCGGGAGCCGGGCCGACGGTAACCTTCTATAGGATAAAACACAGCACTCTAAAAGTGTGAGGCGCGGCCTGCCGTTTCTTACCGTGTTGAATGTCGGAGGCAACAAGTTCGGCCTCTCCTGTCCCAAAGCTTCGTCTGATCACGGACGGCGCCATCGGATTTTGGCGGCTTCGCAAACGTCCATGGGATGAGTGGGATTCTATTACTGTTCCCTGTGCACGGGTGACGGTGAGGTCTATGTCATGGTTTCCATCGGAGCCTCATCTCAAAGGCTTTGTTGCGCGGGGAATTAATTGTGATGGAAGGCTTGAACGGGGAAGGGGGGGGAAGATCCTTCCCGTCCTCAGGCTGGAGTCGTCCTGAGTTGGTATATGCCCCAGGCCTTATGAGCATACGGTGAAGCAACGTATAACGTATGTGTGTACTGTACGTAGGTACGAATAAGCATAAATATGGTGTCCTCAACTTGCCGCCTGCCGTGTGTGTTCTATATGGGACGCCAAAGGAGGTTTAAAAAGGTCTGGACGCACCGCAGAACGGTAATCTTGAAATTCTGCAAAGCTTGGCGAACAGGCCGCACGGCTTACAAACACCCGAGGGCAGTCGAAGCTCTGCCAGCACACACTCATCACCTTGAGCTCTCGACCTCTCTGAACGTTGCTTCGCTCGTGTCCCATTACACAACCCACGACGCAATTTGCAAACACCAGGTTCTGTAGGAATTCAAAGTGTCTCTCTACTTGTTGCAATACATTAGCGGGAAGTTATTGCTCGAGGGCCACGGCAGCTAGCCGGGAACGTAGGCAGGCCCTCTGTCGGATATCCGAAGTTACAAACACTCTTCGTGTTAGCGGTGGAGTCGGGAGCGAGTAGTCGGTTGAGCAACATTTGGCGGAGAGCCAAGCACATCCGTATTTCGCAGTTCTCCACGGAGTACGGTAGAAGGTACAGCTCTCTCGCGGCGGGCTTCTCACGGAAACGTGTAGGTCGACTATGCGAGAGACTCCCAATCCCGTCCGCTTTTCTCACGATTCTGCGGGAATTTCGATTTCCAACGCCCGTTCCGCTCAGTCACTCGATCAAGGACGTTCGGCATCTTCGAAACTCAGCAAACGGGGTCTGTCCTCCTCGCTGGAAGAATTTTCGGACCGTCAATCATCTCAAAAAAGGTCGGCGTCGTCGGAACGCTTCTTTGCAAGCTCGACCTTACTTGCCCAGCCGAATATCACACCAACTCGCCTTCAATCGACTCGGCCGGTGGACATGTCTGACACATCAATGGGAGTCGCTGTGCGCACAGATAAGGAGGATTGGGCGGAGAGCGATGATAAAGACCAACCAAGATTGCAGCCAGCGGACCGGTGGACACCAGCGGAAGAGGAGGCCCCTTCCGGATTGGCTCGGGGCGTCTCGGCATTGCGAAGCACATTAGCCCAACTGAAGCTGGGAATAGGTATTCGAGGGGATCACGAAAGTGAAGCGTCGTCAGTAACCAGCGTCACCACTTCGACTCCCCAATCGGACCAAGGGAGTCGACCGGAATCTCCCGGCTTCACCTTCGCGTCTAGCCCGGCCACAGAGCTCGCGAATTTTGGCGTCACTGGAATAACACCTGAGCAGTTCATTAGCGCGCTCGATGGAAAACAGACGGCAAACCACGCGGAAACAAACCCGTTCGGCAAAGATGCGCGAGTGTTGGCTGTCGATCTCAGATACGTGGCGGATTTTGGAAAGTGCCATGTTCGGGGATCTGTAAATGTCAACTTGCCGATGCTAGTACTGAAAAGACTACGACGTGGTACAGTTTCGAGCTTTCAAATCACCAATTTCCTCACAGGCCCCGATTCGAAGCAGTTATACGAGGAATGGAAGACGAATGGCGCTTTGGGGGAAGATGACAATACGCCAACCCAAGCGTCCGTACATGGCAGTACCGAGCGCAAAGGGCCTCCGACAGCTTCTGACCGCGTACTGATCATTTATGATGACGAGATGCCAGAGGACAATCCCAATACCGAGGCTTGGGCATTGATCAGTATCCTTGCAAAGGGACTGGCGGAGGATGGGTTAGCCACAGGGGTGCGGAAAGGATCGCCTGCGGTAACCCCTCCAACGGCCACGCAATCGTTACCGAAGCAGACTACCATAGTATATCTACGAGGGGGATTTCGTGCATTGCACTACATCCCGAGTGCAGCCGCCGTCGTGGAAGGAACCGATTCACATTTATCGCCTTCAATCAAAGGACATCCTGCCGACGAATCTCCCGCGCTCTCTGAAGCGCGACGGCCAGGGCGAGGAACCCAGACCTCGAGCCCTTTCCACGCCCCATCCCCTTCCACCATTTCCATAAGGACGAGTAATTTCAGGGACGATACAATCTCGTCTCCTTCAGTATCAACAGCGCCTCAATTCAATGGAGAGCCGCATACCCCATCCACCTCGATACCCGGATTGCGACCGTCTGCTGCTTTATTACCTCGTCATCAGCAGTTACAACATGGTGGAGAACCACCTCAACAGCGGAAGAAGTCGGCTTTTAGCATCAACACTACAAAGCTGCAGCCGCAAGGTCGCTCCAGAGGCGTTTCATCGGCAGCGTCGCGAGGTATGAACCTTCAAACGATCAGCACGCCGACAGCAGCCGTCAGCAACAGTTTCAATTCAAACAGCAAGGCCGGTGCACAGCACGCTGGCCCGGGTGTTGATCATGGGGCGCCTCCGATGAGTGCCCATCCACTAAACGACAATCAAGATGGCGGGTCACGGTTCCCGGAGGTACATTTCGAACCGCAAACCCCTCTGACAGCGCGAATAAACACGCATATGGTGCAGCGTAGCGAGCTGTCTCGGAGACGCTCAATGTCGGAGCCGCGCCGGTCGCTGACTTCCGGCCGCCGCACTAGTAGTAGTGCGGGCAGCGCTCTATCGTCGACCCATTCGTCAGATCACAACATGTCGCAGCTGTCTCCCGGCCCATCGACTTTGCCCACGCCAAGCGAACCGGTGTCTGTCATCCTTCCCCACTTGCTACTCGGGTCAGATGCGATCCCGCAAGCCCAGGATGGCATTGCCCAGTTAAAGTCGCTCGGTGTAACACATGTGTTGAATATGGCTGTGGAGGTTGAGAACAAAGTGATCGAAGCAAGCGGCGAATTCGAAGTCAAGTGGTGTCTTGCGGAAGATCACGCCGAACATGACATTGAGGGAACGATAAAGGAGGCCCTAGACTGGATAGGTAAGCGACAACCGTGTCCCATCTGTGTCCTTGTAGTAGTAGTCTAACTTTATCCCTTTGTCTATTTTTTACAGATGAAGCACATCGGGCGGACACGGAGAATGTCATCTTCGTACACTGCAAAGCCGGTCGCTCTCGATCGGCCACCACCGCCATCGCATACCTAGTAGTGCACGAACGCATGCGGTTAAGAGACGCATATGAAAAAGTCAAGCAGGCGCGACCGGGAGTCAGCCCCAATCTGGGCTTCATGCTTGCATTGCTCCGAATCGAGAAGGAGGTGCATGGGGAGAACACGGCGGCGGCTGCGCCCACTACGGACCACTCGAAAGCGCATAACGCGGAACCACGATCCCATTCGCACGGGGAATTAATGGCATGACGTTGATCGTCGATGTCTGAGGAGCCCGTCCGAGTTCGGAGGGCATCTGGCCAGCACGGCGACCCTACGACGAGCATCTGGAGGAGTAACCGGTGGCGTACCAGCGGGCTATCTGGTCAAATATGATGCACATCGCATAGGATATGATAGCACGTCAGCAGCTAAGGTTGCGCTGAGGAGGATGGCGGATATCACCATCATCGCAGCTCAACAACGGACGTCTCGAATGATCAGAATGGACGGTCGCTGGCCATAGTCGTCATAGCGGGAAGCTGGTCGGGCACACCCAAGGAAGTGTTCCAAATATCGAAAATTTGTGGGATTTTGGATACCATCGTTACTATTTAACCTTTGCGTCTCAAAGGCATTTTTGACACATCCATAGTGCGTTATCTTTCGTCCCAATTTTGAACTGATTTCCAGATGTTACAATATACTACTGTTGCTTCTCTCCTGTAACTTTTACTCGGTGTGGAGGCCGGCGGTCTTCGAAAACGAAGTTGTGCGGCGACTCGGGGCGATGCAGTGAATGTCACGTGACTTGGTCAAAATCCAAATTGAACAAAGTCGGCCAGCGACAGACGACAGCGAGGTGGACACCACACGGGCATTGTCGACATACGTTGATCACCCCCACGACCACCAGTCCCCGGTACACCACAATGTCCACTTTCCAAAAGGTAGGCGGAGAGTGCTTGCCGTTCGCCCACAGGAATCAGACAGAATTCTCGATAGCGGAATCGAAGTTGAGAGCTGCTTGTCGTTTGCCTGGGGCATTTGCTAATTTTCGGTCGGGCTTTACAGGAAGTCGTTATCGATGGCAAGGGCCACTTGCTCGGACGTTTGGCCTCTATTGTTGCCAAGCAGCTCCTGAACGGCCAGAAGATTGTCGTCGTCCGTGCTGAGGAAATCAACATTACCGGACCCTTCTTCCGTAACAAGTGTACGTGGGGTTCTATTGGAGGAGGAGGAGGAATTGAAGGGCTTTGCTTATGGAATGTTCTCCCTGAATTTACAGTGAAGTACATGGCTTTCTTGCGCAAGCGCTGTGTCGTCAACCCCAGCCGCGGTGTTTTCCATTTCCGCGCCCCCTCCCGTATCTTCTGGCGTACCGTTCGTGGAATGATCCCTCACAAGACGCCCCGCGGTGCCGCCGCCCTGGAGCGCCTGAAGGTCTTTGAGGGTGTCCCTCCTCCTTTCGACAAGAAGAAGCGTCTCGTCGTGCCTGCCGCTCTTCGTGTGCTCCGTCTCTCCCCCGGCCGCAAGTTCACCGTCTTGAAGCGCATTTCGACCGAGTTTGGCTGGAAGTACCAGGACGTTGTTGAGAGGTTGGAGGAGAAGCGTAAGACCAAGAGTCACGCTTACTACGAGAAGAAGAGGGCTCTGCTCCGCATCAAGGGACAGGCTGCCAAGAAGGTCGAGAAGGAGCTCGAGACCGTCCACAAGACTCTCGCCACCTACGGTCACTAAAACCACGGTGAATGGGAGTACGGCGTTCCGGAAAGGGCTTCGATCGGAAACGTGAAGCGTCCCTGGGGGAGAGCTAGTGCATATTCAGATTAGAGTATACGCGCTCAGTTTCAAATATTATGGCTTTTTCTCGACAGATGCCGCTGACTTTTCAATTGGACTTTGAGCATTGTTCACGTTTGCTGGAGGGATTGAGAACCGGGCAGATCATGCTCCGCTGGTGGGATTGGGATGGGTGCATCGCGAGATGGACGATACCCCTCATGGGCACGGGTGGGGCGAGAAAGCTGCAGGCACTGTACCGCCGAGTATCCGGGAAGTTTTAGTGTAGCTTTCCGCATGAGACGGACGATACTCATCTGCCATGTTATGTGCGTGTAAGTATGGAATCTGCAGTGGAGCTATCGTGAAGCATACGACGCCGACGAATGCTAGAAGAAACTTTGATCGGTGGTCCAGATGTCTACTCTTTGGCAGCCTATTCTTCGAAAGGAAATTATGCAGAACTCTTCTTCTTTCGACTCTCGAGGTCATTCGCAATGATATTAGAGAATGCCAAGAATGCATCGACTATTTACACAGATGGATGGGCTGCAACAAAAACCCCTGTTTGGAGGACGTGAGGGGACAACAAGATGAAAAAGGATGGTTCTTGGCGACGGCGTTCAAGGGTTGGCGATCAACAGTGGAGGGCTTTGCGGGGGTTATGTTGAAGTTGCATTCTGCGGAGACGCGACCATTATCAGCCTAAATGATCACTTGGACTAATCCGCAATTGGTGTGTACTCACAAGTGGCTCGATCGACTGGACATGGATAACATGCTCGCTCGCTTTCTCCTTCTCGGATGAGTGCGATTCATCATGAGGAGGCCGCCCTTGCGAAAGCACCCCACTGTCATCCCACCACCCCGCCACATCCTCAGTGTCTTCCTCCTCTGCATCATCAATGGCAAGCAATGGGAACATGCCCGATTGGCCTGTTCGAAGATTCTTGCCACGACACCACCCATCACGGTAGATCTTCTTTACCGCTACCGGGTCGTTCGGGAGGAGCTCAATCTCATCTGGCATGCGCGGCCAGTGGGGGTACACGACCTGGTAGGTGAGTGGCTGCTCGAAGGTGTACCCAGAGTAGCTACTTGACGCCTGCCCCTGGTTTCTGCCAACCGTTGAGTCGATCATTCCGGTGATCGCATTGCTGATTGCTGTGTCCTGCGGTGGTCTGAGGCCTGTTGGCGATCGCTTTGATTCGCTTCTCTGCGGTACGGCCGAGCCTCCTTCAGGATCCCGGTCAATCCGTAGCCCGCCGATGTCCCCGACTTCGCGGGTCAAGTCAGAAAGATCCTCCGGGCGGTTCTCATTCATCGGGAAACTGGCTTCATTCCAAAACCCAGGTCCGTGGTCGAAATTGAGTGGTGCAAGCAAGGGGATGACGACATTTCGCTCTGGGTTGACGAGCGTGGAGGAACTGTCGTAGTCTGGCGAACTGATGTTCATTGTCGTTGCAACACCGCCCCCGTTTTTGCCACTGCGCTTCGTCTTGAAACGGAAGGCTTTTGCCTTGCCGGCCCTTCGCGCTTTTTTGGCTAGCCCGCGGTATATCCCTTTGAAATCCTCCTCTTTCCACACATAGACCACCATTCCGAAGAACGCCGCCCCTGCCAGGACCATGGAAGCAATAACTCCGAGTATGATCGCTACGGTTTTGCTGGAGTTCATGGTCGTTGCTTCCGACTCTGCGACCGTTACGACGGTGTTGGGGGTTCCACTCGTTTGAGGCTGCCCGGCTTGCGATTGTGTGGTTGGCGGTTGAGCGGTTGGAGGTTGCGCGGTTGATGGTTGCGCGGTGGACGTCTGAGCGTTGGTGGCTAGCAGGCTGGTGGGAGCTGTCCACGCTGATTTCCGCGTGTCGAAGAAGAACATCTTCGTGTCGCTCGTTGACACTTGTGCTTGTCGTCGCGCAAGACGCCGGTGATTGTCCGAGAAATCATCCCATTTCGCCGTAAGATCGTCCCATTTCGCAGCGAAACCGGTCGACACCCTTCCGTTTTTGACGCCATGCAGATAGCTACAATCAAGAACAAAATCATGTCAGGTCCTTCCACAGCACTGAACACATACTGCAGAAGTCATACTCACTTGGGACGTGCCAGTGGCCAGTTTGTTATATCCGGTACGGGAGGATCCCGATGCCCCGATGGGGGCAGTGCAGACCCGGACGGGACCGGTTCCCCTTTTGACACTGCAGGTGAGCTGGGCTGGGGGCTGTTTGGCACGGCTGTGGCCGTCGGGATCCTCGAAGGCACACTCGCCGTCGGCTCTGACGCCGGATCCTTCGAGCGGGATCGATTTGGTGGTCCGAGAGGACTCTTAAGGCCGAGAAGGCCCGACGTAGAGTATCCGCCATGCACCATAAAGACATCGTTGACAAAGGCCGATGCCGCAAAACACCGTGGGCCGGGCCCCTCTTTCTTTGACTGCTCTACCACCGACCACTTCCATGTCGTTGTATCAAGGGTGTAGATAGCAGGATCGGAAGGAGGTAGGCCAGTGACACCATCGCATCCCCCATGTACCCAGACTGTCGTTCCATCCCCTCCCAATGCACACGACATTCCCCATCTCCCAAGCGGGCCGGTCCCAGTTACGCCCCTGACCGGTGCGAAGGTTTTGCTGGGATCCCTGGGATCGAACCGCCATAGTTGATGCGCAATAGGTGCCACAAGCGGCACCATCTCATCCCCTCCGATTAATAACGCTGTGTTGTCGGGCAGGGCAACGGCACATGCTCCCAGCATCTGAAGTGGCGCCAATTTTCCCTTCAGGGGTAAAGTGGACGCAGCTTTTGTACCTACGTCGTAGACGACTGTCTGAGCGGCGGAGAAAAGCCATGGATTCGTGCATTGCAAGCAATCGATACCACCTGAGATACGTAGTAATTAGCAGACGATGAATGAATGAGGTCAATATCAAATGTCTTACCGATCAAGTACAGTGACTTGTTTAGTACAACAGACGTATGGAAAGCCCGACTAAACAGTCTATCCGCATTGTCCACAGTCGTCGCCACATCAGTCGTCGTATCGTAAACCCATATCCCGTTCGTGGTCGGAGCATGGTTGTTCCCGTCATCCCTAAATCCTCCCGTACAGAACGCCCGCTTTTTGTCCTCGGTGGTGACACAATGTTGCCCGATGCTAGGAGTGTAGTGAGCGGAGAGCTGTGATATATTCATGTCCTGAGCTGACAGAAGCCATGTTCTCGTGTCTCCTCTGAACCTCGACTTGGACTCATCTGTGAACACGTAGTAGAATTGAGTGGGCAATCCAATTGGCAACGTTGACCAGCACACTCACCTTGTGCACCAAGAGAAAGCGGAACGTTCTGATCGGTTCTGCCGCCCACAAACACGACTCCTTTGTCCGTCGCGAAGCTCGAGTGATGGGCTCGCCACGGAAGATCACTGCTCTGGGCAGCAGCCAAAGTCAACAGTCCAGAGAAGGAGAAGAGCCATCCCTTGGCCATGGTTGGCACTGCATACATCTGTCGAGGAAACAGGACACTGTCGCTATTTTGCTTCTTACAGACAAAACTTTGAAACCTTCAAAATCTGCGAAACTACGGCCTCTAAGTACGCCAAGCACCGCGCGAAGTGCACGAGATATACGCCTTATACGTATGAGGGAAGCTATAAGAATAGAAGACGCACGCCTGCAATGCACCAGCCCCAGACCCTTGCCGTCTGAGCAGGAGGGGGATGTGTTTAGATCGAGGAGCAGCAGAAGTGTGCCGTTGTTCACAGAGTTCCCGGAGCCGGAAGTGTGCAATGGCCAACTTCCAAGCCCTCCGCGGCGGACGGAGCGGCCATGCAGCGCCACTTTCGACGGCCATCTTCCCCTGGACCCTGTCTCTCGTAAGCACACTGACGCGTCCTGAACATGCATGCATATCGCACACTTCGATACTCGACGAGGCTCTGGGATCGTGGTGTTATATTCGTTCAGCGCAGCCTGATCAGTGTCAGTCTACATCCAGGTCTACATCCTTACAAAATGGCCGACCAACGCAAATCTGTCCGTGAAATAATGACGCAGAGCATAGGTTTCTGTCCGAAAGGTGAGCGCCCGCAATCGTGCTTGCCTTCATCCGATTTCGCAGTCTCACACAGCTTCCTTGCTCCCATTGAGTTCAGATGCACTAGGCTGGCTCTACGCCGCACGAGGCTACTACAAAACCCGTGACTACCACTCCGTCATCGAATGCGTCACGCCAGCCCTCCGCAACGACAGGACGAAACGAGAAGCGCAACATCTCCTTGCTTTTAGCTTTCTGAATACGGGGCAGCTGGAAGCCGCTGCTGGAGCATTCTTCAAAAGCATCAATAATGGAAATGACACGGATTGGCAGCCGTTGGTTGAGCTGCTGATGGACAACGCTGGTCTGAAATTGACATGAGGGTGGGATGCATGGCTGGGTGCAAATCGACAAGCATTGTGATGGAGCCGTTTTTGGCGCAAAGAATGTCGCCCAGTACGTAGATACTGTATTTATCCAAACACGAATTATGATCGCTGCATTGATCGCAAGGCCTGTGTATTCGCACTTTTGCTGCCGAGTTTGAATCAGCCAGGTCACCATCACCACCAACGTGCGAGATAAAACAGAGATAATTACACATCGACCGCAACGATCGGTATGGATATACATAGCATGGTAAAGAGGAGAGAACTACCTAATGGAGACGGGGAAGGAAGGGTGTGGCGTCCAGGTGTTTTGTATGGCAAGGTATGGGGGGATGGGGGAGGGGCTGATTGAAATGACCTGCTCTAGTGCAGACAGGAGATATTACATTGCGTCGGCGAAGGGACCGCCCTTGCCTTCCTGTACATGCGGGGTACACGGGAGCAGTGAAAGGCGAGGAACCAGGGTTCGAACGAGGTCTTCTCGCTATTTCGAGGAGACACAACACTGCCGCGATTCCTCAGTTGCCTTGTGCGTGCTGCCCAGGCCTGAAGTTTGCCGGCCGCACTGGGTCAAAGTAAGGGTGCATCATGGCTTCTTGCGGCGTCAGGCGCTCTTGGTGATCGTACCGCAACAGCTTGTCAAGGAAGTCGAGGGCTTCGTTGGAAATGTAGCGCTCGTTGTCTGGCGTTACGAACCTCCGCCATGGTTTTCGGGCGTATCTGGAAGGGATAATGAGATTTAGCCATCAGATCGAAAGTCCCTTCAACCGTCTCTGATCGAGTCTACCCACCTTCCCAATATCGTCTCGAAGCGTGCATCCAGTTGTATGTGGTACTTCTCCAGATAAGCGAAGAGCTCGTCCGTTCCAATGACCTTTGCGATCTTCACCAGCTGATCGTAGTTGTCGTGACCGTGGAAGAAAGGTTCCTTCCGGAAGATCTGCATAGGATAAGTTAGCTTCTTCATTCTACATTCAAAGCTAACGCCAGGGATACAGAACATACCATGCTCGCAAACATGCATCCCAAACTCCACATGTCCAGCGAGTAGTCGTACTCCTGGAAGTCCACCAACAGCTCAGGGCCCTTGAAGTACCTCGACGCGACCCTGACGTTGTACTCTGTCCCCGGGTGGTAGAACTCGGCCAACCCCCAGTCGATCAACCGCAGCTGCTTCTTCTCGTGGTCAATCATGACGTTGTGAGGCTTGACATCACGGTGCATGATACCACACGAGTGGCAGAAATCCAGCGCCTTCAGCAGCTCAAAGACGTAGTAGCGCACTTCGAGGTCGGTCAGCTTCGGGTAGAGCGTTTTGAAATCCGTGTTGTTGACGTGCTCGAAGATCAATGCGGGTGTTTTCGACTGAGGATCCCTGACCACATCCAAGAGCCCAACTACATTCGGCCCGCCCGCCAACGTCTGCAGAATCTTGATTTCCCGCTTGATCTTCTTCTTCTTTACGGGTTTTAGGACTTTGATGCAGCATTTCTGGTCGTTTACTATGTTCACCCCCTCGAATACTTCCGAGTATTTTCCCCGCCCCACTTTCTTCACAATCTCGTAGTTGTCCTGTGCACTATTAATTATTGTTGAAGGATTTTGAGGTCAAAAGTTTATTCCCAAGTCTATATGCAATACGGAGCAGGTTTCCTTACTTCCAATGAATTGCCAAGTTATCATAGTCCCAATACTCCTTTGGCCGGTCCGCGCAAGCGGTTGCGTAGACTCTTGCGACGCTCATGCTGATATGATTTCCGCTAGACAACAGATTCGATCTCCGATGGGCGAACTGTGGATCGGAAACACTTCCCCAAGACAATTCCGTGAAGGTCGTCTTCCTGTTATCAATCGTCCGAGCAATTGTTTTCGTCTCCAGTCAAAGTCGACTTGGAACAGATAAGGCATGCAAAGAGGTTATGATGTCGCCCTCCACACTGGAATTTGAGTTTGTTCGGTTTGCTGAAAAGATCCGTCACGGGTTTTGGACCAGTCGGTTGAGGTGCGACTTTGAGCCGCTTACAAACAAGAGTCCTGCTCTGCGGATGAGTTCTGCCCCACCGGGTCAGATAGGCGGGTCTAGAGAGATAATGGCGGGTGGTACATGCGGTGAGAATGGTTCTGGGAGGGAGTCTGCTGCCGCTGGAACTGTCGTCTGCACCAAGCGGTGCCCAGGATTTGCAAAGCGGAATCCGTCACGTGATTGGTTAAATGCGTCGAGGAACCCATCAAGTTCGACGCTTGAGGCTCACTGCTTTTCACGCCTCACACTTTTTAGGGCACAGACAGCTGCAGGCAGGCACGCATTTCTGGATGAGTGGATGGCATGTGGGAAACGAGTGGTCGCTTTGAAGGAAAGCCACTTTACGAATATCCTCGCCACTTTGAAAGACCGAGCACCAGTGTGTCCATTACAGGCCGTACGCTACAGGAAGCGGAGTACGCTGCGTGGGCCATGAACGAGTTTGATGCATTGGATATGAAAAGATATCCTTGAGGTGAAACCACTGGTGCACATGCTACATGGCCAGCCGCTTTCGTAAACGAACTGATGTGGGTTGTGACATCCCGCGTATTGCGAGGAAGCACTCCCCAACCAAGGTTCCGACATCTCCAACCAAGATTCCGACATCTCCGATAGCGTTGAGACCGATGTTCGCTGGCATGCGCCTCGGCGCCCTTCACCTAGGAGACCATGCCGACCTCGTCAAAAGATAATACTGTATATGTATGTACAGTATAGTGGACGAGACAATGGGGGCGAGTGAACTGCGCAGATAATGAGCGTCGGAAGTTGGGCGGCCTCGGCGGGGGCGGCCGTTTTCGGCGCGTTCTCTGACGCGTGGCCGTCACTGCACCAAGCTTCCGAACCTTTTTCCATTTCTCAGCGTCTCTCGACTGGTCCACCTCAGTCAGTCCACGCGGTATCTTAAATATCAGTCCAAGAAGAGATTGCAGCCTTGAGCAAGGCAAACCACTCCCGCAAGTTTAGAGTTAGCAGTACCGACCCGCGCTACAATGGCTGCCAAGACAGATGTTGCGAGCTATGAGGCAAGTAGAGTAACGCTTTGACAAGAGATCACCACGCCGTATCCTAATATTTTGTCATCCTTAGTTCAACCACACGATGTACAGGGTGAAAGGTTCGAATCGAAGCATAAGGCTGGCTGATACGCCAGCTTTTGTCCGTTCGGCGGGCTGCGACGTTGTCTGATAACGCGCATTGCGCAATTCTAGATCCCAAAGCTTCCCTTGATTTTTACACTGAGACTCTCGGCATGAAGCTTATCACCAAGCTGGATTTCTCAGAAGCAAAGTTCACTTTGTATTTTCTCGGATACAATGTTCCGCAGTCTATCCTGGACTCCAGCGAGGAGGAAAGGAAGAAGTACGCTTTCAGCAGACCTGGAGTTCTCGAGTTGACACAGTAAGTGCGGTGATTTCCAATCCGACATTCTGGCAACTGATTGGTCATTGGCGAGATGCTCACTGCAACATCCTCCGCAGCAACTGGGGAACCGAGTCGGACGATACATTCAAGGGCTACCACACTGGTAACTCGGAGCCCCGAGGATACGGACACATTGGCGTATTGGTGGATGATCTGGAAGCCGCTTGCGAGCGGTTCGAGCAACACGGCGTTAAATTCATCAAGAAGCCTTCAGATGGCCGACAGAAGAACATCGCCTTTGTCACGGATCCCGATGGCTATTGGATTGAACTACTTCCTCGCGGGTACTGAAAATCGTGTCTCAACCACGGTTCAGCATAAGATAGCTGTCGAAACCAGCGTAGGGTAGCGAAGCTGTGATCCGCCGGGAGGGGATGGTCGTGGCATGCGTACATGGTGTCCTCTTCTTAAAAATAGTGCTGCAGTCTAGCTTGCGTTTTCCGAGTTCAACGAATCAAGGCCATAAGCATAGTCCATCTTCCTGCTGAACTGCTTCTCCGTTGCAATTTGTAGATTTGGTGCATGTCTCATGGCATATGTTGTTGTCTGCTATACTCATCAGATGTCGATCTGGATTCTGGATTCTGGAAGGACGGCTGCGACGCGTGAGCCTCAGCATGGCTGCCAAGCGTGGCTTTCTTGGTCACCAATTGATTGCGCTCAGTCCGCGCGGTCGCAGTCATGTCAATTTGCGAGGGATCCCCCTCGTCCTGAGTCCTGACTTCTCAAAGGCAGCATCGGCTCGATCCCACCACACACCCGAGCAAGTGCTTGCGGGCGAACAGAAGAGACGGACTCTCCCTCTCTGCCTTCATATCCTTGCGTTTTGGCGTCCCATCACTCTCCCAGACACACTTCTATTGCATCGTCGTACGCTTCCTACCAAGGAGCTCTCATGCAAAACGCGCGATATTCCCACGCATCTTCTTCCTGTTTCGGGACGTTTCGGTCTCAAGTCTAGTAGAAAAGCTATTCGCTATACCTGCTCGTTGGCGGACCGGCTGCGTGAAGCACCGCGTTCCATACTTAAGTGCCTGCGTTTGGGGAAAAGTTGATAGTACCGTGTGTCGTAAACGACTCTTGGGTGGGATCGGTTGTTCCCTCCACCTTCGATTCGCTCCCGCGTAGCGTGGCTCCCGAACGTCAATAGCCTCCACCTGCCGAAGTCCCTCTACTAGTTCGATTCGTCATGGACCCTTCTGGCAGTCTTCCGCGGTTCAACCTCTCGGAAAGAGCCGCTAGGGCGGCAAAGGCGGAAAGACGGCTGTCGCCTCTGAACCCGCTTGCGGGGTACTCAGCAACCCCGCCGACGTCGGCACCAGCAGGGTCACCCCCAACCGTCTTATCAGAGTCTCCCGCATCGATCTACAGTACGGCCAATAGTCCCATCCAACCGCTGCCACTAGTCCTGCCACCACCGCAACCCGAAGTTCCGCCTCCTGCATCGAAAGCCAAGCGGCGAACGCTTTCAAACATCACTGCCAGCTTGCGCAAACTTACCAGAACATTCTCTGATAACGATGTAACTCCGCAGAGGAGTCATTCTGGCAGTAGTAGCGATTTCAACGATACTCGAAGCTTGGCGAATTCGCAGGAGTTCCGCCCTAGTACCGAGGCCCTTTCCCATCAACCACAGACCGCTCAGTCACAACAGATCCGGCAACATGCAGATTGGCAAGAGGAGCCGAGGCCGTCTATGGATAGTCAGTCATCACATAGTGATAGCAAACCTGCGTCGGGCAATCCAATGAGGAGACCGAGTAGAGCTTCTCTGCACTCGGATCTAAGTGATAATGGCAGCTTTGGAAGTCATGGAGTGAACTCAGAAGGAATAAGTTCGAACAGCAGTACTGGAGCTTCGCCGGTACGTGTTCCACCACGCTTGAGAAGAGGATCCTTACTTGGGCACGCGAGCATTGGCGGCAGTCTGCCCATGATGCCTTTACCTTCGGGTAATCCTTCCAACTCTGAGATCTCAAGCGTACATGGGTCCCATGTCCATCACTTGCGGACGGAGAGCTGGGGAGAGGACAATCAGTGCTCAGAATCTCGACCTGACCGTGGGTCGATGAGAGATGCAGATGATGACTTCGAAGGCAACTGGGACGATCCGACAACACAAGTCCCCAAACAGCTGCTTACATGCACTACATCGCTCCCGGATATTCCGTTATGGAGTGCTCCAGCCGCTACGACATCCGGTGGTGAAAGTTCGAATTTCCGAACCTCTAGCAACAAGAAGGCGGTAGAGCTGCCGACCTCAATCAAGGCCTTTCCTGCCCGAGCTGTACCCAAAACCTGGTCTAATGCGACCAACCAACCTTCCCCGAATCCCTCCTTCATATCCGATCCCGCGACGTCAAGCCCTCTCTCTGCCTCAATGCCACCCACGTCCATGTTGGGGGTTTCGCCAAGGTCGGCGCATTCCGTGTTTGGGGAAACATATGTACCATCGAGACGAGGCGCTTCATGTGAGCGGGACGACTACACTCCTCCTGCATCCTCGTTCTATACTGCAGAAGACAAATTGGTGTATCATAACATCTTAGATAAGTCTCGGCAAGTCAAGAACTATAGGTGGAGCAGTGCCGAACCGGTGGGCATCTGGCCGACATGGCACGACGGCCAGAATGTCCAGGACAAGCCGATCAAAGACTCCCTCCGTGGGTTGCTTCTCACAAGAAGAAACTCTGGGACCTCGCTTCTTCTATCTCCTGTTCCTCAAGCGCAGCTGGGCGATTTGAGATCTCCGAGTCCGATGTTCTCTCTGGACGACGATGACACGTTTGACGATGATGCTGCATCTGTGGCATCGGGGTCCACTACCCACTCAAAGCGCTCACGGTCGGAATCTCCATTCCTGGCGACGATGATGGGCAGGAAACGCTCAACTCGCCAGGGTGGTGTTCTGTCTATCAAAACTGCCATCGCAAACCCGAGGAGACTCAGTGAGGCATCTTCACCAGGCATCCAGTACACGCCAGTAGCCGACAACACGTCCCCGCAAAATCAAGCACGTCGCCCATCCACCGGCGTTAGCATGATGCGGTCTCTCAGTGATAGCGATTTGTCGGAATATCTCAAAGGCTTTAGCGAGATGAAGAACTCTCTGCGAATGGCAAAGACGACGTGCAACGCCCATGTGCAGCGGATTGTGACGGAGCTACATACCTATGTTGAGCGACATCTGGAATACCATGACGGAACTCCGCCACCGCTACAGCTGAACCCATACGAGGATGTCTCCAGCTATGAAAGGCATAGAGCCCACCTTTCGGAGCAGAACCTCGTTCAGTCGGAGGCGGATCTAACCATCTCGTCGGAGAGCCAGGTGGAAAGATCCAAGAGCAAATCGACTCCTAAGCTAGATGGCTTGGTGTCCTGGGCGTCAGATCTTTCCATTGCGGCCGATGAGGATGCGAAAGAGTCTTTACTGATCAAAGCAATCAACGAACTCATTGCTATCGCGCAACAAATTCTTGAGATGGACCTGACGCACCTGATGACGCCTGGTGCTTGCCGGGAGACCATATCGCGATTGATGGCGCTTCAAGCGTTATGGAGCAAAAATCGCGATTGGGGATGCGGCGAATATGTTGTCAGATTGCTGATGGCGTTCGCGGATGTTGCCAGGATAGTAGAGACTCTGGAGGAGGACACCAGAATGTGGACGTACGTTGCAGCGGGATCGGTTCATCCTCAGTCTCAAGCGCAAGGTCCGCCACCAAGTCATCCGCGCTCCACCTCTCGGACAAGACCATTGCGACCGCCAATGCTTCGACGCGACTCGTTGTCTTCGGCATTCGGGGTCGATACCAGTGGAGATGACGAGGAAGGTTACCAGTCTCTGAATGACAGCGCCGATGCCAGCGATTCGACCAATCGCATGTCAGTGCCACGCGGACGAGGACGACGGTATGCGCAGCCAGTTGCACCTCCATTACAACAGCAACCGTCCGCGCCGCAACTTGTGAAGGCGCAAGAAGACTGGACACTCAACGAATTGCGTGAAGCTGCTGGCGAGTCGCAGAGCGTCAATGTCATGATGGAGATCGGGTTCGATGGGAAGATACTCTACGTGTCTCCAGTGGTCAAGATGGTGTTCGGATACGATGTTGAAGAGATGCGGCCGTATGTCGATGATAAAGTCACGGAGGGCTCGCAACTGCTCTCAATCCTCCCCCCTGGATCCCCCGATGAGCATATCTTTAAGGAGGCCACCGCGATGCTAGAGGAAGACGAGAAAACCACTGTCGAAATCACGTACCGCGCTCGGCGAAAGGATGGTCGCTGGCTTGAGATGGAAGGGAAAGGGATGGTGAATTTCGATCGGGTGACTGGAGCAAAACGTAGCACGATTTGGGTGACGAGACCAATTGCCCTCCTAGGAGAGGAATGGGACGATGTAGCGGTCAGCGACGATATGGATGACACGGAACGAAGCGGCTCTGCCTTGTCTGCCCTCATCGAATCACCCTCCGTGCCCACCGCCCCTTTCACTGTTGAACCACCGACGCCGCAGATCGAGGAACCCGGTTTGAATCTTCCTTCCATGGATCTCGTCCTGTGCAACATCTGTGAGCGGTCCATTCCTGCTATTCTATTTGAAGAACATTCCGAGAGCTGTTCCCAAGTGCATCGCATAGAAATGGATATTGTGCTGTTAAATGATGAACTTCGAGACGCCAGGGAACAGTGTAGCGAAAGGATTCGGGATTTGGAGGCCGAACTGAAGGAAAAAGGTGACGAGCCATCGGAACAATTATCGGGAAACCCATCGATTCCGGAGTTACGGTTACCCAACGTCAAGGGTGTTGAGGAGTACATCAAGAACCTGATCAGTATCATGTCGTTGCTTCTGGATGTCATTGAGGATTGCTTGCGAGTGAATATTCCTGACTTATCGGGTGTGGACGAGGGTGAACACGACGTCGATCTGTCGGTCAATGCGGAGGATCTCGAAGCGGAAGGAGGTGCCTTGCGGGTTACTCAGTTATCCAACCAACGACCACGGCGGGACTCTGCGGTGCTGGAAAAGCTCAAATTCTGGGAGCCACCAAACGAGACCGAGTTCTATCCGCCGGAGCTAGATTCTACGTCGAATATCTCGGTCACCCGAGCGTTGGACTACTTGCCGCCTGACACAGACCAACCACCGGTGTTTGACACGAGCTTGGTAGGACTTGGGCTTGGGGTATACCATCTGGCTACGGACATCAAAACTTTGGTCAAGACAAAATGCGAAGGCGTTGAGCAATTGAAGACAGACATTGCCCGATACCGCGAGCTAGCAGACAGAGAGGAAGCTGTCAAACTTCACATCGGTATACAGACGGGTACGATCGCTCAAGATAACCTGGCCCTGCCGACAAATCCGGAAGTTGACGGGGAGATAAGCCGCTCTACAAGCGACGATATCGGTGGTAGCGACACGAATCTTGCCGATGCCCCGGAGGGCACTGGAAAGTCAGCACTTCCGGCAGCCAACAACCTTGCTAAACCGCCATCTCCACCTCGCAAAGAGTCTCGCAATCCGAACGCACGAGATCGATCTCGAGACAGACGGAAGCTCAAGAGGCGGAAGAACATCAAAGTAAGGCCGGTGATGGAAGCAGACTTGTCGGATGCGAATCAGGCGGACAGCAGCGGAAGCCCAAGGCCCCCGCGGATGGTGGTGACTCGAAGCAAAACCCTCGAAGTCGAACTCATCCCCACGACCTTGCGTAATGAGACAACCGATGACAAGCGTCAATCTAGCGGGAGTTACTTCACGTCTGGAGGATCAGGCGCGGCAATAGCCAGTTCAGCCCCACTTCCTGGAACACCGGGAGGTTTCCCGGGAACTCCGGGAAGCATAACCTCGTTGGGGTCTAGCGGTGGAGGCTCTGGCATGTATGCGACAACGCCAGTGCAACGATCTGTGCCGAGCATCAAAGACTTCGACATCATCAAGCCTATCTCGAAAGGCGCATTCGGCTCGGTATATCTAGCCAAAAAGCGGCTGACCGGCGACTACTTTGCGATCAAGGTTCTCAAGAAAGCAGATATGGTTGCCAAGAATCAAGTGATGAACATCAAGGCCGAGCGCATGATTCTCACGCAGCTTGACAGCCCATTTGTGGTCAAGCTATATTTCTCCTTTCAAAGTCGAGAGAATCTGTACCTGGTGATGGAGTATCTCAATGGTGGCGATTGTGCCGCTTTGATCAAAGCGGTTGGCACCCTGGACGAAAAATGGGCGAGTCAGTATGTGGCGGAGGTTGTTCTGGGTTTGGAGTTCTTGCACGGCCGAGGCATTGTTCACAGGTATTGTTTCATGTCGTCATCAGTGTAGTTGCTGTAGTAGTTCTAGTAGCGATTGCTGACACTTCCGCATCCCGTAGAGATTTGAAGCCAGACAACATGTTGATTGATCAGGATGGCCATATAAAGCTCACGGACTTCGGGCTCTCCCGGGTCGGGTTTCTTGGGCGTAGAGCAAGGGACTCGTTCTTAAATACATCCTCGGCGGCCCCGACAGGTTTCTCTGGAATCCCAGGCAGCCCCAATATGAGCGCCTTGTCAATGTACTCCTATGGGCCCGGTACTCCGACCACACCCACTTTTTCACCATCGTCACCTTTGAAGCTGAATGAACAGTCATATGGCTCTGCCTACCACCTCGGTCGCCACAGCCGTCGTTCGTCCGTGGCCAGCAACAACAGCATGACCAGTGAACGAGGATACACTGAAGGTGGGATGGGAGAGCATCAAGCTGCCATGGCTGCGGCCGCGATCAGTGGCAACGGCATTGCAGGCAACAAAGCGTTTGCGGGCACCCCTGATTACCTAGCGCCCGAGAGTATCCTCGGTTTGGGTCAGGGTACGAGTGTGGACTGGGTAAGTTTACCGTTCAAATATTTCGATTTGGGAACCGGCGGTACTGACGCCAAGCTTCAAATTCAGTGGGCTTTGGGTGTCATTCTGTACGAATTTATCGTTGGCGTACCTCCATTTCATGCACCAACTCCTACTCAAGTGTTCGAGAACATTTTGACGCATCGCATTGACTGGTGTGACGAAGAAGTGGATATGTCGGCAGAGGCCCGGGACCTTATGGAGTCTTTGATGTGTCAAGACATCGAGACTCGACTGGGGACAAGGGGAGCCAAAGAAGTGAAACGACATCCATTCTTCAAAGAGCTTAATTGGGAGACACTGGCAGGCGAAGAAGCAGCCTTTGTACCGAAGCTGAAAGGCGCCGAGGACACGGACTACTTCGACGACAGGGGTGCGAAGGATATCAGCATAGCGGAAGTGAAAGAGTCCGAGGAACTTGTGAAGACTGCTAGATCCGAGACGCCAGTTGATGAAGGCAGCAAATCGTTCTCTTCATCCGCACTCAAACCGCCGACCGAGTGCTCGGATATCCACCCAATTGCAGACACATCCATGAACGCCTCTAGCTGTCGGTCAATCGACTCGGAATCTCGGGAAGAAAACTCTGCGGATTTTGGAGAGTTTGTGTACAAGAATCTGCAGTTGCTTGAGAAAGCAAACAATGACCTTGTCCGCAAGATCCGAAGTGAATCGATAGGATCTGCGAGCGACATTAGTCGCTCACGACACCGGTCGCTTCCGGCTGGAGTAACGAGCATACCGTCGCTCACTGGCACTTTTTTGAACTCACCAACGTCTCCCTCACCGACGCCGCTACCACCTTCCACGTCTTCAGCCCCGTTATCACCATCAGCATCCCCAGCGCTTACGAAACCTGCCTTAAAGCATAGCCGGTTGCGGAATCTCTCTTTCAGTGGGACGTTGCCTCCGGCTGTCGGCGCTTCTTCGCCTCCCAATGCTCCGAGTCCGCCACTGACTACTGCCGCCGGGGACACGCCCAAATTGGCTAGAGCCCGCTTGGTGAAGGATGGTGAGCCGCAGGGTAGGAGGAACTCCTTGCCGAGCAAGTTCAGGAGCAATGCTCCAGGGCCACTCCCTATTCCATCGTCAGCCACGACAAGCAACGCGCCTCTTGAAGGGAAACCGTCGGAGCCACATGAATACCTACAGTCGGCAAAGGAGCAGCTGATGAAAGAGAGGATCCTACCGGCGTCTGCTGTTGCGCTTGGCAATGCGCCAGCCGCCTCAACTATACCCGGCGGAACCTTGTCATCACCCCTTTCGATCATACCCCCATCTGTTTCGGGACAACATCCTTCTGTACCAAACACATCCGCTGCGGGACAGGGATCGCCCGGTGCAGGCGGACGCATGTTCGATGTGCTGATCGCGGATGATAATCCTGTCAGTCTGCGTATTTTGGAGAAGATGCTCAGCATGCTGGGCTGCCGATGTGTTATTGTTCGGAATGGTGCCGAAGCGATCCGGTGCGCGCTCGGGGAAGTGAAGTTTGACGTTATATTCATGGACATTCGCATGCCTATAGGTACGACCAGTCTACAAAAATGACTATCGATTGAATCATTTTCTGATGTGTGCTTTCATCTTGCTAGTCGATGGAGAGACGGCAGCACGAATGATCAAAACGACGAACAATGTCAACCAGCTCACACCGATCGTGGCCATCACCGCTTATGAGCAAACCTACCACCTGAGTCAGCAATTCGACGATACCATGAGCAAACCTATCATGAAGGACGTTCTCCAAAGAATATTGAATGCTGTGGGTGGGAGTGGAGGCGCCGTACCGACCAACTATAGTGGACAACCACCCGCGGCTCCCAAGGCTTTAGTTGGAACTGGCGCTATCGCTGGTGCAAAGCCAACGATTCCCAACGCCGCCCCGGTGATTTGAGAAAGGCCTCACCACCCTTCACATTTCGTTTTCTCCGCACACATTTTTTCCTGTTTCGTCTCTGGACCGTCGCCTGATTTATACCGTTGAGTGAAGTTCTGCGACTGCCCTGCAAGGCTTTTCACGTCACCCCACCGTCCCTGATCCTCTGATTGCTTTGACTGAACTGTAAATTTTTTATACCCAAAATACCATACATACAGTGGGGTACAACGTGCGATTTGACCCAGATCATTTTTCCTCGCAACCCATCATGGTCGCTTCAACTCCATATACCGTTACCGAGACCCTCACTTCCTGACGGATCCCGACTGTGTTGCTGCTGCTGCTGCTGCTGCTGCTGGCCTTTTGCCAGCGTCCTCTCCCGAAGTTTCTGCTTGTCTCGCTCTATCTCTTTCGCCACCCACGACTTTTCTTGCTCTTTTCGATAGGCGAGGAGCCGTGCTTTTTGTTCATCGATCTGCGCTAACTTCGCAGCTTTGACCTAATTATTATTGGCACGGTTCGGAGTTAGATTGTCTGTGAAAGCTGCAAAACGCTGTGTCATTAGGATACGTACTCTTTCTGCCTTCCGTAAATTCTCTTTTTGCTTCTTCGTCAACGTAGGATCTGAAGCATTCAGAGGAGCGGGTTCATATGACGATACTGACGATGAAGAACCGACAATCGTCATGGTCCGTGGCTTGGTCGGTTTTTCTGATGTGACAATAAATCAGCTTCCACTCGGTAGAACCAGTCCTGCAGGTGAAGCTTACTCACTTGGCGCATCCACGATCTGCCATCCGTCTTCCACTACCATTGCCGACGCAAGCTCGTCAGGCTTGACTCGTAACACGCGCTGCATGACCCCGTCGTCTTCATCGTCCGTATCCATATCTGGCTTCCAAGGGGCCGCTGGTGCAGGTGAAGGTGCCGGCGATGCTCGCGCAGACGCGGCCGAAGGCACGATCTCAGCCTCAGAGTTGGCTGGTGACACCTTCTCGCCTGCGATAGGTGCTACGTGAGCTTTCGCCTGTTGTTTGCTCTTTCCCTTTTTGTTTTTCCTCTTCTTCGTGGTGGTAGCGGCAGCATTCTCCACCACTCCCGATACCCCGCCCTTCTTCGAGTCGGGATTTGGCTTGTTGCCCTTCGGGCTTTTCGAAGGACTCGAGTCTTTCAAGGTTGGCGGAGGATTGCTGGGGCCACCTTCTTTTCCGTCAGACCGGTTTGAGAAGAGCCAGAAGAGGCCCACGGTAACCGTCACCAAGACATAGATGGCAATCATTATTCCGATCCCAATTGTGCGAATGGGGCGCAGAATGAAATCAGCTGGAGTTCGCCCTTGTTATTCCCGCTGCTGAGGTATGCGGTGTAATGAATGAACGCTTTTGAGGGCCAGCGACGAGTGATGGGCAAGACACGAGATCAGAAACCAAACTCGGCAAATAGCAGCCGTTTTGGCTTTCGCATGAGCAAGTCGAACAGCCTTCGCGCCTGCTTTCACGCGTTCATCAAGCTTTTAAGTTACAACTAGCACCGCTTTCAGAATCGGCAGCTAACCTCTTCAACAAATTCAACGCACCCTGGCACAATGATCGCTCTCCACTTTGACTCTATAAGCTCCATTATCGTTGCTGTGAGGGAGACCTGGTATGGCATCGCGGAAATGCAGCAGGCGCAAGGCGAACACTGCGCAGCAATGAATCAGTCACGTGAGCTAGTATTCCTGTGAACTATAAACAAGCCCTGTGAACTATAAAAAAGCCCTTGCAACTCAACATTGCACCGCATTCTGCAACTCCTCTGCAGAAATCACCTACACCAATCACACTTCCGAGTCGTCCTGCATAGTGCCTACCATCCAAAGTCATTATTCAGAAGCGGAGATAGTACGCGCAGCTTGCGGACAGGCCCGTTAGGAACAACGTAACGTTGAAAAGCTTTCATGAGTAGTCGGGTACCCCATTTATTAGTAGAATTACTAGTCCTGTTTTATCCGTGGACTTGTATATGGGACACACTTGGGAATAATGCGGAAACTCAGTTTTCCTTCAGCTCCTTTTTCATGCGGTCCACGCCTCTAGCGGTGTGGTTCGGCGAATCAGGGCTGGTAAATCTCTTTATGTTTTACGACAAGCGTCTGTCAACAGGCGTGAAAGTTCTGTTTGCAGGACGGCATCTTTTTCAATAGAGGACTCCTGTCTTGTATGAATGTACGGTACACTCATTATGGGCGTTGGGGACAACTGAAGCGGGTGCGAAAGCCAGCGGAACGGTCTGGAAAATTGTGGAAAAACGCTGTGCAATTCGCGCGTCCAGCTGTTGCAGACTCGATGACCTCAAAAAGCCCCGCTTGAAAAAGAGTTCCCCGCAAACGCTCTCCATTTGATCACTCTCTTCCCTCGCCCGTGCAACATCTGCAAACACTCGCTCTTTGTGGAGGCATGTCTACACTCATTCATGACTCCCGCATCCCTGCGCTGTGGCCTCACTCTCCAAAATCACACATGGCGCGCCCGAAAAGGAGACTAGATGAGGACGACGGGAATCAGGCGAAGCGCCTGAGGCGGGACGAGGGGTCGCTGCAGGACCACGTCAACCCGATTGTGCAAGGCCCGTCTGCGTTCGCTGGAAGTTTTCACACGGCCGACGCTAAAATACCGGTGCAAAGCATCAATTTGCCTTTCCCGTCTCCTCGGCCGAAACGCCAACGAGATCAGGACGATGACGACGATACCGATAGCCTGCCAAGCATCGACCTGCAACCCCTTACGAAACGAATACGACCGATGGAACAGTCAGTGCCCGACCTTACAACAACCATCCAAAGATCGCAACCCGTCGCGTTGGATACGGATAGCTTGGCCCTCGTCCCGTATATACGACAATCGCCACCTGCAGAGAGTATGCCGATTCCGACTACAAAGGAACATGCCTTTTCAATCGATGAGATGTTGGCGCAGAACCTGCATGCGCCTTCTTGGGGCGACTTTCCACGATATAGTTTTAGTGAGGGAGACGGGCAACTAGTATTGTACACAGGGGGAAGATGGAAGCCGCGAGAGACGGGTGAGGACGAAGCGTCCATGGAGGATCAGCAGTGGGGTGGGGCGGGTAGAGAGGGGCAGTTCTCTGGGGAGGGAGCGGGCGTGAGCTCGGATATGATGGAGATAGATTGTTGACTGTTTAGGATGATCCGAGCCAAATGTACATATAAGATTATCGCTGGTGAACTCCTATTCCGTGGCAGCAAGATTTCCGTTGCATGTACATTTTCGAGTGAAAGTGCCTTGCGAATAATAACGTGTTTCCGAGTTTCCAATACTGTGGTCTCGATGCAGGGGTGTATTTTCAAGATGCGTTGAACCATTTATTAAGTGTCAAATTCGTTTTTTGTAATGTGTAATGCTCAAGACCGGTCTGCGTCTCCCATCATGCCTCCTCTTCGCTTTCTTCCTGCGAGTTTTCGTCCTCATCCACCAGGGCGAATTCGATGATGAAGAAAGGAATATCTTTGGACATGGACTTAGAGATAAGTCGCAGTGGGTGCTTGTTGAGGTACTGGAGGAGGTTGATATTGATTCCCAGGTTGAGGTCGAAGGTGTTGAGATCGATGAATGGGGCAAACATCTGGAAGAAAGACAATGGCATGTCAGATTCAAATGAAACCGCCTTTGAGGTGCGAATGTCCTCGATGCGAGTGGGGATGCAGGTATGAATTTATACCTCCACATTATAAAGATTTTCGGGCTTCAATATCGTTGCCTTCCGCACAGACTCTTTCTGGAAGTATTTCCGACGCTCCGCGATGCCGTCGGCTGGCACTGGCGTCTTGCCGTCAAAGAGAAGCGTATTGTTCTCCTGCAACTCCTCCGGTCCAACCCACACCCATTTGCCCAGCAAATCATCCGTTTCGGTGTTGGTCTCCAAAATGGTCTTCCGCGGCTTGGATATTTCCTTGGACGCGTCCGCTGGCTTCGTGACATCCGGTACGCTGAGCTGCACGGGAGAACTCGTGGGAGACCCCGCTGGCGTTTCTGTTACCGCCGGATGAGCGCCCTTCACTGGTGCGGAAGCCTTTGTCACATTGACGATGTTGTATGAACACAGAGCTGGACTCCACAACCATGGCTTGTCGGCGTATATATCGCTTTTGAGCGCCGGATCTATGAGATTCGCGAATTTGATGGCGACCCATGCGCCGGTTGGGGGCGTCACTTTGTGCTCGAAAGCCGAGCCGAAAACGACATCGTTGGCGGTGTATTCCTGAATGAATCAAGAAACACGTTACTAATGACTTTGCTGAAAATATCCCATCTGGATTTCCTTCCTTTGCTCCTCTGCGCCGGTTTTTTTCCCAGACTGACTATTTTCACACGCGAACTCACATGCTTGTATCGTCCACAAACTTGAACGGAAAACAACCGCTTCTTGTTGCTGAAGTACTCCAGGTCTGAAATGGGCTCGGAACCATCCGGAGTGATGCCGTTAAAGTTCTTCACGCGAACGGCAACATATCCAGTGAAGTATGGGGAGTCGATGAAGTGCGGGTTCTCTTCATCGTTGACGTGGGCGACGGTCAAGGAGTTCAAGGAAGGCCCGATTCGACATCGGAGCTTCTTGTTTCCCACAGCGGCTTGCCCGCTAGCCCCAAATAAGTAATCCAGTTTGCCTATTTTGACGATTTCTCAAGGGGAGAAGAGCTGTGCTGTCGGTTTCAAACGCTGTGGGGCGTTCCACGATGAGCTGAGTGATAGTGATGCGCGACACAAAGTACTGTACGAGTTTCGGAAGTGGCACTCACTAAGTGAGAAGGCCTAAGGAGATTTGGTCGGCGAATCAGGTTGGGGACGGCGGCAAGCGGTGTTTCTGGCCGAGGCCAAACGAGAAAGCTTCTCAACGTTCTTGACGCGCGACGAAACCGGTGGAGCTTGCTTGGATCAGGCCACATTTGCCTATACTAGTGGCCTATGACGCAGAGGGTTGGCCGCGTGTTTTAATATCTACGACTGCGCTTCGGGTTGTTCTCGGACGTCCGCGTAGACCTCCGACGGCTGACCGCCCACGACATCACCCTCAGTACAGTACGTATGCATGTGCATGCATGCAGAGCATTGTAGGGCATTGCAGGGTCTCAGGCAGCTCAATTTCTAAGAGATCCTGTGTGTTCTTCAGTCTTCTTCTTCTCAAACGGTACATTTGAGACCTACACATGTACATGCAAGCTTTACAGAAACGCTGAAAGATGAACATGCCCAATGGCTCCTCCCGGGCACGCTACGCTAGCAGATGCATCCACTCATACGAACTATCTAGCGGGGTAGCTTCGTTTTCACCTCTCGAGAAACCTTTGCAAACAGAGAAGCCAGTTCGTTCCTGTACGCGTAGGCCACCCCAACTGCCGCTACGGCGGCCAGGGGCGGTAACACTTTGCGGGAAAAGTTGCCCCACAAAAGTGTAACAAAGTGCTTAGGGACTTTGGACGGTCGGAAATTGCTGTTGATGAGCACTTGCTGGCCGACGAAAATCTCGGACTCCTCTGCCGCCTTCAGTAGCAGAGCCGCCAGATCTGGATACGTCACATTGTTCGTGCCAGATACCAATCCGGATGTCGCATAGGTGTAGCCGTGCGCCGGAGCGTCGTGGAGCGCAGGTGGCTGAATGATACTCCAGGTCGCCAGAGCTTTGTTGCCGGGCTGTTTATCCCATTCGAGGAGGAGATCTTGTGCCCGGTCGTGGTCTTTGTAAATCTCACCAACTAGGAAACCCATCACGAGCTTCTGAATAGCTGGCTCCTGATCAACGTATAGCTTGTTCGAACCGCAAGCTGTGAGAAGCACAATGTGAACAGGCTTCTTGGTCGGCGAACCTTTAACGGCTAGAAGGACGTTTGCGACGGCATCGCGGTGTAGTGTTGTCGGAGTGTTCGACAGAGTTCCGACCGTGATGATCACTGCTTGGCACCCAGCGAAAGCACTGGCGACTTGCACGCTATTGCTGACATCTCCTTGGAAGACTTTGACGTTTGAGTTCTCTCTGATCTTCTGGGGGAGCTTGCTAGGCGTTCTTGCAAGTAGATGGAGCTGCGAAGTGCGGAGAATGTAAGCAGAGGCTTGCGAAAGCCGTTGAAGAACTTCAGAGTCCATTTACAGTGTGACCGTGTTCCAGAGCCTGCTCGACGACGTTGATACCGGTCAGTCCGGTCGCTCCTAGGAGGAGTAGCTTCATAGCTTCGGTGTATGCGTGAGGGTCGGTTGAGATGTCGCCGAGAGATGTCCTTGAGGGGAACGTCAATCGCGACGAAACACGAGAAGCTCGTGAAGGGGAATGCTGGATGATGACGCGGAGTGAGAGAGCTTTGAATGCACGAGGGCGGCCAATCAGACTCTTCAGACTCGCTTCTCTTGTTCAAAGCAACCGCACCAGACCCCCCCCATCTTCACGATTCTATCCACTCCCTCAAACGCACAGGTCCCACTTCTTCAAAGCGGCAAGAGACGAAGCTACTCTCTGGCATAGGCAAAGGACCGAGTGCAACTGTTCCCCTAAACTATCTCGCTGGACTAGAGGCCACTTCGAGCTCGACGTGGCGTTTCCTTCTTCGCTGCACACACTTTCAAGATGGCAGACCCGGACAACGGTTGGCGTTTTGCCCAGTGTTTTGGGGACAAGGGAGACGTTGAGGATGTAACAGAAGGTTGGTTTGGATGTGGCGCTAATGTCTTTGCGTTGGGACCCTCGGGATTGTGACTCGGACATCGGTTCTTCCCTTCACGCGACGTTCCTTTGACCTCTTTTCTCACGCAGCCGATATCATATCGGCCGTGGAGTTCGACACGTCTGGCGACTTCCTTGCGACCGGAGACAAAGGTGGACGCATTGTTTTGTTCGAAAGGAACGAAGGCGTAAGTGGCTCGGGCGATTGCCTTCGCATCATGAACGCAATGCCGCTCACGAGTTTCTTCTTTCCCCACAGAAAAAGGGCTGTGAATACAAGTTCTACACGGAATTTCAGTCGCACGAGCCAGAGTTCGACTATTTAAAGAGTTTGGAGATCGAGGAGAAAATCAACAAGATTAGATGGTGTAGACGCCAGAATGCCGCTCACTTCCTCTTGTCTACCAATGGTATGCCATTCCTATGTCTCGAATCTGTGAATCTCCCGTTAAAGCATGATTTTGAACAGACAAAACGATCAAGCTCTGGAAGATTTTCGAGAAGCCCCTAAAGGTCGTTTCAGAGACGAATCTACCGGTAGACGCTACACCAGCACGAGGAAATCTGTCCAAATCGTCACTCAAACTACCGCGCTTGATACACCATGACACGATGATTGCCGCAGTACCACGGAAGATATACCAGAACGCCCATGCCTACCATATCAACTCCATATCAGTGAACTCTGACGGCGAGACATATCTCTCCGCGGATGACTTACGGATCAACCTTTGGAACCTGAACGTTTCCGACCAGAGTTTCAGTAAGCACCGGGCTTGGGCACGCGATTTGTAGCTCGGCGGACGAAAACTCAACGCTCCTCAATCGTGATTTAGATGTCGTCGATATCAAACCTGTGAACATGGAAGAGTTGACGGAAGTCATCACCGCAGCCGAGTTCCATCCATCGCAGTGCAACTTGTTTGTGTATAGCAGCAGCAAGGGGACAATCAAGCTGAATGATATGAGAATGGCAGCCTTGTGTGATCGCCACTCGAAGCGTAAGGGACCATGGTTTTCCTGGGCCACCGAGTTTGGGGGCTAATCACAAAACGGCTATCTTTCCAGTGTTCGAAGAGGAGGAGGACCCACAAAACAAGTCATTTTTCTCGGAAATCATTTCGTCGATATCCGACTTGAAGTTCAGCCGGGATGGACGTTACATCTTGTCGAGGGACTACCTGACGCTCAAGATCTGGGACATTAACATGGAATCAAAGCCCGTTCAAACGATAAATATACATGATCAGCTCAAGAGCAAGCTCTGCGACCTCTACGAGAACGATTGCATATTTGACAAGTTCGAGTGCACATTCAGCGGGAACGGCCAGTGAGTATCGCCTGTTTCGAATGCCGCTCCTGGAAATCACATTATTAAGATGCAACCTTTGTAGGTCTGTTTTGACGGGATCTTACAACAACTACTTCCACGTGTATGACTTGGAAAACAACAACGACGTTGTCCTACAAGCGGACAAGAGCGCGTTCAAGGCAAAACGAGTAGGATCGACAAAGAACAAGCCAGGGGCAACGGGTTTTGCCAACAACCGAAAACAGCGGTCCGAGGACATCTCCTTCTCAGACCCCGCCGACTTTTCCAAAAAGATTCTGCACGCGTCCTGGCATCCTCAGGAGAATACCGTAGCACTGGCCGCGACAAACAACTTGTTTTTGTTCCAACAATAGCGAATGCGAATCCCGTGTTGTCCACAGAGGGGGGTTCATTGTTCTGTGTTGTTACGCCATCAAAATTCCACTTGTTCGTGCAGCACCTTTACATCACCAACGAGACTGCCAGTGGGGAACGTGCAGAGATGGGAAGTAATATGGGCTATCCAGACTCACATAACACGCCACACGAAAGGCACAAAATCTCGCATACGCATCGCCTCTGCCATCCGTAAGCGTCCGCTCAAACATATGCTCCCTCTCGCATCGCTCTAGTCCGAGTTTCCGAAATATATCCCCTCCTGAGCAATCCAAGTTTGATCATTCCCAGTCGAACTCGCAGCGCTAACTTCCATCTGCCCTGGTGGCTTGATGTTGTAGGTGTTCCCGGCAGTCACGCTGAGATACTTGCCAGTCTCCAAATGTTCTGCGATGGCGATATGTTAGGGGTAGCCAGCATTGGGAAGTGAAAGTATCGTCCACTTACGCAGTCTTACGGGACTCTCCCTCGTCCAAAATTTCTCGGCGCTGTTCACGCAGACCAGCTTCCAGTCGTCACCTTGAGGATAGGAACAGTACCATCAGCTTCCAAGCCTGGTAGCTGGGAACATCGCGATGATTTGGTGCCATACCTTTGTCGACCCCATCGAATGCCGATACTTCCTGGTTCTTGCTATGTGGCGATCGATGGGCGGCATGGCTGTGAAGGTATTTCTTTGTAACCAGATGCTGTCGATGTAGGCGCCGGTCAGATCAATCATGAGTACACGAGGCCCAGAAAACGACTTGGATACATACGAGTAAACGGAAAACCGAACCGCACTCGATTCTCGTTCTTCAGATCATCACAGGATTGAGGTTAGGTTCTCTCATCTTCGGCAACCTTCGACGCACTCATTGATTAATTGCATACTTGCGCGTGCAGTCCGGCTGCCCATACGGAGACTGGACCAAAAAGTAAGAAGATGGATCATCCCCTCTCGGAAGGCATGTCACGGCTGAAGGAGTTTCGGGTCAACGTTTCGCCAGATCGCAACCCATTTGACTTATCATGCTCATTCGAAAGACCCTCAATCCATACCTTGCTGCCCGCTGGAAGACATATGAACGTCAGCGTGAAGCTCGGAGGACAACGTCGCGTGGTTCCGTTCTACTTACCTTCCCGTGCCGTAGTTCACCGATAGCTATCGCAAGTCATGACACCGCCGTATGGATGAGTAGCTCGCCTCTACGTCGCGTGGAGTCAAAACGGGCTCTTACCGAGTTCAACCGACACTCAATCCCTTTGTTAGTCAGTTTGACTGCACTGGAACAAGCAACGTGCTTGAACTCGTCTTCTATGACAAACGCATGCTGCTCCGCTGCGACTGCCGATACTATCGACAGTACTGCCGCTGCTACCACCGCAGATCGCATTCTGAACTTATTTGTGTTCGATTGTCCCACGTCTTCTACAGCTATCGCTCTATAGAGCAAGGTGACGGTCAGCCAACATTGGCGGCAACAACGGCCATTCTTCCCCTTAAACCCCACCTTTGCAAACCAGACAAGTAAAAAACGACAGAATTCGTACACCGCGATAGCTCTTTCTTGACGCTCTTGACGCGTACCGCAGCCGCACTAGGTCGCTCTCGCTGTTCAGCACATCCGTATTCACAGCAATGAAGCGACTAGCAGCGTTCACCGACTTACGCCTCTGGGCACGCGCCGTTCCGCTCTCCAAGCCAATATGCTTTGCACGCTCGAAGCATTCCACGACCGCTGCGTCCGCCGTGGCGTTTGATATGGACGGAGTTTTGATGCGTGGAGGGAAAGCCATCCCTGGGGCCCGTAAAGCTTTGGAGAGATTGCAAGGGGACAACCCAAAGAATAAGTGGGTACCTTTTTCGTGTGACTGGCGGGTGTCGCGACACGCCCTCTAATATATCATATCTCAGGGTTATCCCGTTTATAGTGCTCACCAACTCGGGTGGCGAGCTAGAGGCCGAGAAAGCTCGAAAGCTCAGCAATATTTTGGGAATAGAGGTGAGGGTTCCTCGCTGGGCGAGCGCTGAGGGGAACTGAATCGTCTGACCGGCTCCTCTGGAAAGGTGAAAGACAAACAAGTGCTCGTCTCGCATTCACCTATGCGGGAGTTAGTTCCGGACTATAAAGACAAGCTTGTTCATGTCGTGGGGCCAACGCACTGTAAAAACGTAGCGCATTCCTATGGGTTCCGCCGCGTGATTACAAGCCATGAGCTAAGGAATTGGAATCGATCTATGTGGCCATTTGAAGTCATTGGTGACCATCTCAGCTCGGCAGAGGTATGCTCTCTGGACGTCCATCATTGTCGGCATGGGTGGGGACTAACTTTCACTCTTTGCAGGCAACCCCATTCGATTTGAACGTCGAGCCCATAAGCGCGGTCATGATCATGCATGATTCAACAGATTGGGGACTCGATATCCAATTGATCACTGATTCATTGATGTCCGAGAGTGGAATGCTGGGCACCCGGCAAGATGCACAACGGGGAGCGATCAAACAGGGCGTCCCCGTGTTCAGTTCGAATCCGGATTTCTTGTGGAGCAACGATTGGCCGTTACCACGATTCGGACAGGGCGCTTTCGTGAGAGCATTAGACGGAGTGTGGAGACAACTCAGCGGCAACCCACTGAATATCGCAAAGCAATATGGGAAACCAAGCGCGGCCACGTACGACTACGCAAAACACCTCCTGAGCCAGGAAATACCTGGTTCACTTGAGAGGGTTTACATGGTAGGCGACAACCCGAAATCTGACATTGCCGGGGCAAATGCCAATGGGTGGGTTGGGGTGCTGGTGGAAAGCGGCGTATATCGGAAGGGAGATTCTTTGCTGGAGAGCGAGAAACCGAAGATAATAACTCGGGATGTCTTGGACGCTGTAGATTGGATCTTGCAAAACGATGAGGCCTACGATTAAGTTTTAGAATACATAGAAAGGCGTCTTTTCTAACGCGTCCATGGCCTTTCACTCGCGAGCTCGTCTTTCCCATTGCAACATTCCCGCCAGCTATCAACACATCTGAGCGTTAACAAGCCATAGAGACTACCAAATGCGAACCCGGGAAGCAGGCTTTCTTGTAGTCAAGCATGTGAGTTGATTCAGCTGTCCATGAGATTCGGAATGCTTTGCCACTTTGTTCTAATTTCCATTTTCTAGGCCCGTTTTACGGTGACGGCGGCGGTGGCCTGTACAGTGGTCTATACACGATCTCCTCACGTGGTTTGGTGCACTGTTGGCGGCCTCAGCTGTAGCGTCCTTGGTAAGTTGTAGAATGTCAGAGCCTCTTCCGACGCCGGACCCCGGCATGCTGAGCTGTACTCTACCGCCAACACCGCGTGGCGACCGAAACTGACCAAAGCTTCCCTTCCTCCTCGTAGCTCGCGTCTTGAAACACATAATCAAGCAACCACGACCGACCACGGTCGTTGAGGTTCAAACAACGCAAAAGCCGGTTTCGGAGATTGAACAAGCTCTACTCAGAACGACGACTGAGACAGCGGTTGCAGCAGGAGAGGATGTAGTCATAGTGAAACAGATCGGAGCTGATGGAGGTCGGACCGACAGCGATGCGAGTGACTCCGACGCTGGAGACGAGGGATCGAAGGAAGCGGCTGGAAGTACGACGGTGAAGAAGCTTGATCCAACTCGTAAACACAAGTTTTCCAAACGGCTGCTCGTAAAGCGGGTATTTTCATCATCGACCCATGGAATGCCGTCAAGTCACACGCAGGTCACCTCCTTCTTCGCTGCGTACGCAACCTTCGCCGTCCTCGCCCCTATCATATGGCCGCACGAGGCACATGACGTCGGGAGTGCTCTGGCGCCAACATCCGGCCCATCTCTGTTTGCCATCGCCTTTGTCCTTTTCATCAATAGCTTTTGCTGGACGACAGCTTGGTCGCGAATCCACCTGAATCGGCATACACCCGCACAGGTTGCTGTGGGTTGGTTGGTGGGAACATCTTATGCTGGACTTTGGTACTGGGCTTGGATAGGCGATATTGAGGAGAAAATGGTTGGAATCTTTCAATCGATCGGCCTGCTATAGTGGCGTCACGGCGTAGACCTGAGATCAAGGCTTTGCTCTATAATCTTCGAATCTCTGTCATGTGCGAGCGCAAATGTAAAGGCATCGCTTGTATCGTACACGCATGCCGGCAAGGTGGCGGAAACTTGTTCAAGAAGAGACGCTAAGGGCCACTGAGGCTCGGGTTGGCAAATACCAAGAAAAAGAAGACAGATCCTTGATCATACTCACAAAGCAACATCGTCTCAGACTTTGGTAGCACCAGGAAGCCCCCTCAAACCGATTCTGCGAGCCTTACTTTTCGTATACGTGACATGACAACTCCTTACCGAAACTCCCGACGCCAATTTCGAGAACGAAAGCGAAGGTGGTGAATTGGTGAATTCGAATGTGATGTAGAAAAATTCATGCAGAAATAAATAATGAGAGGCAGTATATACAAGTGGAGGTGTGGATCTTTATGCGTCGATGAAGCTCGGTAGACCTACATACAGTCAGTGGACAAAAAGCTGTCTCTCCTCGAGATTAAAATCAGTGTCGCTTGGGCATGTCCTGATGAGAGCTAACAGCGACAGCAATCAGAAGGAGAGACAGCTTTTTGTCCTACATAGTACGTAGGTTACATACAGTACATACAAGGAAAAAGGCTGGAGACGGAAACTCAGAGTCAGGCGCGCTGTCGAGTTTCTTGGACGCGTGTTTGCTGGAGATGATCAAAACCGATCGCCTTCATCCATCTCGCTGACTCCGACACGATGCATCTCCCCCTCAAAAGACCCCCCGCAGTCTCTTGTATAACGCTCCGACGGCATATTGATCTCCCGAGGAGGACAACGTGGATTGATAAATGTGCGGATACCAGACCCGTTTCTCCAATGCTACAGATATAATTTGCGGTGTCTTGGATGCCCGTGCGTTATGAATGTCCCTTTCTCCCCCATGAGCTTGTGCGTCAGACCCTTGAGGGCTTTTTTTTTCGCGGGGAGATGCGACGTCCCACACCGAGGTCACCGCCACTGCCAAATATAAAGTGAACAAAAACATTCTCACCCGCCCTCTCCAGCTTCCTATTTCAGACTTCACTTGCTGAGCTTCAACTTCCAGTTTCTTCGAGTTTCTTACACGTGCCCCCTACCACTCGGCTCCCAATAGAAAGACCTTCGAGCTATCGTCTTTTATCTAGTTCGCAGACAGGCCACCACCCTCCATCTGTCCGTAGCGTTCTTTCAGAGCTCTCGGAAAGAAACTGCACTTCTACTTGAACTCCTCACGCAAAACCCACCAGCCTCGCATATTCATATTCTCAGCGTCTACACACATATACCATGGTATCCAACGGAACCAACGGGTCGCAAACCTCTCTGGAAAACAGTGCTACCGGCCCGGGACCTTACGGCAAGCAGACAGACACCCTCAGTCGCATATCCAACTTCTCGATTATAGAATCGACACTGCGAGGTACGTAAGATGGTTGAGCATGCATTAACGTCTTCAAACGGTGGAGAATTCAGTCGCTTTTGTCTTGCATGCTGTGCTCGGGAAACTAAAATTCACACGCTTTTTCAAATAATAGAGGGTGAACAATTTGCGAATGCGTTCTTCGATACAGAGACCAAGATCAAGATCGCCAAGGCATTAGACGAATTTGGGGTGGAATACATCGAACTCACGTCTCCGGCGGCGTCTGAGCAGTCTCGACAAGACTGCATAGCAATCACCAAGCTCGGCTTGAAGGCTAAGGTATGTCTGCGCAGTCGATAAGAGGCCCTGTGGGTTCATCAACTTACCCGACTGTCGAATAGATTCTCACACACGTCCGATGCCACATGGATGATGCGCGAATCGCTGTTGAGACAGGGGTAGACGGTCTGGACGTTGTCATTGGGACTTCATCGTTCTTGAGAGAATTTTCCCACGGCAAGGATATGGCGTATATCACACAGCAAGCAATCGAAGTTGTGAACTTTATCAAGAGCAAGGGATTAGAGGTCCGCTTCTCGAGTGAAGACTCGTTTAGGAGCGATCTCGTCGATTTGCTGAACATTTACCGGGCTGTGGACAAGGTAAGACGGGACTGTTCACTTGAAGTAATGCCTTATCGTAATTCGAACTGACGATCACATTTCTCGATTCAGATTGGAGTGAACCGCGTCGGCATTGCGGACACAGTCGGATGCGCCAATCCTCGACAAGTCTATGAGCTAGTGCGAACACTTCGTGGAGTCGTCTCCTGCGATATCGAATGCCACTTCCACAACGACACAGGTTGCGGTATAGCAAACGCGTACGCGGCATTGGAAGCAGGCGCGACCCACATCGACACATCCGTACTCGGCATTGGGGAGCGGAATGGTATCACTGCTCTTGGCGGCTTTTGCGCTCGCATGTACGTCGCGGACAAGGACTACGTTATGCAGAAGTACAAGCTGCACAAGCTGCGAGAGATCGAGAACATTGTGGCCGAAGCTGTCCAGGTTCAGGTACCCTTCAACAACTACATCACTGGATACTGTGCGTTCACACACAAGGCTGGTATTCACGCCAAGGCGATTCTGAATAACCCGAGCACTTATGAGATCTTGAAGCCGGAGGACTTTGGGTGAGGCCTTCTCTTATATTTGTCTATTGACACGATCCATGTACTAATACATGCATGTTTCGCAGAATGACAAGATACGTCTCGATTGGGCACCGTTTGACAGGCTGGAACGCCGTCAAGAACCGCGTGCAGCAGATTGGTCTCAAGCTTAACGACGAAGACGTTAAGGCCGTGACCGCCCAGATCAAGGAGCTAGCTGACGTGCGACCGCTGAACATCGACGAAGTCGACACACTGCTCCGTCGCTTCCACGACGATAGAAAGGTCGGATTGGACTCGGACATAAGCGCCTCTCTGCTATCCAGGTCGGATGATGAGGAAGAGGCGCTGGGCGCGAACAACGCTTGAGGGGTGATTGGCATCGGCGCAGGTTCCAGTTGTCTTTTTGGCGTTCGTATCTTGTCAATTGGACCTCGCGGCGGAGACATCTTGATGCATGCCCCTAGTTATCCCCATGTACCTTGTCGTCATCCTCTGCGGGACTTCTGTTACGAATCTTTAGCCCGCTATATCCCATGTCTTAGATTCTATGGGATTCATTCGCAACACGAGCTATATCATCCTCCTGTAGTCTCCCTAAGTGTGGGACGACCTTTCTTGTACATTACAAATTGCATTTCTCACAATATTGTCGTGGGTTAGGTTATTTAACTTATGCTGTTGCACATCTAGTCCGAAATACCTGCGTTCTTTGGAGCTCAGGCGTTCTTTGCTGGCTTAAAATCGCTCAGAAGCTGACGGACGAAGGGCATGACCGTTATGAAACTCTAATGAGATGTAGCCGTCGCAAAGGACATGCGCAACACTCCCAAAACAGCTTTCTGCCCAATCTCCAATCTTTCCAACATCCAGGGCTGAAACGTCAGAACAGAGCACGATTCAAAATTGCACAAGAAATCATTATTATGTACAGACACAGATGACGAATAGTTCTATAGAGGCTCAACATACATATACATCACAAAGGTATCGAGAGCCAAGGACCAGCTGCCTCTTCACGCATCTCGGCTCCCCAACGACCTCGCATGGTGCAATTTGACAATTGCCACAGAGCTCTCGCACTCCGTGTCCATATAGTTGCGGATCTCCGGTTCATAGGCCAAGGTCGAGTGTCCGACAACGATCAAGTCCTTGCGCCCGAACTGAGACGCGCGAGCAATGACCACCGAACTGAGAGACTTGTGGGAAGCGGCCGACGTGGTGTCCAATGGCTCGCCGTAAGTCTCCACGATTATGTTGGCGCTGACGGACCTGAAGTGTTCGAGGACCAGCTCGTCTTCTTCACTGTCGGTCATAGATATAGGCGATGCGGGCCCGTCCACGTCGATCTTGGTGGCTTCGTCAGGGTCGCGTTTGCCCGCTTTGCCCCGCATGTCGAGGATGGTGATGGACAAGCCTGGATGCGATGCGAGGTATGCTACGAAGCGAAGGGCCTCACGTTCATCGGATCGACCGGAGAAAGGTACGAAGATACGCTGGTTTTGTCCTGGGACCGTGACTTCGGGCCCGATCTCGGGGCTGGAGGACACGCCAAAGCCGCGATCCACAAAGACGGCGACACTGCAAGGTGCTTCTTCGATCGAGTCCTTGATAAACTTGTCGTTCAAACACGAATCCTTGTTGTTGAAGTTCGATTGTTGCCATGGGAGAATGATCAAACGGACGCCTCCGGATTCGCTCGTGTCGCGGATGTTGCGGGCAAAGTCTTCGCTTGAGGAAACGTTCACGAGGGTATGCACGCTGACGTGGTTGAGCTGACCGAATGTTCTGAAGACGTTGATCACGGGATCGGCACGCATCGTTTCGCCTTGGTTAGATGCCATGAGGTATGTTGACGTCCGCTCAGTGAGCTTGATCAACCGAAGGGCAAAGATCGACAAGTGCGACTGTGTGCTTCTGCACATCGCTGTGATGTTCATCATCGCCGGCACCGTTTGCATGTTGGGTAAGCAGACCATGATGTTGGTGCTAGTGTCGCCGCCCACAAGAAGATCGCCGGAGCTTCCCTTCTCCATTTCTTTACCGCCATGAGAGGCAATCGACAAGATGTGGTGGTCGCGGGACTCTTTTGGCCAATGCTTGGCAGGGTACAACCAGCTCACAATGGGTGTGGTCATGCACGTGGTGGCAACAGCCATGAGAACGAAGATGGTGAAGATCTTTGGGTTGATGACTCCGGCTTCGAGACCGAGGTTGAGGACAATCAGTTCAACGAGACTAGAAAAAGAGTTGGGGGTAAGTTACTATGACTTGACTCCCTGTGCGCCTCAATAAATCACATGAACATACCCTTTGGTGTTCATGAGGAATCCGACCGTCAAAGACTCGCGCCAGCCGAAACCGGTCATACGAGCAGCGGCAGTGCATCCGATGATCTTGCCTCCGCAAGCAACCAAGATGACCAGGAAGACATAGCCCCACGCAGAACCGTCGTCCAAGGTGAACACGTTCACGCTCAAACCGCTGTAGGCAAAGTACTATTGAAAAACGTAGAGTGAGTGACGAGCTCGAGACTGGAGTGGTCAGAAAGAAGGAGCATACCAAAGGGAGGAGCAGAATAGTGACAAAATCTTCTATCTTCTCGGTCAGTTTGATGGCAAAGCCGTGATCGTGTGGCGTGATCAACCCCACGAGGAAACCGCCAAAGATGGCGTGCACCCCAACGGCTTGTGTGAAAAACGAACTTATCAGGATAAGGACGAAGATGACCAGGAGGGAAGTGGGCGAAACGCCTTCGGAAGAGCTTCTCCGGCGAACCATCTTGAGCAGCTGAGGGCGTACAGCCACGAACAAGAAGACCGCCCAGGCAATCGTAATGAGGAAAACGTACACGGCCCGGATGGCGTCGCTAGGATTGTTGATGAGGGCGACCGTGAGAATCAAGAGGCACCAAGCGACAGCATCGTCCACCGCCGCGGAGGCCAAGGTGATTTGACCAACAGGCAGACGCAGGATCTTGGTCTCATTGAGAATACGGGCAAGGACAGGGAAAGCTGTGATCGCAGGCAATCAGCTTACTAGTCTTTCCCGCTCAAATTCTTGGCCACGTTTTGATATTCGCACAACATACCAGTGATGGACATGCAGACTCCTAGAAAGACAAAGAACGCATAGAAAGGCACGGATTCGTCGGACAGGGTGGTGTAGATCAACTTGCTAACACCTGCACCAGCAGCAAAAGGAAGGATGATCCCAGAGAGCGAAATGGATGCTGACTGCCGAGCTTTCTTGATCAGAGTGGTGGGATCCAGCTCGAGCCCGACAAGAAAGAGGAAGAAGATAAGCGCAAAGTTGGCGACTAGACTAAGCCTGGGCAGGGAGTCCTAGGAACAGAGAACGAGTAAGTCACCATGAACAAGAATACGTCTCGAAACCTGACGCCTGGTCGTACCTTGGGAAAAACGTTGTCCTTGAAAGCCGGCCATCTCGACAGCGCAGAAGGGCCCAAGAGGATCCCGCCAATGACTTCCGCGATAACTTGAGGCTGGTTGAGGTATCGGAAGCCAACCGCCAGGAACCTCGACAGACAGATGATAACCAACGATTGCACCAAGAACAGAGCGAGGTTGTCGGTCAAGGGGTTTTGACCCGCCACAAAGGTTGTAGTAGAGCCAGCCATCGTTGACTGTTGAGGGATAGGCTTGAGAAAAGGAGGTGCAAGAGGCTCTGATCTTGACTAGAAGGGTGGAAGACCAGAAACTTTCCCAGGGGGCGGGCAGGATATGGAGCTAGACGATTTATACGAGAGAGGTCTTTGTGCCCTTCCTGCAGCTATATGTTAGTTATGCCGTTTGCCTTCAATAACAGCGTGGGGAAAACGAGACTGGGTTATCGGCGGCCAGCGAACGTACATACAGTAAATACGCAGGAGTGTGGAGGGATGTGAAACTACCATCAGCGAGTCGGTGAGCGTTTCTTCTGGCGCGGCTCATCGGCGTCTCAAAAATTTAGAGTGACCCACAGTCCGATCCAAAACTGCGCGGAGAGCCCCTCCGGGAGCTGCGCCCAGGCCCCCCTTCCACGTTCCAGGGGTCAGAGGCAAGTAGAATACCGGCGATGAGATGTCGTTGTCTGAACTCAACTGCATTTAGAACTCGCGAAGATCTTCACAAGGAGGCGGACCGAGACCTTGGTGATGTGCATTATGGATCCGCCAAGGCACTTGGCACTGACTTGGCATTGCCTGAGTGAGCATGTGCCCGCAACTGTCAAAAGGGAAACTTCGATGAAGCGAGTGACGGGCTCCACTCGACGCGGTCGTGAGGGCGCATGGGGTGAGGTTGGGCTGCTCTCACCTGCGGGTTAAATGGTTCTGTGACATCGATTATTCCAACAGTCCTCCACCACAGATATGGACGAGTTTCTCCCCACCACAAAGAATGACATATATTACGATGGTCAGCCTTCCCGTACAAAAAATGTCGAGTAGCATCAAGACAAGTTCGTCATGTGTCTAAAGTCTCAGTACTCAGGTACCTGTCCACATAGCTTCCCGTCCCTTGCAGGGAATCATCATCCCAGTACTCCTTCAACGCCAACAGAATATCAGGTTCTATTCTATCATGCCGTTGCGTGGCTAGCGGTTCGTTCAGCGATGGTTGGGACTCGCGCGGTATTTGGTCGGCGTTTTGTAATGGTGGGATGGAGGAGAAGGAGGATGAGAGGGAGCGGGTATGTGTGTGCACGCGCGGGGAGGCGGCGGAGATGGAGGACATTGTCCGGCGGTGGAGCTGGTGCAGGGTGCCTGTGCTTGATAGCTCGTCATCCTGCGCGCTGCTGGTACGCGTTTGGACCGTCAGCGGTGGAGGCGTCTGTTTTGGTATTGACTCGGCGCTACCCGTGTAGTATGACCCGCCTCCGGTCCCGGTGCCTAGCTCATCGTACGAGCTTTGCATCGAGTCTCCCATGCTTTCGGTCGAGAGGGAGAGACCTGTGCTGGTATTCACACCGTCTCGTTCGCGTTGCTGCTTTTGCAGAGAGGCTCGTTCAACCCATCCCCGGAAATCGTAGCCTAGAGGGTCCTCGACGTCCGTGAACGGTTCGGAAAGTAGATCTGTAGCCGTGGGTCGCTTTTCGGGATCGATGATGAAGCACTTCTCAATGAAGCTCTTGGAAGCCGGCGATAACGAGGGAGGTAAAGGCGGCGCATTCCCCGTCCCTAGGAGATAAATGACGTTGCCGCGCGCTTTATGCCATGGCGTTTGATTCGTGAGCATCTCGAGAACCAGACATCCGAGAGACCAAATGTCGACCTTGGCGCTGTAGCCTTTGGCTTTATTGAGGCGGGCGACTTCAGGGGCCATCCATGGTATAGAACCTTGCATTGACATGCGGGTGACGCGGTGGTAGGCTTCTCGGTATTCATTCTTCTTCGATATGCCGAAATCAGAGATTTTCGTTACTCCGTCGGTGTCGACGAGGACTGGCAAGATGAGGAATGTCAGGTCCAATGCGCGATAGAACTTCCACAACTTTGCAACAGCTACTTACTGTTAGCTCCTTTGATGTCCCGATGTATGATGCTCTTCTCATGCAGGTATTCCAGCCCACACAAGATCTGCGCAGACATACACTGCACCAGCTCCTCATCAAAGGCGCCGTACTTATTCAGGCAACTAGCCACACTTCCACCGGAAATGTACTCCAGGAACACATTGAAAGACGCATCTGTGACTTCACTTCCGAGATACCGCACAATATGCTCGTGTTCAAGCTCTTTCAAGAAATCAATCTCCCGCCGCAATGCGTCTTCCCGCTTCTGCTGTCCACCGTCACCGCTATTCTTCCTCGTTTCCTCGAATACGGCCCGCTCCACTTGTTTGACAGCCATCAGCTCCCCAGTGTCTAGATTCAGACCGATGAAGACTTTGCCGAAAGCGCCCTGCCCAATTTGCTTGCCCAGTTCGCAGCGGATGGTGGCCGACCGTCGCTTGTTCGCTATTGACGTTTCGAGCTGTGGTGGCGTACTTGGTGAGGCGGAGGATTGCGAGGAGAGCTGATAAAGCCTTTCGGGCGAGCCTGGGAGTGGTTTATTCCGTCCCACCGGTGTCTCTTCTTTGTCTGTATCTGTTTCAACATCGGGAGTGCCGTAGTTTTCGTCCGACGGTCTCAGATACGATAAGCTGTCCAGAACTTCGTCATGCCATGTGGAGCCCAGGAGGTTCTCATCGAACTCCTCATCAGCCGGAATCTGTGCTGGTCCATTCGCCACACGCGATTCTGGCTTTGATCTCGATTCGTAGGAATCATCTTCCTCCTCAATGACCGCCGGGTCCTTCCGTTGAGGCGAGCCCGCCGTCTCACTCAGCATACTTGAATGTGGGCCTTGATTCTCGCTCTGATATTTGCCGAGCACATCGCTGCCTCTCCGAGCGTAGTAAGCCGACCCTCGATGTGCAACTTTCGATATCCGCTTGTTAAGCATAGCTGCATGCACTCTACGCTTCAAGGTATCTTTGCTAGCTTCTCGCCGTGGCGGCACAATCAACGGCGCCCCAGCTGCCGTTGTTATGGATGGAGGTTGGGAATACGCAGCTGCCACGGAGGTGCTAGCCGGTGATCCACCGGGCAAAGTAACGGTCTTTTTGGCAATCCCAGGGAAGAACTGCTCAAGTTGATCGACAATAAGCTCGTCTGGCGGGCGCTCCCCGAAGAAGTCTGCGAGCTTCTTGCTTCGTTGTTGACCCGTGGCGGGTTCTGGCGGTGGTGGCGTTGTGACGATGGGAGAACCCCTGAGTTGTTGGAGTACTGCTTCGGGCCCACGGCGGATCGAGCCGACGGGTGAGGCTGTGACGGGACTTGGTGTTGATTTTTGCGAGTCTCTGAAGAACCGCCTGACGGATGGACGGCCCTTGATTTGCGGAGAGCCGATGGTCTCGTTCCCGCTTCGACTCGCCACACTCGACCCCGCACTGCCCGTGAGACGAGTTTCCATCAGAGTCTTCAGCGTCCCATTGTAAGAGCTCGTGGATCGAAGACGTAACCGATTTTTGATCGCTGCATCTGCTGCGTCCCGGGATTTGCATAGCCGGAGCAGTTCTTCATCTTTCAAGGGACCTGATTGAAAGCACAGTGAGTCAACCGGGATTCAATGAGCGAGAAATCTGAGACCCTCGCTTACCCTCCCCAGTAAGATCTGCATCTGGCGCGTAGATCGCATATCCGTCCCGCTCCTTCGAATCCTTGATTCCAAACTTGTTGAAGATCCGATTTTTTATGGCTGCAATGTCGGGAAGATCGGCTACTTGTATTATGTGGGATTGCTCCTCAATACCCTCTACCCTGATGCATTTCTGTAATACAAATATATTTGAAGTTTTGCGGCGGATCTGATCCCAAACCATGTTTTGAGCGCCTTACCGCAAGGATGCCTTCCACAGTCATTACACCCTTGCTCCTATCCAAAGTCCCGGTTGAGCTATTCGCCGAGTTGGCGATTGGTATGGCAGGCATTTCCTTGGATTGCTTAACCAAAGATGTCAGATCTGAGCCAGACGTGTTTGTAAGCTGTTCAACGCCCTACATACCTTTTTGCGTAAACTGCCGAACGCTCCTCCATCTTTGGACATCTTTTTTTCATCATCGGAATTGAAGAGTCCTAGTTTCATGCTGAAAAGACCGTTCGGTGATGTTTGTTGTGTGGCTCGAGAGTCCGCGCGGTCGTTTGCCAACCCAGCGCTGTCGCCTCGCCTGGCGCTTGGAGGTGTGGATGGAGCATGCGGTACTCGGTCGGCTGAGGAGGGTTTGCCGAGCGTTGGATGGGGGTTGATTATCAGAGGTGACGGGTTCACTCTCTCTATTGCTAATGCAGCTCCCGTAAGAGAGCCTTTCCGCAGTGGGATACGACCGGCAATGTCTTGGATCAACTCTGGAACAGTGTAAGCGTTTTTCGCTGTCCCCGTTGGCGAGATGATGCCGAACCCTGAATTCGAGGGGCTTCTCCGCAGCGTTCCCGTTCCCTGCGAAGAATCCGTAGCCGGTGGGGACCGCGCGAGCGTATGCGATGCATATCCCGCATCTGTGGACGGGACATGATTTACCATTTGTGGACTGTGTTCCGCCGTGCGATCCAACGTCGACGATGGCTGACGATCCCAAGTATAAGCGGATCCTGCAGATGAGGTCAATGACGGAGGAGCCGACGCCGGTGGAGGTGAGAAAGCGCTGGAAGACCCGGTTTGTACGCCTATAGACCGGACGCGGGAGAAGTCCTTCTTGATAGCCTGCAGGATCCTCGCTCTCTCCCCAACTGACATCACCCCAATCTCCTTCAGGGTCTCATAGTCCAGAGCTGTTATCACATCACCTGTGATGTTATGTGCGGCAAATGCCGAAGCGAAGCGCTCAAAGCCAATCGCTGCCAGCCATTGTCCCACGCGTCGCTCAGACCATTCTTCAGGCGGACCGCTGGGACTTCCGTCCCAAGACACGTCGGGTAGCGGTGGTAAAGGTCTATTTGGCGCAGGCGAGACTGCGGAGTCGCTGGCTCCTCGCAGCAATGTCCCTGAGCCTTGCTGTGTCGACAGCGCTCCGGGGGGAGGACCTCGATGGGGATGCACAATTTGAGACTGCATGGCGTACAGCCCAAACCACAGAGACGAGAGCTAAGAACTGCGACAGCTATAGAAAGTAAGAAGATAGGGAGACCGAGTACAAGAGCGGCGCTGACTGTCCAGTTTGTTCCACTCCCGGATCTGAGCTCCCAGAATTCAGCGGGATTGCAGTCAGTTTGAAAAGCCCGAATGCACACACTAATACGCCATTAGTGGCGCGCGCCCAAGCATGCAGTGACCATATACCACTCATACCGGTTATTGCAGGGAGTGACTCATCACTATGACATTCACGCGTTCATTGTTGGATTGTTCGCAAGGGGCACCCATGCGCATTGTCCTCCGAAACGGGAAAAGCCCCTGGGCAAATACACCAAAACCAAGATGTGCGTTCGGATAGAAGAGTTCAATCCGGCCACAATCGGAAAGCTTAAGTACAGTACACGTCTTAACGGACTGCACACAGTATAAGGTTTGACTGGCGCGTCCGGATGCATAGATCGCAGGCAGTGGATGGTTACCCTGAGAAGGATGCATTGTCCTGGGAAACTTCAGAGACAGGCCCTGGGAAAATGCACTTACACTCTGCCGCAACTTCATATTTCTTGTGTACAACACAAGTTACTTCCCGACAAAGTCGGTCAGCAAGCCGAGAAGCTAAGTTTAAGCGAACTGGCTGTACCGGGTGAGTTTGTATTGCGCGTCCGACTGGATAGATGGCAGTGGATGGTTGTATAGTGAGGGGTTCATGCGTGGGACTTTCTCACAGACCGATGACGGCGGCCAGATGAGCTGATCCTTGGAATTCAAAGGTACGTGCTGTCTTAAAGAAATTTTGGCCGACTAGGAGCAGAACTGTGACAAGCTGCTTTCAGCGGTAACCTTTCGTCCCTCCACGGGCCGTGTCTCATGGGCTCTTCTTCGAGCTTTGCATACCTCACCATTCAATTCCTTTGATGCCAGCCGAGTGTTGAGTGACGTTTGGGGAAGGCAACGATGTTGGCATCAAAGACACGAACCCTGGTGCCGAAAGGAATACGGATGCCACGTTTCTCCTTTGTTCGTACTGCTACCTGCTGAACATGTCCGAGTGCGATCGCCGGTACACTATTGCTGGATCTGACTGCCAAAAGATGCAATGTGAGCGCATTCATGCGATGAACTCTCGGGATACGTGGACGCGAAGTTACTTACCGATCAGGAACATGGATTTGGGAGCCCGCCATTACTGTCTCTGGTTGTCGCAATCCGGGTGCAACCATGATTGCGGAATCTTGAGAATCAGATGAGGTCATGAGGCATGGCCGAACGTTCCTCGCTCCATAATGCGGTCGTTGTGTTTCGGCTTGATCAAGCGAATTCGGGACAAGAGAGCGTGTGCGTAGTCGGTGATCCATATTGTGAATGCATTATTCCCTCCTTCCTCATAAACTTGAACATATCAAATCATACAGGTTTTCCCGTCGATGTCGATGTCGCGAGTTGATAAATGATGAACGTTCGTAGTCTGCGCTTGGCGTTCAAAGAGGGGAATAGATTTGTCAGCGCAGTGAGTTTCGAGTCGATGGTCATGTTAACCTCCCTGTCCGAATCGAGGTTCGACAGAAAGGAGATGTATGTAGATCCAACCTGAATGAAACAAATGGATGTGATGCGGCATTTAGAAATACACGCGATCGTAGACATTGATGGAACCATATTTCCCTGACTCGCACGCGTGTTCTCCTTAAATCGCACCACCAGTACTGCACGGCGACGAGGGGTCACCGCGCCCGCATTGGTGGAATGTTTATAGCTTTCCCTGAGGCACAGGCTTCGCCGGATACTGGCGATTTTCCGTCATCAAGCAAGCTCCGACTAGCTTTTCACCTTTCGAAGGGTTGAACCCTGCCATGCCGCATGTACTCGCCATCGCCATCGCTCGGTCTCCAATGTGTTGCGAGGAAATTGCCCTGATCCAAGGTAACACCCAGGCCGAGTAGACGGGTTTTTCCAACGAGTCAGTAATAGTGGTAATACAGGTTGCGCTGACTTTGAACTGTTGGCTGTTTGAAGTCGCCTTCTTATACAGGCGCAGTTTGAACGACCGCGAGGTCCGAACTTCCGAAAGCGGGTGAGTGCGAATCGGCTTCGGCGGAGAGAGAAGAAGAGAAGCTATCCGCTGGCGGACTCTGGACACTCCATTGATAGAAAAAAGTTACACAGTGTCTATGGGTCCGAGCGCCTAACCGAAGGCTATCAGTTCCTTTCCGAATATGCAAGATTGCCGCGAACTTCCTGCGCGAAATCGGAAACAAGTGAGCGGCGAAGCAGTGTGCCACTGTGATCCTGTGAACCGCATTCTTGTAATATTACCTGCCTTGGTTAGCCGGCAGGTTAGCCGGGCGACAATGACCTTCCGAAAGAACACGGAGAAACTGACAACGATGCGATATTCCCAACGAAACCCGACATATGGCGTAGTGAGTGCAAGTAGCCGCTCAGCAAGTGTTTTCTATCGTCCGTCCCAATCAACCCTTTGGGGAAAGTGAATGCGTCGGAATCATATTGCAGTGATGCAAATCTAACCCTGACGAATTCATGCCATACCTTGACGCGTAATTTAAATGACGTCTACTACGTGTTTGCAATATAAATACTGGTTGCGTCAGCAGTTCCGAATTTGTAAACATCAAAAGGAGGAACACAAGGTGACACGGATTGCGGGCAGTTAGCATGACTGTGCCATCTTTCTGAGGTGTGGCGCAGCAATGCTCAGTCCGAGCCCAGGCCGACGCGTACAACAAGATCCCCCAGCTGCCAATATAAAAGCGCAGCCAACGCGCAGCAGCCGTGGAACTTCACAGTCGTCAAATGGAAAAAATTCGGGTATTTTTTTTTTTTATAAGTATCTGTGCGCCCCTCACTATTCTATTACGTTCTTGGCTATCTCACGGCTGCCGTCTGCCGTCTTTGTCTAACTCCCTGTACCTCGTCATCTCCATCTTCGTTTCACTCAGACCCCGTTCCTGCAATGTTGCCACACTCGAACGCGTAGCTCAAGCACGAAGGTAGGCGAGTTCAAAGAAATCACGGTGAAGCATCGGCGTCACATGGATTCCTGCGGACACTACGCTTTACAAGGATCAGGCAGCTCTCGCGAGGAGACGGTAGGTTGCTTGCAGCCTACCGTTCGCCATCGAGAGTCGAGTCGACGCACCCGCCACTGAAGCGTCACAGAAGACAAGGCGCGGGTGTCTACGGCTTTGCTTGAATCCGTTTGGGGCATGTTCGGCGTCCAGATCGCCTCCGTGATTTCTAGAGCAGACCGACCTTCGTCAATGGGCGATGATCGTCTCCTTATGGTATATTGTGAGTTCCCCACTCCTTCGCTATTCCGCCTCTCCATTCGCCTGTGTTGACACCTTCTCTTCTTCATCCAGAGGTACATCGTCGTCGGCTCTCGTTATTTCGCGTTTTCAAGGTAGTCAGGATTTCCGTGGATTGTCATCCTTTTCTCTGTCAATGGTCGATGTAAGTATATCGTACCATTGCTAATCACATATCTGCGGGACCTTCGATTGACACTCCACGTCTTCTTCTCAAGAGGCCCCGGAATGATTACGCTCTTCCTCACGGTCAAGACCTTCTTTCTCTTGGATATGTATACTATAAAAATGATAATATACGAGTTGTATCATTCATAATAAGAAAAGTCATATATCTGCTCTTCAGATTCATCATGTGCAATTGCTCGTGTATTTCTTAAACCCAGGTCACAAATCCTGACAAGGTGAGCCTGGCGGAAGATTCGCAATGAACAAGGATAGCAGAAGCGTGGAAAGTCCGTCGCTCCCTGTCTATCATAGCAGGGTACTTCCACGCATAGGATACAATGCCATATAGGAGCCCACCGCTCTGTAGCAAATCATTCTACCGCGAGCGCCACGTCCTGAAGCTACCAATCACTTGGCAGAAGGATATGTCCTTTGAACAATGTACGTATCCGCAGATTAAACGAACACATACAATCGAAGCAACGTTCACCGTAAATAGAGTAGGAAAGTACGACAGGGGCCACCGATCGATAATCAAGTGTCACAGGGTACGGGCACCTGTGCGCAAACAGTTGACCACGAAGAGATTTATAAAAATTTGCCTCGAGCGGAGCTGGGCTCACCCAGATTCTCCGTGGCGGGTATACCGAGGACGGCTTTCTACATAGGTAGGTAAATATGCAGCACACTTTCGAGATCATCCGAGGAACGCAAAAAGTGTGCTTGATTTGTCTTCGACGATCGTTGGCGTGGGCAAAAACGAATGCTGTTTAACTCGTTTAGGATTCCGAGTATTGGCCCATCGCGTGAGAGATGCACATCGGCGGGACGGGTGCGTGCAATGTATTGTTGTTCCGACCGTGGGCGTCAATTTGACCGGGTAGGAAATCGGTTTTCATAGCACCTCGGAGCCGCCGGATCCACAAAATATTGATGTGCTTATAACCCTATCCGACGAGATCTCGTCTAAATGTTGAGGAGGTCTCCTACGAAAACTGATAGATCTTTGGGTGACGTCCGCGACTGGTGGTTGAAAAAAGTGGGAGTTTAGCTCCATGCATGCCGTCTGATCCCGACTGTCGTACCCATGTCATGTTGAATCCCATTCGCAATATGCCCTCCATCCTGATATTCTTGAACATAACCAAACCGTGCAGGGTCCCCGTTGATGTCGATGTGAACGGACTGATGCCGGCCGATGACATTCCAAGCCAGAAGAAGTTGGTGGCAATGTTGCGGCGGCAGTGTTGTCAATGCGTCGATTTCCAAATCGATGTCCTGGTAACGCTTTCTGAGTGGATGTCCAAGAGATATGATTTGCAAATGAACCTAGACTAACACAGTGGAAGTGATCCCAACAGCATTCACTACTGTTGCTGGATCGTCGACATCAAATTGGAAGTCTACTCGACCGGGGCGCTACCCAAGATCAGGGCAATATCCTCACAACACACTGCTATAAAATGGCGATAGTCCGTAGATGCAGGCTGCCACAGATGAACTTCCCCGTTCAGTAAGTCGAATGATGGGTATCCAGTCACTGTCAAGCACGCGGATGGGTGACGGGAAGGTCGGCAGTCCCCGCAAAACCGGTGGAACCGATGGAATTCCTGTCCTCCTCCCAAGTGCGCTCTTCCCGGGGAAGTGCAGAGAAACGGCCGTGGAAAAAGACTGCGCAAGCCGCCGGAGCGTCATCCAGTCCGCGGACTCTGCAGTATCCTATATGGATTCCACTAGTAGGGGCTTGGTGGTCGGTGTCGGCATGCACCACTGGTCGCGCGTGTCGATCTTGAATATGGTCTTTGCATCAATCGCTCGGCGAATTGTTGTTCCCTCAGTGCTGGCCGCAAAAAATTCCGGACCACGAGATCGGCCGGATCCATCATTGGATGTTGATGATGAATTGAAGTTGTCAGGACGGCTTTGTCCAGTACCACTCCGTGGGTACAAGAGTCCATTTCCAGTGACTTGGTGAGTACCGTCGTTCCGGAAGTAAGTTCCAGCCGTGTGATGGAGTCCTATCTCGAATGCGCTCTTGGGGGCTCCGAGAGTTTGAACTCATCCAGAGGGTGAAGCGGGAACTGGTTGCAGACAGTGGGCTCTGGACCCACTCGGATGCGGTTTTGGCGGCTACGAGAGTGTGAACGCTTCAGAAGGCGAAACGGGAACGGCTTGTAGACGGTCTCTGGACCCATGCCGTTTCCTCAATGAAAGCGGAAGTCTCCGCGCCAGCGGCGGGGGGCCTCACGCGATAGAAATAGGATAAAAATGCGAGGCCCAGAACGTCTGCCGACTTCATAATGTCCGTGTCCGACATTCCAAATCCAGGAAAGTTGGGCTCGGCTCTGAGGGAAAAGAAGATGGAAAATTATCAACTTGTAGACTCTTGATAGTACTTCATTTGAAACCTTACCGAGTGTCAATGGGTCCGAGGGCCCAAACGAAGGCTTTTAGTAGCTTCCAAAATTGCCGCAAGCTCCCGGTGCCAAATTCGGAAGGAAGTGAATGGTGAATCAGAGTACCCCCTGTAATTCTGTGAAACTGCAAATGCCTTTTAAACCGTATTGGTTACTCAGGGACTTCTTGGTTACGCGGGCGACAATCTTTCAATCCTCCGATTCTAATGGGACAACGTTTGAGAAACCGACGACGATTCGGTATCCCCGGCGAAAACGGGATGATGGCCCGCTGCGTGAGGGAAGCTGTTCTGCAGGTGTCTTCTGTAGTCCATATCCATCGACCGTTTCGGGGAAGTGGATGCGTCCGAGCTCGTCTTTTTCATATTGCGTTGAACCTGTCATCCCTGTAATCTCAAACACCTGGGCACACGAAACCCATCACCGTTGCCAGATCTATGCCGAAGGGTTTATGCCAGCTGAAGACCGTTCCTGGTCAGCGTAACAGTCGAAGAAGGCGGAAGGCCAGCACTTCTGGAGACTGGTGTTCACGAGTTTGCTACAAGCTGATGGTCACGGTATTCTTCCGTGCCCACGAGGTACGGAGGAACGGCACCTGAGCTCCGGGGTGCACGATGCGATATACCCAGATGAAATGCCTTCAAGGCCAGGCAATCGTGTTGCGTCCGAGCGGTCGGACAGTCAAATGGCGAGGGTCAGCTGGATCTCCCTCCCTGGAGGTGTAAGGATCGAACAGCAGATATCGGTGTCTGTCCAGCTATGTGATCGCCTAGTGCGTTGGAATTGCCGAGAGAAATCGCGGATCCCCAGCAAAGACTGCCACCTCCCAAGCACAAAGAACCCCGGCAAGACTTTACGAAGCACGAAGCAGACTGTACGAGTCGGCGAATCCATTGCGTCCAACACATTTTTCAGCATCTTTCCTTTGAAATTCACAGTCGCCAACATGAAGCGGTCATGGAGAAGAAAAATCCCTTGGTCGGCGTTGCAATGATCACCGGATCAACTTGTAAAGCATATCGCCCGTCGCTGTTCTATGTGAGCTGAGTGTGTCGGAGCATGCACCCAGACGTCACTGACTCAACATCATATTCCCCTAGCATAGATCTCCTCCCATTCCAGTTTGAAGTTCCTGTCGTCAGATGCCTCCCGAACTTCCAATCACGACGCCGTGCCCGTTGGGTGACGCCTCCCCAACCACGCAATGTATGCGGAGCTTGCCGGATGCAAGATGCCGCGACTTACCCGAAGGACAGGTTGGGTTGGGTCAGACTCGATCATCCATGGGATTGGCGCTTTGTGCGTTTTGAACTTTCTGGGCGCCGCGATGAGACTGAATGTCGGCGATCCACGCATGCACTAAAGTTTGTCTGAGCCTGAGGTGCCCGTCGTCGGCTGAGTGATTTGGGCGGGAAGTCGGATTCCAAAGAGACATGGAATGCGTGGGATGCGCATAAAATGCTACACATCGATGTTCATGAGTCGATTCGAGCTTTTCGGCTACGTCTGTATCGAGCGAAAATACAACCCATAAGACTTCATAATCTAGGATCAACATCGTGCTATGTGGGAAAGGTGTACGTACGCACGTCGCAAATCGCTGCAGTAGCGAGAGTGTCCGAAATGGGCGTGACAGAACCCCGTGGGCTCAGCACTCCAGAACCCCGTGGGCTCAGCATTTGATTTGGAGACTCCGCTTTCGGACTCGACCCTTGAAGCCCGAACCCACAAACTCATCCACACCCTCACCCACCCAACACCCACCCAACACCCACCCAACACCCACTCCCCATCCTCAACAAGCACAATGGCCAGAGGACAAGCCCAAGGAGTAAGTACTCCAAGCGGAATGGCAGAGGTCGCGAAGATGCCATCGAGTCCTGTTCCTTTGTATGCCACTTCCGAGTCCTGACCAAGTATGTTTTGAAAGCCCCCTGCCCGCAGCCCGTACGTGGGGATGACGTTCGTCCGGGCACTCCATGCCTTCATTGGAGCCAACAAGGACGACCCCACCATCAAGGACATGTTAGTCCTTTCCGGTCCGCCGAATGTGGACATCTTCGTCCCGGCCGACTGCAAGGAGTGGCGCTGGAAGGCTATCTACAAGTATGTCCAGCTGTTTGTGTGCTTATTGTCTGTCCGTGGGGTGCTGACGAGCAACATCTTCCATCCACAGTGAGGTGAACGGAATCCGTCTGGCCACCGGTTTCCAAGGCCGTTATTTTTGGAAACGCGTCTTGCCGTCCAATGGCAGCACGTTGGGCCTGAGCGGTTTGGGCCGCATGAGGATTGACGGTAAGCTGCTTCCATGCATATCGGTGGAGTTTTTGTCGACGCTGCGAGCAGGGCTGATCGCGTCTCTATTTTTAGACCCTCATGCCGGCCCTTCCGCCCTCCCCCGTGCTCCTGCTGGTAAGAGAACGAGCAACAGTCGATATTCCTCGGTAAGAACGAAGCTCTAACGTTTCTTCCCACTCAGTGCCGGCGAAGACGAAGGCGAAGGAAGTGAAGAAGGAGACCGAAGTGAAGGAGGGGCCGCCTGAACGTACGTACAGTAAGAATCGGTTGCTGGAGAAGCAGCGTGCGGTGTTCGCAGATGTGGGGCACTGGGGATGTGAGCATTGTGCTGCGTGCCCGTACCGTGTGACAATGGCGTGGACTCGGACCCCTGCTGCGCGCAGTGGTGGTCGTTCGCGGCAGATGTCTCCATGAATCCATAGTAGTATAATGATACTGTCATTGATACCTACAGTCAGTGTCAGTCATGGTATATATGACCGGTCGATCCGAGGGGGCCAAAGCTTGAATTCAGACGGGCTCACATACGGACGGACGCTCGAGAAGGAATACCCGACAGACCGTAGAGGTGGGCGAGCAAAGCGAGCACCTCGAACGATTCTGAAGCGAACGCTGCTATCCATGTGAATGGGGAACTTGGCAAGCTTACATTTTTTTTCGTTCAATATATAGCCAGCAGCAGCAGCAGCACGAAGCGCCTGGCCTCCCGTCCCGCCTCGCCCCAGCAACGTCGCCCTCCCCAACCACAAGGACCCCGCTCCCGCACCCGCACCGCCTCCCCTGACCGCCCTGGCGGTACCTTGTTCAACTTCCGCCCCAACCCCAATTCCCCGTGGCAGACGAAGATGTGGCACCACGGCGACAGTTTGGCTCGGCGAGAGGAGACATGCTGCCACTGGACCCCTCGCAAGCGATCCACCCGCTCTCGTCGACCACCCCCACGGCCGTCGCCCGAGGTCAAAGAGGAAAAACGAAAAGAAGAAGAAGACGAAGAAGACAAGCTTGTCGTGGTGAAGAAGGAAAAGGAATGAGGAGGAGGTCAAGGACGGTAAGGGTTTCGTCGGCCGCATCCACAAGCAATATTCTGAACGCATATTCAGTTCCAACGCTCAAAAAAAACTTCATATTGCAGCTGAAAGGGTTCATTCCTCTAGCGTTTACACTTCCTACCGCGGCCTATTGAGATCATCCGCTTACATCCCAGCTTCATCCGCACTACGTCATTCAAGTTCAAACGGCTACTGTTGAGCTTCACACCTTCGCATCCTTTTTCAAACGCGTGCAGCTTGTGAAGAGGAAGACGGAGGGTTGGCGGCCAAAAATGGACCGGATAATGGAGTAGATTCACTTCCTTAGAACGATCTGAATTTGCGACGTATGAACTTGAATGGGAACGCGTATGAACTTGATCAGGTAGTTGCGTATGAAGTTATAAATAAGAAAAAGATGTGCGTATCAAAATATACTTCTATGTGAACTGAAAATGCGTTCAGGGATACGAGCAGTGTTGTGCCGAGACGAGAAGCCACCTCCACAACCCTAACTCGCGGGGTAGAAAAGACCAGTGCGAAAGACGACGGCTTCGCTGACAATCACTGATCAATAAGCAGCCCATCAAGCACCGTATGTACGCGCCGTTTTCGCCGGCGACATTGCCTTCCGACGCTCCTTCTATCCAAACCAAATGATTCCCCCACCTGTATATTTTCGTTTTTGCTTCGTTTTTATCGCTCCCCTAAGAATTATAATGGCTTGCGTCTGCGATGTATTGCCTTCAAAAGATGGCACATAATGCATGCAATCCGGCTGCATTTACTTCTATCACCGGCGTTCCATGACGAGCGAGGAAACGTTGCGGCGTAGAGTAAGGACGATGGACAAGATGGACGACTCCAGATCCAGCGTATGCTCTGTTTGCTCAACGCACGGCCGCCAAGGCAGCCATTCCATCCTGAGAGACCCGTTGACATCCTAAGTCAACACATGCTCGGAGGGCAGCGAGCAGCGAGACTTGGCGTCCCAGTTCCAACCGCAGGCATGCAATCAGCGAGACCTGGCATCCATGCAAGGACGTCCGTCCAGAAAGCCACCACACCTCCGAATTGGAATCACCGTGATGGATACATTACCATGGTGTAGTTAGGGATTAGTAGCTTAGGAATTAGTTTCCATCGATGCGGCTGATGAGTGCCATCGATAGCAGCGGCCGGCTGAGGTGTGACATCGATAGAGGCGGCGAAGGAGTGCGAGAGAGCGAGACTGGTGAGAGACTGATGAGACTTTCCCAGTGGTTTCCCAGGAATAGAAAAGAAGGGCAGTACCGGCATCCCCCCCCCCCCCCCCCCCTTTGAAAATTCAGAACGCATATACGGTTGCACTACTAGCATCTGCTTCGAAGAGGAAGATTACTACCCGCATGTTTGGCTCCTGTCAGTAATGTGTTTGCTGTTGGACCCCGTCGCTTACAATAAACTCTCTTCCTGTGAAAGCAGTCAACCGTCAAGAACGAACGAAGCCGGGGCATGTCGTCTCTCCCAAGTCTAATGCCAGACTCAAGTCACCCGCACTAGTGGATCGCGAATGCCAAGCAAGCACCGCTACACCACACTAAGTGTGTTGGTTCCTTTCGAGACGGCACTGTAGATGGTGTTTCAAAGATAGTTAGTTAGTCCCTTTGCGAACTCCCCCGTGTACTTTGGCAAACGGAGTGCCCCCGTGGGCATGGGCCATGGGCGATAGGCTGGGATAGTTCTACAGTAGCCCCAAATCGTATAGGAACAGCGTTGTAATGTTTAGGCATGCAATGACGTCCGTCCAGAAAACCACACCTCCGAATTGTGATCAGTGGATGGATCATTCTGCAGTGTATCGGAGTTTCCAGGGATGGTTCCATATTTTGCACCGCCCACGCGTTACCAACTACCAACATGCGCGACGGGGTGGGCGCGGCGCGTCGGAGCATGATGGAACAATCGCGGCCTGGATGCATTACGGCATTACGGCATCGACCAGCAAGCGAATTTTTGCCATTTCATTCAGCCTGTCCCCCTGTCCCGTCCCTATATGAGGCGTTCCCTGACTTGGCAAGCACTCGAGGACTCGACGCAAAGAGAACCCGCTGTCCAAACGGACTATTCACTATACACAGAGCGCATCGTTCATATATACCGCTCCTGCAGAGTAGACCTTCACCTCTGCCCGTAGTCGTCGGAGTGCGCGCTATCTGACGTTAGTTGGTTTTACAGCCATCTTCAACTTCGCTGGTGAGTGCACGGTCGGGCAGGCGATGTGGGAGCGACAGTGGGGGAGATGGTGGGACCTCGCACCGGCAGAAAGCACTTGCGGGTCGGGTGGGAGCGGGCTCAGGGTGCGAGTGCCAGCACAGAAATGGGTGGCTGGAGTCGGAGGTGGTTTCCGTTTCCTAATCAAGGCATGGGAAAATCCACCATCACGGATGGCAGACCGATTTCCAAGTATGCACTTGGAAGTCTGAACCATATAAGCCTATCGAACGAAGCAAGCACGCAAGGCGAAGTGTGTGCTGTCGAAGAGTAACAACGCGACTTAATCCTCATAATCATCGCTCGGTCTCACAGGTCCGCTCACGAAGTTCTCTTCCGTTCACAACGCAGAAAATGTCAGAGGAGCACGATCAGAACAAGTCGGGCGGTGCGTTAGACGCTCCACCACAAGCTACCTCGGCTAGTGGTGGGCCCGCCGCTAATACGACGCTACCCGAGTACACTGCGCATGCGGTGCCTGTCACCCAACCGTCGGTTGCATTCATTGAGCCCAAGACCGCTGCAGCTCCCGCTCCGGCCGCGACTCCAGCTCCTGCCCCTACTTCCAACCCACCTCCTTCAGTGTCAGGGCCCAAGACGTATGCCATCGAAGAGACACCTATACACGGACCTAAAAAGCCTGCCGCTGATGACAAGAAGGCTGAAACTGTGGATATTGTAAGTGATCATATCGTGGGAAAGTAAAGGGCAGGTTCCGAAATCGGTTGATCCATCTGACACTCTTCGCTGTAGTCGGAGCACATGCTCTCGATTGAGGATATTCAAAAGAAGTACAACGTGAGCGTTGATCCCGCGAAACCGGCTGCCTCCGCCGGACTTTCGACAGCGGAAGCTCAGAAGCGGCTCACAGAACAAGGGCTGAATCAGCTCAGCCCGCCCAAAAAGCGGCATCCATTCCTGAAGTTCATGGATCATCTGCTGGGTCTCTTCAATCTCATGCTGTTGGCAGCTGGTATCGCCGCGTACATTCTTTTTGGCATTGACACCGTGGGAAACAAGCCCAATGTAGGTATACACGCATGGCAGGTTTACCCTAAATCAAAAACTCACATTCCGTATCCAATAGCTTTGGCTGGGAGCGATTCTTATCATTGTGGCCTTTCTCAACGCCACTATTGAGTTTGTGCAAGGACAGAAGAGTGCTGCCATTTTGGAGTCATTCTTGGTAAGTAGTGTCGTCAAAGTGGCCTAGCGCAGTGCCCTCCTTCTAACCCGTGCGTTGGCAGAATTTGATCCCGGCAAAGTGTTACGCTATCCGCGATGGGAAAGTTTCTCAAACACCGGCAGTCGAGCTTGTCCGCGGTGATATCGTGTATGTGCGCAGTGGAGATAAGGTTCCGGCCGATTTGTACATCTTCGCCGCAAACGAGTTCAAGGTCGACAACTCTTCCCTCACGGGCGAAGCTGATCCGCAAGAACGAAAGGCGAAGAACACCCACACGAACCCTCTCGAGGCCACCAATCTGGTTTTCAACGGAACCCTTTCGGTGAATGGTATGTCAAATATTCGTTTTGTGCTGCACTAGGATCGACAACTTGGTCTAATTACTCGCACAAAGGCGATGGCTACGGTATCGTCGTGCGCACTGGAGATCACACGGTGATTGGGCAGATTGCCTCCATGACTGCAAACGAATCTCGGGGAAAGTCTCCTTTGACGACCGAAATCGACCATTTCGTGAAGCTGATTGCTGGTGTCGCGGCCGTTGTCGCTATTGTTTTCTTCATCCTGGCCATCTGTGCAAAGGGGCTCAGCGTTTCCAACGCTTTGAACTTCGCCATTGGGACCTTCGTTAGTTTCGTCCCGGAAGGTCTTCCTGCGACTGTCACGGTACGTGCGTGCTCAGGTAAATCTCTTGCACTGCGGACGTCTCTGACACTGCTTTCTTCGAGCAGATCCTATTGACATTCGCTGCGAAGCGCATGGCCTTGAGGAATGTCCTCGTCAAGGACTTACAAGGAGTGGAGACACTTGGCGCTATCACGTTGCTGGCGACGGACAAGACAGGAACCTTGACTCGAAACCAAATGACGGTCACCTACATCTGGACTGGAGGCGAGCTTTACTTCGCACAGAATGTCTCCGAATCATCCTCCGATGCGCAAGAAGCGAAAGTTTTGGACATGAATGCACCTGCCGTCAATGAGATTGTCCACATCGAAGCGCTCTGCTCTCGTGCTAGATTCGAAACGACCGAAGGGCCTGTCTCGGAACGCCCCGTACTGGGAGATGCAACGGAAACGGGTTTACTACGTCATGCCGCTTCGAGGATTACAAGCTTCGATGGAGTGTATGACAAATACCCCAAGGTTCGTGTGTGTTTGCAAGTGATACCCTCGATGTTATCAGCGTTGGCTAATTTGCGCAACGGATCAGGTCCTCGAGATTCCCTTCAACTCCGAAAACAAGTGGGCGATGACGATCCATAAAAAACAGCACGCGAACGGTGACCTTATGGTATACCTGAAAGGCGCCCCTGAGCGTGTGCTACGAATTTGTTCCCACTTCTTCGAAGGCGACAAGGCGGTTGAGATGACTGACGAACACAAGCAGCGATTCGAGAAAACGTATACCTTTATGGCCTCAAAGGGACACCGTGTACTTGCGTTCGCTGCATTGGCTTTGCCACGTGACAAGTATCCGGAAGATTTTGTCTTCACAAAGGACCCCGCTAACTACCCTTCGACCGGATTGACGTTCTACGGCTTGGTCTCGCTTGAAGATCCCCCGAAGCACGGTGTCCGTGAAGCCATTGGACACTGTCGTGAAGCCGGCATCAAAGTGATGATGGTCACCGGTGACCATCCTCTCACTGCCGAGGCCATCGGACGCAAGATCAACTTGATGTTGCAAGACACCAAGGAGATGATCGCTGCCAAGAGGGGTGCATCGGTCGACAGCATCCCGGAAACCGATGTCAACGCCATTGTGATCCACGGGGAGCAGATCGACAGGCTCACCGATGCGGATTGGGACAACATCTTCAGCAAAGAGGAAATCATCTTTGCGCGCACATCGCCCAAGCACAAGTTGCAAATTGTCAAGCGTGCACAAGCACATGGTCACATCGTAGGTGTGACCGGAGATGGTGTCAACGATTCGCCCGCTCTGAAGAAAGCGGATCTGGGCATTGCGATGAACATCAGTGGAAGCGATGTCTCAAAAGAGGCTGCTGCCATGATCTTGGTCGATGATAACTTCGCCAGTACCGTCAGTGGTATTGAAGAAGGACGTCTCATCTTCCAGAACCTGAAGAAGTCTATCCAGTACACGATTAGCCACACGATGCCGCAAGGTAAGGGTCCTTTTCTGGCACTTGCCGGTATCGCCTCCGACTAACGTCAACTGATATTTCGTAGTCATTGCGAACATTACGTACATCATCATCCCACTTCCTATTCCTCTCGGATCTATGCTTATCTTGGTCACTGATTTGGGCTTCGAACTGCCGAACGCGCTGAGTTACGCTTGGGACCCTCCGGAAAACAGGGCCGGCCTCATGAAGCTCTCGCCTCGTAAGCCTGTGACACCTGGATCCATCGCGAGGTTGAAGAGACGGCAGGCGGAAGAGCTTGCCAACGGACCTCCAACTGACCCCGAATCCGGCATCACCGCACCGAACACGATTGGAGCCAAGATTCGCAGGTTCTTCGCTGGTATCGCTGCCCTTTTCACGGCCAAGTATTGGAGGGACACCTTCGAGAAGACGGACGAGGAAGTCCTTGTGGATCGCGGAGTGCTCTCTTGGGCTTATCTCGAAGCGGGAGTCATCGAGTCGTTGGGATGTTTGCTCACCTACTTCGTCGCGATCTGGTACTTCAACAAGGTTACCCCTACGGACTTGCAGAAGCATGGCTCGGACTGGGGTCAGAACAAGGGGCCCATCACACTTGGCGATGGACGGGTGTTGGTGAGTTTTTGCGTGTGTCGAATCAGTTGGTGGCTCGGTATGAAAAACTACAGCGACACTCACTAGAATATGACATTAATAGGACAACGACGCTCAAATCGATGTGAATAACGTCGGACAGTCGGGTTACTACGTTGCCCTGTTCGTCCAACAATGCTTCAACCTGTTCATCTGCAAAGCACGTCTCGGCTACCCCATCGGACGCGGCATGTTCTCCAACAAGCATAACTTCGGTGGTGTGATCCTCGGTTTCTGCCTCGTGGTCTTCTTCGTCTACGTGCCGCCTTTGAACATTGCTTTCTCGACGAGCTGGCACTTGGGCCCTCTCATTTGGCTCGTCCCGATGGCGATGGGTGTTCTCTTGTTCGGATATTCAATTCTCCGAACATATATCATTCGCAAGCGTAAGTTGACACCGGTTGTCCCGCAGTCTCCTTTGAAGTGCGGAAATCAACTGACCCTCGGTTTCATATTTCTAGGCAACCCTATCGCGTACTCTCGCGACGTCGTTGGGCTTCAAATGTACCCTACCAGATGGTCTACTCGTGGATGATTGCGGAGGGGGCTCGCTGGTTTGTCTTATCGTCCTCAATGTCAACATTAGAAAGACCATTGGGCGCCAGTGCAAGTCTTGTTATCATGTTGGATCTAGAAAGGCGCCTATCTCGTTTCCCTTATTATGCATAATTGTGACGGCCCTATCTTCTGCTTCTTTCAATTCATCGAATTCTTCTCATAACGAAGCGGCACACACGGCAGTGCGCGATAGTCACTGGTATTTGCGGAGACTCAGGGTCTCTGCAAATCCATGGGTCAGCATCCTTTTAGTCATAAACTGCTCGTTGCTGGAGAAGGGCTCGAAAGCCGTTTACTTCTGGGGAGTGCTGGCTGTTCAGCAACGTTTCGGAGACGGATTGAGCAAAGGCATCATTGGGAGCAATGGTGCTGAGGCTGCTCCTATGACTTCTACGAGCAGGAGCCTGTTACGCCGAAAAATGATAAGAAAGGCACAACATATGTCATCTCTTTTCTAATTAGAATAGGGTCGCGAGGAGGGGCGTGGGTCATGTGCGCTGCTGGGTGAATGGAGAAGTCGAACACAACACAACACTCCCATTATTAGTGCGCAAACCAACAAGAGTTCGACGCATCTATGAGAGCTCCCATCCGGACGGGCGAGTTATCACTCATTTTGGAGGTTGCGAAGCCCTTAGCGCAGTCGTCCGAAGCATCTTCAAGATCACGTCGTCGGAAGCTGTCCGAAGTCGCAGCTTTAGCTGCGCGTCGTGGGCAATGCGCAGAAGCGTTCTTTTTCCCATTCGGCTCATGCAACAAGGATCTAAGGGTAAGCTTTATGATCAACTTGAACTGGGTATCAGCCTATCAGGGTGCCATCGCCTCATTGTTTCCTACACTAGCCATGAACAAGCGGAACGAGACAGTAAAGAGAAAACAGCCGTGGCTGGAGGTTGGTGTGTCCATCTCATTGAACTGAGGGTGGCCGTTCAATGGGAAGATACGGCCGTAGGGCCGTAGGCTGGTGTGGTGTGGTGTGGAATATCTACTCCAGCGGGTTGCTGGCTTACCCAACATATCACCCAGAGACAACACCATTCCACCGGAGTACGCTGGTTTCAAGAGACGATGGCTCAACAACATCCTACGCCAACTGACAAAAAGCAGCTTTCGTGAATTATTTTACAGTACCTGTTTTGTTGTACAGACCATTACCGCATCACCGGGTGGTAGCGACTAACAGACTAACCCGGTCCGCTATTCGCGCTAAGAATGACACGACCAAGGGTTTTTGTCGGTTTCTTTTTTCTTTTAAGAAAAAATGCCAGTCGTTTACTCCATAGATAGACACCACAACCTTTATTCCAGGCCAGTCTTTTCGCTGCGACCTACGATAGGACTTTGGGGCCCATCCTCAAACTACAAGGGGCGGGCGTGCGAGAGCGCCGTGTACTTATTCTTGTAAATTATGATTGCTCTATGATTGTAATCCCAAAGGATGGCATAAGCTAGCTACGGAATCTACATAGAAACTACCTGCCCCCCGCCTTCTTCATCGCCTTCTTCACTTGATCCTTCTTCTTCTCCATTAATCCTTTGGGATCCACAATCGTCGCATCTCCCTTGAACTTGGCAGCAATCTCCGTTGCCGACGTATTCAGCTTTCGCTTCTTGGAAGACGAACCGCTTCCTTTTACATTGACGATCGTAGCCGACCCGGAACCCAGCTCCAACGAGTCAGCGGTGGCGTCCGGAATAGCGAAGCGCTCCAAGTTGAGCGTTTCGAGCACCCGTTTCTGTTCCTTCCGCAGGGCAGCCTTGATATCCGACTCGCCTTGGGACAAGTCCGCAGAAAGCGATTCGGTGGTGGGATCCCAAGCGGCTTCGTCGGTTATATCGCGGGGACGTGCTTTCCCGTCGTCGATATCCATGGCGTCGTCGTCCTCGCCTTCAGCATCTGCGAGGGCGCGCTTAGTGTCTGCTTTCGAAACGGGTTTGACAACAGCTTCTACTTCGTACGTCACGTCCGATTCCACCACACCAGACAGGAACAAGTGGCATTTGCGGATAAGCTTGCCAAACAAGGCCATAATTTGCGTTGATGGGAGGTCCAACTCCTTTTCGAGGTCATCCACTGTCTTCTTCTGCAGACCTAGACCGGCAAGGAGAGCAGCTTGAACGGGAGAAAGCTTGACGAATGTTGGCGTTGAGGCGGAGGGACCGCCGGCTTCCTGAGTGGAACCGTTCGCTGAACTGTGACGGTGAAGGCGGCCGAGGAAGTATGCTTGTGCCAGGGACGGGATCAAATCCATGATGACGTGGTAATCGAGAAGGTTGTGAGTGTACGACTCGAGACGCTTGAGATCATATGGAGTGAACTGGCGGCTGATCTCAGACGCAGTTGACAGGGCCGCTACCGTCAGGTCTCGTTCTTCGCTTGGTGGCGGGGCATCCTTAATTGCGCCAGCGGCTTCAAAGATGCTCATAACGAGAATGGGAGAGAAGGCCCGGAACTGGTATGCCAAAAGGTTCGTGAATCTCCGGCGGAAATCCAGAGTAAACGATTTCAGCCACTCGGACTGTGTGATTGTGAAATCTTCGCCAGGCGCAGAGTTACGGTTAAGCTTCTTCAACATGACGCAAGAATGTTCACCGGTAAGTTCATTTGGCGTTTGTCGAAGGTACACAGGGACGTAACCATTGCGTTTCCAAAACTTGTGCAAGGACGCTGTGATACCGTACGAAACACCGAGCCAGTGAAGGTTTTCCCTAGGTGGACGTTCAGAAAGCTTGAGTAGGAGTGGTGGCATAGTAGCGGCGTCACGGATCTTGATCTGATCGCTTTGCAAGGACGCTCCTTCCAGCTCCTCATCGGTAACGCGAGTCATGGATTCGGTAGGCACAGACGCAGGAGTATCATCCTCGTTGAGCGACGCAATCTGACCGCTGTAATAATCTTGGAGTAGCTCCAACGCCCGTCCACCGTAACCCATTCCGACGTAATCCGGATGTGTGGCGATACGCACAACACGTGCACCAGAGAGGGTGGCAAAGTCGTCGTCCTGGAATTGCTGTGTGATCACCCAGGGAATCAAGTCTCCCTGCGCGCGAACACCCTTCGCAAGGGCAGAGAGTGCAGAGCCCTTGGCAATCGATCCTTCCATGCACACCTGGACCACGCAAAGTGGTTCAGGTAAGGCCGTTGTTCGTTCCTCATCGACCGGTGGGAGGAGGACGAACAGATGATGCGCCGGTGCATCGCTGAGAAGTTGCAAGTCATTCGGGCTGTTCTTGTAATGACTGGCGACGTATAACGACATCATCTTTTGCAGGAAGGCTTCAGACACTGGGTGGAAGCTGAACAGTGTGTCGCGGTTGACGTAGTACAACTCGCACTTCGAAGGATGAGGACATCCGGAGATGGACCGGCTAATGGAAGGGTCGGGAGTGCAGCAGTCGAGGCAAAGAAGCTTGTTCAGCCATGATTCGACAGGATCGCCAGAGGCATATCTGATCGGCTCCTCCAATTTGATTTCACGGAGCGTGCGATTTCCAACGACTGCGGGTGTGACCGCGGTTGCGTCTCCCGATTTGCGTTCCTTTCCATCACGGCTAACCACGACACCAGTGGCATCCTCCTTGCCTTTCGCGGATGTGACTCCGCGACTTTGCTCTCGTAGCTGGCTCAACAGCTTCAGAGACAAAGAACGGCCAGTGCCTTCGTAACCGTTGATTGTTGAAGCCATGAAAACCAGGTACGGTCCAAGGAGGTTCTGCACGACGGGTAGAGGGATGGCAGCCGCTTCATCAATGACAACCAGCTCGGCTTGTGCGAGGACATGCGAGTCAGACGGCTGAATCCACTGAATGGTTTGACGGTGGTCGCGGAAGATGTTAACTCTCACAACCGCCTTTTGGAACGCGGGATTCGTCGACTGAACAATATCATAGTCCAAATGCTCTTCGTATCCAAGCGCATCGAAACCTTTGAAGATGAATTCGAACAGAGTCTTCAAGTTCTCGGGACTTGGCGATGTGATGAAGATGTTCGAGTATCCGTAAGCCACCGCAGCAGCCATCGCTATTCCAAGCGCAGCGGATTTACCGCGTCCACGAGCAGCCGTCAGTGACACCGTCGATCTCAGGGATTTGTCAGCGATGGCTTCGATGAACGTCAACAACGCCTTCGCTTGATCCAGCGTTTTCGCGCAATTCACGAGAGATCCCACAGGCTCCGTGTCTTTGAGAGATGTTTTCAGGTCCGCCAGCTCCTTTTGCGCCGGTGTGAGGGGAGTCTCTTCGAGCCGGGGTAATGGCTTCACGTTCTTCCCAGCGCTGAGTGGGAGTACATTTAACTCGTCATCGACCACCAAGCAAGATTCGCAAGATCCCAGCGACAAAATGAAACGTTCGTTGAATCTCGCAACAGTATCCTGATGCGACTCCGTCCGATATCTCGAATGCACATCCATCGTCATGCTGTACAGCTGCTTCAAGCTGTTCATCGTCTTCAACAAAATGACCACGATACCACCGCCTTCGACCGTCTCGATCGTCCGTGCCAATAGATTTGGCGTCAGCGCCTCAAAATCCTGCAGGACGCACATCCCGTATGTGTTTCCCAAAATCTTCTCCGTCTCTTTGTAGTAGGTGTATCGGATAGATGTTGACGAAACGAAGAGTTCGAATGGATCCTCCTGGTCTGCTTCCCTGATCCCTCGCGCAATCTGCCTTTTGATCTGGTTTATACGCTTTTTCCGATGGCTACATAAAGAGTTGCGTGAGCTTGCAAATTTCAGTTGAACATTCATTGCAATGTGGTTATTACATACCTGGAGAACCCAAGCTCCTTCTTGTAACACCAAAGCACGTCGGGGCGGGCTGCAACCCTCGCCTTCGCCAACAAGAAGTGCATCGTCACCACTTGGTCCCTTCCTCGGTCTCCCACAAGGACAAAGAAGGAACGCTTGTTTTTCTGCACATTGTTCTGAATGAGGGTCGGAATGCGGGAGTCCAGCTTTTTTCGTTGCGTATTTTGGACCATTTTGTGGGTTGGTGAGAGTAATTTGTGGCGAGGAGACCTTTGAGCGGTTTTATCGTCCACTTTCTGTCTCGAGCAGGTCGTATGAAAGAAATTTGACGACCCTGCTGCCGCACTTCCCCTGCATAGACGTTTTCAGTTCCAACCCAAAACACCAGAACTCACAACTGGCGAGGACGTGAGAAATTCATCCGAGGTCTTTCACGTGATTGGTCATGTGCTTCGTAAATGTTGTGCCAACGCAGTCCACAGCACAAAATCCTAAGGTGGGCTAGATCTAATAGAGCAAGGCCAATGTCCAGAAGATAAGGAGGTGCACAGTAGATTGGACGTAACTAAAGAAGAGACATTATATACATGAAAGCAGAGAAAACAACTTGAAAAGAGGGTAAAAAAAAGGGGTTATAACATGGAAGGTTTCTAAACCGTAAATGTGTACAGGAAAGATATCAAAAATCCAAATGTTGGTCGCCATATAGTTTCCGGGACAGAGAACGTCAGGGACAGGGAACGTTAGAACCAGATGCCTGACTTGCTGTGATACGCCGTGTATGGGGGAACATACACCAATGGGGTGATTTTCGGACGCATGCCGATCGGTATGAGGTTTTGAGATATATAGCTTTGGCGGCGATGACGGAAACATTCAATTGTAGATCGCGGAAAGCCTTCGTTGTATCTCCCCGGGTATAGTACGCATAGTGGGGTTTGGCACTTCCAGAGTGGTTGTTGACTGCGATGCGGGTGTATCGGAGAGAGGCAGCGATGCAGTGCTCATCAGAGCCTGGCTGGTGTTGGATCGTGACATCGACAAAGCCTGGCTCGTGCTGGATCGGGACATGGATGGCGAAAGCGGAGGCGACAGTATACCGAGTTGCGACACAGCTGCCAGCGACTCCGCGGTGAGCATGTTATCATGTGCCTGCTTTCGTAGTAGTCCCGCGAGTCGTCTATGCGCGTTGAGCTCTTTCTCGTATAGGGCGCGTATGAGGACGTTTTCACGAGTTTGTTCCTCGTGCTTCTTGCATAGTTCTTCATGTCGAAGCACCAGGGCGTTGAACTCTCCTAGAGGTCCTTCGTGCTGTTGACGAAGGCGGGCGATCTGGCGTTCGGATTCAAGCCGTTTCTCCCTTTCGTCTTGCAACTGTTGTTCCAGATCGGTGATTTTCCGCTCAGCCTCAGCTAATTGATCGGCCGTTTCCTGTGGACGCAGTTAGGATTAGTTATCGTGGTCCGACTTGCATACATGAGCAGTGAATTTCTCACCTGGTAGACATCTTGCACCTCTTCGGCCGAAAACATGTCTCTAACTTTCTTCTCCCATGCCTTCTTTTCCTTCTTCATTTTCTTCTCCACTTTATCCTTCTCAATTTCCGCGATACGACGCGCCTCCTCAGCTTCAGCGAATCTGCGTTCCATTTCCTGTGCGGCATCGGCCTCTGACCTCGCCTGTGCGACACATAATGCGAGCGAGAGAGCCGCGCGCCATCGGTCCAACTTAGCAGGGGCCTTGAATCGCAGGTATAGGACCACGATTTCACCCGAGGGGATAAGCGGGCTGATATCAGGGTTCTGATTCATGGTGGACGCGGGTGTGTAGGGTTCGAGGTGAAGGAGGAGCATTGTGCCTGTTCGTTCTCGATCGACTGATAAGACCCGGAAGGTGGACAGGACGGGAACCTTCGACTGAGAAGAGCCGCCCATAAATGTGGACGACCGTCGTGTAGGTCGACGTTGTAACGCTTCTGCTGCGCAAAAATATAGTAGAAGTGGCGGTCAGATTCCCTTATCCTCAAGTACGCTTCCATTTCCAACTTTTCTCACCATAAGGCCCATCCGCATCGATGCTCCAGCTTCTACGATTCCAGACTTCTAAACTTGGTCTTTTTCGCTCCCCGTCGCCTCCCAGCGTCACAGCACCTTCGACACTTTTCCTGACGGTTGAAAATTCGCGACTGAGACGACGCCATTTGAGACCGGAATTCAACGACGTATTCGACGCATTGCTTGGAGGCGGTTCCGTTTGCGCGGCGATAAATCTACATCAAAGAGCGCTGATTAGTTTAGAGCCAAGCAGAAGGATTGTAGCCAATGTGGGTTTATCTCTTACCCTTCAAGGTGTAGTAGGGAAGCGTCGTCAAGCCATGCTTGCACAGATGTCCATTTGTCCTTTGCAACTTTGTTATTCGGAACACTTGATGTGCTTTCCTTCCCTCCATTGACCATATTCGCGAAAGCTGTCCGTAGGACGTCCAAACTGCGTCGGCGCATCTTCAGGTCGGCTAGGTTATGGGACGACCCAGAGAACCGTGGATTCGAGCCGTTGGGTCCTGATACTTGGGCAGGCGATAAAACCGACAGCTTTCCTTCGCAGACAATGGTTCGCGGCACTGGGGTGGGCCTCGTCGGGAGAGGCGGTGGTCTGGCGGTTGGCATGTAGTGCAGCTGCATATCCAACTCGTCGACGGGCGTCCACGGAGACTCGACTCCGTCCTCCTGCTCGTTCATGAGGGAGGAAGGAGGAGTGGACCGCTGGTGGGAAGACATTTTTGACAGCTTGTGTTGGAGATCGATGTGAAGACGCGGCTAAATGCTTCCATAGGGCAGTGGAAGGCCTCTTCCTCCGATATATACACGATGGTTATCAAATGCCGGGAGAAACGTCTCAACTGTCCGAAGGAGACTAGGCCCCTTCCCTAGCGTTGCTAGTGTCCCTTGCCCGCTGCCGAGACTTCCCTTGGAGTCTCAAAGCGCTCACGATCCCCTCGCCTCCTCTCCTATACGGCCCTTTTCCGAGGAGTAACGGTGTCTCGACTCTTCTCCGAAAGTTCTTCAACTGCACCTGCCGTTCTATGTAAAAGCGAACAAGGGGCAAAGGTGGTTTGTCACAGCACAGTCACAGATTTGAGGCCTGCCAGTTCTCCTTTGAGGGTTGCATGCAGCGCACGACGCACGTCCACAGACACAGGATCCTCCCTCCTGCAAATCGTCCCTGCGCATTTGGTTGTGCGACGCCATTTTCGGACGCAATGGGTGGCGCAGTATGCCGCAGCATGGGATGGGTACGCAACCATGACGCATCACCAAACTGAATTTCGACAGCGAGACCCCTTCAATATCAGTTTTCTGTTTGCGAGAAACGGCCGGACAAGGAAGGCAACCTCCTTCGAGAGAAAGGACATCGAAGTATGCATCACGAACACCCGTAACTGTATTCCTTTATATTTAACTGCAGGGACGATTTCGGGAACGTGCATACATTCGAAGCGAGGGGGATAAATCAGAGGCAAGATGCGAAGGCGGCAAAAACCGGAAGCCATCCTCCTTGGGAGGTTTCCACCTATTATCACTTCTACCAATCATAGTTCACGTTTAACCGCGATCGTCAATGTCGCTTTGGCTTGCCAGCGTCATTGATGCCTGACGAAGCATGTTTCCTCAGTATGATCGTCCCTCCAAAAACACGCATTCCTCTTGAACTTGAAGCCAATCCCCACGCCAAGTCCTGTGTCTGTGTTGCGGAACTCTGCCGGAGTGCATGACTGAGATTGGATGTCAATTGATGAATATCCCTGGGACTGGTCGGTGAAAAATATACCGCATGGAAGGCTAGGGGTTCGCAGGGAAACAATGGGGAGGATCGACGTGGGTGGCTTATGATAGTTTCCAGTTGGCAATTCATCCGGGCACCGAGTTGGAGGATCGTTCGTCAGCCGGTGCTGTTGATCATTTAGTCGCGAAGGTGCCACGTGACGGGGGTGTTTTTCCGAGACCCAAGATTAGCGGGAGGATCGGCAGTGCGATCGCATCCGGCTCTGTGGATCTGGCTCCTCAATGACCCGCTGTCGCCCTGGATTTCTCATTCAGGCCACAACAAGCAGGGCGCTGGATCTGGAGAAGGGGAGACCCCAAATCGCAGCCATCCGCACCGTCCTCTGTCGCCCGACTTCCCAACTTCGCTGAAAAACTTATATAACCTCAACACAGGCAATCTCTTGTCCTGCACGAACGGATTTCATCGCACTGTGCTCCCACGAGAAACGCATAGTCTACAAGGTACGAGTTGCACTGTGCAGACACTGGTATCCCATATCTGGCGAGTGGCTTTGCTACGCTCTCGTATTTTGGCTGTCGGTTGGAAGCTGACGGTCGCCCGTTTTCCGTTTGTGGCTCGCAGTGTTCCTATACCTCCGAGCAGACGAAAAGAATAATCGCAGAGAACATCCCTTCTCAGCGAAAGAGCTAGTATCAGCAAAACTTTCACCTCTGTGTCAACGTTCCAGGCACTGGTTCTGAATCATTTGACGCCGTTTGGGCATCATTGGACAACACACCGTTCAGCGAGCACGTAACCCACGAAAACCCATGACGACGTTGGCCACTCTGATAGCCGTCAACCGCCAAGCTCCCGATTGAAAGGGACCTGACTTTCGTCTCTCTTCCACCGACCTTCAGCATCTTTGGTGCATCGAAAGGTCGTCTACATTTACGGTCTCTCCCTTTCGGCAGCACCCTCGTTGGGCTGCGAACTCTCTTTGATGAGTCCAACTACCCTACGTCCGTCGCTAGCAAATGTCCTTCATCAGCGCAACGTTACGCCCGAGCTCCATGGCGAGCTTTCGTCCTCCAAAAGACCTCTTCCTGTTTCGGAAGGCTCGCCGGTGTGTATTCTCCTACCACTTCGAATGGGATCATCGGCGGTCCCATACTAAGTCTTTCCATTATTCTTTTGATCCTAGATCGTGGCTCCAATAACGTCCGCCATCAGTCCTCAACCAGGCAATCACGGCGACAAGCTCGATAGTGTTCAAGACATTCTGCGCAACGTCTCTGGTCCCATGTCCCCCATGGGATTGAAGCCTTCGGCGGCGCCGGGTCATCTGGCCGAAGCGCCAGCTGGCCCTGGTCCTCCGGTTCTTCTTCATCCGACGGCATACTCTGCTCACTTTCCAGCGTATTCTCAATTGCCCGGTCCTATGGTGCACCGACGCTCTGAGCCAATCTTGCCGACGGTGCAGCGCCCCGAATACCATGCTCACCATCATCCAAACCATCCTCAAAACCATCCTCAAAACCATGGTCGATATCCGGGTCAGCTACCGGCTCAGGTTCACCATCATCCTCACTCGTATCCTCAATACCCGCCGCCCCAGAACGGGTTCCATGGACCTCCAACATCCACACCTTCATCGGGTATGAGGAGCCATGAGCCTCCTATCATGTAAGTCCAGATTTCGCTTCTTTCCGACATGTCTTCCAATTGTCGTGACCAACAGCGGAACGATTCATCACCCATATAGCACCCCTCCATATGTGAATACAAACCACCCGCCTCGCGCTGTGGAGAACTATTCACCCTACCCGGCGCCTCCCTACCAATCCCCCCAGGCCCCCGCACAACACGGATATCCCGCGCACGCCGTTACCCCACTCAACAACCCCCCACCACCTTACTACCATCACCCTCATCCCCCATGTTCGTGCGCGAACCATCCTCAAGGGGGTCGTCAAGACTATCCTTTCCCTCAGACGCGCGCAGGTGAAGGTGGCCATCAATGCGCCGTAACGGATCACGATCAGAAGATGCATGGATATTACCCTCGTCATCCTGCCCCTCATCACCCACCGGCTCATCACGCCCCTCCCCAGTACCCACCTTCTGGGACGCCAGGCGTCTGGAGTGATCCGGCGAGCGGGCCCGTTTGTCCGCCCCAAAATGGCAGCGAAAGTCAACTCCCTTCTTCACACACTTACCATCACCACCATCATCACCACCATCACACGCCATACTCTCGCGATGCGCCGGGTGCTGGGCACTCTCAGCCGATGAATCCCAACATTGTACCGAATGGTGGGACTCCGTACCATACGGACCGGATTGGACCTGCACTTACCGCCATAAGACCCTACCCCAAGCATCACCCATACTCTGACCCCCACTTTGGCGCGCAGAACCATCCATACGGCCATCCTCAACATCCGTATGATCATCAACCCAGCTGGGCTCAAGGTGGCTACCCGCGACCTCCTTACGCGTCAGGACCACTACCCACCGGTTCTATGGCTGCATCGCATATGTCAACCGCTAGCGTGCCAGTTGGAGGGATGGGGCATTATCCATCGCAAACAGTCACTCCCCCTACTTCGGTGATCGGTCATCACTATCTCACCGGACGTTCAGAGCCCACTACATCCTCAAGCGGTTCCGGCAGCCGGGGCGGTTCCAACGCTTCCAACACCCGAGGTGGTTGCGGATCCAACAGCAACCCATCCCGCTCGCCGCAGAAGGACATCAAATCCGCTGACATCAAGTCGCTCACTCCCACAAGCGATGCATGGCAGCAGCAGACAAAAGGCGCCGGCCAGAAGCGCTACATTTGCACCGAGTGCCCGAAACGGTTCACCCGCCCGTCGTCGTTGAAGACGCATTTGAACTCGCATACGGGGCAAAAGCCGTTCTTGTGCCATTGCGGGCGCAGCTTCAGTGTGTTAAGCAATCTCAGGCGGCACGAGCGGAACGGCTGTTGTGGGGCGAAGGCGACCGGCGGGTCTCGAGCGTCAGTGTCAGCATCAGCGTCAGCGTCTTAGGTTGGGAATCCCGAACCACTTTCATCTTTCATCGCGCCTCTCATTTCCCAATGGGCGAGTGTCCCATTTTTTCATCCCCCAGTGCGTTTTTGTCCCTTCCGTTGTTTGGTTTTGCAACCTTACTCATTTGGGAATATATACCTGAGATTTTTGCGGGATCTTTTTCTGCAAAGTATGTTTGTCTTATGCCATCATAATATCAAACACTGCGGGTCGTATCCGGGCCCATCGTTTAGGTGAATATACTTAGCTCATTCTTGTGTGGAAGTCATACGAATATGAACGGTCGGCACAGTCTTTCCTTCAGAGAGTCCTCCTGGAATCGACATGGGCCTGTCCGTCAGAAGAGTTTTATTCTGACGAGTTCGTTCATATGACCACCGATGGAGGGTTCCACACCGTTCATTAAGACAAGACGCAGGAAATGGGAAGAAGACGGAGCAAAAACGGCGCGCACGCTGTAGGGATGAGATCGGGAAAAAGCAAAAAAATAAAGGTAGCACCCACGGGGAGACTCGAACTCCCAATCCCTGCCTTAGGAGGGCAATGCCTTATCCATTAGGCCACGCGGGCGTTTCATATTCGCCACAGCATAAAAAAAATCGTAAACTGAACATATCCCACCCTGCGCAAGGCAAAATGTAAACATAAAATGTTTACCTCCACTACGACAGCAAAAAATAAATGCTCAGTGATATCTGGCATTGCGAAAGGAAAAACTTCAATACAAGTGTGTGCACCCTTGATATCTGACATTGCGAAAGTAAAAACTTGAATATAAATGGATCAGCAGCGACTGCCCCCGCAGTGCTGATTCGCTGCATTGAGATCAGACACAAAGTCAACACCCGTCGCAGCGCCAAACATGAACTCCAAGCACGCATCCGACGCCACATCAGTCCACATCCGAGGGGATAGCATTCCTTGACAGGGGTAGGCAGATGGGAGGCCGATGCTTTTTCCCTCTTCCAGTTCAAAGAATGCAGGTATTTTTTGACAGACGGACTTATCGGAGCAAACGGAAGGCGCATGCGTGAAGCTCCCACGTGGCAGGGTGAACGGATGAACAACTGCTGCCACATTGCGCTTCGCCTGCGCCCACAGGCGAAAAGGACGACGCCCCTGCAGGTCGAAAAGATGCAAGCGCAAATGCAAGATCGTTCCTTTCGAGACCGGGTTTTCTTCACATCCAAGTGCCTTCAAACAAGGCCACCTAGGCAGCTAGTCTCCCGGCGCACGTAAAACCTTAGGATAGTCAATGATATAGCCTTCTCGAGAGCGGAGTCATAATGAATAGCTATGCTACTTTACAATATTCCCTCAACTCCCTTAAACTCCGAACATTCAGATCACCGACGGATGTATGTATGCTGGTCGGTTGTCAGAAGTTAGAATCCCAGCCTGTTGATGTATTCCGTGACGCGCACGCTCCCCGCGAAAGATTGACGGGGTTCGACAGCGCGCAAACAAACTCATAAAGCTCTTCTGGAACTGAGAGCCCTTCCAATCTAAATATAGCGACATTCTGCTGCTTACGTTGGTGGTTTGTCCGTTTGTCCACTATACGAGCTCAGTTTATGCCAGCCCTGGCAGACGGCGAAAAACTCCCCGGCAGCGGACGAGTGGTCAAAACCAAAAAGGCGCTTTGTCGAAACCTTCCTTGTTTCCGTTACCTCAGACTTGACTTTTATGGATCCTTTTCTGTTAATCAAACACAAATCATCGCTCGTCAGAACGGTTGCAGCTTTCGAAAGGTTTCATTGACCGGTGCTGTTGCAGCCGCCTGCTGCCCGAAACTGTATCTTTGTCGTACGGGTGCAGAACTTTGTCGGTAAGTGACCGGTGCGCCTAAGGTCAGCTCGGGAATTCACGTACCATAGCGGCTAATAAATACCGCTCTAGGTGATCTGCAGCTCGAACGCGGGACCAGTTCAAGTCTTCATCAAACTTCGGTACGCTGTGCGACGGCCGCCGGTTACAGAGGTAAGACGCGAGGGTGTCGACAAGGCACGGCCGGAAGCAGGAGCTAGATGTTGGAGGACTGGAAGTGCAGCATGCTGGGTTCTGTCAATAATGCATGCATCCGTATCCCAGCCCAACAAGGGAGCGGATTTCTGACATTCAACTTTCCAAAACAGACAGGGCTGCTACTCGAACTCGGAAAGATAACGACATTCCTTTATTTTCTCGAACCAAGGAACGTTGGCATCTATTACCAACGTAGAAGGCAACGAGAAGGAGCAGCCACGCTGATAAAGAGTCGGGATGTCCGTAAATGTCGGAAACTCGGAGTTCAGGCCATTGCCTACCAATCCCACGGCAAAAATCACCGGCGTGCACGAGAGTTTGTTGCAAGAATGCGAGAAGGATATAATATGGTACCGCGATAATTTCTTTGGAAAAGGTACAACGATTTCATGCCGTCGAACGGCTGATAGCATACACTATCGTATACTAATCACATCGATTCCGTGTTCTCTCGTGATCGGAACGTTCAGTTCACCAAAATTACCTCGCCTTGGATTCACCCCGAGGGCCACTTGCCATCTCAGTGATCCGTGACGCGGATGCATACAAAGCGTTGCTTCGGACGACCGCTGGTAGCGAGCGTTTAAGCGTGAGCGCTTCCTCCATCCCGACCTCGCTGGTCCGTCGCGTGTTTGGGTTGGGTCCATCGATGGAATCACTAATGGAGGGTATCTCGCGGAATATCCCGACGAAAAGCCTGAAGATGTGCAAAGATGCGACCTTGCCAAACGAGTTGCTGTCGATGGAGGAGCGACAAGTGATACGGAGCTACAAGTTTGGGGTCGCCTATGTTGGCCCTGGGCAAGGAAGCGAGGAGGAAATGTTCAAGAATAGACATGGTAGGAGTTGTGAATCCTGGCGTCCGATGCAGATTCTTCACCTTCCGGGCTCACCGTTCGCCCTTTTTCAGAGGATACGTCACCTGCATTCAAACAATTTCTGAACTTCCTTGGAGAAACGATCGAGCTGCGAGGATGGAAAGGCTACCGAGCAGGATTAGACACTTCGGGATCGAACTTGACAGGGACACACAGCGTCTACACGAAATGGCAAGGATACGAGATCATGTTCCATGTATCGACACTTCTTCCATTCATCGAAGGCGATCGTCAGCAATTGGAGCGCAAGCGACACATCGGAAACGACATTGTCGTCATAGTGTTCCAGGATGGAGACGTTCCTTTTCAACTCAGCAGCATCACATCGCATCAAAATCATGTCATTTCTGTCGTGAGGCCGGATGGCGACGGATATCGCGCGATCGTGGCCCCAAAGTCGGGTGTCCCGAGCTTTACGCCGGATCTGCCAGAACCATCCGTTTTCGGTCAAGATGCGGTATCGCGAGACTTCTTTTTGCACAAATGTAGGTTGCGTTGAAGGTTTGAGCTGGATCAGGAGGGCTTTATGGAAACGCGGCAAAGATTGGATGAAGGGTTTCCAACGAAGGAGATGCCGCACATACATTGTGCTCGCTTGGAAGGGGCTTCGAATCGCCCGCACTTTCCCATTATCAGACGTCCTTCTCGAATCGGTATCAATCAATCTGAGATCTTCTTCACTTCCATCCCTTCTACAGTGGTCAACGGCGAACGAGCATCATACAAAGCGCCCTCATTTGCGCCAAAAATCTCGCGAACACGGTCTGTGTTGCTGTATGAAGTGGCATCAAAGTTCCTCAAGTAGTTCGTCTAGTCATGGAGAAGCTGGAAGGCATGACACGGAGAAAACTCGTTGCTGCGAAGGTCGCACTCTCGCCTTTCGACTTGTCGATACCCGACTCAAACTGACCGATAGCGTTGCTTAAACCTGTGCGTCCCCATAAACCGCACGATCATCCCTTACTTATAATCCTCTTAGTGCTCCTGATTGATGGCCAGTCCCAATGTATACCGCCGTGCTACCACATCGCTTGACATATTTCCCACAATAAACTTGGAATATATCTACGTGTCGTATCGTCCCCACATGCCTTCTTTATCCTACTGTCCAGAGAGACAATGACGGTAGAAAAAGTTTACGCAAAAACGCAAAACGTTGAAATGTTCGATGCTCCCATCACAGCGCTCCACGCCCCTCTTGCACGCTCCCACCACACCACAGAACCTAGCCGCCTCACTCCCCCTTCTCGTCCTCCTCATCCCCCCCGCCCTCCCTAATAATCGGCTTCCCATCCAACTTCTTCAACTGCGGAAACCTCTTCGTCATCTCAGCAACCCACACATTCTCCCCCGTGGCCTTCTCCTCCACGGGATTCCCCACAAACAGCACCTCGACACAATGCGCCAACCCGCCCAACGGCTGCAACCCACTCCAATCCTTGATCTTATTGTTGCTCGCATACAGCACCTTGAGCTTCTTACAGCACTCGATCCCATTCAGCCGCTCGATCTGGTTATAGCTGATCCAGAGCTCCTCCAACGTATCGGCAACGGCGTCGAGGCCCTCGATCTTCTTGATGTTGTTGCGGCCGAGGGAGAGGATCTTGAGGGAGGCGAGGCCGTTCAGCGAGGAGATCTTGTCGATCTGGTTGGTTGACAGGGCGAGGTGCTCGCATTTGGTGAGCTGTGCGAGGGAGGCGTCCATCTTGGTTAGGAAGGGTTGGGAGGAGATGAGCTTGATCTTGGGACTGTCGGCCGCGACGAGACCGGTTTTTTCTTCCCAGGCCTTTATCGCGTCTTTGAGCGTGAAGCCTTTGGACATGATTGAGGGGTGTCGTGCGGGGTGAGATGCGGGGGGTGCCTGGGCAGTAGCCGGTTCGGTGTCGGATCTCTAGGTTCCGCACTCTGCGAAGTGTGACGACTGAAAAAGGCGGGTTGGGAGTAGATATGGAGCGACCGGTCTCTCTCACGCCCTTGGGGTTTGATGATAGCTGATCCGGAGTGGGTCACAGATGTATGTATGTAGTCCTGCTCTTTTTTGGCCCCTGGTTTATTTGCAGCTGTTCCTCTGAGGTGAGCAGTGAACAGCACGGTTTGAACTTTTCGAGAATCGGCTACGCGTCAGCTACGCGTAATATTGTTCCGTCTCTGCGTGTCGCGCCGCGGTTGATGACTCTATATACTGTATATACTGTACGTAGTCTAGGCCCATATGTTTTCCACGTCGCATGTCCACTTGTTCGGGGGGCATTCTGACTGAGTGGTGGAGAGGCATACTGTTATCGGTAGCCACGTTCTTCGTAAGTCTCCGAGGTTCCAAGTGAACTGTACAATCGGTAGCTACCAGCACAATGCCCATCCGAACAGGTAAAACCCTTCATCATATGCCGTTCCCGATCGTCCCTGGTCGTTTCACTAATCACATCTTGGCAGCAATAATCGGCGGTGGCCTCTCCGCGCGGGTGTTTCACGCTCCGTTTGTGTCATTCAATCCTCGGTTCAAGTTGACGTGCTTCGTCAGGACGAAACAAGAAGTTGTTGATGGGTTCGAATCGATCCCTGTGGAGACCTCGATAGAGAATGTCTTGCAAAGACAGGACATAGATGCAGTCATCATCACCTCCCCTACGAGTCTGCACTATGACCACGTGGCGTCGGCTCTGAATGCCGGAAAGCACGTGGTTGTTGAGAAACCCTTTGCCCCCACTAGTCGGGAGGCCGAGACTCTCGTGGCCTTGGCCGAGGATAAAGGCTTGGTCCTTGCGGTGTATCAGAATCGGCGCTGGGATGGAGACTTCTTAACCGTCTCGAAACTAATCTCTGAGGCCGGAGGACTTGGCCGGGTGGTGGAATTGGAAAGCAGATTCGAGCGTTATCGTTACTCCGTAAGAAAAGGAGCTTGGCGGGAGATGGACTTACCTGGCAGCGGCCTCCTTTACGACTTAGGTGCGCCTGGCCTTTTGTCGAAGCATGCTCATTGTCCCAACCACATTTCTAACCGTGCTATCGTCTTGTTATAGGATCACACCTGATCGACCAGGCTTTTACTCTGTTTGGCCAGCCGCATTCCATTACCGCCTTCGTGCAAAACCTTCGACAACTGTCTGCGCCCACGGATGATGCATTCACAATCAACCTTCACTACACAACTCCCCATCCCAAGTTAGTCACTTTGAAAGCGACAATGCTGGCTAAACGGCCGGGAACGAGGTTTACAGTTCATTTCACGGGTGGTTCCTATGTCAAGTACGGTCTGGATCCGCAGGAGGAGCAGTCCCGAGCTGGTCTTTCCGTCATGGATCCGAAATTCGGCGTGGAGTCGCCGGAAAAGTACGGCACTCTTTGGAGAGCAGATGATTCTGGTGACGGGGGACAGGCGGTTCCCACATTGAGAGGAACATACGGAGCGTTCTATGAAAACGTGGCCGATGCGATTGAGGGAGGTGGAAGTGCGGCGTTAAAAGTTCAACCAAAGGAGGCAGCCAATGTGATCCGCTTGATTGAGATTGCCATTAGGAGTTCGAAGGAAGGAAGAACAATCGTAGTTTGAACTTCTCGATAGCCTTGCTAGGCTATCCAATGTACATTTACATCACTGTTTTCAGAAAATACAAGGAAAGGGTTCAAAGCCTAATACGTAAATGGACGGTAATGGTCATATCTGTTGAATCCCCATGAGACGATTCAGCGTTTCCATCATCTGCCCCGCCTCCGCGTCTTCCTTTTGCCGCGTCGCTTGCGCCTTCGCTACCTCCGCCATCATCACCTGGTGCTCGCGGATCAAATCATGCATCTTAACGGTGCCGGTTCGCTCGACGTTGGCGCCATCATACTGCGCGAAAGACGCGGATGAAAGTGGGGTGTTGCTGCGACGTACAGATCGAGGTATGGACCCTCGCGCGGGATGCATGCTGCCCGTAGCATAGTTTTCTCCGATTTTTGCGTTGCTGCTGGCCGGCCTTGCTAGGGCGGAATGCAAATGCCTGGTATTCTTCCGTCGGCCATGAGGATGTACTCCTATTTCGGTAGGCCCTGAAGGGTCGTCACTCCGCTCAGACAGTGGTTGCATGTGATTTTCTTGATCGCCATCTGCTTTGAAGTCCCCCATGTCGGTTTCTGCAAGAGAAAATGGTTCCATACCCGCGTCAGGGTCGGTTTGTGCAAGTGTGCCGGTAGATCGTCCGCGAAGCGTGTTCTTCCTACTTCGATGAAGCTGCTGTTGACTTTGTGGATGCACATGGGATAGTGGCGGCGTGCCCACATCTTGCGTGTGAAGGGCAGGAACCGACCTCGTTCGACCTCGTGAAAGAGGTTTGCTGCGGGGATACGGAGTTGCGCGATTCGAGGATGATGCGGGCGGAGTTCCGCTCATGACCGGGTACGGTGCCGAGACACCGGGGTAAGGCGAAGAGTGCCGATGGCGTAAAAAATGCGCTGGAGCTGAGAGCATACCCCCAGGCATCTTTAATGACGAGGGAGGTTCGATGGATAGTTGTGGAAGGAACGTCGCATGACATTGCCCTTGCGAGAATGGGACTATGGTTCGTGGCTGCTGAGGAGTTGGGGTGAAGACCGAAGCGCTACGCGGGATACTGCTAGAATCAGGACCGTATCCGTATGCAGTATGAGCAAAGTCTCCACCGTGAGGCGAGTCCATCGGCATAGGATGCGAAAGCAGGAAGCCCGTCGCATCCATAACACTTTGACCCGCGTAGACTGGCGTTGGGGCAATGATGTGTGAGCTACTGGTCGCTTTCGGGTAAGCCTCGGCGGTAGGATGTCTGTCCTCCAAACCGCCGTGGTAGAAAATCGGATCCGGATGCTGCGACATTTCAGGAAACTCGGACATGCTCGGATGCCCAGCATCCTGCTCGTGGCCAAGCATGCCCAATTCGTGCTCTGACATGGTCCCTGAGGCAGAAATTCCCCGATCATTCCCCAACATTCCTCCATTCAAATATGGCGCATGATGGTATGCCGGGTGCATGTCGTCGCGTTGTATACCTCGGCCATGTATCTGATTCGGATCAATGAGAGCGTTCCCATCTGGAGTCTCTCCCCACGTATCTGATCTAGCGGCGAAATCAGCAAATCGCATCTCCCCATTCGAATGCAATCCGTACGGACTGAGGATAGGTCTATGTTCGTGGAACTGTGCGGGAAAATATGAACCTGACAAGCTCGCATGGGACTGAATGTCTTCGTCCGTCGGGGAGAGTGACGCGTTGTCAGGCGTAGTTAGGAACATGCCAAGGGGAGGCCCATTCTGCACAACATGTTCAAGCTCGGATCGCATCCCATGAGGGTAAAACATAGCGCTTGCTCGATAGGAGCCACTCGCCAAGGACGAAGCTCCATCATCAGAAATTACGCTAGCCGTCGAGCCATAGCCTCTGTAGCTCGGCGTATAAAGTTGATGCTGTTCGGGAAGGGAAAACCGTTTGTTGCTGAGCAGCTGATTCCAATCCTCCATCGCAAAGCCAATCGTCTCATCCGTTGACTCGACTGAGCTCATTGAAGACCTCGGATTTGTATATTGGTTGTGCGGGAAATCTACACTGAAATGCGGGTTCTGGCTGTATGGCGGTGTCCCATCTACCGCCAGAGCCTCGTTTATGGAGGTGAGGAAGGCACTGTTGGGCATATGGGCAAGCGATGAGGATCTTCGGTGGGATTCACCCTGAGCGGTCCCATTTCTTCCTTTGCCGATCGAAACCTTTCGTCCGGAGGCCAAGGCCGGCGCGGAGCCATGGGAAGCACACCTTCGCAACATGCTCTGCGCCGTTTCTTCGATCGCGGAGAAACGGCGAGCTAAAGTTTCGAGAGACTCCGTGAGTTGATGCCCGTTAGGAGTATCGGACGACGGAGGAGAAGTGGGTTCAAGGTTACAGAAGGGCTGGACCTCCTCCGCAACCCAGCCGTCATATCCGGGTGCGAACGGGTTGACGGACGAGTCTTGCAGTGCGTCGGGTGTAGGAAGCCCGTCGCTTGAGATACCGAAATTGTCACGACGGGTGTCGCTATCGTCCTTATAGTCGAGATTCAAAAAGTCTCCCATGTTTGGCGACTGCATCATTTTGTATCGAAATCTTGCAGAAACAGGTGAGTTCCGCGTTATATGTCTCCTCTGTACAGTTAAGAGGCTGCTTTAGATCGTGCTTGACTCAGTTTGGCGAGAGAATGAGAGAATGGCAAGTGTAGGTTGAGCAGAAATGTGGTATTACTTTCGTTTGAGGCAGTAAGATGCGAGTTGACGCAGCGGGGCCCAGGTAAGATGTTGCTGATAAGGGGCTTCGAGGCGTTGCATTTCCAAGGCTGAGGGAAAACACTGCGCCAACCCCGGGGGAACAGCAAGGTTGCGGTTGAAGCAAAGACATTGTCAACAGAGTTATGGGCGCAAGGATCGGAGACTGATCAACGCGCTGTCGATTTTTGACTCAGCAGTTTCCCATGTTAACTTTGACAGTTTCTTCCATGGAGATGCAGTCGGTTCTCGAAACCTTAACCATATGCAGTGAAATCGCATATTGCATCTTCTCCCGTCATTGTCTATCTCTATACCACTTCACTGCTCACGACTCGATGGGAATCAATGGAGTGTGGTCCATCATCGGCGACTCCGGAATCAGGGTTGCTCTCTCTCGGCTCTGCAGTGGGAGACTGAGGCCTGGAACCCAGGTTTCTGCACCTGCCACGGGTGGCTCCGATGAAGACGAAGTGATCGATTTGACAGGCATTTCAACCGCCGTTGGTTCAACCGAAGTGCAAACGACAGATACTCATCCAACAAGCAGCGGCATTATACCTCTACCGCCCCAACCTGGTTGGCATCCAGTTCGACTGGCAATAGATGCCTCATTATGGATCTATCATTCGCATTCGGCTGTGACGCATTTCAACGCCACAAATGCATCTCCCTGGACGCCTTCTCAAGGGCTCAAAAACCAGCCCAATGCATATCATCTCCGAGTATTCTTCTTCAGGCTGTGTCGACTGCTGGTTCTGGGCATCAAGCCCATCGTTGTTTTTGATGGCTGGAATAAATCCAAAGCGAAGGTGTGAACAAATGAACGGTTGCCCCGCGACATAATAACCTAAACTGGCTTTCTCCATGCAGAGAGGAGGTAGAGGCAGTTTTGGCAGCGCGGCCAATGGCTTCATTATCCTAGCGAAGCTCTTCGGGAACCCAGTAAAAAACGCCGATGGGGAGGCGGAGCAGGAATGTGCGAGACTCGAGCTTGCTGGAGAGGTTGATCTGAGTTGCACGGATGATGCAGATTACTTTCTTTTTGGCGGGCGATACCTAATGTACGCAAGCAGTCGTTGCCTTTCACACAGGGCTGTGGTGTCACATTTTGGTCTCACTTGGAATGGCTTCTCACATTCACAGGCGCACTTGGCGAGCAGGCGGATGGAAACCATCGGGCAGCGGCACATCAACGCCGACAAAGTCGAAATCCCGTGGGGTTGGGGAAGCGAGCACGCCCACGCCGATGGCAACGTCTACAAAGCGCAAAGCCATGGGTGGTGCCGCCGCCCGCTCGCAAAAGATCAGCGATGACGACAGTGACGGAGCGTCTACCGCGGATGAGGTCGAGGAGGAAGAAGGTTCAGATTTAACCCACACGCGGATCTATCGCATGCCAGATTTAAAAAAAGACTACGATCTAGACCGCGCGGGGTTGTTATTGATAGCGTTGTTATGCGGCTGCGACTACGGCAATGAAGGAGGGATCAAAGGAATCGGTCCAGTCAGAGCGTTGGAGCTGGCTAAAGCGGGTTATGGAGCAGAACTTCTAGCGGAAATCAACCAGCGGCGTGCACTACCTCAACTTCGACCTGAACAAAATTCACCGCGGAACTTTACGACCACGGAAAAGATTGCCAAGGCACTGGTGGGCAAAGAAGAAAGTTACCGAGAGGTTTTGAGCCGTAAACGACCCTCTTCGGTGAAGGCCTTGACGGAATCAGGGTTTCCGGATATGAGGATTGTCGACGCATTTTACGGACGAGATGGAATTCAGCAGGCTGGTGGACAAGCACGACAGGCAGATACATGGGAGTGGAGTTTGCCAGATATCGAAGGATTGCGGCGATTCTGCGTTGACGAATTCGAATGGACACCGACTTACACAGAGAAAATGTTCGAAGGGAATCTCTACCCGGCAGTGCGATTGCTACAATTGCGTTTGGAAGCACATCGAAAGCTGGCTCCACCCATTCCTGCTCCATACAAGACTCGGCCGACTAGCCATGCGGAGAGCGAAGTCCTCGTCCAAGGAATCCACCGGAAACGGGTCAAATTCGGTGGCTCTGAGTATCGGGTGACGTTGAACTACGATTCGTTGAAGCGCACACATCTTCAAAAGCTCAATATGCCATCAGGCTCTCACAACTCTGCGGAAGCGTTAAGCCCTCGCGTATGGGTAGAAGCCGATCTAGTATCTATGGCATATCCGACTATGGCTGCTGCATATGAAGAGCACGCAGCAGCTAAGAGTGCAAAAAGGTCATCAACTGCAAAAAGAAAGAAGACATCGCAGGTGGAGGTGCCTCGCGGCCAATCTACTATCGACTCGTTCTTCCCAAAGGCGAAAAAGATGATGAGCATTGCCAACAATGATGTTTAATTGTTCTATTTCACTCGTCGGCAAAATACATTCTCCCTCCCATATCGTTTTCACGCCGAGTGTCGCTCTCATCTCCTACACAATGGCGTTGTCACCATTGGGGCGTGTACAATTGACCGCCTATGAGCCATAAGCGACTCGGGTTATATGAATTCCAATCAGATCCGAGTCGCAATCTGTACTTCGTAGCACTTTGACGTCCTGCGGCTGGGAGAGCCCGCCGGAAATTTGCGTCCGCTGTGGGAACCTGCTGGACACGTAGCATCACTAAATGAGCCTCTTGCCGAATCGGTGCTATGGGCACGCACTCAAGTAGGAGGCTGTGGCGATTGAACCGTCCAACGATATTCGCTCATCGGTAGGTCTAGAGCCAGTCGAAAGGCCTACAGCAAAGCGGGACGGCTTTCGAGTTTCCGCGTCCACCGTGACTCGAAGACACTTGACAGAGATGAAGCCGCGAGAGGACGGCGTCGTCAGGACCGGCTGGGCAGACGTCGAGTCAAGAGTCGAGAAGTCTTCTCCTGTATTGCCCATTGGTCCATCCGCCCTCATATAGATCAATACTTCAAAGGTGAGAATTGTCCTTGGAAGTGCTGTTTGCCAATCAGAGACTGTCAAAGTGGACCCAAATTGGCATCCTGCTGAAATTTTCCTTTCTTCATTCAGCAACTACATCCATGCTATCGTTTCCTCTCTCTGTTGTCGCGGATCGGTTGCCCTCTTCCTTTCCGGCCTCCTCAGGCGCCCAGTCCGAAAACAGGAATTGGCAAACCGCCTCGCGCTGATCGGGGTTGGTGAAGCACCACACATAATGGGCGTGACAGCTCCACACCTCTTCCCCACGCTCCTCGGCAGCCTTCCACGCTGGCTCGCGACCCGCACAGGCTATAGCCTGAGTGAAAGTTCTTCCAAGTCCATTGTCTCCGAGCGCTGGAGAGGTCAAACGATAGAATTCGGAGGTCGAAGGGGTGCAGTTGCCGACCGTGCCGCGGAAAAAGCACATTCGAAGGCGGCGGGTTGCGGTGTGGCTTTCACCGCTATCCGAGGAAGATCGCTTGCGAGTGTTACCAGACGACATGTTCGGAACGGCTTTTTTTCGTGGTAGGCGCCAATACAGCGGAAACGTACTCAAGTTGAGTTGAAAAGCAAAGAAGGACAGATGAGATTGCGGTGGCTGCAGGTTGCAAGGTGTTCCGTGGCGAGGGTCAAGCGTGAGAGGAAAAAGCACGCAGGGAGTGCTGGGAACGACGCGTTTGAACTTTGACGGCGGCGATGGCTCTCGGATTTCGAATTTGGACCCTCTTTGAGCTTTCGCCCCAGCATAACAGCGACCAGCAAATACTGTACGTACAATAGTTCATACCGACGACTACTGCTGCATATCTATTAGCTAGAGAGGCCATTCTTGTGTTTGCAGTAAACAGCTTGAAGGGCACCACATCTTACTCCATCCAGCGCAAAGTGTCTTCGCTCGCGTTTCAAAGAGGTGGTAGCCTCGAATGTCCCACAGTATCTCGAACGATACCGGCTTCGATAGCAGCACGGTTGTAGGGAAGCAGGTCGACTCGAACGCGGCCCCTAGTGATACTGAGCACGTGCTGGATATAGACCCCATAGTAAATGGGGACGGCAGTGACGAATGGCGGGAGTTACCGGTCGACGATACTGCAACGCTTGAACAAGAGCAAAACCCGAAAGTCCTGACGAATACGCTAGACGAACCACCAGAACAGCAGCATGACCAGGAAAGCCAAGCTGGGCAGGACGAACAGCAACCGCAGGCTTCGAAAGGGGAGGTGCAAAGCGCTCAGAAACCTCCAAAGGAATCACAGTTGACGCCGCCTCAACGAAACCAGAACAACCCCGCTATTGAGAAGAACTGGCTCCTGCGATTTTTCCAATCGGATTTCTTTGATCCGCGGATCGCTCTTTCGTACCTGCATCGCTATCCAGAATCGATAGGAATCCAACATTACATATGCGACAGGTTGAATGAATTCCCCGTAGACGAAGTGGAGTTCTTCTTGCCTCAATTATGGTTCGTTGACAGAATTTAAAAGGCTTGCTGAGGTGGGTGGGAGGTCGCCGCCCGCCGTGTGCCATGGCGATGACCGGGGAGGGTGGGGCTCATGAGATCAGATCGAAGCACGATTCCTTATTCACTGCTGCCGTCCATCCATCTTCCCTGCCTCGTCCCACAGCCATCTGGCGATCACCAGCCAGAATGAGTCCGTCGCACTGGAGAACTTCCTGCTGAAGCAATGTAAACGATCGCAGCATTGTGCTGTTCTGGTAAGATCTCGTTATCTTAGTATGTGATTCCAAACTCCTGGGGCCGTGGACGACTCACCATAACCGTAAATTCTAGACATTCTGGCTCCTACAAGCGCATTTGAACGACCTGAGGGCATTACCGCAGTCGGAGAGCTACCGGTTGTGTCAAAGGCTATACTACAGATGTCAAGTCCTGATGTTCACAGACGACTATACCAGCAAAGCGGCAGGGAGTCCGGCACCTACCACAGCGAAGATCGAGCACTCGTGGAATCCTTTTCAGAAGAAGAAGATGAGGGAGAACGTTCGGCCAGCGGTTGTTGGGATAGGCGCTGTGCTTGCGGCTGGTGTATGTCCGCTTGCTGTGGATGCGGGCAGAGAAATGATACTGAGTCAAGGGCGGAGATGGAAAGATCTTGCACACGACACAGACGGCCCACAGACATCCGCTGCGTCCACGAAGCGGTCGGACAGTGTGAGAAATGGGCGATCGGTTGACCATGTATTGGGCCAAACATCGAAGGGACGCAGGCACTCCACCGAGATCATGTCGCAAGAACAGAGACAGATCGACCTAGCGGCTCGGATACCAATAGGCTCACCGAGTCCAGATGAGTTATCGCGTGGCGGGGCGTTTTCGTTCAACCGCTATGTGGCGAAGGCAATTGATACGACCAAATCGCCACCCAAGACACCCGTTCGTCACCAGCCGCAACAGCGCTCGAGTAGCATGTCGAACGTAGTGGACCAATCTTTTTACTCGAACTTGCTGACTCGGCCCAGCGGATCGAAAACGTCACCGAATCACCCAGATCTGGAGCGAAGCCATTACTTCCATGCCGAGATGCAATTCATGATGACATTGGTGGAGATCTCGGACCGGTTACGGACCGTGCCGAAGGAGGCCAGGCAGAGCACACTGATTGCGGAATTGGAACTGCTGAACCACAATCTGCCGGCAAATGTGTGCCTGACGCCCTGGTGCCGGGCATCAGCAACGCATCCTGCACACCACCGCATCGCTCGAATCAGCCCATCCGACGCAGTCGTTCTGAACTCGGCTGATAGGGTTAGTATCGTTGCAGCAATTTGGGAAGCTCATCTGAGATTCCCCAATGTGGACTTTCCTGACGATGTTCTCACCATTTCAGGTCCCATACTTGATAACAGTAGAGGTGTTGGAAAGCACCGATCAAGACAATGCGGCAGAAAGTCGTGTGGTTGAGAAGCGCCGTTCGCGTGCCTCATTCCATGGTGATTACACGCACGATCCTGATGAGGCTGAAAGTCGAGTACGTTCCGAAAGACGATCCATGGACAGTCAGAGGTCAGTCTCATGGGCGACAGGTGCGTTGGTAGACAGGCTTATTCTGTTTTGGTGAACAATCTTCGATTTCCTCTTACTTACCCTCGGCGACATTATCCGTTTCCATGATGCAGAAGCAACGACACCGGCTGAATATCATCGAATGGTATTGAATCGACGAAAATCGAACGCTTCCATTACCTCCCGGACATCGATGAGCCCGCTCGATGCCACCCCCACATCCCCTCTAGCACACCCTGGGAAAGATCCACTCGACATCTCGAATAAAGCAGCCCCAGCCCCACCAACTCCAGCAGACGAATTCACCGAACGCCTTCGAACCGCGGCAGTTATGTTAGCTCAACTATATCGACAGCAGCAGCGCGATGTATCATCGCAGGGGCTCGCATCCCCAACCGCGCAATCCTCAACCATGATTGTTGGAGCGGGAGGCATACCCGCACCGCTCCTATCACCGCGTCAATCGAGCCAGGCTGCTGACACAAACATTGTGAACGTCCCAGCATCGCAAGCCGTCAATAAAGACAAGCGGAACTACCAAAAATTAAAAGCCGATTTTGAGTCCATCAAGAATCGGCTGATTAAGGAGATGGTTACGTTGGAGGAAGCCCGTGTCAAGGCCTTGGCGCAACGGATGAATGAAAGGGCGTCGTTGGGCGCCCAACAGGCCACAGATGATACGTTACCGGAAACGGAAGAGTCATTACGAGCCCGATGTCAAGAACGAGACAAGGATGATCCAAGTGGTGAGTTGCGAACTTCAGCGACCGACAGCAGCCATTGGAACTACAGCTAACTCAACTATCGCTGCAGCGGCGGTTTTCCGAGAAACATGGGATGCGAAGATGGAGCGAATCAGAGCATCATCGCCGTATGGCCGACAACCCAATTGGCGGCTGTTTTCCGTCATTGTCAAATCTGGTGCAGATTTACGGCAGGAGCAACTGGCTTTGCAACTGATCAAGGAGATGCAGCGGATATGGCGTGCAGCCAATGTTCCGGTCTGGGTTTGCTAGTAAGAAGGGTTTGGTGAAAGACCCTAGGACTTTTGAGGGCGGATATGCTGATGCCTTACCCTCCTCTCAGCTTCCAACTTCTGATAACATCAGAGCAGTCGGGCATCATGGAGACGATCCGTGATTCTATCTCGGTGCACTCGATCAAGAAGAACGCGTACGCAAAGCAGATGAACGAAAACGGACTGCCGTTCACTCTGTACGACTATTTCGTCAAGGTAAGGATTCTTCGGGTTCTAGAATCCGAGTTTGTGACAAGTGTCCCTGAACAACCTCGTATCGCAGGAGTTCGGCCACCCGGGAAGTACACGGTTCGGGCAGGCTCAGGACAACTTCATGCGATCTCTCGCGGCATACTCTGTGATTTGCTACCTTCTGCAAATCAAAGACAGGTGCGTTGGCAATCGATTTTCAGCCATCCCGCTGTCATGCAACTTACGTCTTCATTTCACTGATGATTAGACACAACGGCAACATCCTGCTCGACATGCAAGGCCATGTGATCCACATCGACTTCGGTTTCATGCTGTCGAATAGCCCTGGCTCTGTCGGCTTCGAGCTAGCTCCATTCAAGTTACCCCAAGAATACGTCGATATCCTCGGCGGGCTTGGCAGCGAAAAGTTCCGAGAGTTCCGGGAACTCATGAAGGAATGTTTCCTGGCACTGCGAAAGGAAGCCGACGAAATCGTCGCCCTCGTGAAGTTGATGGAGCATGGGTCCAGTCTCCCGTGTTTCACGGGCGTGACACCCAAGCCCTCCAACATGCCCACGCCATCATCACACCCAACAACATTCATCAACTTTGCAGGTTCAGAGTATGATCTACAGAACGCCACGGGTGCAGCCGGGAATAGTGCAGCCGCAGCAGCTGCCCAAGCCGCCGCCGGGACGGCCGCCAATTCTCATTCACAAACAGCGGCGGCAAGGACGTATCCGGTCTCGGCGGCTCTGCGAGAACGATTTCTCCCGGGCGGCACCAAGGACGAAGCTTGTGAGCTTGTCGAGTCCTTGATCGATCGCAGCTGTGGGAGTGCTTTCACAAGGATGTACGACTCCTTCCAGGTGAGTGTACTTTCGCATATTGCTTCAAATTTGTGGCGGAGATGTGGTGAAGCCAACACACTATGGATGCCCCTCTTTCAGTACTACGCAAATGGCGTACTGTAGTTCATGCGGCTTCCACCCACCACCTCACGCGAATCCCCATCAAGATACAATGGTGAAATTAGCATGTTCCCGTTCATCACTATGAAAAATGCCACTCAGCCACATCTATGATAACACGCCTCAGTCTCCACTACACGGGCTGGCCGCACCCACCCCCACCCTCACATCTACGGCGAGCGATACCCCCGCGCGCTTGTATCATTAATCTAGATTTGAATATATATATCCCAGGCCAAGCTTCTTCGATGTCTTGGAAGCGCGGCGAATCGTGGCTAGTGAGTGCGTTTGAGGTGGAACGAATGGCGTGGTGACGAAAAGCGCTATCTCGTTGTGCGACGTATATGTTGTCGATACCTCAATTGAACTATCATGTTGGCCGCTCCCATCGGTAGCTTCGATACATTGCATCCAGAAAGTTTTGATCCTGTGACGATGGTTGGATGTCAAGGGGTCGAGCGATTTTGGAACGCAGTTGTGTGAAAAGCACCATATTACCTGGGCTAAATGTAACATTCTGCTCCTGAAGTCCCTATCCGGCAACCCACCACGGACGCTCTGTGGTGCCAGATCCTCCACCCACTGCCACACATCCTCCAGCCGCTGTATTTGCCTCTGCTGAGGCATGATCGGGGGCGCCGAAACCTGTGATTGCGATGAACCTGTCAGCAACGTAGACGGCGGCGGAGGCAGCTGCTGAGCCTGATGCCGTTGTGGTGGGGGGTGTTGTTGTGGGCTGGGACTGTGTCTAGCGTCGACGGGTGCGCCGTGTGCATCGACCACTTTTGCGCGTTGGAACATGGCCATGATGTCGACGGGTTGATTGGCATGGAGTTGCGGTGTGGAGGTTATGCTGTGGTTATGTTGTGGCGCGTGATTTACGTTGGGGGTGTGATTCCTTGGAGCGCTTCGTTCTGTGTATCTAGGGGCCGGAGATAGAGTAAGCATACAGAACAAAGCAAGTAGGAGCATCTTATGCTTCGTACGTTGTCAGCGTTTTCACTATCCGGGTCCGGTCAGATGTTTCATACATCCATAACCCTTGCACACTGTCTGATGTACATAACGGAGACCGTCAGCATTTCTGTCATGGCTTGATGCCGGCCTTCCAACGCAAAACGTACCATCTGGCTGTCGATAGATAACAAACTCCTGCAGCAGCGTGACTTCCATGTCGGAGTTGAGCATGACGGACAGATTTTCGAGCCCTAACCGGTTCATCACAAACAGCCCATAAAAGGGCTCAACCGAGCGCTGGAAGACGAATAATGTGCCTTCTATCCCTTTTTTAGTCTACAGGTGTGATCAGAAGGTCGGTCTCAGTGACAAGCATGGCATATTCGATTTGGCGTCCTCGGTCTGTCCCGTCGCTGCGATCTACGGCTCTCCATGCTGGCTCGAAGCGCCATAGTCCTCCGCTTCCTCCTTCTCTTCCCCGCCTTGTCGTCCTTACCTACCCAGCTTTTGTTCCCAGGGTCAAAGTCATACACGACAACGTGACTCGAACTATCCAAGACGCCGTTGATGGCAGCATCGTGTCTTCGCAGAACGCTCAGATTCGCGGCCAAACGCGCAGCGGGATCCATCTTGGCAACTACGGCCTAGGAATGTTGGTTATGAGCGGGAGTTTGCCGTATGACAAGAGTCTTGGGCCCCAAACTTACCCGAAAGTCTTGAGAACGAATGGAAAACGTTTAGTTCCGTTGGTGGGACAGACGGGAAAGAGGGGTACATGCTCCAAAAAGCTCAGAAAAGCAAACTGCGACGCGAACCCAGCAGAACCCAGCTCTCCCGCTTTCCCCCACGGTTCAGCAGACAAGCAGGGAGCAACTGGGGAGCATCTAGCATGCCCTTCGACACCGTGCGGCAGCTGCCTCTGGAGCTCCTCTGACGGACGGATTACTAGCTATGCAGAATGCCCAGGGCGCTACCGGATGGGGCTGGTCGACCGCCTCTATTCAAGGATCCATATTCACGACGAGGTAACATTGAGTACTCTTTTTCACAATCCTGGAAACCAATCCCAACCGCTTTATTTGGATAAAGGACTTCCAACTGGAGGACGGGGGCCTCGCGACAAACCGAGGAAATTCGGCCCGTTGGTCGCCCTTAGCGTTTCTGAAAATTAGCTGCATCTTAGGCCTGGCTGCGTCGAGGCTGCGAAGCCGCTGCGTCGAGTGGCTTTTGGGTTCATAGCTGGGCACACGAGAGTTTTTACGAGTCTCTCTAGATTTTCGGTCCGGCGTACCTTATAGCTCCGAGGGCCCACTCGCACGCTGTGCAAAACCTTTGCGAAACGCTTGCTTGGTTTTATGCGCCGGAGGTTACGATTTTGCGTAACAGCGGAAAGCACACATGGGCCCTCCCTGCCTCATTTAAGAAACCTCTCTCTGTCGACAAGCAATGGGCTCTTTTACTCGTGGCCTTGGTCGGATTCGCCATCTCTCAACTCTTGTTCGACTTCAGATTTGCGAGTCAGGAGACTTGGAGATAATACGTGAGCTATCGGAGCAAAACTTTGAGAATGACGGCCCGGCGGAGCTTCCTGGATGGAAACAAAGAGAGTGCATTCGAATACTCAGACTCACTTCACCGGATGCGCAGAAGAGTTTGTTTCACCGTAACGAGGAAATCAAGAAGCGTTTCGTGGGGAGCTGGAGATCTACTCGGAGGATGACGAGTCATGGACGGACACAGATTCCGGCATCCCTCAGTAAGTACTTGGAGGATCACCAGACTCGGAATCCTGGGAAAGATCCTCATCAGAGTCTGATGGATAGATAGGATTGGAATATGAATATCACTTGTGGCGATTGTAATCAACCATACACATGTATATACCCTTCCCCTCCAACACGCCCGATATGTCTAGTGGCAAAACGAAAGCACGAGCCTATGCACAACAACTATGACCCAGATGACAGCATAGATACTGGATCTGGCAGGCATGCGCTGAGGAATGCGGGCCGGCGATGCGTCGGTCAACAGCATGCAACCATGGAAACGCTGACAATCCCACATACATTTCAATCATTTGACAAATATAACACTTGGCAAAGCCAAAACTACATAGAGTGCTTAGGCCATACTACGGACGAAACCTATGAACTGAATTAAGACTGGCCGCAGGTGCAGTTCGACTGGCACTGGCAGCCTTGGCCAGTTCCGTGACAGCTGCGGATGGAGAGGGATGAATGCGCGAGAATGGGCTACTCTTTGTGAAGGTTTCAAAACCAGCGATGAAGCAACCTACCTGCAAGCCTCGTTGTGAACGGTCTTGGTGGGACGAGCCGTCTGGTCGTTAGCGGACTGGCCGGATTTCTTGCAGCCGCAGTTCTTGCAGTTCGCGGAGCACTTGCAGACGGAGCCTTCTGGAGAAAGCGAAGTGGTTTAGCATTTGCACTCATCAGGGTCTGAGATGGCCACCTTGTTACGGTCCTGGGTCACGCGTAGCGTACGATGACTGACGTGCGGTGTCAACTTACTGCTGCATTGACAGTCACCCATTCTGATAAGAAGTGTGCTTCTTGAGGTTTGAGTGCGTTGATGTTTGTCGCTTGGTTGTAAGAAAGTTTCCTGCGGAGAGAGCCAGGAGAAGAGCCCACCTGCTCTTATATGCGTTGAGATTCTTGAGGACAGAGGCTGACGCAGGTGACGCTCCACCAAGCTTGACGCGGAAATGACGCCCCTGTTCCCCACACTTCCACCCCACACTTTTCCGCCCTGCTTCGGAACCTCACCTCACCAATCGTAACAATGTACTGGGATCTGTGTTCAGAGCAGCCACACGAAGATTACAGTTTACAGCATATGATGGCAGCGGACGTTTTTTTCACGTGCCTGGTTCATCAGGAGCCTGCTCTAGCTTGGGGCGTCATATCTTGTGATACAATCTATTCTTGTGATTCTAAGAAGACACCTATCCCCCTGGTGGATAACCTGGGGCGATAATGCACCTCCAGATAATGCACCTCCAAATATGCCTCAGAGGCAAGAGCCACAGTCCCATTGCGTGAGCTGCAAGCGACTAAGCCAGAGTTTCCCAATGCCTATATAGTAAAACATCAGATCCATGGCCGGGACAGCAAGCTCCGGTCTTTTGGCCGCCCACTTGCTGTGAAAATTCTCTCCACGTCTTCAATATCATGCAGAGCTCGTTATGTACCGCTCGGATCGTCTGTTGAACCCTCATTTATGAGCGGCGCCAGGTGCGACCGACTATTACTGCGAGAGAGAAAATGAGAGCCCGGATTAGTGGTTAACTCAAATGAAGCATCAAACCACACCCATGGTCTTCCGTAAACTGGTCTAGCGCTCCATCACCCTCTAATCCAAACCCCACCACCCACCAATGAGATTCTTCATCTTCCGCTTCCTCAGCAAGAGCCAGCATACCAGCACCACTGCTCCTCGCCCTCATATTCGCCTTAGTCGGAGTAGCGTTCGCAGAAACTCCAACTTGCGCAGCAGGCGAGGGAGAGCAAGCAGCCGTGGCAGCCGCAAAGCCTGGCAGCCCAGCGGCACCAAAAGATGTCGAGAAAGATTTTGCTCCCGTTTGGTTGTTCAAAGCGGCAAAGATTCGGTTGTTGAGTGTTGCTGTGCTGGCCGTAGAGTTCGCGAAAGCGCCGACTGTGGAAGCAGGCTTGCTGGCGGAGGTGGATGTGCTGGAGAATCGAGACGACCCCGAACTTTGGCTCTTGGTTGAGTTGGTATGCGATTTGTTGCTGCTGGTTTGACCTTTGGCGCGGCGAAGGGCCCGCGCGGAGAGGTGTGTTGCTGATCTGAGGATGCGCATATTTTGCTGCTCTATTGCGAGTCGGGGATGTTAGTGGGTTGTCGACTTCGAAGGGGTGTGATCTATCGAAGGTGATGATGGGAATTTGAAAAAGCCGCGAGAACTAGGTGAGAAAGCAAAAGGCGCTCAACCTCCGAATCGTCAATCACCAAGCAAACCCGCGCGCTGTCAAAAAGGCGGAGAAAGCCAAACCCATCGAAACTTCCCTACCAACACAAACAGCTTGTTCTGAAAATGGGCCAGCATCTTTTCTCAAAAGCAAGGTGACGTTTCCCCTCACAAAACATCGGAAAACGGTATCAAATATTACAGATTGAATTCTTTGCTTGCGGCCCAAAAAGAATCGATTATGTACATCATCCCTTTCATTCCCACCATCTAACCGCGACCACAGGATCTCACTGAAACTGTATTTGACACTTGTGCCTTTGCACATACGCAGCCATGCGTTCAGCAACATCCGCCAAGGCGGCGGCATAGTCTCGAGACCCGGGGTACGATATCTCAGAATGTACGGTCGGCTGTCTGGTATCGCTGGCCATCACTTCCTCAGCAGGCGGGTATAATGCATCGATAGCCGTCTTGACGTTATCGGCACCGTCGATGGACATCGCATCCGGTAGGCTATCAAACGGGCAGTCTTCGCAATAAGGAGTCGACACAACGGAAGGAGACGATGCCGCGGAAAACAGCTGCGGCGAAGGTGAGGCTAAGGGGGCCGAGGCCATGACATCGCTTCCAATGTCCATTTTCGGAACATGTTCCAATGAAAATTTCACCCCATCATCGCTGGCAGCAGGAGAGGACGGCCATGAGCCCGCTGGAGCCCAAGATGACATGCCGGGCAGCGACGAGAATTTGAATGCACCCGGCGACAGTATCGAGGAAGCGCGGTCGTGCACGCATGTCTTCTCAGATAGCAACGCTTCAGGCAACTCCGCTCCCCACTCGATGAGAATGCGAACCACCGTCGTAAAGCCGCGCGCGAGGGCGATACGCAGAGGCAAGCCGTTGGAAGCGCAGGGATCGGCCCCGTGACGTAGTAGTAGTTGGGCAACGCACGGTCGGTTGTTTTCGCTTGCTGCTATGAGCGCTGCAGAGAGTGTGGCACGGGGTATATCGACGGGCTTCGAGGGCTTCTCCCCTAATGGGGGCATGAAGGATCGGCGCTGGCCGAACGATGTGCTTATGGGCGAGGAAGCCGAGGGGAAGGTGTAGATGTGATTGACTCTGTCCGTCGACTCAATCCCCAACAGCATCTTCAAGACATCCTCATGACCCATCGCGGCGGTCTCCCTGACGATCGAAAGCGCCGGAGTGACCCCTCGGATAACCACCAGCTCCCGCACACATCGTTTGGCCGAAGAAAGACATGCCAACCGTAATGGCCACCGATTGTCCAGATCTGGATCGAGCCCCGATTCCAACAAAAGGCGAAGGCACGAAGCAAAGTCCCGTTGCAAGATGGTCTGCAGGATATCGTAGATGATATACGCGTCGTGAGCGCGCAGTAGAGCCGGAGTGACGCGGTTGGAGCCCGCCGTGCTCAGAAAATTGTAGTGCGGGTTGAGCGCAGCACTCAGGAAAGCGTGCAAAGCTGATTCACTGAAATCGTGGGTGGGCAAGTTGAGTTGAGACGGATGCAGTTGGGTCATGACGGCACATCGGTGGTGTAACATCGTAGCAACGAGGTCGAGGCCTAGTATGGACGGCTCTTCAGATTTCCCGACGTACGACCCTCTTCGCCACTGCAATGCGTGGCCGTCTCGCAGTGGTGTGCCGTTCATGTTCCCTGGCCATTCGCTTAAAAGTTGCAGCAGACAGTAATCGATCAACAGAGATTGAGCGCTCCTCGGCTCAACCAGCTCGACGAGCGCCACCATGTCAGAAGGGGAGAGAACCGAGCCTTCGGCGGCTGCACCCGTGGCACGGCGGAACATGCCCTCCAAGTTAGCATAGGAGAAGGAAGGGTGTGTAGCGGTCTCCGGAAGACCGGAGAGATCGAATTTCAGATGGGTTTCGTGGATGTATCGGAAAAGGACGTGCGTGGTTAGTTGCTGCCGTGCGGAGATGGAGCAAGTGAGTGCCGTCAAAATGTCGTAAGGAGCGACCCGTCGGAAACTTGGAGAAGCATGGGTGGACGACGCCGTTGAAGAGCTACAGTTTCGGCCATCGTTCGATCGAGCGCAGAGAAGTAGGCGCATCGTGTCAACGTATCCCGCCGCCGCCGCGTACTGTAGTAGCGCTCGTGTCGTGGCTTGCGTACTTGTGTCCTCCGCAAGTACCGAGCCGGCGTGTATCATCATGTGTTCCTCATCAACAGTCAAAGAGGGTGACCCATCGACGTGCAAAGATTCCGTGCGTGCGTCCAGGTAAAATCCCACCGTGCGAGCGAGCAAGCCGTCATTCAGGATTTGACGCGGAAAATATCGAAGAACCTTTGCCGCTGGTCGACCGCCAATACTGCGCTGAGGAACGTCGTCGATCGAAAGATTTCCGACAATGCCGAATACTTCGGGATACACCTGCACGCACGGCAGCTTGGGAAAGTGATTTTGCAACCACCTCAGGCGCGTTGCTGTTGATTCGGATACGGCGTGCCATGTTCGAGAAGCGAGCACTAAACGGGATGGGTTCGGAACGAGACTGAAGATCTCTTCAAGAAGCTCAGGCGGCAGGGTTCCAAAGTAGTCAATGAGTGTCTGCGAGCAGGACATCGATCGTCCTTCGTCACGGGCAAGTCGCGCACGCTTGAAGATTGGAGTGTCCATCTTGAGTAGTGGAAGTTGCGATATCTCAAGGAATCACCATCCCATGCGGCTCTGAGAGACTAGGTATCGCAGGATGAACAAGAAGATATCGTCTTGTAATGGCGAAACGCAGAACGTTCTCTTCTGGGTAATGGATAGGTCACGGACAGAGGTTCACAAATTGAAGGTCTGAATTTGGGAGAAGAGAAAGGTAGATGGTTGAGAGCCATGATTATGAACGAACAAGATGCCTAATGTGAGAGACTAGGTCCCTTCACCGGTGATCAGGGGACGCCGTCCGACATCCCACCTCAGACTCTCCCAAGTTAAGGCGAGAAGGAAACTGAGCAGCCTCGTAAAATACAACTCTCTCCCCTGAATATAAGCGCCGAAAAACATACCTGTATAGAGGCTATTGGTTTCGGTTCTTGGTCGGTGACCGTTGTGGGTAGCAAGAGTGAAGGTGCTGGTACTGAGTAGCTGCGAGAGACAGTGGGAACACAAATGGACACCGTTGCCTCATGTCCCTGAGTATATGTAAAAGCTTTGGGCTATCGATCTTCCCATCGGCAAAAGGTCTTGACTGTGCCCGCTGCTAAAGTGCTTGCTGGCCCTGATGCAGCTGTGCAAATGTGGGCGATGTGAGGCTGAAGATCGCAGTCGTAACGATCTCATCACGCGTCCCGATCGGAAGCGAATCGGGCATCCTCCGATTTGCCTGTCATCAATTGAGAATCCCTCGATATGCAGTCACATCCCTTAATTAAACGCCCTGCATCTGGGAACGCTTGGATGACGATTTGACCCAAAACCGCGGCTCTGGCGCGGAGAGGGCTGTTCGATCGACCGGATCGACCGGTTCTGGGAGGGAAACTTTGACAGCACACGCAAAAAGTGTCATTCTCCGTCTACACACTCCGCAAGCAGCACTCAAAAAGACTCGCCGATATGCTTTTCTTCTGATTGCTTGACTGAGAAATTCGTAGGAGGAGGTAATCGAGTATCCCGACTATGAAGAAGGCAACCCGGTGAATCCTGGTCAGTCAAACGCGATATACGGGCTCCTCCATGTGAGGGAGGTTCAAAGGGTGATCTGGCAACGCAATACGTCGGAAAGACTGTCAAGCTGCGTGTCCGTGCGCGACTGCCAACAGCGGCGATATGGGAGCCCCCCCACCTCTACTCCTGAGAGAAAACTTGAGTTCGCAGCAATGCCACCAAGGTCTGAAAAACCCCGAGACGTACATAGGTTTCCATCGTAATTTGGAATGATCAATCCCGCACGAGGCCGAAGCTTTACAAACGTTAGAACTGGCACCGATGTTTGCAATCATGAATCACACAGGTTTGAAGACCATTGTCGACATCTGGATGGAAAGAGCCAGTGCGCGGAATAATGAGTGCGAGAAATTTTATTTCTCTCAGAATTATTAGCGGCAGCCCCGCCACGACGAGAGGAGCTTCCCGGGCATCAAACCTTGGAGCAAAAGTGGACGAGATGCAAAATACGCACTGCTATCCTCAAGTCCGGGTATAGTGCCCATTTCGTTGGTTTTGCATGGCTGAGTACGGAGCTAGAATGTCTTCCCCAACAGCGGCGACACCACGACCGAAGGCTTGCATGATGTATCGTTCACAGCAACCCATGCAACTTCAGTGAACGTGGCCGGTACGAGTTTGAGCTGTAAGCGATTTCCAAGTTTCTGAAGAAACCAATAGAGGTACTGGCCCTAGACCAAAAATGGCAGTATGGGACCGATTCCAGACTGGATCTTCTATTGCTTGATGAAGGTATTTCGAATCAGTGCAAGTAGTTGGGTCATGCGATTGAACGTTTTTCCGTGTTCGTCGTTCCAAGTAATGCGGAGGGCATCGATCCAAGTAACGTAAGGAGTAAGGCATCGTCCAAATAATGCGGGAAACCGAGGTAATGAATCTGACATTTCGCAAATGAACGCGGAAAGGTGCAGGTGTGATCTCGTTTCACACACCCTTCGGTAGATCTATGAATTTCGAGAGTGCGATACACAAGTCAAAGTGCGCAAGCAACTCCACATAGTTGTTACTCCACACCACAGCTTAAATGGGTCGAAGCCTCTCCGGACTGAAATGCTTTGAACGAAAAAGATGGACGTACTGTGTATTCCCGCTTGACATTCCGCAAGGGTTGCATGAGGTATGTACAGTATGTAACCTGAGAGATGAGAGATCTCCTGCGTCCTCTCCATTTCTCTTCAAACCCCTCCCCGCAAATTCGAAGGTCGACGACTTGAATTCTTTTTGCAAGACGGTGAAACCGACGTGAGGCTCCACAAATTAGGGCAAAACCCATGTGATGGCAAAAACGCTCCATTGTGCTGCTCCGATAATACGTAGTGTTACGTCATGACTTGTATGTAGCCTTAGGATGAACCCAGGGATATGGCAATTTGGCAAAGCCGTGGGTTGTTTCCGAATGCTTGGTATGTGGGATTGCACACCAAACGTGGCTGGACCCTGAAAAAAGTCTTACCGTCTTGATTTTAAGCGTTCCACAGAGGTGACCATTATCAACATCACCGCTGTGTCTCCGAGGTGGAAGCACACGGCCGACGTATCCTTTTTGTGCGGCGCTAGGGCGCACCTTGCTGTCATCCTCGAACGAATCAAAAGAGCGTTTTTAGGCAGCAGTATGTTTTTTCTGGCCATCCGCACAGCGCCAGACCCTCTGTGTTATTCATAAATGTATCATCAGCATGCCACCTGGCACCTAATACGGTCGCCGACCGACTCAGAAACACCGAAACCCTTGCTCCGGACGAGGATCACCTCGAAGAGTCATCATGCATGCGCGGCTGAATTGGGGAACACTCTCCTTTCCGGCTTCCGGCGGCTTGAAGCATGAGCAAACCCTTGTGCACTGGTCCCTATGACAAATCGGCTTGGACGTTTTGATAGGCAATCCTGGGGATCTTCTTCGCAATCTTTGTGCATGCTGATGGCGCCAGGGTCCATTTAAACGCCTATCGTCGCAAATCTGTGATCAGCATCCGGGTCCGTCGTCACCGGTCAAAGTCAGCCTCTGCACGCCTCTTTTTGGGGGCCGTATATATGCGCTGCATGGTTCCCGACAGAATGTTGAAAGAGTTTCCACTCTGGCGGCTCTGAGCGTCGGATTTGCCTCGGTGGAATAACTCAACAGGTGTGCAGTCTGGCATTGTGTTGGTCTATATAGCACAGCTTGAAATCGATACAGCTTCCGGCGGGTCCTGCATCTCAAGGCTTGAAATATCCCGGAACGGACACGCGGTGAAAAGCTTGAAGGATAAATATCCCGCAACCCGTCTCCGATATACCTGTGGCGCCGCTTCCGCTGCTGTGTACCGGAGTTCAACCCATCCACCGCTCCATCTTGAGACAACGAGTAACGGTCCTCGGAGGTTGCGGCAGTACCAAGCCTGCTTTCAACATTTTTCCTGCTGTACGTCATCCCGTGTAGAAACGGTAGAAACGCTCGCTGCCTGGCTTGTGGCGAGTCTGGCGACAGAGCCGATAGTGACGATACCGGTCCGAGCACTCTTCGTAAGTCGTATATGTTTAACGGAACTTCCGCTATTTCCACTCCATTGACCACGCCGTTACCGAACACCAGGCACTGGGACAAATAATCTGTTCCAAGATTCGGTAAGATCGTGGTCCGGGTGAATACTATATACGCAGAGTGGGAGACATGACGCCATACTGAATCATTTTGCCCATGACCATGGATTTTTTTGGCAGTGGTACCGGATATTTCGGCGCACACACTTGAAGTTATGATATCTGCATGGTTAGATTTGCTGCATATACGTAACAAAGGCAGGTACGTAATACGTGTTGGCGTCGGGCGAACACACTTGCAGGGGGGATCTGCAAGCCAGCCAGATCCAGTGTGACGACGGGCGACCAAGCACAAGGAAGGACGATGCACTACGAGGAAGGCTTTTCTTTCGGCATTCAAATGCAGCCGGTGTTTCGCCGTCTTCCCTACCATCCCCCATAAGCTCTAGTTTTTGCACATATATATAGCCACTGACCATCCCGCATTCGTTCTTCTCAACTCTCCGCACGGTTTATCTCCGTTACCTTCGACCACAGACGTCCCCTTCTCAATTCAACGTCCGCAACCTCAATCGCACACCCGCACCATCAGCAGCATATTCCTTAAAGAGACGCAAGCATCAGCAATTTTCGTTGGGGCGGCAAGTTTACAAACATACCCATAAGTTATCGCAAGATATCCGACGAGCCATATCCCGAAACAACCCGTCACTTACAGTCCAGCTACCAGCGCCGATTTTCGAGAAAGATCGAGAACGAGTTACACCCCAAAGCCAGCAAATCCACCGAAAATGGCGAGCTCCGAAAACTACTACATACCGCCTGTCAGCAGTGGCAACTGGAACTCGTATTTTGACAGCGAGTCTATCTCGTCCAACTCCTCAATGTCCACCCGCTCTCCCTCACCAGTACTATCCCCAACCATGTATCCTCCATTCTTTAACGACGACGATGGAGGCTGGTCAACAGATAGCCCATCTCCACAATTCACACTGAAAAGCCTACCACGATCACGAGGCAGCAGTCGCCGTGGCTCCACGTCGCCACGTCGAAATGGACACATACAGCGTGCCACGTTCCGATGGCAACATTCTCCGACGGCGTCTATGGTGGTGGTGACGGGCACCTTTGATTCGTGGACGCAGAGCATACAAATGAAGCGGGATCCTGAGTGCGTAGACGAGTGGATCGTTACCGTGCCACTCGACCGGCGAGCACGACAGGTCTTCAAGTTCGTGGTGGACGGAGAATGGCGGTGCTCCTGGGCATTCCCAACAACGACGGATGAATGCGGCTACGTCAACAACGTCCTCGAGCCCAACGCTGACTGGGCAAGCGAGCCGCACTGGGATGCGGAGAGGAAGAGCTCGTCCATAACACCGACGGGCGACGAGCCATGGTCGCCAACCGCGTCTAGCCAGTCCGCAACTGATATCGCCTGCCTGCCACCGGCTGTGGTGATGCAGTGGATGATGGCGGCACGTGGGGGTGAAGAGGATGATCTTGATGAGGACTGGTCCGATTTCGGGACAGCCGCCCAACGCATCCCGCGCCTGACTATATAGTGAAGTGTCGGACGCCCTCTGGCTTTTCGTGGTCTTCCTTGCTAGCATTGCGCTCCTCTGTCCTGGAATGCAGCGAGAATGTTGACCTAATGTACATAGATCCGTTTCCACTACTAATCACAATACTGCAATGGATAAGCATTTTTTACTACATTGGCGTAATAGCCCACTTTGCTTCCGTTTGCAATCTGATTTAATGGCCTTCGATACGCCAGCCCCCAAAAATAAGACGCTGTATAGACAACGGCTCCTGCGGCGTTGCCCAGTGACTTCCATTCTCACTCAGCTTCCTCCACTCGGGCATGCAACAGACCTTCCTCCTTCAACTTTTCCACCATCCTCTTCGCAAAAGGCATATCCTCCTCCCTCACCTCCCTTATGGTCTCCAGCTCATCTTCCTTCCCGCTCTCTTGATCCAACACTCGCTGAAAAGACGTCACAGCCAACGCAGGCTCCCCGAACCCCATCTGCGCCCTTCCCAGCGTCTGCCACCCTACAACCCATTCCGGCAAAACCTTCACAACCTCCTCCGCTTCCTTGACGGCGCGAAACCACTCTCGCCGCGCCATGAAAGTTTGAGCGCGCATCTCACGTAGATAGGATGTTTCCAAAGGCACATTGAATTTTAGCGCCGTTTGAAGGGACTTAGAAAGAGAGTCCACAAGGCTTAGGGCTTGCGACCAACGCGAGAGCGCATCAGCATATCTTCCAGCTTCGGCGAGCGTTGACCCTTCCTTTGTGAGTTTGCGGAACTGGGTCGCGGGATCTACTAGGAGCGGGGCGCTTCCGGCACGTGCGAGGGAGTATGTCGGGTCGTCTAGGAACGAGTTTCCGTTCTGTTCGTCGTCCGGGTCGTCGAATGCCGAGAACGGGACAGCTTCCCGACCAGTGACCGCTGAAGCCGGCGACCGCCGCTGCCTCTTCCCGTCCGTCTTCAGTGAAAAGGCGACCGGTTGTGCGGCCCTCTTCTTCCTCTCCATCTGCTGACCGTTGGTTGGGCAACCTGCACAGGCAAGATTCTCAACCTTTCAATTGCCTCCCAAAGCTGCCTCCCAAGACCTGCTCACTTGTGCCCAGTGCCCCGTTGAAACGCGTGCGTGCTTTGTTGCGGTGCGTTGGGTGCGTCGAGAAAGACGAGAAATACGTTGAGACCCTCGCTGGCCGACCTACGTCTTCTGGCCCTCTGTGTATATATGTATATGGACCTATCAGTGTAGATATCAACCGCTGCGCTGGCCATTCGGCTTTGCAACTTGCCGCTTTCGCCATGCCGCCCTGTGCTGTCGTTGTTAACGGCCTCCTTCGTTGCCCCGTTGCTCGCCGCTTTACCAACCTTCCTCGAACGGTTCTGCTACCGCTTCGATCGATTCGTCTAAAAACATCCGCAACGAACAACCGGAAACAGACGGACGGACATCCAAAGATTGTGCCGTATCAGCTCTCGGAAGCGGAAGCCCGTGAGGCCTTCCGGAATTACCATGAAACGTGGTATGCCTCCGCAGCGACAACACTGCGGGACGTTAAGGTCGAGAAAGTCCTCATTCCATTCTGGCTGTTTGGCGCCGAGTTTCAAGTCTATCTTGACTCAGCCCGATTGGGATTTGTTGACCGAGCAGATTTTGGTCGGCAGAACCCGCAGCAAACGCCGGCCCCGCGGAGACTTTTTTGGGAAACCAGGCAATTCAATGGAGAACGGTGGGGACAGTTGTCTTTTGACGGATCAGAGCAGGAAGCGCAGGCCTACGCATCCACACGATACCATCGCCGGTATGTCGAGGGGATGTCCGGGCCGTCTCTGTTGAAGCAAGCGCGACCCTACAATCAGGTCAAGATTGATCCCAGCGTTCAGCGGGACGAGTTTCGCGTGCCGGCAGAGATACACCAGGCGCTTATGATGGAGCACGTCAAAAGGAGCGCGCGGTATCAGGTGGAAGACAGTTTAAAGCGAGCTTATGGCGCCGACGAGGTCGAGGCCATCAAACTGTTCGTCAGACATGCTCCCAGGGGTCCACCGAAGCCTGTGTGGCTATCGTCCTATGTTTTCAACGGGACCTATCGGGGCCAAAGATTCCAGACGTTTGTCAATGGGGCAACGGGAGAAACGGGTGGCGAAGTGTTTTGGAGACCGTTGACAGCTGGTCTTGGTGCAGCAGTTGGGGCAGTCGGGGTTGCTTTGTTGGCGCCGTTTTTAGGGTTAGAGAGTTTCGCATTCCTGGCGGGGTGGAAAGCTCTACTTGCGGCGGTCCCTGGATACATGTTGGGAGTTTGGCGCGCCGGACAGAGGCCACTCAGAAACATCGGCAACGCCGAGATCGACCGGAGGGAAGAGGCGATGATGTTTAGGCAAAGAATCAGGTGGGATGACGCCGAGCCAGAGCTAGATCGTGGACCGAACCCAGGATCTCGACCCAACCCACCGAAACCGCCGCCACCGCCCAAGCCTCGTCCGTCGCCCGGGCCCCGTGACAAACTGGGCTATTATGCTAGATTGGGAATACCGACGAATGCTAGCGCGGACGAAATCAAGGCGGCATACAGTCGACAGGCTCTGCTTATACATCCGGACAAAGTTCCACCGTTACAGAAAGCGCAAGCAACGGAAGAGTTTCACAGGCTTCAGGAAGCGGCGAACGTCTTACGAGATCGTGAGTAGATTTGTCTTTTGCATAGGAGGCCGGGCCAGAATTTGGATTCACCTAAGTCATACGATGTTGCCTTCCTAGCCAAGAAACGAAGAGAATATGATAGGAGCTGATGCGGGCTCATGTGGACTTTCCTACCGCAAAGGGCTTCAACTAGGGCCGCTCTGTACAGTACACATAGAAATCGCTAGTAATACATAGAAGATTCGTCTCAGACTTTGCATCATTCTCCATTCATGCCAATCTCTTGATCACACTCTGGCGGGTGATATATCATCGGACGGCGTCTTGGCATCAGTCTATTTCCTAGCGTTTTTGCATCATGGGGAGTGAGCAGCAACCAAAGAGCTGCGATTGATACATCGTGTTTATTAGCTAATGGCTATGCTACCCGCCCGCTCAACCCGACGAACCAATCGCACTTCAGCACGTCCTCCGTCGTTGCCCGCAATATGGGATCTGGCTCCAACATACGCTCAATGATAGCCTTTTGAGCCACGCTTATTTGATGTAACGGTGAAGGGATGGATGACTCTACATAATATGTGGTAGTTGGGGTTGCAGGTTTCGGATCGGGCCATTTAATGGAATATGCTGATGCGGAGGGTGCTGGTCTCGCATCTCCTTTACCATCTTCGCCACTTGGGAGGTCAGGAAATGGATCTAGACCCCCGGTAGCAATGTTGAAGAAGAGGATGCCGAGAGCCCAGATGTCCGCTTCCGGACCCGAATATCCGTTCCCCAATAGGATTTCCGGCGCAGAAAACGGCCGCGTGCCATATACCGTGAATTTGCCGCCGCGTTGAGGATTTGCATCCGTTCGAACGCGATCGCCGTCGACATTTCGAGGTACAGAATATGAAGATGCATTGCGTGAGGGTGGTGGTGGGTATTTGCCTCCGGCCATCGCATCAGGGCCATTGACCAAAACTTTCTTGGGGTCTCCTTCTTGGTCATGATCGGCGGTGACACTCGCATCCAAGCTAATCCTATGAGGGCGGTCGCGGGACCGCAAGTGTGGACCCTCATGGATGAACTGGCTCATCCCAAAATCGACTAACTTGATGTTGAAAGCCCGATCAACGATCACATTTTCTCCTCGGAAATCCAGGTATACAATTCCTTTCTCTCGCAATGCGACATAAGCGCTCAAGAGTTGGAAAGACAACCGCCGTTGTATCAGAGGATGCAGTATCCCGTACATGTACAAAAATTCGTCTAGATCACCGGGATGACCATGCCGGGGGCGAGCGAGGTGCGGAAGGGCGGGTTGTGTGTACTCAGACGCCCGTAGTGGAGGTTCGAAAACTGCGGACGACAAAAATGGCGCGTGTTCCCGAGTAGGACTGTCCGGAGGCGCCCCTGGGGATAGCGGATGAGAGAAAGATGGCACGCCGGAAGAGCGTGAAGGAAACTGTTCGGACGATTGGGAAACAGATGGAAAAGGCGTCCCGCGTAAAGTGGGTGGCGACGCGAACGGGCCAGAGCCGTTGGACATCCGTTTTTGCGACGACGCGAAAACAGTTTCTGTGGATTTCAGGCCACCGTCTTCCGGCAAATCAACGGGTGTCGAGAAAAACGCTGCCGATGAGTCTTCGCGTAGCGGGGAGGGCGGGGGTAGCTTCGTGACGGGACTGGTTCGGTTGGCTGTCAGAGTAGAAGATCCTTGGGAGTGTGAGCTTGCGACTTCGTGGGGCGGTGTACACGGCGTCTGCGGTGCAGTTATGGGATGCGTTTGTGACCCACACGAAGGAATGCTTGGGATGGTATGTGAAAGGCTTGTCGTTGGGCGCAATGGGTCTGATGATGCAGGAACGAGGGTATCGGGAAGTCTGATTTCAGAACGGGCTCCTCGGGGTGGCTTCAAATGAAGCGCATGCGGGTGCTGAAGAGAGGATTCGGTGGGGCTTCTCCACTTCCCATCAGTTGGACTCTGTATGGCAGATGATGCATCAGAGCCCGTCACCGTCTGTACGTATGGAAGTGAAACTTGAGACCGACGCGAAGGCGACATCACTATTCTCGAGGTCTGAGCAGGCTCTGGTATCGAATCCACAGCTTTCAGGAAACTGTAGATCCGCTCCATGACAATCATGAAGAATGCTTCGTCGGCATAGAGGCCGATGAATCGCACGATATTGGGATGTGCAACAGTGCGCAGGATTTCTGCCTCCACAGGAACGAGAAAAGGATACGCCGGTGATTCGACAAGATTGGATGCAGGTACGCGATTCTTCCCCAGAAACTTGACGGCGACCCGAGTGGAGCCATCCCTTCTGTCGAGAGCTCCCGCAATGAAGCCATTGCCACCGTACCCGACGAGTTCTGTAAACAGATATCGGGCGTTCAGCTCCTTAGGGAGACTCTGTATCGTGTCGGCAAAAACTTGCATCACATTGTCCACTTCCCCTGTGATACTTTGCGCCGAGGAAACGAGACCACCAGCCACATAAGAGTTTTCACCTCCCGCTGTGTCGTCACGAGGGAGGAACGTGCTAGACGTTGATGGGGAGGCATACGGTGGTTGACTCTTCGACACTGCCGAGAAAAGTCTGGGATTGACATTCCCGCGATTCTTGCCGCCCGTATCGCCTGATCGAGTTAACGTGGCAAACGGGTTCTGAGGTGAGGTTCGCTTCGGATCGTAGGCGCCTGATCCACCCGGCTCAGGAGCCCATTGTTCCCACACCTCTTCTTCGTAATCCTCCTCATCCTCGTCGCCGGAATCATAAGTACCGTTACCGACAGATTCCTCCACATCATCACTATCATTATCACCGTGATCGGGGTCTTCTTCATCATTCAAATGATTGAAAGCTTGAAAGACGTCATCTGAGCGAGACCGCATCCTCTTCGCCCTGACAATGGTCCGCCCTGCAGCGTCTCTGTGAATTTTCACCCGCACGCGCTCCTCCGTAGAGCGGCCTTTCCTCTTGGTAAGATTCGCAAGAGAGAAGCAGCATGCCATAAAGTACTGCTGCAATCGCCTCCAAAACGCTAACTTCCTTGGTTTCCGTGGGCGTTGTTTCCGGCGCTTTCGTCGTCTTGGACGCGGTTTGATGGTAGTGGGATACTGCTCTCGCGAGTTTCCGGGGTGCTGGGAAAGGGTTGAAGATATAGGCAGCCTTTGTCGGGGTTGAGAGATCGCCACAGGAGGGGTGGCGGCAGGTGATTGCAGTGCTGAACTGGTGGAAGCGGACCGAGACCTTGTTTTCGCGCCCAAGCGACGAGACCGGGTCCTCTCCGAGCATCCCTTATCGGAAAGACCGTTCTCGACACCGCCGGAGTCGCCCTGGTCGGTCGAAGCTTCCCGCACGCGCAAAGGGATCGTTGGTGTGGGGGCGGAACGTAGTGCTACACTGCGATTCTGTCTTGGGGAGGCCGTGGCCGCGCCAATCGGGGGAGCTCTGTCGTTGCTTTCGTTCCAGGCGTGGAAAGGTGATATTCCCCGCTCGTATCCGTCCCCAGTCTCCTTCTTCCGAAAAATCTTCATCCCTGCTTTTCGCTTCTGCTCCTGCTCAAAGAAGGCTCACAAGCAACTGTATGCTCCGTTCTCGGCATCTAGTCCACGACGAGACGATACCACAGCAAATACGGTTTTCCACCGTCCGGACGAACTTCCGCCTATCTCCCGGTTGCAGCCGGGACAGCAGCCGTAGGTTCGTGATGGCGAATGCCGTTGAAGAGTCTCTGGGCTGAATCGTGTCTTAATGACGTCCCACGACTCGTTTCGCAGACGCGTACTACGTCTGTGAGCTTTAAGGTCGCTCGCTCAGCTCTCGCTTTTCCTCATTCTCGCCACATGGCCTTCACATTGAGAAGGGTGAGACCTGCGAGCTGAGGGCCTGCTGAGCGGACTTTGTATGTTCGCGACGCTTAACGGAGTGCCCTTTGAGGTCACATTGGCGTTGCTCCGTGCAGACACCGTTGCCTAATGAGGGCGAGCGAGAACGAAGCCTTCCACTCTCTATTTTCCCATGATGGACGGGTTTCGCGTTTCGCCCACAGACGGAGTGGTCGAGGATCCTATTGCGAGCAAAAGGCACCTGGAAGAGTTCCTTGATGTTGTGGAAGAGCTCTTGGACGCTGACGGAAGCGAAAAACTCACTTTATTGGACTTTCTGAGCAAGAGGTGCGTTCGTTCTCTTCCGCCATGCACCCTCGACGAATGTCAGACAGACACCAACCCACGCTAATCACCAAGACAGATCTTCATTAATCACAGTTAGACGTTATGCACTTATTCAAAGAGACCTGGATGTCGTGGACGTGCTTTCCGAAACTTTGTTGGAGTCGTTGGAAGCTGTTCGGAACGGGATCGACGATAGTTTGCACCTGAGGGTGAGAAAGTACGCGTGGTTTCGACCCTGATGGGTCAAATATACGCTCCATTTGCTGATAGTGTAACCTCATACCGAAATCTTTCTTCGCTCCAGGTCGCTCAGGGCGTTTTAGGGGTCTTGGAAAGCTTAGTAGGAAGCGAGGGGACCGCAGATACATCGGACGGGATTAGCAAACGAAATGCTACTATTGTTCTGCGTCATCCGAGCAAACCTCTGCGAGCGGTTTCCGATCTACTCGGGGTGGTATGCGCTATTGCCTCAGAAACTCAAGCTGGACAGAGGAAAGGCCTTGCGCGAGCGTGTGATCTCCTCAATCACGCGAGTGGCCTCGTTTCGCACCTCACTGCAAACGCCGGATGGTCCTTGGATGCGCTCCAAGGTCTGGGTACATATGACAAAGCCAAAGGCCTCTCTTCTGGGCAATCGATGGATGATGTAGTGGGGATGGTGTTACAGATTGTGACTGGCGAGCTCATCCTCCTCTCTGGAATGGACGGAAATCAACCACATCGTCTGTTTGAGACCTTTGAAAAGGTTCTTCAACTCTGGTTACAGACAGCAAGCACGGCAGTCGTTTCACCAGTGCTTTGGCTGCTCTTGGGTGCCGTTTTGAGATGTCAATTACCTGGGGCACTGGCAAATACGAGTGCAAGCACGACAACAGTGAAATGGATGTTGAGTCAGGGAGAATTGTACCTGAAAGGCCGCTCACTGACAGGGCAGGAAATTCAACGCGCACTTGAGCGCCGTGGGAATAGTTGGGTATCGATTATTTCCATGTTGACAACAAGCCTTCAAAAAGCGCGGGTCCTACCCCAACCCGCGTCGACCTTCGTCAAGCAGAATGTTGCAGATTTGTTCGCGTTCTATGTGAATGTGAGAGGAAACCATACGCACCTGCACAGTCCGCCTGCAGCAGCTTCACTCTCGATGAAACAGATGCGTGCCAGTCCGACTGCGTACTGCTCGATTCCCACCAATTTACAAGATTGCATGCACAGGGTCAAAAGTCTGCTCACCGTACATTTTGTTTCGGACGTCAATGACCTCGCCGCCCATATCGCGGATGTATTGCGGAATCTTGCAATCCTGAAGTTACCACATTGCTCTATCGGGGATGAACTCATATCTCTCCAAAAGGACTTCAACTGGGCCATTCACCACGAAGAGCGTTGCAGCTTGTATCCATCGCCGATGAGCAAGTTTGGAGTTTTTTCCATGGAGGACTTGCATGCGTGCGTTGTTTTCGCATTGGACGTATTCAGCAAGTATTGCTTGTTGGCTGCGGGTGCTGGAAAATCGCTGGCTCCGTCGCTGCAGCTTCCAGCTGCACAGCCATCTGCGGCTCCTACCTCTCCTGCGGCTGGCATACTGCGCTTGGGGGTTGCGATTGTTTGTACAGAAGATGCATGTATGGAGTCGCATGAGTGCGCGTCAGCGGGAAGCGAGCATGAAATTCTGAACGAATCAGTAGATGGGAAAATGACAGCACTCCTCCTGGACATCGCGAAACGCTGCCAAGATCAGCTACTGATTCCATTCTTCAGGGAACCCATGCGATGGAAGTTGTTCCCAGCGGTTCTGCTGAAAGAAGTCAAATCAGCAAGACTGAAAGAGGCCTCGAATTCGAGTAAGCTCGATTGCGGGGGAATACTTCCAGCTGCGGCGAGCCCATTATCGTTGTTACCTTCACTGAGACCTCCCACACGATCGAATATCGCTCGTGAGCCGATGAAAGCATCTTCGGAAAGTTCATTAGCCTTGAGCCCAAGGCTCAGCGGTTCCTCTGAGATACTTGGGGGCACTTCAGCCGTTGCGCAGCGGCCCGCCATGATGGAAGAGCCGCGGACTAGATACATGGAGGTTCGGCTTCAAATCCTTGAAGGCATCCTTGGTTCTCTTCGAGCATTTAATGGTCGCAGATCCAGCGTGAACCTCAACCGTCGTCCAAGGTCCGCCAGCGCCTCGCCTTCTTCCCTTTTGAGACCGCATGATCCTTCGGCTGCTTCCATAGCAACGTTATCGGGCGGTAATTTGCTTGATGATGCCGATGTACCAAACAGTGACCGCTCGGAAACTGCAGGCGAGATAGCCTACTTTCTGGATAACGGTGAGTGACGTCCTGCTGTGCGATTTGCGGTTTGACTTCATCACTCATATCACCTCCCGCCAACAGATCTATCCTCGTTCCTAGCGGACCTGCATAAATACCTCCTCTATCATCGAAATGCGAATAACGCCATCTTCCATGATCATTTGCGGGAAGCCGTGCCCTATCTTTCCTCACTTCTGAGACCTCCAGATGCAACCCGACGACCTGCACCACCGGCAATGCCACCACCAGGCGGTGCCGCCAAGTTGCGAGCTCGGAGGCTGCAACCCCTTGGGAAACCGGGCGGCTCAGGGGAGATAGAGATTACAGGAAGGATTACGGTACCGCGACTGAGCAGTACCTCAAAAAGCGACCTTCCTTCGCAATCGTCTCCGCCAGGCGGCTCGTTCAATGAGTCTGTGTACGTTTTTGGAGCCCGCGGTTTATCGTCTAGTATATTGGATTCTCATGTGTGACGATTTGAATGAATAGTATACGAACTTTGGAGTTTATGCATTTTGAGCCCCGCACGTTCCCTCCGCACTTGTGTTGTTTCAAATTGGGACTGATTATGCCCTTTCAGGGACAGTTGGATTATGTTGACTTGGTTCAGCAATCGATTTTACGGGTTGGAAGTGCTGCTATCATGATAATAGCTTACATCTGATGCGTATTCCGACCTTTTAATTTAGAATTTACATGTCCTATTGGACGTTGACGACTCTTCTCAATAAGGCTGCATGAAAGCGCCGCAATGCACAAGCATCATCAGTGGTCAAGTTCTCTACCGGACAGACCCATGGCGCCCTCACCACTATTTGCCAGCGCCATGTACCGCCAGCAGGCCTGAGAGGTCCATCGATGTGCCCTGACGCTCCTACATGAGGTCCCAGAGTTGGCCACAGTGAGTCCTCATTCCAGAATTCTCAAGGGCATGCATCCCATGAAGACACGTACATTCTTGTAACTCAGCATCAGCTCCTTGAAAGCAGTAAACTCCGCCAGGCTGCTCAGAACATCAAATACATCCCCATCTAGAGCTTCCTTCTGAGATCTACCGCGTTCCAAACGGGTCACTGTCAGTTCTTTTGTCAAGTTGTCAGCAAACGCAAACTGGGTCCCACTTCATCATCATCAAAAAGGTTGACATGCTGAACCAGCTCAGCCGCGCCTTCAACCGCTTCTCTATAAATGTTTCTATGAGCTTCACCTGGAGGAGATGATGAGCTTCCATCGGTCGCAGTGCAGACATGGAATCTCACCAAACAGACGCGTACATAGCTGTGAAAGAGATCGGTGTAGACATGCTTGTTCTCCTCGTCATCGGTAAAGACATCGCAGTTCTCTGCCATGAACGTCTCCTGTAGCTCAATGAAGTATGGGTCTGATGGAGCGGGTTGAATCAGCACAGGGTCCAGTATGAATTGGTATGTCTCCTTTAAAATGACGTACGTACCCATGAGCATATCTTCTAGCTCACCCACAACCTCGTCGAATTGGACATCTGCACTGCTGCATTTGCTGAAAGGCCAAGCGGAATCAGCGTTTGATCAGGGCAATGCTGTTGACCTGGCTTCATGCGCTTTAATTATGGAAGCTAGTTCTGACACATGGCGCGCGCAGTTTCTCCACCCACCTGCTCTTGGCCACCACCTCTTCCCCTTCCCCGTCGCCTTCTCTCAAGCTACGCGTCGAGCCGACGCGGCTACTCGAACCGAATCGGATGTCCTCCCCATCCACATCGAGATCTAAGTCTGGTCACGGCAAAAGGATTGTTGGTCACCTCTGCATTCCGCCGCGAGCCGCGCATTGGACGATACGAAGACTGAACCTACCTACGCGGGAGGCAGTTGCGGCCATTTCGGAGCTGATGTTGGTGAGACTGAGGTGTGTATCGTCCTGAGTAGAATGTCCTGGCACGGTCGTGGTTTGAGCAAAGTTCCGTAACGTGGGTCCCGGAGTATCGCTGGCTCCTGACACTACTGGGGTGATCGAGCGTATGCAGCTAATATATATGCCTGAGTAAGAAGGATGCTTGTCGTTGGACTGGCGTAGTTCTGGCGTTGGACTGTTGAAACTGGACGGAGCGGGGCAAGCGTGACAAACGGGGCAAACACACGATAGTACGCGTCTCTACTACGCTTCTTGAGCCTTCCAGCGACCCTTGGGAACGCTCGCCTGCGCTGATCCCACCCTACGACTCGGTTTGGAAGGTAAGGAAGTTGTATTTGCGGAAGAGAGAACACCACGTCCCATCTTCGCTCCCGTCTTTATGCCCACCACGCGCAGTATCGGCTCGCTCCTCCCACTCTTTCAACGAGTTGAATTGCGATCAATCCTCAAATTTGACCAACGCAGTAGGTATGTGAAATGTGTTTCGTATCGAAAGGTACATATGATATAGGGATACAATGGTATGAAGATGCTGAATGTTATGATGGGGTATGCAATGAAGATGATATGATGAATGGTATGCGAGTGAAATGTCTAATGTATGTGTGGATGCTATAGGCTAGCTACAGATCCCTCAAACGAGTGTTCGAACGGCGGGTCTTGTCGAACTGTGGCCGAGACGGGGGAAGAAGTGCCTCTAAGCGCCCAAACGAGCCTCCTTGATGCACTGCGTCAAGGTGTCCTCGGATTTCCATCCGCAGAGCAGGGACTTGTTGATGTAACCACATGAAGCTTTCTTGAAGCATTCGAATTCCGGTTTCCACGCGCAGCTCGAGGTGGCGGTGGAGTCCTTGGGGACACAGAGTTCGGAGTTGCATCCGGCCACCTTGCATCCGGCCTCCTTGGGCACGTCGGCGTCGGCCTTGGCTTGCGTGATGCAGTTGTTCAACTCGTCCGACTTGGCCCATCCGCAAGACTGGGTGTTGTTGTCGAACTCGCAGGAGGCGGCGGGAGTCTTGAAGCAGGCAAACTCAGGTTTGTAGATGCAGATACCCGGGCGGTCGGGGCTGGAGGCCGCGACACAGAGTTCCCCGCTGCATCCCGTGACTTTGCAAAGGGGTGTGGGTTTGGTCGCCGGCGCCGTCTTGGTCTCGATGCATTTGGTGAGCTTCGGGGTCATCTTCCAGTTGCAGGATTGCTCGCGAGCGTTGTACTGGCATGTGGCGGTCTTGAAGCACTCGTACTCGGGCTTCTGCACACATCCACTGACGCCGGGTTCGGCATTGGAAGGCAGACACAGCTCAGCGCTGCATCCAGCGATCTTGCAGTGCTTGGCGGAGGCGGCGTCGATGGCGGAGGCGGACACACCAGTGAAGGCGGTCAAGGCAAGAATGGCAAGAGTAGTGAACTGCATCTCGAATGTCTTTGATGGACGGGCGAAGAGAGGGTTGAGGCAGGAGTGTTGAGCGGTGCGGGTGTGATGAGTGCTGCGATGAGGGCAAGAGGAAAGGGGGGCCCCCCTTTTATAGCCGATCCCTGTCCTGCATTGCTGCGTACGTTGCTGCGTTGATGCGCTGCCATGCAGTGAGAGAGGCATCAGCTTTTTGCTTTTTCGCTTTGTAGCTCAAAAGGGCCGGAAGTGAGTATGCTTTTTCTTTTTCTTTTTCTTTTCCGCCTTCCGCCCAAAGCTGTAATAACTATACGTCCTTTCGCTTGGGAAGCTCAGCGCGCAGCTGTCAGCCGGGTTAAGATGCACATTCATGCTTGCCATCTGCCCCGTCACCCGATGTGGGGTAAAGACAACAATACATACCTGCCTGCCGGCCCCCGGGCAGTGCCGGCCGTCTTCAAAGTTTTAGACAACTTTTACGCAGTAACCCCACTCTGTGACATGTGCGCAGTGGGGTTCATTTCAGGCTTTCAGCACGGCTGAAAGCCACAAATGAGAGAAAAAAACGATCTGGCCGGGGCCCAGCCTCCGAATCTAGGGAAAAAAAAGATGCCGGAAAGCGTAAAATGAAGCCAACAACGCGTTGCTCACGCGTCGGTTGTTCCGCCCGCGTACAAGCGGACTTTTTTGAGTTCGAGGCTCAAAATTAAATGCTCGCTACGTGGATCCTTGTCTTTGCAGCTACAGCCTAAGCTTGCCGAACTGCAACGGGTTCCCACCAAACTGCGGCGCTGTGCAAATCTGCCACTCTAATGCGGAAGTGGTGGGAGTCCCCGGTGTAGAGGAGCAGGACAGGGAGGACAGGAAAAGGACCCACCAGATTGCGAGTCTTTTTTTTTGCCATGTGCGGGAATGTGGGAGCCATCAGAGCAGAGGACAGCGTGGCGAGCTGGGGCCTCACAGGTTTCCGCGCTGTGCGAACCTTCTAACGCGATGTGCAGGGTGGGAAGCCACCAGCGCAGAGACAGCGTAATTGAGCTGGGGACCAACAGGTTACCGCGATGTGCGTGCTGTAACGCGATGTGCGGGAGTGTGGGAGTAGAGGCCTCCGAGATTTGATCTCCTAGGCTACCGCCGGCAACCTTTGGACAGTCTTCATGCATGTAATAGCAGCATATCGGCAGATTCCTTTCGTCGGGGGGTTTTTTTCTCGTTCTCTCCAGTCCTTGCACATTTGCCAAGGTCGTATGACGAGCTTTTCGCATGATCATGCGGGGTTCAGCTTGAGCGCCGCGCATGTCATTGATTTACATTCAGTGTCTCGACTTGGGTATCGGATCTATTCGTTGGGAACCCATCCTACTCATCAATGTGCAGCTGAGTAGGTCCAGTCATGGGCACGGTTTTCCGTAGATGATCTATATGCTGATCGAATCTACGTGTAAACTGTCGTAGGACCCGGCCAGCTTCCATACTATGAGCCTCCTACCACTACCGACACGGCTTGAAAAGTTACCGCAGCCGAACGCCCGAGAGCCGATTCATGCGTGCGCCATCTTAATTTTGAGGGCGGGCAAACGGCTGCGGGCTGAAGCTGCCTGAACGCTGAGGTGTCCCCGCGATCGTTTTATTTGCACACACTTCCGAAAATGAAGTGAATAATGGGCGTCCCGGGCGGCGTGCCCTCGTACTAGGCACATTGGGTAACACTCCACGTAAATAGTGCGTCAATGTTACGAACGCATTTTGTGCAGTGCTCGAAGTGTCAACTGCGATGATACCAACAGTCCGGCGCCCCAGAGCTTAATCCACCGCGCGAATGGAGTTTACTGTACTCAGCAGCGTGAGGTTCGGGGCAGAGATACGTCTCAGCCCTACCTATCCTCGGCGAGTGGTTGGCTTCCTTTTTCTCCGTCCTGAACCCTTGGAAGTCGTTATGAGCTCCATGTCGAAAGGCTGTTCTTTCTCCACGCGCTCACAGATCTATTGTTGTCTATATACAGGACTATGCGCTATGAATCTGACATTAAAAAGCATTCTCCGGAAGAAAGCACGCTCAATGTGTTACGGCAATAACGACCGTCCCTCGGGGACCGGCACTCGCCCAGTTTTGCACACGTCGTCCAAAAAGAGTTGCAGACGGGTGGCTGCGGCCACCGCGTCTGCGGGTATCATGGGCATGTAGACGTCCCGAATGTAGACGATCATCTTCTCAGCTTGTTTGCCGAATCGCGGTAGGAATTGTGATCCTGCCATCTATAAGAGAGGGTAGGAGGACACACAGTCCGGCGCGTCAGGAACCATTTTACGTTGCGGGGAGTGATGAAGATTGATGTGCCGTACCTCCAAAAACCGCAAGATCAAGCCGGGTGACACGCGCCTTGGCTTCATATTCAGCATCCGCGAGAGCCATATCCACGCGAAATCTATTCCATGAATGTGCGGTACTGTTTTCAAAGCGCATGAGAATTAGCCAGAATGGCCGCAAAAGAATCGTGGGTTCTTAGCGCGGTGCTTACCCGAATCCGTTTGTACAATAGCCGCATAAAGCGCAAGGATTCCGCCCATTCGCTCCGCGTACTGAGCTCTCGTCTCCCACTCGACTATTTTCCTGTAGCCTAATTTGAGACGGAAGTCGTCGTCGGACTCTCCCTGAAATCGACGTCGTAGTCAGCGTGAAGTGGGAATTTCTGGGGGCGGAGTCGGTCCACTTACTTTTAACCGAGCAGGAAAATATGGAACAACGTAAGGACATCGTTTCGACATTTTGCCTAGCAAAATGTCCAGAAAATCTGGATGCGCATTATAGAGCATGATACACAGAATGGCGAGCGGGAAAGCGGTGTCCATCTTGACGGCCACTTCGTTTTCGCATTGTTTCTGGAAAAGGTTTGGAGTGTGAGCGACCACATATGTGCCCAGAGGAAAAGTCGCCCTGCTCAACGTACTATAATCTGCTTTGCCAGGATGTCCATGCATAGCCTATACGCCTCCGAGCTGACCGACTTGGCGCCTTTCAATACTTGGTCGATGTCCTTTGCCTGGAAAGTAACCGTTAGGATGGGATGCTTGCGCTAGAAGAGACTTGGTTTGCCCTTACAATCTCAATAATCTTCTTCTGGGAGTTCATTACTTGTCCCAAACGACGCGTGAAGGTCATTTTCGCCTTGAAAACGGCATTCGTCATGTTTGAGTTCGTTCCGGATTTGAAAAGCGGTTTGAGGTCTGCTTTGATGCTCTGAAAACATGTGCAGTACGCGGTCAGCGTTTTCCGAACTTTATTCTTGAAAGAGCCTTATCGCGGTCGCGTAACTTACGTCGATGAGCGCCATTCGCTCCTTCGCTTTCTCCATCACCTCGTCAGGCATGAACTTGGACATCTGAAGACACGAGCGAACAATAAGCTTTGCGTTTTCCCTCCGGTACAGTTCGGACCGACTCACCGCTGCTGCTGCTTGCGCCGTTGATTGTTGAGCGGCCTGGGCGGCAGCTTGATTTGCCGCGTCCTGTGCTTCCTTTGCTTCAGTGGCTCTCTGCTCATCGGCCTTTCTCGCGGCAGCCTCAGCTGCCTGCCGTCTCGCTTCTGCGTCAGCTTCTTGCTTTGCAAGGGCATCGGCGGCCGCCTTCCTTTCTGCCTCCTCCTTGGCCTGTTGTACTGCCCGCGCCGCCTCTTCCTTTCTCCTCTTCTCGGCCTCCAACCTCTCCCGCTCTTTCCGTTCTCTCTCTTCTAATATCCGCAGCGCTGCCTCAATGCTCTAGGACAAGTTCAATATGTCAGTTCTAATTCAGTATTGGTCGCCCAACCTCCCGGTGTTCCACCTTTTGATGCTCATTCAGCGTGGTGCGAAACTCAACCTCCAGCTGCTGCCGCACTTTCTGTGCCGCTGCATCCTCCTGCGCAAGATACGGCAGTAACACTTGTTGTACCGAAGTGAGCTGTTGTTGGGTTTCGTGGGGTGCAACCGGTTGTTTCGCCATCAGAGTTCGTCGGAAAGCGAGGTGTTTCTCCCGTGCACTCTGAGACAGTTCCAAATGATGAGCATCGAACCCCAGGTGTCAAAGGCTTCCTCAATACCTTACTTCAAAGTCCTGCTCCTCCTTCGCCCGCGCCGTTACACCAAGTGACATGTTTGCCAGTTCGGCTGAAAGCTCTCGTCCGGGGTCGCATTTTCTTTTTATCCTAGCCTGTTCCCTCGCGCACTTATGCGCTCGCCTCACCTCCGCTTGTGTCGGTGTTCGATTCGTGAAAGGCTTTATGGGACTGGTGTACAGGACAGGAGAGGTCTGTCTTAGGAGTCCACTTTTGAAGCAGGCAACCTACGGCTGCTTCACTGACGTACCTGCAGCCTGTTCTGGACGCTGGCGATGACAGAGGGTCGCCAGCGCTGCCTTCGTCGTCAGAGGCCTCGGCGTCAAAGTCTTCATAGTAACCGAACCTCATGTCTGACGTTGTCTTGCGTGTGTTCGGGGATGGCGGACGATGGCCGAACTGGGCAACAGAAAGCTTGGGAAACGCAAACGCAAACGCAAACTTGGGAATCCCGCGAAGCCGGATACGCGTCCGCCGCTGTCATTTTCGTTCATCATCGGCAATCTTTGGCGAGTTACTGCATCTGCTACCTTTCCCAGAAAGAAAGAAGAGAACTGCATATATGACATAGATGCTTGGAATGGAGGGGGTTATACCAAACTTAACATGAGACGATGTCATACTCACTAGCTGCGTAAAAGGCAGAGAGCTTCGCCCATTGAAATCTCTGAACATCAAGTTTTCCGTGAAAACCTTTTGTGATCTGTGCAAATGGCAACGTGCGGGAACTCATTTTATACAATCGTAGCTTGCATTGAGAGGAAAACTCTGTGCAAAAAGCTCTTCATATGCGCTGGACAGATAAAATACCCAGTTTTCCGTTCCCCGTTGCGCCTGCTACATGAAAGTCTTTGATGATCTGAGTGGCTGGCAACATACGGGGGTCCACGCTTTATATTTTCACTAGCACACATCGTCTGTAAAATTCCGTAGGCAAAAGCTTCTATATGAGAGACTAATAAATAAGCTTCTGGTATCGCTTGTGTTGTATACCCGGAGGAGGAAGAAGAGGCGTTGTATATAACCAAAATATCGATATCAGGGTTTTGCGCCCTAGCTTCTCGAGAGGTTAGACCTCACTCGCAATGCAATGACGTGTGGGGTCGGAAGGTATTGGACGAGGATTTTGACTGCATGGACTTGCGCTTCATTCTCTCTTGGTCCGGGAAGTGCTGGAAACGCAGACTTAGAAAGGGCTGGGTGCTGAGATTTTTGCAGTTGCATGTGGACATGCAGGTCGGGCCATGGATAGTGCTATGTGTGTGTGACAACGTCCTCCTGTGAGCCGACTGGGGGTCCTCTGACGCGAAGTCGGTGCGCAATCCCCAAGGGCTCGGTCGTTTGCTGCTGCTGCTCCACGGTTTGATACAGTATAGTCGTCCCAATAGTAGTGTCCGTTGGTTCCTGGCTCCTCTCGATATCGTTGCGCTTGTTTATCGCCCACGTCCTAGAGCGCTCCATTCCCAGATATTGTCTAATGCTCACACACCGACGTTCACTCTTGCTCAGAGCTTGATATCCGTTATATGCGTACAAGAAAAGATCGCTCTTAGTTGAGAATCGTGAAGGTAGCGATTCCAGCCAGTCATTTAAGATGGTCAAGCTCACAAGAGGCCACCCGGGATTTCGACCGCTCTGGAGCCATAAACGAGAGGTCACCCTAGGCAGGCATGGCCGCATGCTTCCCCAACTCTCGTTGCGACCCTAACCAACATCCCAACAAAACAGGGATCGGCGATATGCGAGTTACCGCACATCAGATACTACAGCACCCAGTATTCCTACTGACTGGGCCATCACCGGCTTAACTTCGGAGATCGGACGGGATCCGTTGCTTTCTGGTGTGTATAGCCGTAGCTAGCCAGTTCCACAAAAGAGGTTTGCCAAAACAAAATCCAACGTCCCAACAAAAGCGTCCCAACAAAACAGCTAATCCCTGAGCGTAGCTAGCGCAACATGTCAAACAGCCAACCGCAAATGAGTCTATCCCTCCCGAGCCAAACGAACCGTGTGCCGAACTGCCAAGAGGGCTGAATATCTATTCGTATGCAGTTTGCCGCTTCACAATGTGCGCCAACATCAGGAATCGCCAAAGCCAACAGCAAGCAAACCAACAGCAACCAGCCTAACACACACGAGCCAAAATGAACGTATTCCCCCAGTACCAAGAGCGCCTTCGTCCGCTCGGATGCCAGCATTAATGAGTATCACTGGCGTAGACGCAGCATTCTCGGACCGTGCGCCACGCTTAATTCATTCCAATTAGCGATAGTCATATCGGGCAAAATGGAAAGATCGATTTGATGCTCAGTCAAGAGCCTCGAAACTCCTTCTGCACCCGGTACATTCGCCAACTCCAGGGCAGCCCTTGGTCCACAGTTGCACCATCAATTCATCTGCAGCTCCAGCCGGGTTTGCTGAAGCCGCTTGCTCATCCGCGCTCGCCGATGCACCTGCAACTGCAGCCTGATCTGCTGCCGCTGCTCGGTGCGCATCTGACTCCAGATCCAGCCCTGCTGGGGAGACGGGCAGGCCGGTATCCGTCGTTAAGTCGTCGTTCCTCTGCAATCAACGCGTCGAATGGTAAGGTCCCGGACAAGGTTCGCAACCAGTTCACAACGCGTCTCCTCTTATATACCTTTTGCAGTTCAGCTCGGACTCCATTTTCAATTCAAGTTGTGCCTCCGCCTGGCCCCAAGTAACAGGTTCCATAACTGCTTCTGCATAACTGGGTACTGAAGACAAAGACTCTTGTCGACTTCCCTTCTGAATGAATAGCAAAGAAGTTTCACCGCGGCGCTCAGTTCCAATGGCCACCGCTGGTGCCTCCTCCCCAACTTATGATACCGACGAAGACGATGACCTCCTTCTCAGTCTCGCCAACGAAGCTACAAAGTTCAGTGATGACGTCGGGTCGGTTAGACCGCTGAAGGGGAAAAAGAAAGTGGCAAAGCCGACGAAAGGTATGTTCGTTCTTTGGGCTGCTTTACTAGTTCTGGCAACTGAAGACTATTCCCCGTCCTAGTCGTTGTGGACCCCAAACTTGACGCACAGCTTAGGGAACTCGAATTCCTTAGAAAGGAGAACAAGAAGCTGAGGGAGAAGGCTATGAAGGATAAGCAGGGCTCGCAGCCGCCGGAGCTTCCTCGGAAACGGAAACAGCCGGGAGATGAAGCAACGTCACGCGGCAATACCGAAAGCACGAATGACTTCGGGGCGTTGCCTCCAGCGGGCGGCTCAACGGGACCTTTGCCGGTAGCTGATCAAGCATCAGCTACGAAAGTGAAGATGAATTTTGCTGAGAAACTGGCAGAGAACCGACGGCGCCAGGTCGCAGCGGTCGAAAACGCGACGGTGGTCAAATCCGAGAAGTTTGCATCGACACGGAATCAGAAGGAGAGCGCTGTTGACGTTGCTTCTCAAACTGGGAAGAAACAGCGGATTTGCGATGAGGGACTTGAAGAGTTTTCTGGGTTGCGGCTGAAGTATGTCGATCGGAGTTTGCTGCATCTTTGCCCCCGTCTCAGTTGTCTAACAAACAATCTAGGGAGTCCCGATTGGTGCCTTCTCAGTTGCTCCGATCACACATGCAGGGCCGGCGTATGGTTGCCCTTCCTGACATTTCAGCTTCGCTGTGCGGGAACGACATTGACGGCGACTGGGTCACCATTGGTGTGCTGTGCGAGAAGTCGTCCGTACGGACCAGCGCAAAGGGCAGCAAGTACAGCATCGTGAAGTTGACGAATCTGGGGCGGGGGATGATCAATGTGTTTCTTTTCGATGACGCTCACTCCGCACTCCATGGAGAAATTCTGGGAAGTGTGGTTGCGATCTTGAATGCTGGGATATTATTACCTAATGAGGTGCGGAGTGCGCTCACTTCTAAGAGGGACATGCGCGACACGCTGATGCACGATTTCATAACACTTGCAGAGAGGCACCACGCTTGCGCTGAATCTGAACAATCCGGATAAATGGATCAAGATCGGCGATACAAAGGATATGATCTTTTGCAAAGGAGCGCAAAGTCAAGGAGGGAAATGCAACGTCCCATTGGATGGGTATGTGAAGCTTACTTCGGACGATTGGTCTTTCACTTCCAGACTAATATCGCCTGGAACTCGTTGCACCTAGACGGTATCATAGCTATTGCGACTTGCATGCAGAAGCGGTGTTCAAGAAAGCTCGATTAGGCCGTCAAGAGTGTATCAGCGGGTATTACCTCGAACCGTATATGTACCTGTTTGCTACACGTTGTTTATGCCTTCGTCTCCACTCCAGGAACGCGGTTTTTGCTCTCGGCGACCCAAAACAACGGGTCTCATCCGCAAAGGCCCGGTCCTGGAAATCAAATAGCACGTACAACCTCCCCGGAGGACAAGCCCTCTCGACAGGCGACACGGGCATATCGGTGATCCAGCCGTGCAAAGCAGGGAGGAAGCTGAAACCGGAAGAGCAAGCAGATTTGTGAGATACAGCTGATGTTCGATCTGTCATGCTGTGTTCTGATGCTTTGTTTCTTGATGCATTCCAGAGCAAAGATGGTGGACTCAAACACGCCCGGTGCGCGATATTTACAACTCGCCCGCAAGATTGAAACGGACGATAATGGTATTTGAAAGAGTCATTGGATGGGGACGGTGACCGGCGTTCCTCACCATCAGATTTCTAGGCATTACAAGGAAAGCGATCCCGACGCGACCCATTTTCACATCACAGGCCATGAGCCGAATGGGCTTTGATCCCATTTCGGGCATGCAGTTTGTACCGTCAGAAGCGAAGGAGAAGCGGCGTATTGTAACAGCGGCGGCGGAAACACAACATGAGGAGGCGGACGTAGATGCGGATTCCGTAGAGCTAGTGCTGTCTAGCGATGAGGAGTATTGACCGTCTTTGCGCGAATGCAATTTTGGGTCTGAGTAGAGAGGCTAACCTGTGGTTCACGCTTCGTACGGAACCCACCCTTTTTGGACAGCTGGCGTATTGAGAGATTTCGTCAACAACGCTGCTTTACATATTTACATTCCGCTGGTGTACACTGCCGATGTCCTGCAAATGAAAAGCTCGTTGTCCTGTACGAACCGACATAGCAACGCCCTAAGATTTGTCGTCCACCGAGGATCAATCGCTCGCAGACACACCGAGCCAAATCGAATCGTACGCTGATGGTTGTCGAAGTCTTTGCGCAGTGATTCACTGCTCATTTGATTTAGGTACGATAAATTACAGGGCTTGCGATGGGTGCCAAGAAATGTACAGGAAGGAATCCTTCACTTGACAGAAGCCGAGTGGTATGATTAAGGTTCAGTGAGGTAGGATCGCTTTCGGTGCACCGATGAACGAGGAAAGGTCCTCGGAATGCATCTTCTATCAAAAAGGAGTTGCTCCGTGCGGAGGAAGCGTAAAGAAGGAGCGGGCGTAACATTCATCCGGATTGAGCAATATCTTCTTCCTGCAAACACAAGTTCAGATATCTGTACGGTTGACCAGCTCGTTCCCGCCAATTGGTTACGCACCAGTTGTAACCGTTTGCTTAGGCGGTTCACATCCTTCACAATCTCTGCTGCCGTCAAAGTCTCTGTATCCAGCTTTAGTGTCGCTTTATTGACTATGAAATCGATTGTCAATATCCACTCGAACAACATCGACTCTAAAGATCGCGGACGAAACCACACCATATGTGACCTCCACTGTTGGTTTCCGGACTTTATCCGACATGTTGATGACTACGTTGCATTTCGGGTTGCTTTGCCTGTTTCCGTCTGTTATGAGCTGTTGTAAAAAGCCTCTGTTTGCAGAACGTAAAAGTTGAACGGTGAGAAGCCACACATGGACATGCCATATGCTGCTGGAACATATAACGGCGACCTAAAGCGAATCAAAAACGGTTACCTTGCCGAGCGCGACTTTGGGTTCAGCGGCGCAAAGCTCACGACGACGTTGCTTAAGTATTTTAGCATTGTAAGCCAGGATGTGCTGGAGAATGTAATCGGCAAGGACGCAGTTGCATTGCAAGTGCGGAGGGCTGGAATTCAAAATCAAAGGAAGGCAGTTTAGCCATTAATCTCAGCTCCCAGTCACGTGCTACTCGTTTCCCATCGGAACTTCGGCTCCTTTCTTGAATTCGCACCTTGAAAGCAGTCAATTGGCAAACCAGAAGTCATCCCTTCATCAGGCTCCCACAAACACTCTGCACTTCTGCACTTCGTCAGGCAGTCGATCAGCACTCCTTCGTTAGCCAATTGCATCAGCTCTTCCTCGTTTAGTGGGCATTCAGTTTCCAAAGTCGATCCCACAACAACCCGTCGCCCTCGTTCCCGTCCCAACACATCCAACACTCCAGATATGGCAACCGCAGTCCTCATCGGCGCCGGTGTCGCTGCAGCGGCTATCGTCGGCCGTGCTGCCCTCAAAGCGTCCGGCAAACTTGGCGGAACGTCCTTCCTTCGCGGTGGATTCGAGCCCAAAATGACTCGCCGGGAAGCAGCACAGATCCTCGGAATTAGAGAAACCGCCTCTAAAGAAAAGCTGAAGGAGGCCCACCGACGAATTATGCTGCTGAACCACCCGGATCGAGGAGGCAGCCCGTACCTTGCGAGTAAAATCAACGAAGCGAAAGACATGATCGATAAACGAAGGTGACAGCCTCAACGCTTTCGCCATACCTGGTTCCACCACAACATCGCCTGTTTCTCGAAACATCAGTGGCTGCACCGAGTTTCAAGGATGTGACTATCGAGGCCCAGATCATGTCGGTCAGTGGGTTTTCGAGCCATACAGTTGCATCGACAGTAGCGAACGCTCCCTCAATCTCCACCCGACGGCACCAGTTTATAGTTTAGGTCCCGATATCCGTCTTCATCATTTGGTACACCATTCACCCACCCAACCTGTATCTAAGTATCATACAATTTTGAGTCCACCCAATATCTATCTATTCGCACACATATCGTCTCAGGGAATACGGTCAGCTTCAGATGTTAGATTGGTTGATTCATTGGCGCAGGTTCAGAATACCGCAGGAATTTGAGGAGAGTCTCATCTCTAGCCCTGGGAGCCTTATGAATCAGCAGGACGGAAATGCAGATGCAGCAGGCTAAGATGTTCTCACGCTCACCGTCGAGCACCACGGAGGATATTTTGATAGGCAGCTTGGACGACCCGTTGAGGGACGTAGTGGACGATATGATGGACTGCGAGCCCAGTTTCACCACAGAACTGGAATCTTCCCTTGCCATACACTGCTCCATGATGCAGGCTTGCGCGCGCTGTCGCTCTTCCTCCGACACTTCAGAAGAATCGATGCTGACGATTTGTGGGAATTGCATGACGACGGCAAGCCGGTACATTTGTTTCCGCGCGACGGCGTTGAGCGAGAGGGACAGCTCGACCAGATTCGGAAGCCGTATTTTCTGTAGGCGAAGGGGTAGATGGTCAACTCTCGCATCATGCAAGGGAAAAGACTGTCGTTGGCAAATACCTCAATCTCCGAGATCTCATTGACCCGATTATTCGACATGTAAAGGCGTTCTAAGCCCTGGATGGCATCAAAATACGCAAGGGACTTGATGCGATTTTCCCTGATAGATACGAGATTTAGGATACCGAATGCCTAATGTCCTAAAGGGCAAAGATCCTTACTTGACATGTAGGGTCTTCAGGTGCGGCACGTATGTAAAAGAGTTGAGGGTCGCTCCTTTGATGTGATTCTTGTCCAGCACCAGCTCCATGAGGTTTGGCATGTTTTCCAATCCATCAATCTGCGAGGCGATCATGTTAGTGTTACGGCCAGAAGAACAGACTCCATAAAAGGGCGATTCTTGATACCTTTGTTATCCGATTCCCATTCAAATACAAGATTCGCAACTGCGACATGCGAAACAGCCCAAGATCCGCAATCCTCGTTATCATATTATTCCCAAGATGCAACTCCTCCAAGTTCGGTAGCAAAGGCTTCGCGAACCGTGCCGCATGCATCGGATCAGACTTCAGCGGGTTGCCAGCACCCGCCGCCGCCGGAAGATCTGAGGAAAGCAGCCGCTCCATGCGGTTGTTGTTCAAACTCAGATGACGCAACGCGACCAGACCGACGAAACAGTCGATGTTGGTCAGGAGGTTGTTGTCAAACGTAAGTTTGCGCAGGTTGCGGAAGTCGAACCCAGCAAAACAATCGATTTCGCGGATTTTGCAATTGCGGAGGTCGAGCTCCGTGATGGCCTTGAAAGTGAGGTGCCCGATCTTTTCACCGAGGAGCTCGATCGTGAGTTTGCCGAGGTAAGCTTCACGCGCTGCGGTCTGTTCCCGGGTGGAGATGCCCGTGCCATCGAGAATCTGCAGACATTTGAGCCTTAGCGCCTTTTGACTGAGCAGTTTGCATGATCTGATCCCTTACCTTCAGCTTTCCCAGATGGTAGATGGTGAACAGCCTGTACGTCTCAAGTTTGCATACAGCATTCCCAGTGAAGTCCAAGATGATCAATCGCGGCAGTTCACGAAGAGGGAATATGTTCATGAGGTCTGCGACTTCATTGTTGCCAGCATCTGAAATGGCAAAATGCACATGAGTGACGAGCGCTGCATCCACGACATTAGCAAACCGGAGACACTCTTGGCCTCAACTCACACAACTCCATTAACGTCGGCAGATCTGCGAGCGGCCGCAAGTTTGTTATGCTGTTGTTCTCAATCGACAACAACATCAACGCCTGGAACCCGCCAGCGCACTCAATCGTCGCGATCCTGTTCAAGCTCACGTCCAGCTTTGTCAAAGCTTTCAACGCAACCAGTGGCTCGATTGTCTGGAGCTCATTATTTTCAAGCGTCAGTTCCTCCAGCCGCGTGAACGCCGCCAACTTGGTAACATCGCGAATGCTATTGTTGCGGAAACTCGCCCAACGGAGGTTCACCATCCCCGTCGGGAGGCCAGACAGATCAAACAGGTTGCATGAGTCGAGCTCGAGGGTCGTGAGCGCTTCTACCACCAGTTGCTCGGTCATATGGGGGTGGTGGGCGAGCCGCCAGTACTCGTTTTGAGTGGCCGAGAAGCCATATCCGGTCTGGGTGCGGACGCTGAGCGGGCGGAAGAGGTGAGGTTGAGTCGAGGAGTGGTCGATGAGGAGTTTGAGGTTGATCTCCGATGGCGCTGCCTAGAATGGTGTTGTTTAGCTTCCTTCTCTGTCGGCCGGTGCAAGGCTGGACTCTTGAGAACGTACCTGATGATGTGCACTGCATTCGACTCCGTCCAGGCATTGTAGGTTGGCCAGCCTTACTAGCATGTAGCTGCGATGACCCTTCATCTTGCAGACCGGATTGAACCTCGTGTCGAGTATACTGAGGCAATCTGGGAGGAGCACTCGGATGAGTATACCCTGACTGATGGGAATTACATCAACCGATGCGTTTTACCTTTCTGAAATAAGACGGCAAACTCTTTGATGTCGGCAATCTGGTTTGCGGCCAAATCCAAATGCCTCAACATGGGCGTCACCATCAACGTCTGCAAGCGCTTGATCTTGTTGAAGCTCACGTCCAGTTTCTCAAGTTGACGGAACTCCGCAAGTGATGGAACATTGTTGAGACCGCATCCCGAAAGGGACAGGGATCGGATCTGCGTGTAAAACGCTTGGTCCGTGAGGCTTTTGATCTTAACCCAGTTGAGGTTCAGATAGTCAACGACAGGGGCGTCGTTCGTTACTGTGTGCTACATGGGAAATGGCCGCTGCGTCAGCTTCATGGGGCATCTCGTTTAAGATGATACGAATTCAGCCTACCTTGAAAGTGTAATCCAAAAATGCGGATGTGTCATCTGCAACCTTGACCTCTGGGTACCTCGATTCAATAAGTGCCAGGGATAGATTGTCCGATTTGAACTCCCTCGGTTGGTTCAACTACATAGCCCGGTTCAATAAGGCTTTCATGTCCGCCAGCAAGATTGCTATCGACACAAACTCACAGCAACAAAACTCTCGTCGTTCAACAGATTCGTCACCATCGCCGGCATCCCCGGCTGCGCCAATTTGCTCGAGAACGCCAAATCGATGAGAAACTTCTCAAATTTGCTCGTCATATCCGCGGCCTCAGCTTCGATGGTGTACTCTACGAAGTACTCAGGTAGAAGATCCGTAGACTGTTTGAAGATGTACTTGAGGGGCATGTCGTCTTCGTTGATGCTACGTTTGCTGCTATTGGCGCTGGAGGGAGAGGATGGATCATGGTCTTTGCGGCTGCCTCGGGCGCTACGGGGTAAAACATCTGTCGAGTGGTCTGTGAAACGAGCAACGGAGTCAGCACATATCTAAGATTTATCAGCAGTCTTCATGGTTGCGCACCCGTTACGCTGACAGCGTTGGCAAGCGGCGCCCTGACTACGATCGCCTGATGAAGTTGCTTATGCGCATGCGGGGATTTGCGGGAGTACTCTTTGGACGACGCAGTCACCGCCTTGACGAAATTGGGCAACAGCACTTGTCCATCATTGGCAGCGTCCTCGTCGCAAAACCCGTATTCGACCGACGAGTACACGTCCTCGAAGTTGCACTCTGATCCTTCATACCAGAGGTAGTCTAGCGCCGGGTCGGCTTTGCCGGTTGTCAGACGCTATTCACATGATATCGTTAGCAACAAATACCCCCCATAAAGCGATAACGGGACCCGTGCTCTTACATCGCATAAGCTCTTCAGATAGCGATTGTGTATCCTTGATATCCGATGCACCTTGATATGCCTTCCCCGACTCCTCGAGCCACCCCTTTTCAACATCTTCTTGACCAGCGCCTCGCACAACACGAACCATTCGTCACCCGCCTGTCCGTCTTCAAAGCGCACGTTCCCGCCAGTCTCGAGCTCGAGGAGAAGCTTTCTGCAACGATTTAGCGTGGGAGCACACTCTGAAACTGCAAGTTCAGTGGACTCGCAAAGTCTTACCTGATCGCAATATCACTCTGCTGTACGATTTGCTCAGTCGTCTCGGCCTCGTGTACTTGGAGCTGTCGTTGCAAGCGGCTTTTTTCCCCGATGAAGTGCTCGAGCCGGAACTTGGCATCCGCGAGGCGTTCCATCAACTCCACTGACTACAACGTTCAAGAAATCGAATGAGCCTGCATTCCGTCATAGCTCGACACCACAGTTGTCATAGGGCTCACTGGAGGTTTTCCACGTGCTTCTTTCTCGAGCAGTACGTCGTCATGCCGCTTCTGCACACGTTTTAGCTTTGCTAGGAGGGCTTTGATGTCTGCCTCTATGTCATTCTGCTCGGCAAGAGACTTTGTGACGAGCAGCTTGATGAGGAAGTTGGTGTTGCGTTTGATTGTCCTGATCCGCATGTTGTAGTACCTAGAGACGGAAACAAAGTCGGTTTTTTCGCCAGCAGCAGATGCAACGTATCCTCCGATACCTTACATCCTCTTTTTCAGAACTGTAGCGTTGATCGCCCTCCGCGACTCCTCCGTCACTTCCAGCGTGTCCAGAACCTTCAGATTTGGCAGATGATAGATCACATGGGTTTGGTAGTTGCAGAGCGAGCAGACGGGATTATCGGCGAAGTTTGGGTCGCTAAGGCATAAAGACGCCAGTCGTGGTAGACGTGCGAGGAATAGGACCTCACGAAACGACGAAATTCGATTCCCTGAGATGTTCAACTCCTGCAAGCAAAAGTTGCATTGGCCGCATACAACGAAAGAATCCATGCACGCCGTTTCCCCACCTCTAGATTGACATTATTGTCCAAAGCATCTCCGACTGAAACCAATCGGTTGTTCCCCATCTGGAGCTGAGTCAACCTTTCCAGGTTTTGCAGGTTCTCTAGAATGCTGATACCTCTGCGGAAGTCAGTTGAAGGTCTGGCGACGGCATCGAGATACTCCTATGCACACCGGTGCCGAAGCTTACAGTTGTCTGATAGCCAAAGCTTCTCGATCTTGTAACATCGATGTAAACCTTCGATCTTAGATATCTGGTTGCTGTACCTGGATGTCGTGTCCTTGGTGTCAGTTTTCTCCATCATTCATTCCCAGGGGTGAGCTCCTGAGTCCCTTACAGATAAAGCTCCCTCAGCTCTGTACAGTTCTCTAGCCCTTTTATCCGGTCCACAAAAGTCTCACAGATCCATAGACGCTCCAACGCTGGACACGCCTCCAAGCCCGAGATTTCCGTAATCTCTTGCGCGATGATGCACAATGACGTTAGCGCAGGAAAGTAGTGCAAGCCTGCTATCTTCGTCATGTTGTAGAAACACATCTCAATGAACGTAATGTACGGCCATTTGTTGTTGAATGCGCTTGAGGAGATGCCGTTGTGCATGCACTATGAACAACGTCAGATGCGGGTATTGTCAGCGAATGGGGAAAACGTCGAGCACGGAAGACAGATGAGGACATCCGAGTCCCAAAAGCGTACCAGAGTGGCCACATCCTTGTCATGATGATATATCCACTGCCGCTCAGTTTGTGCAGTCTCGTCCGTTTTCCTCACAAGTGCGAGATCTGGCTCTTCGGACAGGACGAGGACACTTCCTGAACCGGATGCTTGTACCATTCCTCCGGCTAGCTCGATGGCGTCAGCCATCGTATGCACCTCCAACGCCGACATAGTCACTTGAAAAGCTGGGACCGACGGCCCCTTCCAAGTATTGAGCCCGATATACCTGGGCCAGAGCTCCAGACCAGGCGAGAGGCGGACTGTGTGCTCTGAAGAAAATCAAGCCAAAAAGCGCTTAACAGATTGGTATCCAAGTGCAATATGGATTGCTCAATCGGTTCGGAGCGCCAGGTATGACGGATGAGCCTTTTTCCTGAACTTCAGTCCTACATCCATCGTGATTGCAGGGACTGTCCAAACGCTGTCAGAAGCGGAAAAGTACGCGGTCCAATATTACCTAAGCGAATTGGAAGCCACGTTCTGACGGACCGCATGAAATGCACTCCAGTGCTCCATTCAGTAAACCATCAGCCAAATAGAAAGTGAGGTCTATGCGATGTATTTCGGCAATGTATTGTAATGCAATGTATTTCAGGAGCGCCTGGTACAATGAGTTCCATGCCACGTTCAAAAGCCCGCACTGAATAATCCCAGATCAACAACAGCTCCATAATGGAGCATAACGGTCCCGAATACTACGAAAGGTGATGGTGCTGTTGTTATCGAACTCGTCCATCAACCGGAGGATGTTGGCGCAATGCAATGCAATGTTGAATCACTTTTGTTATGTCTCATGTTTAGAGAGAGCCGAGATGGGTCGCTCGCAGAACCGCCGCGTGCGGCCCAGAGCATGGGCCCACTCTGGTCAGCAGGCAGCTCGGAGCGGCAGTTGGACATGCCCACGGCTTCGTATGCGTTGATGGCGCACGGAATTGTCGATCGTCCGTTGCCAGTGGCGTGCTCGATGAAGACCTTAGCACAACGGTTCGGCGGCATGCTTTCCAAGCAGAACAATGTCCGTGTTCCAAGTCTCTTGTACAAGAGACTCGCCCAAGAGTAGTGGCTTTGACCGCTTTGCCTATCGCAAAGCTGGCTTCCTTGGGTTGGGTGTAAAGGCGTGACGAGCGATCGCTGGTTACGGAAAGAGACATAGCCTGAACTTCTGATAACGGCCTTGGAAAATGAGCCACACCCCGAGCATCGAGGCTCCTCACAATGAGGAATCAAGGTGCCCGCCAGAGCCAGGAAGTAAATGACGTGATAGGCATCCCTTGAGTTGGCGGATGATGGAAGCTTACCGGTCAGACGGCTGTAGAGAGTGAGCGACCACTCCTCGCTGTGAGACATCTCACACGAGATGGCGGGGCCGCTCACCAACAATGGACTATTCCCAAACCTCCGTCGGATGATTTGGATTGAAAGGTTATTGAGTACCTTTACCAACGTCATTTGCGTTTTAGAACGTGCATCACCACTTGGTTGCGGCGACAATGCAACAGGTGCTTCCAGGCCGGCAGCCGAAGTCGCATGCTTTCCTTATCTGACGTTGTCTTGAGGTCCTTGGCTTGGAGGCTGAAGATGCCGTATGGACGGGGGGGACAAATCTGGGGCGGATGCGAAAGGAAAGCAGGCGGCAAGTCAGATCCCGCGCGTTGAAGAGAGAACGGAAGGGTTGAAACGCGTTGGTTTTGTCGAGGGCATTTAATTGGAGAAGTGACTTCCCTGCGAGCCCACGTGACCCCGCATCGATTGTAATGAAAGCGTTTCACTCCACACGCGACATGCACACGCTGTGCTGTACAAAACGCTAGTCAACCGCTAAAGTAAGCGGGGGCATCTCATCCCATTTGCCGCTAATCATCATCGCCCGTGTGGATCCAGAATTCCCACAACGGACCAACACCAACAACTCATCGGCAAAAGGCGCTTTCTATCACTTCTTAACCTCACAGAAAGCGGCCAACTCTATCGTCCTCTTGCTGGATTGTGTAGACTGTACGGAAGCACCAGTTGTCGGCTCATCAGTACTCCTGGCAAACTTGTGCGGAGCATCCCCCGGAAGTTCACTTTAACTCCCTTTCGAGGCTTCCAATACGAGGCGTCCATACGAGGCTTGTCGTGCCTTGGCCTCTGCGCAAAGTACAGTAACTCCGACCGGACGACCAACGGCCACTCACAGGCCGTCGATATCCTCCGTAATTACTATTGTCTTTAAAGCAAAGCGATGGGTCTCTTCAAAAAGACCAACAGTCCGTATGGCGCTGGCGCCACCCAGGGCAACTCCACATTGCAAAACCTCCAATTCTGGAAACAGCTGAAAAACGACTCTACACCGAATATCACCACCGCACGCACCGTCGACTCCTTCAACACCACCACCTCTAAACCCCGCGCAATTGCACTGTCTGTCGACCTCGAAACCCGAAAAGCACATACTATTGTGCTGGGGCTGGTGGTACTCGATTTCTTGATATCGCTCGCCGCACTTTACGAAGCCCTATACGACCCAGCCTCGCCGTCAGCACTCGACCCACACCTGAACGTCACAAAGACGCTGCATACAAGCAGAGCTGGGTTCACAGGCGCCCGTGTTTTCCTATTCGCTGCGTCGCTCTTGATCAGGACAGCGTTCCTAATCGAAATCATCTTCCGCCTCCTCGCCACCGGCGCATCCACCTACCTCCGCCTCCCCTACAACATCTTCGACGCCCTCATCGTCCTCCTCGCATTCTTCCTGCACATGACACTCCCCGCCCGCGAAGCACTCATTGTAAACCCCATCATCCTCTGCCGATTATGGCGGGTGATCTTCTGGGTCCGCTGCTTTGAACGAGAACTCTCTGCGCGATTCGAGCGGGATGTTACGAATATGCGCCGAACCTGCGATATTGAGATGGGACAGGTTGTGGATCGGAATAGGGAGCTGGAGAAGAAGTTGACGGTGAATGGGGAGAAGATGAGGGTGCTGTTGGGTGATGTTGGGATTGTGGATATGGATATCACGGCGTAGGCATCCCGCGTTAGGGGCGGGGCTATTTCCCCGCACCAGAATGCGATTTCCGGCGTAGTCAACGTGTATTTGGGACGCTTGGGTAGAAGAGGGGCTTGATGTCCCTCATTTGCGTTGGATTTTGCAGTTTTTGTGTTCCATAGACGGTGCCAAGAGGCGTATTTGTAGTTGTTTGACGAGATTCTCGCCCTTTGTACATATACAGATCATCAGTATCACTCCCTTGTTATTCCATTTCCATTCAATATAGAAGTACCATCTGTTTTCCTCAACGTTTTCCGAATGTTTTTCTGTTATTTGTGAGAGGGCTCATATATTCATGTGAACATCCGCTTCAGTCACACTCAAAAAGATAAGAGTGGGTACATCTGTAAAGTCCAGGTCATCTACGCTAATCTAACACACCATCTAGCCCATTACTCTTGCTCCTGCTCCTGATCCCACTCTTCCGGAGTTGGCGGCCGTGGTTCAGCAGGGACAGGGGGAGTAGGCACCCGCGGAGGTTTCGCGACCGTCTCTCCAGCCGGCGAACCGCTCACAGCACTCCCCAAACCAGCGCCAACCGCCCTCGCATGCGCCAGCGACCCAAACGTGTTCGCCGTAGGTACATCCTTCCTCACCGTCGCCGAATACGCCGCCTTCGCCGCACCCACCCCCAGCGTAAGCTTCGGTTTTTGGCCCCAAACGACCTCCCCACCCGCCGTAACTCTACACAAAACAACCTCCTTCGCCCAACTATTCCCCAAAAACTTGTTGCGGACTTCACCCTCCAGGCCCGCGAGCAGCGCTTCGACATCTTCGGGGGTGAGCTTGTTTTTGCTTTCGGCGACCATCACGGCGTCGGTGTCGCTGACGAGCTTGACGGTGATAGTTACGTCGGTGCCATAGACGAAGATGGGCTCAAGGAGGAGATGGAGGTCGCGCGCGTCCATGCCGTAGCCGAGGGAGGAGAGGTAGAGGGCGTTGAGGGGTTCGCGGCGGAGGATGCCATTCGTAGAGGCACTGGTGGATGCGGCGGTTGCTGATTTGGCCGTTCCAGCAGTGGCGCTCTTGACAGAAGATGCAGCAGGTTTGGCCAAAGCGACGGTGCTGAGGAGGACTTGCGGGATCACCGGCACCTTCGACGCCGTCTTGCGAACGACCGCACTCGCTAAACCTTTCCGGTCGGCATCGACGATCGAGCCGACGAGATCGTAGTGTTTCGCTAATTCGATGACACAGTTGTTGTTGATCGATTTCCCACTCGGAAAGTGCAGGACGCGTTTCGACGCATCCTTAACAAATGCGTCGAGCTGCTCTTCAATCTGTTTGACGGCAGCGGCATTCAGGCTCGCGTACTTGACAAGAACGTCTCCGTAATCCGGGATGTTGACCGAGGCGGGTGTAGCCGGAGCCGGTGTGATGTTCAACGCCGCAGCCAGCTTCCTGTTCCGCTCCAAGCGCTCACACGACTCATCGCAACTCAGAACGATAGACTGCGAGTTGCCCATGCTTTCCTTCCATGCCAGACACACAATCTCGGCTGTCTTGTTCCCGCACCGGCACTGCTGCGCAAGCATGGCTTTGCAGGGCTTGTCCTCGGCGCAGAACTTTTCGCCGTGGCAGGGAAAATTGCACGTATGTCCGCAGACTGAACGCACTCTGCCGCATTTAGATGTGCAGGCGTGCTCGGAATCGACGCAATTGCCGGTGTGACAGCAGCGCTTGCAGGAGTGCCCGCACACCGGCAGGATGAGTCCACAGGTCTCGCCGCAGGACGGCAGGCCCTGTCGATAGCAAGGGATGTTCTTCATGGTCCTTTTGCCGCATGCGCATGGCCGTTCGACGAAAATCACGCAGGGTGGGCAGGGCTCGTTGTCTGGGTGGCAGTTGTGGTTGCTTGTGTGGTGTCCGCAGGGGAGTTCTCGACGGCAGGGGTGTGTGCAGATTGGTGGTCGGGTGCCGCATGGGATGGGCGGATACATGACAGTCTCTCCGCAATGACATGTCAGCTCGTCGAAAGAAACACCGACAACGCAGTCGTGGCATCTCCCCTCGTGCCCGCACGGCAGTTGACATTCATGCTGCCCACACCGCAGAGTCTTGGCGCAGAGCTGTTCGCAAAGATGAAACTCGACATTGCAGCATTTGTCCTTGCATCGATGCCGCTTGCAGTGGCGAAGCGCCGAGCAAGGCCGGTCACAGAGGGGCGGAAGGATCTGCCCGTATGCATCTCTCATCAAATCCTGACAAGTGGTATCCATCACGGCCTTGCCGCATCGACATGGCACGGTCAGTTCCTCGGCGCATGGCAAGCAAGGGCCAGTATGACACAGTGCCGAGCATTTGTGGCCGCAGTCCAACGCTTTATTGCAGACGTTTCCGCAAGTGGGTATCTCTTGATCGCACGAGGTGCGTCCTTCCGGTCCCAAAAGCTTCTCGACAATCTCTGCTCCACATGGACAGCGCTTCACAATCGAGGGGTCGTATGGACAGACTAATCGATGTTCCTTCGCATCGTGACATGGCCTGTCGCAGCTGTGATGCCCGCATGGGAAAGGTGTGCCGCAGATTTTGTCGCATCTGAACGTGCTTCCGCCCTCTCCACACGGCACATCCTTCACCGTCTTTTGGCATAAGCAGATCGTCGTCTCAACGATTGGGCACGGTCCACACGGCCCTTCGTGGCACAGTAGGGCGCAAGAATGCGTTCCGCAATCCAGCATCCTTCCGCAGACTTGTCCACATGACTTTGAGAACGTATCGCTCGCAATCTCGCTACACCGTACCCGGAAACTAGTCTTGCCGCAGTTGCAGGCCACCGGTGGGGCGAGCGACTCGCAAGGTCGGCACGGCCCTGGATGACACTGCATTCCACAGGGATGCACACAGCTCCGATCGCGTCCGCAAGTCTGTCCACAGGTGTGTGGCGTGAGGAATCGGTTGTGAGGCGGGTCGATGCATTTCCCGCAAAAGCATCGATATTCTTCGGGGATCGTCTTGGAGACTGTCTGACATCCAGGGCATCGCCAGCCGGCCGGTGGACCCGGATGTGCAGCGCCTTCCTGAGCGGCGGACTTGCGGCCCCATTTGCCCACGCATTTCAGATGAAACACAGCGTAGCAAACAAGGCAGCTCCACACGGGGACCCTCGATTTGATGGTATCGTAGCAAATCATGCATTCGTACTCCCCGCTCGTCAGCTCTTCCGTCAACGAGCCGGTCAGATCTTCTGCGGCCTCCTTCGTTATAGCTCCATTCGGCCCTTTGACGACTTTGTTTCGCGGCCTCCTCCGGCGCGGCGGCTTCACCGTGCCCTCCCCATCGTTCTTCGCGCCATTTTCCGTCGTCAAAGCTGCATCGCTCTGTGGCCCACTCGCGTCTGCAGGAGTCAGAGGGATCTTCGGTCGTTTGTTTTGCGGTGGTCGTCTGGTGTTAGCGCTGCCAATAGCGCTGCCATTCGGCCTGCTATTAGCGCTGCCATTCGCGCGCCTTTCGCCATTTGAAGCTGGGACATGTGCAGTTGCTGATGCCGGTGATGTAGCTGCAGATGCTGCGTTCTTCAGGGTCGAACTGCCGCTCCCGTTCTCACGACTGGCTGCTGGCTCCCCACCTTCCTGCTTTGGCCCCCCCCTTCCGTTCTTCGGCGGGCCTCTTCGATTTTGACGTTTTGCGCTTGGCCCGCGTTGGGCGGCTGACGACTGCTGGCCGTTTGTTGCTGGCGCTACGGAATTACCCAGGGATGCAGGAATGAACGGCGGAGCGCTGACGTTCATATTTGAGGGTATCTGCTTTGTGGAAAGCGTGGTGCTGTCTATTGTTTTGCTGTTTGACGGTCGGTTTCCAGAGAGCTATTTAGGACAGCGGTGAAGTGAGTGACAAGGCCGGAGATGGGGCTCCAGTAGACGCTGTGCAGTGGAGGAACTCACCTGTTCGAGACAGCAGCCTATCAGCTACGAAAGGTGCGACAGATATATGTCGGTGCGTATGAGTTTCTTTCTCGAAGCGGACGAAGGGATGCTCTGAGACGTATTTAAACGAAGGCAGCTGTCTGTCTATTGATAAGCGATCGCTTGGCGGGGTTGGGGGGCAAAACAAGCGAGGAAGGAAAAGTGGAGGCCAAATGCCTTTCGTGTGGGCAAGCGTGGGTTAGTTATCCGTGACGTGCAATTTCAAATAGCCGCCGACCGTGTTTCTTAACCGTGGTGGTGGAGCAGCCATGACGCATTTCAGTCTTCCTCACGAAACGCGCTTGCGAATCTGAGCTCTCACCTAAGGACCAAACTGGGCTCTAGAAGCTATGCCGTTAAGTTTACTGGGACACTTTGAGATAACTACAAAGTGCTGCGGTGGTTCGGTCGCTTGTGGACTGCTCCGTCCACCTCAAAGCAGACGGCTGTGTTGGATAATGCGTAGGAATACCCCGATCGTGCTCCCAAGGAGTCCTTCTTTTCTTGACCGCGAAGTGGGAGTCGTGCAGTTGTGGTAAGGGTGCAGTTTAGTGGGCTCTCGAATTTAAGGTACCCGGTTAAGGGTTCCCATTTAAAAAATATATTAATTTTCAACAAATTACCGACCCCCCCTAACCCCCACCCTCCCTAACCCCCACCTAACCCTAACCCTAATCCTAACCAGGGGGCCGGTGACTTACCCTAACCTCAACCTAACCTTAAGTCACTTTAAGTTCACGCGTAACTTAAATTCGAAAACCCACTAAACTGCACCCTAGCCGCAGTTGTGGCTAGCAATTGGGTCACAGAGATATGTTACGTTTCCGTGCGACTTGAATGTGGACCACGGAAACATGGCTGCCCGGCCAGAAGTGACAGCCAGAGTAGCAATGGCAGGGGGAAGAAACGATAGCGCAACAACGAGCTCGTACTGCTTTGATGTCTGTCCGTCTGTTGTGCCAACCCCTCTTCCACCCACGTAACCGTCTGGTCCCCTCTCCGCATCGAAAATGGCTTGCCCCCAGAGCCCCGTTGCATAATACGGCACGTTTACGACTGACTGGCTGACTGACTACTGTAGCGAATTCATAGTCGCGCTATGAAGTTCGAGCTACCCTGTTTCTCCCTCTCTGATCTCAGCTTGGTCGCTTGCATGCCATATATTGTAGCATCCTCTCCGGTGTTTCCAGTGAGTGACAATGATGAAAGGTAGCTTGAACGCCTCGGGGTAGGTTGCCGAGGCTTGAGGAGAAACCCAAGTTGCCCAAGCTGCACATGCATGGGTAATGTACTGTACTGTACTGTATGTACGTGTACATATCATGGCGTTTGCTTACGTGATTCTAAATGAAGGAGATCTGGCGATGGACAGCCCGATATGATACGGGAATACCCTGCCCAACCTCGCCTTCAGGCATACCCGTTGGCTCAGCTATACCATATACCCTTATTACACGGCACAAGCGGATCGTCCCTATAATCGCAATGCCAGTCATCGGTTGTGCAGTGCTGCCCCACTCGGTAAGTAGACTCTGTCCTCATCCTTGTGCTGAGCGTCGTAACTCACCTCTCCCCAACAGGCCATGGTCTTGGACCCGAAAGCGCCAAACTGCCCCGAAGGCATCCAGGAAATTCATGACGGTTGCATAGCTGTAGGAGAGGTCATCGCTGCCTGGGAGCCAGAGCTTATTGTATTTCTGACCCCGCATGGGATTTCTGTGAGTGGTATTGCCCGCCATTCCGGTTCGGACCCGTCCCAATTGATAAACTTCTGACTTCATACGATTTCGCAGGCCCCGAAAAGCCCTAGACCCGGAATATACCTCACACCCTCTGCGACTGGCTTGCTGGAGGACGAAGACAGCGACCCGAACAATGGCAACTACGAACTTGCCATTCAGATCGATGCCGATGTCGCGACGGGATTCTTAGATCATCTCGGGTCGGCAGGGGTTGCATGTATGTGGCGGTGATAGTCAGCGGGCAGAAGAGTCCCCCGTTTTATTCACGAGCGAGGTGAAAGGTATGGAAATTAATCCATGTTCGGCGTACAGGCGTCAAGATCACCGGCACAGAAGCACCACTGTCAAGCTCCGAGATCATCCCATTATGGTTCATGCGCCGAGTAGCCCTCCTCAAACGAGCACCCAAATACATGCTCCTATCTCTCCCCACCCCCGTCGGCGGCTCTAGCTCAGTGCGCTCTCAGACGGCAAAAGAGCGCATCCCAGACCTGATCCAGTATGCGCACCACCTGCATAAATATCTGAACTGGTTACCGCACCGGTCGGCGGTTGTGTTGTCGGGAAATCTCGCGCATACCCATGCGACGAGGTGCAAGGATCCGAGGTTCATTCCGAAGCCGGACCAGAAATTACCGATTTCTGATGCGGCTGCTGTCTTTGATGGGATGGTGGAAAAGTGAGTTGCATGTGCAAAGTCTTATGTTCGGCGAAATCATCCTTGTACTAACGTGCAATTTCTGAACCAGATGGGCAAGCACACTCAACGGCAACTTCCTCCTCCAAGACGCCGCCGCCCTTGTCAAAGAAGCCATCTCCTGCGGATTCGACGGCTTAGTCGTCCTACAAGCGATAATTGAACGGGAAGGCAAATCGAAGTTTTCCTCCCACGTGTTTGCACGCCACCGCCCAACCTACGTTGGCATGCTCTGCGCCGTTTTCCAAGCCGACCGAAGAGTTCCGAATCCGGAATTGGCATTCCAGAGAGTGCTTGTTGATGAGTATTGACATAGGACTTAGGGTTTAGTAGTTGCTTGACTTTCATCTCACGTTTTTTTTGACTTCGTACACCTATATAACCGTACATTCCTACCTGTCTCCCAATCCCCATTCCCCACCACCCTTTTACCCCTTATTGTGTACATAGTATTCCCCTTTCACCTCACGCCCGGTGCGGCGTAAATTGCGTACGGTGTGATACCCGGACCGGACCTTGCTTTGTGAACATGTCGCCCTCCTACCACACCTCGACATTCGACCTCGAACATGAATTGTTATCAAACAAGGGTTCAGATGAATTCACTCATTGGAAGCTTCGAAAATAATCAGCGTTGTTTTCACTACTCTATATGAAACAACCTTCTAAATTAAAAGGTCGGAGCAAACAGGAAAACGCTATTTGCACCCCAAAAGACTTTCAAGACCCCTCAATCACTCCGAGCAATCTGCTCGACCTCCTCAGCGCCCTCCGTCGCCTTCCTCCGCTTCAGCGTCTCCCCACCCGCCGCAATTGTATCACCACCCAACGCAACAAACGCAGCCTTCTTCACACCGTCTACGACATGCGCCGCATCCTGCTTTTCGGGTCGGTCAAAGAACATCTCGTGCTCGAGTTGTTCTGATGGCCGTTTGTAGGAGCCTCCTATCCTGTCCCTGGAAATTGAGGGGATGTGGGATTAGGATCCTGGGCTTGTGGAGATGTGCAAGGTGGGGCTATACTCACCATAATGTTGTATATTGACCGAAATTGTAGTTGAACTCGAGGTGATGGACGGTGTGATGTGCGGTGCTGTTCAAGACGGTGCTTTGTGTGAAGTACGCCCTGCAGGTGGATGGGAATTCAGTAAAGTGGTCTCCACCATTCAATTGCAAGCTCCTGCATCTACTCACCCATCATGGATACTGATCGTCCAGAACTGAACCAGAACGAAGGCGAGAAGGTAAGCGTACACGTGCATTGGGACCATGTAGACAAACAGGTGGTACGGGATGGATTGGAAGTACCCGTCCTGAGATGAACATTGAGTGTTAGCAAAACCCTTCCACATCCGGCGCCAAAAATCTCCGCTACCAAAGGCCTTGCGGGAGATCCACTCACCAGCGGATGAAAAGCAAAGCTTGCAAAAGGCGTCGAAACCTTCCACGCATGATGCTGCTTATGCAACCACGAATACAACTTCGGGTGATGCTCGAACCGATGAATCCAATAAATGCAGCAGTCCGTGAACGCCAAGAACATCACGATGCTCGCCACCAGGTACGGCCACCCATAGTCCTCAACCTTATAGTACAGCTTGCTGTACCCATTAACTTCGTAATAGAACCACGGCACGGTGACCGCGGCGGTGATGGGGAACGAGGTGACGGAGAGCGTGATCTCTTTGCGGATTTGGTTTTTGAGGAATTTAGGGTGTTGCATTAGCCGGTGGTCGAAGAGAAAGTAGTAGGAGAGGGTGGAGAAGGAGAAGTAGAGGAGGTTGACGCCGACGAGGGCGACGAGCCAGAGGGAGAGGCATTGCCGGACTGGGTTGTCCCGAGCGGAGACGTAGGGCGTGATGGAGGCGGGGGCATGGGAGTAGAGCGAGTCGAGGGCGTAGCGGTCCGCTAAGTCGAGGATGATATCCATTTTGTTGAACGGATTTACGCTTCGTTTCGGTTGGGCTGTGGCTGTCGCCTCTGTCGTCTTATGCTATGGGTTCCAGCTTTCCGACGACGGTCACTTATGGTCGTGATGCCGAGCTTCCACTTTTCACACTTTGCTGGTGATCCCGCTTCCTACAGCAATTTTGGCAGACGGATGACAGAGACCCTCTTGCACATAAAAGCACAGACCGCAAGAAAGGATGTTGCTCGCCGGCGTCGCCGCTCTAACGAGAGACTTTGCGGGTGCACAACTCGTCCGTCACCAGGTGGGTGGAAATAAGGTGCCAAAAGGAAGGGTTAGTAGTAACATTTGTGAGTGAGCCCACACGCGCTCCGCCCGCACAGCGATGAGTCGCGGAGGAGTCGCGTCTCCTGATGCCAGCCAAGCCATGCCAAGCTTTCTTCCAAGAATCCAAGCCAAAGCAACCATGCAGGGGCCGGCGGCGGCCGCAGGGCAGAGGTTCGCCAGAGAGCTCCTCACTCTCACAGACTCCGATACGAGCTCCCAGGCAAGCCCTGAGGTCTCGCTCGCTTCACAGCGGCTTGCCTGTGCCTATGGAAAGCAAAGAATCTTGGCCGTTTTAGGCAAATTGACGGCATTGACAGCACGCCGCTGTCGGATTCTGCGATTTGAAATTCAACCGGGAACTCGGCTCAAGTACAGGAGTAAACCCGCCAGCAGGAAGACGCATCGCATCCGCAAAGTACAGTATATATGGCAGCTCGACGGCGAGAGGATATCTCAGACTAACTATGGCCAAGATGGGGTAAGGGTGCAGTGTGCCAAGATGGATCTGGAGGCTCGCTTCCCTTGGCCAGTCGCGAAAAGAGGATGAGGCTGATGAGGGAATCCGAGTCGATCGGAACGCGGGAGGGGAAGTAAGCAGCCGAGCCTTCTCTCTCCGCTCTCGGATTTCGGAGGCGCCAACCTTGAACCAGGCGCCAACTCCATTACGCCGCGGCAGGCAAATGAATCCATGTCCAGGTCCACACCTCGCTCCGAATGAAACTGGCCAAAACTGCACAAAACGTCGACAAAACCGTGGGGTTGATGGCAGACTCACATACTCCGCTCTGGCATCGACTTCCACTTGGTTTGCTTCTGAGGTGTTTGCTCTTCCCCAGTGATAGTCTGGTAAAACTGCGGTGCGTTCCGAACCAACTCCCAAGCTCCGTATCGAGGGTGCCTACAGTACGCGTGGAGGTGGACTAGCAGTCCGCAGACAAACCGACGAACGAAAGCTCCATTTCAAAGAGCAACGACCTTTCCACAGAGAATCACGTCCCTTGGTTCCTTCAGCAGAAGCAGCAGGGGTCAACGGGTTACAGAAGGCCCCGGTCCAACGTTGTGGAGCCAACTTTCATTGGGAGGACTCCTTTGTCTGCGTCTAGGTGAGCAACGCCCATTCTGTAGACGTGTGGAGTTGTTGAGAGCGCAGCGGAGCCTAGTGGGGCTCGTGGGCACCAGGTTCCCTGTTGAGTGAGTGTGGGCTGCCACGGTTGGCAACAATGGGAAGGCAGAGACTCTGGCTGAGACTCGTCGTCCAGAGCCCATTTTGACGTGGGAAAAGCCATTAACGCAATCACTTTACTTCAGTGCGCTACATTGCAATAACGCCACTCACTTCCGGTGGAGCTGATACTCTGGGGACGCCGACCTCCACATACTCACTCACGTTCGAATAGGACATCGACTTGAGGGGTCAATTCGATAAGAAAATCCGGAAGCGGGCTCAGTACAAGACCGAGGGTCTTTCGGCGCTTCGGGAGAAACGGAAGCCGGTTGATGAGAGATCTCAGCTAACCGTTCAATGGGGAAGCGAAAAAATTGGTTCGGTGGGCGGTCTCGACTCTCGTTGAACGAGGCATCATCCCCAGCAATCCTACCCGACCCAACCGCGGCCACACCACAAGGGATCGCAGCTGCTTCCGACATCAATGCCAAACGACGCATCTACATCAACACACCTGTGCAGCCACCATACCTCGATACCAACACAAACACGCCGGTGGTGCAATATCCCTCAAACAAAGTCCGCACATCCAAGTATGAGCCGCTCACATTTCTGCCGAAGAACTTGTTTGAGCAGTTCCGTTCGGTGGCGAATTTCTACTTCACGTCGCTGGTGATCTTGCAGTTCTTCAAGCCCTTTCTTCTGGTATCGCCTGTGCTGACAGCGGCGCCGGTCGTTATAATCATCTCTGCCACGGCGCTGAAAGATGCCGTCGAAGACTACAAACGACATAGAGCTGATGCCAGCGTCAACAAAGCTCAGGTATATCTGCTGGAGCCGTGGGAAAATGTGAATGCAGTGGAATATAGCGGATGGAAAGTATCTGCGCGTCGAGTCATCAAGATTTTCAAAAAGACGTGTATGCAAATCCTACGGCTCTGCTTCAATACGGTGATAGGACTTGTCACTAGAAAGCGGAAGGAGGTATCGAAAGGACCTGCTAGGCCGGCGGAACTAAAGGGTGAAGATTACATTGACGTGGACGGGTCGTCGGACGCTAGAGGGACATCACCGGAGGGTGACGGCAGTTCGCCGTCCGCGGTTTTATCAGCCGAAGCCGATGGGGAGAAGGAGCCGGTTTGGAAGCTGAGGAAATGGGAGGACGTTCGTGTAGGGGACTTCGTTTTCCTGAGGAACAACGATCCAATTCCTGCCGATATCATCATCATTTCGACTTCCGAGCCGGATTCGGTGTGCTATATCGAGACGAAAAATCTCGACGGAGAGACGAATCTGAAGGTTCGACGTGGGGTTCCCGCTTTGGAGTGGGTGAAGGCCCCGGCAGATTGCACGAGGGTGAAGGCATATCTGGATTCTGAGCCACCAAACAGTAACCTGTACGCCTACAGCGGAGTTCTGAACGTCATCGACACTGAAGCGGAGAACAAAGATGCTTCAGACGGGGCGCGCGGAACATCGATAAAATCACATGCTCCCGGCGAGATGATACCCTTATCACCCACGTCAATCCTCCTACGAGGATGCGTCCTCCGAAACACACAGTATCTCATCGGAATCGCCGTTTACACCGGATCAGACACCAAGATTGTCCTCAACTCCGGCAAAACCCCCTCGAAACGGTCGCGCATTGATAGACAGGTCAATCCCCAGGTGCTTGTGAATTTCATGCTCCTAAGCGCCATGTGCCTGGTGTGTTCCGTAGTGGCGGCCATTTACAGTGCGACTTTCGGATTGGAAGGCGCTGTGTTTGCTGGGGTCAATTTCGATGGCTTTCTAACGGACTTTTCGGATTATGAGACGTGAGTTCTGGATATTTGCATCTGCGTTCGGATTAGTTTGGTCTTACATATTGCATCCACTTTCTAGGCCTGGTTATACGGCGTTTGTGACATTCTTCACTTGCATGTTAATTTTCCAGGCGATCATTCCGATCGCGTTGGTCATCAGTGTGGAAGTCGCGAAACTGTTCCAGGTGAGTTCTATTCCGTATGATAGCGAAGATTTTTTTCCTGGCTTCATTTCCTTACATTTTGTTTCATAAAGAGTTTCATGATCCACCTGGATGAGGAAATGTACGACGCGGACACAGATCGACATGCCGAGCCCCAAGCGTGGAACCTGTGTGACGACCTCGGACAAATCGAATACATCTTCAGCGACAAAACGGGGACTTTGACCTGCAACATGATGGAATTCCGCAAATGCACAATTAACGGGGTTGCATACGGCGGCAGTTTCGTCTCCGAAGCGATGGTCGGTGCTGCCGAGCGGGAGGGCACGGCTGTTGACGAAGCGGAGAACACGGCGCAGCGGGAGGAGATTGAGCGCGACATGAGGAAAGGGTTGAAAGAGTTAGGCGGCGACAAGTACATGGCGTCGAAGCTCAGCTTTGTAGACAGCGAGATCGTCAAGCATTTGGAGGAGAGCAGTGTCCAGGCACGGCGGATTCGTGAGTTCTTCACGCTTCTTGCCGTGTGCCACACTGTTTTGGTCGAGAAGCCAGATCCGGAATCAAATTTCCTCGATTACAAAGCTCAGTCGCCTGACGAAGCTGCACTGGTTGCTGCTGCGAGAGACGTGGGCTTTGCCTTTTTGAAGCGAGAGGACAACCGGGTGTCTGTGGACCTGATGGGCCAATCCAGGGTGTACACCATCCTGAACGTGCTAGAGTTCAACAGCGACCGGAAACGGATGAGTGTCATCATTCGACGACCTGAGGGGGAAATCATCCTGCTGTGCAAGGGAGCCGACAGTGTCATTTACGATCGGCTGAGCAAAGACAACGACCAGGACCTGCTCGATTCGACGTCTACGCACTTGGAGAACTTCGCGAATGAGGGTTTGCGGACACTTTGTTTATCCTTCCGCACGATAACCGATGAGCACTACAAGCGGTGGTCAGAGCGCTACAAGGCTGCCCAAAACCTCCTCGAAAACCGTGACCGCGAAACAGACTTGGTGGCGGAGACCATCGAGCGCGACCTCACCTTGATGGGCGCCACGGCCATCGAAGACAAGCTCCAAGAAGGCGTACCAGAAACCATCGCGACGTTAGCCAAAGCGGACATCAAAATCTGGGTGCTGACCGGCGACAAGATGGAAACCGCCATCAACATCGGATTCGCCTGCAATCTCCTGCGCAGGGATATGATCCTCATCGTCGTCCGAAGTAATTCGCTGGACTCGACGTTTCGCCAGCTGACGGAGGCGCTGGAACGCTTCTGGACGAGCGATGGGAAACCGACGAGTGGTGAGAGTCCGGAGGGCAGTTACGATGGGAGCACTCCTCTTGGCGGGACGCCGACGTATGCGTTCGTTATTGATGGCGAAAGTTTGAAATTTGCATTGGAGCCTAGATGCAAAGCGTTGCTTTTGGAGCTGGGATGTCGGTGTTCGGCGGTTGTGTGCTGTCGTGTTAGTCCCTTGCAGAAAGCTATGGTCGTGCAGTTGGTTCGAAAGGGACTGGTGAGTGGATGTTACAGATGGTGTCTTTGTTTTCATGTTTCGATTTTTCTGATGTCTTCCGCGACCATTTTCAGGGAGCCATGTGCCTTGCCATAGGCGACGGAGCGAACGACGTGTCCATGATTCAGGAAGCCGATATCGGAATCGGAATCGCTGGGAAGGAAGGTCTCCAGGCCGTCATGGCGGCTGATTACGCCATTGCTCAGTTCCAATTCCTCGGCCGCCTTCTGCTGGTACACGGGCGGTGGGCATACATGCGCACGGCGGAGATGGTACTGAACTACTTTTACAAGAACGTCGTGTTCTTGTTTGTCCTGTTTTGGTTTCAGTTTGACAATGGGTAAGCGTTTCCTGGACTGCGAAATGTGCGCTATTATGACAGAAGCTGATTTTCCATCCTCAGGTTTTCCGCATCGACCGTCACCGATTACACATACGCTATGTTCTTCAACACTCTTTTCTCGCTTCTCCCTACGATCGCCCTCGGCACATTGGATCAGGACGTCAACGATCGCATTTCTATGATGGTCCCACAACTCTACGTCAAGGGAATTCGTCAGGAACTCTACACAATGGAGCGGTTTTGGATGTACATATTGGACGCCATCTACCAATCCGTCGTCATTTACTACTGCTGCTTCTTCATCTTCCGTGACGCAATACCGTACGGGTCCGGATTTGACGGAACAAAGGACGACATGGGCACCGTGCTGGCGATGTGCATCATCATCACCGTCAACCTCTATGCGGGCATGTCGACATACAACTGGACTCTCCTCACCCACGCGGCGATGTGGTTGACGTTTGTGATATGGCTGGGATACTTGATGGTGTTTGTAAACACGCCGACTAATCCGCAGTATGGACAACTGAAAGTGTTGTTCCTGAGCGCCAATTTCTGGTTGGCGATTGTCGTCAGCGTCGTTGCCGCCCTGCTGCCTCGGTTCGTCTACAAGTTCGTGTCTGCCTGGTTCTGGCCTTCGGATACGGACCTTGTCCGCGAGATGCAGTCCCAGTGGAAGGAAGGCGATGCTCTCAAGCTAGACGGAAGCACACCGAAGGAGCGGTCACAGGCCAACTTGCGCGGCGGAGCGATCAGCGAAGTCGACATCAAGGTCAACCCGCCAAGCGACACTGAGCTGAACGGGCCCACCGACATCCAACTATCTCCGCCCACTCGTAACCTGAAAAAGACGTTCTCCGATAATTTACTGAGTCGAAGGGCGAGCAGCAGCAAGAGCGTGCTTTCAGACTCGGAGCGTAGGCGGGTGCATTCCGCCAGGCCCGACAGCAGCGCTGAAATGGTCGTTCCGCCGCCGTTGCCTTCTGGTCCCGAAGGCAGCGGGTCTGCCAACGGCGGACTTGAGCGGCCTCCAATGGCTGAACCAAAGCAATCGTGTGATGGGTTCGGGGACGGTCCGACGCGTCGCAAGCCTAACCTCCACCTTCAGACCGGGACAACGCCGCGGATATCGGAAGCTACGGGCAATGGAGGGGCTGATGCGACCGCAGAAGGACCTCGTATGCGTCGTGGATCCGCATTCAGAGCGCGTTCGATTTCAACGGCAGTCAAGGAGGTCGGAAAGAAAATGGGCCACATGGTCTCGCGGATGCGTGGCCGTCATGGGCGTCTCGGCGAACATGCGCGGAATGGGAGTCTGGTGATTTACATGGGGAATGAGGGCCCGGATGCTATGAGCCCGAACAGAGGATTTGCGTTTTCGCATGACGAGGGGATGTGTTCTGTTATCACTCCTACCAGGTATGCTTCATGTTACTCGTCCTGGCATGTCCGTGCAGTGACTTACCGCTTGACTCCCTCCTGACAGACCCCCGGCCCCTCCAAGAACGGACTCACAAAGTGGCTATAATATGTTCCCTTTCCCGATACCCAACAGCAGCCCACTGATCCCCAACCCTCAACCACGCAACATCACCCCAAATCCCGTTCAACGTCTCGTCGGATCTCTCCGACCTTCCTCGACGACGAGCCTAAATCCGCTCAACTTCGCGACAGGCAGCCGACGGAGCAGTAGCCACCAGAGTATGCCCGCTCATGGCGGTGAGGCTATGGAAATGGAGAGCAGAGGTCACAGCTCAGGCACATCCCTAGTGAATGTCGGCATCGCGGGTGTTGTAGTCGGGGCGATTGGGGCCGCGGTCGGAGGTGCTGTTCGAATCACCGAACCCAGCGCGACACCATTCAGCGCTCAACCCCACGCCAGACAGCCTCCCCCCCAGGAGCAGACAAGCGATGACGGCAGGAATACCAGTTCACGCTCGCTAGGACACCGTGGCGGGTCATTATCACCGCCATCAATCCTGCCCACCGGCTTGTCACCAAACGCGCGACGAACGGGCAACAGCCAGCTCTCATTAAATCCGGGAATTCCGGAAGACACCATACCTGAACACGGAGTGTGGAACGCAGAACAGCACTCTGATACACCTGCTCCCGCCACCAACCTCGTACCCATCGAAGGAGAGTTGCAACCCGACAGTCCGTGGCACCGGCCGCCGATGTGACACTGACCGCCGTCGTGCATAAGCTAAATCGTGATTTCCCTTCGAAGAGTTCCTCTATGCGTATGCCACGCCCTTCCCCCTTTTGGAACCTCAAAACCTGTATTTCATCACCTGTTGTCTTCTCTACCGCCGAACCCGTTCTTTCGCGAGTATTTATCCCTCTATTTGTACCTAGCTTCTGTCTTCGCGTATTATCAGCCAGTTCTTTGGCTTGATGCCATTTTCTTCTCGGCAAAGGTTTTGGTGGTTTTCTTTTTTGCTCGTGATTGGGAGATGGAGGTTCCATGTCCAGACCGTCCGTAATTTTGCATGTCTTTGTACCGACCTTCTTAGGAAACATCGACAGGGCAGTCCAAGCACAGCAACTGGCATTTCTTCTCCTTTCGCTTCCTTGCTATATAGGCGACAAACCTTGGTTCCTCCGCATTGTGACAAGCAAACGGTGCATGTCCGACCGAAGAACTGGTGAGACTCTTCCCATGAGGTCTACCTTGCCCTTGGGCATGGATTGGACGTAAATCCCGAGGTACCTCTCTGGCATTTGGGTCACCCAGGGGAGCAATGTCAAAATGCTGTCACCGCGTCATACACGAAATTACGTCCGGTAACACGCCTAATCATCCAAATGAACTTCTCGAGGTAGCGCATCGCATTCTTTCCTGAAAACGACCAAAAGAAGTACGTGCTATACCGACATTAACACACTTTCCATATCTAGCACACATATATTCTGAGAGCCTGCTAAGCCAGCTGTCTCAATTCTCCCCTCCGCCGCTCCCGAGTTATTCTTCGTCGCGATCGCTATGGCCATTGGACAAGTCAGTGCCAGCGACGCTCTGACGGCCTTGCTGGTCGTTGGCATTGCTGTTGGTAGGTTATTTGAGCTGGCCTGATTGCACTAGCTGATTCTTAATGCAACCGACGCTTATTCCATCCTAATCACCTTTAGTGATCATGTTCCAAAAAGCACTTGACGTTTACCCCGACTTCCCGGTCTCCAAATTCTGGGACCAGGTAAGGGACCATGCCTGTTATCATGTTTTGAGGCCCTGTGCTAATGACCCGCTCATTAATCCCCCATCTAGACCGAGCGCACCAATACCCGCAAAGAAGGCGAAAGCGTCGTCTTCCGAAGCCGCGTTGCGACTTCAGGCTTCCTCGACAACGCGAGCACCGGCTACGAGATGTTCTGGAAAGCCGTTGAAAAGCACAAATCGAAAAACTACATTGCTCGCAACGTCAATGGCGCGTGGGCGTGGCTCACCTTCGAGGAGTTTGGCGCTCGCGTTAAATATGTGGGGTCTGGGTTGCTGGTATTGACGGGTGTTGAGCCGACCGGCGGCGTGGAGACGAGGGATGATTTGAGTGTGGATGGATCGCGCCTTGTCGGGTTGTACTTGCCTAATTCGATTGAGTGGGTGCTGACGGATTTGGCGTGCTGCAGTTATGGGCTCGTCACGGTCCCGCTGTACGACACGTTTGATACGGATTCGTTGAGGCATATCGTTAAGAGCACCGGGATGTCGATTATCATCACGGCCCAGAATCATTTGGAGAACCTGTTTGAAGTGGTCGGGGAAGGCACGGCTCTGAAGACCATTGTCGTCTCGGATCTGGCCACGATTCCGTCGGAACTCAAACAACGCGCGGAAGCTTTGCATATCCGGTTGTCCACTTTCAAGGAAATGGAGGCTACTGGAAGCGCTGACGTGAAGGACACGGTGGCCCCAAAGTCCGACGATCTATTCACGATCTGCTTCACATCCGGTACCACATCGCTCCCGAAAGGCGTCATGATAACCCACGGAAACCTAGCGAAGAACGGAGCCGGCGTCATCAGCTCATTCCCGCAGGGCTACAAGATCACCGAAGCGGACCGCCACCTCTCTTACCTTCCGCTCAGCCACATGTTTGAGCGCACCGTTTTTCATACTCTAACTCATCTGGGCGTGGAAATCGGATTTTACTCCGGCAACATTGCCAAGTTATTCGACGACATCAGTTCGTTCAAACCATCGTTATTCCCGACCGTCCCGCGTCTCCTTGTCCGTTTGCACGACAAAATCTTGGAAGCCATCGAGACCTCCACCCCAATCAAGCGAGCGCTATTCAAAATGGCGTACGCTTCGAAGAAACGCATGTTGGCTCGTGGGTGCGTCACCCGCACATCTATCTGGGACTCGCTGGTCTTCGGCCGCATCCAGAAACGGGTCGGAGGACGCATCCGGATGATGCTCACCGGCGCCGCGCCTATTGACCCCGTAGTCCTCGAATTCTTTCGAATTGTGTTCGGTTGTCAAGTGCTGGAAGGATACGGGCAGACTGAAACCTGTGGTGCAGGTTTCACGACTGCTGTCGGAGACTATTCCCGGCCGTTTGGGCATCATATTGGAGGCCCGATTGCGGGTGCAGAGGTCAAGTTAGTGGATGTGAAGGATATGGAGTATCTTGCGACGGATAAACCGTATCCTAGAGGCGAGGTGGGTTGCGACTTCTGCACGGGATGGGATGGCGCCGCATTCTCGAGGATGCGCGGACCAAGTGCTGGTGTTTCTGACCCACTAAGGATGATCCTACTCTTTCCAGGTCTGTGTGAGAGGCCCTCACGTCATGAAGGGTTACTTCCGGGATGTTGCCGCCACGAAGGTGAGCTCTCCGGTCTTCACTATGATGCGATGGCAATACTCCGCCGGATCTCCACCCGTCTTCAATTTCTCGCCCGCTAATTGAAGATCTCCTTCCAGGCAGCCATCGACAAAGACGGCTTCTTACATAGTGGAGATATTGGAGAGCTTTTACCGAATGGTACTCTGAGGATCGTTGACCGCATCAAGAACATTTTTAAGCTGTCCCAAGGAGTGCGTTTTCGTGCTTGCTTCGTGGGTCGATGTTTATGGCACCGCTGGCTGACATCATTACACTTACGTAGGAATACGTCGTGCCTGACAGGGTGGAGAGCAAGATCAAGCCTAGGTATGTTGACGTCTGTTTGCATGACAGGATAAGGATGTATACATGGTGCTCTGTCGCTCATCTGCCTTCTGATTGCAGTTATATACAACAAGTAAGGGTCCACCTCCCCCTTTACGGCCGTCTGTCGGATGCCAATACCAACCGCGGACGAGACTCATTTTTCATGTATCTCAACCAGGTTTTCGTCTACGGCGATCCACTCCGATCATCCGTCGTCGCGATCCTCGTGCCCGATACTGAGGGCCTCTTTGGCGAATGGTGCGTACGCACACAATTCATAGTGGATTCATGCAATACCTATCCTAACAACGTCGCGGATATCTTAGGCTCCGCCAACAAGCCTGGGATGGCACTTTTCGAGATGCATGCAAGTCCGAAGGGGTACAGCGCGCTGTGCTAAAAGAAGTGACACGGCTAGGGAAGCTGGTAGGTGTACCTTTCATTTGTCGACGTTGGCTTCCCCACGCTCACATGGGATGTTTCAATCTGCGTAGAATGGATTACATGCATTTGAGATCCCGAAGGCGATCAGACTCATGCCGGAGCCAATGACTACAGAGAATGGACTTTTGACGCCGACATTCAAGATAAAGCGGTATGCATTGAACGAGCTCGCACGGATGTCATTGGAGGTCCTAAACTTCGACGCGTCATGACTGACAAACGGACGGCAACAGACATCTAGCAAAGAATCGCTATAAGCCCCTTCTCGACACTATGTACGATTCCCTGCACAATTGAAATTTGTTGTGGAGAGTCCAGCGTTTGAGGGGAAGTGGTACCACAAATGACAGCGAAAGGAGAGAGTTTTACAGTGATAGTATTTTCCCCACGTAGTTTTGAGGAAGATGGTGGAAGTTCCATAGTAGTGCATGGCGTATTTCAGCGTTTAGAATCGATTCCAATGCATGTTGTAACGTGGTGGGGAAGGGAAACCTGTATCCGGTGGTAGCCCGCAGATGTTTCAACATGATACTTGGCCAAAAACTTCGGGGAAACATAGAACGCAACATAGAGCGTCGTTCTTTCCAAATTTCGAGAATTGCCGTGGTAGGTGGCGCAGGCGGCGAAACTCCAACCTGGCAAGTTCCCCACTGCAGCAGCATCGACGCATTCCCACGCCAGCTTCACAAACCGCCCACAAACAGCCTCAGCACAATGGTCCGAGCAAAGTGGAAGGGTCCCTTCTTCGTGCCCATGCCTAAAGTCGCCGGCAACGAGCCCATAAAAACACAAGCACGATCCAGCACCATCCTCGCCTCGCACATCAACAAAAAGTTCCTGGTGCACAATGGGAACTCCTACCTGCCAGTATTCGTGACGGAGCAGATGGTGGGGCGGAAGCTGGGGGAGTTTGCGTTTACGAGGAAGCCATTTTCGTTCAGGAAGAAGGATGATAAGAAGCGATAGGAGGGGAAGTGTGGGACTTTCGAAAGGAGGAATTCAGGTACTTTGATGCGTTTACTTTTCCGAATGGCATATCCGTCGTGTATCTGATCCCTAATATACTACTTCAGGCGACAATCACTTGCACACCTCTGTAACTCTCGAAGCGAAGCTCCGCGGTACCGAGCACGAGTTCTCTCCTTGACTCGGTAGTACCACGACGCCATCATGATACAGTAGTACCCCGGGACAACGTCGTGGAATCATGGAATCTCGCAGTTCTTCGGAAAGCAATAGAGAAAGCGGACTCGAAGGGTAGCGGTGACATCTGCATCAGAACTCCAAACTAGCTTGTTCAATTCAATTCCTTTTCTGGAGATCTTGCGAGGTGTTGGTGGTAGGATTCCGATCTTGATCTTCGGAGGAGCCATGGATGGGCACCAGCGACGTATGGGCGGAAACTCGGAGATCGAAGAGCTCACGCCGAGTGAATGATGATACTTTCACTTCAGAAGACAAAGGGCAGCAAAGGAGCTTTCGTTGAGCAGAGGCAGCCGTTGAGAGAAACACCTTCCCATGACTCCGGAGGGCCAAAGAGCGTACAGGTTGGGGCGAATGACATCAGACCACTCATTGTTGTGAATCCCCGAGTCTCCGAGCTCCCTGTGCCACAGTTTGAAAAGTCCACGTGCATATGCACACACGTACAGCACTACGGGATATTCCTCCCTTCCCCCAGCACATCACCTTCCATCGAAAAGCCAGCCTTCAGCAAACTCCGCCTACAATGCTAATAATACCAGACGTAGCACCGGTGCCGGCAGCTGCAATACCCAACATGGCAGGGGCGAGAGAAGCACCTGCTGTGAATGGAGCTGCCAAAATGCCGGCAGCGGCGATAAAGCCGCCCAAAATTCCCAGAGCTCCGGACGCGATGTTGCCCGGTTTGACTTGGCAGGCGGCGGCGTTAGGAGTCGGGGGAGGGGGGGCAGCGGCGAACCCGGTCTGGAAAAAGTCAATCTTGGAGTAGGATTGGTGGTCGAGGCCAACGTATGTGACGACGCTGGCAGATTGCGGGAAGTTTGCATCTGCCTGGGGAACGAGAAGAAGAGGGACAAGAAACGTTGGTTGTATCCCCTTTCGTACTCCAAAGCGTCGCGTCATGCAGGTGAAAGTGTAAGCTCTCTTTTCAGGGGAAGGATATGAGATACTCACGTCGAAGGCGGTCCCCTCCGCGACGTCAACGGTTTCGAAGTAGTTTGCCGCTGGATTCCCGTTATAGTGGAAATCTGGAAGGCCTGGAAAGCCTGATTCATCGAATTTGGTTGCTGCATCCACGGTCCAGAAAAGGTTGGGGCCGTTGTTTTGCACCTGAGCCGTGAATGAATACGTGTTGCCCTGTTTATCCTTGAAGCTTTGCTCGTACGGGGCGATTTGTCCTATTTGCTGGTTAGCAGCTTCAAGTCTGTTCCTCAAACCACGCACCAGCGAAGTGTAGGGCCCTTCTGATCGTTGTATGGTTACTTGATTACTGCTATACACTGCAGCAGTGACAATATGTGGAACGTTGGAGCAGGTGTAGAGACGCCAACATTCCCAGCTATGAATGAGCGACAAAATTTTAGCAGCGGCTCCATTCGGTTTCAAGCGTTGCTTTGGCAACGTTTCCATGTGGTACAAACCCGTTGAAAAAATCGACACGGTTGTCCGGGGGAGTAACATAGCAGGGAAGGTTGATGTTCTCCTGTTGAGTATTTCTCAGAGAACCGACCATGAATCCCGCCGACCGTGAATGAGCGAGCTTTTCGAGGGTGAGTTGATAACGAGCGTTGGTCGATGCGTCCGTGACGTAAACATTGGCATTGCCTTCCCAGAAGGAGTTCCCAGTGGGGTCGGCGTAGAACTTGGCGCTGGGGTCCCTGAAATCTTGAGAGGAGGGGGCGTTGTAGGTCCAAAACTGATGAGGGAAGAGAGGTCACGACAACTTGACTTTCATGCCGGAACGATGTGTGACGGATGTGTATCATACCTCATTTGTTTTTTCGCCAGTGTTGGAATTTTTACCTGCAAAAACATAAGGTTAACGGAAGCGACCGAGGTTTCCGCTCAGGCGCCGCCATAGCCCCCAAGAAATAGCGGACATCAAAAATACAGACGCAGTGTCAATCACGCGCTCACAGTTAACGACAGCCCACTTTGTATTCTGGAAACTACTCAGTCCCACGTTGATGTATTCCGTATCTTCAGCAGAAACGCAGGAAATCACGAGGGAGACAGCGACGAGACCGATGAACTTCCTTGAAATGATGTCCTCGAGCTTTGTGGGTAGATAGAGGAAAACCGCAGCAGAGTAGGTCAGCCCGCAATTGTGACCAGCGCTCTCTTTCCGTTGGGCTTGGGGCTTTTGAGTGAGGGGAAAGGTCTGAAAACCCCGGAAATGCTGTTGAAATCCTGTTGAAATGTTGTCGAAATGCTGTCAAGATTCAAATTCAGTGAGTAGCAAGTGTGGCGTCGAGCCAGAAAACGATTGAACCTCAGATTGAAGCTCTAAAAACCTATGCAGGTTCGTGGTGAGACTGAATGTTATTGGTCACAACGCTCTATCTTGCACCCACGTACATACATACCTGTCGCTGTATACCAAGAATGCAAGTATTTAGAGAAAAAGATGCTGATGGATTTCATGGACTCAACAGCGTAGAGATTGAAGGCTTTTGGCTTCGGGAATCGCTCTTTATATATCCGGACGCCGTCCTTCGCATGGACAACCAGAAATAACATCCCTCAAGATGTCTCCGGTGCATAACCATCGGTGGCTCTCAATCTTTATCAGAGACGGAGGGCTGGCCGGGGGGCCAATCAGGTAGAGCTTCAGGGGTTCTTCGCAAGGGGACGGGAGGGAGAGGCGGGAGGGTATGGAAAAGCGACACCCGCGTGGAGGGCTTGATGTGGCAGAGGATGCACTCAAGAAAGTTACTTCCGAAGCAAAAGTCGTGCAAAGTGATGCTGGGCGGCGCGCAAGTGCTCGTGGGCTAAGTGTCTCAGTTTTTACTCGTACTAATGATTTGCTTCTTAGGCAAATATAATCAGAGAACAAAAAGATTCTTACGGCATGTTTTACTGCAAGTCCATGCGGTCAATGAGACGAAGTGCGCTGTTCTCATCATCATTCTGCACAACAATTCTGATGGCGGTTGATCCCGGAGAGCGTGAGATGGATCAGCACCCTGCAGGGTGCCTGCGTCCATCAAATCTTTCGTGTATTTTTAGTCATTGGCGGAAACACGCCTTCAATACGGGCAGATTCGGGCCGTCAGCCAGTGATCTTGAGATGGGGCACAGCGGGGATCAGATCCACCCCGCACCTTGTACAGCACAAAATTGGATTGGCTTGCGGGCATCCCTTGCACCTGGACGAGCGCATTGTTGGGAGGATGGCCTTGCGACGTAGGTGACTGCTGAAAAGATCTTTTGTAAAGACGTGCTCTTGGACAGGAGCAACTGCTTCTACATACTGTGACGAATCAGTTGCTTCTGTTTTAAGTGGCGGTCGGCCGACCCTACAATGCCGCATTCCGCTTCAAGCGTATCAAAACAGCCGGCAGCGAATGGATGTGCGATCGAACGAACATAAGCGAGCGCAGACGCGACAACGCATCATTGGAATGCAACTAGAGAGGCTGTGCGGATGTGCGATGATAGCATAGCAAATAAAGCGGGAAAAGCGGGAGAGGTCTGACTGGAAGCGTTGGCGGCATAGTTCGTGTAGTCCTGATAGCGATTCGTGAAAGGAAATCTTGGCGCTTGAATGAGATGTGATTGATGCGCTACTGTTGATAACTGTCTGATGTTTCGAATAGGACTGATGATCGCAATGCGGGAAAAGGAACCGGGAGTGTTGGTGGGTCAATGAAGGGAGAGCTCAGAGCTCCAATATCGGTCGCGCCTCCGTATACCACCTTCACGCTGCTGTACTCAACTAAACTAGCCGGGGTCCTTCTCTCTCCGCGTCTTTCAGAAGCATAAGTCGACGCATATATGCTGTCGAGCGAGGTCCCCGCCCCGGTTTTCTTTTCTTCGCATGCGTTGCGCGACATCCAGTCCCCATCCCACATCCATGTCAGCCCAACTCTATTGCCATCGATTTCCATCACTCAAAAGAACACCCACAGCAAAACGGAGCAGTTGCCAAAATGATGTTCTCAAAAGCCTCGATGAAGCTGCTTGCTGACAATTTCCAATGATCTATGCTGGGAATTCGCGGGCGGTAGCTTCGCCCTGTATATATAGAGTTCCTATCTCGGTATGTCGAAGTCGCGGCCCGCCCGGCGTGAATCTACAAGGGATTCCTTGCTGAAGGTCCGACGCGCTGTCGAAAGTTGTCATTTTCGACATGTCGTCGGAACTCGAGTTCAAGTTTCACCCGATTAGGAGCAAATCTAATAAGTTTACAATTCTCACCTTCCAGCAGCATGTCCCAATCGCAAGAAAAACCACCATCGGTCATTCCCAGCGCTGAAGTCAAGCAATGGCTAACGGAACTCGCCAACCGGGCCGAGCCCGCGAAGCAAGCCGCGACATCGACCCACCTGCTTACCCTTCTCCGCCCACCCTCCTATCGCCCCGTCGTCGCAGACGACTTGACAATCGCCAAGCCCGAGAAAATGAAGATCTTACTGCTCCTACGGTCCGATCTTCATTCCGCGGACATCGTCGAAGCCGGCATCTTGCTCATCCTCACCTTCATCCGCAATGGCAGCGGCAGCGACAGCCCGCTAGCCGCCACCGCGCGCCGCAATACACTGCTCGACGCCTACGCCCGCTTAGTAGCCCTGTCCATAGACATCACCCTCCCCAGCGGACCACTAACTGCCGTCATGCGCTTCTGCGCCGACTGGGCTTCCGCGGCCGGTAAAGAAGGACATCAGGTGTTTTGCGAACCCGGGGAGGACACGCAAGCGACGCCGCTCCGCTCATGCACGACAATTTTGACCCGCCAGTTTGCGCGCTCGATGGGCCCGCGGTATTATGCCATTGAGGCGCTGCTAGCAGTTGCGAGAGTCAAGGAGGTCCGGCCGGTGTTGGTGGATGCGAGTGTGTTGCAGATTATGGCGGATGTGGTTGGGGAGATATGTTGTGATGGGTGTGTGGCGGGTACGGAGGACGATGAGAGGGAGATTTATTTGCCAGGGTTGTTTAGAATAGCGGTGATGTTGTTGAGGAAGTTAAGTGCGCATTCAGAGGAGGGGAGGAAGGTGAGGAATACAACTGTGCGCCGTTGGAGGGTTTGCTGCAGTTCCAGAAAACATGTGAGGCTAGTACTGAGCAGCAGTGTTTATCTCGCAGTACCTGGATCAACGAGAGACGTGGAAGAGCGTGCTTTGGCTGATACGGCGACCTGCACTTCTTGACGTGCAGTTAGAGGTATCCGTGCACTTTGGTATGCGTTCATGTTGTAAAGAGCGTGATAACCTATGCCTCGCCCGTTCGTGTTGACAGGCCCTGCATCTTTACTCCAGCCTAGCCATGTCACCCTCACCAGGCCCCCACGAGGCGATAGGAGACATCATTTACCTCATCGAGAACAGCACATCAACTCCGCCCCTGGAAGCCGCTCTTCGATGTTTACGAAACATCCTCGTCCGCGGCGGAGACCACGCCGCCAAAAAGGTAATGAAACACAAAGGACTCGCCGCTCACAATCCGCATGTCCGATCGCCCGACCCACATATCCAACTACACTCACTCATTTGCTTGACGATGCTCTCCTTCCTGCCAACCTCGCGGGCCGAGATCGCAAAGGACAACCTAAGCATTTTACTCCAACTCCTAGCCTCCGAAGAAGCGTCTCTATCCTCCCAAACCCACTACGCCCTCTCAATCCTCACCAACCTCGCCCTCACCGACCGCCTTGCGCAAGACATCGCTTTGAAAGGCATCCCAACTCTCTTCACCAACATCTTCCGCATCTTCTTCGCTGATCCACGCGATGTCACCGCCTTACGCCTTCTCAGCAACCTCTGCATCGACAACGCATCATGTATCACCATCACCTCCCTCGGCGGGGCCCACTTCCTCGACACATTATGCGGGACACCCTCAACCGCCGTGCGCGAGCATATGGTCGGGATCGTCCGCAATCTCGTCCAACAAAGCACGTTCTGTAATAACACGTACTGGGAAGCTAGCGGGTTCATCGAGGAGGTGATTGTGGACGTTACCGCATCCGATGCCGATCTCCAACGGCATTCCGTCGAGATCCTGTGGGCGTTCATTGAGGAAGATAAAGCCAGGGTGCCCGTGTTGGCTGGGATGGATGCGATGAACGCTCTCCTGTTACCGATGGAAAAAGGCGGGAAGGTTGGTGAGCTGGCGACGAAATGTTTTGCGTTGATGGAGATGGCGACGGTTAAGTCGGATATTTGGGAGAGGATTTTGGCGGAGTGGCGGGCGGAGGATGAGGAGAGGGGAAGGCAGATTGAGGTTGCAAAACGGGCGTCGAAGGGAAGGGTGAAGAGGCAGGCGATGGGTGGGAGGGTTTCATCTCGGTCGGGGAAGGCGAAATCCCCGAAAGCTGCACGAAAATCCGCGACTGACGGCAAAGCAGGGATTGGAGGTCATGGCAATCGTAGAAGCGTCAGATTTGAGTAGATTTTGCCATAGAAAGTTCGGTGCCTGTTTATGTATATGCGTATCGAGTGTATTGTGTAGCGCAGGTTGTTGTGCAAGAGCACTTGCTTTGATTGGTCTCCTCTGAGCATGCGATGGAGGTCTCCTATCAAGATGGTGCATATGGGGACATCAGACTTATTAAAGCCTGCGCAACGCTCACGTGATGAAACCCACGTGATGGAACGCTCTCTCGGACGCTCTTTTGGCCACCTGTACCGTAACAGTACACGGTACTACTGTAATTGCATTCTGACAACACTGGCGCTTTGGCACAGTTGAATACTGCTCTCCTTGCAGACGTGCAGGTAGCAAGTTCAATTCCCACTCCCAGACAACTTCTTTGTTTGTTCAGATTATGACCCCTGTCGCGCTAGGCGCGGCATGGTAACTACTGTTGCGCTCGGCGCTTCGTGGGTGTTAACTGAACAGCACAACTAAGTATCGCAACAGAAAGCAACCAAAATGCGCCTCAACCAATCCTCCAGTCCTTACCCGCTCTCAAACAGCTCGATGCACGACCATTTTTGCTCTGCCTCACGCTCCTTTTCGTTTTATTCCTCCCGTTTCACACAGCTCCATCTCTACGGGGCTCTAGGGAAACCACCAACATCGCTCATTGCCGAGCGTGAAGGGCGTAAGGCCGAGCGTGAAGGCTGTAAGGCCGAGCGTCAACAACCCTAACGGGCTTTGCTTCCGTCTATTCTCCGCCACGCTGTCGGGGGAACGATTTTCGCCCCACGCTGTACTAGTCAGCCCTCAATGGATTTTGGGGAGAAAATCGTCCCCCGCACGTCAAACCGGAACGTGCCTGGGCACCGTGCCCCGTCTATTCTCTGTGTAGGCGCCGGATGTTGGAACGTCGCCGCGGCTTTGACACTCTCATGGTGATTTGTCTGGGGAATGGAGTGTACGTGAGTTAGTTGGGGTGAAATAGATAGCAGGCAGCGTGGGCATGGGAGTGGGAGTGGGTTGGTAGAATGGGGCCAGCGCGAGTGCCCAAATCCAGGCTGCACCTCAAGCGATTGCGGGAGTCCAGAGAGCGTCCCGAGAGCGTCCCGCGAGTGCCCAAATCCAGGCTGCACCTCAAGCAATTGCGGGAGTCGAGAGCGGTTGTGCTCAACATGGGCCGCAAGATCAGCGTATAGCAAGCGCGCCCAGGCAGCGCATCCCATGCAGGTCGACCTCCCGCAAGCGGCGGTCGTGCTCAGCATGGGCCGCGTGCCCAGGCGGTCAACACAGGCGCCCACAGCTACACCGCAGCCACTCACCTTGTCGGCGCTGAGCGTGCTCAGAGAGTGCTCTGCGTGAGTTGCCGGGCTTGAGTTGGAAGGAGGTGGGCGTTGGCCAGGGGGATGAGGGGGCTGTCGTCCGCTGCGAGCGCTTGACGTTTCCATGCTCAGAGTGTGCTCTGCATGAGTTGCGTGAGCTGCGAGCGCTTGATGTTTTGTGTGAGAGGAGGAGAGTGTGGTCTTGGAGATGCGGCGATCAGCAGTGGACAAGCCAAAATCAACCTCAGAAGCTACCCTAGCTGCCCAGCTAGCTGCCCTGGAAGCTACCCCACATCCAAAGAACCTGGGGATCCTCACTCTACCCGTCCTCACTCTTAGCGCCCCTCATGTCTTGATTGCACCTCATCATGGCCCCCAATTACATACCAACTGTTATGATCTCGACAACGGAGGCGGAAGCGAAGTAGAGAAGTCAGGGCGAGAGTGATAGGCGACCAGAGATTGTATTGGCGAAACAAGAAACAAGGACTAGAACAGGAGATGAGAAGAACTGGTGTTGATCTGCTGGGGAGGAAGGGAATGGACGAAGAGAGGCCGGCTATTTATAGATAGGCAACCCAGCAGATCAGAGAACAACAACAACAAGAGGGGACTGGGGGGGCGCCAGCTATGCTCCTAGAGCGTGCGTGGCGAGCGTAGAGAGCATTGCTACAGCTGCTGGCTATGGGGAAGTAGTGGGGGGTGTGGAGAAGCCGAGGGGGGATTGGCGAAATGAGAGGAGAGAGGAGGAGTGGCGATATTGCGGGAGGATTGGCGAAATGAGATGAGAGAGGGGGAGTGGCATTGACATTGACATTGACACTGACATTGACACTGACATTGGCGTTTGACATTTGGCGGTTGACATTGGCGGCTGTCAGTGGGTAAGCTTATGGTATGGGCGCGTCATCCATAACACCAACGCAATTGTGAGCAGTAAGCATCCCCGTTTTCGCCTTCAACCGCCGCCAGGTAACAACCGCAATTCCTCACCGTTCTCAGCATCATTACCACAGCACTGACACAAGTTCTTTGACACACAGCTATCACGGCAATCACCTGCAACACCTGTCTCGGCACAGCACAGCCATCATGCCATCACACCAGGCGCTCCAGGGGCACCTGTGGTGTGGCATCTTTACTGGAGCAACCACACCACGGCGGAAGAGGAGGAAGGTTGCTCCGGTTACCCCACGATTGCCCATACGTCTGCCAGCCACACCATTGCAATCCCTGCGATTCGAGCTCCCACCTTCTGTCCAGCGCCACTTGCCCCAAGCAATTGCAGACATGGTTGGCAAGAGTTCCGGTGATGAAGACGGGCAGCAGCACCAGCAGCGAGGGCTTTCACCAGTGGACAGGGGTCTGCAGCGTCCGTTGAACCTCTCCGCTCCCATCCCTTTCCTATTTCCCAGCACACCGGGTGGATCCCTGGTGCTTGAACCCCCGCCACCACCACCCGCTCAACGACCCCAGCAGACACATGTAAGCACCAAGGTTTCGCTTCACCGAATCCATAATCAAAATCAAGTTCAAAGGGAGCGCCTGACAACATTCATCGGCAACGTTCACATCCTTGCGCGCCACACCACCTTCTTTCTCAAGTACTACCTTGGTGAGTTTTCGAGGTACACTACACTGTATATTTCCCATGAAACAATGCCCTGCCTACTATGTCTGTCCACCACAGCTGATCATCCTCTACACAACTTCCCGGACATCACTGACAAGCACATCAGTGTGATGTTTGAGCTGCTCAACAATCCACGCTACAACGGCAATCCGGTCATTGCGCAAGAGTTGCGTCCATGGGTTCAAGACTACTGTAATGTTCACGGATTCGCCCCTATCCGCATGCAACATTGCCAACAGACCGCAGCGTACACGGCTTCAAGCATCTTCACAAACCTCAAAGTCAACGTACAAGAACATTTCATTCAAATGCTTCTGCGCTATGTCAATGAAAGGCTTGGTTTGAAGCAAGTGGTACTGCATCTCCATAGAGCTGGGGTCAACCGAGCGCAGCGGCGACACTATTATCAGTGTGTCCATCAGTTTACAAAGTATGCGACATTTGAAGAGTTTCCAACCGAAGAAGAGCTTGCGCGCCTCACACAACTTGAGCGGACCGTCCTCGACAAGTTATGGGCTCTGTTTCCTCCCCAGGATGAGCCGCTTGCATACAGCCTTGCGGTGGACGCAATGCCATATTTAGGTGAGTTAGTATATTCCCCCCCCCCCCCCCCCCGCGGTGCGCTCTTTTGTCTAATCATGGTCGACACCTGCCTCATCACAGGTGCCTATTGTGAGCTCTCACGCCTCTATGAGCGCCGTGGAATGCGGCTGTTTGCCGCTATCCCGCTGCGCAAATCTTGAATCCAGTCATCTGTTCGGATCGACACGCTGATCCTAGCCACCCATATCCTGGGCTTGAGCCGACGTCGCATGGGGACTTTCACCGATCAACGCAAGCAGGAGCTGTGGGGGCAGTTTCTCAACGTGAATGTAAGTCTCTATCCTTCTGCGCTTATTTCAATCACCTCGCTGAATGACGCATTGCAGGACAAGGTCTTCAAGCATCGAAAGAAGCTTGGTCTTAAATTTGATGGATCAATCAGCACAAACGGGTATTCCGCTACCATCCACTTCAAGAAGCCAGGGCTCAAGTATGGGCATCGGGCCCGGAAGTGCAGCAAGGCCCAAATGCGGGAAGAAGTCAAGCAGCTGTATTTTGAGCACCACATCGCCGAACGACGGGAGGCTCCAAACATCGTCAGCATTGATCCGGGCAAGCGTGACCTCTTGTTCTGTCGAGACATCAAGAAGGAGCGGCCATTTAGGTACGTTTCAGTTGATTACTACTGCCCTGCTGTCCCCGCTGTCCCTCCCCGCTGTCCCCGCTGTCCCCGCTGTCGCCGCTACCCCGATCAACGCCTCCCTCAACCCTGTCCCCGTCCCCATCCCCACCATCCCCCCCGTCACCATCCCCACCATCCCCTTTGTTCGACATTCCGTTGCCGCGTTCTCACAATGCACCACCCCATACCAGATACACATCCAATCAACGGGCAGTCGAGACAAAGTCTCCGTACTTTCGAAGAGACATGACAAGCGAAAGATCAATGCCGGCATTGCTGAGATGGAATCACATATTCCGTCGCACAAGCGCATGAACATCGAGGCGTTCTCAGCGTTCATTGTGGATCACGTACATGCGGGTATGATGTATCATGCATTGTCTTCAAATTTGGTAACATGTGGGCTGACATCTATATCCCAGATCCCGCCCTGGATGAGTTTTACCAGGATGAGATTCACGTCGCTCGCAGATTCAAGGCGTTCTCACTGCGGCAAAAGTCTGAGAGCAAGCTCATCAAAAACATGCGACGCCTGTATGGAAAGCATTTTTCGGTCATCTTGGGTGATTGGAGCGACGCTGGAAAAACCATGCGCTTTCAGGAGTCATCAAAGACCAAAGGGTGAGTGACCATCATTGTTTTTCATGTATTATAATACGCTCACTCATGGGGGGAAACAGATTCCGCACACTCTTTGCGAGAAACGGCATTCCATGCTACTTGCTGGATGAGTATCGAACGTTGTCCGTGTGCCCACACTGCCATGGGCGTGTGAGGAAAAACATCCGACGCCGGCTGTCACCTCGGCCGTGGCAAGCTCAAAAGGGAAGAATGGAATTCGTCCATGGATTGGTGGGTTGCCCCAACCCCGAATGTATCAACCAAGACTGGACGCCATTTGAGATTCCTGGAAGACGACCACTACGACTACGGATGAAAGTGCACAATCGGGACATCCTAAGCACCAAGAATTTCGTCTCGATTGTGCGTTCGGTGGTGTTTGGCGATGGCCGCAGACCAGACGCATTCTCCCGTAACCGGTAGTCTAGAATTTTCACCCTATTCCATTTTCCGTGGTGGTTATCTGCCATCCACATCATGGTACCTCTGCCTGAGGCGTCGCCGATGATGGCAACTTGTATGGATAATGTCTGAGGTCACCGCATCAATTGGCAGGTTCACGATTACCGTTACCCATCATATTGACTTATGTTAAGATATATGGAGGAGTACCAAGAGGGGGACGAGGGATGGGATGGGATGCTATCACCGAGTAAAAGGGATGGGTGACAGACAACAAACAAGGGAACATAGGGCTATAAGACAAGAAAATGGAGGAGCCTAATAAACAGGGGGCGCCGAAAGAGGAGCTCGGGTAGCTAAATGTTTCAGATGATGATTCGGGAAAGGGTTGGGAGAGCGTGGGGATGGTTGCAATTTCGGAAGGCCAAGAAACGAGAGGCCGTGTGCTTCTTGAGATTGTTCGTCTGGTAAACTATCAGAAGGAGTCCCTTTAACGCGGCTTCCTGCTCCGAGGCACCTTGATCTGCCGCCCGCGAGCCGCGACCGTCGTACTAGGGCCGATATTGAACAGACTTCCGCCTTCAGGGGCCCCAATGGGGTTTGCCGGTGCAGATGGTGCAGCACCGAAAGTGAATGCACCCGTGGACGGACTAGCAGGCTGCTGGCCAAACTGGAACGGTGTATTACCAAACGTCGGTGTTCCCGGTTGCGGCGTCCCGGCTCCGCCGGCTCCGTTGAAGGTGAAACTGAATCCGCCGGTACCAGGTGCAGCTGTAGGCGTACTAGGGGCCGGCTGGCCTCCGAAATTGAATGCACCGGCAGCCGCACCAAAGGACGGCGCTGCGGAAGTTGCACCGAATTGGGGTGGCACTGCAGCGGCCGACCCTGCGGGTTTTGCTCCAAAGGTGAACCCACCACCGCTTGGGGCTGGCGCGGCAGCTCCGAAATTGAATGCAGTTGGTGCTGGAGCGGCCGGTGCAGGGTTAGAGGCGGGCGCGCTGTTTCCGAAGTTAAACATGGACGGTGCCTGTGCGGAAGTCGAGGTGGGAGCGGCAGGTGCACTGGCTCCAAAGTTGAACGAAGGTGCAGCGGGTGTCGAAGTCGCAGGAGCGCCTGCCCCAAAGTTAAGCGAAGCAGGTGCAGAGGCCCCCATTGAAGCAGGTGCTGCAGCGCCAAAATTGAAACCTTGCGTGGAGGCGGCACCCGGAGCAGAGGTAGGAGCTCCGAACGCCGGAGCGGCAGGCTTGGCTCCGAATGTGAACGCCGGAGCAGCGCTCGGAGTAGATGTTCCGATATTCGATGCCCCAAACCCAGGGAAACTCTGACTGGACGCGGGTTGGGATGAAGTAGACGCTCCGCTGGACGCCGGGGTTCCGAATGTAAACGTAGACGGTGTTGAAGTTCCAGGGGCGGCGGCCGGTGCACCGAATGTGAAAGATTGTGCCGGAGTCGATGTGGACGTGGAAGTAGTTGCGTTTGAGGCCGGAGCTCCAAACTGGAACGCAGGAGCGGATGAAGTGGCAGGTACCGTGTCCGTCTTGAAACCTGACGCCGGAGGTGTGCCAAAGATCATCGAGCTGGACCCACCGGATGGGACACCAAACTTGGCATCATTTGAGTTCGCATTTGTTGCAGGAGCACCGAATTTGGGTGGTTCTAACGCAGCAGTCTGACCATTGGGCGCCGTTGGCCCCGCGCCAAATGTGAGTGGAGCGGAGCCGGTGGAAGCCGAACTGCCGAAAGTAAACGTCGTTGGAGCGCCTGTACCGGTTGCAGCAGGCTTGGACGCTTCCGTTGCGGTGTTGGATGGCACGCTGGTGCCGAAGCTTGGGAAAGCCGGCTTTGCGGTCGTATCGGCAGCACTTCCAGGAGTCGACGCGCTGCTCGCTGCCAGGGCTCCAAATGTGAATGTTGGAGGAGCGGATGTAGGCGCCGCATCGGCCTTGGGCGCGGTGAATCCAGCACTTGAGGGAGCTGGGGTAACCACTGACGAGTTGAAGTTGAACGGTGCTGCAGTACTGGTACCCGCCGTAGTAGTTGAAGTAGATGTTGGCGTTGACCCAAACGCAAACGTTGGCTTTGCAGAGGCATTGACTGAGGTGATGCCTCCCGCAGGCGCGGCGGAGACCACACTCGGCGCGGACGTTGCTCCAAACAATGACGCTCCTTGCGCTCCCGCTCCGAAGAGTGCAGTGGGAGGTTTTGTGGATGTCGACTCAAGGGTAGATTCCGCCACTCCGAATAACGGCACTTTCGTTTCGGAACCTGTGGATGCACCAGCAGGCGTTGATTGGGCGGCGGAATGGAAAACAAACGAAGGCGTTGACGAAGGCTGCGCATCCGCCGATTTTTCGCTCTGTGGAGACTACAGGAAAGGTAAAAGACGCAAGTCAGAATAATATACTGTGAACAAATGAAGCAATCCGCAACACCCACCTGCTGCGCTGGCGGTTTGAATGCAAACCCGGAGGAGGCTGCGTTTGTTTGCGGCGGCTGTTCTGCGCGTTTTTGTTCCTCCGCCTGCTTTCTTGCCTGCTCATCCAGCTGGGCTTTTTGCTGCCGTGCTAGCTCTGCCTCCTCTCTCCGCTCATCGTCAATCTTCCGTTGCTCGGCCGCCCTTCTTTGTTCTTCCGCCATTCGCAGTCCATTCACTCGGTTGTTTTCCTCTACCACTTTCCGCTCCTCCGCTTCTCGTTGATCACGATACAGCTTTTCCGTATTCTCCAGCAGATTTTTCGCCATTTGATCCGTTTTATCGTGGTCAACAGGTGGCATTCGAGAAATCAGCCATCTGAGATCTTTGTTGGCGTTCGGGCGGCTAGATTTCAGTTTGATGCGCGACCGAGGAGTGACTTGACGCTGAGGTGCAGAGGATCTTCGCAATGGGGTGCGAGTCACTACGCTCTCTTCATACTCGATCTGTCGACGTTTGACTGCCACAGGCTGCGAGCTTGGGTCGAATCTTTCGTACTCATCGTCATCGTCCCTCCCTCTTTTGTTTCCAGCTAAGACGCTCTCATCTACTGTCAACTGGCTGACAGGCATTCGCTTCGGCGTACCGGGTGCCAGCGTTGGAAGACGGTTCAATCGCCGACTGGCAGATGTGATCCAACCGTCCTCAGGTCTGAGCTGCTCCATGTACCGCAGTTGGCGTTCGGTGGGGGTGTTCGGATTGTAGGGCGTCACATTTCGGGTAGGAGTGTGTTGAGCAGGGGTGAACAGTCGCACTGGAGTGTTCGGTTGACGGAAGTCGGGTTGTGGTCGGATGTTCGGTTGCTGTGTGGGGGACCGGTTATACCGCGGAGAAGGGGCTTTAAACTGTCGCTCCTCTACAGGGGTCGGTGGTACCTAGAAGATGCAAGCAAAGAAAACGTAAGCTGTTGAACGGCCGGAAGAAAGAGGCAGACGAAGAGAGACGAAGGGGGGCGGTTGAAGTAACCTGCAAAAGGATCTCCAGGAGACAACTTACATCCATAGCAGCCAGTCCTCCATCGTCAGTCTTCTGCGGCGTATGTTGCTCGTTAGTTTCTGAAAATGTCGGGGCGCCCGGCACCCAGCGTTTGATTAGTCTCTTCACGGAGGAAAACATTTTCGGTGGTGCCGACGACCGTAAGTTGCAATTGCTATCTGCAAGCGCGAGCTTTTTCGTCTGCCTATGTTGGGTCGATCACTCGCCGTAGCGTCGGGTTTTGCTGGCAAAGTTTGACCTGGTGCCTTCCCAGACGGCGGCGCTGACCTGAGAGCGTCTATTGCAGCAGCGAGAGCGGCGGGGGTTTGTTGTAAGCGGCGATCTCCGAGCAGATCAAGGATGTTGGAAGTCGGTCGGAAGGTAACGCTTGCCTCTTTTCCATGACGCGCCCTGCATAGCTGCTTGTTACTCTTCGGACTTTTTCTCCCGTCGCTCATTTACGGACGGACAGACACACGGCGGACGATGACTCCACTGCTTGACACTCCCATTCCGTCCCCATAGCCCCCCTCCACTTCGACGAAGGATGTTCTGGGACCTCAACGTCCCATATGAGCCGCAGGCGGTTGTCAACACAGAGCTAAAGAAGACTATCGCCATACTGCACGAATGTAGGTAGGTGGGGGTGTTCTGTTCGTAGGGAGTTTTCTTCGAAGGACCCTCGTACTGCGGTAGACGTTTGGCCGTGGTGTGCAATAGTGCATTTCCATGTTTCCTCATGCACTCCATCTGACGGGTTTCACTCGTTTAGTTGGGTATGGGGCAGTCGCATACAACGTGACCTACTCCGGGAAAGAGGCAACTTCAAAGGTATGCTTCGGGGAATGATGAACGCCTACGATACAGGACGTAGCTTATGGACGTTGACCACTATTCTGCACTCCCCTCAGCCAAATCCCATAAAACCTCTGAAACTAAGCGAGATTGGCATCAAATCCGCCCAAACGACGACCGGTCGCTCGTCCCTGCATCCTATTATATCCGCAAATGTGGCAGCGGACGGAGGGATTTCAGCAACTGTCTCGACTGACGGTCATTGCTGATGACACGAGCGCGAATTACCAATTGGTAGGCACATCTGAGGGTTCAGATAGAGTAGCGGACCAGAATCTAATCATGTCCATCACAGACATCAGCAAACTCCAACCCAGTGTCATATGATTTGATCGCAGTGCAACCAACAAATGAAAAGCTCTTCCAGTCAGCCTGCAGCCTGTTCGATGTCGATATTGTATCCCTGGACATGTCCAACCGCCTGCCATTTTTCATCAAAGGACCGACGGTCAATGGGGCATTACAGCACGGGGTTTTTTTCGAAATCGCTTATGGGGCTGCTATTCGAGGTCAGGTAAGGATGATGGATCTCTCGCACAATGTGGTTTGCTGTGGCGTATCTTCCTGAACCCGGCCTTTGCCTCTTCTGCAGATGCAACAGCACGAAGGCATCTCATCAGCCATGCGGCGGCGCTGGTCCAGGCGACGAAAGGCAAGAATATCCTGATCACAAGTGAGGCCCAAAAGGCAATGGAGATACGAGGACCTTACGATGTGATAAATCTGTGAGTGCTGCCAGATTGGACACTTTTGATGAGGGAACTATCAGTGACAATGTTCATCCAGTGCGACCATTTTTGGAATGACTCGCGAACAAGCGAAAAACGCCTTGGACGCAAACTGTCGGGCTGTTGTGTTACATGCTGGTAAGAAGCACCTTCCCTTTGATACTGAGGACCCTCTTCCGGAAAGAGGGATCAACAACTGATCTACTCTCCTCATATCAAACAGCCACTCGACGTCAAACTCACCGCGGCGTACTCAGCATGGAGTCTGCCGCATCATTGAGTGCGGCGAGCGCATGGAAGCTTGGGCAGGGTGAAGAGACCGAAGCTATGCAGGAGTAGATGTTAAAACAATAGGGCGTAGAGCTTGATAGCTATACAGTAGTTGGTGATGGATCGAGGTTAACGGTTGCATTAGATCTTATGTGTATTTATGAAGAATATGGATGGAAGAGGGTCGGCATAACGGGAATGCTAGTTGTGATGGTGCTCGGACAAATCAAGGAGCATGGAAGGGGGAAAGTTCCTGATGCCTGCACGATGCTGCCCAGTTTCCGGCGGTCTAGACGGTATGGCGCTCACTCTCTCCCGTTTCAGACTCTTTCAGCAACAGCCACTCAACCTGTACAGTACGTCCTTAACTCAGCGGACATGCTAGGAATCGTTTGGCTGTTCCTTCTGTGTCAGATGCGAGAAGTCTCGAATCCCTCCGACCGACATCGACATGGAAGCGTAGGCATGCGATATCACGATGGAGAGGTCTTGCGGTGATTCCGACGATGGCTGCCTTCATGTTTATGACATGGACACAGTCCCATACTGCCCATCCTTTTCCTGTCCTCTGTTCATGCGCCGCAAGACCTAGGGAGGTACGTTTTTCCTCTCTGAATTTAAGGACGGACCATCTCTTGCTTTCCAGGCTCTTTCCATCGCAGATCACGGCATGTTTTGGACTGGCAAGTATGTCTGCTTCGTACAATCGCTGATGGACACCCGTCTCTTTTCCTTCCCGCAGGCCTCAAGAATGGTAGGGATGCAATCCGAACAGAGGAACGTTCTCTCTCAAAAGCATGCGCAAGTTGGATCTTTCCTTTTCCTTTGCAGATCCGCGCCGAACATGGACGGGACGACAGGTACGTGCATTTGTGGCTTCAATCTCATATTCGCGTCACATTCAAAAGTATTGGAGAGGGGTATAAACGGTTGGCCAGTCGCGGTCAGGGCATCAGCGCGTCTGTCTACTCGGTAAGGGGAAGAAAAACGAGAAAAGTATGAGAGAACCATGTGAGTGCTTCAGGCTATGTGAGTGTCTACGCCGCACAATATGCTTCTACGCGCGCAGTGTGATCTATGCTAGAGGAGTGCAGATAAACTCAATTATGAGGAACGTCCTGCCGCACTCAGCTCAGTACTCCTTCTTGAGGATCTTAGCGATAGTCTGCAGCTGCATGTTGGACGTCCCCTCATAGATCGCGCCAATCTTCGCGTCCCTGTAGAACTTCTCAATTCCAAAGTCGCGGGTGAAGCCGACGCCGCCAACCCATTCGATGGCTTTGCTGGCGGACTTTTCGGCGACTTGACACGCGTAGAGCTTGGCCATCGCGGCTTGCTTGACAAAATCGCGCCCTTCTTCCTTGAGACGCGCGGCGTTGTAAGTTAGCAGGCGCGCGGCTTCGAGCTCGGTGGCGACTTGGGCGAGTTGATGTTCGATGCCCTATGGTGAGTCAAAGAGAGGATGAATGAAACACTCCAGCGGACATTCTGCCGTCTGTCTGGGTCTGACGTTGCAAAGGAGGAGTTGCATACCTGGAAATCGATGATGGAGGTCCCAAACTGCTTCCTCTGCTGCATGTAGGGAACCGCGATGTCCAGGGATCCTTGGGCAATGCCAATCATCTGGGCAGCAATGCCGATGCGGCCCTCGTTGAGGATCTCAATGGCGTACTTGTACCCTTTGCCAATCTCGCCGATAATGTTCTCCTCAGGCACCTCGATGTCATCAAAGGATAGCTCACAAGTGGACGAGCTCCTGATACCCAGCTTTTTTTCCTTCTTGTTGATCTTCACACCCATCTCCTTCTCCACGGCAAAACAGGTGATGCCTTTATAGCCTTTGCTGGGGTCCACGTTGGCGAACACGAGGAAGATACCAGCCTCGGCGGAGTTAGTAATCCACATCTTTCCGCCGTTGAGGATGTACTTGTTGCCCTTTTTGGTCGCGGTGGTGCTAAGGGCAAACGCATCGGATCCGGCGCCGGCTTCCGTGAGACAGAAAGAGCCGACGGTGTCGGTTGCCAAACGGGCGAGGTATTTTTCCTTGAGGGCGTCTGAAGCGTGCTGACGGAATACGGTGTTGACAAGGGTGTTGTGGATGTCGCAGGCGGCCGACACGGATGCGTCGACGCGGGCGAGCTCTTCGACGGCGAGGATGGCGGCTGTGAAGGACATTCCGGAGCCGCCCAGGTCGTCCGGAGTTTCGATGCCCATCAACTACGTTACCAAATCGCAAATAAGCAAACTTGGAAAGCACGGCCATACATGTATCGCACGCCGGCACTCACCCCTTGCTCGAACATGCTGTCGAACAAAGCCTTCGGCATGGCTTCCTTCTCGTCCATCTCATACACCAACGGCTTGACGGTCTCAAGAGCAAACTTGCGCACTGCGGAAACATGCAAAGGCGTCGATCAGAGAAAAGGTCGCTCGAGTGACAGCACCAACGGGCCCAGCTTCATCCCCAGCTTACCAGTCTCACGCAGCATCGTCTCCTCCTCCGTAAAGTTATACAAGGAGTTGGTAGGGCTAGCCTCATTTCGGGTAATCGGCTGGGCAAGAGCGGCAGCAGAGAACCGTCTAAATCGAGGTTTGTAGTGTAAGTTATCTCGAGAAACGTGAGTGCGGACGGAACGCAGAAAGCTGAAACGACGTACCTGACGGGAGCAAGCCGGAGGCAGACAGCCGGGCGAGCGACGCCTGCAAGATTGGACCTGAAAAGACCTGCGATCATCTTGGCGATGCGTTTCGGCGTCTTGGTGAGCACTGTGGCAGCCTCCGTTGCTGGACGTGGAGGGACCTAGGAGTGAAAGTTCCTCCCATATTCTCAGGCCGGTCTTGTATTTAGAGCTTTGCTCTTCCGACGCTGGTGTGCACTACTGGGGAGCGCTCTCTCTTTTCAAGTATTTTGGGGGAGAGGACACGCGGTTTGTGAGACCCAAACGTCCGCCTGCGAGGCCTCGAGACCAGCGACGCGGCGGGAGTCGGTCCAAATGCGACAGCTTCTCCTGCCTCATCCATCCTTCCGGATCCCGGATGTATACATATGTCCGTTGTTCATTTGCCGCCAGTCCGGCCGACGCTCGGCGGTTCTTGTTTTTTTCGTCTGCATTTGACGGTACAGGATCCATCGGACGCGCGGGAGGCGGCCGGGAGGGAGTAGAGTCCTCAGTCGACCGACCGATCGGAATTGGGGGTTGTTGAAGCTCTCTCGGAAGGGAAGCCGGCTGCCGGTGGATGGGGAGAAGGTCAAACCTTCTCACTTGCACAACAGTCGCGGACTGAGGTCCAACAGATCGTGGGGTAAATTCACATGAGGTGTGACTTTGTCCGAATGCTCGCACACAACGCGTCGGAGGGCGGCCTCGCGTCGCGTGAAGTTTCCCAACGGGTGAGAGTGGGCGTTTTTCTTTGGTCGACCAAGTGAGAGAGGCAGCTGCAACGGGCGGCTATTTCATTCGGTCGGTTGACATGAAGGTGTCGCACCAATTCGATTTGCGTTACCCGATGCGCCGACAAGAGACTTTTAGTCTGGTCTTCAGTTTCATGCACACCACCAGCAACGACGGCATCCCTCGTTCACCTCAACTCCTCCGATGTCGATAGATACACTGTTGCGATGCAGCGCTCAAACACGTCGAGATATCGAATCCTGCACGCCAGGTCGTGGTGCATCCCTGAATTTGAAAACAAATATCTAGGGGAATATTTGGTGCGGTATTGGAAGATGCAGATGCGGGATGTCCTCAGGCATCGGTAGCAAGTCGTCCCTCTCCGGACCTGGTTCGTTGGCGAAATGGAACATGGCAGCCAGACATGCTTTCATGGTCAAGCTGCACTGTTTTTGCTATAGATCAGGACAGCATACCCGACCCAACTTGACCGTCGTAGCTTGAAGGGCATTACCGCGTCGCCGGGGTTATAACTGCTGCGGAATGACAGCTTTGCAGAGCTGTCTGGGTTGTCTCTGGCTGGGTTAGCAACGGCGGCGAAGTGTTTCAAGCTCTGTTTGTCAACAGCGACGCGTCTAAAGCCTATATATATACAAGAGGACAAACAAGAGGACGCCAACTACCACTGTTAAGTCGGGTCGGGTATGCTGTCCTGATCTATACCATGCCCCACTTGTATTTTGATAACGGGTCTGCCATGGTGGTGCAGGACTATTGCAAAGAACACCCTGCACTTTGCAGATGCACATATGCACGCATATCGCTCTTGCCGCCAAGACTTTCCGGGGCTCTCATCAAATATCGACGACGGTGAATCCGTCGACTCTCGAGTCTCGACCCCCGTTTGGGATAGATCATTGACATCCAATTTGTGCATCAATCTGCACCGAACTCCTAGAGAAACAAAGCCATTCCGGCCCATTCGTCCATCACGGGGCCTCCACTTTGTGACAGGTGGGTGACTTGGAAAATAAGCGTCGCGTGATGCCTGTTGTGGTCGCTCGCCGCGTACAAAGGGGTTCATATCGATTTGAACGAGACGTCACTTTCGTGGCTTTTCCGGGTGATGTCGTTTTGGCTGCATGCCCAGACTCCCGAGAATCGTCTCGCGTAAGTCGAGACAGAGCCCATTTCGGCGTAGCGCCGTTAGCATCGGGTCTACGGACCCTTGACGAGACGACGACTCGAAGCTTGTTCGCCGGCGTTAGTGGAATCCTCTGCTACAAATCGATGGACCACAAGTTCCACAACTCGGTCTATTTGGGCAAATGCAATCTGCGGCTTGACAATTGGGAAGTCAATTTGGGGCGTTACACCAATCTGACGCGTCATGAACGCGCGCGGCGAGAACTGAGATTTGGGAAATGGCACACCACCCTCTCACATTTCACCACCTTCCTCCGACCACACAAACGTCCTGAACGCTGGTGTGGGTGGTCGGAGATCATTGCGGCTTGCTGAGTTGGAAGGGCTTGGTGGCTCACTCTCACAACCGTTGTCGACAGGATGAATGGGAGTTTGTGGGGAGATGATCGGATATCCCGCCCCATGGAAAGGAACGTCGTTCGACGGGAATGTATAAATACGCTGGCGAGCAGCCAGCGCCGAGGCCTCCGGCTTGAATACTGCAAGCATTGTGTTGGCGCCTATCATCCATACCCTTTTTTTCTAGCTCGAACCAAGCAGTGAAGAGCGAAAAGCAGGACCTCATAGATAGATTTGCACACACTCGCGCAGACACTCACATCAAGTGTTGAGAAGAAACAGACAACATTGACAGGACGCAACCAGGCAGTATTACTTCTCGGATAACATCCCGTACCTCATAGCAAATGATGGACGTCCCTCTCTTCCTCTTCGGCCTGACATCCGGCGTTGCCATCGTCTCCACCGTCCAATACCTCGTCCACACCGCCAAAAAGCTGCGAACCCGCAACGCCGTCGCACCCCACAAGATCGAAGAATCCAGCGATGCCCTCGTCTCCTCCCCGACCACCACCTCATCGCCCACCCCCGTGACACCGCCGGGCTCCGACTTTGACATGGGCACCTTCACCGCGCGCGCTATGTACGGCGAGCCCGCCTCCCGCAAACCATCCTACAGCGTCCCCTCCTTCGTCGCCGGCGACGGCACGCTGCCCCGTCTCGAGCGCGAACTCACCGTCTCCTCGCAGAAACTCCACCGGATGGTCCGCCACCTCGTCAACGAGATGCGTAAAGGTCTCGAAGCGGATGGCCACACGCTCAAGATGATCCCCTCCTACGTCGTCGCCCGACCCAAGGGCAACGAGGTCGGCTCATACTTGGCCTTGGACTTTGGCGGGTCGAACTTCCGCGTGTGCATGGTAGAGTTGAGGGGTAATGGGCAGACGAGGGTGAGGCAGAGCAAACATGTTATTCCGGATCATTTGAAGAAAGGGACGGGTGGGGCGTTGTTTGATTTCTTCGCGGAGTGTATTGGAAAATTTTTGGAGGATATTGGGGAGGATCCCAAGGCGCCGAGAAGCATTGGTGAGTACTCCACAGCGGGAGCGGGATCAACATGCCCTATCATCCTCCTATTCGCAGATGCTCACGGACGTACGCTCACCACGTCCCAGGCTTTACATTCAGCTTCCCCGTCCAACAAGAAGCCATCAACCACGGCGCCCTCATGCACTGGAACAAGGGTTTCGAAGCCACCGGCGTCGTCAACCAGGACGTCGTGGCCCTCCTCAACACGTCCCTCCAAAAAGCCGACTACAACCTCACCGTCACCGCCCTCGTCAACGACACCGTCGGCACCCTCGTCGCGCACGCCTACCAGGACCCGCAGACCTACATCGGCGTCATCCTCGGCACGGGCACCAACGCGGCCTACGTCGAGCGGATCGCGGATATCCCCAAATGGAACCGATCGGGGCACGGCGCGGTTGAAGCGGGGGGTGAGATGGTGATCAACACCGAGTGGGGCGCGTACGACGAAGCCTCGGTGCTCCCCCTGACATCGTGGGACCACCAACTGGACCGCGGGTCCGAGAACCCGCGCAAGCAGACGTTCGAAAAGATGATCTCGGGGATGTATCTCGGCGAAATCGTGCGGTATATCCTCATCGACCTCATCTCCACCGGCGAGCTCTTCAAAGGCGTATCCTCCAAGCCCCTGCAGACGCCCTACCTCTTTGAAACGGCGTACATGTCGCGGATCGAGCGGGACCACTCGCTCGAGCTGTCGGATACGAAGACGGTGTTGGAGGACCTGATGCAGGTGCCGGTGACGACTGCGCAGGACCGCAGGACGGTGAAGCATGTGTGTGAGTTGGTGGGGATTCGGGCGGCTAGGTTGAGTGCGGCGGGTGTGGCGGCGATTATTACAAAGATGAAGCGGTTTGATGCGTGTACGGTTGCGATTGATGGGAGTGTATTTGGTGAGTTCGTTTGGCTGTGATGCCGTGTGTGATCATTTCAATGTCGGAAGCGGCGGTTGTTGCATGTTTGAGCTTTGAGACGCATCAACTAACATGCCATCAACCCTCACCTCTTTCCATCAGAGCACTACCCGCACTTCGCCAACCGCATGCGCGACGCCCTGCGCGAGCTGCTCGGCATCATGGCCGAGAACATCGTCTTGGAACAAGTTCGTTGCACATCACGCCTACGTCACACCGTCGGATGACACCAAACTGACTTCCTCTTCTCCAATACTTGTTCTCGCAGGCAAAGGAAGGCAGCGGAATCGGCGCCTCGTTGATTGCCGCTCTCCACGCGCACTGAGTTCTCAGCTTTTGCGCCATATGACTTTCGATACCCATCCCTCTGTGCATATTTCGTCGCAAGTTCCCCCCAGTTGGTTCAGATAGAAGTGTTACTTTCGGCGTAGACTCGCCGGCGTTCTTCTTCCAGTAGAACTCTCTTTTCTCCTCGTTGAGCAAACTTTCGGTGCCAGCTTATATGCGCCGGTTTTTCCTTCTTTCTGTCACCATCATGTTGCTTGCCGTTGGAATATGAAAAGTGTATGTCAGATCCGTTGGTGTATATATATATATAGTTGTGCCCATGGTCTAGAGTACGGGTGAAACAGGGACCATTTTTACGCTACCGCAGACGCCCAATTCATTTCCGCCTTCCCCCCTAACGGCTGATGGAATGAATCTTTTCCACAAACCCAGAGCCGTAGTGCTTGATGCCGCTCCAGAAGGTAGTATTTCCTTCCTGCGAGTCATCCTTCTCTTCCAACTTCCGGGATGGCCTACTCTCCTTCACTTTCGATGTTTCCGGCTCCCCAGAATCCACCACCTTCGCCCGCTTAACCTTATTGGCAGGATTGCCAACCTTGCCCTCATAGGCCAGCTGAGCTGCCGTCGGCCGCAGCTCGAACTGCCCCATCTCTTCCATCACCCAGACGCCGTTCGTCAGGCAGCTGTGCACATCAATCTCGGAGATCCGAGTCTTGTGCTTGCGAGCGGTATCGAGATCAGCCGCCAGCTTCTCCCTTGATTTGAGGTGCTTGCGAGCGGTATCGGGATCAGCCGCCAACTTCTCTCTAGCTATGACGAGCTCCGCGTTGAGCTCTGCCTCGACGGCTTGGACGTTCTCCAGCGTCCGCTCGTACTCCTGAATCTCGCGGTTTCCGTAGGGCGCTTTTGCGGGGTTGAGGTCTATCCGGGCTTCACCCTTTTCGATTGTAATCCGGCAGCGCGGTATGTAGTGTTCGAACCATGATCGCTCCTCGTTTACGATACTTTGCTCCTCTCGTGTTCGGGTGGTCTCGTCTTTTGTAGCATCCCCTGTTGCGGGCGCTTTGGGGAACACCGTGTCAATAGCTGCATTCAAGCGCGCCGAGAGAATGTCGATGGCGGGTTTCACGCTGGCTTCCCTGTCGGCCCGGACGCGCGCTTTGTGCGCCTCTTCTGCTTCGCGGGCCTTCGGGTAGCTCGCGAGACTCTTTTGCATCTTGGCCAACCTCTTGCTCAAGGCCTTCTCACGTTCATTCAGCTTCCACTTCTGACTGCCCGTTACGTCGTGCCTATCGGCAAATTGCACGATGTCTACTTTGTTTCCACTGACTGGGTCGTGGATCGGCACGATGGTTTTCTTGTACAACTGACTTTGTACTTGTTCTAGCTGGTCGAGAATGGAGGGGCGATGCTTTTGTGCCATGCCGTGCACAATGTCATTTGGGTTGTCGACTAGCTCGATGATGGCCAATGGGGCCCTGTCGGACGCGAGACCGCGGAAACCGTATCTGTGCAATCGTGTGTAGCCTCCCTTTCGTGCTGCATACCGCGCGGCCAGCGGACCGCGCAACTTTTGGAATGTAATTCGATCGACCTAAAGGATGGGCGTTTGCCATAGATCAGATATGGGCCGTGCGAACACAGTGAAACCCGGGCGTAAGTCCAACTTACGAATAACAGATCCTGCGCCTTCTTCAGATCCTTGTCTGTTCCTCGCTTCACGTTCTCTATCATCTTTAGGAGAGAAAAGGTAAGTAAATCTTTTCAAGAAATCTCAAGTAGGAGAGGGCGGCAAACGCCATAGTTTCGCGCGAAACACAACATCTTCCCACGAGAGGGACAACATAGTCGGAATTCTAGCCAGAAGTACCTGTCCCTACTCCTCCTCCTCTGTCCGCTTCGCCCTCTGAGACGGCGCCTTCCACCATTCTTGCGCCCTTCCAAGGGCGATTCCCACTGATTTCCCACGAAGTTTTGCCCAACCCCATCCCTAAACCTCCAAATGCGTGTTTCGCTCACTGCCCTCGCATGCCACCCGCTATTGATTCTTGTCCCCGACAGACTATCGCCCATCCAACTCACCCTATCAGCAGCCCTCTGGATGAATTTGGCCTTTGCCAGTGTAGTTTCTATGCGTTCGTGGTAAACAAGTTGGGTGAGGAGATTTTTGAGGAGGGCCTGCCTATGAGTAGGGGTTCGACCCAACTTCTTGTTCCAGAAGCGTACACCGTGCTTCATCGTGGCGGTTCGTAGGGGCGGTTATGCGAGTGTGGTTGATAAAGTTGGCGATGTGGGTTCGGGCCCGGTGAAAGAGTCCCGAGATCTACAGTGGGCTGGTGCGTCCACGCTACTCGAATTTCTCTGCCGCTTGTCCGCAGCTTCCCTCACTCCGAGTATGTTATTACACTGAGCAGGGTTCGTTTGTGTGGCACTTGAGGTCGAGCCGTTGGCTGTGGATGGTCGCAGCGAGGTGGTTGTTGGGCAATGGCGAAGGAGTGTTTTCTGGCGTTTCCGTGCGGCGGTTATGAACGGCTTCTTATCCAGCTTCTTATCCAACTGAATTGAATTCGAACGGAGAGGCCACGTGACCTCCTTTTTTTTTGAATTAGTCATCCCGCTGACTCATGCCGAAATGCACCCATCTCTCGCTTGGGGGGAAAGAACATCCCGTTTCCTCGCTCATCAAGCCCATCATCGTGCGTTAAAAAGGACCTGTCCTCCCCATCTCATCAGGTATGCGCCCGTAGGCGTCAGCCTTACGCAGCACTGTCTTCTCCTCTTTCTCTTCACCTGGCTCACTCTCGTTCTCAATATCGCAGTCAGACCGTCATGACCGACATACCCACTTCCAGCGACCCCCGTTCCCTCGCTTTCGACACACTCGACGTCTTCACTAGCGCTCCTTTCGCGGGCAACCCACTGGCCGTCGTCCACCTCCGCAGTGCTGAGACGAATCGCTCGTCTCAGCAGCAGAAGCAGATCATCGCCCGGGAGTTCAACTTGTCCGAAACGGTCTTCATCCATCATGACGAGAGCTCCCTCAGCAATTATGACACGGAGCACCACGGCACTTGGAAGATCGACATCTTCATGACGAATCAGGAGCTACCTTTGGCAGGTCATCCCGTCATCGGAAGTGCATGGTGGCTGGCCCACACCTACGCGGATTTGCAAAGCGCTACGTTGCTTTGCAAAGCTGGACCGGTGCATATCAAGGTCGATCGAAGCGTGACCCCCTTCCGAGTGGCTGCCTCAATGCCACAGGCGCTGCGGATACTGCAAGCCGGTCCGAATTTGCAGGATATTCTGCAAATGCAACGAGGATTGGTGCCCCATACATCTGCTCTTCAGAATGCCAGGCCGGGCCAAGAGCGCTTCCCCGTGGTACAACTAGTGCCAGGGATGACATTTGCTCTGGTCGAACTCCCTTCCGGAGAAGCCCTTGACACCATTGCCCCAACTCCCACTCGAGTCACTGTGCCAAGTGAAGAGGGTTTCATTGCGATGTATCTATACACCCTCCGTCGCGAGGCCGCAAAACGTTTCACTCTCCACACCCGTATGATCGAGCAGTTTCTAGAAGACCCGGCCACCGGGTCCGCTGCTTGCACTCTCAGCGGCTACCTAGCACTCCAGGCGGTGGGCGCCGATGCTTCCGCACTGGCAGACGTGGAAACTCCTTGGGAGTTCAACATTACCCAGGGCGAGAAGATGGGCCGCAAGAGTGACATTCATGTCAAGGTGTGGATCGATGTGGAAGGGACTATCAAGGAGATCCAGTTGGGTGGGTCTGCCGTTCAGGTCATGAATGGAACGCTGTGGTCTCGCTAGGTAGTAGATAGGGACAAAATGACGTATGGAGGATATTTTCCCCTTGGAGTAGTAGTAGCAAGCAATCTGTATCTTGCTGTACAGTACATACCATCATAATGGACATAGCTGGGAGCTGAGCGTATCATAGTATACGGTGGGTATGGAACGCGTTACGGAGGAAACGGAAAACGCGCTCGTCAATCCTGTTAAATTCCAAAACAGCTTGTCATTTTCGGCATCTGGCATTGCTCCCCTTCCTCCGAGTACTAACAAAAAAGGAGCAGTAATAGATCACGCAAAAGGAAAAAGTCTCATCGCCAACCCGCTGTGAGAGAGAATCCCATTGCACCCATAGACGTTCGCGGCCATGACAAACCTCACCACCTACCTAGCCGCAAAAGTCGCCCAAACCCGCAACCCCCCGCCCCACTCCAGCACACCCCGCCCACCCACGACGACCCCCATCGCACCCACCCACCACTACACAGTCCCCGTCTCATACCCCTCCCGCCCTTCCTCCGTCCTCTCCTTCGCCTCCCTCGCCTCCCAGCATAATCAGTTCGATGCCCATCACCACCATGTGGGCCCGCTCGCGACGTCACCGACACCGACGACGAGGACGATGAGGATCGTGTCGCCTGTGTGCGGCCAAGAGGGGGATGAGGATGAGGAGGATGATGAAGATGGGTACAGGGAGGGAACGCGTGGGGAGTCGCCTAGGTTCTCACCGCTGCGGGGTGTCTGGGAGGCTCCTGCTGAAACGGGCCAGCGCACGGGCGGCGGTGGGTTTGGCTTTGATTTTGATTTTGATGTTGGGGGCGGTCTGGGGGGGTGGAATGAGCGGAAGAGTGAAAGTGGGGCTAGAGTGCGAGGGGAGGGGAGGGAGGACGTAAGGCCGAGTAATGTTCGGGCGGATGCGGACGAGGAGGAGGAGGAATGTGTGGGTGGTGGGGGTGGCGAGGTGAGTGAGTCCCATCGCTCTTCAACGTTTCATTGCCGATGACCGACAGCAATGCCTCCATTCCACGTTGAATCCAGATCCTGAGAGAAGGCTGGGTATGGACGCAAATGGCCATGAACTGGAAACGGGTCTACGCCATCGCCACGAGCTCACCAGGCGACGACGGGGGTGGGTTCTTGAACCAGTACGAGTCTGATTCCGTACGTATCGGAGAAACAAGTCTGCCCTTCTATTCACCCTCACCCACACACACGGTGCTCACAGCGAGCTCACATTTTAGGCAATGCAACCCCTTCGCACCCTCCCCCTAACCCCCTCCACCCTCATAACCCCCCACAAACCCCCCACATACACACTCTCCACCAACCGCCACGAGATTCGCATCTCGTCCCCGGACTCGGTGATGGCAACGGATACCATGTCGGATCAGGCGGGGTGGGTCGCGGCGTTGAGGAGCATCACGGGCGTGCAGGGCGGGATGACCGTGATGGAGGAGGAAGTGAGGCCCGTGCCGAGCGCGCCGGGGTTGGAGGAGATCGGGAAGGGAGAGGGTAGCAGTGGTCCGGACGGTGCGGATGCGACTCACCCACCCGGTACAAGCACCACCCCCAACGAAACGACCCCCGTCTTCCGCCGCTCACCCATCCTCTCCCTCCCAACCGCCGCCGCCGCCGACCCCACCCACATGCACACCGAACTCGCAGCCATGAAAGACCTCCTCGTCAAACTCCTCGACGCGCAGATTCGACACGACTCGGACTCGGCTGCGGACGCTGCGGAGCGGTTTGAGCAGCTGAGGGTGCAGGTTGGGAGTGCTGCTGATGCTATGCGGGAGGTTGCGGAGGTTACCAATCGATTGCGGGGGGAGAACACGGGGGATGGTATGGGAAAAGCTTCACCGACTGCTGCGTCGGTGGCGGAGATGGAATCGGCGGTTGCGGAGTTGACCGAGTCGATGGAGATGCGGACGAGTAAGATTGGGAAGATGGTGCATGAGTTGCAATTAAGGAGGGATCCGGTGCCGGTTGTTGAGGCCTTGTTGGAGAAGGTGGATGGCAACATCCCTTCGGCTGCGCTGCAGACTGCTCTTGACTGGCTGATGAAGACCGTTGGGGAGTTGAAAGACACAACGCAGGCGAGGGGCGATGGCGAAAGCACGGCGGCGCTGGTCAAAACTATGGCAGAGTCCTATGTCGTGAGTCCAGAGCATCCCATCGACATGGCTGCGCTGAAAACCACGCTGACACGGCTGGCTGAGGAGACGGGCGGTGTAAAGGGCGAGCTGACGGCGCTGCGCGAAGGCGAGCGAAGGGTGGTGGAGGTGGTTGAGAAAAGCAAGGGATTGCTCGAGGAGCTCGTGCGAGATGGTGGCGGGAACAGGACCGAAGAAATGAAGCAGCTGACGACGTTGGTGACGGACATTGCGACGGCTATCGGGTCCTCCGACACCGATTCGTCCTTACGGGATGGGCTAGCCGACCTACGCGCACAGGTCGGAAGCCTGGACAAGACTCACGGCGACAAAACCGCCAGCGCCATCGACACCATCGTCGCCGCCGTAACGGGCACGTCCCAGCAGGTGATTGAAACCCAGACCGGAGAGCTCCGGGCGCTCACCACCGCCGTTCAGAACCTCGAACGCGACCAAATCGTCAAATCCGACATGGCGCCGCTACACGAAGCGATCACCGCCCTATCCGCCCAGCTCTCCGCCCCATCCTCGCCCTCCAAACCATCAGGCTCCCTAACCCAGGGCCTCGACCGCCCCACCGCGTACATGATCACCTCCATGAACGACAAACTCATCCACCTCGCCCGCCTCGTCGACCACGTGCAGGAGACCCAAAAGGCCCGGTTCACGAACCTCGAAGACGCCCTCCGCCGGTCCGCGCTCCTCCTCGCCAGCCGCACGCCCTCCCGCTCCTCGCAGCCCGACGACGAGGAGACAGAGACGGACCAGATGCTGCAGCAGCGGAAGTTGACGGATATCCGCAGCTGTCTGGGCGCGATCGAGGAGAAGGTGGCGCGGATGGGCAGGGAGGGGCAGAGCTCGAAGGATGTGCTGGATGGGCGGTGGGCGCATGTCGGGGAGCAGTTGAAGTACATGCAGAGGACGTTGGGGAGGTTGGTGCAGGTCGGGATGTTTGGGAATGGGGAGGAGGGCGAGGGTGTGACCAGCGGCGGCGGAGCAGGATCCAAAGATGCTTCTCGCAATACTGGGGGGGCCAACGCCCACATACACACGTCTGCCGTTGCCACCGCCACCGCCCCCGACGCGACGCTGACAGCGACACTGACCGAGCACCGCCACCTCCTCGCCCGCCTCCACGCCGACATGGCCGAGATCAAAGACACGCTCTCCGACGACGTCACCGGCGACCGGCTGCAGCATCTCGTGGCCATGTTCGGCATCTCGCAGGACACGCACGGGAAGGTGGCGGGGGACATGGACGTGCTGAAGGCGCAGGTGGCGCGGATCGTTGCTGCCGTCGACTCCGGTTCCACCCCCCCGACGGGGACGGGTGAAGAAGCGATGGGGCGGATCGAGACGCAGCTCGCGACGCTGGCCGCAAAGATCCCCACCCCGCCCCCGCTGAAAGACACCGGGCCCCGCCTGCTCGAATCCATCCACTCGTGTCTGGTCAGCTACCTCCCGCTGGACCTGGACGCGCGGCTGACCGCGATCCAGGACAGTCTCGCCAGCGTGTCGCGCACGCGCACCGTCCACGTCGTCGAACCCGGGCGGGCCGACTCGAACCTCACGATGCTCGCGGACCTCACCCAGCGCGAACGCGCCACGACCGCCGCGCTGGACTCCATCCAGCACGCGTTGGCGCGGATGCTGGAGTGCATGGACGCGTGCGGGATCACCCGCGGCGGGAGCGTCGCCCGCTCATCGGTGTCCGCGATGGACGTGACGGAGCTGAGGGAGATCCGTGCCGCGGTGTGCGAGGTGCGCGAGATGGCCAGGCGCGGGTTGGGTGCTTCGCCTGCATGTGCAGGTTCCACCCCGTCGGCCGCAGCCCTCGAGTCCGAGACAGCGGCCCTGCGCACAGCCCTCTCCACCCTGCAGGACACGCACGCTTCGCTCGCCGACGAAATCGCTCACCTCCTCGACCAGCGCCACGCGCTGGCGAGGGATATCGCCGCCATGGAGTCGCGGAAGATCGAGCTGGGTGCTGATGTGAAGGGCGATGGGAGGAATGGGGGGGCGGGTGTGCGACGGCCGAAGAGTGGGCATGTGATGGTGAATCGGCGGATCTCGTGTCCGCCCGGGATCAGGGTTGGGGCTGCAGCTGGGGCCAGGATTTGATGAACCGGTGGAGGGAGGGAGCCATTAGAACATTTTGTTTTGTGAAGGGTGTTTTTTGCATTCAACCAGATTCGGTTTGTTTCCCTAGCTAAGCACATCCTCTAAAGGTTCCTAAGTTTTCGATCGATAATCCAGGAGTATAATATGCCAGCGTCTCTCGAAGAAGTTGTTCGTCTGTATCCCGGGATCGTCAGTCAACCAGATGACTGTCAAGTCCCGTCACTGTCTGCCCAACATCTGGGCATGAAGCATTCTGACAACTTCCGTGGGATGCACCATATTCCGCTTCATTGTCTGTGATGAATATCTCCCCCTTGGGGTGTATGCTCAACGAATGTTTTCCGAAATGTACAGTAGCTCTCTTGAAAAAAGGACCACAGACTCGCAGTAATATAATGTGCATGACACGTACGACGGCGCCTAATGCTATCCAAAACGCATCTATACTCCTTGTAACAAAAGAGCGCGACTCTACATCTACCCTCCGCCATTCCATCCCCATATATACAGCTTTCTCAAAGTCTCTCCTCCAACACGCCATCCCCGCGCCTCGCCGCCTCCCTCGTCACCACCCCGACCACAAGTCCCGCGGTCCGTTGCACCAGCTCGTTATACCAGTCCATCCCGGCCTCCGAGTTGAAAACGTTCATGTGGGCGTCGATCTCGTTGAGGTAGGGGTGGGTCATTGTGCTGAAGAGGTGCGCGGTGGCTGGGGGTGGGGGGTTGCAGAAGTGGCGGTGGGTGGGCGGGGTGGTGGGTGTCGGTGTCGGTGTCGGTGTCGTTGTTGGGGTATCTTTTGGGGTGGGTATATTGGGTGGGTTTGATGGGGTGGGTTCGACGGGTGGTGATGTTGAGGGGGTTGGCGGTCTGGCGGTCTGGGGTGCGCCCTCTGCCGGTATTTTGACGGAATCAGAAGGGTTGGCAGGCGCCGTCGATGCCACAGGTACGCTCTCTGATTGTCCCGATGCAGTTGGGGCAAACGCTGTAGATGGGTCGGGTGTGCTTTGCGATGGTTGCTCAACTGTTGCGGAAGCGTAGGGTGTCGGCAACGTTCGCAATTCGTTAATCACGGTGGTCGTTGTTGTCGTTTCCACGACCTGTCCCTTCTCATCAATGTCCATCATCTGGACAGTCGCGCTGGCGGCCGACGTTTCTGTAGTAGCTGTGGGAGCAACGGGTGGAGGTGCCGGCTTTGGTGGGGTCGGGTATGGTGGAAGCTATAAGAAGATGAAAGTGTTAGTTCTTGCCCTTTGCTGGTTTCAAACTCACGTAAAAAACCCGACGAGTACACATACCGCCAAATACAACGCCGAAAATGTCAACCTCCTCCTCCCCTCCATCTCATTCCTCAACATCTGCACCCTCTGATGCATATCCCAATGGGTATTAACAAGCGGGTATAAAAAATGTAAATGGTCTCGTATATGTTCCGCGCTGGACACTGCGAACGAGGTGGCTACGCCCGAGGCGATCATTGTGGCGGGAATGTATGCTATTGCGAGGGGTGCGACGGCGTAGGCGGTGGCGGCCATGGCGGCGCCGCCTAGGGCGTACCGGGCCCATGGGGGCACGCGGGATGTGAGGGCGTTTAGGGCGACCATGTTTGCGGAGGTTGGTTGTGGGGGATCTGGGATGGCGTCGGCGGATGCCGGGAGGCCGTCGGGAGAGGTGGTGGGTGTGGTCGTCGCAGCTGGTGTATTTGCCGAGTCGGCTGCTGGAAGCGAAGTGTGCGTTTGCAAGGGCACCGTCACATCGGTTGCCTCTGTCGCGGCCGCCGCTGCTGTTGCAGCAGCTTCAGACAGAGTAGCAGCTCCAATAACCCTCTTCGTCGCATTGAACATCCAGGCGGTGGGTACAGGAACCCTCCCAATCGCCGTCGGAATCTCGACATGCCGTGGGGCATAAGCAGACACGGTCTCCAACGCGGTGGGCAGGTACACTTTAGCATTCATGATGCCGTCCGTGACCAACGCCACGGCTTTATTCGTTCCCGCCTGTGTGAGCACGCTAGCATGCAGACCGTAAAACGGCGAGTCGAATGTGATGATACCCCGGATGTTGACGAGAAGCCGCACGTCAGAGTCTGGGGAGTATTTGTCTGTTCCTTCGAAACCGTCTTCGGTGGCATTTGGTGGTTTGGGGGTTGTCGTGCCTGGTGTTGAAGCGGCCGATGCAGGCGGTGACGAGGCCTTTGCTAATCGCCAGCTGCCCAGCCATGACGTTACGGCTTGTAGGCCGGGTACGCCTACAGCTGTCCCTGTTGGGATGGTCGCCTGTGATGTGTTGTTCGGTGTCTCTGCAGTCTTCTCATCGACAGACTTTTCGTTTCCAGCCTTCTCATCGGCCTTCTTTTCGTCTCCTGTGTTCTGCTTCTCATCGACGGGGTTCTCATCCCCAGCCTTTCCATTGACATCCATCTCCTTCGCAACCCCATCGCCAGCATCCGCCTTCGTTCCGGTCCCATCCACCAGCTCATCACCCTTCCTCAACCTCTCCTCCACCTTCTCCTTATGCAACGCATACATATACTGATACGCATCGGCGGCCAACAGCCCGCCCATCGAATGCGCCAACAGTATCACACACTTGTATCTCCCGGTGGTCGCATGGATCAGCAGCCAGTCAATCAACTTCTGCACGGAACGGGCATTATGGCCTCGGGTGTCGTAGCGCGGGAACAGACGGACTTCGACGTCGCCGGGGTAGAAGAGGTTTGGGTGGGAGGCGTGGAGGAGGGCGGCGAGGTCTGTTGGGAAGGAGAAGAAGGATTCTTCTGAGCCGAGGAAGCCGTGGATGAAGACGAGGAGGTATTTGCGGCGCTGGGAGGGGGGGAGTGCGGGGAGGGGAGGGGAGTCGCTGGCGGAGGGAGTTTGCGACATTGTTGGGTGTGCCGGGGTGAGAGTGCGTGAGACGCCCTTTTCTGTGTGGAGTTGGAGGCCGCTGAGCAAGAACACAAGCCGTGTTGTGAGGGTTCAGTCACTTCAGGAGGGAGCGTTCTCAGCAGCAGTCGATCGTCTGCGCATGCCTTCAAGGATATTATCGCACTGAGGTGCGTGCGGACGGGAGCGTGATGATGATGAGAACGACGAGCGGACGGGAGCGCGTCGCTTCTTTCACATGTCACTCCCTCCCTCACTCACTCACTCACTCACCCAGTCCTCAATGTGGCTTGCTTGTGGCTTGCTTGTGGCTGGCTACTTCTCACGCCGCGGGTGTCACTCCATCGACACCTCCCTAATGGACTCAAACCGCCGCTTGCTGTCAGTCAGTCGTGTTCCTGTGCAATCGCCTCCCCCCCCTTCTCCCTCACAATCAATACATCGGAAATCATGTGCCCTCTCGACTCCCCCCCCCCCCCCCAGCCGTTCCATTCCAGGGCTATCCCGCCGATCTCGGATATGCAAATGATGATTCCTGGTGGTCGATAATATTTCCACACCAGTTGCACAAATGCCACCCAGCCGTCAATGGGGGGGATTCTAGAGGAGGGAGGGGCTTGGGGGAACGGTTCTTGGCTTTGCAATATGCCTGCATGTGACCCACGCCCCCCCACCCACTCCACCCTTCCTTCCATACAGTACGCAGGACGACCACTTGGCGTGTGGAGATCCCCCGTGTGCGGGCCATATAAAAGCAACGGGCACGCCTGCACGCGTATCGAACTGCATAAGAAAGACGAACGAAAGCCCTTCTTCCACCCAGAACCACACGCCGCCGCATCACACATAAGCAAACAAAAAGCAGAGCGACAGCAAAGATGAGGTATGTTTCCATCCGTCGAAGAACGCCGCCCAAATACTCGAAAAGCGAGAACCTAACCCCCTCACGCCGTCTCTTCACTTCCCCACCTGTAAAGAATCGGCCAACACCTCCGCATGAACCCCCCGCTCGTCCTCCTCGCCGCCGCCGTCAGCTTCGGCCTCGGCGGCGGCCTGTTCATCGCTTCGGTAACGCCTCCCATTGCTCCCATATCTATCCTTTCGGCCGTACTCACCAGCTTGCGATTATACGAACCCCCCTTTTTTTAACAGCATATCTTGAAAAACGACCCGACGGTCATGGTCGCGCGCAAGAAGGAGAACCCGTACCCGTGGCTGAACGTGTCGCCGGACAAGAATCTGAAGCTGTATGCTGTTAACCGGAAGGTACGCGGTACAACGGAAGGGGGTCGGGTCTGTTCACGCACGACGTTGATCTTCATTCTTTCTTCTGCCCAACCCATGCAGTTCACGCCCGAATGAGGGAACACGATGGTACGGCAGGCAGCTGATGGGTCTAGCTGAGGGGTTCACTCGAATCTTTTTGTAAATACAGTATCCGGCCTCTGTTTCTTTTTTGTATGCTGGGAATACAAATCTGTACAAAACAACACATTTGGCGGGGAGCAACCACTGGATGGAGTGGTGGAGAAGAGTGAGACGCCGTCCGCGGGCATACGAGGGGAGAAGTTTATACCCGGTCGGCATTCCCATGTTGGCCAGGCAAGTTCCTTACAGAGATATGTTGCGTGGTATTTGTGTACAAACATGAAACAGGAAAACGTCCAACTATATACTGGAGGGAGGAGTGAATTGATATGGGGGAGGGGGGTGGCTGCCGTTCTGATTTGGACCCCGGGGGGGGGCCTGACCAGAAGGGCTCCGAAAACGCACGACGGTCCGAGAAACAGTACAGGGGCCAAAACCTAACAACTACAAGTAAAAAAATTAACTACATGGGGGTGGCAGATATACAAAAGAGGATGCAGTCCCGTAATGTCTTGTTGGTTGGTTGGTTTACAACGCAACGGCAAGGAGAGCGATGACAGCAGCGGAGGCCGTCAGCGCGGCGGCGACAGGTGCTGCCCCTGTGCGGTCTCCCGCCGAGGTCGCTCCCGCCGCAGGCTGCGTAGCCGTAGCCGTAGCCGTCGCGGAGGCGGAGGAGGAGGAGGCACTGGTCGCCGCGGCCGAAACCGTCGCGGCCGGCACATCCGTCGGCACCACCCCACCCATGGTCGTCACGGACCCGGTGACACCGTCCGTCGGCACCGGCGCTCCCGCCCCGCCCACCACCGCCCACGCCGTCCGCGAGGTGTGGAAGTACTGGTACGCCTGCGGGTTGACACTCGCGCGCGCGGCGCCGTGGATCGCCCACACGTATTTCGTCTGCGCGTCGGAGGTCAGCGACGCCGGGACCGTCCAGTTGTACCCCTGGCGGGTCATGGAGCCGGTGTTGGGCACGCGGCTCAGGGGGCCGATGTCGTGGAGGAGGGAGGAGGCCGGGAAGCTTGCGGCGAGCGGGCCGGTGGGCGGGTTGGTGAGGTCGATTGTTTCGTTGCCGAGGGTGGTGGAGGCGGGGGCGTAGGCGAGGGTGAGCGGGAAGTTGGGGACGGGGTCGACGATGCCAAAGTCGACCCAGATGAGGTAGGTTTTGCCGACGGTGTATTCGGGCTCGGTGCTGAACGCCGGTGCGGCGGAGACTGGGGAAAGACGAGTGAGCAACTGAGGTGCGACATTGACATCCGGGGGCGCTGAACGCTGGATTTTAACTTACCAGCAGAGACGAGAGCCGCTACAGCGACAAGGAGGGCGTTCAACGACTTCATATTTGAGCTTGGGTGGTGCAGGAGTTCACTTTGATATATGGGTTTCAAGATCTCGCGGGGTACGACTGCGAGTGCAAAACCAAAGTTGTTTCACGGAGGTCCGTCGCAGTGAAGGTAGAGGGGGGTATATATGCGGTTCGGCCGAGCACCCTGAGACTTTTCGCTGAGTGGTTGTGCCAAGCCTTTGTGAGCAGAAGTGGATGTTGCACGGCCGTCGAGTGCGCGTAGTTGGAGTAGTTGGAGGGAGGCGGTGCGTGGGGAGCGATCAAGGCGATCACGCCCAATCCGCAGCCAGTGAGTGCCAGACGCGCAGTGCATCGCGACACCCAAATCCACCGCAGGATCAACGCACTCAAGACTCATGGACATGAGGGGCGGGCATTCGCTTGGGGACCTTCTTCACATTCCAACATGGATCAGAGAGGGAGAGGGGTGGATGGGGACAGTCCTTGAAGTGAGCATATCAGATGCCAGCCAGGCCTGGGACCCCCGCGGCCAATATTCATGCCGTGATCGGACGGACGCCCCCCGGCTGCCGTGCTCCCCAAGTGATATATTCGCCACATGCCTGTGAGATTGTGGATCAAATCACATATCCACTTCCAGTACAGTATACTATTTATGATTTCAATGTTCTGTATGGTACTGTACAGTACCTACTACCTACTACAGTATGTATTGTATTTTGCATATCGGATTCGAAGGCGTCGCGCTCTGGCCACCTTGAAAAGCCTCGAAGGAAGCAGAACGGGAACTCTGCGCGGTGGGCGGAGTCCTCCGCTACCCGTTATCCCACCGCGCCCGATGTGGATCCAGGTTTTGAAACGTCATGAACGCACACAAGGTTTGGACGTGGAGATCATACGTCTATATGAGCGAGGGGAACGTTTATGGCTGGAAGGGCGGGGACCCCGCAACGTTTTGTGGCGCAGATTCGAAACGGTCTTTGGGGCTCGTTTTTCCCGAGGTGGGAGAGCGATTCGTTTTTGCATGATGTCCAGGCATATGGGCGACGCGCATAGAGGTATCAAGGAAGCGCGGCCTACTCCCACATCCGGTTGTCTATTGAGTGTCTCCCATGTGTTTACGCTGAAGGAAACATCAACACGGTATTCCGAGCAAATAGCAAGAGCGGAACACGCCGAGAGCCACCCATCGATGTACTGTACGACATGCATACTGGATATGCCGCGCACTATGTGTGTACAGTAGACACCGGCGGAGCTCGCAACGATGTGCTGCCGGATTCAAGCAACCGAGCGGGATTGACGTTGAGATGCAGTGGATCTAAGCATCCCCCGCTTCATCATCGCTGCTGTAGCATATCAGATAGGCTACTGAGATACAGTCGTGGAAGTGCGCCTGCTCGTCGTCCGTGGCCGCCACCTCGAAGCACACGATGGTCCACATGTCGGGGGCGCTGGCGATTTCCGTCAAAAGCTCCACAATCAGAGAGCATTTACATAGATGGTTTTTAAGCAAAGATGGAGGAATATTGAACAGTGGGATGTCAAAAGGAAGAGACCACAAAGCATTCGCACGGAATGAAAGATAGCAAAAAAATTCGGTCCCCATTACATTACACATTAAACCGTAAGAAAACAAGACATAGGCAGGAGGTTTGTTCAAACGAGCACTGCTCCACCAACAAACATTCCCCCCCCCCCCCCCGCCCCCCCCACCCCTCCAAGACCAAAGTGAATATGGTAATGATGAAGAAGAAAGGGGAGTGATTAAGAGCAGGGGGAAAGCATTACAGGCCCACCCAAAACCCCTCCAACAAAGAACATGAGAGGGGAGACCAAAGACGACCCACCCCGTCTCCCGACCCCCCAACCCACCCCCCACTCATCATCCCCCACACCCATCCCTCCTCAAACAATGATCGTCGTAGTAGCAACCCCATACACCGCGGTCCCTGTCGTCGTGTACGCCGGGAGCGTGCCCGGCTGCCTCCGGACCCTGCGCGGGTTCGGTGCGATGGTGACCTGCGGCAGGGTGGGGAGGGGGATGACGGGGCCGAGTGGGTCGAGGGTAGCGGTCGCTGTTGCGGTTGTGGTGCCGTCGGTGGATGCGGTGGCGGGGTCTTGGCGACGGCGAAGACGGATGGCGGTGGTTGCGGGGGCTGGCTCGCTTGCGGGGATGGTGGTGGTTTCGAGCGTGCCGATGGGGAAGAGGGGGAGTTGACGGCCGCGGAGACGGGCGGGCGCGGGGGCGGGGGCGGTGGCGGTTGCTGTGCCGGTCGTTGTCTCGATGGGGATTAAGGTGATCAAGGGGGCCTGACGTGCGCGAAGACGGGCGGGGGCGATCGCAGCTGCGGTTGCCGTCGCCGTCCCTGTGGCTGTCGCAGTATCCGTCTCGACGGGGATGGTGTCGATCAAAGGCGCTTGACGGGCGCGAAGCCGAAGAGGAGCGATTGCAGTTGCCGTGGCCGTTGCAGTAGCGGTAGCGGTCGAAGCAGCCGGAACGGTACCGATCACCCCATCTTGACGCGCGCGAAGACGAAGCGGAGCAAACGTCGCAGTCGCAGTCGCCGTCGTTCCAGACGCAGTCTCTTGCCGCCTAACCACTTGCACAAGCTTAGCAGCCTCCGTCGCAATGGCAGTAGCGGTCCCGGTCGTCGACGACGCGGTAGTGGTGGAAGACGAGCCGGCCCACTCGCTGCTCCAGGCGGACTCGATGGCGAAATCGCGGACCTCGAGAATAGCTGGCGGGCGTGGACGCGTTGGGGTGGGCGCGGCGTCGACGGACACGGAGGCGACTGCGGCGACCGCGAGGGAGAGTAGTTGGACCTTCATCGTTTCGGTTCGGGTGGGTTCTTCAACGAGGTGCGGGTATATTCCAGTATATGCGGGGTATGATCGCTAACGAACGTGAGAGATGGACCGCTCTAGGAAGTGATATCCTACGTAGATATCTGGGGCTGGTGAGAGAGAAAGGAAGAGAGGGGTTGCGCACGGGCGCGACATCGCTTTGGTTGGTATTTATACGGGCACGCATTCCTATGCCTCTCCGATGGTCGTTTTCGCGCAAGAGGGCCCGAGTTTCATCGATAAGTTCCACGTTTTCTGTCAGTTTCCCGAGCGCGGGTAGATTTCACCGGGCCCTTTTTAGCACGAGTGTGTCTTGGCAATCGCTTGCGACATCGATGGGAAGCGGTGGTTCGGACCATACGATGAGGGCACTGGATAGCGAAAAAAAACGTGGCGGCATAAAAGTCCGAGGCGGCGTCCCGCTCTTCGTTTGGTTCCGTCTTGCGAGGGGTCCTATCGCACCTATCACCGGAAAGCACGACATTCGGCATTGATTCTAGCCAAGGCTTATTCTCTGACAAGGAAATGGTGAGATTATGTTTGTTATGAACGGGGTCCCGTATCTGCATGTGCGTTTGTTTCGCTCCCGGTCAAAAAGACCGACAGGCAGCCTGAGGCCCGACTGGGGCTGCTGTCAATTCGCTGTCATTCAGACGCGCCGGATCGCTTGTTTTTCGCCATCGCACACTGTTCTTCGCGCTCTTTTGACGACCAACAATGAACTCGACTCTATCAAAAGGTCTCGCACCGCCGGTGTCCCATCGATAGCGGATGAGTAAGCGGACAGGATCGCGAGTTTTCGGCCCGTTATGGCAGGGTCCCCACTGGAAATATCCGGTGCACGCTGCGCTACTGGTGTCTGCCTAGTAGAGTGAGATCTAGATCTAGCCGAGAAAACTCCGCTTGAGACAAATCTAATCTGCACTCCGCATTCACATGCCAATTGCGGTCCAAGTTTTCAAACTCTAAGCTTGTATGCCTCCCGGATGAAAAGATCGTAGGGAAATGCAAGGTTTCGAAACATGTTGCTTGTCCTATGGAATGTTCGATTTCAACCGCGACCGCAACCGGCACAAGTCTAAAGCGGCGCTCAAACGTTCGTTCTGCCAAGTGTTTTCGAGAAGATTTTTGCAGATGTGCATGACATTTGAACGACGAAAGTGTACAGGAGGTGGCAGAAGCCTCTCGACGCATTGTCTCTCTCTGTCAGCGTGTCAGAGAAGACATATGGTATCACTCGGGAAGACCAGATGAGGCTTTCCAGTACAGCTTCTCTCATCTCATCCCAATCAAACAGCCAATGAAGCCGCCCCATGAGGCATTCGATATCGAATTGCATAACGTCGCTTCGCTCGTATATTATACAGAATTCCCTACTCCAACGAATAAATAACGCGACTACAGCGTCTTCAAATACAAAATGTACAAAACTGCCCTCCAGTCCCTTGCCCACTATCAATCACGCCTCCGCCCATTCGGCGACAACGAAGAAGTCTCAAAGAAATGCGCGGTAGCATCAATGAACATAGTCTCATTCTTCAACCGATGAATCAAGATCGTCCCCGAGGTGTAAGCATGTGCCCATCCCTGGCCCGACTGCGGATCATCATAGAACTCATTATCCTCACTAATCCAATTCCTCAGCACATCTCCTCTTCGCAGCCAGAATGACACCATAGCATCCTCCTGCCCCAGCTTGTTCTCCTCCGGAAACGGGTCCTCGGCGATCCAGCGCACCAGATCCCACGACAGCACGTATCCCATCCCCGCCATGAAGGAGTTTTGCACCGCGCGCCCGAAATACGTTCCCTGCTCCGGGAGGCCCTGCAGCCGCTTTTCGAGGTTGGGCAGGTGCAGCCACACGTCGTCGTCGGTCTTCATGATAAATTTGTATTTGCCGTCGCGGACGTTCTTGGCGACGTGGGTGAAGTAGTGGTAGGTCTTGCCGCTGTCCATGTTTTCTTCGACGTCGATGATCATGATGTCGTTGTATAGCTTGTGCTCCCATTCGAGGAGGTGTTGCTCTTCGGGCGTGTTGGGGCGGCCAAAGACAAAGTAGAAATCGATGCCGGGTGGTTTGAGCTGGAGATAGGTTGCGCGGATGAGAGCGCGCCGTTGCAGCTTCCAGGGAACCGTCAAGAGGCCCACAAGCGCGGTTCTGTTTACATCGTCCTGCTCAATATGCACATGAAAAATAAGCCAAGCAGACACTAGGGGCAGACAATATCACAAGCTGGAGGAACGCGATACCAACCCTCTGAGGATCCGGCTTCGCACTTTTATCACCCCCCTTCCCAAACTTCCTCTTCAAAAACTCGCGTATCTGCCTAACCTCCGCCGTCAACTGCGTCAAAGCCTGCGACTCCACCACCTCCGACCCCGGCCTGCCCGTCCCGGGGACAACCACCTCCTTCGCAACCTCCGGCTGCGGCTGCGGCTCGCCTCCTCCTTGGTGCTGTTGATGCTCGGAAGCGTACCGCTCAGCCGACGATGGCTCGCGGACGCGTTCTCCGCGTACCGCCTCGGCTAGGGGTTCACCCAGCCGGCTGATGTCGTTGGGGGACTGGAAGGCGGATTGGAGGATGAGGATGAAAACGAGGGCGATGAGGATGAAGGGGAGGAAGAAGGGGATGCGTGTATTCGACATGTTTTTAGACCGGGATCGTGGAGGAGTTTGCGGGTTGGGCGTTGGCTCGGTCGAAGGTGCTGTTTCATATATCTACGCTCAGGTTAGTTTTCGGCATATTCTTCAAGAAAAGCAGAAGAGCTCTCGCTGCAATCAAACATACCTGCCAGAAAGTTTGACGCCACACGAATCAAGATCAACTCGATGGCCTGCGCTGCGCTGCCGCTTACTGATTTAGTGTGACGACAAGTCGCGAGTTTCTGCCACTGAGGTGAACAGTTCAAACTGAAGCGATTACTGAGAAGCGTCCTCTGTATCTATGTATGAAGGCTACGCTGGTGTCTGCAGGCTGGTCGCGCATGCATGCAGAGGGGAAAGGCTTGATGTCTGTCCCCTTGCCCGAATTCCAAGATCTCATTTCCCTTTGCCGACGCGTTGAAGGACGCGTACGCCCGTGTTCTCACGTTGCTGCGCCCTTTTTGGACATCCTCGCGGCTTCACCTACTATACTTTTCGTCGGCGACGACGGTATGAAGATGACTACCACAGAGGAAAGGAGGGGCCTGAGAGCGCCTGTGTGGACACATAGTGTGCGTGGTCATCCCAGACCAACCACTTACGACAGTGCGGCCAGAGCGAGGGGACGTTAAACGTTCATGCGAGGGCCACTCCACAAGAGACCTCTCTGTGCGCGAGGTACCCATTCGACGCCTGAAGCCTGAGTTTTCTGCTTCTGACGACATCAGAGGGTGTCGAGATCATGGTAGATGGAGCCAATGCTGCTGCCCGGCAGCCCGTCCGTTCCGTCGCATGGACGGGATTGCATGCATACTTTCCTCATTCATAGCATTCGAATGCCTTATTCGTGGCCGCGAGCTTGACAAGGCAGTTGAGTGCGACCTCCCGAGTCCCCACGTAACATTCCTGAGATGCGGGACTTGCAGCGCAACTTGAAGCACACTGTCGAACACGGCGAACGCGTTGAATATCTTTTTGGGTGAGTGACGTGGACGCGCGCGCCCAGCACCCCATTTGCGCAACGTAGAGGGTCACAGTCTGACCGACGGATGCAGGAAGGGGCACAGACACAGTTGGCCGAAGGCACATGCGCACGCTCCCACAGCCAAAGTCTTCTCATCAAAAAGCACCTGGTGCAGTCTTTGCAGTGGGTGCCAAGTTGGGTACTGATGGGCTGCCAATGATCCACGGGCTTGCGTCAGAGTCCGGACCGAGTTCCGTAGCATGGTTCAGCGAAAGAATAAAGGAAGCCCAAAAAGGGGTCGATTGTCCTAAACAAACACTTTACCCTGGCGAGAGATTCAACGATCTCTCTGCGCTCGGTCTTTCGTCCCTTCGGCGCCCTAGCCATATTCTCTCCGCGCTCTCTCCAACAACCAACCACCTCCAAAGTTCGAACGCAATATCGCTACGTCGGTCCCCCACAAGTCTCACTCGTCTGGTAGGTCCAGCCAAAGCTCCCAGAGGCAGTGGGAACGCGTGGTACGAAGGTTTCTCAAGACCTCTCACACCCACCTCGACTCATCGTAGGCCCAAGAGATCGTGCATCTTGCCGAAAACTGCTGCTTTTCAGGGTCCCCAGTCGCCCATCTCCGTGAGATCTTGAGACCTTACTCATCGTGTCCCATACCCGGCCTAGCCATCCTCTGAGAAGAGTACGTCTGCGCATTTTCCGTACAGCGCCTTCACAATGGGGGCATGAGCGACGCGTTACGACTGCAGCATCATCGTCTTACACATCGGACCTCCATTCTCTTAGGCACGGTCGAGGACATTGTCATAGCACTCGCACGAGTACTGCCCAGGTTCAGAGGCGCCAACTTCACGAGAGAACCACTACCCGCCGTCTTCTCTCGACCCTTTTCGAAAAGCCGTGCCCTCCGCCTCAATGTCTCAACCGGCCACGATGAAATCACCCAAGCTTCCCACATACTGGGGCTCGGACGTAGACACGATGCGAAAGCCTGGGGTGCCCATATTCTCCAAGACAGCCGCCCACGTGCCTCCACGTCCAAAGGTTCCGAACGGCTACACCACTCTGGCCGGCGCGGTATGCCACGGTCGCGTCAGCGATCTTGAGGCTATGGTGCCGTCGCAGTGGTGGCAGACGGTGTTCGCCGACTCAATGTACCTGAAGACCGACGGCGACGTGGTTGAGGATCCGCAGATCACTAAGGAGGAGGTGGGGTTGTTGCAGAGCGATGTGGAGCTGAAGAGCATTTTTGAGCGTGGATTGAACAAGGCGGCTGCGGGTAAGTTCTGCGCGTTTTTTGAAATGTTCGATTAGATGAATGGGGAGCATTTCACGTCGGAGAGACTAAGATACTTTTTTCCCAACAGGCACTCGACCCGCACGGGTCCTTGATCTATGCTGTGGACAGGGCAGGCATATCCTGCATCTCGCCCAGGAATATCCTTACCTTTCGCTCCACGGCCATGATCAATCATCATATCTAATCTCCCTGGCCCAAGAGCGTGCCGCCGCTCAGCAAATGACGACAAAAACAGCTTTCACGGTTGGTGACTGCCGTCAAGTTCCGTACCCGGACAGGACTTTCGACCTCGTCATGGTCATGGGCAACTCGTTTGGTTACTTTGCGGACGAAGATGGCGACCGCACTGTTTTGAGTGAGATTTTTCGTGTGCTGGCTCCCGGGGGTCGCATAGTTCTCGACCTCACCGATGGTGACTACATGAGGCATAACTTTGCAGAAAGAAGCTGGGAATGGATTGACGACACGACGTTCGTGTGCCGTGAAAGGCAACTTAGCAAAGATGGCCTTCGTCTGAGCTCTCGCGAGGTCGTGACACTCACCACAAAGGGTGTCATCAGGGATCAATTCTACCAAGAACGGTTGTACGGCCGAGAGGAGCTACAAGAGCTGTTCAAAAGGGCCGGCTTCGAAGTTCAGGAGAACAAGACGGACCTCGATCCCATCACCCTCGGCAAAGATCTCAGCAAGAGGAAAGAAGATTTGGGAATGATGGAGCAGAGAGTCCTAATGACTGGCAAGAAGCCATTCGTGAAGGAGAATCTGCACGAGTTTGGAAAGAAGCTGTCGAATGGTGTGCACCATATGCAGCACAAGCCCAACGGCGTGCGTCATCACATCAATGGAGCTGTGAATGGGTTCCATCCCAACGGCCACATCAATGGCACCCACAAGAACGCCGCTGCAAGATCGATCTCCATCGAGTCAACAACCGAAGATGGCAAAGTCTTGCCTGCGCCCTTCGAGCGCATCACTGTTCTTCTCGGCGATCCCGCCCTCCCCTGCATCGGGAAATTGAACGACACCTGGAACCCGGAGGACATTGAAACCCGAAAGAAGCTTTTCAATGCGTTGCACGAACTTGGATACCCTCCTGATGCGATCACGGTCTTGGACCGTCACGAGACGTTTGTCCGACAACTGAGCGATACCCCACCATTGTTTGTACTGAATCTCTGCGACGAGGGTTTCGAAAACGACGCCCTCAAGGAGCTGCACGTCCCCGCTTTGCTCGATCTTCTCAATATCCCGTATTCAGGCGCTGGAGCCAACTGCTTGGCCCATTGCTACGATAAGGGTCTTGTGAATCGGACCGCTGCAGCTATCGGCGTTCCAACGCCAAAGGAAATTTTTTATGCTACTGCCACGGCCACACCAGCGGTCCAAAGCCCTGAGCGATTGCACGAAATCATCTCTCGCGAGATCGGCTACCCAGCTTTCATCAAGCCGGTGAAGGGCGACAATTCGCTCGGCATCACCACCAGATCCATCGTCAACAACGAAACGGAGCTGGACACGTACATGGCAGAATTAGGCTCCAAAGGAATTCGAGACATAATAGTGCAAGAATACCTCGAAGGCGCCGAATACGGCGTCGGCATGGTCGGCAACCGCGAGACCGGCTTCCACTTTTTCCCCATCCTCGAAGTCGACTACAGCCGAATCACAGCCAAGTCTCTCCCACCCATCCTCGGCTTCGAGAGCAAGTGGGACCCAAGTTCGCCGTACTGGACGGATATCACCTACAAGCGCGCGTCGGGGTTGTCGGACGAGCTAGTAAAGCAGTTGCACGAGTGGTGTGTGGCCCTATCGGATCGGTTCGGATGCAGAGACTACGCCCGTTTCGATTTCCGCGCCGATAAGGCTGATGGTACCGGCACCATCAAGCTGTTGGAGGTCAACCCGAACCCTGGATGGTGTTGGGACGGGAAGCTGGCCTACATGGGCAAGCTGGAAGGTCTGCAATACCATGATGTTCTCGGCATGGTTCTGAAGGCTGCGTGGCAGAGGCTGAACCACCCGTCGGCGACGACGAAGGGGTCGACGCCCGTAACGTACGAAGGATCCGTTCCGCTCGACAAATCGGAGGGGCCGGTCGGTTCACGCGTTCGCAACGGCACATACGCGTCGGCTGCTCAAAATGGCCATCAGTCTAGCGCCCGAAATGGCTCGAATGGGGCAGCCCATCCGAACGATGGTGTGGCGTTGACAGCCGAATGAGATTTGACCGTTTCGGTACAGCCGGTGCAGGAGGGATACTGTGAGGCCCCCATGCTTTGCTCAAGCCGACGGACGCGAAACGCGACATGTCCCGACCCCTCGCCGATGACAACACTCGACCCAGCACCGCCTTGTTGCATTTCGCAACTTACGACAATGGATATCCCACCCGACGATTTTGATTCCCTTTCCCCCGTACTTTTTTTCCTCTCCCCCCCCCATTTCGCTAGTATCGTACTTTGCATTTTGCTGTTTTTGCCCCTCTCTTTTTTGCTATCTCCCCCCGCTCCGACCGTCCCTCGCTTGATGCCCTCCGCCGCTGAAGCTGATTCTCCTCTCTTGCGATACAGCAAGAACGCCCGCCCCCCCGACTACTTCCCTTTCCCCCCGCCCCGACTCGTCTCTCTCTCTCTTGTGGGGAGTTGATGAAAGACCATGGATTGACGATGTGCTTATGATTAATAGATTATAACTTCGTTTCTCTCCATTTTTTATTGATTGGTTAGGTGTTTCATTTTGTGGAGGGTTTTATGCAGAGCGGTGTGCAGTTAACGCACCATTCGTCGGCTGAGCAGTGCCCTGCAGAAGTGGGAAGCCCAGTGCGTTCCTACCGCGCATAGAATACCACTGTCCCCAGAACCGCGACCGCCACTCGCGACAGCGCAAAAGGGAAACCAGCACTGTGCAAAGACCCGCACCTGCTTCCCAAAGTGATAGTGATAGTCAATGAATTAAATTAAGATCGAATTACACAACAGCGGAACTAAATACCAAGTCACGGAGGATGCCTATGTACAAATACCAAAAGCGCCGGCTTGTGTGGCGTGTGCGGGAAGGTGACGAAAATAAATAGCCAGAACACATGCGAGCGAGCAAAGAAAGTCTACGGTCAAAAGAACACCGCGTCCGATCCCCCTCCTCTAGCTATGATGCTATATAGATAGTGCAGTCTAAGGGTCAAAATCCTCTACGTGATCTATCACCGAATCTACCACCTCCTGCCACCGTACCCACCACCACCTCCACCACGTCCACCGCGACCCCGACCGCCACCGCCACCTCCACCCCTCCAGCGACTGCCGCTTCCGCCACCGCCGCTTCCGCCACGGGCTCCGAGCATCTCGAGCTCGCTCGGAACGTCTTGGCCGGCGTCTTTGATGAGGGCGACGAGATCGCGAGCAGAGGCACGGTCTTGCTTGGAGGTGCGGGAGAAGAAGGTGTACGCCGTTCCTGTTGTGTCGGATCCACGAGCTGTAGGACGAGGGAGAGAGACAAAGATTAGTACAGGGCGTGACGAAAGGAGAGTATCTGTCCGCTCCAGATTGTAAAAAAACAGTTTCTTACCAGTACGACCGATACGATGGACGTAATCTTCGACGTTGTTTGGGAAATCATAATCTGTAAGCGAGGAAAGAAGATGAAAATCAGTATGATGCGTGAGAGAAGCAAGCATTTCATGTGAAAGGAAGATAGAGTGATACTCACTTATGACGAACAGCACATCCTTCACATCGAGACCACGAGCGGCAACGTCGGTAGCAACGAGAATAGGGCAGGCACCGGTCTTGAACTCCCGAAGAGCCCAGTCACGCTGCTGTTGGTCCTTGTCACCGTGGATGGTCACGGCACCCCAGTTTTGCTCGTTCATCGCAGTAATCAGCTTGTCGCAAATGTACTTCTTGTTGCAAAAGATGACTGTCCTGCACATGACACGCGTAGCCTCAGGTTCTGGCAGCGAGTCCCAGATGGCCGCGAGGGTTTCCCACAGAGCAGCGTCCTTGTCGCCTTCGTCGACGACCTTGACGATCTGGTTGATACGCTTGTTGGCTTGAAGTTCCGTGGATCCGACCTGGACGGTGATGTGGTCGGAGGAAAGGAAGTCCCGTGCGAGCCTCTGGACGGACTTGGGCCATGTGGCAGACCAGAAAGTCATCTGCCTATCGGGGCGGATCTGGGCGAGAATGTCCCGAAGAGGTTGCTCGAAACCCATGTCCAGCATGCGGTCGGCTTCATCAAGGACAAGGTATGTAATACGGCGAAGCGTGGTCTTTCCGGCTTGCAAGAGATCTAACAGACGACCAGGAGTGGCAACCACAAAGTGAGGGCTGCGGTTCAGGTCACCGATCTGAGGTCCCTTGCTGGCACCTCCATACAGGCAAGCAGATCGAATGCCGAGAGCTTGACCGTGACCCTTGACAACTTCGTGAATTTGGCAAGCCAGCTCACGAGTGGGAGCAAGAACCAACGCAATCGGTCCATCTCCACGCTCGACGGGGCGCTGAGCAAGGATGTGGATCAAAGAGGGCAAAACGAAGGAGAGGGTCTTGCCAGATCCAGTCTGGGCGATACCGACAACATTGCGGCCAGTGAGGGCCATGGGGAACCCTTGTGCTTGGATGGGAGTGGGAGCGTCGAAACCGCTGGCCTTCAGTTTGGCAAGCACAGCTTCGGGGAACCCAGCGGATGCGAATGTGAGCATAGGCCTGTGAAAGGTGGGAAAGAGAGGGTAAGTTGGAGGCTCGGAATCAAACAAGGAAATAGAGAGACCAAACTCGCGACAAAGAGGTTGGGCTGCGTGTCGCTAACAAATGCGGTGAGGGGAGTATTGAGCCTTTGGCGCAATGTGGGTGCTCGCATCGCTCGCAAAAGATCTGACGCTCGCTGAGGCTCGGTAAGAGCCGTGATTAGGGGGTATTGCGCCTTTGGCGCAATGTGGCTCGCTCCGCTCGCACTGTGGTACTTACTTGGGAATGTTCTGACCGGTCAAGGTCATTCCGTGCTTTTTCCTGAACTCCGCGGCATCCTTGTCGGACATTTGCTCCAGAGCCCGGGCGTCGATGATGTCCATGAAGTTGCTCTTGAAGGGCTCCATATCCTTGAAGACAGGCCTTGACTCGTAGACGTGGTTGACGTCGTTGTGACGGCCACCGCCGCCGCCGGCACCACTACCACCCCTGCCACCGCCATAACCCCCGCCTGAGGGACGACCGTAAGGCTGGAAGCGAGCGCCTCCGTAACTTCCGCCGCGACCGCCGCCGCCGCTGTTGTTTCCGTAACCTGGCATTGCTTGTTGTCTTGTGTGTTGGAGGTTACTTTTGGGGAAGTAGGATATGTGTGGGAAAACAGGCCAGGAAATGGGAATGGGAAGCAAGGAAGAAGAAAAACGCAGGTTCCCCGTCTCTTATGGGGACGTTTGGGCTCTTCTCTTTTCTCTTTCTGGCTGGAAGATCCTGCGCTCGCGTACCGACGGACAGACGCCCGGGTTATTATTTATCCCGCACTTATGCTGACAGAAGCGACACATAACCTTATAGTAAGTCCCTGATCTCCGTTTGGAATGCGCGGATCCTGCTCAAAGGGATTGCCCATGCACTGCGCTTCACTGAGAGATTGCGATATAACTTGCTCTGAGTCACGTGCTCGCCCGTGCCCTGCGAAGGCCTCACCAACCTCGTCACCAGTCGGGAATGGACTTCTTAACGCGACACTCCTTGTAACATTTTCGCATTGAGTTGCTATTGCTATTCCCGCGTTCACCTCCATCGATGTCTCAAAGCCTGATCCGTTCGGTTTGGAACTCCAAAACTTAACGCCTTCTTCCATTGCCACTCGGCATATGTATAACTACTTTGACCGGGGTAGATTTCAAGTGCCGCTTGACGTTCATTTGGAAGAAACGCTGTTGTGAGAAGGATGTCTGGGAGCGCTGCGCGTGTGCTCTGGGGTATACTCGTGAGAATGAGCAAGGCATGGATGGTGTCGCTTTCCATCAAAAGACCAAGGGCGCTAAACAAACGGATAAATGGCATAAACAGAAGCTAATCAAAGGGAAGAAGCGCCAGACCAAAGCCACCCCCCTCCCATATCGCAATTGACGGCAGCGGTCCATACAGAGTAACTTGAACGGCTTCTCCGGCCCTCCGGTGCTGCAACACCCAACAGGCACCCACTGCAAACAAACGCAGCCGGCTCCGCAGGACCTAACATAGCAGCAGCATAAGGCACAAAGGGCAGGCGCCAAGCAACTACGCAAGCGAGAGTCCTGCAATTCCTAGAGTCACTCTCGGTCGTGTCCACTTGCCGCACGAAGAGAACTAGCTCCGTGCTATCCGAAAGTCTCGCAGGTGGCCATTACTCGACACCCAGGTTAACGAACACATTGGGACTTTCGCCATGTCGACAAGTAGGCGGCCGTCACACACTCCAGGCTCAACGGACGGTACGGCCGACACCAGGTGAGCTCATTTCGTCCTTGTTTTCCTACCAGATCGTCCCCATCCTAAACACGCCGTTGGAATTCCTCGGAAACAAACAGCCAACTCAGCATCGATGGCAAAACGTTGCGACCAGCAGTCCCACCTCGCCCGAGTCTAGCGAAAAGCGAAATATCAAAATCGCAGTCATTTAGCAGTTTCCAGTCCGCTGGATACGTCCCAGCGCCGTCGTCGTCACCGAGCGCGCCATCTTCCCCACAAACCCAGCGAGTTCGGAAGGCGCCGTTAAAGCCACTGTCGAATATCAATGGACCGGTGGGAGCTCAGGCCCGAGGGCCAAAGTTCCCGACCCCAATGAATAAGAATGGGTCGCCGGATATGATGTCGGCTCCAACACCGTTGTCTGGCACATCCCTGGAGTACACCTTGATACCGACGGCGACGGCGCAGACTTTGGCGGCTACAACATCGACAGCGGGGGCGTCGAGTGATAAGGAAACGGCAAAGGCCGGTGGGATGAAGGGGCTGATGAGCAATTTTGTCACGTCCGTGCAAAGTAACTACTCTCGATGGGATTTGGGACTTGGGTGGAAAGCCTGAGACGCGAGACTTATCATGGATGAATTGTCCTAGGCATGTTCACAAACGACACTAGGATAGAGATCTCGTCGCCGTACAACCCTGTACATCTTACGCATGTTGGGTATAATCAAGATACGGGAGAATTCACCGTGAGTATCCATCAGTACCGGATAGGTTCACCGTCAATGGACGCTTTCTAACGCCCGAGACATTATAGGGGTTACCAAGAGAATGGCAGACGTTACTACAGGAAGCCGGGATCTCGAAATCAGAACAACAGGCCAATCCGCAGGCCGTGATAGACATCATGGGCTTCTATTCGGAGACCAACGCCGGAACCCAACTGGCCGACCAATACGTATGGTCAAAGTTCAACAACCCATACGCGCAGCAGGTGAACCCGGGACTTGCGAAAGGAAGCCCTGCGCGGTCACCGCGACTGAGTCCCGAAGGGAGCCCGAAACCACCACCAAAGCCTGCGATGAAGAGGCCGATCATTCCTGAACGGCCAGCACATACTCTCAGCATTTACTCTACGGATATAAGGCCACCACCGGAAAAACCGCCACTTGGCGCGAGTGTACCGCCTCCCAAACCTGCCAGTATGTATCAACGCGCTCTGGTCCATCCTGTTTCCGATGTAATAACAACTTCTGCTGCATCAGGAGGCACAGCCGACACCTCCAGCGTCGTCACTCCCTCCGTAGACATCAAGCCACCAAGCGGCACGGTCGCGCAACGCATGCAGCAATACGAGCAAGCAGCCAAAACAAGCCCGGGAACATCACCTAAGCTTCCCAAGAAAGTGCTACCAGCAAAGCCAAAAGTCGAGCTCGCACCGAAAGCGGGGTCGCTCGAATCCGTAAACGGGAAAGATGTAGCAGTCGTGGCACCGGCGAAGGTTGGCAGCACAGATGACCTGCCTAAGCCCGTTGGCAGACCGCCACGGCAACGGGCAGGTACCTCCGACGATATCATTGATCGCCTTAAGGTCATTTGCAATCAGGGTGATCCGACCAAGTTGTATCGCAACTTGGTCAAGATTGGACAAGGGTAAGTCGTTTCTGCCACGACTTTCGCAGGGCTACGCTGGATGCTCATTTGCTACGCTTTAGTGCCTCTGGCGGTGTCTTCACTGCCTACCAAGTGGGCTCCAACAATGCTGTTGCGATCAAGCAAATGAACTTGGAGCAGCAGCCAAAGAAGGATCTCATCATCAACGAGATTCTGGTGATGAAGGGAGCGAGACACAAAAACATCGTCAATTTCATTGATAGTTTCCTGTGGAAAGGCGATCTCTGGGTACGGATCAGGGGTTTAGTGTAGTGCATGATGCGATCGTGTATTGATGGGGTTGACTTTTCATAGGTGATCATGGAGTACATGGAAGGTGGATCACTTACGGACTGTGTGACCGCGAATTTCATGACGGAAGGACAAATCGCGGCAGTGTGTAAAGAGGTAAACTTGACGCCACGGTCATTACATGCACAACTGGATAGGAGGCTCATCATTCTCATTCCCGTTGTGCAGACCTTGGAGGGGCTCATGCACCTGCACTCGAAAGGTGTTATTCACCGTGATATCAAGAGTGACAACATCTTGTTGGGTCTGGACGGTCAAATCAAGCTGAGTAAGTGTTGCATTCCCTCGTGAAAACTGTTCCCGCAAACCCACTTACCATCATCTCCACTACCACAACCAGCCGACTTCGGCTTCTGCGCCCAACTAAACGAAGATCAAACCAAACGCACCACAATGGTCGGCACCCCCTACTGGATGGCCCCCGAAGTCGTCACCCGCAAAGAATACGGCCCGAAAGTCGACATCTGGTCCCTCGGCATCATGGCCATCGAGATGATCGAGGGGGAGCCGCCGTATCTCAACGAGAATCCCCTGCGGGCGCTGTACCTGATTGCGACGAATGGGACCCCGTCGTTGCAGAATCCGGAGAGTTTGAGTCCAGTTTTCAAGGACTTTTTGAAGATGGCGCTGGAGGTCGAGGCGGAGAGGAGGCCGAGTAGTGTTGAGCTGTTACAGGTGGGGGTTTCCGTGCAGGGGATACATAACCTGTTGATAGACCTTGTGCGGGGGTGATGTGAGCTAACGTCCTCTTCCCACGATGTGCAGCACCCCTTCATCAAGTCAGCCGAACCACTACGCAACCTCGTACCGCTCATCAAAGCTGCGCGCGAATCAGCAAAGAAGCACTAATCGCTCTCCCAAATCATAATCCCTCCAACGGCCCGAAAGACATCCGGCCCGTCACCAATTGCAACCATCTTACTGTCTCCTTGCATTTGCTTCGCGGAAAAAATTTTTGTACCTACTCGAAAGGTCCCCGTTTCCCATCCATCCCTCATTTGCCCCGCCTGCCATTGGTGGCGCGCCATCCCCACTCCTCATTCGCTTTACCCCGAGGCCCCTTAGCAGTCGCTACCCCGCTGCTCGGGCTCAAAAGAGACTCATTTCCGATATGGGATCTTGTGTATATCTCGCTCCCTGCCCCCCACTTACTCCTTTTATATATCCCTCACCTACATTTTCTTCCTTTCCGAGGTGCGAAATAGAACTTTATCGTATACCTTCTGGACATTGGCTGTTTTTCTTTGAGGGGAGTTGGAAGGAAATCTTATCGCGACCTATCAGTGTTCAAAATGTGGAGCCCTCAAAAGAACTCCTTTTGGGAGTCAAATCGATATCAACGGCAAAGTGTTTGAGATCATCCCGATGCCTTGCGAAAAAAAACTGACATGCACGCTTCCAAAATGTATTAGACAAGGCCGAATACCCGGCGTATAGTAAAATGCTGGCCCCAAATCGTACGTGCGCATCAGAAAGCACTATAGTGTCTACCGACCGCGTTCGGCCGAGGGGGTCACATGTTGATGGATGCGAGAGGGGGCCCAAGTGCCACCGCCTCTGCTTCGCACGCATCAAGCCCTCAATATCGCCTCGACGCTCTCCGCATACAATCCCGCGAGATGTCCCGCGTACGTCTTTGTCGACACGACGCACTGCGTGAGCGACGGTTCGAACTTGAACTCGCTGAGGAAGAGCATGCCGTCGGACAGACGCGCGGATGTGTACAGGAGGTGCTGGGTTTTCGGGGGGGGGGGGGGGGGGGGCGGGGGGGAGGGGAAATTAAAAGAGAGTGTCAGTTCCAGTTCCCCTTTTTCCTTTCCGTTACCAAAAGATCGAGACCACCTCCACGCCCGATACAAAAAAACACAACTCAACTCACCACCCCATCCAATACCCTCACAGCAACTCCGAAAACCCCACTCCCCGCCAACCGTCCCTTAACCCCCTCCACGCCCCCCTCCGCCCGCACCCCACCCACGACCCGTCTCGTCTCCCCGCCATCGCCCACCTCCTTCCAGATCCTCAACCACGTCTGCTGGTCCAGCGCGCCGGACTCAGTGAAGAGGATGTGGAGGGGGATGGAGGCTTGGAAGTAGACTATTGCTACTGAGGTTTTTACTGCTACTTGGAGGTCTGTGGAAAGAGAATGGGGTGGGGTTAGTAAGGGCAGGGGAGGACTTTTTTGAGGGAGGGGGGACGTACTGTTGATGGGATCAGAGGGCTGTGGAAGCCCTTCGATGCGCATGGGGAGGCTGGTTTCGATGGAGGCGTTGGGGAAGAGGGGTGAGCGGATGTCGAGGGTGCCGGGGACTAGGCTGAAGCTGTATGTTTGTCGAAGCAGAAGAACTATCAGCAAATGTGGTCGGCACAGACAAGTACGGACGAGGGGGGGAGGTTTACCTGTTTTTGTTGAACAGCATCCCTGAAACTGTCAACGGCTGCAACGCCTTATTCGTCAACGTCATATCCAAGTACGGAACGCCCTGTCGTCTCGAGACTACCCAAAACAAAAACACAACAATAAGCAGTTACTCCGTCTCTCAAATCACAATCAAAACCTACGAAATACTCACAAGTCCCCAAAATCTCCAACCCCTTCCCCGCCGCCGCATTCAACAGCTGCACTTTCGGCGCGACATAGTTCGCGTGCAGGGATAGAGACAGCGAGGCGAGGTCGCCGGTGGGGCCGGCGAGGTTGAGGCCTGAGAGGCCCTTGGTGAGGGATGGGAGGGTAGAGGAATGTGGCTGGGCTGCGGGTGCGGGTGCCGCTTGTTGTCGTTGTTGTTGCTGTTGTTGTGTCGTGGATGTGGTAGACAATCCACCGCTGCCGGTGTTGGAAGCTGTTTTGGCGAACGGGTCCAGTGTGGCGAGAGGGTTGGATGCGATGGCCGAGGATGATTGGGGTGCAGGTGTAGGCTGGGGTTGAGACTGCTGCGGTTGGGGCCCCAACAGGGAGTTCATGTTGCCGAAGGATGAAGAGGGCGGTAACGATGCTGCGAAGGGGTTGTTTGCGCTGCTCGCCACATTGGCGTATGCAGACGGCGCGTTGTTACCGCCGTCCAAAAGTCCACCCAGTCCACCAAGTGCATCGTATCCCATCCCACCACCCTGCCCATACGATTGCTGTCCATACTGCTGTTGTTGACCATACTGCTGCTGTTGCTGCCCATACCCCTGTTGCTGCCCATAGCCCTGTTGCTGTCCATACCCCTGCTGGGCCCCACCCCCCAAATAATCACCACTCTGTTGCGTCGCTACCCCACCCCCAAGCCCGCCAAACGCCATCCCCGCCAACCCACTCGAATCCGCGCTGACGTCTCCGAACGCCCCGCCGACGTCGACGCCGGTGTCTTCATACCCGCCGATGTCGAGGTCGAGGAGGTCGTTGAGGTTGCCGGCTGGACCGCCGGGGTGGGGAGAGAGGAGCGTGTCTTCTGTGTAGGGGTTGTTCATTGCGCCTGTTGCGTATGGGTTCGAGTCGCTAAAGAGAAATACTGATTGTTAGCCATACTTCCTCCGCGGGGGAGATATAACCATGCAAAAGCGGTATGTAACCCCAACTCACCCCGGCATATCCTGAGGCAACTCCGGCCTCGACACCATCCGATCCACCAACGCCCTACTCTTCACCAGCTTCCTCGTCTTGATCCCCCCAATAAAGCTCGTGGCCGGTTTATGATATATACTCGCCAACGTCGACACATGCAGCAGCAGCTCTTGCAGCAACGGGCCGTCAATGTTGTCCGTCTCGGTCGAAATGGCCGGTTTGTCGGAGAGGATGATGGCTTTTGCGGCGACGGGGTCGGTGGAGAGGAGCCGCCAGTAGATGAAGCCGCGGTCACGGAGGTCCGGGTTATCGCTTTCCTCTGTTGCGTATTTCAATACCTTCGGAACCAACTCTTGTCCGACACTTGGGCGTTTGATGAACAGTTTGACGATGGCGGTGAGGAGGGCCAATTGGACTTCCGAGGTTTCTTCCTGGAATTTGCCGAGGAACTGGTCCAGCAGCTCGTCGGCGTTGTCGATGCGGTCGGCGTATTGCCCGATGATCCAGATCATGGAGCCTTTGGCGTCGGGCTCGTCGAGGGAGTCGAGGTTTTCGCACAGGGTGCCGATGATGGATTCGTAGCGGTTGGGGTATTTGCGGAATATGTCCTTTGGAAGATCGAAGGGGTTATTTGACTGCATCTTCGGTCACACCAGATGTTGTCCCAGAAATGTCCTCATACCTTGATGACAACAATCGCCTCCTGCACGACATAATTGACCTTTGTCTGAATCAAATCCACCAGCACCCCAATACATTTATCCGCCGCACTCTCAATCTTAATCGCACACCGTCCAATGCTCCTAACCGCTTTCCTCACGAAATCCACATCCACCTCCGAACTATACTCCTTCAACTCCGGCAACACTTCATCGATGTTAGTGTCCTTTGCAAGGCGGACCATGATCTCCAGTTTGGCCATCTTGACGTAGATGGGGTCGTTGTATTTGCAGAAGAAGACTTTGAGCTCGTTTTTGAGCGCGTCGGGTTTTCGTTGGAGGAGGAGGAGGATGTTGCGGAGGGCGACGTATTGGACTTCGGGGCCGCCGTGAAGGAGGGTTACTGCGTGGGAGGTTTGAGAGTGTGAATTCGGAGGCAGGCGCGCATCAGAGCAGTTAAAGTACCCCTTTGACATACCTAATGGTGGACCCAATTTCTTCAACAGAGTATTCACAACGTCGTCTTTCGCAATGTAGTTCGTCAAGAAGAGAATGACACGGACAGCCGTCATGACAACCGCCGAATTCGCGTGTTGGAGTCGCGGACTGATTCGATCAGCTAAAAGCTCGGCGTCCTCCGACTCTTGCGGGACGACGCGCATGATGGCGTCCAGAAGGAACGCTTGACCCCATCTGTGCGCCATGAGAGTTAATTTTGCGAGAACAGGTCGTGGGTTGCGAGCAATGCGCGTGTGTGATGTCTTACTCTGAGCTTTCGTTCAGTGCTGTGAGCAACTTGTTTCCTTGCGAGACATCCAGGACGAATTCGTACGTCTCTGATCTGTCGGAGATCTCCATTAAAGCTGCTACCGCGTTGGCCACTACCTAGATACCGCGAAAATAGATGAGTCAGACGTCATGTTGGGAAAAGGCCGTTCCCCGTCCCTCTTCCGTCGGGCCATACCGTGGAATTCTCGTGGTTCAGCAAACCCTTCAGCTGCTCCAAAAGCCCCTCCTTCTCGACAAGTTCTCGGTTATGAACATACAGCTTCGCCACGCATATCGCCGCTGTTTTGGCCACATATGGGTCCTTATCCTGAAGCGCGCGATTAAGCGGACGAAGCAGTTCGTCCAAGATCCTATCGACATGTATGTATCCCATCGTCCTGATTGCGAGGGCCCGAATGAGCGGATTTGGGTCTTCCGCGTCCCTAGCCAAGCTGTTGACAGCCATGACGGCCAGATCCGGTTTGCTCCTCGCGTAATTGATGAGGTAGAGGTACACCATCTTTTTTACTTCGACTATTGGCACGTTCATGCAGCCCACGACGTCGGGGAAGAGAGGCGACATGTCGTTCCCCATTGTCATATTAGCAACAATTTTCTTCATGGCTGTTCGCTTTTTGGTGTGCTTCGGGTCTTTGCGGTCGCCCGCCAGCTCCGTACGGAGGTCATGTATCTTTCCTATAGGTGTGAGAAGCGAAATGAGACTGCTGTCGCGTTTCCGAGGGGACTTTACGGAGGGGTAAAGAAAGACACGAGAACACAGCGGAATGAATACCTCTTTGAAAGTATTTTGCGTCGGACATTTTCGCAGACTCTTCTGTGGACGGCTATTCGGTTTCTGACGCGATGTTTGGACGTGCAAGATGGGACCTGGGGATGGAATGAAGGCGCTGGGCTGGCGTTGAGCAGACTGAAACGAACAGTAGGACGACGGGTAGTTTTTCCCAAGCGGAGCTCCTTTCTACTATGCGAGCGGGAAGCCCGTACGTGTGTTGTTGGTTGGGCGGTCAGTGCCAAAAACGCAGCGTCGTGGGACGGTTCGATAGGGTACAGAACGCTTCTCACGCGAAAGGCTTGAAGCCGCTTCCGAATCAGCTTCCGAATGATGAGATGTGAGTTGAGAGAGTGACAGGGAAGGACACAAAGGAAAGGGCCGGTGACTTAAACCCACTCTCACCGAGCACGTGACGGAAATACAACTGGCGCGGAGGCGAGCGAGCGAGGCATTCCGTGTGCCTTCAACGGGCCAGCCGATTGCTCGCTCCCTTTCGCCTGTACACTAACAACGTCATCCTATACAAGATGGTATGTACGCACACACAGGCACACGCTATCCGCGACAGGGACGACGGAGCGAGCATACGAGCGGCGGGGACGATAGAGATGGATGGATGGATGGATGGGAGGTCGATTCGCAGGGTGGATGGACTTGTCGGAATGGATTTAGGGCTGGTCGAATGAAGGGCGACATTCCCACGCCGACGAATGTCTCTCGACGACACCGCAAGAGGGGAGAGTGGAAGAGGAAGCCAGCAGGTTGTTGCCGTCACTCAGCGTCGCGAGGGGAGAGGGGAATGTAGGCGTCTCGGAATGCCTTGGGGAGGGAATCGGCATTTCCCGTGGTGGAGACTCGGGGGAGCATGTTTCACAGGGAGCAGTCTTTTAACCTCGTCTTCCGTGGCATTCATAGGCTAAGGCGGCAGCACCAGCGAAGCCCACCTCTGGTGGCGGTAAGGCTAAGAAGAAGGTACGTTGCCCATTTTCGTGTGGCAGCCATTTCCTTTTTGGGGGCCGAAATTCATACGTCTCTTCCCCTTGGCGAGTAGAAGTGGTCCAAGGGAAAGGTGAAGGACAAGGCCAACAACGCCGTTGTCTTCGACAAGCCTACCTACGACAAGCTCTTCAAGGAGGTCCAGACCTACAAGCTCATTACCCCCTCCGTGTTGGTCGACCGTCTGAGGATCAACGGCTCCCTTGCCCGTGTCGCTATCCGTGAACTCGAGCACCAGGGTATCATCCGTCTCGTCTCTGGCCACAAGTCCCAGCTTATCTACACTCGTGCTACCAAGGTTTGTCTTATGTCGTGACATTGAAGACTGCATTTGAATTTTAGTTGCTTACTATTTCGTTCCTTGTTACTTCGCAGGCTGAGGATGCCGCTGAGGAGAAGCCAAAGAAGGAGACTGCTGACGAAGAGTAGATCTTCTGCTTGTACATTTTGAAATTCAATGAGCATTCGTTTTGTCTACGCCTACTTTTACTTGGTTGGATCGGGTTACAGCTGTGGATCGAGGTCAGGTGGCATATAATTGCGGAGGACGCGGAGGAAGGACGGGATGTTGGACATGGTTGTGGAGTGGCCTTGAGAATTTGAGAGGAGGTCCTTATGACAGGGTCTCTGTACGCTCGTGGGATGACAGGTAGGAACGTGAGGGTTGTACTACCTCTGGTCTCCATCCGCTCAATGGTCCACCTCATTTCTGTCGTCCTGATTGTTGCCTCGACGGCACCAGCATCGTGTTCCTCAACGCATGTGTGTACCCATCAGCATACAAGGGCATGTGCTCCGCCGATGTTTTTCCACACTCGACCCACACACGCAAGTTCGTTTCAATTACTTCACATTAAGCAAGATATCAAAGTGACTACTTTCTCTATCTGCAAGACCTGCATTGAAGCGTCCACACCATCCCCTCCGACCCATTGATCCCCTCACAATATGAACGGCCTTCATCATAGTCTACTGAGCAGCCAAAGCAGCATTGGTCCTCGTCCCAAACTGATTTGTAGTAGGCAACGGTGGCAAATCCGGCATCCCCTTCCCACCAGCAAACGCGTTTGCTGAGGGCTTTCCACCCGCCGGTACACGCGTGGTCGTCACGTACGCGCGTCCCTGTGTGCCTTCCGACCCAAACGCTGCATGCCTGGCCCCAGATCCATCGCGCTGACGTTGCGGGGCAGAGTCCCCTCCAATTGTGAAGGAAACATGTTTCTGCGCCGGTTTGGCGCCGCTCGCGGCTTCCCGGGGGCGTTGAGCGGGTGCAGCGTTACCGTCCACCGCGGCGGTCTCGGGTGCGTTGCGGAGACTTTCCCAGGCGCTGGTTGCGAAGGCGGTTGGGTTGGCCGTTGTTTGAGATGCGGTGTATTGTTGATGACCACCCGATGGAGCGTACGGCTGGTAGGATAGTTGCGCAGGCGGGTGGGTATAGGTGCCACCGGTGTTCGTGTCCGTCCCGTTGCGGAGTTGGGATAGGATGTCGGCCGCGGCGCCTTCGGGGTTCTTCCTCCAAACGTTCTCTGTTGGCTGCTGCTGCTGCTGCTGGGATGCAACCGCCGCATTGTGGCCGAACGCATTTCCGCCAAAATCGGTATCCTGGGCGAACCCATTTTGCCGGGTGTATGCGTTTTGGGATGTCGCAACACCCTGGCCCGGCTGCTCTTCCAGGTTGAAATTGCGAAGCCTCGCCAGAACATCCTCAGGTCCCTTCCAAGTAGGTTCCGCAGACGTTTCTGTCTGCGTAACATCAACAATCGAAGCAGGTCCCACACCGGGCTGAGACACGGGAAGAGGTTCGCCTCTCACCAAGATCTCCTCCTGCCAGTCATGAAGGGCAGGACCGGGCGTCGGGGGTTTCGCAACGGGTTGGGCTGCCCCAGCAGCGATCTGCCCCGCGATAGCATCCGCGTTGTGTTTGGGGAACATGTCCGGGTGCTCGCCCATGAACTTGATCGCAAAGTCGTCCGCGCCGGTGATGATGAAGGGGTGGTGGAAGAAGACCAGTTGCTCGCCTAATACAATAGGATCAGTTGGATTCACTACTCAGAGAAATATGATTGTTTTGTCTTACCGATCGCGAAATCCTGCGTAGTATAAAGCCCCGACCCATCCGGCTTCCTAATCCGCCCCTTCTCCAAGAACTTGCCCCCCATCAATCCCGTATTCCTCGACTTTGGCTCAAACACGCTGATCGTATCGTCCGCGACATACAAACTAACCACAAACGTGCGGTCCTTATCGACCTGCCGCGGGGAGTTCATTTTCGCCGAGAACCGCAGCGTGGTCGTGTCGTACAGCATCAGTTTCTGGAAATCGGTTTTGGGCGCTATGGCGGTTCCGATCATCGGGATCGCGGCGCGGGAGAGGGTGGCGGTGGTCGTGTTGGCGGGGGTTAGAGGCGACGGGGGCAGGAGCAGCTCGTAGTTGGCGGCCACCGCGGACGCCGGGATGAGCGGTTGTTCCGGTACAGGCTCGTAATCCTCGATCCTGACGGGGTCAAAGGTCTCGATGCCATATTTCTGATTATAGTACTCCCTCGTAAACTCATCACAATCACACACGATGAACGGGCGTCCGTACAGGTGCAACACAGCCCCGATCAAAAAATCACGTTCGTTGAAGTAATCCCCCTCGTTCAGATGCGCATCCGGTTGCCCGTACAACGTAACCGGCATCCGCTTCGGCAGCTTACTCCTCCTCAAAAACAGCGTGTTGGCGTCCCGGCCGGCGTTGGCAGGGATATGCTCGCGGATCTCCACCGTGTCGTCGGAGAGGTAGTAGTGCACGACCATGTGGCGGAGGTCACCGAAAACGGATTGGGTGTCGTCCCAGACGCAGAAGAAGCGGAGGACGCGGCGGTCGTTTTCAAGGAATTTTTTGAGCGAGGTTTGCGGGGGGCGAGGGCGCGTGGCTTTCATGCGGGAGGCGAGCTCTTGGCGGTGTAAAGTGTAGGGGTCTGTGGGGAAGGAGCCGGCTGGGGGGACGGCGACTCCGATTCTGTTGAGGAAGTCCTGGGACACATTTTGCCTTAGACAGGAAATCGAAAAATGACTTCCTATCGTCGACTTACCTTGGTGAATTTGTCACAACCAATAATCTTGAACGTCCGAGAATAGAATGTGACCTCGTTCCCGACGTTGAAATCCGAGACGGTATAGTGCTGGCCGATCTCAGAATCCGGCTTGGGGATCCTGTGACGTCGCAGCAAGGTGCCTATAAATGCGCCGTCAGTCTTCCATCCGCTTAAGGTCCCTCAAAAGACAGGCGAAATATTACCCTGTGGGATGCCACTGTTCACAGTCCGGGGCTCGCTGACATGGACAGAATCATCCTCCAAATAAAAGTAGATGTTCACCCTATTCGGAGGCGATGTAAACACATTTTGCTCCAGAAGTCTACAGTGATGAGCTCCACCTACTTGCGGACTCGGTACTGCTCCTCCCGCTTCTCATGCACAGCTTCCTGGAAGTAAGCATAGAAGCGAAGAACCTAGACACAACCCAGCATGAGACCGCATGCTTTGCACGGTAATAAATCGCCATCGTGGCCGTGTGTACATACCTTCCTGTCAAAGGCAACCCAAGACGGCACACCATCGCTTGCATCATTACTTTGCGGGTACACATCGATGGAGGTGTGGATCTTACTCTCCTGTTGGCCGGGGAGTGGAATGCCGCCTTTGGGAAAAATTATTGTCATGGGGTTCCCTATTATCAGGCGCTTCAAGATTATGCTGACCGTACCTATGCCTGGAGCAGCCTTGTTGACGGCCACTCCGTTCGTGTAGTCGAATGCGTGGGATTTGCGTTCATTATGCCTGGCCTGAATAAGTGGAGACCGGAATGAGCATCAATATGTGATGCGATACGCTTTGTATGGTCGCTCAATCCTTACCTTCTCAAGATCGAACTGATAACCAGGTAGGAACGGTAGCTTATGCTGCAACGCCACGAGTGCCGGGTCCCGCATGATTTCCAGAAAGTTCGGGGCCGGATGAGGCACCTACGGGATGAATCTGGCGCCTGGATCAGTGTCGTAGATTCTGGCTTTTCGTTCAGCGTTGCTTGCTTCCACCAAGATGCGGGAAGTGTGGTCTCTCTGCAACGGGACCACCTGTCAGTACCAAAATCGACAGCCCGCTGACGTGATGGAAAATCTCCGATCGTCACGTGATTGCCTCCAACAAACAACGACGACAGTGACAAAAACAGAGTTGCTTGCCTGCCGATGCACCACATATCTAGCTCTAACAAGGTGTAGAGCAGGCAGAGCCTGCCGGACTGAAGGCGGACCCGCGATTAGACCCTATCCGACCTTCTTGCCCTTTGCGTGGGCATGGATTCGGAGTCTGGAGTCTGGACTCGGACGTGATGTCACTTGCGGCCGCCTTGGTCACTGTCTCCAAATTCTGGAATTCGGACACGTTCGTTTGTTCGAATCGTGGGTTGACCGGCGGCGAGAGCCGCGGGACGGACATCAATCACTTCGTTTTGGGGAAGCTTTGGGGAAAGTTGTGTCGCTATGCGTGCCTGCGCATCCATGGGGTGCGGCCGGTGTGGTTATGTTGCGCTAAAGACTCCAAAAGAACACCAACGGCGCGTCCGTTCACGGTTCAATGCTATATGGAAGTTCGACGTGCATACTGCCGCCTGCGTTGGCCCATTGAGCGGGTTAGAACCCGGATGGACGGTTTTCTCACTATAAAAGGGGCAGATCATCGGGCCTTACCCAGCTATCATCCAGTCCAAAATACCAAAACATTGACGCAAGCAACTTAACGACCTTTGAAACCCTCCTATCACACAATCTCAAATGGTCTCCCCCAAATTCAAACTCACGTACTTTAATGTCCGGGTAAGTACATATACAGTGTGGGAGATGAATATAGCCGGACCACATTGAGCACCATTCTCATCGTAAACTTCATTTACGCACACAGGGCAGGGGAGAAGTCATCCGTCTCGCCCTCACAGTCGCCGGGTTCGAATTCGAGGATGACCGCCTAACGGAGGAAGCTTTCGCTGCTCGCAAGTACGACATGCCTTTCAACCAGCTTCCTGTTTTGGAGATCACGGAGAACGATGGTCAGGTCAAGCGGCTGGCACAACAGCATGCCATCCTGAGGTATATTGGCCGGATTGGGGGATTGTACCCTGAGGATCCTTTTGTGGCCGCCAAGGTTGATGAAGTGTTAGGTGCTTGCGAGGGTAAGATGTGCCCGACACTTTTGCGACATACTGAAAGGCCCAGTATGACTTACCCATGTTTTTATCTCTACGCCAGACGTAAGCCTCATAATGAAGCCGAACATGTCGGAGCCAGACGCCGAAAAGCGGGTTAACATGCGTGAGGAAATGATCAAACCAGAAGGCGAATTGACCGTTTTCCTACGCAAGTTTGACGCCGTCGTAGCTGCCAGCGGGACTGAAGCCTACACGGTCGGCGACAAGCTCACGATCGCTGACTTGATGCTGTACGTGCAAGCTTCCTGGTTGTCCGTCGGCGTGCTCCGCGGCATCCCAAAGACGTATTACGAGCAGTTCACGTACCTGAACAAGGTGAAGGAGAATGTGGACAAGCTTCCCGATGTTGCCAAGTGGAACAAACATGCGGCTGAACTGGGTGCGAAATTGCACGCCGCTGCTCTTGCTGCTAAGGCCGCTGCCCAGGCGACTGCTACGGCGTAGATCCTTTAGATGCACTTTTTCCAAGATGTTTTCTGATGCGGACTTGTTGGCTAGCGATAGCGCTGCTAGTGATAGCGCTTCGATGTTTCATTTTCACACTTCTGATGCTGTCCCCGTTTGATACTCATACCCGACCATTCGTTTGCGGTATTCTTTGGATCCTTTACATCGTGCTGTCTGTAGCTTTTGGGAAAATCCTATACTACGCAAAGCAATGAAGTGAGTGGAGATTTGAGACTCTCATGAGAATCTGTGTCGGGAGAGGGCTACGAAGTCCAGTCCCAAAACGGACTGACAAGGATATAGTGTCAAAACAGTCATTGGGTCCCTTCTTCGCCTTCCCAAAATCATCTCATAAGCGCTCAGGCTCAGGCACCATGCCATGCCGCCCGTGGCCCCCTTGGTTGAGCAGAAAAAGGGATCAGTTGCAAGCCCCCCTCCCAGCGGGTCCCAGTGAAATCATGAACGAGGCGCCGGATTCGGAATGCACAGCGCTGCAATAATTCTGTCTACAGGGATAAACCTAGACTACCCAGTCTAACGCCGTCCATCTTCATACACTCCACCACAACCTTCTTCTCATTCTCCACCCACTTCCCCCTCGGCTCCATCAACCTCATCAATATCCGATACATCTCCGCATTCCCGACAATCTCCTCCATCCGCATCTGATCAAAAAAGTACAACGCCGCAACCACATCATCCGTCCGCTCACAACACTCCAATAACCCCTGGTACGTCTCCCTGTCCGGCGTGATCCCCTGCTCCCGCCGTAACGTAAAGATCAGGTCCCGGATGGCGTACACGGCGGCCCCGCCGGATGGGTCGGCGGCGCAGGCGTGGAGCATTTGGTTGTAGAGGGCGAGCGAGCGTGGGAGGTGGGTGAGGCGCATGTCGGTGAAGCGTTGGGCGGCTTGCTCGTGTTGCTGGAGGCGGAGGAGGGCGATGATCATAGCGGAGGCGGAGACGGCGTCGTGGCGGAGGCCGGATTGGAGCATTTCGGTTTCGTGTTTGTAGATGTTTTGGACGTGGGTTGCTATGTCGTCGTTTGGGTCTGAGGTTTCGGCTGACGGGTTTGCGGTGTCGGGCTCGAAGGCTGTGAACAGACATGCGTACGACGTCGCATTCGGCTGGTTTCCGCTACCACGAATCGTTTCAATGATTTGCAACACCCTCGCCACACGCTCCGACCTCGGCACACCAGGCGCCGTCGCACATCCATACGCTAGCGTGTTGTAAACATCGACGGTGGGGTATAACCCATCCTTCTTCATATCCTCAAACAGGGCAGACACCTTGTCGGTGGTGGACAGGCCGTCTCGAACTGCCATCACTTGCAGCTCTAAGACGAGCAGGCTCGTGTCGATGTCCTGGATGGTGCGGCGATACCGCATGTCTTCGACTATGGTTGTCCATGTTGTGTGCAGGTCGCGACGGGCACCCACCGACTGGCCTTCTGTATAGGACGCTTTCACGAGGGTGCGAATGAGGTTCAGTGTGCCCACATCTAGCGCTTTCAGGAGTGCATTTTTATCCTGCGCACTCAGCCGCGGCGAATGTTGCGTTAGTGCCCTCCCCGCTTGCTTAATTTGCAGGGCCTTGGACAGGGATCTCTGTTCCGCACAGCTCAAGAAAGCAACTTCGATGGCTTTCATAATGAGTTCCTGATTCGCGTTCCAAGTGTTCGTGTCTTCTTTCAATTCCCTTCGCAACGTCTTCAGCATCGCCTCTGCCGCATCAGATATTTGCAATTGGGTGTCGTGACGACCCAATCTCCAAAGTCCCAGGATGACAGACGCATGATATTCTGAAGATGCACTGGTTCGATTTAACTCCAGGAGAGCCTCGAACTCCTCTACCTTCCCCAATGTTCCCAATGCCTGTAGAGAAGAGGCAGGGGTCAGTTCTCCACCTCATTGACATACCCATATAACATGCGACATTTACCAAAAGCACCAAATTGCGCCTCGCAGGCGGTATTGCCGACGCCTCACTCGCCCCATCCAGCAACGCCAGCGCACCCTCCGCATGCTCCTCCCCACCCTCCAACAACAAAACCCTGGCCACAAATTCCGTCGGCGCACCCCGAAACGTCGCCCAAACAACCTCAGGAATATCCCTCTCCAACTCCACCAGTAACTGCACCAACCGCTCCATCCGATTCGGCCCATTCGCCGCTGCTTTCAGGAGATACATGTACATCTCAATCGGTAATTCGACGCCTGCTTCATGTGAGAGCGCGACCACGCGTCGGGCGGTGTCGAGGTCGCCGATTTGCGAGCAGGCTTCGAGGACTATGCGGTAGGCTTCCGGGGAGGCATTGCCGTTTTTGTGCAGTTTGAGAAAGTCGTGGACGATTCGTTGGTAGTTGCCGGTTTGGAGGGCGTCGACCATGCGTTTGACCCTGCCGCGCTCGGTGGCCGTAGCGGCTTGACCTGAATGAGGTATGAGCGCATGCACAATATTCATGTTCCAAAGTTCGAATTGCGTAGCTTACCTGCAAGCACATTAGCCGGTGCAGCCTTGGTGCTGTACGACCTTGTCGAGGGGATCGTCGGTTGTTCCCTCCCTAACCGGTATCGCTCCTGGGCGAGCAGTCGCTTCTGGTTTTGACATATTGACCTCCCGTTCCTTTTTGTAGTACAAGAGGCCTCGAGACTATTCGCCGCTCGGCCAGCTGCTGCTGCCAGAAAAGAGAGAGGGGACCTTGCGCTTGCCATCGGCAGACTTGATGTGTTGAGCGACGACGGTTTGCCCTTTGAGCAGCCAGCGAGGTTGCAGGGATGTTGAAATGCTCCGCTATCACGTGATCGTGTTTATTTCGGATTGTCTTCCATCGCGATGCGTATGTAAGCAAGCGTAAGCGCACGCGCTGACGGCCGACGCGTAGTTCTGAGAAAACGTCGTCGTCTCCACAGCGAGCCAGCGAACCTACCTTTGCTCGCAGGCCCAACTCGGGCCAAACCAATGTGGCGAGGGTACGCAACTGAAGAGTCAGATTCCCTCATCCCTCGCCGGCGTATTTCACTTCCGGCCCAATGACCGTCTCGCTTTTCTTCCCCATTGGGTTCTTCCCGATGTCCTCAACTTTCGCGCAAGCTTTCCTCCCAAAATCTGCTGGCGCTGTGACGAGGCGCCGCGACGCGACCGATGTCCGAAACTACATCCTTCAGAATTTAGTTCCTCCCCTCCGCCTGTCTCTCACTTTTTATTCTTTCCTTCCTCTAAGAAGAGGACGGCTGAATAAATGCGGAGACTCACTGGAGGCATGGAATGGAGGTCAATTGTGGTGGAGGTGCTCCTACAGTGCTGACATGAGAGTTTCGGCGCACGTAAGCAGCCAGCTATGTGTCACGCGTGAAAGGCAATGCCCTGCAGCAACCCCAAGCAACGCTTTCCCTCTACATCTCATACTAACCATGCCCGTCCGGTAAAGACATAGTTCAACCCGGGACCAACCAGGTGCTTAGCGAGCGCGAATAACCAACCCTGGTCTACGAAGACAATCAAGCCGCTATCAAGCTGGCTAACAACCCAGTCGATCATCAGCGCACGAAGCACATCGACATCCGACACCATTTCCTTTGTGAACTGGTCGCCGACAAGAAGCTGGATATTTAGTACCTACCGACGAAAAGGCCTCGTGAAGTCACCAAGGTGTTTTGGCCCGACGTAGGCCAAAGAGTAAAATTAAGGGTTGCAAACGCTTCTCTCGGAGCTTGAACACTTGATCGCCCCCTTGCCATGAGGGGCAGTCAACCCTTGGAGGTTCAACGAACCAACATCGATGGATGGACTGTGATGACCAGTAGCTGAAGCCCAAAACATTACCCTCAAAGGAGAAGTTAAGAATGGGAACGAAAACGAAGATACAAGGGGCTTTTTCGGGGCGGCTATGGAAACTGGAGCGCACATGCACTTGGGGTACCGACCTCAACTCTCTGTGTACGGGGTGAAGGCAAATCCGCAACCCCGCAACCAACGGACGCGAATCTGCTTGGTCATTTTTGCGGTCCAATGTCGGAGCAACTACATATATACCTCATGCTCGGATAGTTCAGCGGTCATAACGCTCAACATTACCATGAAATCGAGAGGAAAAAAACTCGCTCCTGGGCAGGCTTGAACTGCCAACCTTTGAGTTGATGTCCGATGTTACGTAGCGTTCCTAGTTAGTACCTTATCCACAGGCTCGGATAGTTTAGTGGTCATAACGCTGCCTTCACACGGCAGAGGTCCCCAGTTCGATCCTGGGTCCGAGTACTACTGCCGATGGAGCCAGACGAGCAGCACGGTGTGGGCTAGCTTTTTGGCTGTCTGTTGTGGACACTCCGTGAACACCGTTCCATTCGCTTGTTTTTCTCTCGCTGCTGTGTTTCCTGCGTCGGTCATACTGTATTACTCGGTCATTCTACGTTAAAGTTGGCCAGCTGTGCGCACTCTGCGCTTGGTTTTCGGCTGTCTCGGCTGTCCTTTCCGGGTAGGGCGCACCGTTCAACATGAAGCACCGTCTAGATGAAGTAATTTTTGCACATGCACATATACATTTGTACGTTCAGACGTCTATATAAAATGCCTTCTCTCTCCGTAACTCGGGACGGAACTCCAACCCCCTTATGGCGGAATGTTTCCCATCACTTGTCTTTCCTTCGGTCATCAGATCCACCACCTGCCTTGCGCTCCAGCTCCACATAGCGGTCGGTCAATCGCATGTACTCGTCGTGCGTCTGTTTAGCTTGCTGCGGAGAGGAGTTTTCATATCGAGGATCAGGAGGGAGTCAAGACGTAGATAGCTACACATACCTTCTTGATGATGTCGACTTCTCGCGCTTTGCCGAGTAATTCCTCAACCTCCTTTTTGAGGGTGGTGATTTCTTTTGTGCGATCTTGGTCCTTGTCGAGAAGCCGCTGGAAAAATGACGAGAGTTGAGTCGGATCCATAGCGCAAGTCCAAGTCTTTCCCCCGAGTAACCGCCAGCCCCGCAGCGCCAAGTCCCTACCATGTACTCAGTCGACTGCGATGCCGCCTGCTGCTTCAGCTTGTCCGTCTTGCTCTCATTGACCATCAGCTCAGTGACCATGGCCAAGAACCGGTTGAGAACCATGGAAAGAAACAGGACCGCTCCGGTTAGGTATAGGTTCCTTTGATCGTAGAATAGCCTCGCGCGTGTATACGCGTCCGTGCTGCCCATGTTGACGCCGACGTGGTGTACTTGCTCGGCGGATTCCGCTTGTCGTTTGAATGCACGGTTTAGGCTATCTATTTGCGAAAGGAGTTGACATTAGTATGTCGAGTGGAGTAGCGGATATGGTGAATGCTATTTTCGCCACTGACCGATGAACATGATGAATACGTAGACAAAGACGATTTTCAGATACTGCTTGAGTTTTGTGACAAGTGGACTTTTCGACATCCAAAGCTAAGTGTGCGGAGAACGGTTGAGACAGTGGCGAAGAAGCAAAACGCGGCGTACGAGGCGACCGCTGGCCTCACTCACCAGCATTGGTCGGCGCACCGACAACGGCAATGGCGCTGTATGAAGAAGATAGGAACGCTATTCAGCAAGGAACATAGGCGCTTGAGACGGACGCTTTCGTCTCGACGGAGATCACACACCTATAAGTAGGGTGAAGAATGCCATCTGCAGGATAACGACAGTGAGTAACAGGTTTCGCTTGCTCAAGAAATAGACCACCTTCCAAGCCTCTCCCTCGGAGGCTCTGGTGAGTGAAACAAAATGCATACCTCGGCAACCAGGACAAAGAACACAATTTGGTAGAAAAGCGACATCGTGGCTGTTTCTGTCGCTTTGGTCGGCGAATCCTTGGGAAGTTGAGACTGGAAATAATAAGGAGACCGGAAGGAGGGCGAGCGAGGTAGCGTGCGACTGTATTTATGTGTGTGTCAAAGTCTGTCCTGTGTGTCGTGGGCGGAGCCGCTGCTGAAGCAAGGCTTTCGACTTCCACGTCCACGAAGGACTGCGAAGGACGAACTTCCGTCTCCTCATTGCTTGGCACACGCGACGTGGCGTGGACCGTGGTTCCAGCCGTGGTTCTTCGGCATTGCTCAGGACGCTCAGGGACGGACGAAGCTTTCCCAGCCCGACAAACCGTCCCAACTGGCGGCAGTCCTTGAGCAAGAAACGTACTAGCGGCCGACACAACGACATCCATTCTGCAGTCGGGGAGCGTCTGCTATCATTCACTCACTCAAGCAAGATGAGTCTTCTCACGGACAAGCAGCAGGAGGAACTGTAAGACCCTGGGACACTCGCAAGTGTATGCGACTTTCGAAAGCTGATTACTTTATGTCTTCGAATATCGACAGGCGGCTAGCTCTTTTGGACTACCTACATACGAATGGGCTGGAAAAAACCTTCACCGCGTTGCAAAGCGAGGCGGGCCTCGCCCAGTACAGCGCCGACGGGAAGCAGAAGTACTCGGGCCTTCTGGAAAAGAAATGGACGTCTATAATTCGGCTGCAGCGGAAGGTACAGGCTTGGTAGCTGCTGTCGAGCGTGTATGCTACGTTTTGACTGCCGGGAGTGTTTGATGGGAACAACTTGGAGATCTGAGACTGACGACGTTGTACGCGATGTAGATCATGGAGCAGGAGACCAAGATTGGGCAACTGGAGGAAGAGTTGTCGAAAGCTCCCACGAGACGGACAACCGATACAGCCGACTGGATACCACGGCCGCCACACAAGCACAACCTAGCAGGCCACAGAAGCCCCATCACACGCGTTGCTTTCCATCCGGTGTTTTCAATCCTCGCCTCCGCTTCCGAAGATGCGACTATCAAGATATGGGATTATGAGTCAGGGACGTTTGAGAGGACGCTCAAAGGGCATACAAAGTCTGTGCAGGATATCGCGTGGGATGCGAAAGGTGGCCTACTGGGTACGTTTCGTCACATATTCCCAGATACCTCCGAACGGTGGGTAGAGTCGGAAGTTCAACCTGACAATGTCATCCCTAGTATCATGTGCGGCAGATCTATCGGTAAAGCTATGGGATGCGCAAGCGGACTACCAATGCATCAAAACACTACACGGACACGACCACAGCGTCTCCTCGGTCGCGTTCTCGCCTTCGGGAGACTTTATAATATCAGCATCTCGGGACCGTACAATCAAAGTCTGGGCGGTTGATACAGGGTAAGCATTCCATCGCAACGGTGCGTTTTCCAGTGCGAGCGCATTTATACAGGCATGAGTCTTGAATGGGTGCTGTGATGAAGATCGTACTAAAAAGCGACGCGTTGCTGGTTCAGATACTGCGTGAAAACATTCACGGGTCACTTGGACTGGGTCCGCCGCGCAATAGTAAGCGCGGACGGGCGGTTAATAGCAAGTTGTGCGAACGATCAGGTAAATGTGTCAACCGCTTGCAATTTGCACGCCGTCGACGCCCCGTCCTGACAACTTATCGGCTTCGATTAGACGATCATAATATGGGATTTCGCAACGGGGGAGGCCAAAACGGAGCTGAGAGGGCATGAGCATGTGGTGGAATCGATAGCGTTTGCGCCTGTGGCTGCGTATCCGTATATCAAGGCCTTGGCCGGGAATCAGGTGTGTATAAGCAAAATCAAGCCTTTCTGCACACAGCAAACCCGCATGGCGAATTACTCTAGGCCTACTCATAGTCATGCTATATACTCGTTTATAGCAAAACGGCCTAAGCGACCCACCACCCCCCGGAACCCACCTCCTCTCCTGCTCCCGCGACAAAACCATCCGGCTCTGGGACACAACCACCGGCCAACAACTGCACACATTCACGGGTCACGACAACTGGGTTCGCGACGTGCTCGCACACCCCAACGGCCGGTACATATTTTCCGTGTCGGATGATAAATCCCTACGGTGCTGGGATCTGCAGCAGTCGGGGAGGTGTGCGCGGAGTTTGACGGATGCGCATGCGCATTTTATTACTTGTATGGCGGTGCCTCCGGGTGGGAATGTGCCGGTGTTGGCGACGGGTGGGGTGGATTGTGGCGTACGGATTTGGCCGTGCTCTTGATGAGTGCCGCACGGCGGTTTCATCTCTCCGACGACCGCTTGTAGCTATCTGTAGGTAGCTGTGAACTTCCCATGTTTATCTACGTAGAAATGTACTGTATGTTACCGATAAGCAGACTCATCGATGAGGGAAGCAAAAATCACCCGGATCGAGGGCGACTCATACAATATGGCATTCCAAAATGCCTGATAAATAGACGATTACGACCTTCACATTACATGCTCACAATGTCCCGTAAAGTACAGATTGTCCATTCCTTAACCTGGCGTTAACAGACACCCTCAGCTAAGTCTCACTACGTTGCACCACCCTATTACATTGTCCCGAACGTCGACAAAGTGTCCCATCTCTTACACAACAAAGCTCATCCCACCCTTCGAATAAGCCACACTCTCCTCATTCTCCTTATCCCCCTCCACGCCCGCCTTCTCCCCCCCACCCGCCGCGACCAAGTCCGAGTCCTCCAACAAATCCCTTGACATGGACATTGTGATCTCGCGCGACACCGACGCGGTGGACATGTGGTGCATCGACTGGCGGGAGGTGAGTGCCGCCCGGCCGACGCGGCCGATGCGGGTGCGGCCGTTGGGGCCGAGACCGGGCGCGGCGGAACTGAAGGAGGCGAGGCCGCGGTGTGATTCCATCTCGCGTTCGAGGTTCATGACTTTGCGTTTGAGGTCGTCGCAGCGGCGGGAGAGTGAGATGTTTTCCTGCACGTTCCGCGGAGAAGAGCGATATCAGCTTGATTTCAAACCATGTTTTATGGCGAGGGAAGAAACACCACTCACCGTCTTTAACTTAACATTCTCCTCCTTCAGCTGCGCGACATGCTTAATCTTCTGCTTGGCATTCGCATGTCCAAATAGCTCCGCGTTAAGCTCGCCTAGCCGCTTCACCTCGCTTTCCTTGATCTCCCCGCGCGTTTTGAGCAAATCTAACTGCGTCTTGTAGCTGTCTTCCATGTCGCGTAACCGGCCTGCGTTGTCCTCCATTGCGAGTGTTGTTCTATATTGAAGAAGAGAGATTCCGTAGAACAAAGATAGGAGTCGCGGTAGAAGAGGTGAAGAGATGAAGAATGAGAATGAATTGTGATTACCCCCAACAACCAGGATCAGCCATCCCACGTATGCGTGACCCGACTACGCCGAAAACCACAGCTTTTGCCTCCATGTGTGTGCCATACAGGATGAACCACAGGTATTTGCTTCAGCGCCTCCCGCGGGTACGTCGCCCGCCACATCTCTCCTCAAGAAGTTACAGGCTTCACGTCGCAACCAACTGTTCGCTGAACTCCCGCTCCACCCATACGATCACGAGCCACGCCAATACCAGCACGCCCGCCGCCAGCACGACTACCTGCAAGGCCGAAATGACCACCGCGGCGCCTTTCCAACCACTATCACTCCCCTCACAAGCCCAATGTCCGTACCTGTCGAGCTCAAACCGCAGCTTATGTATCTCCTCCTCATACTCGCGCAACACACAGTCGTACTCCTGCTTCTGTGTATCCCGCTCGACAACGACCATCTGCAGCTTCTTCTCAAACAGCGCCGAGCGGTTCGCAGAGTCGGAGTGTTTCGCGCTCTCTTCTCTCGCGAGTTCGGCTTCGCGGCGCGCTTTGGCGATCGCGGATTTGGCTTCGGAGCGGATGGTGCTGATTTCGTGGAGTTTGGCTTTGAGCTCGGCTTGTAGGCCGCGGAGCTGGGCTTCTTTGGATGCGAGGTCGGTGGCAGTCTTCATCTCTACGATCGATAGCGCGTTCTGCTTGTCGATGATGGCCGCCCGCAATGCCGCAACTTCGTCCTGGTGCAGTTTCTCCAGCGCATCGCGGGACGCAACTTCGCCTTCCAGCTTCAAGCTCAGTTCATCCGTCAATCGCGTAGCCATCGCAACCTGCTCAACTCGCTGCTCCTCCTCTGCTGTAAGTTTCGTCCGCATCAGGTCCAAGTCCCGACGCAGCTGCGTTACCTCCTGGTCATGAGCCTGCAGCCTCCGCACCGCACTCTGAAGCTCGTTCTCCTTTTGCTCCAGCAGTTCCGTCAACGAGTTTGCCTTTTCTTCAAGCAACCTCTTTTTCGACATCACCGCCGTAATATCCTGCGACAGCTTCCCACCTTCCTCCTCGTACCGCCTGAGCTGCCTCTCCTGCTTCTCCGTCACCTGCGCCAATTCCTCCTTGTATTGCGCCGCGTTGGCTTCGATCGTCGCGCTCAAGGTGGCGATGGTCGCGCGGGCGTCGTCGAGCTGGTGATGCAGTCCCGCAGAGATGGACTCGTGGTCTGCCTGGTTCTGAGCCAAAGCTTCACGTAGCTCCGCACGCTGTTTGTTATATGTCGATGTCAGCTCTTTCGCCTGCTCCTGAAGCTCCTCGATCTGCTTCGACGATTTCGTAACGAGGGCGTCGTACCGCTCGCGAGCGCCAGAGAGCTCTTCATGCAGGGCCTGCATCGCGCGCTCGTGTTGGGATCGTACGTTCTGTTCACGGTGCTCGACATCCAGCTTGTAATCCTCGAATTGTGCAGACAGTTTTGAGAATCGCGACTCACTTTCCTTCGTAGCTTGAACCTGTCGATCCAAGTCCGCTTTTACCGAGTCCAATTTGTCGGTCGCGGCCCGCAGTTCATCCTCCAGTTCCTTCCGCCGCTGCCCACTCTCGCCCCGGAGACGCTCATGCGCTTCCTGCGCCGCCCGCAGCTGTCCTTGCAAATCACCCATCGCACGTTCGTGTGCACTCCGCTCCTCATCCAACAAAACTTGCAACCGCGCCATTTCAGCAGACACGTGCGTATGTTTGTCCTCCGCCTCGCGCAACTGACTCTTTAACTGGTCCACCGCCTTTTCATGCGTTTTCCGATCCCCCTCCATCCTCGCCCGAAGTTCCCTGACCTCCTCAACCCTTTCCTCATGCAGCGTCCCAAGCTCCCTCACATGCGCCTTCTGCGTCTCCTCATACCGTCGACCCAAATCGCTCAACGCCGATTTGAGCTCCGCGACCTCCTTAGAGTGTGCCACGACGCTAGCGTCGAGTTTCCCGCGCAGTTCTTGCTCCACACTCGTCATGTTGGACTCGCGGTCACGGATGGTCTGCTCGTACTGAGCGCGTTGGGCGTCCCAGTCGGCACTGAGCTGCGTCGCGGTCTGCCTAGCTTTCTCCAGATCGGCTTCCAGCCTTTCAACAGCGGCCCGGGTGTCTGTCGTCAGTTTCTCGATCCGTGCAGTCAGGTCAGCATTCTTGGCCTCTTCAGCCTCCAACGCGTTCCTGACAACCGTAGTCTGATCCTCCGCATCCTGCGCCATCTGTGCAAGCAGTTCATCCTGCTGCTGCCGGTCCGATTCGATCTGTCCGCGTAACTCTTCAGCGATGTCATGCGAGTCCTTGAGATCCGATTCTAGCTGCGAGACTGCCTCCTCATGCTGGGCTGTCAAATCGGCCATTTTCTGTTCGTTCTCCGCGCGGGTCTGTGCGAGAAGCTGAGTTTCCTTCGACAGCTGTGCTTTCCATTTCTCCACTTCACTGCTCAAATTGGCAATCCGACCACTCTGCTCGTCCATCTCCGCTCGAGCCAGCCGTTCGTCCTGCTCCTTCTGCTGGATAAGTGCCTTGGCACTTGCCAGCTCCTGCTCAAGTCGCTTAGCCGCCATCGAGTGCTGTTCACCATCCGCCGCAGCCCGATCCTGCCACTCCTTAACCTGCCCTTCAAGATCCTGGATCTGTCCCATCTGGCGATCGATGGTTCCCACAGCGCTGCGAAGCTCGTCCTCCTTCTTGTCGAGGGACGCGACCGTAGCCGCCAACTCTCTTTCGAGCGCCGCTTTCGTCTGCCCGTGATGCTCGGATTCGGCAACAATGTGGGCTTTCGCCGCTTCCATATCACTCCTCAGTGCCTGGATCTGCGTGTGCTGGTCCTCCATCCGCTGGACGGCAGCCTCGTATTCCCTTTGCTTCTCACCCAGCTCCTTTTGGGACTGCGTCCTCAACGTTGTGAGTTGCTCATCCCGCGCGTCCAGTTCCGTCGTCATAGAGTCGATCCGCTCCTGGAACTGTGCCCGTTCCTGCACGGCCGCCGCCTGGAGTTGCTTTACTTTCACGTCATACCGATCAACTTCGGCCGCTTGTTCCTTCTCCTTCAACTCCACAAGCTCAGTCAGACTCCTGATCTTCATCTCATCCGCCGCACTCGCTTTCGTCAGCACCTCAATCTGCTCAAACGCCTGATTAAGCTCATCATCGCGCGCCTTAACCTGCTGCTGCAAAAGCTGCACGTTCTTCTGGCCATCAGACTGCGCATCGCTCAGAAACTCGCGAAGGTGCTCAACCTCCTCGCGGAGTTTCTGCTCGCGTTCCGTGGCGAGCTCGATCTCGGTGTGTGCGCCTTCGAGCTCCTCGGCCGCCGTGGCGTAGTTCTGTGTCACACTCTCGAGCTCGGATCGGCGCTCGTCGGCTTCGTCCTCGGCGTGCCGGAGCTCTTTTTCTAGCGTCTCGCATTGGCGTTTGATCCGGTCTAGCTCCATATCGACTTCCTCGCGGCGTATACGTTCTTCCCTGAGATCTTCCTCCAAAGCAGGCACCCGTTGCTGGTAATCAGACACGTCATTGTTGGCCACTTGCAGCTCAGCCCTCAGTTCGCCCAGCTCGCGCTCCAACCCAGCCAGCTTGGCATGGGTGTCCCTGTTTTCCACATCTTTCGCATCAACCTTCTGACTCAACTGGCCAGTCTCCCGTTCAAGCTTGTCCAACGAAGCCTTGTACTCCGCCGCCCGCTTCTCGCATGCCCGCAGAGAGTCTTCCAGGTTCGCGTTATCTCGTTCCCGCTGACGACACAGCTCAGCGATCCGTTTGTTATCCTCCGTCAGCGCCACAACCTGCCTTTCATTGGCAGCAAGTTCACGTCGTATCTGCATCATCTCATCCCGAAGCGATTCCACAGCTTGCCGCTTCTCCTCGACCAGAGTGTTCAGACTGGATATCTGTTGGTCCCTTTGTTTGACCTCATCGGATCTCCGTTGCACGATTTCTTGGTAGTCGGCCACTTCCGAGTGCATCTTCTTCACAAGCGTCTGGTAGGCAGTTTCCACCGTCCGATTCGAGGCTTTGAGATCTTTGACCAGCTCATCGGTCCTTTGCCGCTCCTCGGCCCGCTCGCGGTGCGCCTGATCGAGCTCCTCCGACACGTTCAGAAGGTACCGTTCGGCTTTTTCGAGCCGGGTGCGCAGATCATCTTCCTTTTGATCGAGATCCGCGATGGTGTTTTGCAGAGATCCGATGTGTTTCGTAGATGCCGCCTGCGCCTGAGCCAACTGGTCTTCCAGGTCCGCGATCCGCTGCAGATGCGCTTGCTGTTGCTTGTTGTATGTAGCGATAGTCTCCTCATGCCTCTTCTTCAACTCGGCAACCTCCCTCAGCAACCTAGCCTTTTCCTGCCGCTCATCATTGTAATGTGACGTTTTTTCCGATAATCGGTCGTGCAGGGTCTGCAGTTCCAGCACTTTCGGCTCAATCTCCGCCTGATACGCACGCAGCTTCTCCACCGCCTCGTCACGTTCCGTCTTTGTGTGCTTGAGCACTTTCTGGAAATCCGACTCGGCTTGCCGTATCCGCTCTTCCAGAGCCTGCCGTTGGGTTGCGGCCTCGGTTTTGTCTCGCGCGAGAACCTTCTGCAAATGCTCGACCTCGTTTTGCAGCTGGTCGTAGTTTCGCGATCTGTATCGGTCGTTTTGCTTTTGAAGATCGTCCAGTCGCTTTTGTAGGGCTGTGGTCTTCATGGCGAGGGTGCGGTCCTGTTGCGTGAAGGATTGCTTTTCGGCCTTTTGAAGCTAGATCGATAATTATATGAGATTCTGTGTCGGGACGCGCAAGGGAAGAGTGGGATTCGAACCCAAACGTACGTTCTGCTTCAACTGCTCATGCTTATGTCCCAGATCCAACAGCTCCCTCTCCTTCTTTGCCACCTGTGTCTGCAGCGCAACCTTATCCTTCAAGTGATCTTTGAGCTGGGCGTCCGCCCTCTGAATCTTTGCCTCCAAGTCACTCTTTTCCCTCTCGTTCCGTGTCAGCTGGCGCTGAAACTGGTCCTGCCACTTTTCAGCCTGTCCAAGGGAATGAAGGTGGGTGGTGAGTTGTCCGCCTCCAAACGTAGACATCCGGCTACCCGTTTCGAGCCTACCTCCTTTCTAATCTTTTGGATTTCATCCAAGTACTTCTGTTCAAGTTTATGTTGCCGCGAAGGAAGCTGTGGCCGGTGGCTGCCATTGTCTGCATGCTCCTCATATACTTCCTGTCCATTCTCATCTATCGGGGGAACTTACAAGGTCAGTACATTCATCAGTGCATTCAAAGCTATCAACGGAAGAACGTTTGCCAAACCTAAAACGGGTTCCTTGAAACGGTCGGCTTTTTCTAAGAACCCAAACCGCTTATGCTTATCCTGGTTCACTAGACTCGTGTTGATATCGTATGCTCCCGGGCCGGGTGTTTCCAGGGGACCTGGTATGAGGAATTATGATAGGAGCGTGAGGGGCGGAGCAGAGATGAGGGTCGGTGAGCCGGGGTGTTCGATGCTCGACTACTTACGCGCCAGCATCTTGGAGCGAAGGGACGGCGATCACACCGCAGGTTGATGAGAGAGTTTCGTTGGTGGGCAACCTGCGAGTGAAGGTTGTGGATAGGAACCCCACGACTGGAGAGCCCCGAATGGAAGCTCGCGGGAGAGGGGGGATGTCGGGCGTCTGATCTTGAGACGATTGTTCACAAACCTGCGTCCAAAGTCTGCCCCGTGCGATTGGCCGTCAAAAGGGGGTCGCGTCGCTCCAAGGTTTCGGACATCCTTCTGGTTCCCTTCTCAACTTCACACACACTACTCTCGACACACTTTCCCCTGCGGACGACGAGCTTGTGTGGGCGATGGAAGAGAACCTTCTCTCATGATCACGATCCCTCCTAAAAACACGGCGAACTGCTACAGTTTTGCAGTGTGGTTTCGAGTCTTCAGAAGTGCGCAAGCCCCACATCGGCATGCTTCCATATGTACACACATGTATACATATACAGTTCATGGATGCCAGATGAACGAAAGGCAGTCTCGAATGACATGGAAGCCGGAGATGTGTATACTATGCGACACACACACGCCATGCCTCTCAGGCCAGCGGAAATGTCCGGAACTGATTATCATGTCCGATTCCGAGAATCTGCTCTTCTCCTTCATCACGTGACTGGATATTTCAGTTTTAACGTGACTACCGCGCAAGTATTTTTATGCTTTGAACCTGCGACAGGATGCTCCTCCTGCGCTAATGCTACAACTCCGATCACGGCAGCTACGCGCTTTGACAGGCCCTTTTGCCAGACTGACAGCGTGCCAATGCCATGCCGCCGTTCATTGGGTTTAAGGCGCATCAATTTCCAGCGGTGACCGTCACTCCTTCTTGGCATCTGTTTCGAAGCATAATGACCGAGAGCGAATAGCGGGGCTCCCGCGATGAAACGCAGGGGTGCAAACGAACGCGAGCAGCTCAGCTCTTTGCCAGGGGGATGTGGTGGATCTGGAAGAGGGAAGACACCTCACGATGTGCGATCATCATCATCATCATCAGAAGAAGGGGGGCCGTGATGAAACACACGCTTGCAGTCGGTCTTTCCGCTCATGAGGAGACTCCCTCGGAACAGCGACGGACGGACTTATGGGATGGATGGCACAGTAGGACTCTCAAACCGCTCGCTCGCTTGAGCCAAGACTGAGCACCCCCCCGCCCAATTAGCAAAACAACGGGATCGTATAAAAGCCGAGCACTTCCAGTCATCGCCCCTCCCGCCCCCCTTCTTCCCACCACCACCACCACCACCTCTCCCATCCCAACTCGTTTCCCTCGTCTCTCTCAACTCGTTTCCGTGCGTTGGCGCTTGGATCCTGTACATTATCCTTGTCCCAAGCTAGCCCAACCCGGTTACGCTGTATATATCATACATACATACATACATTACATAGCTTTCGTTTCTTTCTCTGTTTCATACTTTTCTCTTTCTTTCCCACAAACGGCGTATCTCCAACCTTCTCTACATTACTCAGCAACATCGTAAACAGAATGGCTATCCTATCGTCTTCCTCGTTCGTAGCGAAAGCCGCCTTCGTCGCTCTCACTTTCGGCTCCGCCGCCGTCGCCCACCCCCATCTCTCCGCCCGCCAAGCATCACCCGCCGCCAACGTTGGCTTCCACAACTGCGAGCCCAAAATATGGTCCCCGGCCTCCGCTACAACCGTCAGTTCCTCTCTCGTCCCGTCCGACGAGCTGAACCTCGCCGCAACAAACTGGCTCAGCAAGAACTTCAACCAGACCGAGAACAACTCCTACATGTCGAGCGGCTACTTCGACGCCGCGTCGGGTGTGTACCACCATTACACCGCTCAGCTGGTAGACGGTCTGCCCGTCGTGAACGGTGTCTCGGACGTGCATCTGGACAAGTTCGGAAACGCTCTCGCGGCTTCGTACGCGTTTGCGCATACCGAGAAGCTCGCGAGGCGGGATCTGGACGCTAGGGCTGCTGACCCTATCTCGGCATCCAGCGCCGTCGAGGCCTACGCAAAGGCGTTCGGACTTACCGCCGACGCTGCGCAGTTGAAGGAATCCGCAGCCGCCGACGCCACGGAGCTGAACCAAGCGAAAGTCATCACCGGCGCCACCTTCGCGCAAGCCCCCATCAAGGCCGAGATCAAGCTGTACCAGACCCCAACGTCCCTCGAGAAGGTGTGGAGCTTGAATGTGCAGCGTCCCGACGCGTGGCACAACGCGTTCATCTCGGTCGCCGATGGCTCGCTGGTGGGCAATTCGAACTGGCAGACGGCTAACTTCTGGAACCCAGAGTCGGAGACGGGCAAGACCGCCTCTGCTTCCGCTGGTACCGCCCCTGCTTCCGCTGGTACCGCCCCTGTCAAGCGCCGCGAATCGTTTGGAGACAGCGTCACGTTTGGGCAGGTGCATCGTCGCCAGGCGCGACAAGGTGCGGCGGCAGCTGGAGCCATCCCGCGCACGACCTACCTTGCCCTGCCCTTCGGCGCAAAGGACCTCGACTCCACACCTCCCGTGCTTCTCACCGACCCCTTCGACAAGGACGCGTCCCCGCTCGGCTGGCACGATCTCGGGGACGGCAACGGCCCTCTCGCCACCACCGTCGGCAACAACGTCGTCGCGCAGGAGAACTCCCAGAACCTTGGCAATCCCCTCAACAACCCGCGCCCGGTCTCCTCCACCTTCGACTTTAACTCCAAAGCCAACGACAAGAATCAAGAACCACCCCAGTACGTCGACGCCTCCGTCACCAACATGTTCGTGCTCTCCAACCTCTACCACGACACACTCTACAAATACGGCTTCACGGAACAAGCCGGCAACTTCCAAGCCAACAACAACGGCAAAGGCGGTTTGGCCGCCGACCCCGTCATCGCCAACGCACAGGACGGATCAGGCACAAACAACGCCAATTTCGCATCCCCGCCCGACGGCCAAATCGGCCTCATGCGCATGTTTGTCTTCACAGCCACCCAACCGCAACGCGACGGAAACCTCGAGAACGCCATCCCCATCCACGAACTCTCCCACGGCCTCTCCAACCGTCTCACCGGCGGGCCCGCCAACGCCAACTGCCTCAACAACGCCATCTCAGGCGGCATGGGCGAAGGCTGGTCCGACTTCTTCGGCGTCGCGTTAACCGCCTCCGCACAAGAAACCCGCACCACCGACCGCCCCGTCGGAAACTACGTCCTCAACAACGCCAACGGCGTCCGCGGCGTCCCATACTCCACCAATCTCCAAACCAACCCCCTCACCTTCGCCTCCATCACCCGCCCCGTGCAGCAAAACGACGTCCACGGCGTCGGCACAGTCTGGAACTCCATGCTCTTCGAAGCCTACTGGAACCTCGTCGACAAGCTGGGCTTCACACCCAACTTCAAGGACGACGCCCAGTCCGGAAAGGGCAACACGCTGATGATGCAGTACGTCGTGCAAGGCCTGGCGTTGCAGCCGTGCAACCCGAACTTTGTGCAGGCGAGGGACGCGATCCTGGCCGCCGAGCTGCAGTTGACGAAGGGCGCGAATAAGTGTGAGTTGATCAAAGGGTTTGCGAAACGCGGACTCGGCCTGAATGCGAAGGGCACCGCGCCGTTTGTGAATGATAACACGGTGCCGGCGGAGTGTCAATGAGCCTTTTTTTGGGCGTAGACTTTTTTTTTTGTGTGTGTGTGCTGGCTCGTCCCTGTAGTTTAGTTCATCTCTCCTTCCCTCATATATCGCAAATCGATTCTTACACTGGCAGTATTTTGGAACTTCCCCCCCCCCCCCCCCCCTCTCACTTGGATGTATATATATATGCGAACACTGTGTGTGTTTCGGCTCTTTGAAAATGGCAAATCATTCCATGGATATCCCTCATTTGGTGTGCCGTGTTCTGTTATCATTGGTAAAGTTGGATGCTTTGTTATTGAGGTTCGTAGGACCATAATCGGAAGTATACTGCAATGCATCGAATGATATTGCAACTTCCAAAGCAGAATCTATCCTGGTCACTAAAATAAAACTACCCATACTCCGCTCCAACCTGAAAATACTTCAAAGATCCCTGGATCTAGAAATCCTACTTGCTATAGTCAGGCCGATAACTCCTCCCCGTCCTCTCCCAAAACTCCTGACTCGACATCCTCTCCCCGCCACCACCTGGGCCCCCTTCCACATGATGATGCCCAAGCCCCCGCCTCCCCCTCCCTCTCGGTCCTCCTCCACGCCCTCCCCGGGTAGGCCGACCACCTGTCTCATACTCCCTCGCGGGTCTGAGGGGCCCACCGACGACTTCCGGGCCAACGGGTCCGCGTACGTCCCAGCCGGAGACCCGGTCGCGTCCCAGGAAGGATGAGAGTGTCGGCGGCGGACTGGTTGAGGACACCCGACTACGCTGCTGCAAACGGTCACGTAACGCGGGACGGATGGTCTGCGCAGACGACGGCCGCCGGTCCCGGTCGCGTTCCTCATCGCGGTCTCGGTCGCGGTCCCTATCTGTGAGTTCCATCGGGTCGCCGGTTACCGAAACGGAGGCTGAGGACGGGCCGCTGGCGCCGTAGCTGGGACGGTACGAGCGTTCCGGGTGGAGTTCGGGGCGGTATCCCGGTCTGGGGTGGAACCCCCCGTCTGGGTCCGTGCGTCGGGGCGGGTAGAGGTCGTCGTCCTCTTTACGGGGCCCTCCGTCGGGGATGTCTTCGTCGTCACGGTCTAGAGAAACGACACGGCGGACGAAATCTCTGCCTCCGTCCATTCCAATCCCCCGCAAAGGTGTCCTGGAGCGACGTCGACCCCGTCTGCGTCGTGGATATGGTCGCGCCCCGTACCGAGGGGAGAGAGCAGACATGGGACCATCGGCGGGATTTCCGGGCGCTTCGCCGCGATACTCCAGCTCAGACGAGAGCGAACCCGAGTTTGTACCCGTGCGACTCGAAGTCGACGGGCTACGTGATCCAGACCGTGAGCCATTGTAGCTAGGCATGCTATCCCTATCCTGCTCTCCTTCCAAGCCTCGACCGCTACCAATCGAGCCACGCGTATCCTCGAGCGAGACGACACGTAGGCGCCGCGGCGGTGGTGTGGGCGATCGGGAGATGGAACGTGAGCGAGATCGTGACACTGATCGTGAACGGGATCGGGATCGGGCGGAGATGCGAGAGGCTGGGGATGCTGGACGAGACCGTCTATCGTCCGTCTCCAGGTATTCCCTCCTGCCAGGATCCATGATATCCGCACGACGCAATCTGGCATCTTTATCGTCCCGTTGACCGTCACGACGATCCGAAGTCGGTAGCGGGGAGTTTTGCCTTAAAGAGACTGGTTCATCAATGTCCATTCGGTCGAGATGAGCCCCGCGGTTTGGCGACAGAGATCTCGGTCGAGCAGAGACTTGAACGGTCGGTCTGTCCTGAAACCCGCGCGGAGGCTCCTGCGCACTCCGGGGCGTAGTTCCACCAACTGTTGCGCTAGTAATGCTTGCTCTGCGCATGTGGACAGGGGAGTTACCCCGTTCCCTATTCCCATCCCCTGCCATCAAATGCGGCCCAGGTCCACCATAACCATCCCCGGGATGTCCGAACCGCTCGCGATCCAGCCGCTCACGTTCACGCAGGTTTTGCTCTCGCGGATCCCTCTCCCGCGAATCCACCCAATCACTCCGCTCCAGCGGTTCACAGGGCTGATCCCATTCTCCACCGGGTCCCGGCCCAGGAGGCGCGGGGAAGCCGCGGGGATCTCGTTGGCCCCAGCTACGACGGCGTCCACGTCCAGAAGGCGCCCACATGGGTGGTCCACCGCCATGACGGCCGGCTTCGAGTTCCCGTGCACCCTCTCGGTCCCACTCCCGTTCTCTGAGCTCGGGGTCCCGGTCTCGAGGATCGCCGCGTGGTGCTGGCGCTAGGTAGGGATCTCGAGGATCCCGCATGCGTTCATTAGCGTAGTCGAATTCACCTTCATGAGGTCCAGGAGCATGCGGCGGTCCATGTCGCTGGTCGTAGTAATCTCTTGGGCCAGCCCCTGCGTGCATAGGCAGCGGTGGACCGTGAGGATATCTCGGCGGCGGTCTTCTGAAATGCGGTGGCGGTCGCTCGATTCTTTCCGGACCGTAAAGCTGTTGGGGAAAAGCTGGGGCGCCTCCCGGACCATAGGGGTTGAAACCAGGCTCAGGCCGCGACATGTTTGGCGATGAAGGTGGCGGCGGGCGGTAATTTGGATACGCGCTTGCCGTCTGCTTGTATTTTGACGCCGGCGGTGGCGAGACGCGAGAGGGTGAACGTCCAGGGGCAGGGCCGCGGAAGGATCCGTGGGGTATTGTGGGCGAGACTTGTGGACGCCTCGGAAAAGTAGGATGACCGGAGTTGGAGATGATTGATGACCGACGACTGTGCCAGTCGTGCTCCGGCTCCTGACCCGCGCCTCTAGACAGACGACGAGCTCCGGCGCTTGGGCCAGTTAATGTGCCGTGCGCTTGCTCACCCGGTGGGAACAGTGCCCGACCGCCATTCCTGCGAGCGTGTGGACTATTAGGTTCATCTTGCGGCGGTTGCGTGGTGGTGCCGTATATAGAAGCCAGTCCCGTAACCGCTTGAATTGGGAAGTGATTTGAACCCTTTGAACCTTGATCCGCACTGTTCGGCCCTTCCTTGCGTCCTTCAGTTGGTCCCTCCTGAGTTCCGTGCAAAGGGCCAACTGATACTGATCTTCTTCGCTCCTCGGCCCGCGCTACCGATGTGACAGAGACCACAGAGACCGAGACCGTCGCGCGTTGCTCCGGAATTTCATCCACGCGTGGCAAAGAACTGACGAAACTCGATGATTTGTTCTCGTTCACGTTGCCAAGCACGCTAGCCGAAGACACTCCAGTGGTGGGGAACGGAGACTCGCTCGCCGGGTTGAACGGGTCCAACACCGCTGCCGTTATTAAAGGAGTGTCTGGAGCAGACGACAAAGGAGTGGTGACCGCAGATGTGAGAGTAGAAGCGGTGGCAGACACTGCTGCAGCCGCTTCCATCTTCAAGCGCTTTTTGGCCATGAATTCTGCCAATGAGACTTTACGGATAACGGGCGGCGGTACGAACGCTGGTGTAGCCGGCGTTGAATCACATGTGGCGGCCAAGGGCTTACGGTCATCGGGAACAGCTTCTTTGATGGGCGCGACGCTATCCTCTAACTTGACCTTCTTCAACGTCGGCGTGGAGGGGCCGCCGGAGATAACGTCATCGGGTTCCCCTGCAGTACCAGTTTCTGCATCTGACAATGTGCGCTTTCGACGTGCGCGCGCCGCTTTCGAGGCTTCATCAGTGGGAAGATCCTCAACGGTCGGAATGACAAGTGCGGCCTCCTGCGCTTTCTTCGCTTCTTCCTGAGCAAAGATCCACGCCTTCAAACCGCGCTTCCGACGCGGTGGGCTCTCGGCGCGTGCCTCAACCTCGCTGATTTCCCGTTTGCGGCCTTTCGCGATTTGTTCTGCTGTTTCTTCACCTGCGACGGATGGCTGAAGAGACGATGCGCCCGACCTCGACGGCCGGTCAGGCTCGCTTCCAGGTGTTCCTTCCGTGCTTCCTTGCCTGGTGCGTCTGCGTCGTGGCGTGCCCTCTGTTTCCCGCGCGTCATCAAAGTCGTCGCCGTCTGCTTCACCTCCGCCAGAAGTCGTCCTACGTCGACCTTGTCGTTGTTTCTTCTTCTCGGCTTCTTTCTCCATGCGTTCGATGCGTGCTAGCTGGTCTTGGAGTTTCTTCTCCTCGCGTGATAGGGGTTTGCTGCTATCTCCACTCGCAGCGGGCTTACTATTTGTTCTCGTAGGTGCAGCTTCGGAGGCTTTCGCTTTTGGCGCATCAGCTTCGTCTTCACTCATTGGTTCGCCACGTGACGAGTTGTTGCGTCTATGTCTTGCAGACCGGCAACGCTGTCCATCTTCTTCCACTGGCTCATCGGATTCTTCACCTCGAACCATCCTCTCATACAGAACCCTCGCCTTTGCAGTGCGACAGATGCGCGGGTTACTACACACGCAAGGATACCCTGCCACCTTCAAATCGGATTCAGAGCCTAGCGCGGGTCCAAGGACGATCTCCTCTGTTGCGGAGATGTCACGTGTGGCATAGATAGCTAACAGTAGACGAGCATTGAGAGGTGCTGCTTTAATCGTGGATTTGCGCGTGGTCGGTCTGGGTGTCTCTGTCGGTTCCGCGGGCTCCGGTGGAACGGGATCTACAATCTGATAGGTAATGATACTGCGAAGCTCAGCGTTGCATACTTCATCCTCGTCCTTGCCTGCACCGCAATGACGGCGGACGTTCCTTCCACCGCGCTCGCCAGCGCCGCGGGCGTCAACGACGAGACGTTCGGCGTGACTGCTTGGGCGGAAAATGTGTGGGAAAACGAATGCAGGGTATACTTCTCCACCTTTTGCCTCGATGACAGGGAGGCCGCCGGACTTTCCAAGTTTCGAGAGGAACGTGAGACTGCCTTTGATATCGGTGATGAACGCTCCTTCGGGAATATCGGCCGTCGCAAACAGTCCGTAATCAATCAAACTGCCTGGCAGTACTCGAGGGTCGATGTTATCATCATACCCGTCAACCGGAATCGGATCGCAAACTGCCACAGGAATTCGGTTTTCAAGCCATTGTGCCCGGATCGGGGTCAACTCCGTATTTGGAGGCTTCAGAACATCCGCCATATCTGCTGCATTTTCTTTCGATGACGCAAAGTGTTCCGCTATCTTTTTGAGAGCATCGCTTTGATCCCACTCGGTGCAGAGTTTTTCGACCAAAGTGGCAACGCGAGGCTCCGCAAATCGAGTGTAAGATAGCTCCGCAAATGTGTGCAAGGAGTGACGATATTCGTCGTCGAGTGGATTGCTGGCATGCCGTGCCGGCATTGATCTGCCATGCGATGGCGACAGGTTCGAGTTATGTTGTCGTTGGGTATATATGAGTTGATGTTGCTGGGAAAATGGGACACGTTGTCGCCGCGCCGATCCTCGCGGTTGCTCTTTGTCCTTTCTCGAAACTTCTGGCGACCTTTCCGGAGCGTCATTTATTTGTGCGTTTGTACCCTCGGTGCGAGCCTTGGGACGGCCTCGTCCGCGAGCAGTTTTGGCTTCACGCCTTCTCGGCAGAGTCTCTCTTTCTTTGTCTGGGACGTTGGAAGCTCGACTCCTTTGCAACCTGCTGGGTCGCGATGATGAGCCTCCTCCCTGCGGTGTTCCAGCCCCTCGCTCTCTTTCCCTTTGAGATGGACCCCTTGAAGATGTTCGAGTGCGCTCTCTTTGTCGTCTCTGCAGTTCGACGGCCTTTTCAGCGTCTAAAGGCCGAGGCTTGCATTTTTCGCAGTAGTATTTCTCTGGCACGTCATTCGGGTCGATACCGACGCAAAGCATGTGCTGCCAAACGCCGCATTTATCGCAAGCAATCGTATTGCCGTCGTCATCGTTATAGTGACAGATGCAGCGTATGACCTCCTCGTTCTCGTCATCTTCTTCATCTCCTTCTGCGTCTCCTTCCTCATCTTCTCCTGCATTCAGATTATCATCGAGCTCGTCGGCCGAGTCTGATTGTCGTACAATGTCCATAGGGGTCGCTTGGCGGTTTCGGTCAAGGTCCATTCTCAGGCTCGCTCTACCATCTCGCCCGGCCGCTTTCTGGAGAAGGTCATCGTTGATCTCCTCTCCGTCGAAACCGACCCGGGGTCCGGTCGCAATATCGTTTCCGTACATTCTACGTTTGTCGTTGAACTGGCAATCCACCAATTTTGGGAAACGACGTGTATATGCAGGCGATTTTCGAAAGTGTGGCCAGGCTTCAGTGTTCGAGTGTGCTCTCTCCTGCTGCCCTTCCTACAGCTGTTCGGCTCGATATGCGCTGCGCTGGCTCGTCGCTCCGATGAGTCAAATCGAGACCTCGAGAGGCACAGAGTGCCAAATCCTGCCGCACCAACTACCACTGCACAGCGCTAGTCATCTGTCTCCTAAACAAACTACCCTGCAAGCGCACTAGCTAAAGGGTTACGATACCAGGCTGAACGACGGACAAGGGTAGGATTATGTTTAAGAGAGGCTTGGCATCGGAAACGCTTGAATTGAGGTGGGGAAGGTGGGAATAAGGTCCAGCGAGGGGCAACCGACAGGTGGCGCTCGCGTGGCGCAGAGTGGCGGCCCCTCGGCGATTTTGGTTGGGATCTTGAGGAATATTCCCTGTTTGGAGCTTGGAGGATTCGCGGAGCATGCTCGTTCAACCTGTTCAACCTGCAGATAATCTAGATCTGAAGTCCATGAACCGGTGAACGAGGATGCCAATGGTCGGGTTGCAACAAGTACCGGCTCGTGAGGATCTTCTACCGCACACCCATCTCCGCCATGTCCAAGAAGGACAAAATGGAGTTCTGTCCGCGGACACCAGAGTTTGGTGAAGTCTACAATATGGGAAGTATCGAAAGAGTTGTCCCAAACAGCATGATGCTCCAAACGATAGTTCCAAGCGACACGATCAGGATGGCTTAGGAGCGTAGTGTCCAACGAATCGATCATGGCAACGTCGATGAGAATGACATGGTGATACAGCTGCTTGATAAACGTATTATGGCACTGTCGGCTGGCACACGCAAGGTTCTTCAAAGTCGCAGGAGATGCACACTTTGCGAGTTCGCAAATGATTTCGAACGGTAGGTGGGAAGGCATATTGGGCTCTGAGTTTCTTTGAGCGCAGAGGCTTGGTATCGATGGAATTGCTGCAGATGGAACGAGCCACAACGATGAAACTGCATCGTGCAGAGTCTGGTTGTCTCACCGGCATTCGGACGGGACCGAGACTGAAAGGAGGCTCTGAGGAGGCGCTCCATAAGGTTTTTCCCGACCGCTCGCCATGTGTCGAATGCCGTCAAACGCGCATCCCCGCTTCTCGTTGGAACTTGGACTGCTCGGGCTGCGGTCAACCTCGCCAGCATCTTTGAACCTGTTGAACTTTACCGCCGTCCCATTTGAATACCAAGAACTGTCCAACAAGAGCGGGCTTAGTGAACTAAACAGCAAGTCCAGTCAAAATGAGCCCGATGCTAGTCTTTTCTGACTTCGACGGGTAAGCTGTTCAGCCTCGTAATTTTGTCGTGGATATGGGCTTTCCGCTCTTTACACTCTCTGCAGGACAATATGTGTTCGGGATACCGGCACTGTCATCATCGATACCGGAATGGGATACGACGCTCGTCGAGCTCTGGGTCAGTAAATCCGGGGACGATATCTTTTGGCAGTGGGGTTCAGTGGCAGGCGTGGCGAAAAGCTCCGCGTGTCGACAGAATGCTTTGTTGAGGGAAACTGATGAAATGTGGAAGGCTGGCGGATAAGCTTCTGCGAAGCTGGGATCTGTGAGCAGAGCCTTGGACGCCCGATGACTTGGCCGGAACAGATGGTTTTCTCAACCAACCACCGTCTAGGACGGCGACGGGGAAGATGGTCGCCTTGTCTGACGCGTTTAGTGCGCTCTCATTAGATCTTCAGATCCTCAACGGAACAATCTCCTTCCGGGACGGCGTGCGTCAGATGTTCGACAGGTAAGCTGCGTCATGAAACTTATATCATGTGCTGACAATCGAAATCACCATCTTCACCGTCAAACCCAGCGTCACCATCACATGGAACGAGGCCGTCAAGCTCCTTCACGGCGCCCCGCTTGATCCACACTTCGCAGCCCTCCACGATCTCTGCAAAGAGAAGAAGATTCCACTGACCGTGCTAAGCAGCGGGATCAAGCCGTTGATTGCAAAGCATTTGGAGGACTATCTGGTCACCGAGGATGCCGAGAAGGAGGAGGAGCAGGGCATCATGACGCTGGTGGCGAATGACGTGGATTACGTGGAGGCTGAGGACGGGAAGAGTGGGAAGTGGAATTTTCTTTTCCGGGATGACACGTAAGTGACGAGAGGCCCCGCGTGGTAACTGCCGGGACCATTTATGGGAGAAACGGACGCAACCAACCTTTACCATCGCTACCTCTTCGTCGACGCTTATCTTATTGTCTTTTAACAAGCCCACATGGCCATGACAAAGGACTGTCCATCAAAAACTACATAACCGAGTACCAGCGCACACACAGGGCCCCCAACAACCAGCGGCCATACGTCGTGTTCATTGGCGACGGCATATCGGACATTTCTGCGGCTAGGGAGGCCGACATCATCTTCGCTAAGCGTGGAAAGGACTTGGAGACTTGGTGCGTCAATTCGAAGGTGGACTATGTGCCGTGGGACGATTTTGGGATTGTTGTGGACACTGTGAGGCGGAAGTATGTGGAACTCGTCCAGTGAATGAGGAGAGGCGTATAGGGAGAGACGTTAGATCTGGACGAGGCATCAGGATAGACTGGGAAATTCAGATTTGTTTATAGATCTTCAGGACTGAATCGAAATTGGGGCCCTTGCTGAGATAGTAACGGGTGGAAATCAGTGAGCAAAATGTCCTCAGGAAGCCTTGAGAGTCGGAGCACGTGAACGTAGGAGATATGTCCAAGAAGGGTAACTCCGCGCACAAGAGCACGGATGAGCGTTTTTTGCTATGATATTAAAAGGCGCCGTTGCATGGGGACTCTACATAGAGTAATTGTTGTGACTTAATGCTCGACTGGACGATACCACGCCACATCCGCTTCAGAGTGCAGACCAGGGCCCTTGTGTATCTCCCGAATTAGAGTCATGATCCGGCGTGGTTCGCAGTCTACCCAGGGCCGACTTTGACTTTCCGAATTTGGTACATTCTTCTCCCGGTCGTTCCGTCAACGACAGTCGCGGCGTGCCCACCTCCGACACCCGTGCTACCGACGGCACACCCGCGCTCTTCTGCCGTCTATGGAATCCCCGCACTGGCCTGCTTGTCGGCGGAGGAGGCTCCACCGCCTCTATCGGCGGCAACCCGATCAAAGAGCAGTGGGACCTCAACACCTTCGAAGCGCCTTCATCCTGCGAGAACGAGAACCCGCGATTCCGCAGCGTTTCCCCGGTGCGCATCATGGATACTTGACCGCCACCCGGGCTCGTCACCTCGAGAATCCCAGGGCTATTCACATCCGTTCTGGATGCTACCATGCTCCGCCCGAGCCTGGACATGGACGTGTGCACGGATACCGGGGTCGCCAAGTCGCGCAAGGATGGGATGGATCGGATGCTGTATCGGGTGCTCACGCGTCGAGTGTCCATCAGAGATGTTGCGATTGGTGATGGCGTGCCGCCGGAGTTGTGCAGACCCGACCTGCTTGACGCGGGCGTGTTCATATCGCCCGACGACGGCCGGCTCAGGTTCAGCGGCGGAGGGATGGTTACCTGAGTCGTTGGAGGCTGCGATCCTCTCCGTAATGTGGCGGAGGTTGGTCGGGACAAATCCGCCTCGAGGCAAGGTATGGCTTCGATGAGGGTCGTGGGTATCGTACTTGGATCTTGCTGCTTGTCAACGAGGTCACGCACGTCGCGGGATCTGATCGATGAGTTTTCGCCGGTATGGAGGCCGCCCATTTCCAATTTCGCGTGGAAGTCCATGTCGCTGTCCAACGTATTTTCCAGGTAATTTGGCGGCCGCTCTTCTCGGTAGGGTTTGAAACTGCTTTGCCTCGATCGTCCTTCAGGTGGTACTTTTTGAGATGCGGACGCGCGATCTACTTCCACCATCTCCGACTCTTGCTTCGGCTGCAGCCGGTTCGGTAGCGTTTCAGACTCGAACACATCGTCCAGTCCCATATGTTGGATTTCCTGTACCAACTCGGTGTCGGTAGGCCAGAGTATTCTCCATCCATACTTGATGGCCAACTTTGGCAGCTGACATAGGACCGTGATCAGAGCGAAGGTGAGCCAAAACGATGCCGTCGATACGAGCTCGCCAATAATACCCCACAATGTGGAACCCGGGAAGAAGGAGTATAGCAGCGTCCAAGCGACAACGATAGCTTCCGAAATGCTGTATGCGAGCCACGTTATCCAACTGAACGAGTTGGTGTTCACGACCACCACCAAGTTTGCGTTGATGACAGCTGTGATGGCCGCTGTGGTCCCCATCACCATAAGATCCGAAGCTCTGCCGCTCTTCCACATAGATGCATCGCTGTCCATGCCTCCTTTGACCATGAAGATGATGATCAAAGATTGATAGAACGCGTCAAGCATGTAGCCGACGAACCGCCAATAGGAAAACGTCCATTGACGAGCGCTTTGGTACACGGGTGGAACTACCAGAGCGTATTTGGCTAAGATATCTTGGTCGAACACACCGAGGGTGATGACGGGTAGGGCGGTAAAAACCACGTTATACAGCAAAGTATACGTGGAGTCGTATATCGCCTGCGCCGAGAACCCACAGTAGATCTGATACCAAAACAGGACCATCACCCATATGATGTTTTTGAAGAAGAAACACAGGATCATGTCCGCCGTTCGACGATACGACCACCGCCCATGTACCAGCAGCAGCTTGCTCAGGAACCTGAATTGCGCGATGGCATAGTCAGATGCCATGGCAGCTTGAAGGCCTTCCTCGCCCGCAATTCCGATGCCAATGTGGGCTGCCTGGATCATGCTGACATCATTCGCTCCGTCGCCGATAGCAAGACACATAGCTTTCTGGTTGGTCTTGACCAAATTGACGATCTGTGCTTTTTGCAGGGGAGAGACCCGACAGCAAATGACCGATGAACATAGAGTTGCCAGCTTTAGGAGTAGAGTGCGCGCCTTCTCGTTGTGAAGCGTTGATAAAAGAGCTGCTCCGTCAATGACGAGTCCGTACGACTCGCCCTCTGCTGCTGGCGGGTTCCCTGTCCCGCCTGGTTGCGCCTTCGGGTCTGTCACGTTGAGCTTTTGGCTACCGGATATATGTCCACCTTCTTCAAGGTCTGCGCCCAGATTTTTCTGGAACTGTGGTTGCGTCGCTGTTCGTGAATGTTGCTGTTGGAAAAAGTTCTGCAGTGCATGCTCCAGCTGCGATGTGACAGCATCTACGGCGCCTTCGCCCTGGTCTCCATCTTCCCCGCGCACGAGGATAAGGTGCATATCCCGTGTCAGCAAATTGCATGATAGGCCGATGTTGATAGCAGTCTCCAGCTTGTCCCCTGCGCAATTCATCGTAACTTTAGCGTCTGATGTCTGTCCAATCATACATCTTTTATCTGATTCTGTACCTGTCAGTACCCACACTTTGATCCCCGCGCTCATCAAAGTGGCTATGCATTCCGGAACGCCATCTTGCAGCTTGTCCTCAATCGCTGTCGCTCCGATCAGTTGCATATTGCGCTCGATTTCTTCAGTCACTGCGTCAGTCCGTGATTCACGGTTGTCCAACGCAACGGTGGCAGCTTGATAAGCTTCCATCCATTTGAGGTAGGCCTCTTCAGCAAGGATAGTTCCAGCAACGGAGAGGGTTCGCAAGCCTGAGAAAAGACCATGAGATTACGGCTCGCGAACTTCAAGAAAAAGGTATCCGTCGAGATGATCCTACTCATACCTTCTTCAGCAAAGTACTCCAAATGCTTCTCCGTCACCGCCTTCACCGTCTCCTGTCCGTCGGTCAATCTCGGCCAGATAACAGAGTCGGCCCCTTTGCAAATGAGCCACAGCTGCTTCTCCGGCGTCCGCACAATGACGCTCATCCGCTTTCTCGTAGAGTTGAATTCCAGCACATTCATCAACTCGTACTTTTTCATGGAGCCGTCGGGCAGGCGGACCGTCATGGTCGTGTTGTCGCGGCCGACAAATGTGTATCCTGCGAGCCGTGCAGCGTCCACCAGGGCAGCTTCGTCTGGAGAGGACGCCTTATACACTGGGTCACCGTTGTCATCTTTGGACACCAGGACCGAATGACAGATGGCCAGAGCGGTGAACAGCTCTCCAATCGCAGCATACTGAGTGGTATCCGGCATCGACATATGAAGGCCCAAGAGGGAATCCCAAAACGCCGGCTTCGCAGCTTTCCCATTGTTATCCACATCGACTACACACATCTCCCCACCATCTCCCTGCTCCACCTGCCCGATCCCTTCACCGTACACTACGCCAGACACGCTGAATTTTTTAAACTCCATGATGTTTCGGGTGAGCGTTCCGGTTTTGTCGGAAAACACGTAATCGATTTGCCCGAGATCGTCCGCGATCGCCCAGCTGCGGGGTATGCAGCGATGCGTGGGCGGATAGAACATGTCCATGTCCTCGTAAATGAAATATGCCTGAAGAATTCGTGGATGTCAGACGGGATTTTAACAGATGATATCAACGCGTAGCTGACTCAAAAACACTGACCTGCGCTGTTTTTACAATTTCGATGGTTATATACAAGGAAAGCGGAACGACATTTTGATAGATGATAATGCTATTCCTGTTGACGCAAATCCAGAGTCGGAGGGTAAGAATTGAATTCCACAAAGTACGTGCTGAAGGTTTGACTCACGTACCAGAATGCGTCAAAAGCAGCCTCCGCGAGGCCCACAAAGTGAATATAGGTCCAGTCCAGCCACAGAGGCGATTTTTCCGACCAAGATCGTTCCCAAAGCGGATTCACTATGCATGTAGTGAGGCAGAGCAGGAACAGAACACCGAGGTTCACCAACACCTGCGTGTTCATTTTCCCCTCTGTGTTTGACCGTTTCATAGGAGTCTTCCCAGAATTTTGCCGGATCTTTGTTGATGCCCCGGTTTGCAACACCAGTCCAACGGCCCACTCAGTATTTCGGAGATAGCATCCACGAAGGAGGACGTTCATGATTGATAGCGGGACCAATAGCGGTGAGCTGTCTGACGGGACAATCGTGAAATTAGCTTTCGGTAGGGGAAGAACTGTGCTCCTTCGAGCGGAATGCGTCTAACCTTTAGCACTATCGTCTTTGAGCACGGCCAGCGTCCCCGTAAACGTATAGAGGCTGTTGTTGGGCTTCTCGCACGTCACTATGCATCGCAGATTCCCCAGAGTTTCGAGATCCTCGGAATCCAGGTATTGTGAGGTATATGGAACACCTTGCCGGATCTTGAGGTTCGTCTCTCCATCCAAATTCTTGGTTTCCACATAGCACAGCCCTTCTGGCTCGGATGTAGCCAGGATCAAGACGTCCGCGGGTATGGCGGTGTCGTTTTTCAACAAAATGAGATCGCCCGTCTCAATATCCGACCATGGCGTGCCTGCCCAGTTCAGCGTTCCTGGAGGAGGGGCAGGCTTTCCATCCACATGAGTTCCCTCTTCAGCCTTTTCGATACTGTTATCCGCAGTCCCGTCAGTCGATCCTAGTTTGTGCTGACGGTTGATCCCATTCAACGACGGCCCGGAAGGTGATATTCGGCCACTTTTTCTCCTGGTTTCCAAAAACTTTTTCGACTTTTGCCGCCGATGAAAGAACGGTTCGTTCGAATTTCGCCATCCGCTGCCTCGAAGGCAACAAGCTTCCGTGGCGTTCATCTCTGCATCGCTTTGATGTCGCTTCCAATCCTCAAATCCATCTTTGACTATCGTCAACCCAACAATGACCACCAGCGGGAGCGCAGAGACGAATGGGTTCATGGTAGTGTATTTTGGGAAGAACTGAAGGATGGTGAGCCCGAGGAAATACAGATTGGCGACACGGCTGGAATACGAAGAAATTCATGCCAAAAAAAGAATCAATAATCATATCTTTTACATGCGTACACGGAACAAACAGCATCCACAGCTCTCATCCCATTCTCGGCTACATACCGGAACTGCTCGAAAAGAGTCTTGGGCAGAAAAGTCACAGCGGTGTATTTCGATGTATACACCGCGTTCGTCGGGAAGTTCTGCCGCGGTGCACCATGCTCGTCCAGCAAGGATGCGGCAGGCACCGGCATGTTGACATAGACGGTCTGATGCGCATCCTTCTTGTCGTCGTCACCCTCACATCGCTTCCCCCGTGTTAGTTTGACATGCATGTTGGAGGCGTGGGAATTTCGTTTTTCAACGAAGCCTTGATAGCTTTAAGAATAAGACACTCCGGAAGACAGCAGCTTTCCCGAAGTTTGCACCCATGTTTATGCGGAGGTCGAAAGCCCTTGTAAGTTGTCGGACGTCGGAGAGGATTCCGATAAGCAGTAAGGTTAAGCTTGCGTGTAAAGTTCGACCTTGCAGCAATTAAGGTATTCGACGTCATTGCGGTGGGAGCGGCGATCTCAAGACTCTGCATTTCAGAACTGCAACTATCTGGTGTATAGGTCTCGTGCGGCTGATACATAGTAGGTACGGGCAGCTACTTCTACACAAACTTTCTATACGTACTGTATGCGGTCTGAAGTGGTCGTTAGCCGGAGGGGAGCATGTTGAAGCTGGAGGAATGTCATGCGCTTCGCGTCAAACGGTGAACGAAGTACTACAGTCAAGTCTCAGTTGACGGAAATTCAGTTGAAGGAAATTTTAGTTGACGGAAGAGGCAGCCTATACAGCCACGCCCAAAAGAGCCGCGCCGTAGAGCCTTCGAAACCTTCACCATCTCAAAGCATTTCACAGGCATGTTGCCCTCCCGAACTCCGAAAAAGCGCAATAAGAAACCCAGAGTCCTTCTGCCACTCAGTCAACAGCGTGAAGTGCTTCAGCAACTTGAAAATGGTGTCAACCCCTCAACCCTAGCCCGCAATCTTGGCGTGGCTCCCAGTACCGTCACCAGAATCCGCCAAGGAGGACCCAACATAATACCCCTGTCCAAAATACCGCCTTTTCCCACTCCCATTTAGCGGTATTCTTCTGCTGTCAATATACCTTTTTGTCACGGAAGTTCTCACCACCCAGGACCTCTGTTCAGCTTTGGAAATTTGGGCATAGGTTCTCTCTGTACAGTTGCAATCCCTTTTTATGACAAGGAGAGATGGAGGGAGCCACGGGCCACCCGGTGCGCTGAAACCTTCTGCCATTTCCAAAAAACAATGGCCCCATGCCACCCCCACCAAAAGTCAAGCTAACAATCACGCCTGGCCGTGCCGGCAGTGGTCATAGCTCTTCTAGTAGCAGAGGGCAACAGTGCCATTGCATTCTGTGGCAAAAAGTTTGGCAATTGCGAAGGATCTTGGCAGTGAGGATGAAGAGAACGACCGTTCTCCCGAGCTACCCAATTCTAACGCGAGTTACCCACTTCTAGTCACGCTCTCTGTTCAGTTGGCAGAAAATTCAGTTGGCGGAAAGGCCAAACCCTTTCCGTCAACTGAGACTTGACTGTAACTGTATGTACAACATATGTAAAACGAGCTGACCACACCCTTACACCGCAAGGCCCAACGCTCATACGCCCGGCAGAGTGTACTTCCGTCTCCTCATGTGGACCCACGCTGCGCATGCTTCAACAATAAGTGTTCCGGGGCTTCTTCGCCTTGCATCGCGACGTGCAGAAACACATACTGCTCACAACGCCCTCGCCTTCATCCTCATGCGCATGTCGCCCGGAATTGTTCCATAGTTTTCGTGTGCTTTACTCCGATCTCCTTGCTCACGACCTCGATCGCCGGTCGCCTTCCCCCGGTCAGCGAGATGCGAAGCTACTCGCTATATCTTTACAGCATCCGGAGGCAAACTTCGGCATTAGTTTTTTGCAGAACGTGGGAAAAAAACTGACAGGTTGCAACACGGGTCATGAAGGGATCCCGGGCAATTGGGTTGTAGAGGTAATATCCAGTGCCATTAGCGGGAAGTTGACCTTAATCTTAACTCCTCTTAAGCATATATGATGCTAATTAATATTGCGCGATTGGATCTTTTTGGCAATGGCAAGAAAGGCAGGCGTGTCGAACCATTTGATTAGGGCGTTGTTAAAGAAAGGGCATCTAGTGACAACAAGGAGATCGGCCAAGATTGGGAACCAACGCCCCATTCGCGCACAACACAACTTGCACAACCACCCAATTCAGGGCTCAATAAACGCAGGGCAAGCCGCAAACCTCAATAGGACGAACGGACGTCTTCCCCTCAGGCAATAACACCACTCGCTGCACGCTTTGGTTTTTACTCAGCCGTCGCCCAGAACAGGGAGGAAAGTGTTCCAAAGGGGCATTAGAAGTGTGAAGTGGCTCTTCATACACCGACTTCGAAATTCGGGCGACTCCTACTTTCGCTCAGCCGCAAGTCTCCTCTGGACCATTCGAGAGAGTTCAGCCACGGAAGAACGCACAGTGTGGCCTCCAAAATCGAACAGCTGCCCAAAAGGCGCTTGAGAGCTAGTGGGGGGTGGAATATTGATCAGGGGCGAGCTTCAGTTCGGACGGTCGATAGGAATTAAGTTTTCCAACGGAGCGCCGATTGTTTCTTACAATGGCGATAAAGGTAGTCCGTGCACTGTACGACTATGCTGGGTCGGAAGACTCTGGGCTCTCCTTCAGAAAGGGAGATATTATTCAGGTGCTTACACAACTGGACAGCGGATGGTGGGATGGTCTGCTTTATGGCGAACGTGGCTGGTTCCCTTCGAATTACGTGGGTGAACCAGAGACGTTGAAAGATGCACCAACAGCCGATCAAGTTCAGGTGAGGAATCGAAGGACGGCGTCTTTCATAAACCTACACGTTTGGCTCGACATGTACTCAATTCTGGGCTATGCATATAGGGTAGCGTATGGGTTCGGCAGATTGGACACCTGGGAAACATCTACTATTTTAACCGCGATACTGGAGCAACCACACAAGATACGCCCACTACATTTGCACCGGCGACCGAGTCGAATGGAAACGCTGCTGACTACTTTGGCGCGGCGACCAACGCCTTGGATCTTCCGCCTGGCTGGATTGTGTACGATGCAGAGGCTGGGGGCCCGATGTACTACAATCACTACACAAAGGAGACTCGATGGACTCGTCCTGAAACCGAGGGTGACCTAGCGCCGGACTCGGCGACTACTCGGTCATCTGTCCCTTCGTCTCCCGGTGGTCTGCTCACCCCTACATCATCGCGCGGCAGCTTCTCCTTCTCTCGTCAATCCTCTATCCTCTCGCGGTCAGATCAGTCCTCGTCTCGGCCGTCCACCGCCTCAACATCACCGACCAGTACCACTGCCAATCGGGCATCACAAGGCCTTCCACCCAACTGGGGAATGAAAGTGACGCTCGAACGACGCCCATATTATTACAATATGGTGACCGATGAGACGACCTGGACATTGGAAGATATTGACACGGAGACGGGCAACCTGGTCCCGTCGCCGCAACGCAAACCGAGCAACGCGTCTGTTAACTCAGAGAGATCTTCCATGGGAAGCCATTCTTCAATCTTGAACATGCTACCGCCAATATTACCGACCGACGAAGCCGTCAGCTCACCTAACCTGACATGGGCAAAGCTGGCCAACGACATCATCTCTCGCATCCATCAACTCAACCAGTACGCAAAACATGGCAAAAAGGAAGGCTTCGTGTCTCAGTCGTCTCTTATCGTCGAGTCGATTCGCATCATGCTCTACGCATCGGGCACAGCACGGAAGGACGCTCCTTCTGTCGCCTCGCACAAGATGGTCAAAGTCCATCATAGGCAGATCATGAGCTCGCTCTCAAAACTGGTCCTGCATGCGAAAGAAGCGTCTGGTGTGTGGCCACCACCAGACTCGGTTGTGAGCTTACAACAAGCAACCAATGAAGTACTGGTTTCCGTACGCCAATTTGTCGCGGCTGCGCAAGAGGCTGGTGTCGAGGTGCAACCACTGACCAATGGCGAGGCTGCTGCAATACATTCGTCGGGAAGCTCGTCAAATACCGCTCCGCCGCCGTCAGTTACCGACGGCGAACTTGGCCCAGGTCTTGGGCAGCTCGCCTCCAATCAAAGCCGTGACAGCATGGGTTCCGATACCGGCCTGGCAGCTGTCGCTGAGCAGCAGCTTCTGACTCAACAAACGAACCCCGAGCTTGTAACATGTCTGGAGAACTATACCCGATCGATCTTCAAAATGCTCACCGAGGTTGCGAGGCACGTACGTCAAGGAAGCATCGAAACGGCAACCATCATCAAGCAGGTTAAGGTCACCGTCATGGAAGTTGGTAACCTGCTTGCGTTGGTGGATGAAATCCCATTGGACTCGGTCTCTGAGGACCTTACGTTGGAGTTCAAGGTCAATCGCCTGAATCTGTACAACTCGGTCACCGGCCTGGTCACTGCCACGCAAGTCAGCACGCAGCCTTTGGCGCCGATCAATGCCATGGAACAGGTTCTGCTGTCTGCCGGTCTTCTCGAGAAGGCCGTCAAGGACATGCTGATTTCCACCAAGTTCCTGGTGGCCGAGCGTGAGAACGCTGAGCAAGCGAGTCTGGTGCAGTACATCGACAAGTTCACGCGGCATCGTACCTCCTCGGCCTCCTCCAACGACGGGAACGGTTCTCTTCAACCGAGACGCGCAATGAGCTTGTCCATCTTGAACAACGCCATACCCGAGGACGGCTCGCCAATCCCTGCACAAGGGTCCGAGTCCGCCCCGAGCACCCCTCTCCCCATTGACGAAAGCGGAGAACCCGGAAGGTCGTTCTTCGCCCGATCTGCGTCCACACCTCTCATTCCTGTCCATCAGATGTCACCGGCAAGATCAACTCGGGCCCACGGGGTCACGAGCGACCGCGCCAGCAAGAGCAGCGACTCCAGCGACGGCGGCCTTCACTTCATGAACCAGAACCGGGTATCCTTGCACAGCGACCCCAACATGGGCTCCGCACAAGGCTCGCGCGCGTCTGTACATTCGGGTAAGACCGAAGACCCGGCAAAGCCTTGGTTCCTGCAATACGACTACAGCGAGCGCGACGTCTCCTTCAGCCCCGACGGCAAACTCCGCGGTGCTACGCTGGACGCCCTCATCGAGCGGCTAACCCTGCACGACGGGCTGGACCCCGAAGTCCTGAGCACCTTCCTGCTCACCTACCGCTCATTCACCGATTCCGTCACCTTCATCCAGTTGCTGAAGCGGCGGTTCAGCATGGAAGCACCCTCCGAGCTGACCGTCCCCGAGCGCGACCTATGGCTTGAAAAGAAACGCACACCCATCCGCATCCGTGTCTTCAACGTCGCTAGGAACTGGATCGACAACCATGCTAGTTTCGAGGACCCTGTTGATCGTCAAGCGATGGTGGAGCTGAAGCAGTTTGCGCAGACGGATGTGATGCCGTTTATGGAAGCTGCGGGCAAGCAGTTGATCAAGTCTATTGAGAAGAAGGAGAGTGGGGAATCGAGCGCGAGGCGGATGATTCTCAACCCCAATAGGGAGTACCCCGTCCCTGTCGTTCCGCGCAACTTGAAGAAGATCAAGTTCCTGGATTTGGATGCTACCGAAGTTGCGAGGCAGTTGACGATTATGGAGGCGAAGCAGTATAATAAGCTTGAGCCGGGAGAGTTCCTCAATAGGGCTTGGAGCGAGAAGGATGGGAATGCTGCCGTCAATGTCAAAGCCCTCATCAACATGTCCAATCAGGTAAGCAAAGCAAATGCTCTGATCTGGAGATGCGGATCATCTTTGAGCTGCTACTGATTATCTTTTCCTTCCGTTCGTTATAGATTACGGGTTGGGTCGCTGCGACTATCCTGAGCGAGAAGGACCTGAAGAAGCGGGCTGCAATTTTCAAGCAATTCATTCTTGTTGCTGACGTGAGTTCCGTTACATTACTGGAAGACATGTCGCGCATAGCAGGTTACTGAACACACCTCCTACCTTCCCCATCACGCAGCGATGCCGTGCCCTGAACAACTTCAACACACTTATGTCGATCCTAGCCGGCCTCAACTCCGCCCCCGTCCACCGCCTCAACCGCACCCGCGAGCTCCTCTCCGCCCGCATCCGCAACATGTTCGAAGCCCTCCGCGCCACCATGACCCCCCTCAAGAATTTCTCCGCCTACCGCGAAACCCTGCACTCCGTCAACCCTCCCTGCGTGCCTTTCCTCGGGTTCTACCTCACCGACCTGACCTTCATCGAGGACGGCAACTCGGACATGTTGCGCGACCATAATGCGCACCTGATCAATTTCTTCAAGCGGATGAAGACCGCCGGGGTTATTCAGGAGATTCAGCAGTATCAGAATGCGCCGTATGTGTTGATGCCTGTGCCGGAGCTGCAGACGTGGTTGAGGAGCAACATGATGGTGGAGGTTGATGACTCGGATCTTTATGATAAGAGTTTGGTCTTGGAGCCGAGGGAAAGGTGAGATTTGAATGCCAGCAGTGGTTCATTTTCGGTACTGGGGGCTAACCGGATTCTTGCTTTCTTAGACCCGATGAGATCATCGCCAGGAAATTGCTGGAAAACGGACTCATGTAAACGAGACCCAAATCTCTCGTTTCTTTCCTTATCACGACACCGAAGGGACATCGCGGACCCAAGCCGGCCCCGTATACTATTGGACTCCTTTTCTCTCAGACTTTTTTCACCCGAACGGCGTAACATTCTTCATTCCCTCTTTCGGCGTTGGACCATTGCCACATTGGCACACACCCATACTCCTCTCTCCCCAAGAGGTGCATGGTAGCTCTTTACATAGAACCCGCCCGTCTCACCATAATTTCATCACATAGAAACGCACGTGTACCTTCTCACATAGCCCCGCTTCCCTGCACACATGTAGATATATTAGAGGCCCCCTTTCTTTCCTTTACCACCCTTCTTTTGTTATGATTGGACTTGTTCCTGCACTTCATCGTCGGAGGTGGATTCAAGTTAACTTGACCTCTGTCGTATCGTTGTAATGTAACTTGAGTGGTTTGAGACATAATTAGATGATTTGATGCGTATCTGCTTTCCGTGTGTCGTGGGTTGGTGGTACAGCTGGGTGTGAGCCATCTCAAGGTCAGGAGGTGCGCATCAAAGGGTATTAGGACAAATGAGGGAGAGAAAAAAAATGGAAACCAAAACGGCCAACGGTTACGGTTTCGACTTGACGGCGGGTCGTGTGATGATGCCCTTTCAAAATTGAGGTCACGTCGGGGTTCAATTGACGGCGACGCGTTTTGGTTAGTTTTGCGCAGTGCGTGCCAACTGTGGATTTGGGTCCATGATTCGCCGCTCGCTTGATCATACCCCGGGGGCCCGGCTCTAGATATAGACGCCGCATAGCGGATTTCGGAGGATCCTCTCCGCGGGGAGTCGAGACTCGGACGACGGTTTTCTGAGGCCTCCTCCGACGAGCCGATGCCACCAACGCTCGAGATGTCGGAGTTGGGCGGAAGTGCAAACGTAAGCCAGTGTCGGTGGTGGTGTTTGATGTTCGCGGGAGTTTTGGGAGTTGCGCATACTAACATCTGCTCGGAGTGTCGTTGGAATGCGAGAAAGGAGCTGTGCAATTTGTCTGCGACTGCAACTGGGCCACACCTTTTGGCAAGCCCTTGGATATTTCGAGAAGAACAGTCTACGTAGAAGTGAATGTAGCTGTTCAAAGTGCTAACACTTCCAAAAGGAAAAATGACCTGTCAGTCTCAACGCCTCTGCCCCATCGACCGCATATCGTTGGAGACAGCGACACCCTGCAAGTTGAACTTCGTAGCAGATCCAAAATGCAAGGTATGTACGTATTTACAGCGGAACCGATGAATTCTATATATACATAGGCGCACGGAAGTCTCGCCCAACCACCTCCACTCCAACCCGCACACCCCCATCAAATCCGAACCCGTCACCGAAACTCAATCACAAAAAACGTCGCGGTCCCACATCTCGACCTCGCAACAAATCGCAGCGGCTGCCCATTCAAATACCGCGACGCGTCAATGGAGAATCCGGGGAGGCAAATCTCAGATGTGGATGGGTCGAAGTAGCGGTTGTAGAAGTCGAAGGTGTAGGTTTTTGTGGGGTGGAAGGTGAAGTTTTGACGGGCGGGGAGAGGGAGGAAGTGTTTCTGTGGGAGTTTGAGGGGTGGCTCAGATTCCAGAAATAGCAGACTGGAAAGTGGAGAGGCAATGCTTACCCGACGCTCAGATGTGGTGAGTGGTTTTCCACTACTCGAAAGTAGCTCGGAGGATTCTCTGACTTGGGATGTTACCCTTTGCTTGTGGGCGATGCCGGAACCATCTCGCGAGAGATCTACGGCTGAATCGCCACTTCCGAGCAAGGTCGGTTCTTTCAAGAACGCGGATGCATCGATCGAGTCTTTTGAAACGCTTGGATCGTTTTGTCGCACATTTAACGCATTCATCGCTGGCAAATAGTGACACTGTCAGACATCAATGTCGTTCATCACGGAGTCTGCAAAAACAGGAATTACTCACAACACAACATCGGACTCAACGCCACCGGCCTCTCCCCCCTCAAAGCAACCTCCAACCCCGGATCAATCACCTTCGCAAGCCCCACCGCCAGATCCGCGCCAAACGGCAACTTTATCGGCTTCTCCAACTCGATCCCAAACATCACCTCGTCGCCTGTCCATTCGCGTGCGAACTGGCCCTGGATCTGGAAACTGAACATCCGCCGTGTCCCGGTGAAGTAGGCATCGCCGTCGGATTTGATGGTGGGGTTGGAACTGGTTTCTTGTGCGCGTTTGACCCTGACGGTGACGTGGCCGTGGAAGTGCGGGGAGGTGATGGGGTGAGTTGTGCCGGGTTCGGTTGGAAGGAGGGATTGTGAGAATGCGCCTGTTAGGAGTTGGATGGATTTGGGTGCCATTCTGATAGAATGAGTATGAACAGCTAGATCTAGAGATTGTAGGAGGCGAGGCGTTCGGAAGGTGAATATGATGGAATCGAAGAACTAATTGTTGGTACTGCGCGCATAAGGGTTGTCAACAACGCCAGAATTCCAGAACTTCCCCCCAGCAATGCTTGCATCAGGCACAGCGTTAATATCAGGTAAGAAATCAACGCCAAGACAGATGCTGCGAAATGCGTGTATTGCTTCGAAAGCCATGCCCCATCCTCACGGCGAGACGGAGCTTGCAAACGTAAAGCGCACAGCAACAGAAACAATTACCGCCGAGCCAATAATTGTATCTGAGAACATTCTGTCCAAAAAAAAACCTTTTCAAAGGAGCCTCAAACACTTTCCCCCCCGTTCTTCAAATTGACCGTCTGAAACGGACGCGCGGGGGAGCCCCCGCCACCCAGGAGTTATTGGGGGAGAACCGCACCCCGTCCGAAACGGTATCAGACGGACATGAGCATGGCCATGCCTCCCTGACATTACAATTCCTCAATTTCAATTTCAGAGCTCAGACTTGGAACAACTTTTTTTTTCTGCCAGGAAAGCACAGTCGGAGTTGACTTCTCGGTGTCGAATTCAGTCCCTGCCAGTCGACGTCCCATACATGCGGTACGACGTCACAGCGGTCAGATCTGGGGTGCGCGGGGTGCGCGTCAGGGGGTAACATGTAACACAGCGTTTGGTTACAACACCGCGTCCCGCTTCAGCTATTTAATTAGTTACTACTATACCACAAGCGGTGTCGATAAGAAAGAAGACGCGAGAAACAACACGCAATATCGAACTCCGAGTCTGCATCGAACCGCGGCCGCATTCCCAGAACAGTGCGTATTGGCGGCGGAGAGCCAATGATGGACTCCGGTACAACCTGTTTACCCATCGATATGGCCAAATCCCTATCCGAGGACCCGGCGTTGCGCTGAGGTGTTGATGTCTGTGACCAATGTCTCCAACTTATTGAATGACTGTACGGGTCCGTAATCAAACGATACCAAACGATTATGGAGGTTGATAAGGATTGTCGGGCTTTGATTGGCAGTTCGCCGTCCAACTTGAACGCGCTGGCGATGTCCATCTGGCCGTTGGTGGTGAACAGACATGCAACTGTTCCTTCACGACATGCAAACAGTTACGGAATGGTTACGTTACAATTGGCGTCGAAGGATAATCTCTTTCAACGTCGATTTCGTTTGTCGCCCTTTGACGCGGGGTTACACCAACGCATCTCAATGGTCCAGCATCGAACCCCGGACCTTTCCTTTCTCCAGTTCGGTTAAAGTCCTTAAGAGCGACACTTAACATGCGGTAAGGTTCGTCTCTTTCTAATCCAAAGATGCAGGGATGCGGGGGTGTTGCAGACGTGCCAGTAAGCAACAGCTTGGAGAATATGCGAATTGTTGCCATGAATAGCATCAAAGGGGGGCCTCGCTGCCGGTCCTGGGATAAATAAGCGAGCAGACTTGGCGGTCTAAACAGGGGAGGGGAAGAATGAGCTTCATGGGGATGTTTGGGAGTCGATAGTTACCAAAAACGGGCGAAGGAATCGCGCAAGGGAGATCCGAGATGTGCGTGCCTAGCTTGCCCTTGCCTTGCCTTTCCCTGGGAAGAAATCAGAGGCGCGCCCTTGCGTCGCGCACTAGCTGGTTGGGCGGCACCCCTCACACAAAACCCCCCTAGGCTCAGGCGTATAAAGGCGCTGGAAGAAAAACCTCGACCTCTCCCATCCCTTCCCTTTTCCCACCCAACCTTTCTTCACAAATACTCGGTTTCTCCCAGCCTAGTACTTGCACTATAAGAAAGCTCTTGCGCTCTTCGGTCTCCTCGTCAGCGACAGCCTTTCTCCACATCTGCGAACCCTCGAGAAGCAGCCGGTACTGGTCGGAGTCTAGGACATTCCCAATCGTCCGCTGCACATAGTTCGCCTGTATATTTTCGCCACCGGATCCCCACCGCGTACATAATATCCTCCAACATGACCACACACGAGAAAGACGTCAAGGTCGACGTGAAAGGAGGTGAGCAGCAGAGAGTGATATCGGCGAAGATCAGTTTTTTCTTTCCTCGAGTAATCTCGGCGCAAAGCTGAGCTCGTGGGAATTTCGGGTCTGATCTTCGGATTGCTCACCCTTTCGTTCTCTTTCCCGCCTTTCCAGACCACCCTGAAGAAGAGCACGCTCACCAGGAGGTGACCGACGATCTCGATGCTGAGCTCGAGAAGCTTCTCCAAACCCCTCCATTGGAGGGTCTGACAGATGCTGAGGTCGCCTCTCGTCTGGCGACGTTCGGTGCCAACGAGATCCCCGAGAAGAAGAGGAACCCCATCCTGAAGTTCTTGATGTTCTTCACTGGAGGTCTCTCTTACCTTCTCGAAATCTCTACCATCGTTTGCGCTATCGTCGGCAAGTGGATCGAGTTCGGTATCTTGGTCTTCGTCCTGTTCGCCAACGCCATCATCGGATTCCACGAGGAAGCCAAGGCCGAATCCGCCCTTGACGCCTTGAAGAACACCCTCGCTGCCAACTGCCGTTGCTGGCGTAACGGTCAGCTCGTCGAAGTCGAAGCTCGCCTCCTCGTTCCCGGAGATGTCATCGCCATCCGTCTTGGTGACATTATCCCCGCTGACGCCCGTCTCCTCGGTATCGGTGTCACCGGTGAGGAGACTGAAGGTACTCTTCAGATCGACCAAGCCGCCCTCACTGGTGAATCCCTCCCCGTCAACAAGGGCAAGGGTGCCATTGCCTACTCCTCGTCCATCTGCAAGCAAGGTCAGATGTTGGCTGTCGTCACCAAGACCGGTATCAACACCTACATCGGTCGTGCCGCCAACCTGATCTCCAACACCGAGGAGGAGGGTCACTTCCAGAAGGTCATCAACAGGATCGGAAACTTTTTGATCTTCATCTCCGTCTTCATGGTCTTCATCGTCTTCTGTGTCGAGAAGTGGGCCCGTGACCAGCCTTTCTTGACTGCCCTCACCAACGTTCTCATTCTTACCATTGCTGCCATTCCCGTCGGTCTTCCCACCGTCATGTCCGTCACCATGGCCGTTGGTGCCAACCAGCTCGCCAGGAAGCAAGTCATTGTCAAGCGTCTCACTGCCATTGAGGAGCTCGCATCCGTCTCCACGCTTTGCTCTGACAAGACCGGTACCTTGACTCTCAACGAGCTGACTTTCGACAAGCCCTACCTCGCCAAGCACGGTAACACTACCACCGACTTCGAGGGTACCGGCACCAGCTACACCGACCAAGACCTTCTCACCTACGCTTACATGGCTTCCGAGCCCGGAGCACAAGATGCTATCGAGTTGGCCGTCCGTACCGCCGCTGAGGACCGTGTCGAAATCTTGAAGGAGCGTGTCGGCCAGCACGACATTCCTGGGTACAAAGTCAACGGATTTATCCCCTTCAACCCCACAAGCAAGTACACCGAAGCCACCGTTACCAACCTTGCCACCGGCGAGCGTTTCAGGACCATCAAGGGTGCTCCCCCAGTCATCGTCCGCATGGTTGGTGGTCACTCCCAGGCTACTGACGCCGTCAATGACTTTGCTCACCGTGGTCTCCGTGCCCTCGGTGTCGCCCGTACCGTCGACCCCGAGATGACCAAGTTCGAGATGGTCGGTATGATCTCGCTTCTCGACCCCCCCCGTCCCGACTCAGCCCACACCATCGCCGAGTGCAACAAGCTCGGAATAGTCGTCAAGATGATCACTGGTGACCAGCTTATCATCGCCAAGGAAGTCGCTCAGCGTCTTGGCATGGACCGTTGCATCTTGGACGCCCACGCCCTGGTCGACCCCAACCTCGACGAGGAGGAAGTCACTGACCGTGTCATCAAGGCTGATGGATTCGCCCACGTCATTCCCGAGCACAAGTACCGCGTCGTTGAGCTTATGCAGAAGCGTGGCCAGCTTGTTGGTATGACCGGTGACGGTGTGAACGACGCCCCCGCTCTCAAGAAGGCGAATGTCGGTATTGCCGTCGAAGGATGCACTGACGCTGCCCGTTCCGCTGCCGACATCGTTCTGCTCGCCAGTGGTTTGTCCACCATCGTCGACGGTGTCAAGACTTCCCGTGCCATCTTCCAACGTATGCGATCGTACGCTCTCTACCGTATCGCCTCGACCATCCACTTCTTGTTGTTCTTCTTCATCTCTATCCTGGCGTTCAACTTCAAGATCCCCGACTTGCTTGTTCTGATGATTTGCGTGCTCAACGATGCCGCCACCCTGGTCATTTCCGTCGACAACGCTCGTATCTCCAAGCGCCCCGACAAGTGGAGGCTCGGACAGCTTCTCTCCCTCTCCGGTCTTCTCGGTTTCTTGCTCATGATCATCTCCTTCGCGCACTTCTTCGTTGCCAGGGATGCGTTCGGTGTCGAGGAGAAGAAATTGCAGACCATCATGTACCTGCAGATTTCGTCGTGCCCTCACTTCGTCATCTTCTCCACTCGTTTGAGCACTCACTGGTTCAAGTCGAAGCCCAGTCTCCTCTTCTTCAGTATCATCTTCGGAACGCAACTCATTGCCATGTTCATGTCCATCTATGGTGTCGATGCTCTGGAGGCTGCCCCAATGTAAGTTGAGAAGGCAAACGTCGGGATTTGTTGCTTTCATTGCAGATCATTCGCTAACGCGCAATCTATTTATCTCTCTCTCAGTGGTTGGGGATGGGGTGTCGGAGTTATGGCCGTCTCTCTCGTCTCTTTCATGGTCTTGGACCTTGTCAAGGTCTGGGTGTTCCGTCACTGGTCCTACGGTCTTACCGCCACTCTCTGGCCTTTCGGTGGACGTCGCGCTGAGTACAAACGCCGTGTCGTCCGCATCGCACAACACAAGAAGAACATCGACAACTGGAAGAAGGTTAAGAAGGTTTACCTTATGGCCAACGCCGCATACGGTTTCCGGACCGCTGGCGCCAAAAAGCACGCCGCCAACATTGCGGCGCCCATCGCCAACGGAGACTCGACCAACACCATCAACGTCCCCGAGTTGTAGATGCACCTCGGCGCTCGTTCCTGAGTGTCTCTTGACATTCCGCCATTTTCCCATGTTCTAACGAGAACTTCACCACCATTTCCTCTGTCATCGGCGTATTCATTTGGAAGACTTGTGATCAAGTTTGGGAGAACTTGTTTCATCGGGCACTTTCTGACTTCTAGAGTATGTTTTCCGTCGACTACTTCTCGTTACAGTGGATTCCACCCCCCCCTTTCCCCCCATCCCCATCCACTAGGTCTTGTGTGTTTTGCGTGCAGGCCATGTATAATCGTAGACAGTGACCGCATCCCATGGGACCTGTGTCCACTTTCATTTTCTCGATATTAGTCCTCATTTATCATCGTTCATAATAGAACTTATTTAGATTGAACATCACTCACTCTGCGTGCGCTTCTCAAGTTGTTTTGACTAGGCTTGGTTCTCACATCCAAATTCCCGATGCGGCTCACTTGATGTTTCTCCACATGTATTTACATCTGACATCAGTTCTATGATATGCATACTCAGTCTATTTACGTCCATTTTATTTATGCGTTGTTGTTCTGAGCTCTGTTGTGTTGGCTTTCCCAATATTGGAAATGTTCCAGCCTACGTGCATGGCCTCTGCGTGTACCTCGGAACTTCACACGCGATATGCACGCGAGAATAATGTCGAGGAGCATTTCCACCGAGTCGATGATATACGGGGTCGTCCCGCTTACCTCCGGGTTCCTCAGCTAGGTGCTGCTAGGGCCCTCATCTCCAACCCGGACCCGGTTGAATCAGGCTGCCGAAGATACGAAATGACGGTGCACATCCTCCGGACATCGTGTCACACGTAGCCCTACGAAAGCCATCATGCCCCAATACGTTAAGTAAGCACTTAAATGAAGTGACCACTCCGGGGAGTAGGCAAGCCAATAGAGTAACGGAGCAGATTCTCCAGGTGATGTGTGGTGAAACTTCTGCGCTTCCCTAAGACTTACCTTAGCAGACTCCCGTCATCTGGAGAGGATGAAGGAGAGGACCAGCTAAAAGCGGTGCCTTTGTAACCCCCCCCTCCCCCCCCCCCCCCCGCCGGTACTTGTCACTGGCGAGGGTCGAGGGGAGGGAGAGGAGGGAAGAAGGGGCAGCGACGGGGCCAACGGAAGCAATCAAAGCCCCGAGTCCAGTTCTGCTTACGCTTGATGCTAGGGGGAAAGCAGTGGAACTCCGACACGCGTTGAGTTTACCGTTGGTTTTGCAGTTTGCTTACTACAACGTCACGGACCCTCGGAGGATTCGTCAGAAATAGCATGGCTTTGCGGGACGAATAGGGCGGGACAGAGTGGGGTGTGAGCGGGGCGGCGGCTGCCAGAATTGGCGTAAGCTGTTTCTTACGCAACGCTTGGCGCGTACCGTAGGTGCGACCCGTCAGTAGCGGAGCGCGTCAAGGAGTCCTAGAGTCGATAACCCTCAAGAAGCGTTGATGGAGTATTCTAGGCTTGAGTGGAACGGAGGTGCGTGCATGACAGATATTTGGGCATGCGCGAAATACCGCCCGCGGACGGCATGCGCATTGCGACCGCCATTAATGCCGGCGATCACCGCTCGGGAGCAACGTGAGCCAAGTCAGGGCTCATCTCAGCAGATGCGAACGATGTCAACGGTGAGGGATTGCTCCATTAGACGGAGTGGCAAGGAACCCGACTGAAATGCAGATTAGCAGGCTGTAATGATTCATGCCTACTCAGTCCATTATGAATTGGGTTGCTGTCAACGAGAAGGCGTTTACTGACGTTCAGAGTAGCGAGGATTCGTAAGCGAGCAAAAGAAAATCCAAGGAAGCGGATTGAAGCAAAACAGAGTTTCCCCCGCGGGGAATCGAACCCCGGCCATCACGGTGAGAGCGTGAGATCCTAACCACTGGACCACGAAGGACTGCTTGTTCGTGGTTACTTTAAACACAATATAACTATGTTACCACGACGAATTGACTGCTTTCTTCCCGGTTGTGGCAAAACCCAATTCTGTCCCGGGGAAGACCTTTTTGGGCGCTCCTTTTTCATATTTCCCCATGTTTACCCCGTGCTCCTGCATCTTCCCTTTTTTCCCAGTCCCCACCGCATCTTGCCGGCTTCGGAATCAGTCCCAATGAGCCTATACAATACAGATTCTTCAGAGTGGTTGATGGCCAACGACGATGAACATGATATTATGTAATACAGGGAAGGAGAGATCTCTCTTCGACATGCGGAAAAGGTATGATGCTAACGACTATGCTAAGTCCATCATGACCAGCGAGTGAGATGTTTGATATATGAATATGGGGAAAAACAGATCTCTACGCCGTGATGCTGAATCTATATACAAAAGAATCAGAGATGTGGTACTAGTCCGTGGTACTAGTCTATGATGTGGCAAAAAATCGTTTTCGGGTCGGGATTACGCCCAAAAGCAGAGCAGAGAGGCTTCCTAAGCGATCAAAGCAAACCCGGCGCCCAATGCGGACAGAATCATGCAGGAGATGGCCGAGCCAGCATTCAAAGCTTGACCGTCACTGCTTGGGGCCGATGCAGCGCCCGTTTGGGTGGCAACAGGGGAGACCGTGGTCAACGACGAAGAGCCCGCGGAAGAGACGGACGGCGCGGCCGGCGGGGTAACGGCCGTAGCTGTGGATGTGGAGGTGACGCTTACACTGGTGCTCGTTGCAGTGCTGGTGTGGGAGTCAGTCCAGTGGGTGGACGTGTCGTCCGAGGGCACGGGCAGAATGGTGACTGAACCCGTGGGTGTATCGACAGGGACCGTGATGGTGAAGCACTTGACTGGGCATGGAGGTACGAGGCAGTTGACGGGAGCGCAGGAGGGGGCGGGTTCAGCGGGACCGGGGATGCTGGTCTCCTGTTGTGCTTGGACGAGAGCGGCGGAGGCCGTGAGGAGGGCGAGGGTTCTGAATTGCATTGTGAGGTCTTGAGGTGTGAGGTGCGAAAGAGGGTTGTTGCAGAACCGTAAGAAGCTGTGTCTGCCGAAAAAGAACTTGAGGTTGTTGAGTCGAATATGGGGAGAGTGGTTTGCAGACTGCGGATTGCAGTTGGTCGGGCGAGAGGAGGGCGGCGTTGGTTTTTATCTGCAATTATGCTTCGCTGGTGAGAAGGATCCGTGTGGCTTCCTTCCAGACGCGCGGTCACACGTTGGGATTACGCGGTGATCCAGCCTATGCCCACTACTCAGTCCTGCCATACCGCCGTGATCGGAATGGGACGGATGGACTCGGACCCCCCAATTCCGCCGATCAACGTCAAATGCCCTCAGGATACCTTCCATTGGGCAGCTTCCAGCGCTTTCTCCTGCCATCCAGATCCACGGCGTACTGTATATGTAATGCAGGTGTGAATGGCTGCCAAGATGGGCTTATCAAGCATTTTATCGAAGGAACACCCCAAAAAAGAACACTGCTGCCAGATGGCCCATATGAGCCTCCATTTTCTTGTCTACTGTACCTTGGCACCAAGCCCATATTCAGGTAGCGGCAAAATGCCCACGTCGGCGGTGCAGTCCAATTCGACCTTTGGATGACTTACCTCTTTGCGCCGGGTGTGATCTAACCTTTGGAATATGCAGCTGCGTGAGAACTGTTGGCTTACCTTTGCTCGAGACTCTTGACGCACCTTGGCCACGGAGGAAAGGGCCTAGCGAAATGCTGATGATTTCATTTCACTCGGAACGAGAGCTCGACTACTACCGTCATTCCAGACGTCAGGCTTCCGTTGCCTCAACGCGACATCCGGGACTGATGCTGGTGACCTACACCCCAGTGGGACCTGTCTTCCGGTAGAGAATGTGCACATTGGTAACTTACCTGAACCCTGCGACTCGTGAGGCAAGTCCAAGGCGCATACCGTAGGCTGAAGGAAACAAATCGGGAGAACAACGTTCGGCCTTTGTGCCCGAACTGTGCTTTTTTAGGCTAGGGTGCAGTTTAGTGGATTTTCGAATTTAAGTTACGCGTGAACTTAAATTTACTTAAGGTTAGGTTAAGGTTAAGGTAAGTCACCGGCCCCCTGGTTAGGATTAGGGTTAGGGTTAGGCGGGGGTTAGGGAGGGTGGGGGTTAGGGGGGGTCGGTAATTTGTTGAAAATTAATATATTTTTTAAATGGGAACCCTTAACCGGGTACCTTAATAAACTGCACCCTTACCTTTTTTATATGCGGGCAGTGAGGCGTCGGCGGGGAGTTTGGTAGTGGGCACAGCCGGGCCCCGAAAAGACGTCGACTCCGGTCCCCTTCCTCCTCCCTGCTAGATCTACGTGAATCTCAACTATTTTAACGCGCCTGGGAAAAATGGGGAAAGTCGCCTGTCAGCATAAACGCGTTGAGAAAGACGGCCTTACGCGCGCGTCCGCAAATCCTCAATAGCCTCATTGCATAAGCACGGGAGAACACCCCGGCAGCGCAAATACACAGTCCCAAGACATATCTTTGCCGTCTTGGAGGCCCTGTCTGAGGCGAGCCTTTCGCAGCTCGGGACGACCAGTTTGAGGAGGGTGCAGCTCCAAGGACCTAAGTGCGTGACCGCTACAGAGGTGGGTTTGCGTAGACAGGATTCAAAAGGTAAGTTGGCGTTGACCATATGTTTACGAGTCCTGTCGCGCTGTACCTTGGCGGTGGTCATACAGCAGACATTCGGGATCAAAACACAGGTGACAAAGACGCATTTACGATTGAGGCACAAAATTGGCCCGATTGGGGCCATCAACAGGGCCGATGACAGGCAGTGGACACACAGTGACCGACGGAAGGAGGATTTCTGCTCTAACTTTAAAACGCGTACGAGGCCCTCTTGTCAGCAACGACCGTAATTGAAGTAGCTATACGCGCATCTGGATTTGCGCCATACACTTTCACGGAAGTTGTTTGGGCCCGACTCGGGCCTTGAGCGAGCAACACATACGAAGTACTTCACTCCACGGGGAACGAAGACATCGCCATCATTCTCTTGGAACTCAGGCGATCTTATGAGAGGCCCCTGTCAGGCCCGAGTCGGGCAAAGATCGAAGAAAAAGCAGGCTCGCTCTCGCTTGTACACACATATCCGAAAAGCCCCTCTCGATCTGGTAAGGATGGAGTGAAAGTGGACCACGGAATTGCAGTCCGCGCGCAGATTACGGGGTCCCCTTCGCTTGCGACAACGAGTCTCATAAATACTACCACATCGCGCTCGTGAGGGAAATCTGTAGCCGCTTGCTTGAGTATTGACTGTCCAGTTGTCTTCCAAGGCCCGTCACCTTGTCCGATTAAGTCTTGTTGCGTACGGGAATCCCAAGGTCGGAGTTTCAACTGAAACGCGTTTGATGCATTGAGCCCGTTGCTTACGCGTCGTCAGACAACAAGTAACTCCGGCCGAGTCGGACCGTCTTGAAATCGCCGCTTTGCATGCCTCAAATGGATATCTTCCCACAGGCAAAAATGTTCTTGCCTCCGCCGCGCTGAGAGGCATTCACTCGCCCTTGTCTCTTCCTTTCGCAGGATCTGGATGTATTCGCACTGTCAGGACGTTGGGATTTGGATGCGGTGAAAGAGCTCGTCGGTCGCCTGATATGGCTTGCAGTGAGGTATTCGCTGGACTGGCGAAAAAGCGTAGGCGCTGCCGACCTCTCTACCTTCAGAGGAGTCATGCCTTAAGGAGGAATCAAAAAGCGGCCGGTTAACGTTGAAAGTCGTTAGCAGATCGCCTTACGCGACGAACACACGGACGCAATGAAGCTGCCCTAGGAAACGGGTCTCAAGTGACTTCTAGAAGTCGAAGAAATGACAACGCGACGAAGTGCCTGACGCCGCAAGATTTTGAAAGAGCTGGATAGCGAGATTGCGGATGCAACATGTTGATCTTGTAAAACCGAGTTGCGGAGCCAGCTATGGCATGGAGCTACCTGATTGAAGTTCAACATAATGAAATAGGGCAGGGGCGACGACTGTACTGTACACTAACCCCCACCACATGCCTCATTTCCTTCCAAGTGCTATGCTACGTACAAATCTGGACTAACAGCACAAGACCCATCAGACCAAAAAACGTATATAGCGAAAGAAGAATGTCGTCAGTAGATGTATATCCATCCCCAACGCATCAGGCTCATGCCTCACTTCCAAACTTTAACAACTCCATCCCTTGCGGCGGTAATAACCATCGGGTAAGGCACGACAGTCATGACCATATCCACAACCACATCGCGGTGATCCACCACATTCACACCGCCAGCAGCGTCCTTCCCTTGCCGTCTCGGCGACGATCCTATGCTCCCGCCGCTACCGGACGGTGGCGGCGTACTCCTCCCACCGGATTGAAGTGCGCTGCTACTTATCGTGCGCGCCGGTGAATTGCTGCTGCCCTGCCGGCCTCCGCCGCTGGAGGAGGTTCGGCTGTGGGTTGGATTGGTGTCCTGACGGCCGCCGCGACTAGGGGACGCGCTGGTGTCGGTGGAGGTAAAGGCGTGGGTGGGTGTGTACTCGAAGTTGAAAGTCATGTCTCCGTATTGATGTGAGCTGATTTGACGGCCGGGATAAAGAACGGAGATACCAGGTTGAGAGCTATTGCAAGGTTAGGGAATAAAGCGACATGATGTGTTTTCACCAACCTGTATCGCGGCGAGTTGTCGTTCTCGCTTAGCCCAACGACCACATACGACGCTTCGACATCATCAGTGGACAGGAATCGCAGCTTGCGGTCCGTTCCGCCAGTCAGCATGAAGTTTGCGTTGGCCGGGCATATGAAAGCGTTGATATTCAACGCCGTGTCAGGTTCCGTGGTTGGTTTCTTCGCGCCGTGTAGGCTCGACTTCAGGTCGGGGAATTCGTCTAGTTCTGGTGGTGGTGCAGCCTACGAGCGAAAATGCGTTGGAAAACGCGCGCATTATGAAGATTTGAAAACATCAGCAATGCTGCTTACCTGCAATCCAGCTCCATACGTCGCCTGCATCTTCTGCTCCACATCCCCTCCTCCATTTGCCGGGATGGTGCACCACACCCGCGTGCACGTGACAACATCCACATCCCACAGCCCAATCTCATTGGTCATGCCCTGCATGGCTACCGCGACAGTCGTGCCAGCAGGGTTGCCAGGCCACGCGGCCAACTTGATCACCTTCTTTCGAGACGGATGCGCAAACGACTTTACTTTCAGGCCAAACCGGAGGTCCCAGATGGACAGCACGCCGCGATGAGTGCCAGTAACGAGGTACACGCGCTGTTTGTCGATGAGGAACGACGTAATCTGCCCGTGATGGGGCGGGATGGTGAATGCCCATACCTCGGTCATGGTCCGTAGATCGAACCCACATATCCGCCCTTTGTAAGTCGCGTACACCAGCACCGATTGCGTCTCGGTTTCATAGTGATCCAGGAGCACCGCGTGGTCATTGACCAGCTGGATCGTGCGGAGGAGTTGAAACCCGGCGTAGCGGGGTGTCGTGCCTGCCGTGATGCATTCGACGCGACAAACGTGAATCCCGCCGTCATCAGCAGCGGATGCGAACGAGTGCGTGTTCTCGATGAAGGTTAACGCTGTCACGCTGCCCTCATGGCCCAGATAGGTCAATCGCGAACGGTTGGTGACGTTCTTTTCCAGCCGCTGGGTATCCCAGATCTTGACTGACCGATCGTCTGAGCATGTCGCGAAGAAGACGTTGTCGGCAGATATCTTCAGACAATTGATGGGTGCCGTGTGTTCGACCAAGTGGGCAACAAGGATTCCAGCTGGACGCCATGCTTTGAGATCGAATGCGCTTCCTTGTGCTGTTGGCGGTCTCGCACGCTTGGCGCGTTGCGCCGCTGATGTCCCAAAGTCGACCGGGAGTGAGACCTTCGGTCCAAGTTCTTTTCATTGGTGAAGGAACACGATGTTAGGTCTGGTGCTTTTGAGGTGTCATTCGGGTTGAAGCGAAACATACCTGGTATCGTAGGAGGGAAGTACTCCCGCGTTTTCTTATCCAACAAGTGTCGGAGGTACATATCCACTCCATCTGCAAATAAAAAGAGTCTGAGCAATTGTTATGCCCCAAATGCCTTCCTCGGCACCTACACTCGGAATTGCGTCCACCATCCCCTTTCTTCTTCCCATGCTCATTCAACGTTAACAGGGACGCCTTATCCGCATTACTATTAACCTCCTCGTTCGTAAACGACGTAGCAATGCTGCTCGCAACACTATCGCGTCTGGAGTGCGCCCTCCCTCCCGCAGCCCCAGCTCCACCAGAGTTGGAGTCCACACGAGGCACGAGCAATGACGAATTCTTGAAGCTGCCGCCAACATCCGCAAGACCGGCTCCTCCGCCGCCTAAGGGGAGCCCGCCGGAGAAGTTGCGTCCGCCGAGTGGGACGACGGTAGCGGATGGGCTGCGCGGGAACTTCTGAACTTCAGTGTGAATGTCCGTCGCGCGAGATGACGGCGACACGACCCCAATGGCGTTGAAAGAGTCAACTTTGCCGAGTTTGGTAGGCGTCGATGGGCGAACATCTCTTAGCCCCATCCGAACGACGGTCGAGTCGGATGCACCGCGGCGATGTCGAGGGGCGCTTGATGACCCGGCCGCTCCTGCTGCTGAGCCGCGGATGCTGCCGACGGAGGAGGGGGCGGGCGAGGATGCGCGCGAGTCCCCGCGGTTGGGATTGAAGTTGCCGTCGTAGCTGTCCGGGAGACTGGATTCGGAAGTGGCGCGGGTCATGTGGGAGGTGTCAAACGCGCGTTGTGCCAACTTAGGATGAAGTACGCAGGTAAGTCCAAACCGTCGTGCGCTCCGAGCGCAGCCATATAGTGTGACATTCACTCACCGAGGGTAAAACCCCATTATCCCCACTCTCAGAAGGCGACAAAAACAGCGTATGCGGCGTAGCCCCAAAATTCTTCAATGCAATCGAATCCCCCTTCGACGACTCGGACGCGGACGCCGGGTAAGCCCACTGATCCCGCATCTCGGACGACTGTTTCCTCAACCTCGCCTGCGTCATTTTCGAGATGTAGTACTTCATCGCAAATAGCTTCTCTTTGTCTTCGTCCGTCATGCCTAGTTCGCGGAGACGTTGGACGAGTTCGTTGCTCTCGCCGCCACCGCCGCTGCCGCTGATGCGGCCTGGGTGGGTGTGATGTTCGGAACTGTCGTGTGCGTCGTACATCCGCAGTGCGTTGGGAGACAGGGACCGGTCCCTATCCCATGGCGTGACGGTCTTGGACGCAAATGTCAGGGTCTGATCGTATAAGATCCTGCTGATAGGGGGTTTCAAACTCTCCAAGATATTGATTTCATTCAGGTACGGCGTGTCCACTTTAAGAAAAGGTTTGATGGTCGGGTAGAGGGCACAGCGGACATCGATCTCTGGTAAGAGCCGAGCAGCACATGCAATGAACGCGATGGCGCCGTATCTTATCCAGGTATTTGGGTGACACACGAGCGGCAGAACTGTCGCGACGAGTTCTTTCGCTTTGGGCTTTTGCAGCAGGCCGAGCTCCGCGAGCGAGGTGAGGGAGTTGAGCACCTTTTCGACGACAAACTCTTCCGCGTCTGTTAATGCTTGCACCATCAGCGGAAGGATGTATTCTTCGAGGCTTTGGCCGCCGACGAATGTACCGACCCCAACGATGCTCTCGAAAAACGCACTATGCACATGTCAAAATATCAGCACTCGCAGCGCACCAGAAAATATTGCATTGCCCGCGTACCTCCTCAGCTGCCAATCTGTCCCATTCAAATACGTAATCATATGCGACAGCAGAATATCATTCGCCTTCTGCCGTCCAAACATGATACACAACCGCGGCATTTCCGACAACAGCGCGCGCTTGACGAGCGGGTCCGGGTCGATGAGGAGCGCGATGACTTCTTCTTGGATGAGCTCTTGTAAGTCTCGGAGGGAGGTGTCGTAAGACATCTATGGAAGACAGGGTTGGTGTGTCGTATGGGGTGAAGAACACGAGAGAGAGAGAGAGAAACGTACGATACGGTGAACGTCCCCATCGGCATCCATATCACGATGCAAGTCGTTTTTCAGTACCTCGGCGAGCTCAAGGAATTTGAACGCGAACTCCGCTGGGGACACAAAACAGAAAACATCAGGCGTGCGTGCCGGAATGATACCCCGAGATTGAACCGGAACCGAAACAAGATTACGCACCGAAACTGGCAATACACTGCGCATACGTCGCCCTCACAAACCCTTCCGGATCAGAAGTGAAGCCTCTCAACGCTGGTAGGATGTACTCCGGGAAGATGTTGGCGTCGGGAGAGGTCACGCTATCAATCATGCTGAGCTACGCACCGTCAGCACGAAGCATCCCGACGCCAATAAGGGACAGTAACCTGACGGGCAACCTACCAAATGCATTAATCCCTTCAAAGCGGTAGCGCGCACCAGACTGTTCTCATCTTCAAGTAAGGTCATCAGGTAAGGCACTATCCGATCGAGGCGGATGTCGTCCGGGAGATGCATGCTGATGACCAGGAGGAGATCAATTGCGTGGAGCTTCGATGTTGGGTACAGGACGTTCCGCATTGCCGAACAGATGATGGCGGAGAGCAACAGACTGCCATCGGCTGTATGTGGTGCGATCAGTATTGCTCGAATGGTGATGAAGTGAAGGGTACAGCTACTTACACGCGTCAGCGCTTCCTTGACCTGCCACCAAGGCGGACGGGAAGTTCGGTATGTGGACATGCAATGAAGACAGGCTCTAAAAGTGAGTGCCACTAAGTTGAGCGCGATCCAGCGAGTGCATCACCTCAACTGAGTTGCCTCAACACCCACCTCCATGTGCAACACCCTCATCGCTGAAGGATCTAGAAAACGCAGGTTCGTTGAAATTTATTCCAAAAATACCATAGCCTTACACCAGACGTACCCACAGGCGACAATTTGGCATCAGCTCCACCCCCAAGCTCCGGCGAAGCCGTGACACCTCGATCAGTTACGCCCTCAAGCAACCCCAACGCCACCGAAATCTTATCGAAATCATGATAAATCCTCTCAATCTTCGCATCAGACGGCGGCATTGGGATCGTTGGGGTGGAAGGTGTCGTGGACCGCGTTGTGGGTATCCCCGTTGCGAGATCGGTTAGGGAGGATACGTAGGGGTGGAGGAATGTGTAGAAGAATTCGGGGAATGCTGTGCCGCGCCAGCCGGCGAGGTAGCCTTCGGCGGTGTGCCGTGCGTCTGGATCCAGTTGGATCATATGCCGTAGCATGGACTGCAAAAACCTTGTCAGTCCGGCGATAGTGGGGCGACTGACTGCTGTAGCGTCCAACCTTGATATGTATGTCCTCCACCTTCTCCAAATCCGGTAATGGATCGTACTCTCCGCTTCTATATCGCAGAAGCTGCGACAAGGAGAATAGCGGCGTTCCTTCCAAGAAGAGCTCGGCAATCGTGCATCTGGATGACAATGTAAGACATCATACAAGGAAACATCCAGCGCCCACCGGCGACTCACCCTAGCGAAAAGATATCCATGGAAGGTAATAGTTGACCATCTTTATCACTGAACAGCGTCTCTCCAGGCGCATAGAACCGCTCCGGTGCGAGATAACAGACTCGCCGGGAAGATGTGTCGAAGAAGAACGAGAAGTCGCCGGGGTTGTCCTGCGAATCACATCAGCCTCGGCATGTACTCCAGATGTGCGGCGCTTCCTGGCTGTCACCTACCTCCGGGAGGTAGGATGGCTTGAAACCGCTGAAGTCCACCAAGTACGCCCAATTCCAACTCGTGACCAGCACGTTCTCGGTCTTGATGTCCCCATGCCGAACCTATTTCGAGTGTCCCTATCAAACTACGCTCGTACAAAAAAGTGGAGAGCCTTCACGAAACCTGGCGGGCATGTGCATCGGCTAATCCAGCGAGAAGTTGGAAAGCGATCCACTTCTTTTCTATCATGGAAAGAAATGGCCGTGTACTGACAATACAGTAGCGTCAGTTTGCATACGGCGGCTCGCTCTCGCAGAACCTATAGTCATTAGCTCGGCGTTGATGTCACTGACCTTATTCGATCATAAAGGTTACTGTACAGATGCTGCCTTATCAAATACGCCGCTCGCTCAGTCTCCATGATCCGTTGGTACGGAAATGCATTTGGGACATCCAAGAGGAGATCGCGCTCGCCTAGAACATCAGTTTTAATGATATACGCCGTCGGGTAGTCGAGGAGGACGCTTACGGACCTTTGATGGTCTGGACATAGTCACGCAAGGATATGGCCGTATCAGGCTTGATAAAGATTTTCACAACGACAAGTCCGTCCCGATGCTTGCAGCGGATCGTTTTCATGAAATGGCCACTTCCCAGACTTTGTCGGGACGAAGAAACCGTTGTCAGTTTGAGCACCCGTGTAGGATGATCTTCAGCCTGCACTCCACCGCCCGTAGGTATGATATCTGTCGAGCGACCCGACTACATGACCTTAATGGGCCCGCAATACTCTACCTCTTCTCATATCGCACATCTGACAGCTCGCTGACATAGCTATCTATGCCGGCAGTGGATGTCCGGGGCGTCGTACTTGACAGAGTGTTCCCCATTATAGTCTCTTCGTCTTGCCAGCGTAAGAACTGGAGCGGTCCACTTGCTTGGAAGAGGAAACAACGGCCCCCCTGCTGCTATGTTGTGGTAGTGGCCAACTGGCCTCTCCTTCTTGTATTTGTGTGTGTGTTCTCACAGAGAATGCTGGTGTCTCTCCATTGACACTTCTGGGAGAATAGATGCAGGAAGACTGTTGGCTTCACGCACGCGCACTGATGATTCACGCCTATCGGAGTTCTGGCAGCAGGACGTCGGAATACGACTTCGCTTAGGCTGCTGGCATATAGCATACAGGAATCGCTAGACACTCAGGACAAAGAAGCCTCCAGGAGGGCATGGGCAATGTTCTGTATAGCTGAGTTGGTGAAGGATGCGATGGAACGCGGAAGACTTCGAACCCAAACCAAAGCGGTGACCCTACCGCTGGACATCTCCAGCGGAACCGAGTCTTTTCAGCCGCTGCATGATTCTAATCGTTACGGGCTCGCTTCACGTCTGTTCTGTTCTCAAATGACATCTAGGTTTCTGCGGTTTGTCGCATTCGCTCCTATCGCCCTCTGTTCAACGCTTTCCCATAGCATGTTATGAAAGCCACCCGGCCACTCTTGGCTGTTCCTAGCCACTTCGCAAGGACCATGTTTGGACAGTACATCGCAAGCGTGCAACATGATGCTCAGCGTGTATATAGCCGCCCACCCAAAGTCTCTGCTCAAAGCGATGGGATCTCATGTTTTGCTGTGGTTACCGCTCCATATTGATCCCTGCCATGAGAACGCTCAGATATGCTGGATTGATTGCAACCAGTCTGCTATCTACTCCGTATGGGTAGTGGTCAAAGGATCGGAAAACTGTTTGGCTCGGCCAATGCCTTCAATGACAAACGACGGAATTGGTCACTCGCATTAATGTTAGGCTCGAGCAGTCGTACAGTATATACTGTAGCTCGATGTCAGTCGTAGAGTTGCAGCAGTTTATTTCTCGTCCACGTGATCCGTCCCCGTTAGACTGAGGCCTTGACTGAGGCACAGCACCGTTTCCTCACGCAACCCTTCCTCAAAGGAACATTGAAGGTCTCGTAACTAAGTAACAGCAAGGAAGAACAGCAAACCTCGCTCGCTCAGTCGTGTCGCCGAGAGGGCTGCCAACTACAGCCGCATAGCTTTGGTGCTGTTAGGCTCTCGCGCGCCCAGAATGGAGGACCACGACTACGGCTATCTGGAGGTACTTTATACTCAAGCTCATTTTACCCTGTGTCAGGGGATGTACCAATGTTAACGGCTTCATCGTCCATCAGTTCCAGGATACGCAGGGGTCCCAATATGACTACGAAAACTTCGCGGTCCCTTCTCAGGCCGGAAAAGACGTAGACGATCTGACTTTGAGTTCCTTGACGTTGAACTCCCAACCTTCGCAAACCACCCAACCGACTGGGTCAGCCGCGCCGTCCCGTATCACGGCGGACGTTCGGGTGGCGGAGCGTTCGGGTGAAGCATACTTTATTTCGGATGCACCTGACGACTTTGATGGGGACGGCGGACCAGATGGATTTCAGTTCTCTCAAAGTGATCTGCCTGACCACGCTTGCAGGTAAGCCTAATTTCCTTGAACCTTATTCCCACTCGAAACTGATGAATCCGGTGTATGAAGCTATTGTGGCATCCACAATGCGTCCTCTGTCGTCGAATGCTTAACGTGCAACAAGTGGTTTTGCAATTCGCGCGGAATCTCCTCCAGCCGCGGTTCCCACATTATTCAGCATTTGGTGCGCGCCCGCCATAAGGAAGTGCGACTCCATCCCGAATCTCCCCTTGGCGAGACTACTTTGGAATGCTACAATTGCGGATTGCGAAACGTTTTCAACTTGGGTTTCATTCCTGCAAAGTCTGACACTGTTGTCGTACTTCTCTGCCGGGCTTGCTCGAACCCAATGGGTCAGAAGGACGTGAGCTGGGACCTATCGCAATGGCTCCCTCTCATTGAGGATCGAAGTTTCCTCACCTGGCTGGTGAAAGTGCCTCTGGAATTTGAGGAGCTGAGGGCAAGGCACATTACCGCATCACAGATAGCAGCTCTGGAGGATCGCTGGATGGAGGACTCAAATGCCACCGTGGACGATCTCAACAAGCCTGGGATCGAGGATGAACCGGAGCCCGTGCGCTTGCGATATGAGGATCCGTACCAGTACCAGAACATCTTTGGTCCTTTGATCAAGTTGGAAGCGGACTATGACAAGAAGTTGAAAGAGTCGCAAACTCAAGATGATGTGGAGGTCACGTGGAGTGCTGGTCTGAAGAAGCCGTTGGCGTCTTTCAAGTTGCCCAAATTGGAACTTGGGGACTTCCTGCGCCTTGCGGTTGGCGACGAATTGATGCTTCGATACACCGGTGAATTGGTCAAGGGACACTGGGAGGGGGTGGGGCATGTGATCAAGATTCCCAACAGTAAGCATAAGTGCCGTTTTCTTGTTCATTTGATGACCCGGGGCTAACATTAGATTCGTAGACCTTTCCGATGAGGTGGTTCTCGAACTCAAGAGCGATGACAAAACTCCCACGCACTGTACGCACAACTTTAGCGTTGACTTTGTCTGGAAATCCACATCCTTTGACAGGATGCAAGCTGCAATGAGGACCTTTGCGCACGATGAGCGATCTGTCAGCCCTTACATCTACCATCGCTTGCTTGGCCAAGACGTCGAAGGGCAGGTTTTCAAGGGCGTCGCCATGCCCAAGCGTTTCACCGCGCCCAATCTCCCGGATTTGAACCATTCGCAGGTGTCTGCCGTGAAAAGCGTTCTTCAGAAGCCTCTCAGTTTGATCCAAGGTAAAACTTCTACTGGACAGCAACTTCTCTCGATGCTTCGATGCTTACCGGCTTCAAATATTTAAAGGACCTCCGGGAACCGGAAAGACCGTCACCTCCGCGACAATTGTCTATCATCTGGCGAAGATGACAGGTGGCCAGGTCCTTGTGTGTGCGCCCAGTAACGTCGCCGTGGATCAGCTGACTGAGAAGATCCACCAAACGGGATTGAAAGTTGTTCGAGTGACTGCCAAATCCCGTGAAGCTCTGGAATCTCCCGTCTCGTTCCTGACTCTTCATGAACAAGTCCTGAACAACGACACGGATCCCGAATTGCAGAAATACGTTCGGTTGAAGGAGGAATACGGTGAACTGAACCAACAGGATGAAAGACGCTACCGGGCCCTGAAGCGTAAAGCGGAGCGGGAGATTATCCAGAATGCGGATGTCGTCTGCTGTACTTGTGTCGGTGCGGGCGACCCTCGGCTGCAGAAATACGCGTTTGGGACGGTCTTGATCGATGAAGCCACGCAGGCTGCGGAACCGGAGTGCTTGATTCCTCTGGTCATGGGCGCGGAGCAGGTCGTCTTTGTCGGAGACCATAAACAGTTGGGACCCGTTATTCTCAACAAGAAGTCTGCCAAGGCCGGCTTGAACCAGTCCCTCTTCGAGCGATTGATTCTCCTCAACGTTAGACCGATTCGTCTTGAGGTTCAATACCGTATGCACCCGTGCCTTTCCGATTTTCCTTCCAACATGTTCTACGAAGGATCTTTGCAGAACGGTGTCACGGTTCAGGAGCGTCTTCGCAAGGATGTTGCCTTCCCGTGGCCTGTTCCAGAGACACCCATGTTCTTTCACTGCTCGTATGGACAGGAGGAGCTCTCATCGTCTGGCACCTCTTACCTGAACCGAACTGAAGCGACAAACTGCGAGAAAGTCGTGACTCGATTCCTGAAGGCCGGCGTCAAGCCCTCACAAATCGGTATCATTACCCCGTACGAAGGTCAGCGCGCGTACATCGTCAGCCACATGCAGTTCGCAGGAGCCTTGAAGAAGGAGCTCTACAAGGAGATCGAGGTCGCCAGCGTCGACGCCTTCCAGGGCCGTGAGAAAGATTACATCATCCTCACCTGCGTGCGTTCCAACGACCATTTGGGGATCGGGTTCACCAGCGACCCCCGCCGTCTGAACGTGGCGTTGACGCGTGCCAAGTACGGTCTCGTCGTACTCGGTAACCCTAAAGTGCTGTCCAAGAACGCCCTGTGGTACCAGTTACTGATGCACTTCAAGGAAAAGAACTGCTTGGTTGAAGGGCCGTTGAGCAACTTGAAGAAGTCGATGATTCAGCTGATTCGCCCGAAACACAAGCCGAGATTTGATGAGAGGCAGAATAAGTTCCAGGTTGATGCGGGACAGCATTTCGCCAAGCCTCCTAAGGCTAATGACCGTAAGTTCCGCAAAGCTGTTGAGTATTTTGGTTGATCAAAGCGTCCGTCCTAACTTGCCCTTTTACTGTTTTGACCCAGGACGTCCATCCCACAATTTCAACCCCTACTACGACCCCCTCTCCGCCGTCGACGCCGGCCGCATCTTCTCCCAGCCCGACTTCTTCCCCATGCACCCCATCCCCTTCTCCCAAGACATGCCAGCCTCCCAAATGTCCTCTCACAACGGCCACTTCAGCGCCTCCGGCCGAAAGAACAACAACCTCAACTTCTCCCAAACTGACTCCCAGGGCCCGTTCACGCAAGGCAGCGCCTTCCACTCCCAATCGCAGTCCCAATCCCAGTCGCAGCTGATGATGCACCCCAACGCGTTCTCAGCCTCCTTCTCGCAGAGCGACTACTTGGATGATTACAAGAGTCAGCCGGATACGTACATGAGCCAGGAGTTTGGGAAGAGCCAGCAGAGCGATTATCAGGGGCAGGGGTTTACGCAGTTCTGAGAGACGCAAAGCGATATTTTGTTTGAAGATGACTGGACAGCGTTATGTGGACGACGGCCAAGATATAGCTGGTTGACGCTCCCTCGCTTCCCCGGGATTCCCGTCGGTTCACCGCACCTAACCCTGATCGCAAGACACCGAGGACCCAAGGCCGCGGAATGTAACCTACAGTGTGCGAACGACAACTGGCTCCCAAGTGCGCGCCTCCCCCTCCGTCACTTTCTCGGTGTGAACCACGAGGTCCCCCGACCGAAACCAACCAGTGTTCTTACGTCGTATGCCCACATCCAGCGACGGGCCCACGAGGACATTCGAGTGCGGCCAATTCGGAACCCAGGGCGAAGGATGGGAGAAAACACGTATCTGCGACGTCGCCCAGTCGGGATACAGGCTGCCGTCCCGCTGGGAGGCCCTGATTACGTAGGAAGGGAGTATGTAGGAAGAGAGAGCGGGAAAAATTGTTGCAAGCGGGGTTAGGGGAATTTGAGAGTTGTGTGTTCTCTGCCCTTGCTTGTTATGTTGTAGCGATGTATCGTAGAAGATTCCACATCAATGAGATGAATTTTAGTTGAAAGATGGGTTTTGCTCGCTGCTGGGTTTCTTGTCAGACTCCGCGTGCTAGAAGAGATTTATTGACATGAGGCGCGAGCACCTCCACTTGAGGTTTGCATTCCCCGGCCCCAGGACACAGGCAATTCGTGTCGAACCAAGCAGGAGTATGTGCAATGAATATATATACGGATGGACAGACCGCAGTGCATGTACAAAGAGCTCGACCTGTGAAGAACAGAAAACGAGCGTGCGACCGGTAGGTGCGCACACATATACCGCTTGTTTACTTGTATTCGATGACGGCGCGGATGCTGTGGTGGGAAACCGAATGGAAAAGGAAGAAGTATATGTTAGTCAGAAAAAGGTCGATGCGTAGTCGCTCGTATCGCATTCTCACAAACGTACCACGACCCATCATGCATAGCATCAAACGCCTTGTTGATATCGGTGAGCGGGAAGGTGTGCGTGACGTATGAGTCGATCTCGAGCTCGCCTTTTTGGTACCGCTGCACGAGGACGGGCAGTTCCGTGCGGCCCTTCACGCCGCCAAAGGCGCTGCCTTTCCACACGCGGCCTATGAGAAGTGCGTGTGAGTCGTGAGTATGAGAATGCACTCCCTTCTGCGGACCGGCAGACACTCACCGGTAACGAGCTGGAACGGCCTGGTGGAGATCTCTTGGCCCGACGCAGCGACACCAATAATGGTGCTGACTCCCCACCCCTTATGACAGCACTCGAGCGCGGCGCGCATAAGGTCGGTGTTGCCCACACACTCGAACGAAAAGTCGACGCCCCCGTCCGTCATCTCCGTCAACACCTGCTGGATCGGCTTATCGAACTTCTTCGGGTTGATGCACTCGGTCGCGCCGAGCTTCTTGGCCATGTCGTATTTCGACTCGTTGATATCGATACCAATGATGCGCTTCGCGCCCGATTTCTTTGCGCCTTGGATGACCGACACGCCGACGCCGCCGAGGCCAAAGACCGCGACGATGGAGTCCTTTTCGACTTTCGCGGTGTTGCTCGCGGCGCCGTAGCCCGTGGTGATCCCGCAGCCCAGCAGACACACTTTGTTCAACGCGGCGGATTTGTCGACTTTTGCGACCGAGATCTCCAGCGCGACCGTGTACTCGCTGAAGGTCGAGCAGCCCATGTAGTGGTAGATAGGCTTGCCCTTGCATGTGAACCTGGATGTGCTGTCGGGCATGAACCCCTGGCCCTGGGTGACTCTGACGACGGAGCACAGATTGGTTTTGTTGGATTTGCAGAATTTGCATTCGCGGCATTCGGGGATGTAGAGCGGGATGACGTGGTCGCCGGGTGCGACGGAGGTGACGCCTTCGCCGACGGACTCGACAATGCAGCCGCCTTCGTGGCCGAGGATGGCGGGGAAGAGGCCTTCGGGGTCTTTGCCGGAAAGGGTGTAGGCGTCCGTGTGGCAGACACCGGTGGCGATCACTTTCAGGCGGACTTCGCCCTTCTGAGGTGGCGCGACTTCGACATCCTCAATGGCTGTTGCGAGAGATATACAGAATGGTCAGTGAACCGCTGGAGGACAATGGCCGTTCGAGAGTGTTGGCATCCCAAGGGCAACGGAAAGCATCCCGCAGGTGTGCTCGGGCGTGGTGGACTTCAGGGAACACACCGGCCGAACCACAGATCCCGCATTTTCTCTTGGAGCTGTTCCTCAGCGATACTTACAGAGAGGCTTGCCAGCTTCCCAAGCGATAGCGGCCTTGCACCTGTTGGATCAAGAGCTATGAGCATCGGAATGGGAGGCAGTTTTTCGCCCTCGTCACACCTCTGCCTGGTGCTGCTGATCGCGGCAGGACTACGTCACACTTACTTGATAGGTTTGCCTGCGGTGGAGGAGTGGGTGGCGGACATGGCAGCAGTGTTGCTTGGGTGTAAACTACGAGTGAGAGTGAGAAGAAAGTTGTTGAGAGAGAGGAGGGACAGTGCAAAACCGGCGGGAAGTCCGTGGGGAAATCCTGGGCAAATCTCTCGCCCGTCAACGCGCACGTCTCACCCGTCACAGCCCGTCACACCCCCTCGTTCCTCTTGTTCTCCTCGTCCTTTTTCTCGCTGTGGCTTACTCCCCACCAGTTCCCCCAAAGCTACGCACCCGCGGAAGATGCCCTCCCTCATCTTACTCCCAGCAACACCCGACCACCGCCCGCTCCTCGCAGCCAACCACCACGCGCAATGGGGTGGGCCAAAACTCACTCTCGACCAGTATCAGGCGAAAGAGGCCGAGCTTAGAAACACTGCTTACTGTAAGGAACGGCTGCGGGACTGGGTGCTGGTTGACGAAGAGGATAAAGAGACAATTTTGAGCTCTTGTCAGGTATGCATGTCGCTGAGTGAGAGTGATAGCACGTGAGCGGGCGAGGACTTGCGTCGGATGATTGCAGATGGCGAGCGACGGGAAAAACGAACGAATCCTGGTTACTGCCAGTAGGCCCAAGATGGCTGTCGCCTACCACTTTGGAACTCGTGGCGCCGACCAGCTTTATCCCTCCTCCCACATCGTTGCGCCGCACGCCTCACACTTTCCCATGTCTATCCCATCACAGACACTCACACTCCCCGCGGTCCTCGCCACTCCCTCCTCACCCATTCAACACCGCTCCACACTCGCTATCGCCTCCGTCCACACGCCCCATTCTCAACGCGGGCACGGCTACGCTACCACCATGATGAAGCAGGTGATGTCGAGCCTCGCGCAAACGGAGGCGGGAACAGGCGCGTCGACGTTGTACTCGGACATTGGACGCTCCTTCTATGCTCGACTGGGGTGGCCTGTTACTGGGTCTTGTACGCAAGGCATTGTGGAGGTGGCACATGCCGCAAATGGGGACTCTTCAGGGGGATTGGTGCAGAACATCACGGCAGAGACTCTCCCGCGATTCCTTGACCTGGCTGTGAAGGGAATAGAAACACAAGTCCGTGAAGCGGCTACGGATGGGAAAACAGGATTCGCGGTCCTTCCCGCCGCCGACTTTTTCGAATACTTCCAGACGCACGCGCGGGAGTCCGCCGTGCATATCCGGCCAGACATCCACACCGCCGCGTTCGATAACCTCGGCGGAGCAATCTCGGTCGAGAAGGAGGAAGACAGCCCCTTCCTCCTATGGTTCCCAAACATCTCCGAGGAGAAGCTTTACATCCTCCTCATCCACTCCCCTCCAAAGTCTACCAACACGACAACACCACCGCCCACACACCGCCTTCTCTACGCCGCCATCGCTCACGCCCGCCACCTCGGACTCGCGAAAGTGGTAGTATGGCAGCCCGAAGACTGCGGGGTGGAAACGTTCCCGGGCATGCAGGTCAGTGCGAGGGAGACTAGTCTGTCGTCGCTGGCGATTGTTCGTGGGGCATGTGCTGGGTCTGAGGGAGGGGAGGTGGTGTGGGCTAAGAATGAGAAGTATGCTTGGGTGTGATTCGGTTGGATGTAGATTACGGGCGTATACATTGTTCGCGTATAGACGCTTTACTTCTGTTACATAGATGCCTTCAGGGTTGCAATGTTTCTATGCGTTTTCTTCTTGTTCGGCATTTCTGACACTAAGTATATATACCTCTCGCCCGCCCTGGCACGGTAAACCTCAGGAGCGATTTAAACTGTGAAACCACCGTCACTACATGCATGTGCAGCCCTTAGTATCCTACACGTTCGCACATATTCACAGACGGCGATGTTGGTGTGAAGATGATGGGCTCGATCACTGTTCCTCCATTATCGGAAATGTCATCCCCCGGTGATCTTCATGGCCACACCATTGCTCCGCCTACGCAGTGGTCCTGCCACTGCTACACAGTAGAGCCCACCATGTTCTTGATGCTCTCCAATATATCGGCAATGATGTTCGTCGGAAACCCGCTAGAATGACAGTAAGCACTGACAGCGCTGGACATATGTACGCGTCCCCGGCCCTGGGCGACGTATATAAGAACCGTGCTCACCCCTGATACCATAGATCAGTCCTCGTCGGATCTCTTTTGACAGCCGAAGCGACCTCGACAGTGCCTGGGATCTTGTCGAGAGTTTGATCTTCATTATTGACCTCCTCCGAAGATGAAGATGATGGAATTGACTCCGTTGGATCATCATCAGCAGCAATCCATAACTATACTCGTCGTCATAGTAGTCGACATATTGCTTGGCGTGCTTGTAGCCTAGGTACAGCCGAGGAAGCCCAGGTTTCGCGAACTGAAACACCATGTCCCTTCCCATCCGCCTTCCAATCGCTGTATATGCATGTGAACCCTTTTGGCGGAGCCGCTGTCGGTTTCCAGCCTTCGATGCGGCCCCCAAGCAGAGCTAGGTCTTCGCGCATTGACACCGAATCTGCAACTCTATCGAACTGTCTGATCAGAGCTTGATGTAAGTTGCGGAGAAGTCGAAACGGTGCAAGCTTTTTGAGGCCCGCATCAGACGACCTGTGGTGAAAAATGGAGATATCTGAGGAGTAGAAACAAGACATCTTCGGGAACGGTTTCGAGAGTGAGAGAAGCGTTCGCCGGGTGCGTTTCGTGCTCCATTGACGTGAGAGTGTCGATGGAGAAAGGAGAGTCCGACCGAGTATTATCACCGAGGCGATGTTCGTTGCGTTTGGCAAATCTGTCGTACAGTACAGTAAGATGTGGGAGAGTTTGGTTGAATCACGAGCCCACACGCCTCCGGAGGAAACGAGTTCTGACTGCGCCTTTCCCAACTGGAAATCTCTTTGAGGCAGCTTATACTGTAGGCAGCTTTCATACGCTCGCGCGTGGGAACTTGACATTCGCCGGCGTCGGCCATTTTTCTGCGACACTACCTACAAATATACAGTACATACAGTATATACACGGCACCTCATAAAATATAACACTCGCTTGTGACGTCGGCTTCCGGACACTTCTTCAGCAGCATGCCACCAAGGCAACTTCTCAGGCTGGTCCCATGGGCACATCTCGAAGAGTGGGACTATGTCTTCTCCTGTCTTTACGCAGCAGACGACACCCCTCAAGGCGTGCAGAGTCGCTTGAACGGCGTCAAGCGGGTGCGTATCAAGCGGGAAGCTCCTCAGTGCAGTGTAGCGCATTGGCCTTTTCGGCCGAGCCTTCACTCACTTTCAGTCGTTGTACTTTAGGTCAAAGCATGGAGAAACCGTGGGAAAGTCCCACATGCGATAGACTCCACCGCCACCTTGGTAGAGATATGGTTGCGAGACGGATGCGGAGGGACGTATGGTCCTCCATATATCTCTGAACATGAACTGCGGCTTATGTATACCATGACCTTCGTGAGGTTCGTTGGTTGGTTCTTGGAGAGACGGGCAAAGGAGGAATGTATCTGAGATACCGGGGCTTGGGGGCTTACTCGTTCGATCGTTGGCGCTTATCTAGATTTGTTAATGGGTTCGTGGACGCACACCAAAAGGGCATGTACGCAATCAGCGTGTCCACCATCGCCGAACAGATGGGATTACCGGGGTGGTTTGTCGATCTTCGACACGCAGGCACGCACGATCAGCTGCCTAGTCTGGCACTATTGAGAGCCGGATGTAAACAGGTGATTGGATGTGCACGTCCTGGACTTGGAGTTCCTCCTACGGATTGTATTAACCTATCGACGCAGGCCTTGAGTTGGTTACATGCGAACTATTGGACGGCGAACAAGCATTACATGGCCACGACAGGCGCTGAGATTCGAACATTGCTCACGCAGTACAAAGTTCTCAGGAAGCAGGAGGCGAAAGGTAGGCTGTCCTGAAGTCGTCACAATCAACGAAATCGAAGAGGAGGAGGGATTTTTGTGGAGAGAACGACCGGCAGCTCACTGACTAGCGTCTCCCATGATAGGGGCCGCAAACGACACGTCACAGTCGCAAAGCATCCTCGCAGAAGTCGTCGCATTGAACACATCGGAGACGTACAATGACTTCCTAGTACCAGTGCTACTCGATGATGGGTATTTGGTACCGACAGCAATAAAGTGAGGCTACGAAGCGTTGTCTTCACTCTCAAATGGCGGAAAGTGCTCATAACTATCGGCACTACAGAAAGCGAACCCCTTCAGAGGGGTCGGTTCTGCCCGACACGCTGTTCAACCTGTGGCGAACCGCATTATCCAGCTTTGAGGACGCATGGCCCGGGTTTTTGGAAGACTTGTTCAATGCCATTGTGGAGAATCTGGGTTCCGATGAAGGTAGCGATCGTTTTGTACTGAGGTCGTCTCGATTTCTCGCGATGTGACCTGGCCCATTTATTGATCTGCAGGACTTGGACCGGCGGATGCACTCGGCGCCGAAGCAGCGAACGCTGGGAGAAGGGATGAGCCAACCTTCCGGGCAACATTGGGTACGTGTATCCACATTTCAACCTCACATTTGCGATGAAAAGACGAAGGAGCTAACACCGGCATGCAACCAGCTGCATGGGCCGGCCACATTCTAAGCCATGACCTGCTACGGCGCGGGTCCTCGGTAGACTGGGAACCATTACTGGAAGCATGTTTACGTAAGCCTAACGCCTCGTAAGTCGATGGATGCTATTTACCATTCTCATATTCGATTGTCTCACCATCCGTCGACTTGTATGTGCACCCCTACTTCATATAGCGTCCGCCCTTTGATTGAGGTGTTCGAAAAAAGTGTCCCTACTCTTAATGGCAAGCTCAAACCGTTCCTTGACTTCATTGATCGATCCACCCGATTTGGGGTGAGTACGGACGAACCCAGGGCGGTCAAAGCATTGTCTTGCATTTGTACTGACCAGTGGATCTCACTGTTGATAATCACAGCAGAGCGAGTCGGAGCCGTCCAAGAACACAACCCCAGCGACTGACCGGATCCCCGAGCTCCGCGACCGACTTGCGGTATTCAAAGAATTGTCGTCAAATGCACATTCAAATAGGGTAAGTCAAGTGTAGTTCCTTGTCACAAAAAGAGATGCCTATAACTCATACAACCGTCTTTTCCCCATACAGTCGAAGTCAAACAAACGCCCCCTCAAAACCACACTGGCACCCGCTATCCCAGCGGCCGGCTGGACGCACGCCATCCCAGAAGAGTGGCGGAAATGCCCTATCGGATCCCTGCCCGGCGGCGCGGTGCCGGATTTGGACCTCCCTGAGTGGTTTGATGATGGCGTCTGGTTGGAACGAAAAGGTGAGCTCTCGGTGCTTTCAAGTTTCTCAAGCAAACTCCTGCCTCCTGGGGACTGATGATCGTGAATTGTTGGGGTGGTAGGCATTTTGCAGATCCCATGTTTTCCGGGCCCGGCGAATGGACAACAGGAGGAGGAGCCGACGTCATATGAGGCCGAAACGGATGCGTATGACGGGTGAGTCTCAACATATGAAGACTCTCTGTAGAACACCCGCATCACCCTCCAAATAACTCAACCCCTGTGCCTTGCTTCTTCGACAGCATGGACATTGACCATCACCCAGCAGACGAGGCATTTGCGCATGTGGAACGGGAGGAGAAGGACGACACTCCTGAGCCAACCTACCGTCACACCCCCGCGGTGTCGGCGGGAACGGTGGCGACTCATCCTGTTTTGTTGCTCTAACTCGTGTATATGAACACGGCATGGCGACAGGATCCTGTATGGCGTCGCACCATATCTCGTTTTACTTAAATTATTACTGTAGATATGTAGATTTTGTAATGTAGACTTGTTGATAGAGCTCCGTCCTCTGCCGCCATGTATTCGCACTGTCGGTATCTTTTGCTTGCGGCGAGCTTACACGTACGAGACGACAGTTTGAGAACAAGGTCGCGCGTGCAGCATGGGATCAAATCCTTTAGCAGCTTGTGCGTTCGGGGGCGAGAAAGTGGATTGCTTTCCGATTTCCCATCGGACTTTGTAGTTTCGAGCGTTCGGGATCTGGCGTGTTCTTCACATGGTCAGAATAAAGAACGACCCTTTGCAAAATATACGGAATGCAAACTCTGTCCAAGGGGAAGCATCGCTCAGAGTTATTCACATGGCTATGTAAGCGTTGTCTTCAAAAGACGGGCCGAAGCCACGACTTCATAGTGCAAGGATGGGTTTCATCATAGCGATGCTTCCACTTTGAACCTTCGATGGCGGACGCTGCAAAGGACGGCTACAAGCTTGATCCCGAACTCTGCTTCCATCGTGCGGTGCAAACAAGTGTGGCCATATCCCACAAAGATGAGCATGGCAGGTAGGAAGCAGTCGGAGAACTATCTTGCCTTCCGAACCTTTCTATGACCATAGTTTGTTTGAACAATCTCTAAGTGCTCTACGTCCTATGCTGAGACAATGTGCTTATTTGGAGCCAGACATGCCTCTGTTGTATGATGTGAGTCTAATATCGCTTTGCTGCTTGGCCTCGCAATGTCAACAACGTACCTTCAAAGCCGACCAGGTAATCAACCACCACCCCACTTTCCCTCAACTGCCTGGTCCCTTGACACTCCGCAATAAAGTTCTTCGGCTCTCCTACACCAACGACCACCCTGCCTATTCCCACCTCGAGCAACCGGCGCGCACATGGAAGGTTCCCAGACAATCGCTCCCCACAAGGCTCCATCGTTGTGTAGATCGTGGCACCCTTTGCTTTCTCAATGCTGTTCGTTTCAGAGAGTTTCAGTAAACAGCATTGCTCGGCGTGGGTGTTCCCTGGGAGTTCGCGTGAAAAGCCCGTGGAAAGGATCGTAGGATGGGCAGCACGGGATCCTGAAGGGCTGACGAGGACGGCGCCGACGCAGTAAGCGGAAGGGACAGGGATAGACTTTTGCGCCTCAAGGATGGCCAGCTGCATGAAATCGGCGTCGGTGGGATCATTTGCGGTGGTGCTGTTTTCGGGGGACATGGCGTCTGCGGCGGGGGGAGGACGGGATAAAACGGATGAAGGCGTATGCTGGCGAGGTTCAGTGGAGCGAGTATAAGGATCTTGTGATAGTGGGAGAAAAGCAGGTGTCGAAATGTCAAAAGAAACCACGGAAAGGTCCGAAAGGCCTCCGTCAGGCCTCGTGTCCACGACTCCACGGACAGAAGAGGAAGGGGCGAGAATCCTTTGCTCAATTGTGGAACGAATCCCCAATCGGCTCTGGTGGAGCAAGCGTCACCTCCTGTACCGTACACATACACACCATACACTGGGCAATACTCGGCGATATCTCCGCTGAACCCGGATTTCATAGCAGCTGGAAGGAAGTTTCTGCGTATTCTCAATTTGCCGGGCATCTTCGAGCCCTCATCTTGGACCCTAGCACGCGTCAGAAAATCAGTTCATCCAACGAACCGGGAAAGAGGAGGTGATGGCAGGCTCTCGCTTTCGTGCGGCCTGTCCGTTATCTGCCGCCGCCCTAGCGGTGGTTGATGATATGATAGCTTTTCCCGCTCCAGGAAGCCAAAAGGGTTCGTCAGCAATCTCACTGGTGCAGCTCGAGGGGGGCCTGGAGAGTGAAACGCAGCCTGGCCTTTGTACAGAGCAATCTAGGTTCCATTGCAAAGCAATTCAAGCATTGTGCTTTGGTTCGCGATCTGTACCTCGCCGAAGACTATTCTCCGCGTCGAGTGATGCCCTGTGTATGTGGCAGCTCACCGTTGACTTGGGGACAGTGGTGATAGAGTCCGAGGAGCTGATAAAAGAGGAAGTTGGACCTGTTGCATGGATCAGTGTCAATTCTGCAGATACCTGGATTGCGTGTGCGGTGAATGATGCGGTGCATGTCCTGCATGTCAAGACCGGACGATCGATTGTGTTACAAGGGCACCTCGGAAGGGTCAGTGGATGTGAATTCTTCACTCCGCTACCTGATGCGCCCGACCTGGCCGCTTGGCTCATATCTGTGTCGGATGACCGGACTTTCAAGAGTAAGACGAAGCTTGTTGCACTGTTTCAATTAGGATTCGCTAGCTCTTGCAGTGGCGAGCATTGAAACATTCATTAACGGGTTATTTTCGTTCAGGGTAGTCTGGGACATCCAGAATGCTTCATGTCTGTATCAATCGACGATTCTATCGCCTTCACTGCTGACGACAGTGGCTCTTAGCCCCGACCGATTCTGTCTGGGCTCGGAGGACGGCATACTTCGCTTTTTCGAATGGACGCCCCGCCGAGGAAATCCATGCGAACCAAGGTGCTTGAAAGTCGTGAATGCGGCGGATCACTTGAAACAAGCTATGCAGGCTAAAGTCACGAAAGCCGCCGAACAGGAGCCCGAGGTCACCTATGTGCATTCGCGACAACCGCGGCCACGCAACATCACGCCCATCACTGACGATGAAAATGATGCCGATGAAGTGGAGCAATCGGCAGCCATATTGGCGCTCAGCTACAGCGTGTTTTCGCCCAGCTGGAGGGACAGAGTGGACGGATCACAGAGAACGGATCTGCAGGCTCCTGGGCTAAAGAGCAATCGGCATCTCGTTGTGGGAGTTGCGAGCGGAATTATTGTGCTAGAAGCAGCGACCTACGAAAGACTGGCATTCGTTGCGTTTGATGGGGGTGACGCAGAGGTGGCTGGTGCCTACGCAATAGCGAAGGAAACTCCCCGACCTATGACTTGCCACATTGCCATTGGAAACCGCTTTTCGGGCAATGTACGGAGCTTGGACGTGGTTCTAGCCCCACCACAGGAGAGATCTGCCGCGCCACCAGCTTTCGACATACCTCAGTCTTTGCAGTCTGTGGTGAAGACCGCCGTAGCGGCCAACTTGAAGGGTGACTGGGGTAACAACGCTTACGCGGATTGCCTGACCAAGCTTGCGAAAGTTGGGATTCGATCACTGCATGATTTGGCAACTGCGGCTGAGCGCGGCAGCGACATTCTGTCGAGCGTACCAGCGTTTGTGCAAAGCGCATTGGAACAGGCTTCAGGAAGGAGCGCTGCCGCAACGTTGACCACTCTCACATCATTTTCGGCGCCGAAAGATGCGAACTTCGATGCGAAGTCGCCGTTGAAGCCGAAAACCCCGAAACCGCTAGGCCCACCAGCTACGCGGTCCGGCAGGTCAAGCGTTGCATCGAAGCGAGGCGCGCCCATTAAAGTAGCGACAGCACCACCCCCGCGAGATAAGCCGGTCACGTTCCACGACACTGTAAAGTCTTCGGGTTATCTCCGAGCTCCACAAAACACAATGTTCTCTCCACGCACGTCCTCCGCGACAACCAGGTGGGCCAAAGTAGGAAAGGCGAAGGTTCCAGCGCGGTTGCAACCCATCGCTCCACCGCCGGCGTACCACAACCGGGAAGCCAACATCAAAGCGATGAAACCTACACCAGCCGTCTATCACAATGCGTCCATCACGTGTATAAAGAGCAGTGCAAGTGGCAAATCAATTGCCTCGGCGTCCGCTGATCGCACCGTGCGGTATCACCGGGTTACTAGCCCCGCTGATTCCGTCAAGTCACTGATGGGCCATGATGCACCTGTGACGACCGTATCGTGGAGCGCTCTGAAGACTGGTCCGTTTGATCAGCTGTTGCTTACTTCAGCTATGGATGGGACAGTGAAGCTGTGGGCTGTGGGAGCATCCGAGCCGCTCCTAACGTTCCGAGAGATTGCAGGTAGCGGCAGCAAAGCGGTGGTGGGGAAATTGCCGGCGACGAGAATCACTACAGGTGGAAGCCACGGAACACCTGCACAAGCTACAACCCCAAAAACATTCATGCGCGACATTTCCACGGCACGCTTCTTCCACCAAGATCGCCTCATCGCCATTCCGTCCGGGCCTGCCCTACACCTGTACACATACGCGCTCGAGAAACCGCCCGCAGGGTCCGTACAGCCCAATCTCAACTACAACACATATCGCCTCGCTACTACCCTGACGGCATCAGCGCATAACGTCACTACCGTCGCCTGCATCAACTCCTTTCGCTCACATCTCGTCATCAGCGCCATGTCGGATAAGACTGTGCAGATATGGGACGTGGCGCAGTGTACGAGCGTCCGCACTGTCCCGCATGCACAGGAACGTGCGGTGCATTGTATTGCTTTGCCGGATTATAATGCCGGTGATGCAGGTGCAGCTGCGACGTATTTTACGGCGGCGGTTACGGACTCGATCAAGATGTGGGATTTGAGGGCCGAGAAGGCTGTCTTGCATTTGCATGGCCATGTGAATCGTCATGCGAAGGTAGCATGCTGTGTGTCGCCGTGTGGAAGGTATTTGGTGACTGGATCCGAGGTAATGGCCCACTCGCGCACACAACTTCGCTGTCGCTGCTTTGACTGACGTTTGCCCATCTCCAGGATAACCACGCGTATCTATACGATGTTAGACAAGGCCGTGTGTTGGACAGATTAGGCGGACACTCGGATGTGGCCTCTGCGGTTGACTTCAATCCAGTACAGCGAGTCATTACGACTGCCGGGTATGATGGGAAGGTTTGCTCCTTTACGTATTAGCCACTGCTAGAGCGGCATCCTGTTGGTGTACGACGTAATTTGAATTTCTCCACGCGTATGAGCATTGAGCATCATTGGCGGTCGTACGAAACAAGGAAGCTGTCGTGTTCTTATACATAATCTCTCACTTATGACGTTGCAATATACCTCAAATCTGAAGATGTGCTTTTCGCTTTCCCCTATCCCGTGGTCCCCAGGGTCACCGAACAGTTGCGAAGGCACGAAGCTTTGGCCATAGCTTTCCAACCAAATTTCCGCATGGGCTCGGGACACTGCGCGAGACCGGTGTCGCTCCAACTTGCACACGAAAATTTGAACGCGTGTGCCGTTGCCGTCCTTACATCGCCGTCCACTGACCACATCCGCAAAACTTTTCATCCGATATGACATCGTTAAAACACACCATGATATCGGCGCAATGGTGGTTTAGTGGCATAATTACCGCCTGCCACGCGGTAGACCCGAGTTCGATTCTCGGCCATTGCAAAGTATCGCTGGCGAGCATCCCGAGAGGTGCTATGTGTGAGGTGTCCGCTGTAGAGGTGACCGCATTTCTCTTTTGTTAAGATTTCCAAGATGTCCGTTTTTCTGTCTGGTTGACAGCTTACGTGACGTTTTCGACAGCGCGTCTCGACGCGGCGAAGGACTCCGACAACGAGAGTTTTTTGTTCGAGGCCGAAACGCTGAGACAACTGCTAGTGCGATCCCATAGGATCATCACTCAAACCTACGGACAACAGAGTTGCAAAATGGCGGCAACAGTAGCAGCCCCAGTGGTTGTTGTGGAGAATGATTTTCAGCCGCTTCAGTTGGAGAGTATCATTGGATTTAGTGGTAAGAAGACCTGTTGAGGAGTACCAATTAAGCGAGATGCAATGGCCCACACCCAGCCTTGCCTTCCCACCCGTAGGATCCGTTCCCGATGGCTACATCAAGCACCCGAACGGCATCCACACGATCTACTCCCTAGGCTCGACCGTAGTAGTGAACGAACCGCGCAAGCCCAACTCACAGGAATTTCTGCAAGGGCACACCAATGCCATCAGCTGCCTTGCCGTCAACAAAACCGGCACGCTGGTGGCCAGCGGACAGGTCACGCACATGGGGTTTCAGGCCGACATCATCATCTGGGACTTTGCAACGCGCCAGCCCGTGCATCGTTTCGCTCTGCACAAGGTCAAAGTGCAGGCGCTGGCGTTCTCACCCCGCTCGCTGTATTTGGCGTCTTTGGGCGGTGAGGACGACAATTCCATCATTGTGTGGGATTTGGTGAAGGGCGCGGCGATCTGTGGCTCGCCGGCGTCAAAGGACTCGACGGGCGCGACGCTGTGTCTCGCGTATCTCAACCGCGACGACACGTCCTTTGTAACGGGAGGCAATGGCACGTTGAGGGTGTGGGAACTAAACGCTGTTGCGAGAAAGGTGCGCCCAACAGATGTGGTGACGGGTCAAATCAAGCGGATTGTGAAGTGTGTGGTTATCGATAAACTGGATGAGTATATGTATTGCGGAACCACGACGGGCGATTTGTTGCAGTGCAAGATTAGCAACAAATTGTTCAAGTTAAGCGGGCCTCCGAAGGAAAAGGTACGGGTTGTGCCAGGATTGGTTTCTCACGAGGGAGGCTTTCTGAAATGGGATAACCGATTTCTAGGACCGCCTTGGAATGGGCATCGTATCTTTGGCGCTGGCACCAAAAGATCAAAGCATCATCGTAGGAAGCGGCGATGGCACCATCGCAGCATTCAAACTGCCCAACTTGAACATCGTCAAGTACGTCTGCACGACTGATGATTACTTTCTAGTGAACACTCCTTACCAGCGCCGATTTCTAACTTCTATATCGTAGGTCAGCGAAGCTAAGCGGGACCGTCACGTCCATAACGTTCGAGAACGACACCCGCTTCCACGCATCCACCGCTTTCTCAAACATATACGAGATCAACACGAACGAATTCACTCCACAGCTGAAGCTCGCTTGTCACTATGCGCCCATCAATGACATAACATATCCAGAGTACGTCCTGACTTTCGCATCCATACAATGGATCCATATTGATATTCGTATTTGCCCTCCAGACATTCTTCGGACGTCTTTGCCACAGCCTCCGACACAGACATCCGGATCTGGAACGCGCAAACGTCCGCAGAACTTCTGCGGATTGCGGTTCCCAACCTGGAATGCAAATGCATTGTATTCAAAAAGGACGGAACGTCGCTCATCACGGGTTGGAACGATGGAAAGATCCGTGCGTTTGGACCGCAGAGTGGGCGTTTGCAGTATGAGATCGGGGATGCGCATAAGGGATGCGTGACGGCTTTGGCGGTTACGGAGTGCTGGAATGAGGGTGGGGAGTTCAGGCTTATCAGTGGAGGGGCAGGTAAGGAGACAGGTTATTTGCACTTCGAGACGAGACGAGAGCTCAACGCCTTTCGTGACAATCAGACGGCCAAGTACGAGTGTGGCGCATCACGGCAACGCACCGACGGCTTGAGGAGGCCATGAAAGAGCACAAAGGCACAATTACGGCCATTAAGATCCGCAAAACAGACCTTGAATGTGTCTCCTCGTCGTCCGATGGGTCGTGTATCGTGTGGGATCTAATGCGATACGTGCGGAATCAGATCTTGTTTGCGCCGAGTTTCTTCAAAGCTGTGTCGTATTATCCGGATGAGAGTCAGTTGTTAACGAGCGGGACGGATCGAAAGGTGGCGTAAGAGCGGCTTTAACGACAGGCATCTCGTGAAAATGGATGCTGACCGAGGAACCATTGCTAGGTCGGGTACTGGGAAGCGTTCGACGGATCACTTATCCGGGAGCTAGAAGCATCACAATCTGACACTATCAACGGACTTGACATAACGGCTGATGGCAAATACTTTGTCATTGGAGGAAGCGACAAGCTCGTCAAGGTACGGTATATTGTCGATTGAGAGTTACTCCTTTTCAACACTAACATTGCAATTCAGGTTTATCTCTACGAGGAAGGCTCGATCGCATTCGTTGGCGTCGGCCATTCGACGGACATTACAAAGGTGAAAATCTCACCAGATCAGCGCAAGATCGTCACCGTCAGTGCGGACGGAGCCATATTTTCTTGGAAGTTCGGGGAGGGGATTACAGCGTGATTTGAGCCCCTCGTTGTGAATGCTTTGTTTTATAAATATACAGTTACATCTAGGAGCAATGAACGGTGGTCTGCAGACGCAAAAGTTCCTCAACAGTGAAGGACAACCGATACCGACGAATTCCAGCGCTAGCTCAGACGCATGGGGTCAGGAGATGGGCTTCTTCTTCCGGACTGATTTTCACGGCGTCCTGAACCTAGACAGTGCGCCGGCTGCAGTGCTTTGCGAACCTGTCCCACCGTACAGGGCGTCCTCATACTCAATGACCTCCTGTAGGAATCGTTCCGGTATTTGGAAGGTCGGCAGAAAGGCGAAGTTCGGAAGATCGACAAGAATCCATGTACAGTCTGCGGCCCCTCAGCACCGCCCGAAGAAGTCATATCGGCTCGCGGAGTATCGGCCGGTTGGTTCGGGCCCATCAGAAAGTGCCATTGCGCAACTGCCATTAGTGCATTGAAATGAGAAGATTCTTGATGGGGGCGTCCTCGTTCTCCAGATGATCGCCACGTCAGTGTGGTGGTACTTCCTGAACTCCTGGGATCCAGACGCATTGAAGAACTTCCACGGCTGGTAGCATGGAACAATGAGCATTGACGTGAAAACACTCACTACGGTCTTGGTGTCTACACACCAGTCATACTTCACAAAGGTCTGATGGGTGATTGGGGCAAAGCGTCAAACCAGTACGGGGGTCATGCACCCCTTTGAGCGACCGGGTAAAACTCCAGCGTCGCAATACAGGCTTGGAAGTCTTGAGCTGTGACGATGGACGTTAGAACTCAGAACCAGTAACACAGGGATACAAGTAACGTTGACGTGCGATCGCTTCGCCATCATTGGAGTGTGGGAAGATGTGGGCTGCCTGCAGAACCAGGGGTGAACTCCGTCTACAGACGACGCACCGACCTCCATCCCGGGTCCGTGTGTTTGCCACGAAAACGCTGCTTGGGGTTGAGAACGCCATGGGTCCCCTCAGCATCCGAATCAGCGTTCGAGTGTAAGGTTGGGGAGGGCCATCGTTGCTTGCCGACTTGAAAACTTGGAATTGTGAGCTCGAGTTGGAGAAGTTAAATCCTCCGGCACGTGATGCGCTTGCTCGAGTTTTTTCGGGGTCCGAAAGCCGTCGCGTTGCCCGCATTTTCCTTTCTTGGAACCACCTTCTAGGCTCATATATAAGGACTGGTTCTCGTCTTTCTCACTTATCGTCATGCTCGCCGCCCACTCAGAAGCGCCGCCGGCAGCCCCTTCTTTCTTGGGCAACTCACGCAGGCCTGATATAGGGGGCCGGCTGCGTCAGTCCGCTATGCCAGACGATGACTTTCCAGATCAATCGCGTGCCGCCATCTTCGCCGACGCGTGTAAGTTCAGGAGCATATATGGGCTGTCTCATATCTCTTGTCTTGGTATTGTTCCTCATGTCGCCCCTCTTTCTTTTCTACGGACTTATTTGTTACGGCCAGTTTCAACCGGCCGATTTTCGGACATTATGCTGATAGCACACAATCAAGTGTACCGCCTACATCGCGTCATTTTGATCCAGTCGCCTTTCTTCCGACGAATGTTGCTGGATCAGACCGGCAAAGAAGTGGTCGTTGTTGAAGGATCCATGGGAATCGAGATGGGTGGTGATTGGAGGGTGGCCAAAGAGGGGATGGACGTGAGTGTGAAATTGCGATGTGTTCGATCCCAAAAAGTTTGCTCTTTCGGCTAATTTCAGTTTGGAATTGATGCGCACGATAGCTCTCTCTTAGGGATCTATACATTCCTCCATCGTACCGCCCCAAGCACGTCACTTACCGAAATGCGCTCACCGTTTTGCCGGCGGCATGCTATCTCGAACTCAGCTCCCTATCGCATTTCTGCGTCGACGTGGTACTGAAGACCTTGTCGACAGAGACAGTGGTAGATTATGCATCCCAGCTCGAAAGGCTTCGACCCTCACCTCGTGGGATCACGTCTCCGTACGGGCCGAATCACCAGTATGCGAAGCTTTTCAGAGACTGCTACACGGAACTGTACGATGCGATTTTGTGCTTTATCTGTGGGGTGATCAACTCTGGATTGTCCTCGGAGGATGCAGTTGCGAGCGCGCAATGGGAGGGTGAGCAGGAAGTGGAACAGGACAAGAGATCTATCGCGGCTGAACAGCTTCTGGCAAAGCTTCCGCTGTGCTGGATTCGACGTGTGTTGGAAAGTGATTTGTTGAGTGTGCCCAACGAGTTTGAGCGATATGAACTCATCAAGAGGGTTGTGAAGATGCGGCGTGTGAAGACGACAATTGAGGAACGATCATTCAAGCGGGAGAATTCCTACGAGCCGCAGGATGAGATCGACGTTTCGGTTTGGAGCGAAGCGGAGACGGGCAGCATCGGGCAACGGGATATACCCGCCGCTGCACAAGCTGATGTGGTCACGCGGAACGCCCTCGCCGCCGAAAGCGTGTTCCGCTTGCGCAACTACGTTGGCAGGCTATTTGGGCGCGGGGCGCAAACAGCTGAGGCAGCTTCCCCAACCGGCAATCCGGCTCAAAGGAAACGCAAGCGATCCGGCAGCGATGTTGAGAACGATCACCCCTCTGCTGATGAAGATGAGTTTGTTGATGCACCGGAAGCGGCCGGGATATCCACTCCTCGTCCCGCGCGTTTCGTTCGACGTACCCCAGTTCTACGCAGCCCGGCCCGGACGCCCACCTCAAGTATGTCGCACAATCAATCATACAATACATCGACCATTGTGCACACTCACTACGGCTTGGGCACCCTTCCTTCTTCTGCGGGCGCGTCAGCTGAGGACACGGTCATGGCGGGCATCTTCCAAACCGCCGTAGTATATACCTATATGACCTTTCCCCAGCTGGAACTGGTCAAGCAAGACGGGATCGTGCCTGATGCCGTTGTGCTGGAGAGTTTTTGGCTGCAGGCTCAGTTGATGAATGGGGGAACGGGTGGTACGAGTGGATTGGGCGCCTCGATGCGACCCTTGGGTAGTATCGGGAATGGGTTCATGCAGCAGGGGCGGCGTGGTGGTCCCGTTGGGGCACCGCACAATGCAACGAATTTTGGAAAGTACCGATTCGCGATCGAGTTCAAGAACGTGCAGGAGTATTTCTTGGGACCAGCGCAACCAGGTCGATCTCGCCACGGCAAGGAGCCGAGTCTTTACCCCACCGTGGAGGAGGTGACTGAGGCCCGGAAAGCCAAAAGCGCCCGCAGTGCGACGGTCATGACCTCCGAGTCTGTCATTTGCGCTGGATTGCATTACAGAGTGCTGCTCAGCTTGTGCACAGAAGATGAGGTGGAGGAAGCTGGGATTGATGAAAATGAGGAATGCGATGCTTTGGATGATAGCCGCTCGTCGCCTGCGAAGCGAGGAGATGCACCCGCGACTTCGAAGAAGCAGGCACCACGGCTTATGCTTCGTGCGCTCCTCCAACGCAACAAAATCGTTGATAAACGCGCTCAAAAGCAGGCGGCAACGACAGACGAAAATGGAGCGGGCCCGTCCACTTCTTCGGGTGCGGCACCCCCCAACCTATCATCGAGCTCTACGACACCTGCTATCTCTTACCGCATCCATCTATTCAACCCTCGTGACTTCAACGTCGACCCGGCACCGCCTTCAACATCAGACATTTTGACAGCCGATATTACTGGTCCACCGGCCCGCGCCGGAACTGTGAACCCGCCGGCTGCGGGACCATCATCTTCTACGGCACCGAGCACGATGACGATTAACAAGCAATTCAACCGATGGCGGCGTTTCGGGAAGCCCGTCACGAAATGCGATTTTGATGGAGACGGATTTGTGAAGGGCGTGCCTCTGAGTGATGTTGTTGCGGGCGGCGGTACAGGCGACGCTGTTGAGCTGGCCGGAGCGGCTGTCGGCGGGAAGAACGCGGGCAGTAAGGATACTGTTGGTGGTGATCTGTGGGCGATTGTTGTCATTGAGTTCAAATGAGCGTCGTGGTGTGGATTGATGTAGACTGGCAGAGAGTGCGGGCCGGTGCCGAGTAGCGGAGGTCTTAGATTTATCATGTATGTATGTGTGCATGCGTGTAATGTGTAATAGATAGTGTGTTTTCGAGGCCTTTTCTTTGACAGCTTCGTTTTGCGAACCGATTGACGGGTGAGCCCAGAACCGACTTCGTGGTAGCAAACGCGACTCCCGTGCGCTGCCACATGCGCCACACTGCAAGCCACATTGCAATCGTCGAGCACTTGTACAAACTAGCTTGCCATTTGCAGTTTGTTCGGAGACAACCCGCATTGTGCACAGCATTCTCAGTGAATAGCACAAGATGGCCAAAAGGGTATGCAGAAGAGAGTCGCTTCGACGATAAATGATAGCATATTCGAAGCAAAGCGCTAACCGTCTGTCTGTTTGTAGAAAAAGAAGAGGACGCACGTCAAGCCCGACGAGGCAGCTATCGCCAAAGTCCCGAAATCCTTCGTCATCAAGGTCGGGCCGGTCGGGAGGAGTCTGGCGCACTTGGTGAAGGATGTCAGGAGGGCTATGGAACCGAACACGGCCATGAACCTGCGGGTAAGTCTGGTAGTATGAATTCTCAAACGAGAGTAGTGAAATGGTGACTTACGACCGTTGGGTTCTGCAGGAACGCAAAGGCAACAAACTCAAAGACTTCGTCGCCGTCGCCAGTCAACTCTCCGTCACGCACCTACTCCTCTTCTCACGCACGGCCGCCGGTGTAAATCTCCGAATTGGGAGGTTGCCACGCGGTCCCACCCTCACCTTCCGCGTAACGTCGTACGGTCTATCAACCGACGTGCTGGCGTTGCAGAACAGGCCGAAATCGCCGGGATTCGAGTTCAAGACGGCGCCGTTGGTGGTGCTGAATGGGTTTGGTGGGGACGACAAACATGTCAAGTTGATGGCGACTATGTTTCAGAATATGTTTCCGCCGATTCAAGTCCAGACGGTGAGTCGGGGAAATCGGCGATACATCATGTATCCCTCCTTGGGAACGAGTGAGCTCATCGAACTTTCTTCAAAAAAGATGAAACTCGCCGACGCCCGCCGCGTGATCCTCTTCAACCTCAACAAAGAAACCAACGAAGTCGAGTTCCGGCACTACACCATCAGCGTCAAAGTAACCGGCGTCAGCAAAAGCGTCAAAACCATTATCCAAACCGACGTTCCCGACCTCGGGCGCTACAACGACATCAGCGACTACATCCTCAAAGGCGCATTCGCATCCGAGAGCGATGTCGAGGATGCCGGTGAATCCACCGTCACGCTGTCGCAGAAGTATATTGGGAAGGGGAATAGGCAGGCGGAGCAACGCGCGATTCGGTTGGTGGAGATGGGACCGAGGATCCAGCTGTCGCTTTTGAAGATTCAGGCGGGGCTTTGTGAGGGAGAGGTTATTTATCACTCGATTGGTATGACACATCCCCGCATGTCTCACCGTCACTTCCCTTGGTCCAGCCGCTTATACATGTGTTCTGTTTTTAGTGCAAAAAACACCTGCACAGGTCAAGGAACAGGAATGCCGTCTCCAGAAAGCAAACGCTGAACGGGCCCGCCGGAGAGCTGAGCAGGAAAAGAACGTTGCAGCTAAGAAGCAGGCTGAGGGCGGTGATAATGACGATGATGCGGAGGAGGCGGAGGAAGAGGAAGACGACGATGATGATGCTATGGATGTCGACGAGGATGAAGGGGATGAGGAGTAGATACCGGCTGTAAAGACCTTTCTTCGTCCGCTTGCGAAGGACATACCCTGTCGCCTGCCAAACCGGAGATGGAGTCGGAGAACGGGGAAACCTGCTTCCCATCTTCGTAAAAACGACTTTCGAGGCGTCTTTGGGCAGTCCCGCCAAGCTCTCACTCGCGGCCATGAGTGAAGCCCCCCGCACAGTCGCATATCCCTCGTCGATGGAGTCCCCCGTCCTTGACACCTCACATCAATAAGCATAGTGTCAGAAAGAAAACATATGTAGCACCACCTCTTTTTGGGCAAGAAGCAAAATCACGAAAACCGTAGATAGTCCTATCTAGCAAATCCTATATATTTATCTTTTCGCAAGGAAATCTGCTCGCTGTTTCCGCCGTTGGTACATGAGAAACGGAGCAAGCAAAAAAGCGGAGGGAACGCGATTGATAAACGGGGATAGACTGAACCCTACGCCGTCCAATCCTGATTGTTTGCACGACGCCCGTGATGACTTGATAGTTCGGATGTCCTGCGTCCACCAAGATCGGGAGAGGGCCTAAACCGTATCAGCAGTGCATCCTCAGGCATCGTCTCAGCCACAAAGTTCGAAGGATACGCCGACCCAGCCTCATCGAGAAGGGAGTTCTGTGCCGGCGGGCTCCGGCGGCGACTGTCGCAAACGGAACATGCATACAAGCTCTCACAACTCCGCCAACTGCCTCGCATCATCATCCGTATAACCCAGCAGGTACAACACGTTCCGCAAACTGGTTTGGTTGATTCGCGCTCGCGCCTGCGCCACGAAGAAAGACAGAAAAACCCGGTATCAGTATTCAGTGTGCGTGAAAATACGCTACTGATGATCAAACCACAACGCACCTCCTTTTGCACTTTCGGTTTAGCGTTGAACGCGATCCCCAGCCCAGCGGCGGCGAGCATCCAGAGGTCGTTTGCTCCGTCACCTACTGCGATGACCTACACATTCAAAGAAGAGGTGTCAGAACGAACTCAAGCGTCAGCAAAAGCATTGCTGCTACATGGTGCATCACCTGCTCAGGTCCAATAGACTCTGCTTGGGCGATGACATCCAACAGCTCGGCTTTCCGCATCCCGTCGACGATGGGGCCGTGGGTTTCGCCGGTCAGTGTCTGGCCGTCTGGTGAGACTTTCAGCTGATGAGGGGCGGAGAGGAAGAGATGAGCAAGGCTGTCATCCGAGAGACGGTTAGAGATCCACCAACCTGATTCGCAAAAGCATAATCCAAGCCCAACTGATTCTTCACATGCAGCGCCAACGGCATGAACCCTCCCGAAATGACCGCAAGCTTGAATCCCAGTTTCTTCAAAGCTTTACACAGGAAATGCGCACCCTCAGTGAACGTCAACTGCGCCTTAACAGTCTGCAGAGCTGAGACGGGCGTCCCCTTCAACAACCGCACGCGACGACGCAGGGATTCCTTGAAATCGATCTCGCCGTTCATCGCCTGCTCGGTGATCTTCGCGACTTCCTCGACCACACCGGCGTGTTTGGCGATCTCGTCGATGACTTCCTGCTGGATGAGTGTAGAGTCCATGTCAAAGATGACGAGACGTTTGTGGCTTCTGTACACGTCGTTGAGCTGGATAGCGACGTCGGTGCCGTGTTCCATACTCAGTTGGAACAGTTGGCCACGGAAGCGGTCGAAATCGACTTCGGGAGGCACGCTGAGGCGGTACTCGACGGAGCAGAGTTGCGAGCGGGCGGCGGATAAGCGGGTCATTTTTTCGACGGAGATGCGCTCGTCGAGAAGGAGACGCGTCCATGCATGCAGGAATGTGCAGGAGAGCCCGTTTTGGTTGAGAACGGTGGCGGTGTACTTGATGCGGTCTTTGTAGGGGGCGTCTTCGAGTGAGCTTTCGACTGGGTCGCCTTTGTTTGCGTCTTGGACGTCAAAGAAAAGGGTTGCGTCCCATTTGCGTGCGGACTCTGCAAGATCCTTGAAGAGGTTTACGCTCTCCGACCGCAAACGGATCAAACAGCCGAATGTGACGTTATGGTATAATCGAGAAAGCACAAAGTCTTCCATCTCGCAGTTGTTCGTGGCCAGGTTCTCCAGCACCGCGTCTATGATGTCCGTTCCATGCGGTCCGGCCATCGTCACCAGCAGCTTCTGTTGAGGCAGTAATGAGGATGGTGGGAAGTAGCCGTCCTTTTGTGTTGCTGTAGGCTTGGGTCCTGGAATCGACAACCCTTGGCGTGTAAGAACAGGGCTGGCGGGCGGCGATGAAGTGTGCGTTCCACCGGCCGCTACGCCGCTCAACTGGTCAATCAGCTGCTGTTTCAGTTTCGACAAAGTCTCTGATCGGTAAAACGATTTTGTGGACATCGATCTGATGTATTGCTCGGCCAGATGGAACCCAGAATGTCTGTCGTTCTTCTTCAGGATCTTTGTTATCCCAGTGTAGTTGAGGAAGACAAATTTCTCAAGCCTGACGACATCCTGCAGCTGCTGACTCAACCGAGCCATGTCCGCCTTCTGGCGCAGTACATCCAATGCAGCGCCATTTGACTTTGCTGTTCCTTCGAACTGCCCTGTAAGCGCCTTTGCCTCGCTTTCGTAGAAATCGGCGAACTTGTTCACCTCCTTGTCCAACAGACGAAGGAACTGCGCTACAATGGGTTGCAATTGCGCTGCCCTGGTCTCGAACAGGCCTGCAAAGTCTGTTATGGGGGCAGGCCCAGACGAGGCGGTTGAGAGGGTGTTCAGACTACGTGGCTTTACTTTCTCTTTGATGAAAGTCTTCAGAACAACGTAGTCGACGCAGTGCTTGGACCAGTCCGGTGAGAGGCTCGAACGGCGTTCCGTCAAGTATCTGTGAAAAGATGAGTGAGTAGGGCTGGGCGATGGGTAGCCCAAGCGGGCTCCGTTCTCACAGCACTCACTTTCCGAACTTCATGGCGGTGCGTTCGAGGACTGACCAAGCTCGGAGGACTACGATGGAAACGGAGAGTCCTGGACTGCCTGTATTTTGGAATGAGTGACAACAGGGAGCTTGCGGAGTCTTGGGGAGCTATTTGTTGGGTGGATGTCGGGTGTGTGCTGAGGGTGGAGATTTGGGCAAGTTTGGGTGCCCAAATCGTCAGTCTGCGATCTCAGAACGTGCGCGCGCGAAATAGAGTACAGTAGCTTCCCGATGCTGTCCTGATTGATGAGAGTCCTCGGGCGAAAAGCGCGTCCTCTCAGACCCTCTCAGACTTTCTCGCAGCCTTCCTCCACAAATCTTCACTAGGAACAGCCTCCCGTCATGGCCAGTTCCCCCCTGTCTCTAACTCCACACGATATCAAGCGTTTGGAGGAAGACCCGGTCTTGCTTCGCTACCGCACCGGCGGTGGTCTGGCACGTCTCTTAGTGAGTGAAACAAGTTCTTTAGACAAAGGCCGAAAACTTACTTCTTTCTCATATGGACGCTGTCTCCTCTGATACAAGACCCCAGAAAAAGTTCATCAACTGCGGGTTATCGACGTAAGCAGAATTTCCGACTTGAACTCCTGGAAACGCTTTTCAATTCTCCTCACGCGTGCCTTGTACCAATTTTTTCCTCCAAAAGCTCACAGCTATCATTAAGTTCTTTCGCGATGAGAAGCATCAGCAAATCGATATGCTAGGGAAAAAAAGTCAACTTGTCGCAACCGTCAAAAGGGCATTATGGCCATGGAACAACCTCTCGCTTTCCCAGGCTCCACCTCCTCCACCTCCTCGTCCGACCCAACCGATGGGAGCCAGAGGGCGAGCCCCCATACCCGCAGAGCTGGAGAACCTATGGTAACACTCGGAATCTGCGCATTTCAAGTGAGGCATCCTTAGGGACGAGTGTTAACCCAACGGTTGATACATCTCAGGACGAAACTCCCTTCCGCACATCATTTGAACTACGAGCTCATCAACCCCTGCGCTTCGCAATGGGTGTCGTTTCCAAAGGGACCGTCAGGACGAGCGCTGAGGACTACTCTCTCGCGAGACGTCATGTCGCCGACCTCGATAGCAGAAGACGCTATACGCTTTCACTTGTATCTGTACGATCACAGCCGTTTCCAATTCCTCACTGGACGGCATTGGAAGGAAGGGTACTCCGCATCTATCCTTGGTGCTCCAGTTACGGTGGTGAGCTGGCATTCCCGGTATTGCAACGCTCCTTGATGAGCCCTCCTGATTCGCATGCTCCTTCTAGGAAAGGTACAATCAGCTGCAACCGTTCCTGGACGTAACCCATATCAAAGATCCGATATTCACACAGCAAACGCAGACGGGCGTGGTCCACGTTACCACCACATTTCCCCACTATTTCCAGTCAGGCCTCTTGGCGGTCGTATGCTTTCGACGGCTGCCAATGGAGCAGGTAAGATCAAGTCGTCAGAAGCCCTTCATCACATTGATCTGCACTCGCTAACATCTACATTCAGACATTATGTAAAGTGTTCGCACAAACATTACGGCATCACAACATCAAGGATCTCCCAGAACTCGCCACAACATCGCACGGACACGAGGCAGCAGGTTATTCGACATTCAAGAAGCTGGCTCTCACGTCTCTAGAAAGGGCAAAACAGCTTTTTCAGGAGCACGTAGCTAGCAAACCTGAATACGTGGGCTTCAAAGGCCCGGCGGCCCAGGACGACGATATTGAGATGGGCAACCAGGTTCTATCGTTTCAGGATCCGCTAACGCTTGCGCGTATAAATCTTCCGTGCAAGGGTCGGACGTGTAATCATGCGCAATGCTTCGATTGCGAGGTGCGCTGGTTTGGAGGTTTTTCAGCATCGGCGTTTCTCTTCCCGGCTCCTAACCTATATATACACCTGTAGGCTTTCATCTCGATGAACCAAGGCGCGATCAAGTGGAAATGCCCAATATGTTCGAAACCAGTGGAAGGAAAGGTAAGCCGTTCTCTCCACGCACAATATCGCCAACCACAGTCCATCTCACACCCGACATCTCAATCATCCAGGACCTCCTCATCGACCCCACATTCACAAACACCCTCACAAACTACCCCGACGCCGACCGCTGCATCATCCTCCCCAACGGCCTAACCGCGCCCTTTGAAACTTCACCAGCGCCCCGCACCGTTACCGCGATCATACAATCACCATCACAATCGGCGATACCCAACCCAGCCTCGACGAAACACCTTCTGGCGGAAGTCATCGATGTAGATGATGTGGAGGTAGACCTCCCACCGGCCAAACAAGCAAGGATTGGCTCTCCGAAAACGAAAAAGAATAAGAGTGCGGCGGCGGTTGCGGCACAGGTGCGGCAGCCGATATTGCCGGCTTGGAGTGGGAGCTTTATTGCTATCGATTGATTGAGCGACCGGCTGGATTCCGTCGTTCGGCGATAGTGCTCCGCAATTTTTTTTTGGCGAATATATCTTAACAGAACAACAGTATTGGCGTATACCCCTTATTCTCAATCCCGTGCTTGTACTGTATGTTGTGCTTCTTGTGTTTACAAGCTCTCGTCGTCTTCGTTCGCGCCTTTGAAATAGATACTCATCATTGCCTGTCCAGAAGTGTGAACTGGCAGGTCGCAAAAGTGCAAGGCTCAGTGCGCACATACGTTCGCGCAGTCGCGTCGCGAGGCAGGAAACAAGTCCGCCGGCGCTTTTTCCACAGCTCCTTTTTCTTGCCCGTTCCCTGCCATCAAAACAACAAACCATAACCAGCAATCCTGAGAATATTGGGCATCACTAAACAGGGTATGGGGAATCGCGTGAGCTACTTTATTTGACTTGACAATCAGTAAAGTGTGGACTTTTATCATTAGAAGTGCTGGAAGCGAAATCCTTCAAACACACGTTCAATCAGTAGAAGTTTTTCCCATCCGTGTTCTGGAAGGTCTATCCGCTGTGGCTCACTCCAATAGGTATGCTTGGTACGTTGTGAAAGTTTCAGGTGGGGGAGCCTCAAACTGATTGGTGGAGCGTTGATTTTATTCTATGCAGCACTTAGGGCTTCAAATTGGACCAATGCGCTTCCCCTGCACATTCTAACTAAATTCTGAATCACCCGATCGATGCAGAGAGCTTAGGGGAACCATCCCATATTCACGGATTTCAAATCGCGCAAAAACTGAGGGACTTTCCCTAGTTAGACGTCGCCGAAACGCGCTTTTTTAACGTTGGTAGGTCTATGCTTTGGCGGGTTCTGCGGCATGCAATACAAACACTATCTAAAATCTGAATCGACAGATCTACGCGGCGGGGGTGTAAGAACCATTCCGTATCCACAGATCTCAAATCGCGCAAAAACTGAGGGACTTTTCATTGTCGCCCGTCTTTGCAAAAAACCGTTTTTCGTCGCCCAGGTAGACATGACCTTCTGTGGGGCCCGGTGCAGTCAATACACACGCGATCTCACATCTGACCCAACAGATCAACGCAGTGGGCTCCAGAGAACCACTCCATATTCACGGATTCCAAATCGCTCAAAAACTGAGGGACTTTTTCTTGTCGCCCGTCTTTGCAAAAAACGCTTTTTTCATCGCCGAGGTATGTCCCTGAGACTATTTGCTGATGGATGCAAGCCGCTAACGTCTGAACGTCCTCCTAGTGCCATTTCGGTCCTCACTGACATCGAGGTTGACAGGGGGAGAGGCCGCAGCGGTCATTGCTTTACAGGTTACGGTCAACTCGACAACCGACGACGGCGCAAGAGGCATCCAACACCGTGAGGTGTCCCGACGTGGCTTTGTACACCACGCTTGGGAGTCCTGGCGCGCAACGAGTACGCTTTCATGCTGAGGGAAATCTTCACGGTCTCACGCACTCCCTAAGTTGCATCGCAAGGAGGGGGTCAGCCCTGCGTGAAAACTGTGTGAAGACCTGATGCTGAGGCCTGGAGTATAGGTGATCTCTCTCTCTTGCTTTGTTTGTTTGTTGATCAAGCCAAGTGTGCCTTCCCGTGTGGCCCTGGAATCTGCGTTGCTCTTCCTGTGGATGCTGCATGCACCGCGGCGGGATGGCCGCACTTGGAGCAAAGGGCCTATGCCGCAACTGCCCCAAAATCACCGGAGGTCATGAAGGTCATCATTAACCACCGTAACACCACCGTACAGGAATGGAGCCGTACTGGGACCCCTGGGGATTTGATGATGACGATGCGCAGGTTTCCTTAGATTAGTGTTTTCTTTTGTTTTTGTTGTAATAATAAAAAAAGTAATGAGACAGTTTTGAAGAGCGGCCTCCTGCGCACATTATGTACTAGAATGGTTGGGGGTCCATGTCCATATTCACAGAACCAGTGGGGTTCAAAGAGGGGGGATGGTAGTTAAGCAGCTGCCTGGCGACGGTGGCGATGGTCGGCGACCCGACTGCGCAAACGTATGTGCGCACTGAGGTGCAAGGAGGAAAACGGTTTTCGGACACAGGCGCGCGGTCGGGCTCGGTTTTTTCTCGCTTAAGATTCTCACTTTGCTCAAGGTTGCGGCGTCCCACACAATCCATTGACTCCTAGACAGGGCTGTTCCCGCCGAAGCATCTCGTCAGGGTCCACCCAAATCTCCGGACTCGGCAGCCAACGCAAAACCGACAAAGGAAGACGCGCTCATCACAAGCTCAGACGCTGGCTCAGACTGCTCAGACGCTTGCACCACATTTTCCCGGACCCGCTCTCACAACGATGGTCCGCACAACCCCAAGCAAGGGAAAGGGCTCCAGTTCAGGCACCAACCTCGCCAAACGCACAGGCGGCCCTCCAGGGAAACAGACTGCCCGGAAATCCATCGGTGGACGGAGTAAGTGCCTTCCTATCCAGGGTTAGATCATCGTCTAGACGCGTCCCCTCATAATCCCCTCCTCCCCTCCTCCAACGCAGCCCCCGCAAAAACAACCAAAGCAACCCCCCACAAACCCCACCGCTACCGCCCGGGGACCGTCGCCCTTCGCGAGATCCGCAAGTACCAAAAATCGACCGAACTCCTGCTCCGCAAGCTCCCCTTCTCGCGGCTGGTGAGGGAAGTCGCGGCGGATTTGGCGAGCTTGGAGTTTGGCGGGGACGGGCAGCCGCCGAGATGGCAGGCGCAGGCGATCATGGCGTTGCAGGAGGCGAGTGAGGCGTTTTTGGTGCATTTGTTTGAGGATACGTGAGTTTGACCTTCTTTGTGCTTTTTTGTATGGGTTTTCGAGGAAGTGATTGGGGTTACTGAGCGTCTCTCCTTTTTTTTTGGTGTGGGTTTGGCACTATGATAGGAACTTGTGTGCGATTCACGCTAAACGGGTGACCATCATGCAGCGCGATATTCAGCTGGCTCGTCGTATCCGTGGGCCTTGGGGGGGTCTCGGGTAAACCTTCAACATTTCCGGGCTTCTGCGGATTGAGACGGAACTTATGGGAATGTTGACGCGGGAGAAGGAGGTCGGGATATCATTTTCTGGAGTGGACAGGGGGACGATTCTCAGAGTCAGGGAAATTCCTGTGGATGATAGATTGAGGGAATGGAGAAGGGGTTATTCGGGCGTGTGTTTCCGCACGAAAGGCGCAAATTTAGGGAACAGCTTGCACGTACTGCTAGAACGGAGGAGGAAGGCGGGAGACCATTGTGGTTATCGTCAAATTAAGAAGTCAATCGAAGCGAATGCAAAATCCACAAACAAACGCGGCACGTAAAGTGAAATTGTGCTTTTCAACGAATGTCTTATCAACGAATAAGCCAGTTGCGCAACATCTGTATGTGGGGTATGATAATACAAAAACGTCAAGGCACAACCGCCTCAGCAACAGCGCCTTCCCCCGGCTGTCTGATAATCCCCTTCATAAAGCTGAAAAACCGGACACCATATTCAGCGGGCGGGACAGCCGAGATGCCGTGCGCGTCCTGCGAGAAGGATTTCCAAAGATGCTCGATGGATTTGACAATGTCGTACGTGGTGAAGATGTCGATGGTGCCGAGGTAGTAGAGTTTGTCAAGGGGTTGGTCGTGGTCGTCTGAGGCTTGGTAGCCGCCGTCGTCGGAGTAGAAGATGCATGTGGCGCGTCTGATTGCAAAAGTAAGAGAGGTTGCGCTCAGTAAGATTGTAACCGATCTTAACAGACAGTCCGGCCCCGACGGACTTGGTCCACTCACTCTGGTTGTTCGTTCACATCCGTCACATCCGTCACTTCCGGTGAGTCAACCAAGTCCGTCGGGGCAGGAAGCACCTGCCGACCAGCAGCAGCAGCAGCGTGTACCCCATTCGCCACCGGGGTCGTCATCGAGACCGTGGGGTCATTTCGGGGATTGCGGGACGAAGTCGTAGAATGCACGCCCATGGATAGTCGGTGTGACGAGTGGGGTATGCTTGTTGCCGACGTGTTGCGCTCGTCTGGGGGTATTGTGACGGAGCCGGCGCCGGGGCGAGACATCATGAGGGAGGCGACCGTCACTTGCCTTGAGAGGGAGGCGTCGGGGTTGGGTTCGTATACTGCGAGGGTTTTGTCCCGAATGTTTTCGGTATTGCCACGTTTCATATCATGTATGCCAATCAGCAGTGAATAGTCCATAATTTTGTGTCGGGCAAGAAACTGAAGCAATAACAAAGGCATGATTCGTTAGGGACCAACAGCAGCCCGAGACCGTTATTTTTTTTTTATTTTTTTTTTACCTTCATATCTTTCTCCAACTGCTCAATAAAAATCTTCGCCTTCGTCGGCCCCAGCTCCAGTTTCCGCTTCCGATTCAGCCAATTGATATCCTTCAGCACCGCCCTGGGGTCATCTTTCGCCAGTTCTTCCGGGAACTCGCGTCCCACTCTGGATCCTTTTAAATCATACATTTCGTGGATGTCCTTGTTAGGGGGGAATACATTGAGCATGACAACAAAGTGCAGCTTGCGGTTGCCCTTCAGTTTCACGCGGTGGAGACCGAGAATGCGGCAGAGGGTCGTGTCGGGATTCGTGCGGCAATGTTCATAGTACCAATGTATGAAACCCATGAAAGCCTTCTTCTCTGCTCTTTTGATCGTCTTGATGATATACCGATAGTCGGAAGAGTAGTAAAAGAAACTCCCACTCTTCCCTGGACTACCCAACTCTGAGAGAACGTACTTCCCAGTCAAGGAAAGCTGGAAAACGTGTTATCAGCAAGAATCCCTGCATTCCAGCTTGAGCAGGGAAGGCATACCAGGTACTCCGCCGGATCGATGTTGAAGGCGTCACGCACGCAGCGGAACACCCATGGAGCATAATCTTTGAACTTGAAGTCGTAGCGAGATGATGGGGTCAGCTCGGTCCCAGCAATGTCAAATGTCATCTTATGGCTTGCTATGAAGTCTTCTTTAACCAGAACGCGTGATGGCTTGGCTTGACATCGTGATACCTGGGTAAATGGAGTGGATGGGTTACTAAGATGAAGAATTGTTATCCGAAAGGCGGAAGACAATCTGCTCACCGAAACGCGGATGCCCATTAACATGTCGTACATCAAAACAAAATTCTGATGCCCCTCCTTCACCGGCGTCCCCACCAAAACCTCCTTCTCCGACTTTTGACGCGTCAAACGCCGTACAAACTTGTGATCTCCCTTTTCTTTGTCCGTCAAGTCCGTCTCGATCCCTGAACTCTGTTTCTTATGTGACGATGTCATCCGCCTTCGCGGCGATGATGACCCAATTTCGCTCAATGGAATCAGATGTTTGGAGGTGCTCAGAGCTTCTTGACGCGGTGAACCGACAGAATGAGAGGTGCCTTTCATGGAGGGTTTCATCTGCTGCTGATTACTGACAGTCGGACCTGAAAAGCTGTTGGGTCGCTTCCGTGGGTCCGATGGCAAGCGGGAGTGATCTTGCGGCAGCCGTTGTAGCTCAGCAACAGCTGCATCTGCTTCTGACAGCTGAGAAAGCTCGACTTTCGATTGGCTCGACGGGAAAGGGTTGGTAGCGGAACGTTTTCTGCTGTGTTCCGCTTGAAGCGGGACGGCGGACGCGGATGTGGCCGGTGCCGTCTTGGCGGTATCTGCCATATTTTCCACAATATCGCCGTTGCTGCCACCCACCGCTTCATCAACATCAAGAGATATGGACCTTAGTGGCAGTGCCTTAAACGATACGCGAAGAGTCGAGCTGCCCAAGGGGTCCGCGACCTGCTGTTCATGATGAGCATGGCCTGTTCCCATAGGCAACGGCTCCACCCGATTTGAGTGAGACAGTTTGGATAGTATGCGCGTGAGTAATTGGGTTGGGTCGACTATCGTTCAAGTATAGATCCTGTTCTCCGACGCGATTTAATCGCCTGTCGTTCTGCAAGCAGCCCGTCGTGTGCTGCGTCGTGTGTAGGAAAGGGGGTGCAGGTTGTCTGTCGACGAATTCGTGTTTAACGTCGAGGAGGTTATCGAATTCGAGGAAGAAATCCCAAAGTGCGCGAGGTCCGCGGTCCGTAAGGGCTCGCCGCATCTCCGACTCTTCTTCACCGCCCTCTTCGCCGTTCCCTTCGCTCCCTTCTTACTTCCCCCACCATTTTTGAAGACCATTTCACAGACATCTTGATTCGACGCATCCATTATCGGGGTGTCCACCACAGCATTCCCGGACCAGACGGACGGCTCCGGAGGGGAGATTTCCTAGACTTTCCCACTCACATTACAATTGTCGTCCAGCCACGTTCCGTTCCCCTCAACGAAGCCTTCCAGGATGTCAACTGACTTCGACGGCGACTTTGACGATGAAGCAAATACCCCCGACTTGGATTTTGAGTTCGAACGAGACTTGGACTTTGACGACCTGCTAGAAGATGACATCAATGAGCTCCTGCCGCCGGGAGATCGTGTACATACGTCAGGGCGTCAAAAGCCTTCAATGAGTTTCGACTTGGGGCCGCACAACCAGTTTCTTATTCCACTCTCCTCCACCATCTCAAAGTCGGAAACCGATTTACCAAAGCATATCTCCTTCTGGTCCAGCCTGTCGCTTATCGTCGGGATGAGCATTGGCAGCGGAATTTTCGCGTCACCGGGAGTGGTGTTTGAACACAGTGGGTCTGTGGGTTCTGCCCTTCTGGTGTGGGTGGTGGGAGGCGTGCTAGCCATCGCGGGAGGCCTGTGCTACGCTGAGCTCGGAACAAGTATGCCGTCCAGTGGCGCTGAACATCCTTACTTGCTGCGTGCGTTTGGGTCGCTGCCTGCGTTCTTGTTCGGATTTTCCGGGGTAACGGTGACACGGCCAGGATCAGTCGCCATCATCACCATCATCTGCGCTGAATATATCGTGCGCTTGCTCATGTACGCCAATCCGACAGAAGCCCCACCGGCATACCTGATCAAGCTGATTGCACTTGTATCCTTGATTGCACTGACGCTGTTAAACTGCATTTCAACGAAACTCGGAACACTGGTTCAGGATGTATTTACCGTACTCAAAGTGGCTTCGCTGGCCATCATTGGGGCGATTGGCATCGTAAAGCTCCTGCAATCCGGAGCCTTTACCAGCACAATAGCAGAAGGGCGGGAGGCTAAGCCGATATTTGAAGGAAGCTCGTCAAATCCAGGAGATTATGCGCTGGCATTGTATTCTGCGTTATGGGCCTATGACGGATGGTTCGTCTTATCACTTTGAGATGAAATACGCTTCACAGGTCAATGACGACCAACCATCTCAGATAACGTCTCGATGGTTGTACAGGAACAATCTGAACCTAGTTACAGGGGAACTGCAGGTAATAAAGGCCGGCTGAAACCAGGCGGTCTTTGGTAACGTACGTCGTACTTATCGCCCCGTTCGCTAGAACCCATCTCGGGACCTTCCCAGGGCTGTCATACTGGGACCGTCGATTGTGATCGTAGCGTACGTGCTCGCCAACATGGCTTACTTCACGGTCTTGCCGGCCACGGTGAGACTCCATTTCCGAGCCGTTTTCACACACTCTAGCCAGTGCTGACCCTCATGATACACCTCCTCTAAATTACAGGTGATCACAACCTCCAACACCATAGGAATGGCAAGTGGCCTTTCCATTCGGTTCTGGCCTGAAGCCAATGAACATGGCCTAATCTCTTAGTCCCAACGTCACAGAGCTTCGGCAAGTTCGTATTCGGCCACGTCGGCGCCATCATCATTCCCCTAGTGGTAATAGGCTCCACCATAGGCGCCAGCAACGCCTCCATATTCAGCGGCTCACGCGTCGCCTACGTCTCTGCCCGCGCCGCCCACCTCCCCAAATTTCTTGGCAAAATTCACCCACGGTTCCGCACCCCCTTCAACGCCCTTATCTTCCAATCCGCCTTCTCCGCCGCCCTCATCCTCTTCGGCGACTTCCGCTCCCTCGTTAATTTCTATTCGATGGTCGCGTGGTTCTTTTACTTGCTAGCCGTGCTGGCGCTGCTGAAGCTGAGGAGAACGGAGCCGCATATGGAGCGGCCGTATCGAGTGTGGACCCCGGTGGCGGTGGCGTTCTTGGTCTCGGTGGTGTTTTTGATTACGTTGAGTGTGGCGGAGGCACCGGGGGCGGCTGTGAGCGCGCTGCTGTTTCTAGGGAGCGGCGTGCCGGTGTGGTATGTTGTTGTGTATAAGAAACTGGGGTGGGAAGGTAAGCTAGACGGTCTCCATCTTCGTCGTAATTGCCCTGGGCCATCCTCACTGAGATTTACGTACTTAGGGATAGCAGAACGAATTTCAACGCCATGCGGAATTCTGCTGCATAAAGCATCGACGTTCTTGCCAACGTCACTGGCGCCGCGAAAGTGGACGTTTGGAGGATACCGGCGGCAGGCCTCGCAGGAGGACGGGATGGAGATGGAGGAGACCTGACGCTTCGCTCGCACGTAACTCATACCGGAGCAATGGACGTAAGACACATCCATGCTACGGGATGTGTCTCGCAACGTTGCGATTTACCTGTCCCTCTTTTCTGTCAATTGTACATAGTATCTCAATGGCATCGGAACTGTACCCGATAGCCCTCTCATCTCACATAACGTTCTGTTTCGGGCTTCGTGTCAACATTTGCATGGCTTTCCATTGAGTGATCGGAATCCTAATTCATATTCTGCATACGCATCATGTCTTCGTTCAGATGCTGGCTCGCTCTTCATTGGAAAAAAAGTCGGATGAGATGCTATTGCACCAGAAAATGAAAGAAAGTGAAGGCTATGGCGCAGAGGTGCATTCGGATCTCCCAGTCGACATGACCGACATCATCTACCGTGGCCTCTTGAAGCCCTCCCCGGGTTTCGCTCTCCACAACTCCGTCGATCCCGCGAGCGTCGTCGGCGCAGCTTTTGACGGACTTCCTGGTCGCAGCCCAAACATGCCTGCGGGCGGTATCCTCCTCCGCTGCATCTCCGGGGATATATTGCTCTGGCCGGACATTCCAGATCCAGATAGATCAGGTGCAGAAGCGGAGAGGTTTGTACTCGAATAGCCGTGTGAGAGTGACATTGGAGTTCTTGTTTTGGAGTCGATGACGCCGTCGAGGAAGGAATCAATGCGTTCGGTGACAGGATTGAGTGCTAGTGGTTGGAATGTGGACTACATACGTCCTGCCATGAGTGACTGACGCGTAGACCCACACTGATTCGGCAGCAAGGGCATACCAGGTTGATGCAGTCCCCTCCATATTCATCCGCAATACTCGTCCGCCGTCTTTGTAAGGTGTCGGTGATCAGATCCGTCTTTGTCCCCACCACCAAAATCGGCAGCATCGGTCTTGACTCTCCTACACGCACATCGACGTCGAAATCTGAGAGGATTCCATGAGTGCGCCGTAAAAATACGGCCCCCAAATCCAAAAATCTACCACCCCTCACCATTCTTATACATTGAGTCCCGTATGGTAGGCAGTGGCGACATAGTCCCAGATTTGAACGTGGCCGCGTTGAACACCTCCGCTATCCATCTCCATAGATTCTGGTATGATTTCTTGTTGGTTGCGTCGTGGACGAGGATGACGCCGTTTGCGTTGGGGTAGAAGATGGAACGGGAGTTGCGTTGTTTGGAGGAGCCGCCGATGTCGAGGAATTCGACGAAGTAGTTGCGGTTTGTTCGGGTGTAGCGATGTATCTGGATGAGACGGCTTCGGTGAGTATTGCCCTCGTCTGCGGGAACCCCAAAGATGCAGTGTCCCACCTTGACGTCTACACTACACCCTACGGTATGCACCGGCGTCCGCAGTGGCTCGCCTTGACACAGTGCGTGTACGAGACTGGTTTTGCCTACACCTGGAAGATGGGCAATAGCAATTTGGGTCAGAAAACAGCCCTACTTGTTCTATGAACTTTGGGGCTTGACTCAAAACGTACCGACCAGCATCCCCGACCACTAATATCCTGATCTTGTCCGTTGGGTCGAACGTCGTTGTCAAACCGTGTTCGTTCATTGAGCCCCTTGACATGTTGGAGAGTTTTGCTGAACGGAATGCCTGGGTCGGAATGAGCGAGAAGTCCCACAGTCGCGAAGCCTTTGACGTGCCCTTTCACGAATTTTACGAATCGGCAGCATCGGCCTTGACTCTCCTACGTACAGTACAGTACAGTACACGGCGCACGCACCTCGACTGTGGGTTGAATTGGAACTGACGCGCCAAACTGGAACTGACGCGTTTCGCATTGAACGACGATTCGAATCTGGGTCCAAATTCAGAACGCCGCAAGCGCTACATATATTTGATGTATGGGATCTTAATGTATGGGATCGTAAATTGTACTCCCACTTCTGTAGGCGCATGCCCAAAGAAGCTTATATTCTCTCGATGCGCCGTCACGACCGCCGTCATCAAGCATCCCTATTCTCAGCCAGCGCGCCCATGTTCCTCCGGGGTTGGTACCCGGTTGCGCTTTCGGCCTGGGACACACTGGGCCGCTTGGTTTTGGTGCTAACGAGAGCTGCAGGGAGAGATTGAACGATCGGCTCTGTGAACCAGGAGAATCAAGCTCAAAGCACAGATGAAACGTACATGCGTTTTTCCGGATGCCAGCCGCGCTATTTTCGAAGAAGTTCAGAGCGATCGTCAGATGGAAAGTACGGTAGCGCATAGCATAGAAAAACGGGGGAGTAATGGGAGATACTTACAAAGCCCTGACCATGATGGCGAACGCAGTCTCCAAGGAAGCAATCTCCCGAATCAGGCTCCGGGAATCGATGGTCCCATCCTCCAAGAATCTGAACTTCATTTGCGTAACCTCGCCCATATACAACCCAAGAGCCTTCAGCGGGACAGTAAAAGCCACAGAGGTAGCAAGGGTGAAGACCAGCGCAGTAAAGCTCAGGCACACGATGACAATAATGCTTTTGATAATGGATTTGTCGATCGCGGCAAAGAAGTCGCTTCGCGGAAAGGCGATCACGACTGTCCATTTGCTGCCGGCATCGTCGATGCTGATCTGCTCCGCCGCGATGTACCAGTCCTGTCCGTCGTCCAGGCGGGCTTTCATGACCTCAGGTCCCACGACGTTGAACAGACCTTTGGCCTTGAGATACTTGCCGACTTCGGCGATCCCCGGGTGCCAGGTTTCATCGATGGCGTCTACGAGACGGACATGAATGTAAGCGGATGTACGGGAAATACCATCGCCCAGCCACAAAAACAAAACGGATGCCGTCAGGGTCGGAAACGAGTAAAATTTACTTACACACTGACGTGGGGGCTAACATTCGATTCTGACTGACAGCCGCGTTCGGAATCGATGATGCAATCAGAGTTCCCGCCTTAAACGGGGGAGTCCCTTTCGCATCAAAAATGAAGATAAACGAGTTCTTTGAGGGAAGCAGTCGTTGAATGTAGGGCTCCAGAGATATGAACATCAATCCGCCAACTTGACATTGATGGGTCGGCGTGGGGCTGCTGCCATAAATGTTCACCGCACTCATTCTGATATAAACATGTGTGAGTTTTCGGCCGCTGTTTGTAGCACATATGCTCCGCACAACGCTTCATACGTACGCCAAAATCGCGCCGTATACATTGGAGTAATTCCACTTAGTCTTCCCTTGCGCCCGAGGTGTGCTTGACACCAGGTCCATATAGAAAGGATCGGCGCTAGCGTTGTAAATCGGATCCCCGGTATATGTCCAGATGTTATTGAGGAGTTCCGAAACCCGCGCCGCTTTCAAGAAGTTCGTGATGTTCTTTGTTTTATCCCAGAAATCTTGGGTGTAACCCTCCATGAGAATATTCACCGCTTGAGCAGATAGTTTCACGCCGTTCTGATCGACAGAGTTCTTGTAATAAACGTTACGATCTGGAAAAGAACGAGTGTAAGAGGAAGCCTGACGAGAACGCCGTCGTTGCTTCCTGCCCAGGCCGGGTCCTTCTTCATTCCATCCCTACAATACCTGTTCTCTCCATATGGTTGAAAGTCCAATATGCACCGAGCGGGAGCAATGATTGCAAATCGGCAAGGGTGCCAAAGGGCCCGTCATTGATGGGCATCTCCGATGCAAGGCTCCATTTGCTGACGGCGAAAATGGCGTTGCCGAACCCGGGAGTCGAGCCGGGGGCTCCCGTGTTTACCAAGCATGTGATTCTGAAATCCACGGCAATGAACAGATGGGATATTGTTGAGGACAATGCCACTGTAGACACAACTCACGTTGCCACATCCGGGTTATCAAAGCTAAGACGAATGAAATCCTTCAAGAAGTCGCTCCCGACCAGTGGCGTCAGCGTCAGATTGCGAGGTTGAGCCGCGGTTGAAACGACCGAAGTGGTCGTGGTCTTCAAGCCAAAGTTTAGACCAAGTTGACGGTAATTGTTGGTGGTAGTCACCAAGCCTTCCTTTGCGGCTTTCAAAGTCAGCTACAGGTTACGAGCAATGAAGGAAAGACGATGTCAAAATTCGATGCCCGCTGGTCCATGAGAAATGACATTGCACATAGGTGGCGCTTACCATTGCCATCACTCCCGCGCTATCCTCGCTGTTCGAGTAGGCGTTGGTGATGAAAATCGTAGATGACTGGCAACAGTGAAATCGAATTAGTGATGATTCCTCCAATGCCAACGAGTACCATCGCGGGAGCTTACCGGGACAATAACGACTGTCAGAATCATGATAATAATAGCAGATTGCACGAGCCACAAGGGCAGGCGGATTTTCTGATACCACTTCATGTCTTTCTGCTTGGCTGCCTCTTTGGCGAGGTCGGCCGGGTTGAAGTCTGCGCCGCCAGTACCAGCTTCAGGGTCTTCAACCGTCGGACTAGTCGGACTAGTCGGACTAGTCGGATCCATTATAAACCGATTTTGCAAGAGAAATCAAAAGCGGTAGAAGAGGTTCGACTTTGAGGTTCAATTCAGATGCGATGTTGAGGATGGCCACTGAGTTTTATGAGGCACTCGACCACTGTGCGTTGCGCCGTTGCCACACCTCTCGCCTTCAATAAACATGGTCATGGTTTGTGAATCCAGAAGCTTCTGCCCCCGCCTTCGGAAAAACTGGCCTTTTAGGCCAAAGTCTAAATCTTGAGCTATATCGGGAGAGTGGTCGGCGAGATTCACATCTTGGAACTGATGCCGAAAACACGAAGGTGAGGAAAAGATCACAAAACGGCGAATCTCGCCGACCAATCTCCCGAAGATGAGGACGGTGGAAGTTTGAGAAGTCGAGACTGTGCAGCCAGGGAACAGAAAGCTGTGCTGAGCCATGGAACATACAGCTGTAAGGCGACTGGGACATCTGGGACATGTACCGGTCGCGTCGGCACATCCTTTTTTAATTCCCCATAATAACCACCCCCCTGGCCCCCCCTGAAATAACTCACGCCAAACTCACGTGAGTAATCGATGTTGATTTCAATTATAGAGAGGGGGCACAGCTTTATGGACCCTGCCAGATATCTGGTTACGACGCCCCAGACACAGGCACAAGTCGCCGGCCCCGATTGAACGCGCTGAGGCCGTCAGTCCCAACCCTAACCCTGTCAGTTTTACGTCACTTGCTGGTTGTCCCAGTCTTTGGTGATTTTCGTTTCCCTCTCCCACACACACAGGAGAAAAATGATGTATGCAAAGAACTCCTCGGAAGAATGGAGGATACAAAGAAAATAAAAAAAGAATGGTTGTTATGAAAGTATGCCAGTTACACGCCAGGAAAGTCTATATACAGTACGAAAAGCTGTTCAGTACTTCGTAGCTCCGCCACCACTTCCCCCCCACACTGCATGAGTCCTCTTTTCACACTGTCGATATAAGTTGCGGACTGTTTCCAGCGGGGTTTTGGCCCATTCCTCCTTCAGGGCAGCTGCCAGGGAATGCTTTCCAGTTAGTAATGGATTCCTCTGCCGCAGTTTAGTTTCCGGAATCCACCACAAGCGCTCTATGATGTTGAGGTCCGGTGAACGTGGCCAGTCAGGCAGGAACTCGCAATGCTTTTTCTCAGCCTTGGGGGCTCTTGTGTGCTTGCTTGTATGGGGGGGTGCTCCATCCTCTTGAAAGACGAGCGCAGGGTTCCACACTTGGTTTACTTTCCACCAGAGAAAGAAGTTTTTGTCTACGATATGGTCACAGTAGTATTTACTGTTGACCTTTCCCTCGCAGAAAACAATGGGGCCAACCCCATACCAAAAGATGCATCCCCAGATCATGACGGTACCCCATACTGTTGCACTTTTGGCGCCAGGTTTTGCCGGGAATATTTCTCTCCTTTGCTACGCCAGATCAAAGTCCTTGTCTTGGAGTACAGGGAGAAGAAAGATTCATCGGAGAAGACCACGTTCTTCCAGTCTTCACGATTCCAGCGCAAGCGGGCTTGTGTCCAGGCATGCCGCAAGTCTAGCTTCCTCTCATCTAGAATAGGTACACCTCCTTTGTTATCGGTTGGCAGTGACCGCTTCACGCCGAGTCGCAAGACTTGCAGGCCGGCTCTGAGAGAAAGGAGGGACCTGGCAATACTGTATGGTATTGGGTGATCCCCAAATCCGAGTCCGAATTCCAACAATGAGAGCCTCTTAACCCGACTCTTAACTCATCCAGCTCAATGGATCGCATAGATATGGGCATGCCGAATCTCCGCCTAATAGAAACATATATGGATCAGGGGGCAGCAGGTGCATTTGATAGCAATCCATCCGAAGCCGTCTGACGAAACGCCATGGACATTTTTCGATCCACTCAAGACAACATGCACAGGAACGGAAGGCCCACACTCCAGGATCGCATTCGTCCAAACCTCAAAATATATGACATAATGAATTCAGAGGGACGACGATCCATTACAGCCACGAGAAGAGTTCTAAGGAGTCAAAGGGGGATCATATACAAAGTGGTAGTAAATAGAAGGGCGATAATCGCATTTTAAATTAGCCCGGCTCTGCGGAAATGTCAAACGGGTATTTGTCAAATAGAGCTGAATGAAGCTCTGTTTCCTCCCTCCTCTTTCTCTTTCGTCTTGCGTAGGCTCGTGGCTGCGCTGAACGCTTGCCGCGGTTTTGGGCCGGTCGCGCCTCCTCCATGACGCCTCCTCCATGATTCCGCCGTGTGACCTTCGCTATCGGATCTCGTCTCCCACGCCCATATCCCTCCAATTCCCCATCAGTCCATCTGCGAATCGTTGCTCAAGCTGCGCTTCTCTGCACATTTCTTCGCCTTGCCGTGCCTATGCAACGCGTCCTGGCGAGTGAACCCCGTCCCACAATGATCGCAGTGGAAAGGTTTGAAGCCGTTGAGGTGCGTGGCAGAATGGCGGCTGAGGTCCTGCCGTCGCAGAAACCGTTTGGCACATTCGGGGCATTCGAAGCGGCGTTCGCGGTCTGGTTGTGGTTCTTTCGGCTGCTGGGTTTGTGGGTGGGGTTGGGTGTGTGGTTGGCTTTGGGCGTATGGTTGGCTTTGGGAGTGCGGCGGAGTGTGGAGGTCTGGATCCCGGTGTAAATCTGCTATCTTGGGTGGAGGCTCGTACGCCGTTACTGCTGGGCTCGCCAACGAGTCGGTCTCGGCTACCTGACTGACGTTCATCAAAGGAATTCGTGGATGAGACAAGTGATGTGATGAATACATTAACGGCCGCTTGAACATCAGGTTGCTGTTATGGTTGTTGTTGCTAGATCTTTGGCTTGTCCTATGCATTGCGAGTTCCGGCGCTGGCGTGGCGAAGTATAGCGGATGACCAACTTCGATTATGTCCTCTCGCATCGGATGTATGTCGGGGTACGGTCGAGAGCCTGGTGGGATCATGGCCGGATCCCGCGATCGAAGCTCGGCCAGCGACGGTGGTGGCGCGGGAATGATGATCGTTGACTGGGGATCTGGCTGGTGCTCGAATTCTCGCGACATGGTATGCATCGGATGCATCGGATGCATCATGACCGGGTATCGTGATGAAGGGCCGGGAAGACCAGCAGGAACCGGCGGAGGCGGTGTTCCTGCTCCTGATGCCGCCGTTGCGTAAGTGGGCATCGGAGATGGGAAGGGTATGTGATAGTGGTACGCCGGATTGTTCGGGAGGGTATTTGAGGCCGCGTGAACGGAGGGATGCTGATGAAATCCGGCATGTATGGATGGAGGGTGGTTTGCTGCTGACGAAAGCGCCAGTCGCTTGGCAAAACTGTCCACACCACTTTCCGCGTGCTGAGGACGATAGGATTGAGGCATGGCCTCCGGCACCGACGAATGCGTGCTGTGGGGCCCATGGTTTGGGGCGGAAGATGCCATTCGACGGACGTGTCCCGAGGGTGACGGTGGGGGTATCGCTATTGGGATGGAACCATGCCTTGGTGGGGAACCGGTAGGTAGGTGGTACTGAAAGTGTTGCGGAGATGAAGTATAAACGACATGTTTTTGATCTAACGCATGCCGTCGGTGTTCATGTCGTGGGTGATGCGCATCACGATCAGGCGTGGGTGAATCAACCGACGGATGCGCCACCCCGACGCTGGAGTACGGCACATAGCCTCGAGCAGTCCGGTCCGCCTCATGCGACTCGCTTCTGGGGTGCGCAACATTGAGCGTCCAACCCGTGTCCGGATGGTAAGAATGCTGCGATGTTGGGGTTTCGGGACCCCACGGAAGTTTCCGTCGATTGTCACGCATCCCCTCCAAAAAGGAAGAGGCACCGGCCGCGAAGTTTCAAGAAATCCTCACGCGGTTTTCGTCAGTCTGCCTCCGAGGGAGACGGTTTACAGCTGTAGCGATGGCTATTGGTCTTGCTAACGGTCTACTTTCTCCACCAGGTCTGCCCAGAGATACGCCACGAAACCCAGGTCTATGAATCACACTCAACGACGCATACCATGCACCAGCGGGCGAAGCCGAGTCACTTTAGTCGATGCAGTTGAGGAAGCGGCCGTGCGAACTGGATGTTGGTGCGAACCCCCTCTAGATCTAGTCCGTTGTTACGACGGCGAGCAAGGGATGGTAAGCGTCGGCTCCGTGTTCCAAACCCAAACGATGGATGGTGTACGGAACGGCAAAGGGTCCTCCGTCGTTGCTAAACTTCGAACGAAGTATCGTGTAGCCACGCTCAAGTGATTGCTCAGCACGTACTACGACGCCCCGTCTGAGACGATGAAAGCACCGCCGCCCCTGCGATTGGAGAGGAGGTTCCGAGGATGTGGATCTTTTGAGTTGATCGATGCCGTGCCAAAAAGCCTTTGGAGCTTGCCTCAAACGTGCCGAATATCAAATCTCTCAAATGATCGACAGCGAAGGAAGAGGATAGGGAGACGCCGTTTTTCTTGTTTTCTCGTGTCCCCCTTGACCAACGGCAACACGGAGCGCAAATGAAGGGGGGTTTGTCTGAATGGGACTCTCAATGGAGGCGTTGGCAAGCACTGTACACGTATGTAGTAGTACGATGCGGGGTATATGGGATGGGGCTTCAACAAAACTTGCACGGGTCTGCAATAATGACGATTCTTTTGAAGCAGACAGGATGCTGGGCGAGAGGTCACATCTCGTTTACTTTACTATTATACCCCTTCGCGCACAGGCGAGGCTATATACGGAGGCCAGCGACAATTATACAGCCATCAAATTTTGCACCGCCCAACGAGACACAACGGGCCTGTGCATTACCGCGGTTCTGGATCGCTCAATCTCCGACCCACGGTTTCTGGGTGTTTCATTTCTATACCCCACGCCCATTCTGCCGCGGCTTCTCGCTTTGATAAACATACATATGACATTACTAAAGATTTAAGGAAGCCTTACGAAGGGTTCTCCTCCAAGCCAGCATGTTCTGGTCCTGGAGTCCTGACCCTGACGCCTCCGATATATGAGCTGTCGACTATAAAACAACGGCTGTCGACTTTGGCGTACGACCATGGTGATGGATATGTTCGACCCCCTTGGATGTCGTCCCGTCACGTAGGCTATAAGTGTACGTCATTCTCAGGATTGTGACGATACCAGCGCACAGGGTTGACCCAAGGTTCGAAGGTCGACCCGCAAACTCGCAAACTCGCAAACTCGCAAATTGCAACTGTTCACTACTATTACGGGGTACGTAATGAAGGCAACGCAAAAGGCAGGGCCGGTTCCCAAGGAGTTCCCGAGCGTGCAGTTTCTGTACAGCTCCAGCCCGGATGGCGTAGATACAAACTTACTCGTCCTGCTGCACGGTCTTGGTGAGTTGCCAGATCTGGTCTCGCTTGAGACGGCTGGCCCATGCTGAAGTTCCTTGTGCCCCGTGTGCAGGAGATCAGCCAGGTATGTGGATAAGATCGGAGAAATTGACGTCCGGAGGAGGCAGCTGAGGCTTTTCCAGCCAATTTCATGCAGTTTGGGAAAAAGATGCAGTTGCCTCAGACAGCGTTGTTGGCCATCAAAGGGCCTTCGCCCATACCGTTCTTCGAGGGTACAGGGTGGGCACCGGCGTTTGATCAGGAAGGGAATGGCAAGTGATATTTAATGAACGGAATCTGCGCTCCATATGTTTTCCTGACAGAAACCTGACAGAAATCCCTCCATCGGACCGAGCCGTACGCGACGGCATCAAGAAAACTCGCGGATTGTTAGCTACTTTTCTGGAAGAAGCGATCCTTACTGGGCAATCGACATCCAGAAATCGTTGGCACGCGAAAAATGTCTTCCTTCTTGGATTTTCGCAGGGGGGCGCTGCCGCAGTAGATTTGGCGCTGCTCAACGGGTCCGTTGTTCTTGGAGGTGTGGTCAGCATCTCCGGGTTGCCTTCGCCAGAATCATACCCGCACCAGAATACGTTGAAGCCGAATTTGGGGTTGAAGATTCTCGTTACCCATGGGAGTGCAGATGAAACCTTGCCGAAATCTGAATGGAAAGCGCGGGTAAGTGGGTTCGTTAATGCCAATTCAAGTGGGGTTCGTTAATGTTCGCCAGCAGGCCGCTTTCGTGCGAAATCTCGTCGGGACAAATGGAGAGCTCAAAGTTCATGAGGTTGCGGGGAAGGGACATGGGATGCCGACAACTGAAGTAATAGTGGTCAGCGGGAAAGGTTGCTGTCCCGGCCGAGATTCTCACGACATTGCCTTGCAGACGGAGATGCGAGAAATCATGAAATTCTTTGGTGCAAATCTCGGTTTGCGGAATCTAGCATTGGAAGCCATGTCGGATGTGTATGAGGTTAAATAAGGGGAGTCATAAAGACACAATCGTATCGGCAAAGAAAGTCTCAGGAAATATTCATCGTAACTGTACCCCAATACCCAAACATAAAGGAAAACCATCTACAAAGTCAATTGTGTTTATAAGGTGGGAAACAAGAATCGCTCGGTCATACCTCGCTTGAATCATATGGCGTCGAAACAAAACATCACAAAACAAATGCATAGATCTATGGAGTCGGGATCTAGCTTAGATCATCCCCTCCTACGACTATAGTCCTAGATACCTACTTCAAAACAGTCTTTATGTAAATCAGATAAAAAGCCTGCACAATCGGAAGTATACGCCGCACACCCTCTTCCCCACCGTCCTCTCGTTTCATCTCCTCATCCCATTCCGCAACGTCCTCCGCAATCCGCTCTTTTACCTCATCGACTTCCAGCGCTTTGGCGTCCCGCGCGTATCCGTCGGGCACGGCGACGACAAAGTCTTTTAGACGCAGGCCGATGTCGTTTTTGATCATTGAGGGTGATTCGAGGTGTGCTGTGAGCTTTTCGTTAACGAGGAGGCCCAAGGGGATGTAGCGAGTCGGTCCGATGGAAGAGATTGGGTCTTCATTGTCTTCGACGCTCACAGGTGCGTCAACCTCTGGCGCTGCTTCCACTATGGAGGCCGGAATCCCGACGGCCACAGAGGCGGCATCATCCGGCGTTGGTTCCACCGTAGTAGGCAGATTCTCGGTGCCTAACGAGGCATCATCTTCTGGGGCTACTTCCATGTTCGGATTGTCTACGACACGATCCGGCGCCGTGCTCACGCTTTCAGGAGACCGTCTTCCATCATCTCCACCGGTTCTGCCACAGTTTGGTTGCTCCTCATCCACCCCTTTCGTGCTGGTCACTTCCGGCACATTTATCTTCACTCGAACGTCTTTGACTCCCACAACCAAGAAACCTCCTTCCGCCAGCCTGTCAGCAGCCTCCGTCGCACACTCCACCAACATCTCCATATACTCCTCAATCCAGCTACTCGGCAATATCGCCGTCGACGGCACACAAATATGCGGCACAAAAATAAGGCACGGCTTCACCTTCAGCCGCTCGCTTGGACCGAGTTCCGGCACGCTGAGCAGAGTGCGCAGATGCTTCCAGTCATCCTCGCCCTCGGGGCTCAACTCGGAGACAAGGCCTCTCGCCATCAACTCCTTCCTGTTCCTCAGCACCAATTCCTGGCGGCGCTTCTCGTAAACGGACCAAACGGATTTGTCCTCGCCTTCTCCATCCTCCTCGTCGTCATCAACAGGCGGGTCGCGTTCAGCGCAGAGGGAGTCGTACTCGGCCATATCAATAACCTCGTTGCGGAACTTGCTGAAGCTGACTTCTTCCCAGTAGCCGCCGTCTTTGCCGAACCGTTCGACGAGTTTCGACATGGCGAGGCGGGCCAGAGAGTGCTTCTTAGTCACGTGGAAGGCCCAGGTCGTGCCCATCACGACGCTAGCGCGGTCGATGGGTGAGTGGGGTACTTGACGGCATTTGCTGGTCTTGGCAATGGGGCTGAGTATCCCTGACCGTTTATTTTGCAAAAAAGCGAATCCAGCGTCGTCTTTCCCCACTTTACGTAGGATAGCGACAAACTCATGCGTGAACATCAGGAAATTGTACTGCGTGCACAGAAACGTTCCCAACGGCGCCATCTGACAGTACCGTTGCCGCTTGACGATCAGCTCTTCCAGCTGGAACCCGTTATCCATGTACGTCCGGATCGTCTGGAACGATACGGGCTGATAAAAGCACTCTCGCCTGTTATCGCCGATCCCCAATGTGCACCGCCTTCCAGGTTTCAGCAGTCGCCAACTCTCCGCAACAACCTTCGCCATCTCCTCTTGGAACTCGCCCATCTCCGGGAAGTGCGACAGGTCTCCGTCGATGTGGGCACTATACGAGATACAGTCCTTGTACGGCGGGTGGGAGAGGACGTGATCGTACGTTTCGGATTTGAAAAGCGAGCCGACCAGATCCCTCGAGTCGGCATTGACAACGATGGGTCGATATGCCGCGGACAAGCCGATTTCGGGAGGCGCAGAGAAGGCAACGTTGCGTTGTGAGAGTGCTACGGACGCGGGGTTGATGTCCACGGCACAGCACGGTCTTTTCAGAAGGTAGCATTCGATGGCGTCTGTGCCGCGCCCTGAGAAGTTGGACAGTACCCTATCGCCCTCCTTAGTGTATCGCGTGAGAGATAGCCTGACAATTTGAGGCAGCCAGGTGCCGTGATAGTCTCCTCCCGAATGGGAAGCCCACCGCGGCGCCCGACCGGGAATGTCGTAGAATGACGTGTCAAAACCAAGGGTGTACAGCTGGTCGTCTGCGGGAGCGTAGCTGGAAAGTAGCGCCCGCTCCTTACTATCTGCGGCCATAATTTCAGTTCCATCCATACCAGCCTTTTCGACAACACCTCTCGTGAGGTAGTACTCGTGGCTATACGCTGATATGTCGGTTTTGTAGACTTCTTCCATCGAGGTGGGATTCAAAACCGGCGCCGACATGTCGTGTTCAGCGGCGGTGTATTCTGATTCAGCAGCCGCAGGTAGCGCTTCCATGACCTCCATTGGCGCCCGTCCTCCCCCAAGGTCTTTAGGCGGGTCACACATATCCTTATCCGACCGGGACCAGGCAGACGACGCAAGCTCAAAGCAATCCTGACACATCGGCATCCCATTATACCCTCTCCTCCATTGCGGCGTCGACTCGGTCCAGCAATAAGAGCACCGACGTCGCGAGGAGTTTTCCATCGGCCTTCTCTTCCGCGGCTGTAAACTTTTCCGTGGAGCATTAGCAGCGATCAGTTCCCTCGCGAGTTCGCGTTCTGCTTCGCGTTTCGATTGCCGATGGCTCATGCAATCGAGCACGAATCTGTCTAGGGAGTGTTCGTGCATACTGGGCCGTTTCTCCGTGTAGCAAGTCACGCACAGGTCGAAAGATGCGAAATGACTCTGCGAGCATTCGTCGCATGTGTACCACTGTTCTTCGGGCCCTGAAGCTCCCAACGCGCATGAACAACTGTCGCAATGGAAGGCCTCCTGGTAGTCCTCGATTTTGTTCAGGAGAGCTTCGTGCCTCGGACACCAAAAGATTATGCCTTCCTCAAAGTGCGACAGAGGCTTGTTCGTGCATGCGACATGGTAGCTTCGCGAGCAGCGATAGTCAAAACAACCGATTGTCGCTCCTTTCCCTCTGCATTGGGCACACTTCATCTGACGCGACCTTCTCAGCGCTTTCAAGACATTGAACCATTGTCCCGTCTCTGCGTTCAAATACACTTCCGGCGAGTATCTCGCGCACGCAACATGGGCCCAAAAAATGGGCGACTTCTTGTCCCATTTCGTTTTGTTGGAGTCGTATAACAGCGCTTTACGCTTCATTACTGATTTCGTGTTCCTGAATGGTGAGGGCCCGATGAACTTCAGGTGATGATGTTCCGTGCGGCAGAAAGCGCATTTGGGCATCACGGGTAACGCCCTCTGCTGTTGCGCACCATCGCCGGCGTTTGTTTGCTGGCCGCTCTTGCTTGTAGGATAGTGCTCTGTGTAAGCGGTACTCACAGCAACCACGGAATCGTCGATTTCGTCCGGAACAAAGGAAGAGACCAGCTCGCCCTTCGTGAACGCTCTGGTCAGCGACGGATCATCTCCATCTATTATAGCTTCGGCGGCGAACGAAGATATCGGATGGGGATGGTCCAGAGGAAAGTCGTACTGAAAACACGGCAGACAGAGATCGAACGAATTATAGTCGAATCCTTCCGAGGGATCCTCGCAGTTTGTGCAGAAGTATCGCCGTTGGCGAATGCGTTTGGTACACTGATTGCAGAATATTTTCCACCTTTCATCATCAGACTCCTCCACCTCGCTCTGACTCTCGGATTCGGTCGACTCCTGCAACTCTTCCGCCTCCTGTATCAGCCGGAGCTTGCTGGAGTTGATATCAATCCACTCGTCCCATGAATCATCCCAATCATCGTAATGAACCAGGATCTGCCACCCGCGCGCTTTTCGCACCATCCCGGTGTACCAGACACCACCGCCACAGCAGACTTCAACACGCGAGCCTCGAGTGAACCGAGCCTTAATACTTTCCGGAGTATCAGCGGCGGCTAATGCTCTCCGTTGAATGTATTCCTCTCGAGCTCTGCGATTAGCCGCTGACCGGTCGTTGAAGGAAGCAAAGTCGAAGGGAATGTCGGGTTGCGGGGTGTCATCTTTGTTGATTCTCTCCGGTGATTCGGCCGGTGTTGGTAAAGAGGAGCTCGACAGGATTGTCGGGCTGTGCTCCGCCTCTCCAGACTTGCGACGCTTTCGAGCCTTGCTTGTGCTCATTTGTTTTAGCCCATCAAGCTTTCGAGGTCTGCGTGCGGTTTGCTGTCTGACTGAGCGGCCAACAAGTTGTACGTCGTCCATAAAACCCATCGACTGGCGGTCCCCTGATTCAGTGCCGGTAGATAGTCGTACACGAGGACTCTCACAGTCCAGCCACTCATCAAACCGCGCGTCCCATCCCTCGTAATGGCAGAGTATCCTACCGCCCTTCATTTCGACCACCGTAGCTGGCCACCATGTTTTTCCAGCATCTTGCACTTCAACATGACAATCGGCGTGAAAGACTGGCAAATGCCCGGGCAGCGCCAGCTGTCTCCGATGAAATGCCGGGGTGGGATCGACATCTATACGCGTCTTCTTCGGCGCCCGCTTCTCTGGGCCCTTGTTTGGTTTGGGCCTAGTCTCCGCGTCTATCTTGGGAGCAGGAGGAGGGACATTCGCCAAAATCTTACTCCGTGACTTTGTTTGTGACTTTGTTCGTGCAAGATCCATCTCAGCCTCTTCCATCTCCGTTAGAGTCATTATGGAAGAGATTTCCGCGCTCCCCGTTGCTTCGTCTGTCCGCAGTCGTATTCTGCGACTACTGTAGTCAAGCCACTCGTCGTACTTTTCGCTCCATCCTTCATAACGGCATTTTGCTTTCCCGCTGGATACCTCCACTATCCGAGCGGGCCACCACATCTTCCCTGCGTCTTGTACTTCCACGCGAACGCCTTCGTGAAATATGGGGGCATCTTCCGGAAGTGCCAGATGTCTACGAGAGGTGCTAGCTAGGCCCTTAACGGCATTCGGCTGCGTCCTCCCGGTGGATATCTTGCTCACGAACGGGCGGAAGCTATCCTGAAAGGTCAAGCAGCATGTGGAGCAAATTTGACGTATTAGCAACGGCCCGCCATCGCAATTGTCGTGACGCGACAGACACCATGTTGCTCCTACGGCGTCCTGAGTGAACGACCCCATTCCTTCTCCGGACCGGCTGACTTGGGGGTGCTCCGCCGCCTTTGAACCGCACTGTTTACAGCGAGACCAGCTCTTCGCTCCTCTTTTCCCACGACAGCGTTCTGTTTGAATGACCCATCTGGATGGAGGTCTCGAGGTCTTGCGTATTGTATATTTCGGCGCAAGGTGACACACGGTAAAAAGGAAAGAGGGGGACTTAAATACAAGAATCTAATGCTCGGCACGTGATGCGATATAAGCGTCATTTGGACCACTTCTCACGCGTTGTTCCTCGAAAGTCTCCTGAAAGTGTCCTTGCCTCATCGGTCGACTCGCCAACGAAGATCAAGTTCAGGTGAGTGCAGTGGAAGTACAAGAAGACCAGTTTGTCGCTTGGAATAGCCTGGTTGCGAGACAGGTTGCGCCGTTCCTCAGTTCTTCGTGGCTGATGTCAGCCGTAGAGTGTGAAGTGTGGCCGGCGCCTCGTCCCGCTTTCCATCTTATGCCGAAGGAACTAGGGCGGAGGCGTTCAGAAAAGCGCCGCCTTTGCAGACCTCCCATGTCCGGTTCCGTGTACGGTGTTTGTAGCATAGCGCAGAGGCATAGCCCGCAAGCCCCTACCGCCTCATTCAGTTCGAGGGGACTACCCACTGCTCGATGCTTTTGGGGAGGGGTCGGGGAGTTGTAGACTCCTGGAACTTTCCGGCTCGAGGTTGCACTGCGAACGGATCGTAGGCGTAAAGGGTGGCACATAAAGCGATGGGGAAACATGTTGCCTGGCTGGTCCCTCATCGTGCTGCCGCACACGCGCTTTGGTCCTCCATCTCTCAAAAGGACAATTGGTGACTGTCAGGCATCCGACTATCGGTCGAAAACGCTCCAGCACCATTGCTGTCTGGCTTTCTTGGTATAGAAATGGTGTCTCATCCGACTCGATGAAATTCATCACTAGGGGTTGGGTCTGCAAACATGACATCTTTCGTACGCCTGTCGCTGTTATCCAGCGCCTTTGCCACTCTGCTGGCGACGGCTGCTGCGGCGCCGGAATTCGATGATGAGGACGACGACGACTGGGCCAGGGCGGAGGAAGCCAGTCAATTAAAGGCTCCGCGACCCAGGTCAAGCGCCGGAGGAGAGCCTTCGGCGAGGCAGTATTCGTTAGGCGACGTGGAGCTGCGTCACATATATGTAAGTATAGTTCGGGGCAAGCCTTCCACCCTCCTCCACGAGAATCGTGCGGACTGGGTGCTGACCTTCCACCATGACCTATCGCAGAGGGAAGCCATCATCCTTGGAGCACTCCTTGCATACCTCATCTCGTGGCTCATCAACCGGCAAAAGTACAAGCGTATTGCTGATGAGTGGTAAGCAGTCGTGGGGAACGCTTTCCGCTCCGTGCTGTACCTCCGGATCTAAAACGGATAGCTGTCAGGTTCAATATCACGAAGGATACGTGGATCAGGAACTTTTCGCTTGTCGGAACAACGTACTCGCCTGGGCTGATAAGGCAGGGACCTCGGGACTACCTCCTCTATCTCAGTGGAAGGTTTGTACTCTTTCAGCGGCCTATGTGTAAGAGGCGGACATCTGATTGCGCATTCCGTCTCGATAGGGCACACGTCCGGAGCGTCTATACGAACATAACGGTGGGGACTCGCACTCTTCACTTGGTCCGAGTCTGAGAACACCTATCTGATCAATCCTCGAATGTTATCTAGATAGCAGCTCGCAATGACCCAGTCCAAATGATACTGGGCTTGTTCTTCGAGAGCATCCCTTACGACACAGCGGCATTCACGGCCAGGCTCCCGTCCGCGGAATCCGACTCCCAAGTGTTTGGCATCTTTCTCAAAAAGCTCGTCCCACGAGTAATGAGGACACGATGGGACTTTAGAGAGCTGCCGAAGAAACGTGACATGGCCAGTACTGCTGGACGGCTACCGTCTGAGGAATATGCGGTTTTTGCGGAGGCGCCGGAATTCCTTGCGACCTTGTGGGCGGAACCCGAGATCAGGGAGATTTTCTGGGCTTCTGTTGGGCTGGATTCGGAAGGGAAGGGTACCCCTTTCGACGAACCTCTCATTGAATCGGTTCTGTTGTCAGATATGCCGACGGAGGAGCCTTATAAGTACGAGATACTCGGATTGCATCATTCCCCCGGCGGGTTCAACGATGGCGCACACTAACCTGCCAAAATTCGACCCCCAAAACAGATTGGAGGACCTGACCTCGCAACCCAAAACGCTGACCGTCACGTACCGATTCCCCGACTTGACCAAACTGGACGACAAACAACGACAAGCTATAGCCAAAGTCGCGGAACTTCCCGTGATTCTTCTGGACTACATTGGGCAGCAGGGCAAACTGTCTGTGGACGGTAAAGCAAAGATTGCCAAAGTTCGGCAAGCGGCGTCGCAGAAAATCCTCAGAGCGGCGGAGGCTGAGCGGAAGGAGGTGGGTGCTCCGGATTCAACATTGAACGCGCTTTGAACTGTTGAGCTGAAATTGCAATTTGGCGACATTCTAGGAGCTGGCACGACAGAAACTGCAGGAAAAGCGCGCGAGAGACGAACAAGTGACGTCGCGGACCCCGGAGGAGCAACGCAAGTACGAGGAGCGGGAACGGAAGAAGGATTTGGCGAAGTCTCAGAAAAAGAAGATGAAGAAAGGGAAAATGACGCTCTAGATGGGTGCTCCCGCCTGTCGATCTGTAGCTTCTTTATTTTCCATCTCGTGTCCGTCGCAATTTATTGGGTATTTGATGGCGTATGGTTTTGTTCATACAGTGAGGAGGGTTGTCCATTCATTGTTATGGTTTACAACGGCCCGTTGGGTGTCTTTTTGTCGGAAGGTGGACTCCTCTTTCAATACGTTTCAGCCGCGCTCGACATGACTGAATACCCTGCGCCAAACCGCCACCACTCTAAGACATGCTTTCATGGAAGATGCGAAAAATCGGTGAACTTACGATCCTCTTCCTCATCATGCCTGCGGGGGGGCGCTCCCGCAGTCATCTGGTCAAATGTACCCAACGTTTCCGCGAAAAAGTCCTTTATAGCAGGAAAAATCAGCATTTTTTTTACCAAGGCTGCAACAGCCCATGCGAAACACTCACCGAGATGCGTCTATGCGATTTCCGCTCCTGTTTCGCTGCTGCGCGAGGCGCTCCCATGCCTAGTCCAGCCTATGAAGAAGATCACGTCAGGTGCTGAAAACGTTAGCTATCGCACAGGAGTTGCCCACCATTCCACCCGGTCCGATAGTGTTAGCATGTTTCCCGAGCTTCTTCGGACTGGAACCGGCAGATATGGTGGTTCGGTCGTGGTCGATGATAACGCTGATGGAGCCGGTGACCTTTGCATCCAACTGAACATCAATCTGATTCCTAAAGAACCGGAAATCGTGCAGTTCGGAGCGACATTGCTGATGCTTGGACCAGTTGAACAAGAACGTTGTGGCGTCGCCTTCTTGCTGGTACTTCAGGAAGTCTTCCAAGCGCTCGATCTCACCGAGTTGACGTTGGAGCTCCAGTTCGTCGCCGAGGAGGACTGTGAGCTGTGTTTGGTGGCAGAATTGATGAGCATGAAGTGATGAAGCATTTGCATCGATTATATGGCGTTCTGAACCTTGTTCTTCACTATCTTTTTACAATCCGCCATGGCGCATCTATACATCTCTTCGATCTGCGTTTCGATCTGTGCACCCATTTTCTCGACCGCTTTCGCCCGCGAGTTGACGGCTGCGATTTGGTTCGTGATCTCGGATCGGCGGGTTTGCAGGATCGGGTCGTGCTGGTAATGCAACTCATGTAAGCGTCCAATTCTCTCAAACACAAAGAAATGTGAATCTGCAGAACATACCGTCTGCGCTTCCTGCAAAACCGACGTGTACGCCTCCGCAACGCTAACGAGTTGATGCCGCGATGCCTCACCGTTCGCATGGTTTCCCACCATTTTGCAAAACACGCAGACGGGTATGTGGCATTGGGAGCAGAAGAACTCGATCAATTTGTCGGGGTGGTGCCGGCAGTGGCCGAATACATCGGAGCCCTATGGCGCGCTCTTCATTAGTTCCGAGATTATGAAGTAATATGTATGTGGGATATCCGAGGTTCATACCTTCCCTATTGGCGTCCGAACATGGCGACTCGCAAGCTTCGACACGTGTAGTTGCGAATCGCATTTGTTGCACAGATTCGCTGCGTCGGCGTTGCAAAAGACGGTAGCGTGCTCCTCTTCGCAGTTATCGCACTTTGCTTTCTAGTCGTGTTTCGTACGTCGTCAGCTCGCACTCTGTCATGAGTGGTCCAACTTTATTTGCCTTACCTCGCGGGCTTTGCGCTCCTTGTTGAGATCATATTCGTAATGTACGAGATACACTGGTAGAACCTGCAGACTTAAAATGAGATAAAGATCTATAAACCAGTCAAGAAGCAATCTGCATCTCACCTGAGCTGTTTCTCGAATATAGTATTCGTGAAGATACGGGTTGGAGGGCTGCTTCGCTTCCTTCGGTGTCGCATCTACAATTCCGAGGCCTTGGTTAGCTTTCGCTCATCGTGAACTATGGACCGTTTGCTCTAACCTTGCAGGTAGAAGCTGTCATATCCTTCCGGCACCGGATTCGCCTCTGCAGTCGCTTCGTCCGTAACGAACGCGCGGCCGATGCCTACTCGACATAGGAGGGCCTTCCTCAACGTCCTTCCTTCTGGCTTCCGCTCTGTGAATCGCCCGGCACCAAATAAGCATATGAGCGTAAACACACTAATGGGAAAGTTAGTCCGTTCGCACCTTGTGGTTTCCCGCCCGGCAGATGCGACCCGTTCCCAATCGACCCGCTGATGGACCCAATTGTGACCTTCAGTCCATGCTGCGCTGGGGGAAACTGAAACCCTCGGCGGATAACCTCTTCCTCGGTGTTGACCCCAGTCAAGCGGGAGGCATCGATCCATGCGGGCAAAATGAGGGATCCCTATAGGACATTGTCATAGTCGATGTTACTCTTCTGATCAGATATGAGGCGGGCGGCCGGAGTTTGCGAAAGCGATGTGCTCACGCGTTTCCTCCTCCCCAAACGACATCACTGCCCTCACCTGACATCGCTTCTCGAATTGCAAGTTGATATGCGGGTTCGACAAAGCATGAGCCGCAACTATCCGGGCGCTGCTGGCGCGGAGGGCCAGCTGAAGTTCGTACTCCAGCGCTCCGAATTCGGGCGTGCCTGCACCCAGTTGCGTTTTCGCGCCGGTTTTCTCGCTCATCTGGAGGGCTCTTTTGCTCGCAAAGGCTGAATGTCGTGGGAAAGTGAAATATCTATGGCGCCCGCTTCCTTGGGGGTTTGGGTGCTGCGTAAGGAAGATACCGCAAGTTGCAAGTCATGTTGTTCTGAGTATGGACACTTTCTATGAGTAGTTGGCACTGGCAGGGCCATTTACTGGTTTCATGCGTGACTCGGTCAAGGCTCTTTGGCAAGTGCGGAGGTGAGCTAAGCGCAAAAGCGCCTATGTTCCATCGAATCGTTTCTCAGCTCGGGAGATCTGGATAACTCTTCGGCAAGGCTTTTCTCTGGAAGTCCCCAAATCTGAGTGCGCAAAAAGTATGTCCTCGGAAGTCTCACGGGCTCTCTGTCCACTCGAGGCTGTATAGTTCCAAAGCTCATCTAGCTCACATCCTTCGCCACCTCACATCCTGTCCTCAGAACTATGGACGCAGATTATCTCAAACAGACAGTCGGCCCACTTGTGGCTTCAGCCCTATCCTCCCTCGTCACATACGGCTACGACGCCACGGCATCCTACCCCCGAGGCCATGATCCAATCACCTTCATCGCCGAATACCTGATCCACCACGACAAAGCCGCAAAGAATGTAGCAGTACATAAGAAATATCGCGCAGACCTCGCGTCGTTACAAAGCGCATTTGCTGCTGCTGAAGCGCAGGAAAAGGAAGCGCGGTTGCGGATGGAGGAAGAGATCAAGGTCAAAGCGAATAAGATCTTGGAAAGGCAAAGCATTGCAGACGAAGAGAGTGCTAGACGGCTAGCTGAGGACGCCGCGAGGGCTGCCGCGGCGATTCTGGCTGCTGCGAAACAGGCGAATGAGGCGAGTGAGGCGGAGAGGTTGGCGAATGAGCCGAGGGGAATACCTACTGTCATTGAGGAGGCGGAGGAGGGGAAGGAGACTGAAGATGCGGAGGAGGCAGTAGAAGAAAAGCCTGATATCCCAACAGATACCATTGCTGAAGAGCGTGAAGATGCAGAATGATCCGGCGTTACCGCGATGTCTCGACGAAGGTGGCGGGGTGACACTCTTTCCGTGGTCCACATGTACTCGCCGTTGAGATGGCTACAATGCGTCACGTTGAAGCTCACTTTGTATTGTATGAACACTTGATGTCTATAATACACAGTATACGTTCGCTACATATAGAGTATCCCTAAGGCTACGCTAGTGAATCTTTACTATATGCGGAATATCCATGGCTAAACATGCCCGACCGACATTCGAGGTCCGCACCTCACTAAAGTCGCTTGCGCGTCCGCAAGGTAGTTTACACAAGCCTCAAAACGTTTTCGGTCGACAGGATTTTTGCGAACTCGTCGCTTAGGCTTGCGATATGGATATCGTGGACCTCTTGCGCCGAGTACGTTTTGCCGTTGGGTCCGGTTTTAGCAAACGTTCCGCAGGCGTCTTCCACCAAGATAGTATCAAACCCCTTGGAAGATGAGAATCAATGATTCAAGCCCTCACGCCTGGTTCTGAAACGATCAATGATGCATGCCAGCTTACATAGTTCCCAGCCATCCGCGTTGTCGTCGATACACAATGATCCGTTGTGAGGCCTACGATAACCAGGTGTTTGGTCTTGATGTCTTCCTCCAGAATCCGTTTCAAATCCGTTGTGATGAAAGCCGAATTAACAGTTTTCTGCAACACCGGCTCCGTTGGCAGCGGCGCAACTATGCTCTGGATCGCCACACCGGGTTGATCGGGGCGCAAGTTTGAATCCGGTGATAGGGAGGTGTGCTGGATATGGACAATCGGCCGGCCGCTGGAGCGCCACGCCGTCAAGAGGCGGGCCATTTGCTTCTCGGCCTCGGTGTTGTTCCTTGGTCTCTCAACGCTATCCTTTAGTCCCTCTTGCACGTCAATAAGGAGCAACGTGCAGTTCGTTGGCAGTTTCTGCACAAGACTCGGTTAATATTCACCATGGCGTCGACGACCCTCAACAGAGGCACCGCTTCCATACCTCTGTGGTGGTCATTGCTAATGCTTTTGCTGAAAATGGTGGTGAGAGTGGTGCGATGGGGGTGCCCAATGACCAGGGAAAAAAGGCTTCTGAATTTGAATGGGAAATTCACGACGCCCTGCCGAGTCCCGAGACGAAGCGGACGCGCTAACCCCGCTAAGGACACGCGCTGGTGACATGAATCTGAAGACTTTGACGAGGCCACATCCTTTGGAAATAGATACTGTACGTACAGTAGCTTTGCAGCCAAGGACCAAAGAAGCCATGAGTAGCATCTACCCATCAGTGTCCAAGGACGAGGACCATCTCTCCGAGAGATCCCCTGTTCTTTCACAGTTCGAGGAAGCCTCGGGCTGTCAGCTTTCCAAAATTGCTCAGTACAAGTGCGTCCTTGCAAGTGAACGTATAATTTGCATCCCGGTCATCCGGTGGTTCAAGCGCTGTCCTGGGAAACCTAACGTTGAAGTGTAAGTTTTTCTCCACGACTTTACGAAGCCGGAGCAGTATCTCACATGTTAAGGCCTACAGGACGCCATGAGAAGCTACAGGAAAAGGTCCTACGCTACATAGCTATCGCTCTATCGGGTTCTGCTTGCAAGTGCTATATAAAGGATCTATGGAAGACGGCTACGACTATCCCTAAATGACAGCGACGAATGGTCGATACTTCAAGACTCCTCGTCGATAATATGCATCGACGACCCTCGCCGCGTCAATTTGCGGCTGTCAACACGTCCTGGTGGTTGGCCCAAAGGATCCGTTGAGGAGGTGGGCGATGTTGGCCAAGCGAGCGGTTCCGCGGCAGCGTTAATGCCTGACGTTGGCAGTGGAGATGGGAATAAAGAGGTGCTCGCGCCGCTTCGCATCGAATCCGAGTCCACGGTGGACGATTCGAGATCAAAGTCAGATTTCCCGCGGGACAAAGCCCGGGGCCCGACGGCAAATGATCCCGAAGAAAGGCGATGCAGTGCATCAACGGATGCGGATATCTTGAGAGTCTTTGGCAGGCTCCGGCCTTCCAGACTCTTCAGCAATCTACTCTGGAGAACGCCGCCTGCTTCGCTCATTGGGACTGCAGACGGGCCGTCTCGGGATCCCATGGCTGAGGATGGGCGATCCATCACTGTATCGTCCACGGTCTTGGTGGTGGTTGATGGGAAAGGCGCGGCTATGTCGGAATTGGGGGTACTCGGTGCAGAGTTGTTGCGGGATGGTTTTTTGTTGGATTTCCCTTTTAGTCTATTGATAATCTGTAAAGGAATTTCGTTCTCAACGTACTGGAGTGGTGCAAAATGAAGGTCAACGGGACCAGCCACGCACCTTTGTGACAAACATCATCGCAGGCTGGAAAGCGTTCTCAACTTCTTCCTCAGTAACTTCTTCGAACACGCAGTTCTCCTCGGTTGGCAGCATTGGGTCGGTGCCGTCCTTCGTTGTCCAAGGATGTTGTTTTACATCCTGAAGGCTTATTCGCTCATCAGGATTCTTCCGCAACATGCGAGTCAGAAGATCCTTCAGATTTGGTGAAAGATCGTCGCATATGTCTAGAGCTCCGCTCGCGATTTTTTCGTAAAGCAAGACCACGCTCTCATCTTCCCACGGTGCGCGACCGTGTGTGAGGCAATAGAGGGACACCCCGAGCGCCCAAATGTCCATAGCATATCCGCGCAGTTGTCGGGTGTCCGCTATGAGTAGAAACAAGTCAGCACACCATGGTCAGCACAACGCAGCCCGGAGAAGGGTGGACTTTCGCCGGCATACACTTACTCTCGCAGGCCTCTGGCGGGGTGAATAGCGGGGAAGAGTTTTTGTCGTCAACGATAGGCTCTTCCTCGCCGTCCTCAAACATATTCGATATCCCAAAATCCGCAATCTGTACAATTCCAAAGGGTGCTGCGGCCTTTAGGAGCAGGTTCTCCGGTTTGATGTCACGATGGATGATACGCTTGTAATGAACTTCGAGAAAACCATTAGCACATGAAGACGACGCAGATTGCAATGCAGCAAATGCCCACTCACGGTATTCAATCCCGAGCACGACATCACGGAAGTACGTGCGGGCCAGCTCTTCGGATAGGGGATTCACACTCTGGCGCATCTGGAGCTTCATGATCGGTCCGTACTCACAAAGTTCGAAAACTGGAAGTACTATCAGCAGGTCGCCGCAAACAACAAAGATCAGGTTCCGGAACTTACTCATATATAGGTTATCCTCCTTCCCATCGTCCAAAACCTCAACCAAGGCGTTGATGTTGGGATGTTTCGATAATTTCTTCAAAATGGCCACCTCACGTTTGATACTGCCCAAATGATCGTTGATGCCGGAGCTCCCACTCCCACTGCCCGCCGAACCACCGCGGACAGGGAGTGATTGCGACCATCGGAACTTCTTCCGTAATCGAGATTTGGAGATGATTTTGCATGCATAATATCGAGAATCCTGCTCGTTCCTGCATAGTACCACTCTCCCATACGCCCCTGAACCGATATCCTTGATGATTTGGTACTGGTTCACTTTCCCCTGACACTCCTCCGCTCCGCCGCCCAAAGGGTTGACCAATGTGTGACTGCCCTCGTGCATGGCGTATATGGTAGAGGTCTCGATAATTCGGTGTACGGGTGCTGGGCGTCGACGCTCCGTGGTCTTCGTGGACCGTTTGGGTTCCGCCAGTTTGTTGATGTTGGAGTCCATGGACCGTGATCTGGTATTCATGTGACTTCGTTTGAACTTGAACGTGGAAGCCTGATCGCCGGTAGCCAGCGACTCTGGAAGAGAACGGTGCACGTACGCTGCCAAGGGGTTGCTGTTGTTGCTGACGGAGTTCAGGGACGTGGACAGGTTGACGGCCGACTTTTCTTCGTTCTCGGACGACGTTACAGTCCATTGCGATCGTGATGGAAGCGAAGAATGGACATCTCGCGAGCGGATGGTCGCACGGCTTCCTGAGAGATTCGATGCCGAAGCGGATCCTTCCGCCCGGTCATGACCCATGCTCCGGAACGCAAGACCAAACCGCGTTAAACTCCTGTGAGTATGCGTCCTTTGCGCTTTGTTCAGATCCGCGTTGTTGTTCCGCGGAATGTCGACTCTCGAATCGCGCGATAGGGAGGACGATGAATCTGACGTCCGCATCGGCAGGCTGGAGTGACTTCGCGTGTTGAACATCTGCGACCCGAAGGATGCTAGGCTTCGGGACAAGGTCCTGAAGGATGTGTAGCTACCGCTCTTTCTGCCGTAAGAGCAGGTCTCACTGCATCGTTGGGAGACATTGTCGGAGCTGCCGCTGCTCTGGGTCATGTGCGCGTAGCAGTGATGCTCTGATAATCTCTTTCCAGACGTTCGACGCTTCTGCTGCGTCGGGAACTCCTCGTCGCTGGGTTGAACGGCGATGGGTGTGAAGTACTCGATTGAATGGATCGGATCTAGGAGTCGTGGACTGTCAATCCCCGGGGATGTAGAGGTGAGGGTCTCTTGCACCGAAAGCTCCGATTCACCACGCTCAAATAAAGATGGGACTTCCACCTCCCGTCGGACTGGGCTCGGCGGTGCATCGAAGGACATGGGGTCTGAACTGCCTCTCCGCGATTCCGACCGCAAGCCCAATGCTTCTAGAACGGGCATCGTCAGGGTTGGCGTTCCCAATTCGATGTAGTTCGGCCGTGCCGAGCGTGGTAGTAGCGATGATTGTGATGGGGGTAAGGCCGGGGAATCTTGAATCGGGGAAGGTGACGGTTCGGTACTTCTGGAGTCTGGCGGTGGATCTTCCTCGGCGACAGTCCTGACAATACGTAGTGACGGCATCGATGGCGGCATCCCGGCTTTACTTTTCCGAAGCCGTCTCTGCGCTTTGCTCAACCCTTTTTCATCTTCCTGCTTCGCCGACAAATCCCCACTACTGCGTTGCAGCCCGTTCGGGGCCACAGTCGCCCGCTTGAAATGTTGAATGATTTTATCAAAGATCCCACTTGGGTGCTTCCGCGATGGATGAAGCATCGGCGCCGCCGGCAGCAGACCACCGGCGTATGATGCCCGCCTTCGGGCATGTACTTCAATGTTGTCTAAACTCTCCGTTAAGCGCGCACTCCGTATCGGCTCGCTGCTTTTTTGCCGTGACCGCCGTTCCCGCGCCATCCCGCTCAAGGAGCGAAGTTTTCCGATGGCTTCCAGACGCGGCGACCCGCCGCCGTGCCGGCCCTGCCTCCGCTCTGCTTGTAAGTCAAACTCGCTGCGAGTGAGATCGGCCTGCATCATGCCAGAACGGTATGATCTCAGGGTTGATGATATCGGTACGTTGGTGGACAACCTCCTCCTTCTTGCTCCTGTCCGGTTCACAAAACGAGTTGGAATAGAACTGACGATTGGCTCCTTCTCTGCCCTACTAAAGGTAGCGTTTCAGGAACAGCTGCATGCCCAACTTGTGGATAAAATGCTGCCTGCACTTGCACACCAGAAACCGACTCCTAAGTACCGCGCTGCGCGTGAAACCGGTGGAATCCAAGTGTTTGTGAACGCCAGTTCAAGCCACGAGAGACCGCTGCGAAAGGAACCCGACTGAAAGAAATGTAAACAAAAGGGTGTTACAACGGAACTAACGCATTGAAGTTCCTGCCCCTGCGGGTGTGAAAGTACGTCAAGTGGATGATGACGAGCGGGCGCCACAACGTTGGCGGTTCTACGGCGAGAGATCCAACACAACACAAATACATGAGCCCCCAGGGAACAGGAATAGAACCTTGGGTGACGTACGGGTCCCGCCGCAGCACCGCTTCATCTGGGACGGGTATTAAAGGAGTTTTACCCGGCCTCGTTCCTCAAAATCCAATCTCATAGTAGAACAAAGTGCTCGAATTCTTTTTTGGGAGGTCTTTATTTGGGCTTTGGGCTACGCTATTGTTCGTCCTCCACCCTGACGGTTTTCCGGGCGGAGAATGCTTATACGACGCGCTTGTCACGTCACGTGCTAAACCTTATAACGCTGTGTCCCTATCAACTGTGGCTTTGCGCGAAACTGTCTTCTATTCACCTATGTCACCTATTCACCTATTCACCTACTGCAACTTCAACATCTTAGTGAATATGCATGCCGATGGTCGATAACGCCGTCGATCCATGTATCAATCCTCGATCAGCATTTCAGGGAACACTTCGCTCTTGAGTCTGTCACAATATGCGACCAGGTTGGGTTTTGAAGCCTGGCGAGTGCACAGTAAGGTATGATGCTGTTGATGTGAATTGTAATGGGGCGGGAACCTACCATCTGTTGAGACAGGCGGTTGTCCGGCAATTTGCTGTAAACCATATTGGCGATTTGTGCAAAAGCCGTAGCATCGACAGAGCTCGGTTGAGCATCGCTCAAGAAGTATCGCTTGTCGCCAAGGAGGTTTGAAAGCGCTGATGTTCAACGTTAGCATTCGTAAAGAATCGTAACCGGTCGTGCGCGCACTGTGCGAGCAAACCTTCCACGCAGTTCCCGTGCATCTCCAGAATTTCTTCGTAGGACAGTCTCCCTGAGTGTCATGGGTCAGCGTGGGCTTCCGTGTCGGATTCGACACCCATGTGCGCCATACCAAGCTTTTGCTTTCGCAAAGCCATGACTGTCTGCGAGCGCACCCGATTTGCGATGAAGCTTCGCATGACGGCAGGCACGGGTTCGAAGAAGAGGTCTCGAATAGTGGGCCAGTTCGCTTCATGTTGCCACCTATCATATAGCATCTGTGCCATTCCTCGTTAGCCTACGAAACAGCGCGCAGTCAAGCTCGTTTGCACCTCACCATCCAGTAAACCCCTTCTTCCAGCAAGTATTGAATGGCCGTCGACTGCCCTTTCTGCTCTAGACCATCGACGAACGTGGGTATGTTCAGCTCATTTCGAATCGGCGGCACTAAGACCCGCGCACCGAGGTCCTCACCGGCCGTAAGATGCGCATCCAGCCCGTTTGAGATGCCCTCTTTTTCCAACCAGCGTATAATCCGTTGGCTGTCGGATAGGACAAAATCATTGTATCTAACTACATGCGACCAGTAACACGGCGTAAGTTGTGCTAAAGACCAATATACTCGCGTTACGAGCTTACTCCAAGGTGCAGTCTTCGTAGGCGAATCACTCGCTGTAATAATCGTCTTCTGGACGTGAGGGACTTTGACAAGTCGCAAGTAGGTCTCCAATTTCCAGCATGCGGGCGACTACGGGGCGAGCGGTTGAGATAGAACCAGCCAACAAACGAAGCAATCTCGACATTTGCGTTGATTTTCAACATGAATATTTGAGACTACCGACCATGTTCCACAGTCCAGTCCCTTTGTACGTAGGGAAAAGGTACGTCACTAATGTGTTTTTCGGAATGTCTTCCTTCTCGGGTTCCCGTTTGGTCAGTAACTTCATGGCAACGCCGGCAACCAGTAAGGCGACGCCGGCACTCTTCAGGACGACTTTCACGTTATCGTCGTTCATGCTGATGGCTGCAAAGAAATCTTCTATCCTCGGTCCTCTGTTGCTGTGGTTGATTGTCAAGCCAAGATGGCAAGATGGGATTGGATGGGTGGTTGGTGGGCAAGCAAAGCGACCAAAGTTTGACAGCGACGGCAACTGACAGCATCGGACAGCAGACCTCACGTGACCAACATAAAATCTCACCTATGCGTTGTGGCCATTTGCCTTGCACATATGCTGGATTAAGAGCGTTGTCTGGTTGCACTTCACCCTACAGGGTCGAAATCTAACTGGCGATTCTACCTACTGGCACTTCACAGCGGCATTTAAGTGTAGGCTCTTGCTGAGGGTACGTCGTTACGAGACCTACTTGGGATCGCTCTTTGTGACTTTGTGGCAGTGGCTTTGTACGGGGCGCAGTTTGGTGGTCGTCCTGTGTGTGATCTGCAGAGTTCTTTGCGTAGACCGCACACGGTGGCTCGATTTACTGGAAAGCCCTCGTTCGGTGCCTCTCCAAAGCGTCGTACTCAGGAGGCTGACCGCGTGCTCCTCGTCACTCCACAGGTCTCAAACTCGTGACCTCCCCAAAATGACCGACCTCGACTCGACAGCCAGGGCAGCATCACCCGACCACGAAGACCATGACGATGGAGGGGAGTCTGGTCGTGGCGGCCGCGATAAGTTCTCGCGGGAGCGGAACGAAGGGTCTGGTAGAACCGACGCAATGGAAGTCGATGAGTTTGGCCGCACCGTCACCTCCAGAAAGCGGAGGGAGAGGAGCAGGACTCGCAGTCTCTCACCGCCAGTTGCTGGTGAGTATTCGAGACTGAAATTTTGGAACGCCGGAGCTCTTTGATTGACGATAGAAAATGATCTTGCATCAGAGCGACGAGGAAAGCGACGTCGTTCGAGGAGTCGCGAACGGGAACGTGAGGGCCCCGACACATACATCCCGGATTATCGGAATGGAAGCGGACCACCTAGACGTCGCAACAATGATGTTCCCATTACCGACATTGCCCCTGCGTTTTTCGGGCCAATGGAAGGGTACTCTTCTAGATGGGCGGTGCTCAGGGTCAACCCCGTCAATACTGACGCTCAACCCATTAACGCAGGCTACCGGACCCTATGACTCTGGATTTCCTCATCTCAAGGGACGAATATGGCATGTGGGCTCGGGAGCAACATCGGAAAAAGGCGGGCCCTCGCGCACCTACCATGAGCCCAGATGAGGTTGATCGAAGATACGAGCTTTATAAAGAGAACTTCAACACAAAACAGCTGGTGAAATACTTCAAGCAGGAGAAGGACTCTGAATGGTATGCATCAGCAAAATGAAAGCAGCTTTGTTGAGATGTCTCTGACACGGAGAAATTAGGTTCCGAGAGAAATACCATCCGGAGGAATCGAAGCCTATGCTGGAGGAGGTGAAAGCCAGACGACGGGAGCTTCTTGCCAAGTTTAAAAAAGATCTGGAGTCCGGGCAACATGACGATGTTTCATATGATGAAAGTAAACGTGGGCCGCAGGATGGCTCGGCGATGGAGACCAAGGACGCGGAGCCCAAGGAGGAAGCAAAGGCTAATAACGAAGACGCGCCAGCGGAGGATGGAGCGAATGCCGAAGTGCTACTTCCCACGCCATCAGAAGACAAAAGCGCTCAGCCTCCGAAGGAAGGTCTGAAGGCGGAAAATATTCACGCGCTGTTCATCAAAGGCGTCCCTCCCAAAACCCCGCGAAAGGACTTGAAGGAGGTACAGGATCAGGCATTCCCTTTACAATCGCTGGTCTTCGCTTATCGATTCGCTGACATGTTCGAAATTGATAGCTTTGCGCACAAGCCGAAGGCTTCAAATATCTGGTTCTCAGTGATCCTAAGCTCGATAAGAACATTCGGTATGGATGGATTATCTTTGAGGACGACGCTGACATGCCGAAGGCCCTCTCAACCCTGCAAGGAAAGCAGGTGGGCATTTGTTGCTGGTCTCGCACTCCCGCGGGGTGTATTACGTTATTGACTGGGAGCTACCACTTTGCAGATCGGTGAATTTACCTTGAGTTTGGCCTTGCATCATTGGCAAGAACTTCGCATCCGGTCCATTCCTGGGGAAACCAACCGTCCAGAGCGCCTGCAGAAAGACCTAACGCAAATCAAAGAGCTATCGAAAGTTCTGGATGGGGAGATGGACTTCGACCCCGAATCGGGCGTGGCGATTGTGGAGTCGAGATTGGAAAATGTCGTCCTCCCCAAGTTAGAGCAGCAGCTCGAAAGCGAAAGCGAGACCGAGAGAAAGACAGCGAAGGTAAATCGCAATGAAATATCTTCTGGAGACCTTTCCCATCTCACGCGACCTCCGGATCGCACAGGTTAAGCGGTCGCTGGACCTGCATATCATCTATCTGCGACGAGTCCACTGCTACGATTACTACTCCGGCTCGGAAGCTCTCAGCCCGGAGGACTTTATGCGCAAAACGTCAGTCCAGCTGCGTCGACCGGCAGTCGACAAGAAGTCCTCGCATTGGCTGGAAAGGCTCGATACGCGTATAGATATGCGTACCCACAAGCCAGTAGAGGGATCGCAACTGATCAAAATGGGCGGAAAGTCTCTAGAGGCGGAGTTGGACAAACACCTCAAAACGTACTCGAAAAAGGAGACAGAGGGCAAGTACCGCTGCACGGAGTGTCAGAAGCTGTTCAAGGGAGACGAGTTTGTCAGGAAGCACGTCCGAACGAAGCACCCGGAACGGACGCTGGCGACCATTGAGGAAGTCAACTTCTTCAACAACTTCGTCCGTGATCACAGCAAAGTAAACCTCAATTACCTCGCGCCGCCTCCAATGAACGGAGGAGGTATCCCAGGTGGACCGCCGTTTGGAGGGCCTATGCCCATGATGATGCCCATGATGCCCATGATGCCCATGGGGATGAACCCATTCATGATGCAGCAGTTCATGCAAATGCAAGGGAATGGCGTTGGTGGAGGCATGGGAGGAGGTATGCAGCGGAACGACAGGAATGGAGGACGTGGTGGAAGGAACTCCTTGCAGGGACGGTTGGGACCACCGCCTCCCAAAAAGCCCAATGCGTAAGTTTCCTGTTTTCGCTCGGATCTGGATTATCCCCTACTTACTTTGCATATCCATATGCTTACAGGAGAAACGACCCTCGCCAGATTCGCCACTACGACGACCTAGACAACCCTGTTCCCGCTGGAGAGATGGAAATCAGCTACGACTGAGCCCCGACGCCCCTCCACTCTGTGCCGCGTTCATGGCTGCCATCCAATACTGCCTCAGTTACATCCCAACGGTATCTTCCCTATTCCTGAAACCCCTATCGTGTCCCGGCCATGTGAACCATTTGAAGCGAAGGGGCTATTTGAGGTACCTCTGTATATATACGTGCAATCTATTGATTGCGTTGTCCGAAACTAGGTTGTTGGCACGTGACTGTTGCTCTCGCGATGTCCATCTAGTCATCCCTCCCGTTCTGAACATGAAGGCCTCTTTTCGTGTTGCCCATCCCTCAACTTTCGTCGCTCAAATCAGTCCCGGTTGTTGGCCGATCGCCGGAGCCACACTTGTTAAACCCCTCTCCTCGAACAACGGCTTCTATTGCCCTCGTCGGAGAGAATCCAAGGCATCTGAATCGGCCGATCTCAAATAGTGGGGTCGATAGGAAACCGCGATTAAAGGGAGGCGGACAACATTCGAGCAGGGATATCGAAAGCTCTGACGACCGGAGGGCAGCGGCGGTAGAAACGTTGAAACGCCTCCACTCGCGCCTGTTGGGAGTTCAGTACGCGGCCATTCGCCGTCTTGGTGCATTTCGCAATCGGAGCTGTCCTCGCGTCGGGAAAGAGGGTCCGTCGAATGCGCAGGGTAAGGAAATCCTCAAATTGTTTACCCATCGGCAACCGAACACCGCCGAGTCGACTGATAGAACGGCCATAAAGCACAAAAGAGAGCTGTTCCTTGTTGCCGCGCAACCATGCTTTCCGCACAAAATCCATCCATGTCCGCTCGACGGAGATCAACAATCCAACCCCCGGTTCTCCGCGTCCCGGTCTCACATCCGTCATCACAACACCGAAATGGCCAAAAGAAAGCCAACGCCGGCCATCCCACATGGTCCGATATGGAGCAACCCGCGCCTCCACCACCTCAAGCCCCACTGCTAGCGAACCCAGCCACTCTCCGCGCGTCGAGCGAGCTCATTACCGAACTAACAGGCTGGGCCCCGCTAACCTACGTCGACGACGTGATCAACGCCGTGAACGACATTGCATACAAAGGCATGGACTCGTTCGGCGAATGGGTGCAGAACTGCGGGCTGGACGAGGACGAAGCCGAGAAAGGTCTGTCGGCGACCGAGACGCTACTGGAGAACAATATAGATAAACAGTTTGACCGGTTCGAGCTGTTTGCGCTGAAGAATATATTCAATGTGCCTGCGCACGTGCAGATTGTGTTGCCGCATAATGAGGGGTTGGATTTTGGGGTTACTGCGGCAGATGAGGCGAATGCGGATATGGAGATTGAGGCGCTGAGGAGACAGATTAAGTCGGCGGAATATACGGTTGGGCGACTGAGGGAGGAGGTAAAGGCGACTGAACGGAGGAATCGGGGGTTAGAGCGCATGAAGCGGAGTATTGAGGAGTTGGCGGAGATTGCGCGGTCGCATTCAGGTATGGCGCACGATTTGAGTGGATTGGACATTTACGAGGTTCCTTCCCGATTCTCGATATTGATGCTCACATATTAGCAGACTCGAACCTCCCCGATTCCATCCCCACCCTCCTCACCACCGTCCGCGAAGCCAGCAGCCTAGCAAGCACCGTCCGCACCGCCTCGGAAACCCTCTCCTTCCGCGACCTCCTCATCCCCTCGGACCCATCAGCCGACTCGGACGAAGCCCACGTGCGCGACGCGATCATAGCCGCCATCGAGCGTCGTCGCCAAAAACAGGACGAAATGGCGGCGAGGACTCCATCACGACGGAATGGCGAGTCGTCGAGGAGGAGGAGCTCGATGGGTGTGCAGGTTAAGACGGGGAAGGAGGGGCTGGAGTGTGCGATGGAGTATCATGAGCTTGTGGGAGGGATTGGGGATGCTGCGGATATAAAGGTATTGTGGGGTGACCGTGACATCCCCATGTGTACTTTGCTCCAACTGACTTCATCTTTTACGTCTTCAGGGATGGCGAGAATTTTTGGAATCTGGCAGTCTTCCCGGCTCTCCATCAGGCCAGTCACTACAGCAACCACAACCGCCGCAGACCGAAGAGCACTCAGATTCAGAGCGAATGTCGGAGTGATTCCATCGCCACGGCCACAACACCAATATAATAATACGGAGGCACAACCATGCCCGTGCAGTGAAGGAAAGGAGTTTTCGTGGGGACGGAAACGTGATGTAGAGGCGTCTGAGGAAATAGAGCATATATGCTCTGACAGTGTTTTGCATTTACAAAATTGATGTCGTATGTTGTAGTGGCTTGATATTATTGCGGTTGGCTGCGAAACTTTACCTCGCGGGTGTCCCTGCGTAGAATTGATACACCGAATCTGGGGGTGTTGTGTGTAAATATACGAATGTACGGATATGCATACTTTGTGCAGCCTGCGTTGGAGTGATGCGAAGTGCTCCAGGGCAGAACCGTGACTGATTTTGCCAGTTCGGATTGAAATCATGATTATGGGGTATGTGGATGAGAAAAGCTACCAAAAATACAGTTGCATATACTGTACAATGCGCGAAGTACAAGGATTCAATTGTGGGGAGTTCGGGGCCGGTAAAATCGCAGCGAGTTTGGCCTGATGCGAGAAGAGGATCGTTTGACGCATCACATATCCTGAAAGAAAAGAGAAGGTGAGCATACGTCCTTGCTGTCAACGACCCTTGAAGGGATCAACGTACCTCAGCGGACCACTTATAAGCCTCCAACCGCACGGCCTCATTCCGATTCCGTTCCAGAAACCACTTCCTCTCAAACCCAGTGGACCGATCGACCCCATCCCACCTATACCCCGGCTCAATCCCAAACCGGTTGGGCGGCGGCGGCGGCCCCGCATAGCGTTTCCGGACCTCTTTCTTCTTCTTCGCCGTCATAAACGCCATCGGGTCGCCCCACCGTCCCCGGTCCGCGAGCTCCTTGTTCCGCTCCTTATCGTCTGCATACACAGTGAAGGGGGCATCCTTCATCGCTTCCAGTTTCTTCCGCCGCGCCTCCTCTTCGGAATGCTGTGCAATGCCTTTCCCCCATTTGACTTTTCCCGCTTCCTCCTCCTCCTTCTTTCGTCGTGCTTCGAGCAACGCGGCTTTCTCGGCCTCGATGTCGACTTTTTTACCGAGTTTGTCACGGTAGATCGTCGGCGCGTCCCGACCTGTTGCGGACGCGAACGCGGCTTGCTGTTCGGCTCGCGCCGCGGCCGCTTCGGCTCGGATGTCGTCGCTGGAGCGTAGGCCTCCTTGCATCTTCCCTGAGCTTTTGGGATGTGCGGATGAGGGTGGCGGAGTGGGGGAGGGTGATCGTCGGCGGCGCTTTCGGGGTGGTGGGGATGGGGATGGGGATGGGGATCTTCGAGCTGTTTCGCGACCGTTTGGCGGGGGTGATACTGATGGTGAAGGTGACCGACGTCGGCCTCTGGTATCTGCTCCCGTAACGGGTTGGCCTTCTCCTTCTCTTATCACCGCCCAATTGGCGGTCGTAAATGGAGCTGCCTCCCCGTCTTCCACCGCAGGTTCGTCGCCATTGCCCAGCACCACAACAGGCGCGACATCCTCGTCGTCATCGCTATTCCGAGACACGTTCTTCCAATCGTCCACCTCCTCGTCTATAATTCGTGTCGTTCCAATTGTGGATTCCGGTTTACGTTTCTTGCGTTTCTTCTGTTTCGACGTTGGGTCGGAAGGTGCGGCAGCGGCAGAGCCATACCTTTTCAAGTAATCTTTCAGGCTGCTGCTCATGGCTGCGGATACTCTTGTTCTAAGGTGCTAAGTGATCTTGAGCTTCTGTGAGTCTGCGCTCGCTGCGTGGTGATGATGCCTGCCCCATTCCATAGTAGAATTACGAAGCGGGGCAGACTTCAGAAGTAGGCGGCGACTTTGACACATTTTAATGGATCACGTGCGCTCTGGAATCCTCGCAGCCAATTGGCAGCGTGTGAACGGACGATGCCTTTGGAGCATCGCGCAGTCACAACGCGCTTTCGGCTCGGCGGAACAGTCGAAGGAAAACGCTCACCTCACGCCATCCCCTTCTCCACATAGCCCAATAGGACCATTGGCCATAGATCTAGATAGCCTGAGAGGTATCATTAGACCCCTGCAAACCGTATCAACAGAGTAGGACAGAATACAACCTATCGCTATGGCCCTCCAAAAGATGCAAGGAGAGCCTGAGGGCGTCGCCGCTGCGCCCCGGGGCCTGGAACACATATCGGGTGGGTGCAAAGGTGGTGTGTGCTCACCAGCTTTCATCAACCGTCGCGTGGTGAGAGCTGCCGGAGGCTGTTTTTCTTTCGTTGACCGCTGGTCGAACTCTCATAAATATGCTTGGGTGAGGGTTCGCCCGGGTGCCATGCGAAGGGAATCCCGGTCTGGAACCGCTATATATACTTGAGCATTGCTGTCTGCAACATTCGTCTCATTGTTTCTCGCAACGCTTGTCCACGCTCCATAAGATACTAGAAGAAGCAACAAAGCGCTCTTAAGGAACTACAAAAGCCCCAAATCTGTAATGTCTGCCTCGGCCCTGCTCGCCTCGGCGACCCACCCCTCAGAGCTTTACGCTCTCTTCCACTACATCATAACGGCCCCCAAAGCGCCCTCCCCAGCAAAAACAATAAAATCCCTCACCCCGTCCAGCCCATCCTACACATACGCCAAATGCTACGACTTCCTCAACCTCACATCCCGCTCATTCGCCCGCGTCATCCAGGAACTCGATGCGGAACTACGACACCCCGTATGCATCTTCTATCTCGTCCTGAGGGGTCTGGATACTGTTGAGGATGACATGACGTTGGGGATTGAGAGGAAGAAGGAGGTGCTGGAGAAGTTCCATGAGCTGATATATGTGCCGGGGTGGAATTTCCAGGAGAGCGGGGAGGGCGAGAAGGATAGGGCGCTGTTGGTTGAGTTTGAGGTTGTTATTGCGGAGTTCCTCAAGCTGAAGGAGAGGTACGTGTCGCGATGGGTCTCGAAGGGCAGTTGAGAGACTGCTGTCATGGCGTGCATTGGGGCTTTGGGGCCGGATGTTCATTACCCTTATACTTACCGATTCCCTCGTCTCCGTTCCAGCTACCAACTAATCATCGCCGACATCACAAAACGCATGGGCCACGGCATGTCATCCTACGTCTCCAAACCCACCAGCTCCAAAACCCAGATCACCAACCCCGCCCACCTCATCGAGATCCAAACCACCGCCGAATACAACCTCTACACCCACTACGTCGCCGGTCTCGTCGGAATCGGTCTCACCAACCTCTTTGTCGCCTCCGGCCTCGAAAACCCCACCCTCGCGTCGCCCGAACGGGCAGAACTCGCTAACGAGATGGGTCAGTTCCTGCAGAAGGTCAATATTCTGAAAGACTTTTTGGAGGATTTGAACGAGGGGAGGATATTCTGGCCGAAGGACGTGTGGGAAAAGTATGTACCTGCTGATGATAAGGAGGTTGAGGCGCTGGCGAAGGCGGAGAATCTGGATAGGGCGTTGGCGTGTTTGAACGCGTTGGTCTTGGATGCGTTGAAGCTGGTACCGTCGTGTTTGGAGTATATGGCCGGGTTGAGGAATCCTACTGTTTTCCAGTTTTGCGCTATTCCCCAGGTGCGTTTGCTGTTGGACTCCCACTTGGGCTTAAAGGAATGACCAGCTGACCTTCGAACCATCACTTCACTCACAGATGATGGCCATAGCCTCCCTCAACGAATTCTTCAACAACCCCGCTATTTTCCAACGCGTTGGCACGAAGATCCGCCGCGGTCTCGCCGTCAAGCTTATGCTCGCGTCGACGGACATGGACTCGATCAAGCGCACCTACCACGACTTTGCGCTGTCGATCAACCAGCGCAATGCCAAACGCGTGGGGACGAATAAGGAGGACGAGTCGTTCTTCGGGATTGCTGTTGCTTGTGCTGATGTATGTATGGGATGCTGTTCCCCCCTTCGCGTACTCGCTCTGATCCATGTTGGAAGTGAGACTCATTGCATCCCCCTCGTTTTGTAGATCGTCCGCTGGACCCACATCCACGACAAATCCCACCCCTCCTCCGACCTCAACAGCAAGCGCATCGATTCCGGGTACGCCCTCGCCGACACGGCCAAATCCGCCCTCTCTGGCCCCAAATCATCCACTTTCTACAACAGCGTTCTGCCCACCAGCTGGGTTGTGTTGCTTGTTGTTGCGGCGGTGGTGGCGGGGTGGGCTATTTATGCTGGCGCGAATGGGGTCTGAGGACGACCTTTTTTTCTTCGTTCATTGGGCGGGGACTTGTGGACGAAGGGTTTGTTTTTTCGTACATGTAATATATCACACTTGCCTTTCCACACCGGCTCCTCCTTATATGGACTCTGTGGTCAAGAAAGGCAGGAATGTCGCTTGGACTGTGAACGTCGCGTTGACGCCCGTCCGAACAGGGCTCGCCTTCCTCATCCCGACGCTTATCCACAGCCAGGGTGGTGTAAAGCATTCCAAAATGCCTCGAATTTCATCAGCAGATCACGCAGGGCCGAGAGGTTGACGATTTGTGGGTTAGGGTTCTGGGCTACGCGCGGCGTGCTCACATCTGGCTCACATCCGGTTGCAATTTCCTTGCTTTTACACCACCAACTGCCAATCCGAGCAAATCCAACGGCACCCAAATTCCCACGCCAATCGTCATGACCGAATCGGACATCGCCCAGGCGACCCTTACGGCACTACGTGCCGCCGAGTGAGTTTCCCCTGCAAAATGCCATTGCGACCACTTTTGTGTACAATACTCCCCGAGTCAAGCACACTCTTAACTAGTCGTGCCTTGCCAGCTGGACGTGTACAGAACGCCAAATACGACGGACTGTGGAAACCGCGTTGGGGTTGAAGCCAAAAGCTTTGGATGAGGTCAGGAGCACGAAGCCAATTTCCCACAGCTGCTGCTGCTGCTGCCCGACTGTGCCGCGATAGCAAGGAAACGTTCATTTTTCTGACTGGGAAGGAAACGGATATATCCAGGCGTCAAGTAAGAAAACAATCAAAAGCATCGTGGAGGCCTTCCTCAAGGACCCCGCCGCATTCGCCGAGGATACACCAACCAAACGAAGATGGGGAGTCGGATCGGAAGAAGGTGACGGGTCTGCAGGAAAATCGGGGTCGGGGACAGAACAGGCCAAGGCGGACAATGCGGCGGGTGTAGATGGTGGGAAGGGGAAAGCGCGGCCGAAACGGGTGGTTGATAGTGATGACGAGGATGAAGAGGAGGGGAAGAGCGACGGGGGGGTTAAGGACGGGGGTTCGGTCCGCAAGAAGGCAGCAAAGCGCGCGAACCGAATCTTAGATAGTGACGATGAAGAGGAACCCGGCGGTAAGGACAGCGAGGAAGCGCCGGAGGAAGAAGATGAGGATAGGGATGGTGAAGAGACGGACGAGAAACCGGCCAAAGCACCGCGGAAACGCACATCGTCGACGAAAGGCGAGGGTGCGAGCAAGAAGCGAAAGTCAGATCCGACCTCAAGGGGGAAAGGGGATGGTGAGGAGATTAAGGAGAAGGATCAGAAGGCTATTGCGTCGCTTAAAAAGTATATCGTTCAGGTAATGAAACTCGCAATCCTTCGGGTTTTTTGCATTCGATGTTAATCTTGTGAACATCTCTGAACAGTGCGGAGTGAAGAAGAAATGGAGCACGGAGTTGGATGGAATGACTGGCCCGCAGCAAGTTCGGCATTTACGGCGTATCCTGGAGGATTTGGGGGTGTCTGAACGGCCGACGTTAGAGAAATGTAAACGGGTCAAGGCACAGAGGGAGTTTGCAGCCGAGATCCAAGGTAAGTCTTCACATGGGGATTTCGCATGCAGCCATCATTTTTACTGATTGTGTCCAAATCCCATTATAGAGCTGGACCCGGCCAATATCGTTTCCGAAGAGGGAAGTCCCAGGCGAAGCCGCCAATAACAATAGCTGTAGGAATACCGATGCATCAAATCTTCGCACCTTTTCCGTATTATACTGTAATACCATAGAGTTTGCTGTAGCATGACGAGCCGTTCACCCGCCCTCCCCTTACACAATAATAATGCAGGAAGTCATCGTTCACAGCAACCTTCAACAGCCGGATTCAAGATCGATATCCGAGTTCGAGGCTACTCAAATGGAGGCTTTGAATTTACGTGATCGACAGGAAGTTAAGCAAAAGCCAAAGTGCGCGAAGCGGCTCCGACCGGCGAACCATGTTCAGCGCACCCTTCGGGCGCGCTTCTTTACCAGCCGGAAAAGGGCTTCTGCAAACCCACAGTGACCAACATGCTGCTCGTGCCTTCAAGTCATCGGTCTCGCGTTGACGAGACTTGACTGGTCTCCTTGTGGGGACAGCGCTAAGCCCCTTCCCCTTAACAAGGTTGTTTTTGAGTTGTGTCACGGGCTCTTGCAGCTACTAGCGTCTCTTGGAGACCGTTACAGATGAGACGGCCGTGTTCTCTCTTCTTGCAACTTCCGCCATCTCCAGACTCGCCGGCCCCCCCGTCAACCGCTTGCGTCGGCTTTCTGTGAGGTCATCAGGTAGGTGATGGCCGGTGACTTCTGCTCTGTAGCGTGTCGAATCTAGAGTTCTGTTCAAACGTCGACTTGAAAGTTCAGCACATGTCCCGAGCGATTTGGCATCGTATGAGAGTGACGTAAGTCACGGTGACGTGTTTCGCTCGCGTCGCCCCCCCGATTCGGCTTCCCTCCCCAACCCCCGCTGTGGCTGCGAAAAAGAGGGTGGGGAAAAGGGTTCCAGACTCTGTGAATTTAGGGCATGGATGGTGGTCACCCTTTTCCTTCCATATGATACAACCATACAAAGTCATGCAGCGTCAAAAACAAAGCCACAAACGTCACTTTCCCCGTCCTCTGGCGACCCGCTATCTGCATTCTAAAAGCCTGTTTCCACTCCCAGATCCATAAAAGGCCGCCCTCGAGGTTAATTCCCTCGCTTTCTCCAACGCAACGATCTAGCACAATCTCATAACTGCAGCTTCACCGCTCACTAGCCCGGCGACACCTATCCGCCCTTCTATCTCTCACTTTGCTAGCCAGCTCAACCGCCCAACAATGCCTCTCCGAGCCCCAGCCTTCTTCCGCCGTCGTCGCGCCACAACGGCCGCAGCGCCAGTTACCGTCGCCGACATGCACCGAAAAAAAGGTCTTGCCTGCCGCCCCATGCCCATCCTCCTCACCCTCCTCTCCATCGGCGCCCTTGCCCTCGGCATCATCTCCTTCCGCACCGCCGACTCATGGTACAGGCAGGACGTCGGTATCAACGTCGCACCCGCCGCTGGAGGAAACGCTGGAGTCGGTTTCCCTAACCAGATGGCCTTGAAAGTAGATTTGAACTCGTGGTGCGTGGACGGTCTGCCTGCTAGCGTCCGTGTCCCTCAGATCGACCAGTCGGCCCCTGGAACTTGCAAACCTATCGACATGTGCTCCATTATTGGCGACTCCTGCTGGCTCACTCAGGCGGGAAAGCCCGTCCTCATTGTCTTCATGGCTGCCACGGCTGCGTCAATCAGTAAGTATTCGTGTGCTTGTTCTGATACCTTTTTAGAGACGACAGTGTACTCATCGATTCCTTTCCTTCCCACCACCAACAGTCCTCGCAATGATGCTCCTCTGCAACATCCCCGTCCTCACTCTCATCAACTACATCCTCCTCCTCGCAACCTCTATCGCCGCCATCGCCTGCGGTGTCGCCATCCTGGTCTACTTCTCGAAGCTTACCACCATCGTTCCCCCACGCATCCCTGACATCGTCCGCACCATCGCCGGTCCCGCGTCGGGAGTCGTCAGTGGTTACGACGCCGGCCACTCCTACATGCCCCCACGCCTGTGGTTGATCATCGCCACTGCCTTGATGTCCGCCGTGTTCCTGCTGACTCTGATCAACGCTTGCATCGAGCGATGCGGTCGTCGGGTCACTTCTCACCACCTGAGGAAGGCTGGCCGTCATGAGGTTGTCCAAGTTTAAAAGTCCGACAAGTTATCGCATATCGAGCACATTTTGGCCTTAACACACCGCATGGTTAACATGCAGCTTTCAAGCATCCTGTACATGTAGTTATTCCCATCTTACCCTGTACATACATTATCTATACCTACCTTCGTAAATAATATCGCTTTCCCACATGTACATGTACGCTGCGGTTTGTTTTGCTGTCACGGTCACATTTTGAAGTCCTACGTACGTAATAAAGGAAGTGGGGTCGTGACGCGCTCGATGACGACGCCCGACTCGCCCGAGGCTTGAAATTGACCTCCTTCGTCCAAAGTCTTTTCATCCTCCCATCTTTTCATCTGAATCTCAGCGAACCCCCTGAAACCTTACCAAAAATGAAACGAGGACACACCGCAGACGAGACCTCGAACCCCTCCTCTCCCTCCTTACGTTCGGCGTCCAAGGCCGTCGCCGCCGCTACAAGTGAGTCCTCTCTCCATCCCCACATCGTCCATTTTCCCACGGAGCTAAACGCACCCCACCCATCTTCCAAACGCAGTCATGTCCAAAGTCCCAAGGATGATGAAGGATTACCACCCCTTCCCCCAAAAAGCCAACCACGCCATCGCCTCCGCCGCCAGCGACGCCCACACCCCTCAAACCGCGTCCTCCGCGTACAAGCTCGCGTGGGCCGACGATGAATTCCTCCACCGCGATGATCTCCGTCCTCTCCGCTTACAACTGGAGTACACGAAGCCGGAGAAGGTGATGCAGGACCACGACATCGACAGCACGATTGTGGTGTTTGGCAGCGCGCGGATTAGGGATATCGAGCAGGCTACCGCGCAGTTGAAGGCTGCTGAGCAGCTGGTGAAAACGAAGGGGGAAAAAGATGAGGAGGCGAGGGAGAAGCTGAGGGTCGCGAGGAGAATGGTGGATAGTGTGAAATATTATGATGCCGCGCAGGAATTGGGGAGGATTGTGACGGAGCATAGTGATGGCAATAAGCTGTGAGTTGGGTGCGGGTATTGGGTAGGGGATGGGAAACGGGATTTTGAGCCTCAACGCTTGATGCCTTATTGCTTCAGAGTTGTTATCACTGGTGGAGGCCCTGGAATCATGGAGGCTGCGAACCGAGGAGCTAGCGAGGGTATGTGATCATCGCACCGCGAAATATTCGTCAGTTTGAGACATGTGGCTAAACGTGACCCAATCTTTTCAGTCCCTGATGGCCGTTCCGTGGGGCTCAACATCGTACTCCCTTTCGAGCAGAGGCCGAACCCATACATCACACCGGAGGTATGTGGCACGGGCTCCGATGAGAAGACCTTTGGGGAAGGCTGACCAACGATTTGATTACAGCTCTGCTTCAACTTCCACTACTTCTGTATGTCATCACTTGATCTAGGGGACTCAAAGTCTTCCGCTCCTAACCCAGTCAACCATCATTAGCGATGCGGAAGATGCATTTTCTGGGACGTGCTCGCGCGCTGGTTGCCTTCCCTGGTAAGGATTCGAGGGGAAGCAATACATATTCACGGTCGTCTGACAAGTCTATCGTCCACATCGCTAGGTGGCTGGGGAACCATGGACGAGCTATTCGAGGCATTGACACTGATCCAGACGAAGAAGATGGCGCCCATGTGAGACGCTGTTTCCCGAATCGGACTGACTTTAGCTTTTAGTGAATATTGATGTCAAATCTGCCATTCCAGTCCGGTCATCTTGTTCTCGAAGGCATGGTGGGAGAGAATCGTTAACTTTGACAGCATGTTGGACGAGGTATGTTACGTCTGGTGAAAGAACTCGGATTACTCGTCGCTGATGTGGTTTTACTCCCCAGGGCGTCATCTCCAAGAACGACTTCACGCTCTTCAAGTACGCCGAGACGGCACAGGAAGGTGAGCAACTCCATCCTTGGCATAGGAGAGACTCCCATATATCATCCCTGGTATGTACTGAACGCCTGGTCTCCAGCGTGGGGTCACATCACCGCCTTTTACAAGGAGACGAGCAAGAATGTGGACGGACCGACGGCGAAGCGTCCCAAGGTGGACGATCCTGCTCAGAAGCAGGGGTAATGGGACTTGCGAAGGATATTGTGGAGATATGGACTTGACTGTTTTCAGACCGTTGGGATCGTTGCGGATTCAAAGAGAAAGCCTGGACGTTGCTACTCTGTGTAATATACACATCGCCCAACATTCCTCCCATGCTAAAGTGTCGAACCGCTGTGCTAAAGTGCTCAAGTGCTGAACCGCTGTCGCACTTGCAAAAGCGTGCGTTGAAGTGACCTTCACCCCTCTCTCAGGTGCTGTCTGTGTGTGTGTGTGTGTGTGTGTGCGTGCGACGAGGGAAGTGCAATCCGTCTGTGGTCATCGAAACCAGTCACGAAGGAGACGAATGCGGCAGCCAGCCATTTCAACAGCGTCTTTCTGAGCCATCATCACACTCCCGCTTGCGTTCGCACCGTCAGTCAACAAAAAGCGCCCCCCCCTCCTCCGCAACAACTTGCACCCAGCACTTCCACACTCTCCCACTAGCTAAAAAAGCGTCCAGCAGAACAATACCACGGTCCACCTTATTCTCAGAACCCAGGAGACACTGGCAGCATATCCCACAGTTCAGCGTAGAAGGATAGGCGGTCTTTGGCCCTTTCTGCATAAAGCATAGGTAACCTAGTTCTATGAGCGGTGTGTTTTTGCACTTCTCATTACCACTTGCCCTCCCAGGAAGGCTCACACACCTCTCTCTGCATATCTACTGCACCAGACGTCCCAGGCGAATCGGGAGAAGCAGGTCATCTTCCTCCATTGTCTCCGTGTTGTGTCACTAGCCCGAAATCGCGTTTAAAGAAAAAGCTCTTGTCATCTTGTCGAAAAAAACCACACACACAACACCATGTCTATCCCCGCTCGACGTCGACAGCAGCCATTTTTGCAGTACGCCGAAAGTGGCGGGCATGTTCCTTCTCCACTTACGCTGTACCCCTCCGAGCCGGGCGCCGGCATATCGCCTGAACAACCGCCCGAAAGTAGTGACATAGCCCCCTCGTCGTCGAATAAACGCAAAGCGAACGACGACGACCCTGCTGGCAGAGCGCCGACGAGAACTTCGTGTATGTTGGCGTAGCTCTAAACGTTGCTATGAAAGGAAAGCTTTTGTATTAGAATCCTTCGTTGATGGTTCTTTATTGCTACATCCAGCCCGCGCAAAACGAGCCCCTACAGCATCATACACCCCCGACCACGAGCACAACACCCGTAAGAAAGGAAAGACATCAACAACAGCACCCCCATCGGGTCCCAGTTCCTCCAGACCTTCATCAGCAGCAGCGGCGTCATCGCCAGTGATCTCGGCAGCAATACCTAGAAACGCATCGGGAGCGAAGAAATCGTCACATCGAGCGGGGAATGCTAGGAGCGGCAATGCAGCTAGTAATAGGAGCACAAGGAGTCCGACGGAGGCGGGTGGAAGTGTGGGGATAGAGACTGAGCCGCCACGGGAGAGAGGTGTTGATGACAGTAAGCAGAGGCGAAAACACAGTGGGTCTTCATTCGCGTGAAGTGTGAGATTGATTGTGTTGTTGGGCAGTTTTGAATTTTGATGATACGGTCCTGGACGGAGATTCGCCACTCGTGGCCAAGAAGAAACTGCTTGTTAGGGCTGCCAAAGTGGAGATGATTGCTATTGGGCAAGACGCTGCAAAACTCTGGGCACGGTTAGTAACCTTTTCCCGGTTTTTCTTCTGATGTTGCCGAAATGTAACCTTGAGCATCTGCCAAACAGCCGTCGTCAGCTGGAACTTGACGCATTGGAACTCGAGACGAGTGCAGTACAAGATGGTATGGTTTCGCCTCTGCAGCCCGAAAATGGAGTGGCTCGAATTAACCACTCGGCTTCTCTGCACCCTTCCAGAAACGCACTCCTGCTTCGACGAGGGAATCAAGCAGGCCGAACAACGTAACGAAATCAACAAAGCTCGACACAGACTCGAGAAGGAGTTTTACCAAACACAATGTTTGGCTAGTATAAAACACGCGAATACTGACTTCATTGTAAGTCAATGCCGCATTTTGTTGCTACGTACCGCAGATCTTTCTGCGAAGTGGACGGCGTCATTCGATTGGGACTTACCGTGTCGCTTTAGGTTCGACGAGGGGATGCACGAAAGGGCCTTTTGCGGACATATTACGATATGATATGGCGGTTAAAAGATGAGAAGAGGAAGGTGGACGACGCGGAGTTGTGGGAAGAAGGTTCGTCAATACCTCTGTTGATTTATCAATCACGTACTTCTCCTCGATGCTGTATTCTCAAACTCTCTATGTCTCCATCCGTAGACCAATCGATAGAGATGCGCGTAAAACGTCGCAAAGCCGACATTGAGGAATTGCAGCGCTCGTCGACGGGGTTACCGCCCTATGCGAAAGCGGAAGAGTATCCGGCATGGATCAGGGCGAAGATATTGGAGAATCGAAGGCAGGGGGGACGAGTGGTAAGATTCTGACCGCCCAATCAAATCCCCATTGAATTCGTTTGACTTACATGCTCGGACCCCACCAGGTAACCCCACCCCGCACCTGCGAAGGCCTCCGCAAATCCGAAGTCGAGATGGACCTCGATGTCATCCGCGCCGGCAGCGCAGCCGCAGCTATCGCAAACGTCAGCGCCGATGTGCACGCTATAGCTAATTCTACCGAGAAGACGGCGGCAGCTTCCCAAGAACGCTAAACAACCGAGACTCTCTCGATTCATCTGCCGCATCTCATCAAAGACATGGACAAGGACATATCGCACAGCTAGCGCACACCGACATGCACACGGCGCAACACACACATCTCCCACCGCACCACGCAGTTTTTGGATATCTAGATTTTTTTTCCGTTTCTCATTCCTCTTTGGCATTTCTGGGGGATGCAAGTCTTCTGCGTGAAAACTTGACACACTACTCTTTCTTTCTGCGATGCATCTTCCCCCCTCGCACTTCCATCAGTGTTGAGCGGAACCTCCTTGTTTTGTTGCATTTATGATCTGAATATAATTTTCTCATTTTTTGGACTTGGTGTTGACAGGTAGGGTTTGTAGGCAGTGATCATCATTAGCCCCGGAACGCGTTCTAGGCCCAATCTCAAAGGCAACTGACTCGGCCGGCCGGCCTACTCTGGAGCCATGGCTCCAACTCTGATGAAGATCATCAAGGGGGATCAGGCCCTTCCCACGGGCGTTATTGATGAGGTTGTTTGTTCACTATTGGCGAACGGGCACATGGATATGGCAGCTCCGGGGTAGGTCGGCGTAGACCGTGCCCTTACGTCGTCGCTTTACTTCTTTCCATTTCAGGAGCGTTCGCTGTTCACCGAACGGCCTTAGAGCCTTTCTCAACGGCAGGTGATATAAGTCACAACCGCCCATGGACTGCCGGGGTGCAGAGACGCCCTGCGCGGGATTCTATACTGCCTCATAATAACGGTGATCTAGATTGACATCCGCCCGTGAGGTGAACTATTATATAATCCAGGCTTGAACGTGGCAGCGACGGACTCCCAAGCGCAATGCTCACACCATCGGACGACGCCGCCGCGTATACCATCTCCGCAACCACCGACATCTCAACGCTCGGCACAATCCTCGGCGACCACTTCCACCCCACCCTCCTCAACACGCTAGCCACATCCGCCATCCACGCCGGAAACGCGGACATCCTCTCCCACCTCCTCTCCATGCACGGGGCGGACCCTCTCGCAAGCAACCATGATCTCCTGCAAGTCGCCGCGCATTTAATCCACCCGCGCTGCTTCTATCAGCTGATATTCCACTATGCGGCGCGATATTCGCCCCACGAGGTGTTTGATCTCGCCGCGTGGCTGTCTCGAGCGTTCTACGATTGCACATGGACGCCGGCTGGGAGACCACAGCAACGGCAGCAACAGAAAGCGGACGTAGAACCAGACTACATGCGACATTGCCGCGCGGCACGATTCGCAGCGGCGATCATCATCTGCTCCAAAAGCGGACGACAAGCCCGACAGTTCCTCTACCCCGCCGTGCACGCCGCGGTAGCCAAAACCCTCCAGTTCGCAAACACGCCCCTGGCCGCCCTCTACTCCACCCAATCCTCAGCGTGGATCAGATCATACCTCCCTTCACCCGAGCGCCTGCTCCGTAGCGTGTTCAGCGACCACCCGCAGCGGTGCAGACTGAAGTGCAGGCATCCGAGGGAACAGATCATCCGCGCGCTGCTCTCGTTTGGCCCGCATCTCTCCACACAGGCGTTTCATAACCTCATGCGCACGATGGTTGCGCATACCGTAACACCAGACGAGCGGGCGTGGATGGACCACGCTTCCGCGGACATGGATCCGGACCTAACCCCCATACGCACCGACAAACTCCACCCGCCAGGCCCACACCACCGCCCCCGCTCCGGCCCTTGCGTCCTCTGGTGGAACACGATTGCGAACCTCCTGGCCCAGTCCGTTATCTCCGGCATCCGACAAGACCTCCACAACCTCCTCCTACTGCGGTATCGCGGGCGGTATGACTCCAATGCGAGCGATGCGCTGAGGGGTCAGATTGTGGTGAGGGCGGATAGCGATGTGTTTCGGTGTGTGTGTGATTGGATGGGGGCGGGGGCTACTGTTGGGGGGCTGTTAAAGCCGTGGGGATTGTTTAAGGAGACGTGAAATGAGGGAGGAATGATGGTTGATGGAATGATGGTTGCAGTTTACATGCGTGTCTGTGGATCCCCTTGGGGACCCGAAATATTCAGGCATCGATGTGGTGCTTGCACTGAGAAGTCATAGAGCTTTGTCTTATGTAAATCTCGCGGGCAGCCGTCCGCCGTAGATAGTTCTCTGAGGTAGCTTTTGGGTCATGTCGTCGAGCGTTCCCGTAACGCTGAAGGACGATGAAAACAATATCTGTAGCACTTGCTACCAAACAATGGAGGGCACCATTGTCATATACCCATTGCCAAACATGCCCACAAAATGCCGATACCTCTCAAAAGCCGATTTCGAAAATTTAGAAATGTCTGACTCTTCCGGTATCAAAGTTTCCTTCCCCATTCGCATTCGCTGAGAAGATCTGGTGTGTGCATGGCAAATCTGATGTGCGGGGGAAATACCGGCAGACACGCTGACACCTTCACGCTGTCGATTTTCATATTTCAGGCGTCAAAATCTCTGGCCAACGAACGACTTGAATTATGGCAATTCGAGCAACGTACAGTACGAGAGGCTCATCTTTTTCCCATTTCCCATGAAGCTCTAGACAATAGTACAACTCAAGATCCAAAATCCCCGAAGAATGAGCAGCGTTCGAAAACGAATACTGTACGTAACAGAACCAGACAATGTGTACAAAATCAAAAATGTCCAAAAAGCTTGTGTCTCCAAGAGGGCTGTCGAATGTCGAGTGGAGGGTTAAGGCACATCGGCGGGTATGAGATGATGAAGTTGGGGAAGCAACAGCTTGCGGTATGTACATTAACAGTATCTCGCGGGGAGTGATCAATATATGGCGTGTGGTGTGGTGATGGAGGTCCAGGTTACATTGTCATATACTGTTGAGAAAAATAGTCAGTTTTGGATGGAAGCGTGCCTGAGAATTCTGGAGGAAACCCACCTTATACCGCGGCCCCTTGATAGGAAACACGGCCAAACTCGCCATAAACAGCCCAATCCCAATACTCATCCCAATCATCAACATCTCAAACACCACCTGCACCGCATCCGTGCTGTTCTTCCCAAAGAACCCCAACGTCGCTCTCACGCCCATACTCCCCGGCACCAGCATCACAATCCCCACAATGATCGCGGGCACCGCCACATCCTTCGTCAACCGCGAATATATATTCGCCGCAACCCCAATCGTGAACGCCGAAATCGCATTAGGCACCACCTGCCCCGCCGACGTGCTGAACTGCGGGAGGGTGGAGAGCACCGAGTAGACTGTGTAGCCGATGGTGGAGACGAGGGAGATGTGGAGGAATTGCGGGCGGCGCGCTTCGAAGAGGATGAGGAAGGAGAAGCAGAGGGGGGGAAAGAAGAGGAAGTTCCAGAGGGGGGAGATGGCGGGAGGGCAGTGGGTGAGCGTGGTGTCGTCGATGTTGTCGGGGGCCCAGGTGACGACTGCCCGGCCGGAGGTGATGCCGAAGCCGAGCATGGATGCTGGTTTTGGGTTGGGGGATGTGTTATTAGTGTGGTTAGCCAATGCAAGGCCATTCTCAGATGCAGAAAGTGAGCCGGCGCTTCTCGTTACCATGGAATAATGCCGAAAAGATTCGTACTGTCCCGGACACTATGTTTTTTGTCGCAACCTCAATCAACGAGATGGTGATAGACAAGCCCTAAGAACACAAAGTTCGCCGAGATGGACTAATGAGCAAAGGCAACACCTGCACGAAATTCATGAAATGCGGTACTCACAGGTAGGAGGTTCACGATCGCGCTCAGAACGATCGAAACATGATTATAGCAGTATGTCGGCTGATATTTCCGAAAAGCGGTCATGATCACGCGTGAGATGAAACTGGCGAGGAAGGCGTCCAGGAAGGGGATCAAGTGCGGGAAGGCTCGTAGACTACCATCGTCACGCAGAAGTTTCACATTAGCAGTCAACGGCCGCAGGAGACATTGGAAACTCATCGTCTCACCTGTGCGTCAACAGCGTCGCCCCTACGCCCAATCCCAGAACAGCCGAAATGGCTCCATCTACCCATGTGCCGCCGAACCCAATCATACAGATCGTGAACGAAACAACGGGGTACGCAGCCCAACTCCACCCCACCCCCCAATCCGGCTCCGCAGCAATAACATTCAACCGATCCACCGCACCCCGCACCTCCAAATCTCCCGCAATCACATTCTTACACAGCCGGTTGACCAAGCTCAACTTGTACATATGCCACGACTGACCAACCTTGATCAAATGCGTAGAAGACTCATGATCCTCGTCGCCAAACGATACCCATATCACACCCGGGATGACGACGAACGAAGCTGGCTGCTCGAGAGCAAGCGCTACCAGTTCCAGGAGGTACTCGATCCTATGACTCGGCGCGCCGTATTTTGCAAACGCTTTGGCCAAGCCCATCAGGAAATCGCGCGTGCGCACACGTTGGTCTTTGCTCATCCCCGTAAACATAGTCGCGGTGGATTTCCAGCGCCGTTTGAAGGGGCGCTCGAAGAAGAGGGTGTCGTTGGAGGTGTCGTTGTCGTAGATCTGGTCGTGGAGGTCTAGCACCTCGTTTTCTGTTAGGGAGCTCGCGCTGCGTTCTACGTCCATGGGGAAGCCATGGGTGGGATTGTGTGGGTTAAAGTGGGGGTTGACGGCGGATGTGAAGGCGGATGCGGTGGAGGCTTCGCGGTGCACACCGCCGAGGGGCGGGGGTGCGACGCGGTAGAGGCCACCGTTGATGCTAAATTGGCGGTAGGCGCCCCGTTGGCTTGGATGATGGGAAAGTATGGAGCCGCGGGATCGGCTGCGGTTGTAGGTTGGTGGGGCGGACCCAGCTTCCATTTCCGAGATGTCGGAGTTATCTCTTGACGGGATGGTGGGGAGATCTGCGGACGGTTGGAATGGGTGCGAGTTGGTGTGAAATGTATGCTGCTCAGGTTGATCGTCTGTGGTTATGACGGACTGTGCTAGTGGGGAGGGGACTGCTGGCCGGGTTCGGAGACTCGATCGTCGGCCGGACAAGTCGACGTTTGATAGATGATGCGGGATGGGGCGTAACGGCCGTACGTCGGCAGCTTCGTCCGTACGCGAGCGAGAAAGCGTGCTCGCATGGCTTGCTTTATCCGTCATACTCGCTGATTCTGTTGGACCATCGGTATTCCCTCCCATGCCGGAGTCCCCCATACCACTCGCCCCATCGCCAACCTCGTCGACCCATTTGACCCTTGCAACAGACGAATCTGATCCAGTAGGCGAGCCAGATGACAGCCCGGCAGATGAGATCACGCTGCCATGTGACGTATTTATCGTCGGCCGTCTACTCTCACTGACGCTTATGCTTGGCGTTTCAGCTCCTCCATCATGAACAAACTCCGACCTGACCAGATAATCCGTAGACGAGGCCGCAGATGCTGCCGAGGACACATTCCCGGCATCATCGTTCAAGCCGGTATCCAACGAACGACCGACTGTTTCCGTACTCTCCCACCCACTGTCGTCTTCGCTGGAATGTGCACAAGTTAACGGTGGTCCCGCATCCACCACTGCGAGAGACGATGAGGCCGGTGACGGCAGAGGCAACGAAGACCCAGAAGTGACAGATTTCCGGCGATGTACTCCATCACGATTCAAAGCGGCCATTTTTTGGGTCTGCCAGATGTTGTAAGGTAAATCCCTTCAACGCATCAGAAAACTGACAGGAACAAGTGGGGCGACGATCGGAGATAACCACAACACTCGAAGAATGTCACCCACACCCTAAAAGGTTATGCCCGGATGTTAAAGGAGGGGAGGGGAAAAACAGGGGATTCGCAGGGGAATGCACGGGACAAGCCATCGCGAGAGGAGTAAGGTCGGGGATTGTTGTGTTGTTAAATCCCCACGCGACTCCGATTGTGCTTACGTTTTCCTAAGTTCGGGCGCGAAGGAAACTCTCGAAGGACACCGTTTAAAATCCCATCCCAAAGCATGACTTTGACTTGAGGCCTAACGTATCAGTCGCCGGCGGACAACGAGAAAGAGCTCCGCAGACCTGCGGAAGATAGACTGGCCACCGTTGGGCGCTCGTCGAGACGCTGCCCTGCGTCTCAAATTTCCGCCACTCGCTACTCAATAAACCTCCGAGGGGCGAGCGGTCCAGGGATAGCTATACCGAAGATATTGCGCCATGCATCAGGAAAGTTCGAACTATGGCGTCCGGGGAGACCGAAGCGCTTGATTCCAAACGAATGTCGGCGATGCTTGGGTGACTTTTCCGCCGACTGTCTGACAGGTGTCGGATTAGCATAAAGCGACTTCTCAACTTGAATTTCCGTCCTGCTCCATAACGCCGGTCTTCGCACCTTTCAAACGCCATGCTGAATGGTCGGTAAGAGTCGTAGGCAGGCATTCTCAACTATACGATGCCGAGTATCACACTCCCATTGACCGGATCGACCTTGATGGACGCCCATTTGAACTCGGTGGAACAAGTGGAACACGCCTCTCATGTCGCTCACTCTCATCAGACGGACCGGGCCGCGGGTAAGATCGAGGGACGGGAAGATTGTGCAATCGAACTGGGGAAACTCCATGCACTTCCGTCTCGATTGCTTGGTAATGGCGTCAAAAGTCTTCGCTAAGCTGAGCGGCACGCGATGTGCCCATTCAGAACCCTTTCACCTGAGATACTCCTGTCTTGCGATGTCCCTGCCTATCGAAATCAATGAGATATGCTCAGTATCCTTCTGACATCGTGGTATTGCATGCTCGTACCGATTGGCAATTGTCCGCAGGGAGATGTCATCCAGGAGATGCCCCAACTACATGCATGTTGCTTATAAAGTTTGTTAGTTTTGATGACCCAGCTGTGCTGATTTGGCAATGCCGTAGCATTCGATGTTGGAACATAGCCAAGATATGCTCCTCCCATTCGTCGATTCAGCGAGCGGTCTCGTCTGCCAAACAGGGCAATGAACACACGTTCCCTGTTGTCGCACGCTGCATCTGATACAATAGCCATTTGCCGGCTGCAGACAAACGTAAAAACTTTTCCGTATGTGTTACGTGCCATACTTTGATGAGAGGTGAGGAAGGGAGCCGCCGCCGCTTCTTATATCCCCTGGGAACCGCCCGTGCGGCATATTCACGGAAAGGACACCTACGCTACATGCCCATGAGGAATATGAGCTCATAAGTAACAGGGAACATGACCACAGGAACGCCCTTTATGCCGATTTCCATCATGCACTGGTCAATTCGAGGAGTTTCTTACAATCCCCAGGCGCTCAGACGGCTACATCTACATGGTCGGCTTTCAGCAATATGCTACGATTTGCTGAGAGTCTTTGGGCTCACTACCGCTCTGTTATCCATCTCCATCTTCTGCTGTGCCGCATATTGCAGCACCCTTAAGCTGTGCATGAACAGTTCCGTTTATATCTTCGAACTGAGGTATGGGTGGCTTGAGAGGTTGGGAACCTTGTGCCGTGCATGCTCTCTCAGTAATGGCGGGCAGGGTTAATGTGTTTTGGCGTACATTCAGATACATGGGCCAGGAAGTTTTGCCAAAACCTCGATGTGAGCTCATTTCTGAGTCTACGTTTTGCTACGGGTGCTCCATACATCTACGTCGGCTCTGCTTCGACAAAACCGTCTCAGGGTAGCTAATATGGAAGTTGGCAGCCTCGTTTCTCAGTTTAACGTCAGTTAGACGCTGTTCGGCCTTACTTGTGCCGACAGTCGCGCTAGCGCTAGCTCCCTCGGCACTTTCAAACAAGTGCTCAATGATAATCACATTTCAACAATAATTTCACGCGTTCCATGGTTCAACTCGGTTTTCCTTGGGTATCGCAGCCGGACATCGCTGCACACATGCTTGCGCTGATGACCAAAACACACAAATTGGACATGTCCTCCAGTTAAAAAGCATCCTGGCTTCCAATGGCACTGCTGCCGGACAACCTCATTTTGCCGGATTTTGAGTTGGAGGTCAGGTCTGCTCCCGTTAGCTCCCCAGGTCCAGAAACTCACTCAGAAGAGCCTGGAATGCCAATCTGCATGCCTGCTACGTTGTGCCTTGCATAGCTAACGCATAGGAAGCAACTTGCTCCGTGGACTATGTCTGTGTGAAATCAATGTGCTATATGTGGCATACTATGTTTGCTATGGACTATTGTTGAAGTGTGATTATTTTTGTGCTGTTAGGCACTTACTTGTGCGGAAGTGCCATAGTTACCGAGGTTTACGTTGCTACGAGTATAGAAAGATGTCTCCAAACACGAAACGCACGCGCTTACGTTTGTGTTGGCGCGTTGAACAACAGTCGAGATATTACAGATAAACCTGCACGGGATATCACGTGCTATAAGCGACGTGGTGAGTCATCCACGCAACCTGGACCCTCGTCTGCCGCATCGCACTCGTCGTTTCGATCTCAAAAACACTGCTGCATCTTGTCAATCCCAGTCGGCAACATTATAGCAGTGGAGTCGTGCAGTCATGGCCGTATCAGCATCAGCCCCCGTCGCCCGTGAGGCTATCCAAGCCGCTATCCTATCAGCACTCGAAAAGGACAGAGGAATCGCAAACACAGAAGGCTTCAAGGTCAAGGGTACGCCGGTTGACCAGGCCGAAATTATCGGTCTCTTGAAGAGTTTAGAGTCTCGCGAGGTTGGTAGAAGACTGGAGGGAAGCGGCAGAGACGGGGAGTCGGTATCTCGACATATATCGGCTGAAGGCGTTAAGGACATGGAAGCCGCGAACGCCCCAAAACGTCAACAAAGCTAACCCCGACAACTCGGAATGTTCCTAGATCGTCACATACGAAGCAATTGAAGACGAGTGGCTAGAGCTGACGGAAGAAGGAGCAGATATTGCTGACCATGGAAGTTACGAGGCTCGTGTCTTCCACGCTGTGCCGAGCGGGAATGAGCCGATTTCGGTCCCTGATCTCAAGGTTCGTTGTGCAAGCCTCAAAGTTTAGCGAGGCCGGGAGGAGACGCTTATCCGGGAACCTATATAATAGGAAAAGCTTGGGCAAATAGCACAGTTCGGTCAAGGCCGCGCGATCAAAAACAAGTGGATTAAGAAGGAGGGTGCCGGGTTCGTCAAAGCCGTGGAGAAGATCGACGATGAAAGCCAGAAATTGCTGCAGAGGATCCGGTCGGAGAGGAAACACAGTGACGAAAAGGTTGTGAAGGAGCTCAAGAAACAGAAGCACGTTACGCCTATCAAGTCGTTGAGCTACAGTGTGAAGAAGGGTGTTAAGTTCACGACAGATGTGCGGAAGGAGGATACGGATGTTACGGAGGAGATGTTGAAATCGTGAGTGGAGAAGGGGCATGAATCGAATGCATTCGGACGGACAACGGAATCTGATCGACTTCTTGTTTTGATCGTTCACAGTGGGGACTGGAAGAACGCCACCTTCAAAAAATACAATTTCAACGCCGAAGGCGTCCAACCACGCTGCGGCTCCCTGCACCCCCTCCTGAAAGTCCGCGAAGAATACCGCCAAATCTTCCTCGAACTCGGCTTCAGCGAGATGCCGACCGCCAAATACGTCGAATCCTCCTTCTGGAACTTCGACGCCCTCTTCCAACCCCAACAACACCCCGCCCGCGACGCCCACGACACCTTCTTCCTCTCCGACCCCGCCACATCCGACCGCTTTCCCAAGGACTACCTGGAGCGCGTAAAGAAGGTCCACTCGGAAGGCGGATATGGGTCGATTGGGTATGGGTACGACTGGCAGCAGAAGGAGGCGGAGAAGCTGCTGCTCCGGACGCACACGACTGCGATCAGTTCGAAGATGCTGTATGACCTTGCGCAGGAATATAAGCGCACGGGTGTGTGGAGGGACGTGAAGTGGTTCAGTATCGACAAAGTTTTCAGGAATGAGACCCTGGACGCGACGCATTTGGCGGAGTTTCACCAGGTTGAGGGTGTGGTTGCTGGCAAGGGTTTGACGTTGGGAGACCTCATTGGCACGCTTCACAACTTCTTCAAGAAGCTCGGTAAGTCAACCAACACCCAAGTTTTCAAACACCGTACATATATTGTACTCATAGTGGGTCCGCATGTTCATAGGCATCGAAAAAATGCGCTTCAAACCCGCGTACAACCCCTACACCGAGCCCAGCATGGAAATTTTTGCCTGGCACGACGGGCTAGCGCGGTGGGTCGAAATCGGTGCGTAACTGAGAGTTCGGAGATTTGACCCTGCGTCCTCCAGAGCGGAAATGCTGACATCTGTTTTTGGTTGTTTAGGCAACTCGGGCATGTTCCGCCCCGAAATGCTCCTCCCCATGGGTCTTCCCGAGGACGTGTCGGTGATTGCGTGGGGCCTGTCGACCGAGCGGCCGACGATGATCAAGACCGGGGTGGATAATATCAGGAAGTTGGCGGGGCATAAGTGTGATTTGGCGTTCTTGAATCGGGATCCGATTGCGAGGTGTGTATTGGGGAGGGTCGAGTCTTGATGTGTGGGTGTCTTGGAGAATGGGAGGTGCTGATATGTGATCTTACTTTTCTTAGGTTGGACAAGTGAGCCCGACTTCCGCCCTCTCACGCGCACACGCAATCCGGGACGAACACCACGTAACACAATCCCCCAACCCGCTGCAAAACCACGTACCACTCCGAAGCACAACCATTTCATTCCTCCTTCCCCTCATTCCTCAGATTGACGTCTTACCCGCGGGCTGTACATTTATCATCTCCTTTCTTCGCATATCAAATACAATGCGGTACATCGCAAGAAGTAGTGTCGAGGAAACACCGAAATGATTGATTAATCTGCATCTGCCGTGAATACCCATCAGAAAGCGAGATATGTCAAAAAGGGGATATCATTTTCCGTACCAAGCGTATCTACAAAAAGACGTAACCCAATTACACACAAAACTCGTCAACAGAAGACTACACGACAAAGAAGCACCATTGTCCGGACGTAATACAGCTACTGGCAAAGCGGAACACTACCAAAAACCAAAAAAAAAAAAAAAAAAAAACTCAGAGGGAAGCCATCTAGGCCGCAGACACGATTGAGAACGAGACCCGAAGTGCGAAACATCCCCTAGCGGTTCCTCCCCTCACAGCGCAGGGTATAAATATATATATACCCGTCAAACGTCCAGCTCCTCCTTCTTGGCGCCGTCCTCCTCCTCATGCAGCCCACTCACGACCTTCTCAGCCCTCACCCCCAGCAGACTGATCCCCCAGGCGAGCACAAACAACGCGGCGACAATCTCGATGAACAGATTGCTCCACCGCGTCCCGACCGTCGCGGCCCAGATCGGGGGGAAGATGAACTGGGAGAGGATGACGGCGATCTGGTCGGCGAGTTGGATGCCTGAAAAGAGACGGCCTTGCTGCGAGGGCGGCGTGGAGCGGGAGAGGAGGGAGCGGAGCGTGGGTTTTGCGAGGACGCCGAAGCCGGAGAATATTGTTACTGGGATGGGTGGGGAGAGCGAAGATTGGATTTAGGAAAGGGGGCGGTTATGGTGAGAGGGGGATGTGGGGAACTCACCGACGTAGACCATCCACCCCTCGGTGACGAACCCCATGACGATCCAGCTGACGGCCATCGTGAACATGCCGATGCGCACGATGGAGACGTCGAAGCGGACTTTGCGGAGGACCGTCTGCGGGTCGTCTCGTTCAACCACCGGTGTCGAGCCCGTTTCCGGAGCCGGAGCCGTAGCCGTGGAGTCGTTCAACAGCGGCTGTGTTTCCGTCGCACTCTCATCATCCTCCACGACGACGGCTCCAGCCCTCTTCCGCTCCTTGACAAACCGATCCAGCAAACCCCCCACACCCAACATCCACACCAACCGCGTGACACTCATGTACAGCAAGAAAACCCCCTCATCATACGCATCCCACCCAAACTCATACGTCGCATAAAAGAAGAAATTCATCACCCCGCCAATACACACCGCCGTGATGAACAGGATGCTGACGAGGTATGTCCGGGGTGGACGGAAGAGGAGGGTGAAGGTTGAGAAGATGCCGGTTATGGAGTGCAGGGGGGACGGTTGGGGGGTGGTGGAGGTGGATGCGGGCGACTTGGAGAGGGATTCGGGAAGGATGAAGATGATGTAGAGAAGGACGATGAGTTTGCCGATCACGGCGACGTAAAAGACTCCGATAAGGCCTGATGGCATGATCTGGGGATAGAAAGGTGGGTGAGTCAGGCGCCTTCAACGACGAATCAAAGAAACGCAGAAGAATGCGCCGCCACCGAGATTCGAAGTGCACCCTTCCTCCATCAAACACCATCAATGACCGATGGTTGGACACCCTGCTCGCTCCGCTCGCCATGGGCAGCGGTGGGCGGAGCGTGCTCGCTTCCCTCGCTTACCTTGGACAGCAACCCCCCAAAGTACGGGCCCGCCATGAGTGACCCATACATGAGAGCCTCAAACAGAACAAACACCTTGCTCCTCCTATCGGGCGACACTGTATCCGCGAGGTACGAGTACGCAATCATGACAATCGCGGTATAACCGCCCATGAGTCCCTGCAAGACATGCACCGGAAGTAAAACCCACAAGCCCACATCAAACTGCGCGACCGCCAAGATCGCAAGTATCCCAATCAACCCCGAGATCGCAGGCAAGAAAAACATAGGCCTCCGCCCAATCCTGTCAGAAAGCGTTCCGATGACGGGAGTGGCGAGTAGAGCGGGAAAGGCGGTGGCGAGTTGGATGACCATTGTCCATTTCGCGGTGAGGGCTTGGACGTCGGGCATTGTGCGGCATACTGCGAAATCAGGTAATGGGCGGCCGCCGAGGGGGTTGTCCGAGTCTCCAGCGCCGAGACTACCACTCGTGCCGGAGTCTGAGCCGTCCCAGATTGTGGAGCAGAGGTAGACGAGGAGGAATTGTTGGGTTGGGACGCCGATGACGCTGAAGGAGAACATGGACATGAAGAGGGGGAAAGCGACTTGCCATGGTGACGGTGTTTTTGTGGTTTGGGGTGGGAGAGAGTCGGCTTCTAGTGGTGGTGGTGGTGGTGGACGAGAAGGTTGGGAGGTGAGGACGCTGAGGGGGGCGACGGGTGGGGGTATTTGGGGTGTTGCGGAAGAATTGAGAGGGGTTGTTTCCGAGGCGGGTGGAGCGTTGGAGACCGCCATGGTTGGGTGCTTCAGCAACGGAGTGGGTTCAGAATGTTCAGCAGAAGGTAGACATGGGGCTGGGAGTGGAGGGAGCATACGGTTGCTGGCTGGCTGGGGGTTGACGTGTGGGCAGGTGTTCCTTATATGGAGGTGCCATAGTGCGTGGCTGCCGGAGTTGCGAAGGGTGGAGTGTTCCTCTTTTGGAGTGGAATGACGCGTGGGCGTGACTCGTCGGAGTCTCCCTGCTGCTGCTTTTGTTTGGTTGCCGCTCGCTCGCAGGGGAGTGCAACAAGCCCCCATCCATTCAAAATAGCCTCCCTCCGAGGACAGTCTGAGGAGTCAGGACAGCCGATCGCGCGTCGCGTCCCCCAACCAGTTAAGTTCCCAACGGTGACGTTTGCATGATGGAGTTTTGTGTTCCCCTTCTGCATATCCATCCTGCATATCATGGCCCTCCAGCAAGTCCCCCCCCCCCCCCCCCCCCCCAAGCCCGTTGCTTTTCTCCCCTAAGCATCGAACCCTAGGGTCTACGCTATACACCACCACCACTGTGCGCATATCCTCAGTCTAGCTTCCGCATCGTCCATCACCGCAACTACCTGCTCCGCCAACACTCAGCCCGCTTCGCCAGCCCCAACTCCTACGCAAACATGGTTCAACAAAACAGCACAACACCCACCACCACGCCCAAAAGCGCCCCACTCGTCGCACTCGCCCGCTACCTCCTTGCCCAAAAATACACCTACACGACCATAACCCCCGAATCGCACAAGATAGTTCTTGATAGGAGGGATGAGAAATTGAAAAATGTGGATTTGGGGGATGTGAAGGTTACGCTCAGGGATGTTTTTGGGTTGAATGTTTGGTTTACCAGAAAATGTTTGGATTTGGGTCAGGACGAGGAAGGGAGGGTTTTGGGGTGGTTGGAGGAGGCGGGGGTGCTGGAGAGGAGGAAGGACGCGAATGGAAGTGAGGTGAGTTTCGGTTGAGTGTCGGTTGATGCATTGATGGATGGTGGTTGACCCTCTCGCGTTCGCGTTCGCGTTCCCACAGGTGATCCGCTCAGGCGTGCGTTTCTCAACAATCGGCACCTCCCTCTACATGCACTCCTCCTTCCCGACCGCCTTCAACGATTCCGTCTTTCTCGGCCCGGACACCTACCGCTACGTCGACCTTATCCGTTCTTTCGTCCAACGCCTCGCTTCCACTCCCAATGCGATCAAGATCAAGACAGCGATCGACATCGGCGCCGGGTCGGGTGTCGGCGGGATGGAGTTGGCGCGGTTCTGTGGGGAGTATGGGGTGGAGGTGGAGAGGGTTGTGTTGGGGGATATCAATGAGAAGGCGTTGGAATGGTCATTGGTTAATGCGCAGGTCGCGGGGTATGTGCCTGTTGACGAGGAGGCAAACGCCAAGAACGGTGCGACCACCACGAACGGCACTTTGAACGGAAACGGCGGCGCGACTCACTCCAACGGCACCAACGGCACCAACGGCACCGAAACCAACGGAACCTCCGACAAACCGCACTTCCCACCGACAACGCTCATCCAGCCCACTACCCCCACCACGCACCTCCACCTAGCCTACTCCTCCTACCTCTCCACCCTCCCCTCGCACACCCCTCTCTCCCTCATCCTCTCCAACCCCCCCTACATGTCCTCAACCACCCACCTCTACTCCGACGGCGGGCACTCCTCCGGCCTCGGGATGTCCCTCTCCATCATCGACGCCGCCGTCGAGCGGTTGTTACCGGGCGGTCATCTGGTGCTGTATACGGGCGTGGCGATCTTAGACGGGGGGCGGGACCCGTTGAAGGAGTATGTGACCGGCTATGTTGAGAAAGGGAGGGTGGAGTGCGTGGAGTATAGGGAGATGGAGGTGGATATCTGGGGACATGAGTTGAGGGAGGAGGGGTATAGGGACGTGGAGAGGATGTGCGCTGTTGGGTGTGTTTTGAGGAAGGTTTAGGATTCTTATACGGGGACGGTCGATTGTATGATAGTGTGCGGTGGAGGGAGCCTATGTTTTTTGCGCGTATTTGGAACACTGGTAAAGGAATTTATTTGATAGGTATATTATAGACCGACCGACGGACTTTCGGCTTGTGTTTACTGTATCAGTATATCTCAAGGGAAATGTGGTGAGGACTAGGGAGGGGTTAGACGAGGTTGGCGTAGCCGTAACCCTAACCTTGTGCCGCTACTTAAGCCCTCCGCACGTAAGCACGCGATAATAATTAACGTGCCCATTCGCGAGCCTCCACCGGCCGCTGCTGCAACCCATTCCCAACCGCAACCGGCCAGCAACCTTCCAACTCAACTCAACCGCATACCCCAACCCATATATATTCCTCGCAAACGCAATGTCAGACGCAAACTTCGTAACAGACCTCGTCGACGGCCCGCGCCAGTTCTTCAAGGACGGCGTGCAGCTCATGAACAGGTGCACGAAGCCTGACAAGAGAGGTATGCTAAATCCGGATGTGTGTGATCACGGACGGTGTCGGGGGAGCCGCTGGAGGAGGCTGGAGATCGCTTGACGAGGACGGGAGCAGCGGTGGCCCACTGACCCATCATCCGGGGCGGGAATTCTTCTCCCGAGGTCCCCTCGAGGGGGCGTTTCGGGGAACGTCTATTTCCATTTCACGGTTTTCCGATGTCCACTGACGATCTGCCACTTTTGTTTTTTGACCCCCCGCCACAGAATTCCTCAAAGTCACCCAAGCCGTCTCCATCGGGTTCCTGATCATGGGCTTCATCGGGTTCTTTGTCAAGCTGATCCATATCCCTATCAACAACATCATAGTGTACGAATCACTTTGGGGCGGGCCGTTTACCTCCCGTTTTCATTGTCCTCGTAGACTGACGTTTTGGGTTGGTTTTTTAGTGGACGGTCGTGAGCGAGGAATATGGGCCTGGGCGGGGGACGAGAGGGGTGTGGGCGTGGGGGGCGGACGCAATGGGGATATGAGGACGAGCAGGGGAACAGGCGGGGCGGGGCGGGGCGTGCAAAGCAGTGGAGAGTCCGGCGCCGAATCCGCAAATTAGAACCGGGAATACTCTCCCCCTCAACCCCCCCGGCCCTTCCGCATTTGTCTGACTTTGGTAGGGGAACCCGGAAAACGGCGGGCGAAAGAGCGGCTGTTGGGATGAATATGAATCTTCCGCCGGAGCGCCTAGCTCTCTCGTTTGCACTTGGGCGACCATGCCCTGCTCTTTCGGGGGTTATCCTCGCGGTATAATACATATCTATTGTGCCCCAGATCATCATTTGATGAAGCGTCGTGCTTGTGAATCTCCCCTCTTGGTGACATGCGGTACGGAAAGCTTTCAGCGAGCGTTCGCCGCAATCATGTTCATCGCATAGGGGGGAATCGGCTCGAATCGGACATTCTTCCTCGCAAACTTTGGCAGAAGGCAACGCAAAATCACATTCATATCATAAAGAGAGAAAAGAAGATCTATGTGGGTATAGAAAAGGCACCGTCCACCCGTATGCTACGCCTTTCGGTTTCTCTGCAAGACGGTCCTTGGTACTGCCCGTTCCATCATGATATCGCTACGCAACTGACTATGGATAATACGCCCCGAGAACCACATCACTCATGAACCTCATCATTGCTTGTTGTCGTCGTGGGATCCACAAAATGACCCTCCTAATCACGCATCACCCTGCCGACGTGGAACAGGATCAGCAACCACTCTTCTCAGCCCCGCCCCTGCCCCATCCTCATCAACCTCGCCTCATCATCCTTCAACCTCTCCATGACCGATTTCGGGGGCTGCTCAGCAGCAGGGATCTGTTTACCGGGCTCCTGTCCACCCTTCCCGATCGGGTGCTCGGGCTGTTCAGCAGACATACCCGGCGCACCTTGCGCAAGACCAGTGATATCCATCCCCATCCCCATCCCCTGCGGCGCACTCGTCGCGGGCATCTGTTGGTGAGGGTAGAACGGCTGCTGCTGGCCGCCCCAAGGGTTCCATTGCGGGTACGCTTGCGGGGGGAAAGCGGCTCCCCAGGGTGCTTGGTAGTGCTGTTGGTGGTAGGGCCATCCGGGCGGCATATGGCTGTAAGGGGCGCCCATGCCGGGCATTCCCATCATCATCATTGGGTTCGGAGCCATTTGCGCGTGTTGAGGCGGCCAGAAGGAGGCCGGTCTGCTTGCTTGTGGCTGGGGTGGTTGGCTTTGGGCGGCGGGGAATCCGGGGAACGCACTTTGTTGAGCCGTGGATTGGGGTCCGAGAGGGCCTGGGATGCTTCCGGCGGCGGGTGTTTGCATATGGGGGGGCTGGTTCTGCGCGTTGAACCCGGGGAACGCACTTGGTTGAGCTGTGTATTGAGGTCCGAGAGGGCCTGGCATGCCCCCGGGGGCAGTTGCTTGCATTTGAGGGTGTGGGCTGAGTGTGCCGAACCCGGGGTGTGCGAAGGATCCGAAGGGGCTCATCATTGGCGGGAGCGTCGGTGACATCAGGGCACTGGGGATGGGGTTGAACAATCCATATGCATGCACTCCCTCAGCCTGTGTGTGCTGCGGAACTGCTTCAGCTGAACATTCTTGCAGTAAGCGACGTCAAGGAGTGTTTGCACATACCTGAGGAGTAGGTTCTGCAGCTTGCGGGAACTGTGCAGCTGTATGAAGCGGCATGCCAGCGTTGGCGAACTGAGGTATGAGTTCTGCAGCAACGGCTTGTACATCTTTTTGCCGGGGCGCTGTGGTTTGGTCTTGGGTCTTAGCCACATCCACGTCACCGGCTACAGGTGCCGCAACAGCTTCTTTCTTTCCTATGCCATCTGCGTTCTTTCCATCAGTCCCAGCGGTAGCAGTAGCGGGCTCTTTCTGTTCACCTCCAGCGCCCTCCTTGGCACCACCCTCCTTAGCGACATCGAGAACTTCCCATGTAGGCGACGGCAAAGAAGTAATATCAATGAAAGGCGAACTTCCCCCAGTAGAAGCGGAGCGGCCCTTGTCGGAGAGCGGTTCTTCGCGAGTAGTAACCTCCTGCGGGGCATTGCTGGCATCAGGTGCTGTCGCCTTCACCGCTGGTTTATTATCGCCTTTCTCAGGGACTTCGGCGGTTACTTTGGGTTCCTCCTCCTTCTTGGCGTTGTTCGCGACGGGGGGGTTCTCCACTTCCTTCTCGACCGATGCGGTCGGAACCTCAGCGGTTTTCGCAGTGGGCCTGCTGTGCACCTTGCCACCGGTTGGTTGCGCCATGGTGCCGTTCTGTAAAGCGGATGGTTCCTGCTCAAGGGTTTGCTCAGCCATTGACGAAAGAGGCAACGTCTGAAAATGACTTTGGCACTCACATCGCATTCTGGAACACTCTCTTTCAAGGCCCTCAGCAAATTGAGCCAACACCAGTCAAGGGACTCCCTCGAGTTGCCCTTGATGAACACAGCCTGTCGTACTACAAGATTTCAATATGATACACATCTCTGCTTGCCATTCTCCTCCATATTACCCCATGTTTGAAGGATACTAGGGCTTGAAGATGGCCGGACTCGCGGCAGCTACGCTCGAGCTCGGAAGTGATTTGGCTGGCTAGATCGTTGTTGTCCTTGAGAGCGTTTTTCACGGGCACTTTGGAGAGAGGTGTTTAATGCTGAGCAGATCATAAATGAATAGGAGCGAGATTATAAGCACCTGGAAACTGTCGAGCAATGAACAACTGATCACGGCTCGATGCATCAGCCTCCTCAACGCCGTCCTTTTTCGTATTTTCATTGTTCTTGGCTTGCACAGAGGTAGGCGGCTGGTCGCTGGTGGGATTGACGGCCAGAGTTGCCTGCACCGTCGCGGACGCGGGATTTTCGACAGCCGGAACAGCTATTTTGCTAGAAATATCGTCCGCAAAAGTGGTCTCTTTGCTCGCCTCAGTGCACGCAGCGCTATTCTCGCCTTCTGAGGTGGCCACTCCGTTGGAAGGCGGGGTATTCGCAGCGCCTTGGTGGTTGACCGTGGCTTTACCTACTAGCACGTCGAAGTTTAGGTCGAGACTACGTTAACCAATCTGCAACCGATGCTTACCCTCTGAGGCGACGATCGCGTTCTTGGTTTCGGTATCCAGCACGAGTTGTTGCATTGCATTGAGCCGGTCGACCATTTCATCCACAGCCTTTGCATTTCTGGACGTGTAGATGAAGTCGATGTCTACGAAATCGACAGCCTGGCCATTGCGTGGTCAATTAGCTGTTCGGGCTCGAGCCGTCGCCCCAGTTACACGTAACTCACGTTCGCGTCCTCCACAATGTGCCAACTTTTGATCAAGGGATCTGTGGCAAAGACCTCTCCTACTCGATCGCGAAGATCAATCTCTTCCTTCGCCGCCACCTCAATAGTTTCCGGGCGAAATCGCCATGTTCTGGAATGGCTGTCGATGTAGAGAAGGAATCGGGTGTACTTTTCCTGGATTTTTGCAGCAGCAGCCGTAGCTTTGTCTGCATCGCCTTTCAAGATCGCTTGCTATACAGAACGCATGGAGATCAGTTCGAGTCCGGATCAGTTGTCGAAGGACATGCGTACCGTTTTGTCCTGCGAGAATGTGATCGTGACGCCATGTGCTTTCGCCGCGTCTTCCGCCTTCTCTTTGAAGCTGTCCGCCATACTAAAGTTGGGTCTGCCGGCTGTTAGATACAAAACCTTGGCTCGTCGCATAACACCTACATCGAAATGGAGCTCCGAAGTCTGGAAGACCGCAAAAAGTGCATTCAGTTCAAGTTCTTCCTGCCCGTTTCCGAAGAAGACCATGAGAATATCCACTCACAGGAATGGCCTTGACCGGAACGGGCTCTCCATTTCTATCCGGGATCTGCATGACACTGATACCCCTGATCACTGGGCCGATATCTACCGCAGTGGGAGCAGAGACATGGACAGTCTGCTTTCGCAAGTCAACAAGGTTCCCGCATTGACGTTCAAGCAGAAGAAGGAGTGCTTGGTGTGCTTACCCGGCATTTGCTGTCCAGCTTACTGGTGACGCCGTACTCATCGCTTAGGCATTCGAGTTTCCTGTTGAAATCGTGCCGCGTTTTCTGATCGATGAGCAAGCGTTCGGTGAACTCTTGTGGCAGCCCGAAATCTTTGGAATGTACACCGCCTGCTTCGAGCATAGCGCAGATTTCGTTTTGACTGCAACAAAGGTCAGCGGGGTAAGTTTTGAGTAGGTTTCGCATGGTCTCAATTTCACTTACGCTATAGTGACTGCTTCAGTTTCACCGTGTATAGAATAGGATATGCTCCCAGTGAGAATACGTGTGTTGGTCCGTTCAGCGATTTCCCTAGGCGTGGGAAAAAAGAGTGAGCCAATATTCGACAGCTTTGCCAAGTGAAACGGTTCCGAAAGAGAAGTGGTGAAGGGATTGTGCAAGGGAGGAAGCAAAGGATACGTTATTACATTAAAAGCCCCGTATAGGAGCCTCTGTCCCAACTTGGCGTGAAAAGTATCTCGGCTGTCTCAGACATAGCGGAGTTGTGGGGCGACTGACAGGTTTCGGTTTCTCAAAATGACGGCGACGCCTTGGAAAATCCCAGCGCCGAGTAACAAACAAGTGGGGCGGCCGACTGATGTGTGGAATGAAGGACGAAATGAAGATATTTCTGAGGAAATCGGGGACGAAGACTTCGTGCGTTGGGTGTGTGGAGAGAGCAGAAGAACGGCGGTCCCTTTCGAATATTCTGAGGGTTTTCGACAGCGCGGAACCCTTAACGGCATTTATTTGCGGGTCCCGTGATTCCCAGGCGCAATTCAATTGAGGTTTTCTTTTCGCCAATCGGCTTGTCACAGACTCACAGCACAAGCGGCACATGGGCATCTGGGATTTCCGCATCGCACGTTTTTGGGGGATAGACATTGGAGGTTCAGCAAGGGTTGACAAAGCTCAATAGCCTTATCTCGCTTGAGACTCGCCGTGTAGTTCAAGAGAAACTCTTTCCGCTACGACCTTGGACCTATTTGGCGGCTAAGTCCGCGCAGGACCCTCCGCACTTCGGACACCATGAAAGGCGAGGGCCCGCGGTCAAGCTATCTATCTCGCACTTGTCTGGAGACGATATGCCCGGAAGCTCCAACGATAACCGCTGAGGAAGTGCCTGAGCGTCGGTATCAGTCTCAGCAACGGTTAAAAAAGGCGTGGGAGAGCATCTTTGAGAAGTATGGGAGGGAATTCGAGGACGCGGACGAAATCGATATCACTACTGGCGCAATCGTGGTCGACAAGGGCTTCATTCGGCGGTCAAAAGTGAAGGAATTTGGGTTTGCCTTTTTCCCAGCTCCGGTGAAATTGGAAGATTCGGACACTGATCTCGTTTCCGCGACCGACGAGGTGGAGGCGTCTGAATCGGGACAGAGTTCAGAAGCTGCGGCAGAACCGCGGAAGCGGGATGAACCGATTGTCGAAATTGGACTGAAGAGGGAGACCAATGCCATCTCTCCAAAACGGTCCTCAATGCGGCGATGCGAAATCATCGTGGACGAGTTCACATCTGCGATCTCGATGAAAAAAGCAGATTTGAATCCGAGAAAGCCATTCCGGTCGCCCACTCCCGTCCCCTCGGCCAAATCAAACGTAAGAGTCGAAATCGAAATTGAAGAACGACCCTGGTTGGCTCCGAACGCCACAGAAAAGAAGTATCCACCACATCGGAAATTAGAGATCAGCAAAGAAGAATATACAGCGCAACCACCGCGTCTTCAAAGGAGTACCCACCCGACAAGTAGTCGGGCAGTCTCGAAGTCAGATACATCAACTCTCGCAAGGCCTGGGCCACCCCAGCACCTAGCACGAAGCAATGGCGGAGTAAGATCCTCCACGAAATCATCAGCGTCCAAAGCGATCGAACACCCACCTGCATTGCAGGAGCCGCTGGTTTCCGTGGAAAGTACACCGCCCATTTGCGATACGAAATCTTCATCTATCAAACGAGAAACAAACTACCGAAGCTTTGTGCATACTTTAAAGCACGACGCGTTGTCTCTGCCAGAAGTCGAGATTGTGTCTGTCATGGCTGCACCCGGTGCTTTCCGTCGGAGAGCGCGCAGTCGCCAAAGCGGCGCTGGCATTGGCAGGGCAAAAGGGGGGTGGGATGTCCCACCGCCAGGACCTATGCTGGAGTTGTCATTAGGGGACAGTATGCCGTCGAGTGCCCAAATTACGGACTCGCCGTCAACATCTACGTTCATCTGCAAATCGGAAGTAGATGACCAGATAGGCAGCGCCAGCGCTGGAAGCAATGCCAGCCCGTCTCTGATTTCCACAACGCCTTGCAAACGGGAAGAACAAGATGACACAGACACATCTTCTGCTGAGGCGAAGAAGCTATCGTGTCTCCTTCCAAGTCCGGCCCCATCTATCGCACTCTCCATTCATCGGGACGATCAGCATCTAGGTGCAGCGATTAGCAGCACGAAAGTAGTTAAACCTTCCACTCTTATCACAAGGCGAAGGAGCTCCGCACAGCCGGAGGAGCGAGGACGGAGGAAACAGACACCTGTGCTAACAGACACCAAACCGCCGCGACCATCCCGCGCCTGTAAGAACATTGATCGTGATGCGTACAAGTTCAGACTGGCCTCGCATTACTCACGCTCGGCGGTGACACGCGATGTTGGGAAGGGCGATAAAACGGACTGTGCGAAAGGGGAATCTCAGACGCCGGACGCTGTTCACTCATCGACTTCGTATAGGTTTCCGGATCCAGTGTCCTACAGCGAGCCGATGGGCCTGACCCAGTCCACAGACACAGGACATACGGCTCCCTCTCCTCGTTCCCGCAAACGAAAACTTCCATCCCACCCAGGAGCTTCAGCCTCCCCGCGGAAGCGCGTATGCGTAGCGACGGACACAAAAGCCAACGACCCCAATCCGGCAGCATCTCCATTCGGCACCATCCCCTCCACACCAAACAGACAAAGAAGTGCGATGCCAACCCCACCTTGCGAATCCGATGAAGAAAGCGCGTTTGAGAACATGCTCCCCGCCTCAGCATTCCCTACGCCGCGTTTCCACCTCACCACCCGTCAGGCTCTGTTGGCCAGATCCGCCACAGGCTCATCCGCATCCCCAAAACCGGCCTCCACCTCCCGGTCATCAATCGAAACAAAGATCATCCCAAACCGCACGACAGCGCTGAAGATACCCACGATGCGAATGAAGACATACGCGCAAGTGGTGTTGACCACCATAGATTTAACAACGGATGAGGATCCGCTAACGATCTGTTAGAGGGTTTGAAAGAAGGAAATGGCGCTGCTCGGACTTGGGGTGTTCGCGCGGCTATCGCCGCGAATGGAAGAAACGTGTGGGGGAAGTGTATACCATTTTTGTAATATATTTTGTAATGGAACTCTTTTGTACAGACATAGCCGTCAAACTTGAAATGATGCAGGGGAATGGGAGACCATTTATCCTTCGTGACGCGGCCCGTGGGCAACAAGTTCCGGGCCGTAAATCATGATTGCGCGCGCCGAGCCAAACACAAGACGTGCCTGTGACAAAATGCGTAGCGCGTACCAAATCGTTGGCACCGCGTCTACTTCCGCAAGGATAACTGCCGCACAATCCGTTCAGCCAGAGCGAGAAGAGACATGGTCCTTGAAGAACCCCGCGACAAGCATGAACGACGATGGCCGAGGATCCCGTACTCCATGGCTATCATGGGTGAGCATCGCGACCAGAATGTTTGTGTCCAACTGCGAGAGGGTATCTTACTCAAATGTTTCGTCGGAACTCGTATGTTGCCGCTGTCTACTGTCAATAAGTTGTTACGCTACTGACGGCCGCGGCGATCACTGTGCCTCCGGTCATTCTCCTTGTCACTGGGGGGAGCAGCTCCGTTGCAAAGAGTAAGAGCAATCCGCCTTCCATATTGTGAGATTGGGCGGTGGGAGGAAGCCACGTGATGCTGATCTGGAGCATTCTTCACTCAAAAGCTCTCGAGATCTTGCAAGCCAGGATATCAACCGATGTCTCGAGAAATGGTATGTACCTATCCGCTATGGTTCGTTCATCTAACGGACCGCTTACCTACCAAAGATGTGTTCTCACCAAACCCTTCTCTTCGCTTCTCCACCCTTGGTTAGTCCTTGCGCTCACAGGCACATGCTTTAGGACCATCGACGGTATCGTATACAAAACAAGGGCCCAGAACAAATAGAGCGCGCGGCATGCTACTTTCTTCGTTCACACCACTCATAATCCCATAACGCATACCGCATAATAGACACGGAGGCGGGAACGATCTTTCTGGAGTTTCTATATGCGTTCTCGCAGAACATCAGCGTCTCGCTATATGACTTTGGCATACCGTAAGTCACTTGTGGGCAGATGTTAAGCGTTGCAGCGCCGCATGCGAACGCTCTGAATGAGTTGCCCGGATGATCTTGCAAAGAATAATCAAAATTTTTTCGTCAGCCTTCAACTGGAGATGATGAACACTGCAGATCGGTACGGGACCACCACTGTGGGTCCACTGTGAAAGTTGTCCATCCTCCCAACTTTCCATTCCTGAAACGATATATCGGTCATATATACAGGCGTTATTCACGAAAGGCGGTGGAAACACGTTAGACGCTTGGTTCGGTACGTCCAGAAGGTCGGCGCTGCGGGGGAAAATGAGACGACTCGGATGGACCTCAAGAATGACTCTTTCCCGTTGTTGCAGTGAGCGTAAACAACAGCGTAGCGAAATTATGCTCAAACTTCAATGTGACGCATGTGAACTGCACTGTGGGAAACATGAGCAGAATCGGAGACGATCTATTGAATCAAACGATCAAGTACGATGTGTTTGATGTCATACTGAGGCCGAAATCGGAAGAGACTTCAGTAAAGTCTCCAACACCGCTTGAACGATGGTAGGTGCTTTTTCTCAAGTACTGCATATCCTGGTCGCATTCATTATCCCTGGTATGTCGGCAGGATTCCAACAATCTGGTTCTTTCTCGGCGGCAGATTGTTCGCCAGCACGGCATGCGGAAAGTCGCTCTGGCTCCGCGACGCGCCTACACACCCACCTTACAATGACGATTTCTCTGTCCAATTCACGGCAGTGTTCAATGCGGAGGTGCTCGTAACATACCTGGCTGTGAGCGACGCTGGTCATGAGCATGCAGCGATTCATGTTGACTCATCGACATGCCCAATCGTCTCCATCCATCACAGACCCTCCTTCCCACTCCCAATACGATCTTAGCGCTGATGTAGGTTTTCTGCCGTTTCCGTTCCATGTCTCGTTGACTTTTCCCTGCATTTCGTTCCTGATTCCTTCCCTTCTCGATATCGGCTTGATACGACAAGTGAGACAACAGGAAATCTGTGAGTGTGGCGAAGATGGGGGGCTCCGTGACGACTCTTGGTAACGCGGACCCAATCCCTGCGGACTCAATCTGAGCATAATGTTTAGGCTGGCTACGAATCGAGATAACTTGCAAGTGAACGGTGCTGGCACGGGTCCTGCTCACATCATTGATGTCCGGCAGTCCGATCTCCAGGTATCTGAACTTCCGACATCCTGTGCGTCATCACCCAGATCGCTGACTCGTCCAACGTCCTCAGACCGCGGCCAAGCTCATGCTCGCTCGCCACCAGAACTGGACCCTGGTCCCAGCATCCCACAACGAACGCGTCTCTATGCCGGACAAACGCACCCTCATCGTTACCCTGAAGCGGATCACGGACAGCCGCGGTCTAGACATGATCCTCTTCATCGTCATCCCGGAGGATGATCTACTGGGCCAGCTGAAGACCAAGATCAACTCAGCGATCGTGACGGGGGTGGTCGTCACCGCTGCAATGCTTCTCATCGCGTGTGCGATGAGCTACTTCATTACGTTGCCGTTAAAGACGCTGATTCGGGGAATGCAAGCGGTAAGAGCGTGCACTTGCCATTGCCCAAAGAGTCGTAAGATACTGGCTGGCACTCTCTGACCCACACAACTGAATAACTCCGGTCCCGTCGCAGGCCTCCAACTTCGACTTCTCCGAATTACGGAAACCTGGCCAAACCATTACCACCTCGGTTCTGGCGGAACTGGGAACCCTTCAAGGAACATTCACCCGACTATCGGAAACAATGTCAAAGGCCGTCGATCAGAACCGGAACCTCGTCAACAACATGGTGCGCCAGCGGTCGCAAGCAAGTGATAACCCAGTGTCGCCAACACGAGTGGCACAACGAGAAGCAACAGGGACGACGAGTTCCTCGGGAAACCGGACGACGAAGAGAGAGTCGACTGGCCGAAGTTGAGATTGAGATTACAGGGTCCCGTCCATGATGCGCTGAGATGTGTAAATAGAGGCGGGTTGAATATTGTTGTTGTACTGTACTGTATGTATACAGCCGTCCGATGTTACTGTATTTCGTACTTTTCGTATGTGTCTTGGGGGATTTCCGTCGACGTCCGCTTCTGAACAACCATGTAGGTTGTATTCGACACCACAACTGCGTTTCGACGAACGCGAACTTCAGCCAAATTCAGTCGTTCGACTTTTGCAGACTCACTCACTCAGCCCCGACTCAGCCCGCACATCCCTGCCGACCCCACATAACTACAATGATGGCCGGTGCACAGCTTGAGAAGGAAATGGCAGCGTTCCAGAACCTGCAAAGGGGTACGTCCATTTTCCGTCTGGCCGTATTTGATCTAGCGCATACAGGGTGGAATTTTTCAAAACATTTGGACGGTCCAGCGGTCCCCTGACCCTCCTAAGCTGTGGCATGCTATGGCACTGGGGATCGGAAAGCTGCTCTCAGTGTCATACCCTATGCTTATACAACAATGGTTGGCCTTGGAAGTTCTACCGAAACTAATTTTCCTGTGAACACATAGACTTCTCGAAAGTGATCGAATCTCGGACACAGCTCGAGTCGCAACTGAAGGAGAACGAGATGGTGGCGAAGGTACGACGCTGAACGCGGCGAAGGGGAAGGGATCGATGTTATTTTTCGCTGTATTGTAGGAAACGGGTGGGACTGGTTACCAAAGGGGCGTTTAGCTCATGCATACGTCGTTGGGGCCAACCTAGGAATTCAGCCTTCTGAAACCGGATGCAACGATATACAAACTCATCGGGCCAGTGCTCGTTAAGCAAGAGCAAGGGGAGGCCGTGACGAATGTCAAGAAGCGTGTTGAGTATATTACGGGGGAAATGTAAGTGAGATGGAAGCGCGAAGATGCACCGTTTTGGATGGCTGGATCACAACGGATTGGTGGCTGACGGACCTTCTCTTTGGTTTGATGATAGTAAACGATTAGAAGGGCAAATCAAGGATTTGGATAAGAAGCAGGAGGCCAAGAAGGCGGAGGTACGACTGCTACTGCCATTGGTTGGGTTTACTCTGATTCTTGTTTGCTCACACGTTACGACTCCGTAGGTCATTCAACTGCAACAAGCATACCAACAGCAGATGCAGGCTAATGCATAGTCATCTTTTCGCTCGCATACCCTTATGTATATATATGTCTGTCCTCCGTCGGGAATGAAATTGGGAACGATCGTCCTGATGCAAGTCGTCTCGGTTCGCTCGTTCACTGATTCCAATGCCCGCCGCGCACACCTTGCTTTTCTGACCATGTCCGAGACGATCAGACTAAAGTTTGACGAGGATCTCTTCCTTGAGAGCTGGAAATGGATTCCCTCCGCCACAAACAACGAGCCAGTTCTTTCAGACCGTCTGATTCCGAAAGTCCGGAGAGATTCAATCGCTTTACAAAATTGTGGCATATCATACACGAAGGAAACGTTCAGAAAATGATATCGGGGTCTTGTTCGTACTCGTTTAGCAGATTCGATGCTTGATGGGAGTCCTGCGTCACTTGCCCTGACACTGAGTGGGGTGTTAGATTCCCCTTTCCGGCAACGGAAGCACGAGACTGTAGCAATCAAACCTTGCAGGGCTTCGCGCTCAGCCGTCTCCTTGGCCAGCTTCTCCTTCTTCTTGCCTTGCACCTTCTTCAGCCTATTGGCACGGTTGATGAGCGACGGAGGTGCTCAGAATAGGAGAGCACAGCGGGACGTACCTATAGAACTCCTCCCTATCGGCCTCGTCTAGCTCCGACGAGATGAACTTGATGGTGTTTTCAATCTTCGGGATGATAACGTGCTCAATGGCATTCACACGTCGGTTTGTTACTTTGATGACCTCGTCCAGGATTACGAACGCGGTCTAAAAGTGTCGCCAATATCAGTGAGCCATCTGATGAAGGCAACCCCCTCGCGAAGGCGGTCACTAACCTGTAACGACGCCAGCTCCACCAAAACCTCAATGGCCTTCTTATACGTTTCTTTGCATTTCTGGACTTGCTGTCCTCCCCGTCCCAGACCCGTCAATTCGGACGCTAGAAGCCGCCATTCCGTGAATCGATGCGTGAAGAGCTCGGTCATCTCGCATCTGTCTTCTTACCATTTTGTCCATCGACGTACATGTCGAAGGCGGGTAATTGGACACCAGAAACGTTTTCTGATTTAGCCCGGACTTTGAGCTGCGCTTGCTTAACGTTCTCTCGTACTTGATACCTGAAGTGCATGAAGTTCATCAGCTACAATCATCCGCCGCATACGATATTTCCGCGGTGACGCACATACCCGATATCTCCAGTAGCGTACATGACCTCCGCATATGAGAAGTTCGCAACTTGCATGATTTTGCCCATCTTGCGCTTCGCCTAAAAATCGATACGGTATCAGGATGAATCCCTTGCCCCTTCGACATATGCTCTGCTCCACGCCCAGACAATGGGCCTAAACCCCTTCAAGAATCCCCGCGCCTCCCATACCTCGTCAATCTTCTTGACTATATCCCTGAACCGCCGCGTAAGAGCCTCACTTTTCCTCTTCAACAGCGAGTGGCCTGTTTGGGCACCTTTCAGCCTATTCTTCATGGTCGTCAACGCCCTAAAATGGACAATATGGGTATCAGATGGGAAGCTAAGATGTTCAAGGTTTCACGGCGGAAATGACACTCACATCCGAGTAGGGAAGATGCTGAACCTCGCACCGGTACCGCTCATGGTGGGCAGCTATCCGAAGGTAACTGTATATGAATACACTGCTTCTGCAAGACAAGCCGGATATTCCCAGCGAGAAGTCGCGGCGAAGCGGTGGGGAACTGCGTCAGGAGTGGCTGGCGAGTTGTGAGGGGTGACGAGGGAAGAAGTCTCCACGCGTTCCCTCAGCGCACTCCTCGCACTCATCAGTTGCAACCTGTGGGGGAGAGCTTTCGCGCAAAACTACCCACTCGGCCTTCTACCAAACGACCACATCTGGCGCACTCTTCGCTGCCGAGAGTGGTAAGGTCGCCGCGGCGCCATGTCTCAAAACAGGTTCAAACCCGGACCCAGCGGACGCACGGCCGGCCCTCCGAAGGTCTTGTCGAGCTCACGACCACCCGGCTGGCCTCCAGCAGTCCGTGACCCCATCCGTACGACTTCTCAGACGAAAGGTGGTACAAGAAGCTTCAAAGGAGCTGATGGACGCGAACATGAGCCCTTTCTCGTCCAGGGTGGGGACTCTTCCGCAGAGGAGACGATGAGTCCTAGAGGCACAACGGGCGGTAGCAACTGGCCAACTGGGGCGAAACGGAAGGGGAAGGATGATGGGCGGGGCAGCTCTGTTTTTGTTGGGCAGGTCAAAAGTGGAGGATCTGGCTGGGCTCAGGTACCCGATTATGTGCCTGGACCTGCCGGAAAGCAGAGAAAAGCAGCAACGACGAAGAAGGGTATAACGGGATTTGTCAACAAATCAGCTGTCAATCATCAATTCACTGTGAGCGCGGCCTCTCGCATGAAGGTCCTGGTGTCTTCTCAGCAGAGCTCAGGCGGGACAAGTTTGGGGAATGGGTCCCAATATCGGTCAGCATCTTCTGCGGACCGCAAAAGCAAATATGAGGTTCACGTCGTGGACGTGGTCAGCAGCGGTGAGGATCGACCGACGAGAGCTAGTAGAGTGACCTCGCGGCCGACAACGTCTGCAAACGGCAAATGCAGAACCGTAGTTCACGATGTGGAAGAGGTCGGCAATGATGCTCCATCAAGGAAAGTCAGGAGTGCACGCTTGAAGGCGGCCGGAGCATCGGGGACGAAACTGCCAGTCGGTGCACAAGCGATCAATGGGTCAAGTAGTCGTGTTGGCTCAGGCGACAAGTTGAGAGCAAACCGTGGAGATGGCAAAGCCCTACGGACAGAACGAGAAGAACGACGGGGCACGACGGGACCAGCATCGTCCCGGAACGATACCTTGAGACAGCCCCGCAGGGAGCAGTCACCCGGTGAACCAGTGGGATGTACGAAGCCAAGAGTGCTCAAGCGAAGGCTCATACCGAGGGAAACACCTGAAGAGCTGCGCTCCGACACCGAGAGGCTTAAACAGAACCAAAGCCGGCCCGTCGCTGGCTCCCTTGGGCTTACAACACCAACGAACAAGCGCCGGAAAGTACAGAACGCTAATGAAGCGATAGAACCAGATTCGAGCGTTACGATTGTGGAAGATACACCGCTCTCCAAGATCAAGGGAAAGACGAGGAGGAAGGGTTCATCACCCCAGCCCTCACCATCTTTGAATTCGCCGACCAGCGTGGCAGCTAATGGGGCAAAGCATAAACATCAGTCAGCAGCGGAACGGCCCCCCATTTCCAGACAACGGACACCACCCAAACTACTCAAAATCCTCTCGTCCGAGCTTTCGCCATTCCGACCGGCGTCGCCAGAAAGCTCAAATCTTCCGTCAATATCCCCTTTTGTAACCCTGGATGCGGATCGCAGCTTGGCGGAGGATGCTGACGAGGAATCCCACCGCACATGTCCGCAATGCATGCGGCAGCTCACCGGACCGCTGTCTGAGGCATTGGCAGCGCAGTATACCTTATTGACAAGTGGGCCTGATGCTGCGAACAGCCGTTTCACCAAGGGTAGACGCCGCGCATCATCAGAACATATGGCACTGTTTGACTTTTGCCGACAGCATACCGCCCAAGAACGCCTCTTACCATTCGGGATGGAACGGGGATACCCACAAACACTCGACCAGCCCGCGCTGCGGCACCGGATCAGAAAGTTACTACCGTTACTGCACGACGTTATACGGAACCGGCTAGAAAGCGTCTTCAAAGAACGGGCACTCAAAAGCTACTCGACACTAGGCACCCGTCGCGCACAGGGCTTCCAGAACAAGTACATGCAGGCTCACGTCACCGCCAGCTGCGGCTACTACGGCCGCACGGGCGCCAGCATCATCTTCAAAGTCCTCTTCCACACCTTCCTGCGATCCCGCGACCAAGCATCAACCGCCTCGAAGCCCATATACCCCACCCTCACGAAACACGACACAGCCCCAATCCCACCGCTAGAATTCCTCCAAGACGTGCTTGTCCCCGAAGCGGCGCTGCGACTGATCATGGAGGACCGCAAACTGACGGGCGTGCCGCAGGGCATGAAGGTGTTTACGGAGAGCGCGGAGTATGGCGCGGCGATGTTTGGCCACTCGGATGACGACTCGGATGACGACTTGGATGACGACTCGGATGAGTCCGACGATGAGGCGGATGACGATATCTGGACCAGCCAGGAGGAGATCTCTGCCCAGCAGACCGCGCGGCCTGGTATACGCACACGGGAAGGATCACCGCTCTCCTACAACAACAACAATCCGGCGACAAACGGAGCGAATGTAAGCCCGATTGGCGGGTTACCCGACACGATCTGCATCGATTCCGACGACGAGCTGCTTACGTTCCCGCAGTTCACGAGTTCAGCGTCGGCTGTGCGGAAATCTGGAGCTGGATCCGGAGAGACGATGCCGGATGCGTTTTTCTGTAGTGAGAGTGGAGACGATTTGTAGACCCCTCTTATGCATGTATTTTGGCTTTTTTTCGCCCGGCCGTTGTGAACAGTGAACAGTGAACATTACGCGACGTATGGGTGGAAAACCATTTTGGGGGAGGAGGGGATGTGGGAAGGGAGGGAGAAGAAGGCCATGCAGAATGCATATGTTAGTAAAGTCCGATTTATGAGTGGACGCTGTATAGGAGGAGTCACCGCCGCGAACGATAGAGGCATTTTTCTAAATTCCCCGATTTTGCATATACAGTATGTACGTTTGCTTAAAAATCGCCACGAATCTCCATGATCTCACAGCCGTCGTGACAGCTTTTGATTCATCGATCCATGTCTTTGCTCCTAAGCCTTGATGCCAATTAGTAGTAGGCTTTCCCACTGCTTGCTTTTCCTTTGCTCCGGCAGGAAACAGAGTCATGGTTCAAAGAGAGTGCACTTAGCGAAAAGTTGAGTCGCGATGACGCCGAAGGGGAAACTTGTGGGGGCACTAATGCCCTCCCCCTTCCCCCCCCCCCCCCCCCCCCCCCCCCGCGCATATCCAGTATGACAAGACTTCGAGAGCCGCACATGCATTAGGTGATGCGTCGCCCGTTGTAATCCTGACGGACGACTCGATACAAAATGCTGTATTTCGTTATGATAAGGAGGCGCAGAAGGTTCAGACTCTTCGCATCGCTCAACCCCCTGTTCCATACCTATTCACGCGGAGCTACCGCCTCAAACCTCCCTCCTCAAACGTCACTGTCAAACCTTCCCGCCAAAGCAAGAGCACCCAAACCTCAAAGGCATAATAGCAAGACACCATCGGCAAAGATGCGCGGTTTTCTCCAGCGGTGGTGGGGTGGCAGCTCCGTGTCCCACAAGGTAGCCGAAAAAGACGATTTGGGTCTGCAGGAGAAAGACAACCTTACCCCTACCGAGGACGACGACCAAACCGTCTACGATCGAATTATGGACGACAAGGATATATACAAACGTTGGAGGGAAGATACACCGGTTGCGGGGCTCGAGGCGATTTTGGAACCTAGTGGTTTCAACTTGTCTGGCAATAGTCCGCTGTTGGGTTTTGATCCGCCGAGCGACCTTGCCCTCGAAATCAATTCTATTCGAGACACTGATGAAGAAGGAAGGCGGCAGAGCGTTGGGAGCCATTCTAGCAAGGGGAACCCCAAAAAGCGAAAACACAGCCTACACAGCGACGACGACATCACCACCCGTGATCACAGCCCCGGAGTGAAGAAGCATATATGCAGCAGCCTGGAGAGCCTTCCCAGTGAAGAAAGCGACGCAGAGCAGAGCGTAAGCACGGAGCTCAGCGGTAGTGGAGAGAACGAAGCGGAGCTGTATGCGTGTGATCCGGACGACGTGGATTTCCTCGCTCCGCCCTCTGGGACTGGGCCTAGTGTTGACAGCGAGAATGACGGGACGAGCGGAACAACGCGCGCGCAGTCATCCGGCCTCCGCCACGTCCTTCCCATTTACGACGCAACGGCGAAGGCCTCCGCCTATCGGCCGACAATGCTGTCCAGACTCCTCAGCATCCCTGGCAGCATCTCCCCCATCAAACCAGCGTTGTTCACCTCCTTCCCGTCGCCCTTCTCCTGCTTCACCCGCAGCAGCGCAATGTCCCGTCCAAAACCCACCAACGTGCACGCCCTGCCCACCCTAAAAGATTGGTACTTGTCCGACGACCACACCGCCTACCTAAGCAAGCACCAGGACAAGATTGCCTCTGCGCGGGAGCAATTGGCTAAGCACGTCAGGCAATGGGATGATGTGCTGAATGACAAGATTGTGCTGTGGAAGGGCGATATTACGAGGCTGGAGATAGACGCTATTGTCAATGCGGCGAATAGGTCGTTGTTGGGGGGTGGTGGGGGTGAGTTTGCTGGGCTGTGTAGTGCTGTGCTCCGGCACGAACTTGTCTTAATGAAGGCTTGTGCTTTTTCTCCCGCAGTGGACGGAGCGATACACAGCGCGGCGGGCAGAGGCCTCTACCAAGAATGCAAGACGCTGGGAGGATGCGAGACTGGAGACGCAAAGATAACCGCCGGATACGAGCTTCCCGCCAAGCATGTTATCCACACCGTAAGTTTCGGAGTGCGCCACGAACGCTCCCGAGAGAGTGGCGGCGAGAAGTAGGCTCAGCTTTCTGACCAAATCCGCGATTTTCCCACAACAGGTTGGACCAATAGGTTTCCACCCTGAAACGTTGACGAGCGCCTATAAACGATGCCTGGAAGTCGCGGAGGAGCACGGGGTGCGGACCATTGCGTTTTGCTGCGTCTCCACTGGGATCTACGGGTAGGTCTTTCCACCGTCCCAGTCCTCAATCGCATGTGTTGATCCCGGAATCATCCACATATCACAGATACCCGAACCTCCAAGCCGCCAGCACCGCCATCCGCACCGTCCGCCGATACCTCTCCAACCCCACCGCCGCCCAAAATTTCGACCGCATCGTCTTCTGCCTTTTCCTCCCCGTCGACTTCGACGCCTACCACGAGCTCGTGCACGTCTATTTCCCACCACCGGATGAGACGACCGATGAGGATAATGACACTGTGAGTGAGGCTGAGACGGAGATACTGGGCGTGGATGGGATAGGTGGGGGGGCTTCATTGGAGTATGGGCAGAAGGAGGGGGAGGTGGGTGATGTTGAGTCGAATGGAGCTTGTGAGGATGGAGATGAATTGGTTAGGGATTCGTATGAAGCGAAGGAGGAGAAGAGTGTTGGGTGGGACGTCCCGACGCAGCTCTCAGACGCAGACGGTAGTGAGATGACTGAGCAGAGTCTTTCGCGGGATGGCGATGCGGAATCGCTTGCGGACGACGCACAATACGGGTGGGAACGACAACTCGAGGAGTCGGAAGCTGTGGAAGACAACGCGAACGAAGGGACGGAAGAACGTTCGCAGTCACCGTCGATCAGCGAGGACTTATGTGGGGACTGCAGTCCAGGGGCTGTAGAAATCGATCCACGGAATGATGACCCGGGCTGGGTGGGGAATGCGAAGGATGGGCACGATAAGAACGTTGGCGTACGTGGGGATGACATGGTGGAGGTGGAGAGTGAAGCACATTGCAGGGAGGAGAGGAATGATCTCGCCGCCTATGATGGAACACGTGCTACCGCTAGGCAAGGCGCGAAGCGAGGTTACGACGAGATGGAGAAAAGTGAGGATATATCCTGCGATGGCAAAGGCGCGATCGGGCAGTGGTGGAGTCGTTCAAGGGAGGAGATGCGGGCGAAGAGAGGGTCTGTGGAGATTGGTCAGCGGGGATGAGGGAAGGGACGACGGGAGGGGTGGAATGGTGACTGCTCATGGAACCTTATTATCTGAACACGTGGAGACGATGTAGAAGGCAACCCTATCCCGTCCTACCCTTTGGAAAGTGTCATTGACTCCTGGCATTATGGCAACCCAGCCGTCACCATAGGAAACAGGTCGACGAGCGCATTTTCCCCTCTCAAGTCCTTTGCCGTGATTGATTCTCGCAAACGCACAGCAGTCAAGATTTACGCCTTTCCATAGTCCCCCTTCTGCTTAGCCATCGCTGTACAACTATTATCCATAAATCGGTCGGAACACTATCGACCTGTTGTTTCTTATATATACACAAAATGAGAAGTAGGAGTGCTTCATACATACCTACATACATACATACATACGTTCGCAAAATCATGCGTTGCCGATCCCGCATATATGCGACTTATCCCCTCCGTAACCTCTCCAACAACTTCTGATGCAGATACGTACTCAGCAAGAACATGCCGTTGAAGGTCACGAGGCGATGGGTGGGGAAGCGTTCATAGGAGCCTGGGATGATGGAGCCGTTGTCGAGGCGGACGGCGCCGAGGATGTCTTCTGGGTCGCTGTACGGATGGATGGGGTAAATTGATGTGGGGGAGGGTGGTGAGGGGAACGGAATGAAGGTGGGGCCTACCTGACTCGGCCGAAGGGTGCGGGGGAACGCTCGTCGTTGATGTTCAGGTACCCTAGCTTTTGATGTGCTGCTAGACCTGGATTGAGATGGACGGCGGTCAGATTTCGAGGCCGACAAATACACGCAACCGCACCCCCTCCTCCCAGAAACATACCTTGTATCCCCTGATCCTCCCCAACATGCGCCTTCAACACCTCATGCAAAACATCTAACAACACAACGGGTAAGTTCTTCCACCAAATCGTCACACACCACCAATTACCCCAAAACCCACCTTCAAATCCCCTCCTCCCCTCCCACCCCCCCGGCCTCAGAACCGGCACACCGCCCTCCTCTCCCGCGCCTGCCAACACCCATCCAATAACCCTCTCGTCATTCACGTCTTCCTCGAAGAAACTGACGGCGTGTGTTCGTGGCTTTCGTGATGACAAGGAGGATGAGGCGGGTTGGGGGTGGAAGTAGAGGTCGTATGCGTATCTTGGGTGGCGGAGAGGTGATGAGGAGGGGGCGGATGGGGGGGCGGATGAGGAGTAGGAGAGGGAAGCGAGTGATCTTTGGAGGGTGAGGCGGGGAAGTGCGGGAACGTTGGGACGGGTGCGAAGAAGCATTTTCCAAGTGGGATAGCGTCCAGGGGCTCTTGGAGGCAAATAAAGTGAGAGCCTGAGCTGGGAGGAAAGGGAGATGGTGGCCGCTATCGGGGAAGCAATCAGGAAGCAATCCTGCTTTGTCCTATCCGGAAAAAAGCACCGTTGGACGGAAACTGGGAAGGCAAGGGCGGGTGGCGCAGCAGTTGATACCCGACGCGTCGAGTCTGTAAGCCACGCTCCTCTCAGCACTCCGAACTCATCCCGCCGGTCCCTTCAGCGTAAAAGCGATCGAAGCTGTCGGGTGTCTGCAACCATAATAGGCATTCGTGTCTGCCGGAAGTGGTCTCCAAAGCGCACCGCGTAATGGCGAATACGTCCTTTTTTTGTCACTATTTTGGGCGACATCCAAGACGATGCCAACAATACGACGAGGCGCACAAACCTTGGATGCAAGGTGTCTTGTTAGTCGAGATGCAGATGGGTTCTTTGGAGGACTATATAAGACCGTCCAGCTTACGATAACTTCCCTCGCCCCTCATCACCTTCATCTCTTCACAACCTTTCACCTTCCACAGCTTCATCCTATAACAACCTACCCAAACCTAAAAGATGGCCAAATTCATCACTGCCTTTGCCGTAGCATCCACCTGCATCGCCGCAGTGCAAGGTCTAGCGTGCGACCCCACCGCCGTCAGCCCGTACGCCGGCCAGAAAGCCAACCTCGTCCCGGCCGCCTCTTTCACCCCCAGCAACGAGGCGCTGCATGTCTCGGGAACGGTTGAGATCCTCGACTCTTGCACGTTTGTTGTGAGGAACTTTGTCTTCACGCCTGGTCTTGCCGACACGCTTTGGTACGGTCGTGTCGGGACTAATGTGACCTCTGGCCGACGTAAGTATTCCCTGCCTGTCTCTCAGCCTCATCCATCGATGAACACAGTCTCTAATAACGCCATCTCCCTTTCCGCATTATCCAGCAATCTGGGGCGCCACGGGCAACGTCAACACAACCGTACAATACAGCAACGGCGCCGACAGCCAAAACTACACCCTCATCGGCGACGAAACTGGCTGGTGGAACGCCCAGTCCTGGAACGACTTTGACACCATCGTCCTCTACGGTGCAAACAACTCCTACAACTACACCATGGCTACCGTCCAGTTCCCCGCCCTCATCAAGACCACCTCTACCTCCATCGCCTCGTCTACTAGCTCTAGCACGACCACCAGCACCAAGGCTGCTGCTACCACTACTTCCACATCCACCTCCAGCACCGCCGAGGCGACTACTACCACCGCGGATGCTCTTCCGAAGGACACGGTGACTACCACTCCTATCGCTCAACCTACTGAGGATGTCAAGAGTGGCGCCCGTGGGATCGTTGAGCTCGGAAGCTTGGCGGTTGCCGGGTTGGCGGCCGTATGTGCTGCCGCTGTCGGCCTTTAGAGTTAGCTTATATCCAGGGATAGTTTTTGGTAGCATATCATTAGACGTAAAGAACGTTTTTGGCTGTTTTTGGGATGTGTTGTAGTAGTACGGAAATACCTTTGGAACACCTATTGTCAGAGTCACTGTCAGACATCTTGTTCGAGACTTTCTTGTGTGCACCCTATCCTCTCGGTTCCATCGAATGCACAATTCCAAGCATCGTTTCTCGAGTGTTTGCCAGTGAACCAAATGAATAAATTAGGGACTCTTTTAAGGTAACTACGACCCGACGGGAGTCACGATGCTATATACAATGTGCGCTAGAAAGATGCGCTGGTCGGGCGTCAAAGGCCCTCAGACCTCTTAGATCTTCCCCTGAATCTTATCCAACAAATGCGATATCTGATTGGCCATAACAGGCTGCCCCTTCCTGGTCTTCATCTGCAACTTGTCTCTGACATTATTCCTCTACCACATCATGAAAAAAGCGTCAATCATCCATCCATCACACAGCCATTCCCTTGTGACAAGTTTCCATACCTTCTTATAATAAGCATCCCTCCCCTCCTCCTTCTCCTTCTTCAACCTCTGCGCCTCCTCAATCGCCGCTTGTCGCTCAGCTTTCTTCTTCTGCGCCTCACGTACGGCTTTCGCGAACGGGTCGGCTTTGCGGGGTTTGGTTGTTGTGCTGCCCTTTTGGCCCCGGGAGGGGAGCGGGGCGTTGCGGAAGGGGTTGAGGCTTGGGGCGGGTTTTGTGGACGGGGCCCCTGATGCGACGTCCTCCTCTGAGTCGCTGGAGGCCGGTGCTGCGGGCTTGCTTTTCCCTGCTCGACCTTTTACCGGCTTCGCAAACGTCTCCTCCTCCTCTTCCTCCTCCTCCCCCGCCTCCACCTCCATCTTCCCACCCGCCATCCCCTCCTTCTCCAACATCTTATAATACTCCCTCTTTATTCTCGTCCTGCGAATCATCTCGCTCTTCTTCTCCAGACCGGGGTTATGCCGGCCTTGTTGGAAGGCGAGCTTTTTCTTTATGGCAATGGCATTGCGGGGGTTAAGGGCATTGGAGGAGGTTGAGGGGGGGCGGCGGGTTGGTGGGCCCATTGTAAAGGTGTGGGTTTTGAAGCCGATGGGTAGGGACGCTGCGTGGGAGTAGGCAGAGGTCGTCGTTGACAATCTGCGGATTTTTCAGTAATAGCGTTGTTCAGCAGACTCGAGAGAGCGTCTTGACCTTCGCGAGACCCACCAGCTCAACAGTCAACACAGCACCATCCCCAACCGAAACCGACCGGATCTCTTTGGCCACCGCACTCCACAACAACCCACCCTCACCCTACCCGCAAGTCAGGACCACCAGAACCCGTCCAACATGGCCACCCAGAAAACAAAAAGCGAAATGACCGAGGCGGAGCTCCTCGCCCTCGAAGAGTCCGAATTCCAGAACGGTCCTCTCTCCGTGCTGACACAGGTACAGCCCTACCATAAGCCCTTCTGGTTTTTTTCCAGAGGGCACTACGGCCGAGAGTCGTGGTTGAATGGCTCCTGCACTGGTGATTGGAAAGGACAAGGGACTAACGATTTCTCTTTTTCGCACCGTCATCCAGTCCGTGAAGAACAATTCCCAGATCTTAATAATGTGCAGGAACAACCGGAAGCTGTTAGCGCGAGTGAAGGCATTGTGCGTTGATCATGAGGCTGTTCTTTCTGGGTTCCTGAGGATGCTGCATGGGAATTATGGTTTCGCAGTCTGTTCACGATGACTGATCTCGCACCCTCTCGTTTTTCTTGCAGCGACCGACACTGCAATATGGTTCTGGAGAACGTGAAGGAGATGTGGACAGGTGCGTTCCGTAGACGTTGCATTCACACAAATAGGTCGCTCGATAACTCATTAATGAATTTGTTTTCCGCTTTTATAGAGACGCCAAAGACAGGGAAGGGCCAGAAGAAGGCAAAGCCGATTAATAAGGACCGGTTCATATCTAAGCTGTTTTTGCGTGGGGATTCAGGTGCGTCTGGTTGTGCATTTCGTGCCATTTTACCCGTTAATTGCCGCAAGCTAAATCATTTGTATCTGCAGTGGTCCTGGTCCTGCGAAACATCACGGCGTGAGAACACTTCGTTATATATAGGATATGTGGAGTTGGAGCAGGGTAGCCGAAGCAGTCTAGTGACCTTTCGTTGCGGGGGCCAATGCCGTGAGACAGGTTGCGGGGATTCCACAGTAGATTGGGAAAATAAGGGTCGGACGGCGTATTGCCTCTGCCTGTGTTGTGCATGTGTATTTAGTTTATGATGGAGTTCTGTTCAGGGACCTGGATCGCACACGAGTTATCGAGAGAAATCAAGGGGTTATGGGCAAATCTTTGGAAGGCGGGTTTCTTTTATTATACAGGGCATCGTGTATTTCAGCATGGAAAGACAAAGCAAGAAGCTATGCTTTGTGACCCGAAAATGGGTTGGTTCACCAGCGGAACTGACAAGATAAGCACATCTGCGACCCTCGTCACAGCGAAACCTGAGACCCCAAAATATACATGGTAGTCCCTTCCCCAAACAAGGTACACACATTTTCACTCGTGGAGTGTACCAGCACTCCCAACCCTCACGCCCGCGTCCTCCGGCTTCGAAGCCTCCGGCACCCTCTCATGATCCCCCAACGCACCTCCCCTCCTCCCCTTCTTGGATGCGCTAACCTGCAACGCCACAAACACGCCCACCACAATCGCCAACCAGCACGCCCACACGATCCACGGCCACTTCGCCCCTTTTTCTTTATCCCCGAGGTAGAGGTTGAGACCCAGCGGCACGTTGATGAGGGCGAGGAGAAAGACGACACGGCCGAGCCACCAGTGTACTTTGTCCCACCAGGGGATGCCTTGCCGGTCCGGGCTCCAGAGTTTGTCGATGATGAAGCCGAGGACGACTTGGGGGAAGGTGAGGATTATGATGATTAGGCCGAAGATCTAGTCATAGAGAAGAATCGGGTAAGTTTGTTTTGCATTTCATACGCGACGTTCGAAGTGTGAATCGACAAAAGTGACATACCGCATGAATCCCATTAGCCTTGTAATTAAAATGACTCTCCCCATTCAGCTGGACAACCTTATACACCAGCCCGAGCGCGGCATAAGTCATCGCCGTCGTTCCAAACAAAAACAGCCCAAGATGGATCCGGAACCACCACACCCCCAACGCCTTCTTCATGAACCGCGCAACAAAGATCGCAAGCGGGGCAATCACAGTCCACGCGATAAACATCAACGCCCCGTGCGCTTTCACCAGCGCGTCCGTGTCGACGCCGGATGACGGGTCTTGCACGACAACGGCGCCGCCCTGTGCCTGGTCAGAGGGTGTCGCCCCACCGGCCGCATACGCCATACTCCCGTCCATAAGGTTCAACTCGATCTGGCCGCGGGAGGTATGGCGGGGCACGGTCGACGCGGATGCAGGCGCGGCGCCCTTGAATCCCGCCCAGATGAGGGCCTGTTTTGCCGGCGTGATGGGGGTAAGGTCGGCGGAGGAGGCGGCGAGGGGGCGGGTGAATGTGACGACGTACTGCTGTTGGTTGTTGATGGTGAGCAGGCCGGTTGCGTTCGCTTCGATGGAGAGGTCTTGCGCGGTGTTGAGGGAGGGGAGGCTGTGGCCCGTTGCGGTGCGGCGTTGGACGGTAAGGCCGGCGCCGTTGTTTGTTGGGTAGGCCATCTATGCATGCAATTGGTGTTAATAGGAGAAAGGATATCGCTTCATGCCGGGAGAAAACCAACGCACCATGACATCGGCATTCCCCATATCCTGCCCAACCCCAAAGGCAACCCATCCCAACGTCCTTGGAAACTCGTATCGTATCCTGACCGCATCGGTGCCGACGGGGTTCGAGTACACGCAGAAATTATCGCCTTGTATGGCAAAGCACACAGGAGCCGCGAGCGCGCCTAGAGAGGGCGGAAAGGATACGGGTTGGAGAATAGGGCTTCGTTGGTCTGGGTGGAGACGAGAAAAACGCAGGCTTTGAGAAGGGACCACCGCGAAGGCAACGCATACCTCCGAGAAAGACGAGCAGCCCCAGTAGGGCGGAAGTCGCTCGGAATTGACCCATGACTGTCCCCTGAAGTGTTCACTGGACGAATTCGCACACGCAGAACTGTTCTTTATATATTTTGAGAGAAGCCGGCCCCACTTGACAGTTGACCACAGACACAGAAAAGGAGCCTCCCGCCAACACGGTTGTCGCTGTTGGAGAGTTTTCAAAGGAGCGTTCAATTTTTCCTCCTTGCCAAGAAAGTAAGCTCTTTGCATTGCTTACGGGGAGGAACGCTCCACAAACACTCTCATATGTACCATCTCCAAAAGGGACCCTTTGTGCGGGTGGACGTTTGGGTGAGTGTTCTGTGTGTGTGGAGAGAGGAGGCGATCGAGAGCGGCGAGTCGTGGCGCGCCGCCCCAACGCGTGAAGTCACAGCGGTTTCTCATTCAGCCTTTCCTTCGGGGGAAAGAAAACGGCCACCCTCCCCCGGCCGTCAACGTCTCCCTCCAGATCCAGAAGGGAGTGACGGTTTTGTACGGCCAGCGGTCTCCCCCGTTATGTGGTTTCTCGGCGCTGTTGAGGTGGATTCCCCGCCGAGAGGCCCGGATGCATCCCTCGATAATCTGCGTGCAGGTCTAAGATGTGCCTGCATATCGCACGAAAGCCATTGATTGACTGAATCCATCATGCCGCCATATTTTCAAGGATGGCTTGAGAATGTGTGAAGAGGTGAGAATGTGTTCAGAGGGTCCAGACCATCAGACCCATGCAGATCCAACACGTTGAGGTGGGAGCAGAGCGACGTGTCTTTTATTACGCGCAAGCCACGCTTGAAGCAGCCCCCGGCATAAAACGCGTGGGGGGGGAAACCGGTTTGTGGCATCTTGACCACCCACACAAGCACACCCAAACCCCAGAAACAATGTCCGCAACTACCAGCACCCCGCATACAGGCCCGGAAGCCGACCGTCTGCGCGACAAAATCAAAGGCTGCATCTACGGCGCAGCCCTCGGCGACGCGCTCGGCCTCGCAACCGAGTTCATGACCCGCCAAGATGCCTACCGCATCTACGGCGCAAACGGCGAGAAGCTCGCCTTGGACAACATGCACGCTGATCGACACCGGTGCAAGTGGGAGAAGGGCGATTGGACGGATGATACCGATCATTTGGTTATTCTGTTGTGCTCGGTGCTTGCGACGGGAGGGGAACTCGATCAGCGGGATTTTGCGAGGAGGTTGAAGAAGTGGGCTGGGACGGGGTTTTTGACGCTGGAAAAGGCTGCGTTGGGGATTGGGGCTACTGTCGGAATGTAAGTTGGCGAGCGAATCGAGCGACAGTGGCTGTCTGCGGCTAGCGAAGCGAGCAGTAAATGTGAGCAGCAAACCGTCGTGCTTTTTAAAACGAGCGAAGCAAGTCCCTGTCTTCTGCTGTGAGCGGCAACGAACCGTCGGCCTTTTTGTACGTATCTTGATGAAATTCAGCTAACTCTGGGACTCCCGGCATAGGGTTCTCTCCCACAAAAACTTTGAAACCGATCCCGTTGGCGCCGCCTACGATGTATGGAACCATAAAGACCGCAACCTCGCCGCGAACGGCGCCGTCATGCGCACGGCCGTTCTCGGATGCCTCGACTATCAGCACGAAACCAAAGTTTTCTGGAATGCCGTAAACGCCTGCCGCATTACCCACGCCGACCCGCGCTGCATCTTCTCCTGCGTCGTCGTTTGCGTGCTCATCTCCCGAATGCTCCGTGGGGATTTTCAAAAACCGTGGGTGCCCGTTACCCCAGAAGAACAACGAGCGGACAAGACCCCCCCAGCAGCACAACCCATCACATCTCAAAAACCCTACCGCCTCCCCGAACAATACAAACCCGACCCAGACTCCCCACCCCCAAGCCCCAAAGTTTCCTGGACAAACCTATTAGCCAAACTCTCCCTATCCCCACCCCCCCACTCCGAAGACCGCCGCTGGCGAGCCATCTACGACCGCCTCGCCGAGCGCATCAAAGCCACGCCCATGTCGTTCGAGAAACACCCAGCAGGCGAGCCGGCGCCGCCCTTCGCGTTCCCACCCACAGACCCGCAGCTCTTTGAGGACGTCAGAGCCGTCGTGGAGGCTTACAAACCCTGTCTCGATTTCCACGCCACAGAAATCCACAGCCAGCCCTCACCCCACGAAGATCTCATCACAACCCACTGCCTCACCCCCTCCATTGCCCCCCTCAACCTCTCCGGCCCGGCAGGGATCGGGTACACGCTCAAATGTCTCGGCGCTGCCCTCTTCTGCCACACACGTACCATCTCCCCCAGTCAACCCGCAGAGGATTTTAAGAAGATAATGACGGGGTTGATCATGGAGGCTGGCGACGCGGACACGAATGCGGCAGTTGCTGGGGCGTTGGTGGGATGTAGGGTGGGGTTTAGCGGGTTGCCGGGGGAGTGGGTGGCGGGGTTGAAGCATAGGGAGTGGCTGGAGGAGAGGGTGGAGGCGCTTGTGGAGTTGGTTTTGGGGAGGGGTCGGTGAGGGGAAGAGGTTTTGGGCTGGTTTGTGTTCTTGCGAGATGTATGGAGGATCTGTTTTGGTGCGATTTGGAGGGGTAGCCACATGTAAAGTGGACCCCGTTGGGAGTATCGATAGTTGTAGGTACGTATGTAGTAGTGCTCAAACGAATCCTTCGAGCCCTCTAAATGCACATGTCGACGGCGTACACGTAAAGTAGGAAATGATATGGAATTGGTGCTATAGTATACTGCTATACATCAAAGGAATGAGGGTGAAATGGAAAATGATGTCACCAACAAACAAAACTGTGAACATGCATGAGGCTACTTCAACATGCTAGTGTAGGTAGAAAATTCACCTCCTCGCCCCAAACCACCCGGCCACAAACCCGATCACAATCGCCACGACCAACCTCAGCAACCCCTGCTTGCCCACGATCCTCCTCAACGTACTCAAAATCGTAATCACAAGCGGACTCTTAACCTTACTCTCAACCGCGAGCGTGGCCAGCCACATGCGGTTAGTGAGCGCCGAGGGGAGGTACCGCTGGGCAGAGACGAATTCCATGCCGTGTGGGGCAATGAGGGTGGAACGGGCGTGGGTGTATTCGAGGAAGCCGTGGTGACCGTGGTATTTGCCCATACCGGAGTTGCCGACGCCGCCGAAGGGGAGGTCGGGGGCTGTGGTGTGTGAGGAGAGGGGTTAAGGAATATGTAGAGGGGAGGGCACGTTCGTGGAGGATGGAGTTGGAAGACAATGGTTACTTACCACCCATGTTGGAGAACAGGTCGTTCACGACAGCATTTCCAGAGTCCGTCTCGCGCAGGACCTTTCGGGCAACCTTCTTGTCCTTTGTGAACACGTACAGTGCCAATGGCTTCTCTCTGAGAAACGGGAAAACGAAACGAGACAGTGAGCTTTTCTGTCTCTCAAGCCGACCTCAGAGACAGTATACAAGCTCTTACCCGCTGTTGATGTATGCGATAGACTCATCAATACTGTTGACTTCAACAATTGGCAACAACGGTCCGAAAATCTCCTCATTCATGATCGGGTTGGTCTCGGGGTTCTTGCCCACTCCCGTGATCAGGGTCGGCTCAACAAACCGGTCCTCACGGTCCTTTTCACCTCCGAAAGCGATCTTGCTTCCAGGCACCTTGACCTGTTTGTCCAGCAGGTCAACCATACGCTCGAAATGACGGTCCGAGATCAGTCGCGGGAACAACGGGCTGTCGCGTGTGCGTTCGCCGTAGAACCTCTTGAGGGCTTTCCCGCAGGCCTCGACGAAAGGGTCGACGAGTTTGGACGGGATGAGGATGTAATCGGGTGCGATACATGTCTGGCCAGAGTTGAGGGACTTTGCCCACATCAGCCTGTTCGCGACGTTGGTAATGTCGACATTCTCGTCGATGATGACGGGGCTCTTTCCGCCGAGTTCGAGCAGGACGGGGGTGAGGTGCTTGTTGGCGGCCTTGTGCACGATCTTGGCGACGGTGTTGTTGCCGGTGTAAGTGATATGGTCGAAACGTTCCTTCAGGAGCTCTGTGGTCTCGGGGATGGCTCCGTTCACGACCTGGATAACGCGGGTGTCGAGGTACTTGTGGACGAGTGAAGTGAAGACGGCGGCGCAGTTGGGGACCATTTCCGGGGGCTTCAAGACAACTGCGTTTCCGCCGGCGATGGCGGCAAGCAAAGGCCCGACGATCAGGCACCAGGGGTAGTTCCAGATTCCGATGATCAAGGCGACACCCAAAGGCTTCCTGTGAATCTCGGCGCGAGCGAAAGGAGCGAGAGGACCGGGGCCAACAACTTCCGGCCTGTTCCACTCCTCGAGGTATTCCAACGCGTGCGCGATCTCGTTCTTGATTGGCAGGACATCGATAAGCCATGTCTCTCCTGGTGCCTGTCGAAACGTTCGTACAGGTAAGTTCATCGTTGTGGATGAGGCCGAAGCCCGGAACCTCGCAGATTCATGGTGTTGATACCTTTTTCATGTCCCTCCAGTTGGCCTCACATATGTCCTCCTGATTTTCATCAAGGAGCTTGTACAGCTGACGCAGCTGTTGCTCTCTCCATTTCAACGAGTGGGTGATTCCGGTGTTGTATGCGGTACGGACGGACGCGACGATCTGTTGGGGACGAGGGTTAGTGTTGATCTCTGGTGGGAGCGGACACATTGCTCATGTCTGGACGAATGAAGAATACCTTTGGGATCTCCTCGATGGGAGTGTATGTGAGGGCCGGGAGGGGCCTTCCGTTGCCGGTAAACTCTTTTGCGGCGGTGACCATGGTGGGCAAACCTTTCTTTGAGATGAGGAATTGGGTAGCTGCTCTAGCAGTAACTAGGGGAAGCGTCATACGGTCCGCGTTTTTATACTTCGGCAAAGGGAGCGTCTGTCTATCTCTAAGGAGGACAAATTGAAGCGAGGCGGGGCATGCTCCACCAAGGCCCCACCCACCATATGCATCATCTGGGTGACACCGACATCTCACAAAGTAAGAACGGCCTCCGGCGGACCAGCGGCGGCCCAGAATTTGGGATTGATATTGAGAAGCGCAAAGACACGACATGGGCGTTGCATGTGCATGTTGTGCCGCCTGATGATGATGATGAAGGGCAAGCCGCGGGGGCGGGCGGCGGCGGCCCTCGGAGCGTGTCCGAAATGTCCCCTCCCGAGCGACGCCTTGTTTGGAAATGGAAGTCAAATGTTTGATGGGGGGCGTGACGTGCGGGATCTCGCTTACGTCCACCTTTCCTACTCACAAAAAGTAAACGCCGCACGGAAACTGAACTCTACTGTATGTACGTACTGATCTCAAGTGGAGAATCGAACGAGGTTTCAGAGGGCATCCTCATTGTGGAGAGTCGTGAAAGCCCGCTGCGACACTGAAGTGGAGGCTTAGGGACCTCTTTTGCACTGGGAGCATATGTTTCAACGACAGACATCTTCAGGTGGAGAAGTTACGCTTCTGAGCGGACGCCTGGGGACAAACACGGACGACGAGGACGTGGAAAGAATCGTAACAGGACGAAAACCCTATCCCGCGTGGGAGTTCTAGCACCTCGCATGGAGAATGGCCGAGCGCATGGAAATCGGACTGACGGAATACTGTCTGCGACAGTGGTAGTCGCCCCAAGAGCCCCGACTGCCGGTCGCCAGGCTTTTCGAGCAGAAGGTTTTGTCGCGAAACGAGCTTCGAAATCTCAAGTCGCAATCTCAAGATACCTCACCTCTTCCTAGCCATTGCCGTGAAGAGAGATGGGGCCAAGTGACCGAACTCGTTGAGGGCCTAGACGGTCAGTTGGACCTGATGGGTCTCCGTTGGCCCGAGAAAACGCCAATGGAGATCACGGCCGAAACGTTGCGAGAGAGTATGGTATCGCCAGAAGGCTACGGAGTACGCGGTAAGGTCGCAACAGAACTACGCGAAAGGTGGGTTGATCATAGGGTTGTCCATGGTACTGTTATGACGGTTACTTATACTCAAATCCTTTCCAGCACACGCGGCCGTGTTTTCCAACGGAGCGATCGCGCCAGTGGAGATCAAAACGCGGAAGGGCACGGCGGTGTTTCCTGCTCCGGACCCTGAACGACTGGGAGAATTCTTATGAAGAATGTCATCCCAAGCCCGACAGAATTGCCATCCAATACATGAACAACCACGCTCTTGCGATCACTTTTAGGACGGGAGCGACCCGTGGGAGCGTATTTGAGGTTGTTATCAGAGGGCATCTGCCCCTCACGGGGGATTCGTTGCGCTGGAGGTCGGAACACCCCTTAAGACGCATGCCCTGTCAAAGGCATTGAGTTTGCCACCTGGGGACCGGATAAGGTGGTCTCAACATTGGGCGGAACGAACAAGCTGCACTTCAATGGGAAGAACATATTTGATTATGGTTCGGGGGTGAGTGCACGCCAATTCTACCCTCCACGCCGTCTGCGATCATCCCGCCCACGGAACACTCCCGCGTTGACCGCTGCCGGTGTTTTAGTCATTGAAAAGAGTGGGACGAAGTGGATGACACCGCCGCGGGGTAAAGGACTCGTTAGCGTGTTCTCTGGCGCGGTTGCTAGTGCGAAGGACTCGGTACAGGAACGCATGTCCCACGTTCCCGACCCTTCGCTGGCTCTCAGTTGAGCGACGAACTATCGATGTTGTTTCGTGCCGAGGGTGCTATCGACGAGTGGTTTTAGGACTGGTTGTGCAATGAGGCCGACGTTGGCGGATATGAAGATCGCTGTGTTTTTGAGGGGGAGGGGGAGGAGGAACCATTTTTACCGTTTCTAGGCCGGCGAGATCCGGCAAACAGGGTGATGCACCATGCACCATTTATGCTCATCGCACGACGTGTCCCACGGCTTCCGCGCGCTCTGCACATCGCCTACGACACTTTCGTGCATACGCCCAATAGCTCTTCTGAGAATTTCACCGCAGGCCGCACCAAGAAGTTGTGGGCTGCGGTGAACTTCCCAGAAGTGATTGCGGTGACTGGGGACATGGGTCTGGGCGAGCTTGTATGAGACATCCGTTCGAACCTTCGAATAGCAATTGATCTTTCGAGGATGGACCACCATACGACATTGCTGAGGATGTCCGACGCGCTCCGGTCTCCTGCGCATGTCCGACACACCCTTGGCCTGTCGTTCATTGTGGCTTTAAGACCAGCAATAGTTTGGTGCTGGAGCAGGCGGGGGTAGAGACGACCGCAACTACTCCTGCCTTGCTCCCGGAGGCGTCTGCGTTGTTTGCGGGGCTCGTACATCCGCTGCGTGGCGTACGGGTATTGTCAACAACATCAAGACAGCCCGGGCTGCCTGCAATAAGTGTGGGCGCGCCCAGGCGTATCTTGATGCCATCGCTGCCATCCCGGGCAAACCCGTCGTCCCCTCCACCACCCTCCCCGCACCCGCCCCAGCCACCACGCGCCTCACCCTCCACCTCCCGTCCCGCCCTCCGACCATCCCAACCCCCGTCTCCACTGCCCAGCCCCCCGTCTCTGCCGCCGCTCCCCCTGTCGCCGCCCCCCAGCCCCCCGTCTCCGCCCCCAAGCCCCCCGTCTCCGCCCCCCAGCCTCCCGTCGCCGCTGCCGCTCCCACCGCCCCTATCCCCAACCCCCTCGCGATCACCAGCCTCCTTAACCCCGCCCCAATCCCCAACCCCATCCCAATCTCCGCCCTCCTCACCCCTGCCCCCATCCCCACCCGCCCCACCCGCGCCGCCGCCATCGCAGGGGTAGCCGCCGCAGCAGCAGCAGCAGCAGCGCCCACCCCCACGACCGGCGACGAGGACGAGGAGGGGTATGACGCAGCCGAAATGGCGCAAGAGGAGCTGGCCGCACTTGAGGAGGAGGAGGGACACTGGCCGGCGTTGGGAAAGCCTGGTGAAGGAGACGTGCGGTTCAACCACACGCCAGGCAATGAAGGCACACACTACGCCCCTCTTCGACGCCCACCGAGCGCGCCTGGCAGCTGCGAAACAGAAGGCAGAGACGGTGCTGGCTTTTACACCCGCCTCCGACGACGCCGATGATGATGACGAGGAGTATACGTCAATGGAGAGCCTCCCACACTCGGAGTCCGTGTCGTCATACGGATCTACATCTGGTGGCGACGAGACAGCGGGCTCTGAGTTGTGGGAGGAGGAGGAATACGCATTTGCGTGAGGGTGAGTTCATCATTGTCTCCGAGACAACTGTCTCCGCCATCTCCACTGCTCCTGACACACGCTCTCTCGTAGAGTGGATCGCGAGCCTGCCCCTATTCCAAGCTGGTCTCAAGCGATCGTGACGTGAAGAGTGAATTGCGAGCCTGCCCCTATTCCAAGCTGGTCTCAAGCAATCGTGACTTGGGGCAGGGGCTCGCCGGCTATAGCTGAGTCGCATCCCAAAGTCAAGCTACATCTCATGTTCGTACAGTGAATCAGAAGGTAGAATGAATCAATATTTCCATGCTTTAACACTAAGCTAAACGCTGTGTATATACTTGCGATATGCGCTACTGCTGGCAACGGGACGCCAATCCACCTTCCCGCCGCGTGATGACGGCGTGGGCTAGGACTACATGCTGATAAATACATCTCGCGGGGCTTATCTCCTATGCAAATGGGCTATCATACGACGCATTGACTCGTTTGTTGTCCGCGACGCTTCGCTCATATTCTTCCGTTTCGATTGTGGCGTCTTTCTCAGGGGCCGAGAAGCTCTGTTCAAAGTAACGCCGATTAAGACCCACGAAACAGTTATTCATCAAGAAAGCAAAGACATCTTCAAAACCCTACCTCCAAGTAGGTGTTCCCTGCCGGGTCGGTCAGAATCAACGTGGCCGGCAACATATCGCCGTCCATAAAAGCCATCATCTTTTGCACCCATTGCTTCAGGTCGCTGTTTCCCCCACGTCCTGTTGCTTGAGCGTGTCGGAGCACGTCCGTCAAGGTCTGGTGCAAGAAGTCGGCGATACTCATGTAGCGTGCTGGCAAGGCCTCTGGTGGCACCTCGAGGCCGAGGGATGGGATCTCCATTGTGCAGTGCTCTCCCTACACATAGGATAAGGTTATTAGTGAATATCAACCGGATATGTCTTTTCCATAGGAAATTGCCTCAGGAAGTACCAACCTTCAAAACCAGCCTTTCAAAATCCCTCTTGCTCTCCATCTTCAAGGTCATCTTCGTCCCCTTGTCTTCCACCCTATGCCCGCTCTTATACGACTCCGTCTTGTTCCCGCAGTTCCCGCAGTCCAGTGTCAGGTGGGCCACCTCCTTGAAGTGGGGGATTTCCACCAGGGCGGCTTTCCCGTTGATAGTCACCCCGCATATTGGGCATGGTCTTGGAATGACTAGATCGCCCTGTGGCGCAGCTTCCACCTCGCTGTTATCCGCCTCGTTGTAGTTCTCCTTTGTGTCGGCCATTGCTTGGTTCGCTGAAGTGCTGATTTGTGTTGCAAATTCGTAATGCAAGTTGGTCTGGGTGCACGGGGGGAAGCCAGAGAGCGCCAACTCGTGAAGCGGTCGTTTTGGACGGCGTTCGCGTTATCACCAAATTCTCACCCATAAAGGCTGGCCGCTCTCTCAAAAGTCCGACGCCAAACGAGGTCCAATCTGAACTGCACGACGAAACCGTCGAAGCCGGCAAACGACAGCATCTTCAGCTATGACATTCGGCGATGCTCTCCGGTGGGTCGTCAACGCCGCGGCCTATTTCGTGGTGACCGTCGGCTTGGGAGGGGTGTTCATGCTGTACACCTATCAAAACAACCTGATCTGTGAGTGATTAGGACCCGCTTTCAATAGCCCATGTATTACCTAGGATGGGCTGGTCGGAGGACCGACCGTCCGCGCGCCATGAAGACTTCAAGTGCTGTGCCTTCATCCTAAACACTTTCCTCTGCAGACCCCGCGAACTTCCCGGCCGGCTCTCGAGAAGTGGTGGACACGCCAGACAAAGTAGGCTTGCACGACTTTGAGAACCTCACTATCACGACACCGGACAAGGTCAAAATCAAAGCGTACTTCATCCGCCGCCGGAAAGCTTCCGGCGACAATTCCGCTCAGTCTGCCGATGGGGAGGGTCTACGGAACCGAGCTGAGAAGAAGGCCGGCGAGTTGGCGGATACCACTGTCATCTACTGCCATGCCAACGCGGGCAATATGGTAAGGATGGGTACGTCTGTGGAGGTGATGCTTGGTTGATGTGCTAACGGTGTCGAATGACTATCAGGGACACCGCCTTCCTATTGCCCGCATCCTGCATGAGAAGTTCAAGAGCAATGTGCTGATGTTCTCGTATCGCGGGTAAGGACACACTTCTTTCTCGCTCATATCGCTTCTTTGGAGACCCTGATTCACGTCCATTACAGGTACGGAACGAGCGAAGGGACACCGTCGGAAACCGGTCTCAAAATTGATGCACAGGTAGGAACATCGTCAATGCCAAAAGTATCCATACATTGGCTAATGACTTCATTGGCAGGCCGCTTTGGAATGGGTCTTAGCCAACCCTGAGTTACCGCCAAATTCGAAGATTATCGTGTATGGTCAATCCATCGGCGGTGCTGTTGCCATCAACTTGGCAGCGACCAACAAAGATAAAGTCTCCGCCCTGATTGTTGAGAACACGTTCTTGACCTTGGTATGTGATGTTGCTCGCAACTGCGCAAAGTTGCCGGTCGACTTGAAAATGATAGCTCACATCGTTTGACTTCCTGTAACAGCCCAAAATCGTACCGGCTGTCATTCCCGCCGCCAAATATCTTACATTCCTCTGCCACCAAATATGGGACTCGGAAACAGCCATCCAGACCATCCCATCAAAAATGCCCATTCTCCTTCTCAGCGGTGGAAACGACGAACTCATCCCGCCAACGCATATGGCTCAGCTGTGCAATGTCGCTCGCGGAGCCCGCCGGAAATCCGTGTCATCGGCGCCCTCGGTGCATGACGGGACGAAGCTGTCGAAAGAAGAGAACGGGGTGGTGTTTGTGCTTTTCCCCAATGGGACGCACAACGAGACGTGTGTGCAGCGGGGGTACTTTGATGAGATGCTGCAGTTTGTAGAGAACTACGTGCTGGGAAGGGGGAAGACGGTTGGAGGAGATAGTGTTGAGACGATTCCATCGGCAAAGACGAAGGCAAGCGGTATTGACGGCGTGAAGAACTACATCAATGTCGTCAAGGAGGGTGGAGCTGGAGCCGAGTTGTAGTGCAGAAGTACGTTAGATCATAGTCATTTTCATCTCATTCGTTTGTTTGTCTTCCTGCATGGATCACTCGGACCAGGCTTGCAGTTTCGTTGGTTGTCGGCATATCCTTGATGCAATCGTCCGTTTGGGCAACAGTCGAAATATATCTCCAAATGGGCAGCGAGATATACAGAACATCGATTGTCCGCTTTGTGATGAATGAGAAAATATAATCACAAGAAAATGACGGGGCATAGAAGCTAAACAAATCGATACTCTACAATTGAAACAACGTGGCGCTCGGCAACTCGGACTATCCTTCTTGACCAAACTCTTCCTGGAAACCAACGATATTTCAGCTTCCCACGACAAGTATGGGTGGCGATCACGAAAACATCAACACTTACTGTCCAGTCTACATATCTCTGCAAATCAGCCCCGTTAACACTAGGCCTCGCCGTCGACGCCGCCTTATGGAAATCAACAACGGTGAGTGGCGGCTCCTCAAGCTCCTCGCCCTCCACCTCCGTCCAGCTCTTCTCCACCGCTCCCGCATCCCCTGGCGAACATGGCATCCATTTGTTTCCAGCGACGCGTTTGAAATGAGTGGCCTGCTGGACTTTGCGCACCGGCTCCATCATGGCGTCGCGGACGACGACCGTGATGTCGGAGCCGGAGAAACCTTCTGTCCGATCGGCGAGCTCCTTGTAGTGATGCATTGATAATGTGCATTTTGTGGTGCCGATGTTTAGTGGGAACATTTTCGCGCGGGCGTTGATGTCGGGGAGTGGGATGTAAATACGTTTCTCGAATCTTTTAGGAAGACTACGCATTAGCAGAGCCAACTCGCTCCCCACTGACGAAAATGCCCCGTCTCCTACCGTCTTCGAATAGCGGGATCGAGAGCCCATGGGATATTTGTTGCGCCCAGGACTAGCACGCCTTGCATGTCGTTGCCTACACCTTGCATCTGAACAAGGAACTCGGTCTTGATTCTCCTACTCGCCTCCGACTCTCCTTCTCCACGATTGCCGGCCAGCGAGTCAACTTCGTCGATAAAAATGATGGCGGGTTTGTTTTCGCGTGCCAGCATGAATAGTTGCTTTACCAGCCTATGATGTCCACCAAGGGTTAGTGGCGCGCAATTCGCGCGAACAAACTGTAGGGAGAAGTCTTTACCCACCGTTCACTCTCTCCCATCCATTTGCTGACAAGGTCGGAGGAGCTGACAGAGAAGAACGTTGCGTTTGCCTCTGTTGCCACTGCTTTGGCCAAGTACGACTTTCCGGTTCCTGGGGGCTACAAACGAAACACTTGAGTCAGAAATCTCCAAGGCGATGCATCGGATGCCCTCGAATTGAACAGTACCCCATAGAGCAAAATTCCTCGCCATGGCGTTCTCTTCCCCGTGAAGAGATGTGGAAACTTGATTGGTAGAATCACTGCCTCCTTTAACGCCTCTTTGGCGCCTTCCAGACCAGCAATGTCATCCCATTTGACATTGGGCTTCTCCTGCAAGATGGCGCCCTGCAAAGCGTCGCGCATCTTTTTAGTTTCGGCGTCCTCCTTTTTGTCTTTCCCGTCATCCTCATCATCATCATCGTCGTCGCCTTTCTTGTCCTTGGCTTTCAACCGATAGAGAGACCGTCAAATTCTGCGCCAGCCCCTGTTTTCGTGACGCTCACAGATTGAGTACCTCCATTCGACACTGCACCAGCAGGTACCGGTTTCTTTTTCGACTCCTGCTTCCGCAAATACTCCTTCAACTTCTCCGCTCGATCCAAGTATTCGGTAAACTTCTTTTTGATCGACTCCTTCGTCCGCTCGTTCTTCTCATCTGCATGGGTTGCCGTTGAGTTACGCAGGAACGGGAATGCAGAGGATGCGCGAGAAACGCTCACATTTTAATGCCGTCATGAAATATTCCAAGCTGTTCGAGTACAGCTTGTACGCCTCGGCATAATTTTTCTTGGCATCTTCTTCGGTTGCCTTTTTCACAATATCGATGGCCCTCTGAGGCGGGGTAGGATAATCAGGTTCATTTTAACGACCCTCTCCAGCATCTTTTCAAGCCAACTCTGTATTGCGAACTGGTTGCCTCACCCCGAGGAAGTCCACGTTAGCCATTATGCCAAGATGACCCGAAATGCAAAGCTTGGCCGTGATCACGCGACGACGAACACTGAAGTTTCAAAGACTCGGTAAAGACGTGAAAGTATAGCCTCGCTAGACAGGAACCCCGTGGACCGTCGTGGGAAAGTGGTGGGATGAGGACTCTTCTGAGTACCCTGGGATTGCACAACGAAAACCGTCCAGCCCAAGTGGTGACGCTGTGGTCCCAAATGAAATGAATTCCTCGCGAAACCACGTGAAACCATGGCCAACGAATAAAAAAGCGCAACCCTCCAAAATTGCCAACCAAACCGCCAGAAGCTGTTGAAAGGCAGCATTTCCACTGCAAGAATCCCTCTCCTGGTCGCAAGGAAGTCTAAGGTGCGCATAGGTTACCCGGAAGCCGTCGAAGAGTCTTCGCTCCGTGCGAAATCGATCTCATATTGACGAGCTGCATCACTTTTCAGTCAGACCACCGGCCGGCAATTTGAGTAAGAATTCCCTTTCGCCGAACGGGTTTCCGACACACTTTCTTTAGTTCAACTGTGTGGAGCACAGCACCTATCTGCCCAGCATGCCGTCTGCTTCTTTCTTGCACCTGTCTCTCCCGAGCTCTTCAGCCTCCGCTGCGGCGATCGGAAACTCCGGCGTTTCTGCGACTGTCGGCCCTGTCGTGTTGTTCTCCGTGCTCGATCACTACCTTCGCCGAACTGAGAACCAGGAGAGAGTTATTGGGGCGCTTTTGGGAGTAAGGAGCGAGGATGGTTCGGAAATTGAGATCCGGAACTGCTTCCCATTGAGCGTGAATGAGGTCGGAGATCAACAGGTGAGGAGCTTTGACCACTGTAGATGCCTTTGGGAGGAGGTCCTTTGAGGAGGTCATTGGGGAACCGGGCGGGAGGCAAAGTGGGGCTTTGATACGGAGTTTGGCCCGGATGGGCTTGCAGCGGATACCACTCTGAATTTATGCTGGCCGATTCTCAAGTATACCGTATCTAAACGTTGTTTTTCCAGGTTGTGATTGACACGGACCATCTCACACAAATGTACACACTACACCAACGTGTGCAATCGCGCGAGACCATCGTCGGATGGTACGCAACTGGACAGGCGCTGAACGCCAACAGTGTCTGGATCCACGAATTCTTCGCGAATGAGACGTCTCCTCATGCCCCTATCCACCTGCTCGTTGATGCCAACCTCAACCCCTCCCAACAACAAATCGTCTCTGCCTTCGCCTCCAGCCCCGTCGGAGTTCCCGACTCTGAAAACATGGGGTCCATGTTCATCCGTGTGCCTTGCAATGTCAAATACTCTCCAGCAGAGAAGAGCTCTTTGGACCTCATGATGACCAACGGAACAACCGACGCACCCCTTGTTAGCGAGATTGACTCCCTGGAAGACACAATTGAGCGTGTTCTGCGGATGATCGAACAGGTTCAGTCTTACGTGGATGCCGTTGTAGCTGGAAAGGAGGTTGGGAACAAGACGCTGGGACGGTATCTGATGGATATGGTTGAGAGCGTACCGGTCGTCAAAGCGAAGGAATTCGAGCAACTATTCAACGGACATCTGCAGGTGCGTAGTCAGTTGACCGTCCTTGTGCGACATGTCCTTCCTTGCTAACCACACATTTATTCTATTCATAGGACATGCTCATGGTCGTGTACCTTGCCAACCTGACCAGGACGCAGCTCGCCATTGCAGAACGATTACACAAGATGATGTAGATCGCCTCCACTCCCCCCAAAGCGACGTAATGACAGACGGGCCGCCTCACTGTAGAGCAGCTAGAACCTCCCTATATGCATGCCAACGGCGCATCATCCTTCAGCCGGGTGTCGTCGGAGATGTTTGAAGCCCTTTGCACGCTCTGTGTCTTCCATTCCCCACTATATATTCGCATAGTCCCTTCCTCTCGCCATTTGCTTGCTTGCATGTATAGTTCCCGATAGCCTCCGCACATAAATAGCGATACCAGCCTAGATGGAAATCTTGACCTGTCCTGTTTCTTGTAGGTGCTGGGCGTAGGTACGGCGGGACTCTGTTGTGCAAAGTGGGCTCTAGATTCAACTTGCACAACGGGCGCTGAAAATCCAGTTCGACAAAACAAGTCGGCTTCCAAGCGCATATCATTTCATGTTCGACGAACAACTCTTTTTTTTTTAAGTCTATTCAATGCCAGCAATGTGATTTATATTTATACAGTACGCACGATTCAGTTCGGTGTCAGAGGTATACGTATATGATATGCAGAAAAACGAGAGTGGAGTACGAAAGGGAATCAAAGGAGTGATGCAAAAAAAATCTACAAAAAAAACGCACCACGAGCGGGAAGTAAACTCGTGGGCAACCTATACAATGCTATATGAAAAGTCTCATGTGGGAAGGTGCAATACGCCTAAGTAGAGAGCGATACTACCGCCGCCACACGTGCATATCAGTACATGGCTATGCCCCAGGAACTTCCCGGCACGCCGGCCAGCGAGGTGTACATTTTCTGATCGGCGGCACGGCGCTTCTGGGCAGCTTCCTTTTCCGCGGCTTTCTTTTCGTCGGCTGCTTTTTTCTCCAAGGCTTTTCGTTCCTTCTCCGCTTGAGCAGCGGCTTCCTTGGCCGCCTTCTTGGCCGCCTTCGCGTCGGCCTTAGAAAGGCCCTTTGAAAGGTCAGTCTCGCCACTGCTGTGGAAGGGGCTTGGTGCCCGGGATTCGGCTCTCACTTGTGGCGGTGCCAGGAAGGATACAGGTGCTTCCAGGGCTGATGCGAAACCCTGTTGTTGCTGGTACTGCTGCTCATGCTGTTGTCTTTGCAGTTCCCAGGCCGCTTGCTTGGCAAGCAGCTCCTGTTGGTGCTGTAGCTGGTATTGCTGCTGTTGAGCTTGATTAGTTTGAAGACTGTAATCTTCACTACGGTATGCGCGTTGATAGTGTTCGGACACACTGTACGGCGAAGGAGAATGCACGGCGTCCGCGCTGTGCCGAACAGGTGCGATGGGATAATGTCGTTGAAATTGTGCGGAGAGTGTTGGGGATGGCGAGGGAAGAGAAGGTACTTGTGCCGCTGATGATGCCGTAGAGTGGGATCGCTCCAGATCTTCCAACAGTGCAATGGAGCTCATCAGATCCGTGGGCTTGTAGCTCAGAGGCGAGAGATGGGTGGATGCAGGCGGGGATGATACCGAGGGTGGTAGGCCCTTTCCAGAATCAGAACGGCTCAGCTTGAATGCAGATCCGTCCATCAAAGCTTCCAGCGACTGTCCTTTGCCACTATTGGAAGGTGGATACCGCATATGGGTTTTCGAACCGGACGAAACCGATCGAAGCTTTGCGCGGTCTACCGCTGAGCGGAGGACGGCGAGCCACTCGACCATCTCATCGCGATGTGCGCATTGCAGGCGCCATTGGCGGGTGACGACTTCGTTATCGTTCATGCACGGGCTATGAACCTCGAGGACCCACATTCCTTCAGCAGACACAAAGGCGGTGGTGGCGGGGGTGATTGGAAGGGCGGACATGGCGACTTCCGTGGATGCCGACGAGCGGAATAGATAGATGAATGTATCGGACAGGACGAAGAACCTTGGGCGCCATTGCCGGCCTGCCATCGGATTGTTCGACGGTGTTGACTTCCGAAGCGATCCAGAGTGGATGATTTGTGTGCCGGGGTTGATTACATCTTCCGGTTCCTGCAAATCCTCTTCCTCGTCGTAGCCGTCTTCGTCTCCAGCGACGGTGTGAGCCATGGTCTGTTGGGTACTTTGCGATCGAGTGTCCGCTGAAGCACTCGACTGGAAGCTGACGACGCTGCTGTGGTTGGACGGCTGTCGCTCTAGGCGGACGTTGCCGCGGCTCAACAGCGACCGTCGTTTATTATCATAGGAGGATGGTGGCGAAATGGGACCGGCGGCCGGGACAGCCTTTCCTTGTGCACTTTCGTTGTTGAGCACCAAGGTTTGACCCAGTTCGCTCTCGAGTTGTGACAGCAGTGCGTCGACAGTAGCTAGTGCCGAACTCTTGGAGGCCATCGTTGTTGCGGGCGGGATGCTCAAAAGTTCACGAAACGTTTAACGCGTTGGGGGGAAAGGCAAAGAAAGTCCAGAGGCTATACGAGTGCACTGATGACAGACAGCTCAAGCAAGGTCTTTATGTGCGGAGAAAGGGTCGGAGTCGGGACGCTTTCGAAGTTTCCAGTCCTTGCTATGTGCGATGTTTGTGGCAGTGGTTTGCGCCTTTTGGTTTTTACCGTCTTGGCGGATTCGAGGCTGGATTCCGTCCAGTTGTTTCTCGCACTTGCCGAATCGGGCTTTATCACGGCTCACGAGCAATTTGCCCAGGACAAGCTGCTGTCCTTGTGCGCGGCGAAGGAAGGTTTATGAGGTAGCAGCGTAGCACCAACTCGTCCTTTTTCTCAGCGCCGAGTCAGCGGGGAGTCGTACGTACTCCGTGAGCTCTCCGAAGTTCGAACACACGCCGTAAAAAGTGTGCAAGCGAGATCTACCTTTCCCTTTGAAAGTGAAAATGGTAGGAGATAAAAGCGAAGCAGCGAGGCTGGCGGTTAGCTTGAAATTGCGCTGTACGTCTGTACGAGGGTAGCGGGGTTGAGGCAGGTGTGCAGAATCGTCGGGACTTCGCCGATAACGTGCGTCGTAGGTGCTTTTCAGGGCCTCTGATGAGCTCTGAATATAGTTGTGAGCAAGCGCAAGAAAGTAGGTGTTTGGCCTGTTGATTGGATCTGGAGGTCTTCCTGGCGTCCAAAAGCACCGTCTGCTACGATAAACAAAAATCTCTGACAATCTCCCCGATGGATGGCTTGTTGTTGGGTACTTCACCACCCTTCTGGAATTGACCGTGGGGGCCTCCCCAATTTCCGGCAGATTGTCTGACACCGTAGGATGAGAGCTGATGAGACCGGGCTTTCGGAGGCCATAGGGCATATCAGGTTGATCTATTAATGAAAAATTGTGAATTGGCACGGGCCCGGCAGGTGGCCGATCATGCGCCGATGGCTGGGATATGTTCTCGGCATTGAGTTGGCAATACGGGTGCCCTGTCTCCATTGGCCAAAGTAGCAAAGTCTCCAAACATGGGAGTCTCATATAACTCAGCCCATCTTTAAGTTGTGGCGCCAGAGTTGTGCAGATCTCGCCGCCCGAAACAGCGAAACCCGGCGGTGGCGAGACTTTTTGGCAGCTGTCGGCATTCGACAGCATGGGGGTGCAACTCATCCTTTCGGACAAAGGAAAAGAGATAGAGCCCACCAACCATACACAACCATAAACATACCATACACAACCATACCATGTAGGTATCTATGTGGTTTATGCAACATGGGATGTGCAAGGAAAGATTTTGCCGATGGCTGCCTGGATTTGCAGCAATGTTCGGTTGAATCATCAAAACCGGCGCGCACCACGGAGACCAGGTTGACGTCGAGGTTCGAGGAGACCTTACGCTCGGAAAAGCCAGACTCGTCGTAACCAGATAGCTTCCTCAATAACCCCTTGTTCAAGGTCTCCTAGTCGTGGGGCCAAGTTCGGTACCTTTGGCCGGGTATTTAGGGTCCCGGTATGATAGACCTTGGTGACTATGTTAATTAAGGGTTACCTATCTGGTTACGACGAGTTCTGCGCACCGTTTGTGGAACCCGGAGGTCTCCGGCTGGTTACCGTCAGTTTCCACTGTCCAGCGCTTTTCAGATATGCACGGGGCCCGGCGAGTTAGCCGAACAGTATCGAAAGAATCCACGCAGAAATGGGAATGTATTGCAAGTAGGACGGATGATATTCTTCATGGTATGATACATGAAATGTAAGATTTACAAATGTGCGTGGATGTTCATGTAAGATTTACAAATGTGTTTGGGGAACATCCTCCAACGGGTTATTTACAAAAGCCCTCCTCGAGTTAAGGGGTCACTTAAGCGTACGTAAGGAATCGGTAGTGCTTGTCCTTCTTCTCATCTGTGCGGTGAGTAAAGAATGACGGTAAGTTTTTGATTGCAGGGCGGCCGAAGGATCTTCTCAGGGCGAGAGTACATACCATTATCGTATGCGAAGAAGCATGCCCCGAGGTTCTCGCCGACCTTGCCAGGCTGCACGCTTCCCTTGTAGTGCACTTGAGCGACGTAAAGAGGCGTCCCATTGGATTCGTGACCGCCCTCGACGAGCCTGTACTGTCCATTGTTCTTCAGGTCGCCTTCGCCATCAACCCAGCGGACGGCGTTCTCGATGCCGACGAGAATCTCATACTTGGGGATCGCAATTTCCTTGCCGCCGTAGGAAATGTGCGCACCGTCCTTGAGCGTTCGCGACGCCTTTCCAATCTGCACCGAGTTCTCGTGGAACGCACGAGCGATGTACAACGGAGTTCCGTCGGCCTCCTGTCCACCCTGCAGCGCACCCTGAGGGATGTTCGCCCCATCAGTGAGCACCCAGTTGACGGGAGGAAGTGGGGAGTTGTTCTTGACGGCCTCAAGGTATTGACCCTGACGGCGGATAGCGTCGGCCTCGAAGTTGGATGCGCCCCAGTTCTGTTCGGCTTTGCCCTCCTTGGCGTCGTTGTACTTGTCCCATGCAAAGGCGCCGACTCCGATCGCTGCTGCGGTGCCAAGGATCCCGCCTCCGATCTTGAGCTCATCATCGGAGATGTGCAGGCCTCCGATGTTAAAACCGTCTTGGGACTGCTTGCGAGGATCGTTGGAGTTGGCGGGCACGACTTGGATGTTAGTTCCGCCTTGAGCATTTTGTTGTTGCTGGGGCTGTTGGTTGTACTGCTGTTGCTGCTGGTGGTATTGTTCGTTGGCAGCGCCGTAACCAACAACTTGTGGCGGTTGAACAGCAGGTTGTTGGGGCTGCTGGACGACAGGTTGCTGGGGTTGCTGGGGTTGTTGAACAGGAGCTTGCTGAGGCTTCTGCTGGCCACATTGAGAATCGTTGCGGTGCTCCTGGTGGTGCTCACCGTCGGGGATGCGTCCCCAGAGAGCAGGGACAACGTCGGGCGCCCAGTCGGACTGAGATCGGTGAGCCTGGAGAAGCAAGGTGGCAAGTCAGTTTCGACCCGTTCTTCCACATTTAGATCTACAGCAAAAGAGATCAGAAAACACACCTGAATGATCTTGTAATGATGACCTTTGTATTCGACGACGTCGCCGATGGCGTACTGACAACCTGGTTCCCAGCCTTGAGTCATTTTTGCAGAGTAAAAAGATGTGATATATATGTGATTGGTTTGGGTATGGAGTGAGAGCGTAACTGTATCGCCTATTCAGATTTTGAATTGGGTATGGATTGCCTGGGAAAGGGAGAGAGGAAGGGTTGCCTTATATACCCCGAAACTCGTAGGGCTCAGCAAACGTGCGAAGGATGGATGAGGACGAACACAGTCGTTTCTGTGGCTGGATCTGGACGGGAGACCAGCCACATTTGGCGACGGGCTTCTCGCTAGTATCATCAAGACCCTGACCTCACACAGCGGATGGTCCCAAACTCCCAGCCACGTTCTTCCAGACGGGACCCGACCGTTTGAATGTCCTCCCGCCCATCACCCAGGGACCCCTCTGTCTGCGCACAAATGCATTATGGCGATATTCATCGTCAAAGAGGACTCAAAAGTTCAAGTCCATCGACGCTTCATCACGTCATCGTATCCATAAAACCCAACCCGCCTCAACTTCCAAGCCGGTAAAGCCACTTGGGGGCATCCACAACCGTTGACGGTCGCGATGCGCAGCTTGCGCAGCATAGCACAAATGCAAGAGAAAAAACCCGCCACGCCACCAAAGGCGATGCCTGGACTCTGGACGATGTCTGCAGTGCGAATGCGGATGAATTCCTGGCAATTGACCTGCTTGAACGGCTCGGCTGTGTTTCAAAACTCGCGGAAGCTGTCTGCACACTGATATTCACTGTTAAGGGAGGCGGTCGGCATCGGCAGAGATGGGAAAGCGTGCATAATAGACGGTCAACCAGCAAGCGCTCCATCACCAGAGTGATCGGATATGTCGGGAGTAACCAACCGCACCTACTGTACGTGAACATGTGAGCGATGCGATCCCTGGAACACTTCCCACGCCATTCTGGTCCGCCGACGTAAGCGTGACCGCTGAGTGAGCGTCAGGACACGGGCCTCGCTAACGCCCGTGTCCGGCCATCCGGACACACCGTAGGGCTTTGGGCTTTCCAGAGAGAGCGAAAGTCCGTCGTGCATCCACCGAGGCCTCTAGAATACTTCCCCCAAGAGCGGCAAAACTGGACCTCTGTCAGTCGCCCGTTCCCCCGTGCAAGTTCTCCAGAGGGCTTGAAGAATGGGACCGGCAAGAAAGGGAACATGCGCAGAGGGACAGTATAGCTCGTGAACAGGAGCAGATTGCTCGTGACTATCAATAAAGGGAAGAGGAGGAGCAAAGGGAGCAGCAGACGCGGGAACGGCGCGAGAGCTTGGCTCGTGGGAACCAAGCTCACCAACTAGCCGAAGGGGTGGGAAGAGAAGAGCAGGCGCGAAGAGACGAGCAAGAGCGGCAACGATTGGAGAGACAGAGAGTAGAACGAATAGTCCGTCAACTACGGGATGAGCAGGAGTGGCCAAGGCGACGGGACTGGGAACATCTTGAGCCAGAGAGCTCTCCTGGAAAGCAAGAATACGCCGAGATAACAGCTCCTCAGGCACGCTAACGACGAGCTCCTCAACTCCAACGATGAACGCCGGAGCAGGAACGGTTGCAGAATATGGTGGACCACCCAAGATGGCGCGAGCGACCATCCGTGAACTCATGCATGATGCCGACTACTGCAATGACTGGGCCCGTGAGCGCAGAAGCATTCTTGAATGGGCGGAGAGGCGTAATCTTCATGCCTTTGTTGGTTGTGATGACCCTAAATTTCCAGCTTACTCCCTGAATTGTAGTAAATCAGAGCTTTTCAGGAACAAGGTGAAAATACCTCCAGAAAATAGCTCCAGGGAAAATTGCCCTCATCAGCTGTTCAGATTTGTCGCACGGTCAGGACACTGCTTACGAGACGACGCTTTTGCCGTGGGCTTCGTCTGCGTTACTGACGCGTAAGCTTCAAATTCACCGAGGCACTCCGACATGAAGAAGGTCCGAAATTGCCAAACCGCACAGAGAAGTCGGACTTCCCACAGCGACAAGATAGCACGGAAGCAGGCGGGTGTCCTATGTGGTCTACTTTTGATTTGGCCCAACCCTTACCTGGGATTGAGATACTCCTTTCCATTCGCAAATAAGGTCGCAGAAATCCTATGCGTCGCTGCTTTCTGACTGGGCCTACGCTGGGTCTGTCCGCTCACAAGAATATCCTACGCTTTATATGCCGCTATTATTGTCTGACTCGGTCCAGGCCTATAGCATGTGCTGCCGCTCTGTGTGGCCCAACTTGAGCCTACAAGACAACGAAAACAATTCCACATTCCCTTGTGCCAGTGCGCCGCTTGACCTCCCTGGCCCGACTCGGGCCACCTTGAAAAAGTACACAACATGACGCACGGCGCCAACCTGTTTCGACCGTTGGAGGATCATTATCAGTCACTTTGGGCTGGAACAGCATCAGGATAAACGACGTCAATGCAGCTGGGCTAGAAGCGGATAGCGGATAGGCTGATCTCATTCATCATATCGGCACCTCCGGGGATGCCACATCATCTCCGCTTGGCGCCATATGAATACTCCTATGGACGCAGACAACGCCAATTTGCCCTTGCCCAGTAATACCACCCACATCCAAACCGCTCAACGTTATAAATCCTGGCGAGGTGGCCCAAACCCAGCGGAAACTGGCGCAAATCGTCTACCTGTGCATTCATTCAGTGAACCAGACCGAATCCTCGAGCTATGAGAAGAATTTGCGAGCAGCCCACTGTTTCTGCCTGCTGGGTTTTCGGGGCATCCAAACTTGAAGTCCTTATGGGGGCTCGGAAGTACAGTATCAAAGTTTCAAACTACTTGACGTCCGACGGTCGGACTGTTTCCTCAGGTGGATTTTACGCGTGAACTACGCGTTTGCAAAGCTTACGTGCCATCACGTAGTCTCGTAAGCAGCTTGATCTTGACCTCGGAGCTGAATTCGAAAGTTGGTTATCAGAATATCACACATATTCGTGTCGCTACTCTTGTCTGGCCCGACATGGGCCTACGAGATCACAAGAAAACTCAAGGCATTGAGGGAATGTATTTCATTGTTCCATGTGTAGCTACTCTTGTCTGGTTCGACCCGGGCCTGCATATACAGGTTCAGGGAGCACTCAGTATGTTATGGTAAGTATCCGGCGGGCATATGACCTGACGAGACCACTCGTACATTACCGAATCCGGTCGCAAATGTACCACTCCGGGGCTTCACGTGCCTGGCCCACCTCAAGGGTATACAAGACATCACACACGGGGAGATAATACGATGATACAGTACAATTGACCTTCAAAGACGACGATTAAACGAAATATACATGGAAGAAATAAGTACAACAAGGTGGACAGAATTTTCCTAGGGAGGCTGGAACGTACGGCCGCGATTAGAATCGCTTAGTGGTGGTACTAGACGGGGAAGTTGACGCCGAAAGGGAGGGAGACTTGGGATGGAGTGGCGGGATGGGAGTAGGGAACCCGTACATAAGTGCCATTGTCCTGTGTTTCGGACGCGGCTGAATAAAGCTCAATCTCACAACGATCGAGAGCGAGTGGTTTCGACGCCATTGTTGCGCCCAGTAAGAAGAGCTTGACAGGGTCGCCCACAGCCCCAAGTACTCGACGCACTGGCCTTGACCTCCTCCTCAACCTACTGATGCTTGAGCTCGATAGTCGCTTCACGCAACTGGTCGTTTATCTGAAAGCCAGGCACTTGCGATGTCGGCGCAGGCGTGACCTCGATGGCTTGCTCATTCTCCGGTGCGTCGTCGACTATCACCGGCTCCTGCTGCTGCTGCTGCTGTTGTTGTTGTTGCTGTTGGAGCTGAAGTTGAGCTTGGTGTTGTTGCTGATCATTGAATATCCCGGCTGCCATACGGGCAAAGAGCTGGGCGGCGTTAATGGCGTTGAGTCCTCCTGCGGCCGCGCCTGTGATGCCAGGCTGTGGACTCGCGCCGGCCTACAAGCGTGGAAAGGGGTGGAATTAGAGAAACGATCTTCCACGGCACTTGCTTGAAGAAAATCGCCGCTCCATCACCCCATACGTACCAACGAAGACAGGATCAGCTCTCGTTCTCGCTCACTCGCCGCCCTGTACAGATTCTCGCGCTCCGCGTCCCAGAAGGACATTCGCGTCTTCAAGTCATCTAAAGCCGTTCCTGACAGGGCCGTTCCGCTGTCCGAAGATATTATTGTTTTTGTATGGGAAGAGCGATGGGTTGGGGAACCTGCGCGAGAGAGTGCCAGAAGATCGTGGGCGATGTCGGTGGCCGAGAGTTCTCCCTGATCAGTGTCTCTAGCACTCCTTTCTCCACGTTGTGGTGTTAGGTGTCCTAACATGGCTATGTCACCGCCGGAGAACGGCGCAGCGGGCAAACCACTTGGTGGCTCTGCTGCTTCGTTTGGCTTTGCTGTTGCCGGCGTGCTCGGATCTCCGTCCACATCCATCTTATCAACATCAGCGACCTTAGATGTACTGACATTCGAGTCTTCGCCTGCTTTATCGGCCTGCTCGGCTGCCTGCGCTGCACCGTCCCGACCTCCCACATCGTTCCACAGCGTCCAAGCCATCTCGCGAAGGCGACGGTTTTCAGTCTGACTTTGGCGCACCTCCAAGCGCAGTGCTTCGACCGCGCGGTAGATCTCCTCGCGCTCCCTCCACCAGAGTTCCCTCTCCCGGACCCAAACATCCCGCTCGGCGCTAAGTCTGTCGACAATCATCTGGAACTCCCGGCACTGCTGATCCGTTTTCTGGAGGAGCAACTCTTTCCCAGCGAGGTTCTGGCACTTTGCCTCCAAATCCCTGATGTAATTCTTCCGTCTTTCACGAAAATTACGTTGCGCTTCTCTGTTTTGCTGTGCGCGCCTAGACGTTACGCGTGAAGCTTTACCTCCGCCAGGGGAACGATCGTCGTAGAATTCGCCGGACGGCGACATGTCGCCGCTGTCCTCGAGTTTGGCTAGATGTGCACCGGACGAAGAACCGCCGGCCGACCTTGAACGCCCTGCCGACGCTGGGTACTGTTGGTTTGTGGTGGTTGTGTCTCTGTGCGACAGACCGGCTGGTGGTCCATGATGCATTTCCTCGCCATCCTGGGAGTGGTGCTCGTGCTTAAGTTGTGAGGAGGAGATGGCATGTGCATCGGACAGGCCCTCGTTGGTGGCGGCCAGCTGCGATGAGGACACGGCGGGGGCGGTATCTGCCCGATGCTGACGGGAACTCATCTTGGAGAGAGTGGTTACGTTTCGAAATGGAGCGTTACCGAAGCCTTTACGTATACAGTGCACTGGACATCGGCGCAGCTTGCCGGAAGTCACGTGCCGACCGAGGAAAAACAAGAGAATTTAATGCATCAATCGTCGTGAAACGCTTTTTTTCATCATGACGGGTGATGGGATACGGCCGTTTTGGCTCCGAAATGGTGTCGCGTGTTTCTGCGGCCAGGAAAGGAGAAAAAACAGACCACCTTGCTTGGCATCCCGCCCAAGTCACTTTAGGCATTAGCGAGCTAAATCAAAAGGTGCAGAAGAAGAGGCTGCCGAATGAGAACGAGAATGAGAATAATATGGCGGCTCTCGAGCGCGGCTTGCCCGTGGATATCGTGAGAAAATTTGTGCGTGTATGCTGGGCTGGCGCTTTCAAGTCAATTTCGATTAGAGCCTCCCCCGCGGCCCCCTGCAGGATATTTAGCGGCGTGGAGGAAGACGCCGTCCCTACGGCCCCGAAGCACACCATTAGACTTCCACTCCAGCATCTACGACGCAATGCCTCGCCTCGTCGCCCTCGTTTCCGTCGTGTCGGCCCTCGTCGGCCTGGCAAATGCTCACATGCGGGTGGGCGGTCCATACCCATGGGGCGGAGCTAATATGGCCGCCCTCGAAAACCCGCTGAATTCTGGAACCCCGAACTGGTTCTGCCACGGACAGAAGCAGCCAGCAAAACCACTGGTGCTCAACATCACGGCTGGCGGAACAACGACATTGCCGGTTACCTGCGGAGAGGCGGCCGCGAACCCGGCCATGGCACCACAAATTTGTGCCAACGACCCTGTCGCGGCTCACGGTGGAGGTGGCTGCGCCCTCTCTATCGCAAGGCCCGGCCCCGGAGGAGTAACGATAAACGACTTCGTTATGTTCAGCAGCAGTGCAGATTGCCCTCATGTGAGTTGTAATGGTGGGACTTTCAGTCCTTTCTGCAACATGCGTTGATACTTATTCTTACCCTCCTTACAGACCAACTTTGCTCCCAACATCAACTTCCCTATCCCAGCCAACCTCCCGGCGTGCGACGACTGTGTGTGCAGTTGGACATGGATTCCTACACCAGGCGCGAGCGGAGATGAGATGTACATGAACTGCTTCAACTGCCGCATTATCTCCCAAGTTCAAGGCTTGATCACCAATGGAACGATGCTGAAGGATCACCTGTTCGCCGTCCCCGGCGTCCAAACGAAGGGCCCCCGTCCTATCTACCGGAATGTCCTCCCCAAAGGCGTCATTCCCTTTGCCGTCACTGGTTCGGCTCTTGCGGCTGTTAACGGCACCAACGCTACTACAGTAGCCTCGGTATCTTCCGTCCGTGTGATCCCAACGGCTTCCGCAAAGGTCGCTGCTCCCACTGTCGTCCCTGTTGACGCCCCCATGCCTACCATCGCAGGAACCCCAGCCACTTCCAACTCCAACACTGGCGCGCAGGTCGTTGCCGGTGCTGGCGCCGCTGTCCTCGCTGCCCTTTCCGCCCTCGTCGCTTATTAGACAATCAGCACGTTTGCCGGACGCCCCTCACTCGTCATGGGATGCCATCGGAAGGAGGCCTGTCGGGCTGCGCCCGCTCAGATCGACTTTGCAAGACAATTCTCTAATTTCCCGTTGTGTAGATACACACATAGACATTTGTATACTAGTAGCCGTTACGTAGACGGAGTATATACATAGAAAATACCTGCTGCTTCTCAATGGTAATACATCGTGCCTCAGATGTTTCTGACGAAAATCGCTTCTTGGAAGTCGCTGTGAACGGCCGACATGGCTGGCGTACTGTCGCTCTCCCTACTATCAGTACTTCACGAGGAGAGATCTCGTAAACGAAGTGACAGTATTTCGTAGTCACGTGACGCAATGGTGTGATTACTTCATCTAGTCGGAGTTGTCGGACTATTCATCGGAGGCCGTCTCCTGGATCCCCCCTGATGAGAAAAACGTTGCTTGGTCCCCACAGAACGAGCTTAACCGAAAATGCAACAGAGTGAACGTAGCTCCGCGATAATGTGCCCCAGCCACTAATGAAGGGGCTACCGAACCATGTTCAATCGGAGCTGAAGAACATGGTTAACTGTAAAATTTCCTTCTTGCTTTAGGTTAGTATCCACCTCGGCCGAGAATGCATTCACGCGGTGCTCCAGGCCATTCAAATAGCGGGAGTATATCCGTGGGTTGGCATCTGTCGCGTTTCTAGACTGGCTGAGGGATTCCATCTAGACTGGCTGAGGGATTCCATCTAGACTGGCTGAGGGATTCCAAGCTGCTTCGCTCCTCTTCTTCTTGTTTACGCATTGCAATCCTTCCGGCGAGAGATTTCCTTGGCCAAATTCCATCCTTATATATAGCTGGCCTGCGAGCGCTGCATAGCGTAACCCGCGGTTCATTGCCTCCTACACCGTGCATTCACAACCCATACCTGAACGCAACCATGTCCGCCGCAGTTCGCCGCCCATCGACCACCTCGTCCCCGCACACTGGGGATGCATCCAATAGCCTCCAATTGTCCAAGATCGATGGCAGCAACAACCAGCTCGCGCGCACCGGTCGCGACGATGAGCTCGAGAAGACGCTCAAGCTGATGGCCATCGAAGACCAAGCCCTCGTGTTCGCGTTGGACCAGGAACGCGAGCAGATGGAATCCAGCAGAGAGCGTATCCACCGCATGAACAATTTCCGGATCGACGAGGCGCATATCCGTGAAGCCAACATTGCGGAATCGCAGTTCCTTGTCGATGGGCAGAACAACGAACGCAAGTCGCTCGCCGCGGCTGAGGTCGAGGCTGCGGCGGTGCTGAAGGAAGAAGAGAGTGAGAAGCGAATGCTGGAGATGTTGACGAGGGAATTGAGATCTTTGAAGATGAGCGTTAGCCAGAATAACGAGGCGGCTGAGAAGATTCTTGGAGTCAAGAAAAAGATTGCTGAGAGGCGGGTGTCCAATAGCATGAAGTTGGTGGGCATTGAAGTCAGACAGGAAAGGGAGAGGAAGGCCTTGCAGGAGACTCATACGAGGATAATGAAGGTGGGCTTCTTTCGAAGCACACAAGTACATCCCATACACCGCATCTAAACATCGTCTTGCATCATAGAATATGAGCCTCTTCCGAAACATCCTGCTTCAAGAAATTGAAGACGCCGACCTTCACAAGATGGTTACCGAAAGCGGCGAGGCAGATGGCGAGGGCAACCAAGCCGTTCTCGACAAACAGGATGCCGACAAGGTGCATCAAGCCAAGCTTCTGCAACTCAAACTTCGCATGCAAAAAGAGGTCGAACAACTCCGTGAGGAGCACCTCATGAGGTTGAAGCACATCATGAAGCTCTGTGAATTGGAGCTCGCGCAGACCGAAGAGACCGAGACGCTCATCGCCGAGCAAAAGATCCAAGAACTGGAGCTGGAAGTCGAGCAAAAGAAGGAGATGGAAAGCGAGGAAGACCAGATCGCCCAACAGCGCGCGAGCCTGAAGGCTTTCCAAACCCAGCGGCACTTGCAAGTCAAAGCAACCAGGACTCTCGCCCAGCAGCGGTACGAAGCTCGCCAGCTTGCTCGCCAACAGAAGCTTGCGGCCAAGAACCGTGAGAGGCAGTTCATTGCGCAAGAAGAGCAGTTGAGCGAGAGCCTGAAAGCCATGGACGATGATGAAGATAACGAGGAGGGCTCACAGCCCGGCACCAATCCCGAGAGCGGCGACGCTGGCGCGCGAAAGATGGTCGCTCTTCAGTCGGCTCGTAGAGGAGGCCCCGCTTCGGAGATCAGCGCCGGCGAGAGCGCCTACGCGGACAGTGAGATCTCGGACATGCCCAGCGAAGCCCACACCGAGTTGCTCGATGACGAAGGCGAGGCCATCACCTCTACCGAAGCCGAGAACATGGAAGCCGAGGATAACATGCGGAAAGAAAGGTCCCGCATCGAACAACTCGTGCAGCGACAAAAGCAGGCCCTCGAGACGGCACGCACCCAACACCGCGAGATGCGCGAGGCCCTCAAGCGCGAGAACCAACAACAGAAGAACGCCTTGCACGCTGAGCAAGAGGAGGAGTACAAGCAGCTGAAGGTTCAGCACCACAAGGAAACCGAAGCGTTGCTCAACACCCAGAGCGCGGCCAACGCACTCGAAGACGACAACAAGGGAGCCAACGAGCTGCTCTACGGCATGCTGCCCCGTTACGTCGCGGACGCCATGAAGATTGGCGCTGAAGTGCCCCCCAAGGACTTTGACTGCGTGACGATCATGTTTGTGGACATTGTCCAGTTCACCAACCTCACCTCGCGCTCGTCGCCCGACCAGATCGTCAACCTCCTCAACCGCCTCTACACGGCCTTCGACGCTGCTCTGGACAACTACACCGATCTGTACAAGACCGAGACTATCGGTGACGCCTACCAGATCGTTTCCGGCCTGAACATCGACGCCGAGGCGCACACACCCGAAGAGCGTGCGGCCGTCACCAAGCGCAACGCGGTAGACATGGTCGACTGCGCGGTCAGGTTCATCGAAGACGTCAGGAACCTCGATATGTCCGACCAAGTCCAGCGCGAGCTGCACATCCGGATCGGCGTGCACTCCGGCCCGTGCATCGGCGGCGTCGCCGGCGTCAAGATGCCCAAGTTCGCCATCTTTGGCGACTCGGCTAGCGTCGCTGGCCAGATGGAGCAGAAATCCGCGCCCAACAAAATTCACATCAGCCAGGCGACCTACGAGTTCATCGCTGATGGTCCGTACATTACGCAGAAGAATGGCGAGGGGATCAAGCTTGAGGGTGGACAGGAGCTGCAGACGTATTGGGTTTCGGGGAAGAAACACGGGCAGCAGGAGTCTGCGCACAGACATTCCAGTGTACCGAAGAAAAAGGCGCACAGGGTGACCATGAAATAAGATGGCATTTCATGGCTTGCAGAGCAGACATCTTTTTTTCCTGAGCATCTCCTCGTTATTTTTGGCATGTAATGCTGGCGCTTACAATAAGACTTCAAAACATGAAACCGAGCGATGATGTCTGTTTTATCGAGTAGTCTTCCACTCCTCGCTCCTTTTGACAGCTTTTTCGACGTTGGGAGAGGTCAGGAGCGCCGCAAGCGTTCGCAGACATATGCGAAATATGGAATGCCTCAACGGCACGCAGATTATCATCTGGAAGGAAAACGTATAGTTGTCGTCCGCACCCCTTTGGGCCAGAGCTTCTCCCCTCCCCATGAGCAGCAGTTTGGAGCTGGTGTTTGCAATAACGGAGCTTGACGCGTCGCCGGCAATGAGGCCTCACACTCGCCCAATTCCTAAAGTAAACCTCCGCGAAAGTTCGCGCACGAGGAGGCATCACTTTGAGAGAACGGCATATTGACCGGCGATTCCAAGACCACTGTAAAGTCACTAGGGCTGGTGCCCGCTGCTACCGCCGCTTGGCAATCTTGGCTACGCTCCGGCTATCACATGAGCTGGCCATTCCAGTGAAAACCCCTAGCTATGCAAAGCTACCTACAGTACATGCCAGACTCCAAGTCTACGACCTAGAGAGAAGCGGCCTGCACAACCTGCCAAGCCTCCTTGTCCTTCGCCTCCTTCTCCGCAATCTTATCTTCCAGCTTCCTAAGTCGGCTCTGCAACTCCTCCACCGTCTTCACCAATTCTTGCTGCGTCACAATCGCACCCCCAGGGACAGGGTCTCCCCGCGCTTGCAGTGCACGGAGGCTTGCCGAGATTTCTTCCCATTCCCGATCATCGTACAGACCGCGGGTGGCTTTGATCTTACCCGCGGCTGCACGGGCGTTTAGTGCCGGACCACAGAGACTGCTGATGGCGCTCCGCCTCACGCTCGATTGGCTGTCACGAAGGTGGTTGATGATAAGCTCGGTCGCCTCTTTGAATTTGGATGCGGATTGCCATGGCGCGGAGGAGGCGATGGCGCTGATGACCGCTGGGCGAGCTCGTTCGAATTCCACGCCTGGTTGTAAGCGGGTGAGCAGGTAGTCGAAGGCTTCGGGCGCACGAGACGAACCCAGAGCTCGGAGGGCGTCGCTCCGGACAAGCCCGTGCTGGCCGAGCCATTTCTCGTCCTGAGCGACTTCGAGCAGGAATTTGACGTCGTCGGGGTTGCGTTGGCGGGCTAGACTTTCCAGCGCTCTGCCGGTGGCACCGTACCCGCGTTCTGACATCGTTTTCTTGTTCAGGAATTCCAGCAACGCTGACCGGATGCCTTCGTCCGCTTCTGTAAAGTTGGCAGCATCCCTCAGTGCGAATTGATGGGTCTCGGCTTTGAAGATTGCAACCTGCACATCGATGGCACGTTGGGTGTTGCACTTTCTCAAGGCTGCGGCGACGGTTGCTCGGACCCTGTAGAATTTCTCCTGCAGGATGTTCTCCTTCACCTGTCAATGGCGTGAGTTACATGGTCTGCAAATCGCGTAAGTTCCTCTTTGCGGAAACGCGTCACCTTTTTCAGAGCACTTAGGGTGCCAATCTCGATTAATTGCTGATAAGCCCAAATTCGGCTGCGAACGTCCGAGACAGATTTGGCGGTCTCTGAAAGAACCTCTTCTCCGGGGTTCAAGTCCAAACTGAAGATGGTCCTGTAGTCGGGATCAACGGACAGCGACACGGGTTTGCCCGACACGGGAATGGCCACGATGGCCTTGGTGTTTTTGGTTCTGCTGTCAAAAACAACGTCTGCCGAGTGCGTCTTGCCGTTGGCGTCAGTGACGGTAACCGGTATCACAATGTCGAAAAGCGGAATCTTTTTGGCCGCATCGACCTGTGTTTGCTCTAAGGTCAATACTACGAGGTTCTTTTCCAACTCATAGGAGTAGGTACCCTTCAACTTCGGGTATCTATGGAGGCGTCAGGAGCTTGAACACCTACAAGCGCATGTAGGGGAGAGGGGTACTTACCCGGGACTGTACAACCAGTCGTCAAAGAACTTGACGAGTGCTACGCCAGAAGCCTTTTCGAGGCATTTACGGAAATCTGCATCTCCAAGGATTAGAACGAGAGCGCTGGGAATGACGGGACGGGATACGCAAGCATTACCATCCGTTTCCACCACGCTTCTTTGATACGTCTTGATATAGTCTGGGATACTCGATGAGTCTTTGCCGCCAAGCCTGTACTCCGACCCATATCACGGATACATACCTTGAACACCAGCCCAGAAAGCCCCATCGCCGAGAAGCTTCCTCAGCATGTGAAGACGCCAAGCTCCTCCCGGGTACGTGTGCGAATCAAAGACGTGCCAGCTGGAGTCAAAGATTCGTGTGACGATAGGGCGCTGGTATTGTTTGCTTTCGGCAAAGTAGCGGTCTTGCATGACCACCATCGCAGCCTCAAACTCTTCCTTGCTCACTTTGTCCTCCAGCCACAAAGCCTCGGTGTATTTGGCCCAGCCCTCCTTCAACCAGACATGTTCGAAGTGGCGGATGACGAGGAGGTCTCCGAAGTATGAGTGGGCCATCTCGTGTACATCCACTCGCTGATAGTCCAGCAGGAGCTCCTTTGCCCTAATCTCGTCCATGAGGATGACAGCGTTCCAGCTGACAAGCGAGATGTTTTCCATGGCGCCGCCGATGGAGTAGGAGCATACTTGGTAGTATTTCGGGAAGGGGAAGTCCTGTTCAATGGAATGGAAGTGCTCAGACAGTTTCTTTTGGTATTCCGTGACCGACGAGCCGGCTCTCCCTTACCACTCCGAACTTCTGAGGCAGATAGGCCAACATGTTCTTCGTTTGGCCAAACAGTCGCTTCAAGTCTTCATGTGGAGTCCCTTTCGGGGCGAAGAACTTAACGGGAACGCCGTTCGGCGATTGACCGGCGTCAACGCTTTCCAAGAATCCCACGGCAAGACATATCAAGTACGACGGACAAGGGAGGTCCAGATGCCATTTCGAGGTAATGCTTCCGTCATCATTCTTGGTTTCACCTTGCGAGACCCCGTTTGCGACTGCGGTCATGCCTTCCTCGTGGCGAAGTGCGAAAGATAACGTAGCTCTAACGGCCGGGAAATCCACACACGCTAGCCAGTGCCGACAGCGTTCGGGCTCGTGGTCAGTGATGGCATGTAGAACCCGATTTGGGTATTCCTTTCTGGGAACCTCAAAGTACAGACCGCTGACCTGGTGGGCGCGAGTTAGCATGCGGAGGATGTACACCTTATCTCCGGACTTCTGTTGCTCAGAGCGGTCGGCACATACCGGATCGTCCACGGTGTACGTGAGCTGAACGTTCCTCTCCTCGTTGCCCGAGAAAGGTTTGTCCCACAACAAGGAGATCTCTCTACCGTCGTAGACCCATGTCGTAAGCCCTTCGCCTTTGACATCCAAATCAATGAAGCCCACTCCATTCAGCTTCACAAAGCTCAACGCTTTCGACTTGAGACTGTCGTTCTTCGCATGGTTGTTGACGAAGGTATGACTGATCGTTGCTTTGACTCGCTTGTTACGGATCTCTGCGAAGTCCAGACCGATATCAATGTGCTTCGACACAATGACGGTATCGGGAGCATAGGAAGGCAGGACTCCAGGTTGGGCAAAGTCGCCGCCAGCGCCTCCGCGATGACCTTGGCAAGAATGCGCAATTTCGTCGTGCGGCATCTTAGAACGATCAGCTGAGTATTGTGTTGAACCGCTGCAAAATGGTAACGGAAAGGGACAAGATGGGGCGGAAGTGGGCAGCAGCTTTTATGTGTTCTCCGATGTCCAAAAGTCCATGACACACCACGCCCGTTATTATGTACTGTACTGTACATACTTAAGACTAGACTTCTAATAGGACTTCGTCTCACCTACGGGTTCCCGTTCGTCTCTAAGCTATCTCTGCCGACTACCGCTAACAGGTTATGAGCCCTGGCTTCGCCCACTATCCGCGTACGAATGTAGAATAGAGAAGTTTGGTTATTATTCACCGGTTCCTTCGGAAAGCACAATGCCACCGAAAGTTCCAACCGTTCATACCCGAAAGGACCGCTCCGCTGCATTAGCAGCTGGCAAACCTTCCGCCCCGAACACGCGCTCCCGAGGAGGAGCACTCCTGGGAGAGCTACCGCCCGCTACCAGAGCAGGAAGAAAGTCTGGAGTTCAGAACGTTGTTAGGAAGTTCGAAAATCGATGAAAATATTTAGATGTAATGCGAACTTCGTTACGGCCTGTTAGGGTGAAGGTGAGATGCGGAGTAGCAAATGTGACATGGCTGTCATCGACGCGGAGCGCAAGGCAAACGAGTAGATCTTGAAGGTCTCTTGCAAATGGTAGCAAAGGCTAATGGGGCAAAGCGACGGATGGCGAGTGGAAGATGATAAGCGTACTGGGGACTGTGGTGGCGACGCTTGCCCTCATCTATGATAGTCATCTCGGTAGGCCGTTTAAGCTCCCGTTCAAGAACTCGAACAGGGGTCTCGAATTGACTGACCCCTCGGATATCATTCGCTATGGAGTACCTGTGACAAAAAGCTATGCCTTTTCCCTGGAGCTTCCTTGGCAGGTCTACGGGAGGGTGATCGACGGCGTCCACCTCGACGCACGCTGATCAAAATCAGCATAAGGAAGAACAGATATGACGCTGGCGGGGACGCCGGCGGGGAGTGAGTGGTGTACGCTAAAGATCTCCTTAAGGAGCCGGGGAATCACCTCGCCGAGGCGCTTCTTGGGATCTACGAATGGACGTCTCGCGACGACGCCAAGCGCATTGAGCGTCACTTCTCGGACTTGACCTCCAAGGCCCTGCACTTGGACCAGATGCGGAGGTTGGAGCCGCGGGCTCATCGTACCTTTGTGCTCTCACTCCTTGAAGGTGTTACTGACTCGAAACGTAAGGCTCGACGACTGTTCCAAGCCTTCGAGAAGACGCAGGTCTTAGATCCCTATCTGATCAAGAACGATGCAGTGGTGAAGCGACGGCTGAGAACAGTTAAGAAGGGACAAGACGACAGGTTGATGGTCCTTGCTCGCATGCGTAATATTCTCCTTCACAACAAAAACCTGACGGGGAAACAGAAGGCGCGGATGATCCTCCATAACATTGAAGTTTTGTGCGCCTGAAAGACATCGACAAACTCGACGACGAGCTCCGCGTCCACGCCTTCGATCACCTGGACCCGCCGTTTGCTCAGTTGAAGGCGTGGAAGATGGTGTTGAGGAGCCTCATCTGCTCCTACGGGCGGTGCCCGGGGTCTGAGGGGCGGTCCAGGCCGCTGTGGATAGACTTGTCGTGCGGCAGGACTTCTTTTTCCAAGTTGATGGAGTCCAGGATGCCAGTCTACCACTGCATATGGGTAGGTCACGTGACTTGAGAATTTATTTACTGGAGGCTCAGTAAACATCCAATAAAAATGTCGCGCTGGTGACCTGATGAACCCATCTCGGACGAGGTGATTGAAGGACCCGTCCACTGCGCCTCCTTCAATTGCACCGGTGCGCATAGGCCGAGTGCCGAACTCGGGAGGCCCCCGCTCTGCCAATGCGAGGCCATAGCGCAGAGGACCGACTGGTCGCCAAAGTCATTGAACTGCACACGCGCACCAGTCTCACTACCGAGGTCGGTCTGGCTGCTCGGGCAGACGCGGACTCTTTGGAGGCGCACTACGTGGAGAGGGTGGCGCGGTTCAACGACGGTTTGAGGTTGTACACACCGAACCTGCACGTCGGCTACAGCGGGAGTATGCGATCGGAATGAACGACAAAAACGACAAAAAGGAGATGGTGATGGCGAACGACTTGGGGGAGGTGGAGCACGCGCCCGACTTCGTGGAGGACTTGGAGAATCACTTCACAATCGACACCTTGTCCGTGTGTAAGGGAACCGACCCTCACGTCCCCAAATCTTAAAGGTGGTGGTGGTGGGGGTCAAGATTTGGGGACGTGAGGGTCGGTTCCCTTACACACGGTACGAGCTCCGCGTTCACGCATTAAACACACCGCATGTATTCTTATTTTCTCTCCCTGCATCACTATAGGCAACCGCATGTCAGACAACGATCAAGATATCGACGGCTTGAGCGAAAAGTTTGCGTCCCTCAGAACCCAAGTTTTTCAATTGAAGGAATTACCTCAACTTCTGCAACATGAACCCACTATCCCCTCATTTTTGATACCCGAGGCTATTGGGCAGTCTATGGAACTCAACGGCAGGAAGGATGCTTTACAATGCATAGTCGGAGGGTTCGCAGATCAGTACGCAGAAACAGCAATCCCACGGAACAGAGAGGGGCATCCGATCTACGTCGTCGCCAGCGCCCCCGGCATGGGAAAAACTCGCCTCCTCACTGAACTTCCTCGAGCGATCAATGACGGCTACTCGGACGTACATCCCGCTGTGTACATCGTCTCTTACAACAATGGTCAAACACCGACAAAGTACGATGTTGAATTTCCAATCCCATGTCTGGTGCTGCGACTTCTCTATTTCAATTATCCCGATATCTATCGCAAGTTTGAGTCATTCTCCCATTTTGCGCAGTCAATATTCGACAATTGGGAGGAACAACGCATCCGAAAACTCGACCTCGGTTTCTTCATCGTACGGCGGCCCGACCCGTTCTCATTGCCATAGATGAATTCAACTATCTCATCGAGCCGAACAGCACACAGAATCTACTCAGACCGATTTTTTTGGCATTGAGCAGTGCATGCCTAGCGGCCCCCAAACACAAACCTTTCTTTGTTGTGTTCGCAGGCACAACACTACAACAGCTAAGTGGGCTGTTCCGACTTTCGTCTCATCCCCATAAAGTGGTCCCTTTGCCTTTGTTCACACACGCGCACATACACGCCATCGTCTCAAAGCAAACTTGGCTGCAGCGCTGGGAAACCAAGGCAGCGTTTTGTCGCTGCTTGCATGCTTTCGGACAGATACCGCGGCTCTTGGAAATATATTTGACATTGTGTCAGAAGAAACGTGGTCCCTCTGGGGATTTACCGATGAAGTCAATTGCATCCTCAATTCACGCCGAAGCAACACAGCGCTACGGATGCAGAAATCCGCACTTGAAAGCTAAGCTTATCTGGGCTGATTTTCTGCGGCTGCTTGTGACACGTGATACGGAAGTGGTCCCAGGAACGACTTATGGCGACCTGGAAAATCGGGGCGAAGCAATCTTGGTTCAGTGTCCCGGTTTGGAAACGCAAGACTGCTGTGTGGAAATACCATACATCATTTTACGAACGTACCTCGATAACCCGGCACAACTAGCTCAACATGGCATGCCCGAAAGTTTGCTGCAGATGTTACGCAAGATTTTCAATCTTGATGACAACGAGGATCTGTTGGAAAGCTTGTCGTTTAAAGACTTCGAGACGTTCAGTGCGTTATATGAGGCCTGCCGAAGTCACTTACTGTTCCTCCACCATACTCAGACATTGCTCCAAAAACCACCCCGAGTTTCGTTGGGCCAACTTCTCAAAGGGGGTGAATTTGCCGCAAACATTGATACTGAGGAGAGGGTTGTGCTGGCACCATTGACTGTGGTGCGCAGAAAGGAAAGGTTTTCTGGAGATGTTGCTGGTACGGTTGGCAATCATGTTGTACGGGGGATGGTAGCGTTGTGTACTCCTATTCTATCCGCCGCACGATGGACGAGGACGGTTTCGAGATGCACCATTTGATTTGCGCGGGCCAAATGAAAGCGTACCAATCGGAAGTTATTACAAAAGACTTAATAAAGGCCGAGGTTGAGAAGGTTGCTGAGGCGTTTGGCGACAACCCTTACATATTATGTATCGTTTCGCCACGAGGATCGCCGTTCTCTTCTTCAGAAATACCCGAGAACTGCATCATGCTTTGCGGAGAAGCATTGATAGCCCACTACCATGTCTTTGCTGATTACCTTCGACTGGCGATTGACGGCGCAAAAATCAACATCAACACCGCCGGGGAGGCTGACTTGCGAGTCTCATTATATCGCATTGGACAAAAACGATGCGAAGATATCCAAGCTGCAGTGCAGGTCAGACCGTTCACCGACTGGAAGGACCTTACTAGCAGGGTGAAGAACATACCAAAGACGAATGAGTCTAGGATCATGTATAATCAATTTGTTGCTCGTTGGATACGCCACGACACGGCGGGCCGATACATTTTTCGTCTTGTATCTTTCTAATATACTTTGCTTGGGGATAATGTCGTCGGTCATTAAATATGGACATGATGGAAGGGCTGTGAAATCACCATCTCGCCAGAGAGATGCTCAAAAAAGCCGCCCTTCCTATCTCTCTGGACCAGGCTTCGCTTCTCCGGTACGACCATTGCATCTTCAAGGACTTGCAGGAGAAGTGTTCTGTCATCACGAAGCGGCGGCTCTTGACATTAGAGAAAGCCCATGCAAAGTTGCAGCCGGTCACGAGAAGGCATTGGGGAAGGTTATGAAGATGGTCCGATTGAAAGATTGACGAAAGACGACGAATTGTATTCCTCCGAAAAGTTCCCTGCAAAGCAGGGTGGTGTAAAACATTTCAAAATGCCAAAATGTAATCTCAGCAGCAGATCACATGATCCTTGCACTAGTGACGACGCGTCGTCGCGAGTTTGGAGTGTTTGGCTAGTTTCGCATACGATTTGGGTGTCCGAACTAGCTTAGGCTTCAACCTCCTACACACACATTGATTCTCGTCACAGGCCCAATTCAATGAACCCCAAGTACTTCCGAACAGCAGGGGGTCTTGGGGCCCCTACAGTCTCCTTCCAAAGGGGTTGTTTTCATTCCTGAGATCAGGGCAGCCAGAGAGCACGATGAGGCTAGGTGCAGGTTAAATATACCGGAACCTCGTTCACTTTTCAAGTCATCCCATTTACATTCCCTGTTGCAGATTTTACAATCCAAGCAGTCTGTTAGAAGCTCTGGGAGTCCCAAAGCTTCAGTTCCGACCCAACCCGATGCGACCCACGATGTTCCTGAAAGCAATGTGCCCTGGGGAGACACAGAGCACATTGAAAACCTTATGTTCGGCCGATGGAATCAAGGAGGTCCTTATAATGCATGGGAAAGCTAGCGTTCGCTCCATTTTAGCTCAGGGTCGTGTCAGTACTGCACTTCTTTGCCTTCTGAGTTCAATCGGTGAATCAGCTGAAGGTAGAGAGGATGACCCACCCAATGACATGGAGAGTGGTTTGGACATCATCGGGAGTGGTTTGGAGAACACTGGGAGTGGTTCGGAGAACATTGGGACAGCTGGACATGCTTCTGGAGGTATGCACTAGATCTCAATGAGTCCAAGGACACCTGGAAACTGAATGGGATCTTCTTGCAGGCTTCCTTGCCCACCTCGTCACGAGGCACACCAAACTCCAATCTGAACATACCAAACTTGGAAAGGATCTCAGCAAACTGCAAACAACTTACACCAAACTGCAGGTGGAATATTCGGAGGCAAAGCAGAGAGTTGAATGCCTGGTCGACGAGAACAGGGCCATGCAAGGAGATCTTCTGCACACTGGTCTCATGGGTTTCCGAGGTCGGAATGGGAATCTCACCCACGATCAGTTGCTGGCAAAAGTAGCACTGCTTGCCAGGCAAGTTGAGGCCAATGACAAGAAAGGTGCCTTCATCTTTGAAAACAAGCACAAACATGTGTATCGAGCAGCAAAGCTCTACACTGAGTACTACAAGCTCACCGAACTTGAGGATATGGAGGTGAGTGACATTGCTGTGATGGCAATGCGGGCTATAGTTTCAGGATGCCTGAGGCCCACTCACTGGCTCTGGGAATTCATCGCGAGTCAGGTATGTGTGCGTCGTGCTCGCCCATTTGCCCCTTTTATTTTGCTTACCAATCTTGCCATTGTCACAATCGCCACCACCGACACCTACCACGCTATCCGAAACAGTTACAGTTCTTTACGGTCAAGGACTACCGTGGGCGGGGCTGCAGCATCTTCTCTTCTCGTGTTACTGAGTTCTGGTTTGAATTTGAGACCCGCTTTGGGGGTCGGGCTTGCAAGTTTCTTGTCGGCAAAGGATGGGCAGGAGTTGGGCGCAGTGGGCCTCGGAAGCCATGCAAATGGGATGATAACCTGGTTCTACCATCGCAGCGTGCTCAGCAGACGCTTCGAGCGGATGCGGGTGTGCAGCTCGTTGGATTGGATTCGAACCGCATACACGCGATTTGTGCACAACACGTTCGGCTGCAGGAAAGTCTCGGATTGCGCAACCTTGCTGGCGGCATTGGGTTTGATGAAACTGATTACGGAATCTCGACCGTTCAACGTGGAAGCAAAGGACAGCTGACGGGGACTGTCGACCTTGGCCCTGGACTGACTGAGAGCATTCTGGGACTGTCGGATGTTTCAACGGTATTGTCTCTGTGCACATTTCAACTCAAGTTGGCGCACCCTGATTTCTGTACCAACAGGTTGAACAAGCCCTCAACGCATTCGAGTTGAGCACACAGTTGTGCATGGCACAAATGAACAACGCACGGAACTTTGAATACACATGGGGCGACCCACGTTTGACGGTTCAATTTACCCACTGGCTGGCGGAATGTGAAAGCAATCTCGTCGCCCTCCCAGCGCAGCTAACTGTGTATGCAGTCGGGGCGGAGAAACAAGTAACCACGAAACGGCGCGAGATCGAGACTTGTGCGATTGCTTTTAAAGCAGGGACAGTGCTCACTGCACCTTCCAGTCAGCGCCCGGCAGCTGTGTTAGCGGCGTACAAAAGTGATGCGGTGAAAACAAACAATCTTCGCATCGCCGTGTAAAAAATTCTTACCGAATGCGCAAATTGGCAGTTGCAGCTGGCGCAACCCCCCGACCTTACCAACAACCCCCTCGACCTTCTGTTATGAATGGGCGGAGCCGATGGAAATAGAGGTGACTTGTGGTGCAGGTTGTTGACAGGTAATGGTATTCAGACCGAAACAAGAACTAGAACAAGACTAGGAAGAACTGGTGTTGATCTGCTGGGGGATCAGGAAGTGGGGAGCTCAGGGGAGGCGGCTATTTATGTTTTTCTGGGAAGGCTGGGGAAGCGTGGGGAAGCAGAAGGGTACGGAATGAGAGGGAAGCCAAGAGAAGCGCCAAGGGTGGGGAAGCATAGAAACAGAAGACTGGGGATGGGGTGGCTACGCTGAGGCTGTGGGCGGGTACGTGGGGAAGTATGGAGAAGGGTTTGTAAGCGCCGAGTGTTGGGAGGTGTGGCTACGTGCGGCTGCGTGGAGAAATGAAGGCAGTGGCAGGTGTGGGGTAGCGCGGCTGCGTGCGGCTGCGAGGTTTGGCAGATGTCAGGTTTTGACAGGGAATTGACATTGACTGACTGTTGGGATGCTGTCATGAGGTAAGCGCATGGTATGGACGCGTCGTCCATAACATCACCCCCTCCTTTAGCCACGGCGTCCGGATGTTGTTTTGATGTTGGCAGGCTTTGATCGGGGTTTGTCGGGGTACTTTTGGTGGAACTGGGCAACAAGCTCTTGACAGCGGGCAAGGTGTTCCACTGGCTCCCATGTGTTCTCCGAGCTTGGCCAACCCTGCCACTTGATGAGGTACTGAAGGTGCGTGCGTCGAATACGGGAGTCAAGAATGTCTTCCACAATCCATTCCTCCTGTCCTTCGAC